AATGTTATCAACGCGCCTTCACCTTTTCTAACTTTCATGGTGCGCTGGGTAAGCTCACAGGAACCGCGCATTTAGGAGCCTAACACAACTCACCCAACAAGTGACGTAACATATATTCTCACAAACGGTAGTTGATTCATTGCCATCACGGAGTGAGTTAACACTCGCATCCCACGGTGGCAACGGGCTGCAAGATAAGATATTTCGAAGTATGATTTGATGTGTCATAACACGTATTAGACAATTGAATTAGATGTAAATGCTGAAGTCTGTGACAATATGATGCGTAATGCCGTCCTCATGGGCCAGACGCCTTGAGATCGTGCGACGTGGTGACCACCGTTAACACCTATACAGCTTATATAAGGGAAACAGTGGTAGTTACTACCATCGCAATGCCATATGCCAGCTCAGTTGATCCTACGGAAGCCCATCCATAGCGTGGAAGATGACTGTTCCTGGGAAGCTGGAGTGGCTTAAGGGGGGTGGCGGTGAGGTTGCGTAACTCTGATTCTAGATTTCCACGAACACACGTCCACGATACTGTTCCACATGCGCTCTTTTAGGTTTATTATACCGGTGGTGCGAGGCATTACCCCGCTAAACGCAAAAAATCTTCCCAAGCCAAATGTGGGAACATGACAAACTACACAATGCCTAAACAAAGACCCTACGTTACATTATGTTCACTGATAGTTTCGATTGTGGGCTACGCTAAGAGGTGTTGTGGCACGTGTATCGGAAGCATTACAATGCTTACACTTCTTCCTCAGCGGCTGGAGCGGTGCCGAGGTTTCCCACGTTAGAAGTTTGATTCTTCCAGGATGACGCAGTCATCACTCACTGTCCCACTTATAGTAAGGCCATTCCAACCCATTCTTGGTAGTTGATCCCAAATATACCGTTGTGGAGGTTGCGTGTTATTCTCCAGGTATCCTAGGACGCTGCCTTATTCTTCTTGCCACCCTTGTTTGGCTTTCTCGTCGGTGGCTTCGTGTCGTCAAAAAGGGGTAGGGGGCTGAGTTGGATTTATGTTAGTTTTGTCTCCAGTGTTGGTTATCTTTTCTGCTGGCGGCTTCGTGTCGTCCAAAGCACGAGGGACGTAGATCTACTTAATTTCCCCCTTCTCTTTTGGAAGTGAGGGGGCGGGCTGCGCCGATGTCGCCGCAGAAACATCGATCGAACTGAGGATCAGGATAACCACGGATAGGAACCACTTCATGTTGTAGTTAAACATTAAACTCTATACTCAAATTGGCACCATGCGTACATATCTCCCTCGGCGATGGATCTCCTGGAAGGTATGTTGGGCATCAGCCTTCTACCGGTGACAACCAACACGCACGTGGAAGGCACATGACTTCAAAGACGCCACATGTTAAATAAGGATACGCGTGGCGTATATAATCCGTTTCACAATTCGCCGCAGCCCTTCGCAGCCGAGCGGACGTCACTGTTGTCATCACGGTTCCTGATCTGCTGGACGTCGCCGCGAATCTTGCGTTTGCCTTGAGGCACAATACGCTCCGTTACGTATGAGGCGCAGTGTGGGATTTTGTTGGCCTCTTTTAAGCTTTACAGCTTCTCAATACGTCCATTGTTACGCATGAGTCGTACCACCGCTACACAGCTTAAATTGGTTGATATCCACAAACACTTTCTCACAGCCATCTAGGCGTAACACTCCACCATGCCGTCACATTTGCCAGATTATGGTTACGTGATTCTGTGAACCTCCGGCCATCACCATAATTAATCTACCAGTATGTCACATTGGATTCGGTAGCTGATGGTTTTAGTTCTTCACTTTCTAATTCAACCAGCAAACGAGGACCACCTCAATCCCCTACGTTATGACGTGGAAGGGCATAGTGGCGAAACAACACACCGAGTATAGGCGGGACCTGGGTATATCGGATCGCATGGAAGCCCACATACAACGGGTAGTGGCCCAAGAAACACAAAAGCTAGTGTTGAGGAACATAAAACCCAGAGAAGATTATGACTCTGTGAATGACCTTCTCGCCCAAACAGGATGGATGCCATACTCTCCACCCGGCAACAATACCCCGCACATATCACAACCAACATCAACATGGTGCGAGGTGTAAGTCCTTAGTAAGGACGAGACGCGGCAATAGTCATACGCAGTCAGCGCTAGCACTGGAGAGAAACAGCGCGAGCATATACAAGAAAAAAAGCTTTTTAAAGCTAGAATATTACTCTGTACGCGTGACGCATATCTATAGCTCGCTCTTTGCGCAGCCTTATTTACCAATTAATACATCTTCGGATGCATATAATGCGCCCTCACCTAAAGGGCGACCATGATATCATCCCTATAGATGTTTCTAGACAATGTCAGTGTTGTTCCATTAGGTATGCACCGTAAGTAAACACTACCGGAAACATCCAGACCTTTTTGGCAGAACGCTCCCTGCTTTTCATCAACGGGAAACACATGGTGCCATCTTGTCACGTAGTTTCGGATATGTCCGCCACTGGCGGAGCAGTCAGAAATGGTATAACGAAGAAACATGCGCAACCCACGAAGAAACAAGCGTTACCAACATAGTTCAATACAAAATCAAACTTGTATTTCATCTTAGAAGCCAAGTACCATACGATGGCTATGTTTGCAATCAGCAAGCTGACGAATGCACAAAGTAGGCACAGAACGGCCGCCCTAACTTGAGTTGACATTATGGGAATGTAATACACGTCGTACGAACTCAGTTCGCAGCATATATGATGAACTGCCGGAATCCACAGAGACAAGAGAAACGCTAGCAGCATAGTAAGTGGGAATTATTGAACAGAATCGCCATATCCTCCTATCGACCGATTTCAGAACTATTTAACGACTAAACATCCACCAATGGCCATCAATACGAACATAATACATCCGACAGTCTCACACACGCGTCTCTTCAAAAACAATGAAGTAAGTTGACAGTTTGTGGGCGCTAATTATACGCAATATCGGTGACAGTGTAGCATAAACCGAATATGCGTTCTAAGAAGTCTTCTGCCACGATCCTCCCACCTCGAATGCCCACGGGCTAGCAAAACAGAGAGAACCTAATTAACCAAACACGTTATTATGCTACCGAATCCAACTTTATCTCGGCAACCATTACACGATGTGAAATGTGTACAGTAAAATTTGTCGTGAAGGTGAGCTAAGGCGTGACCCGAAGGCATACTCACTCCCGGCGGGAAATTGATACCCCGTAGGTGTCAACGCGAACCGTACACGAAAAAGCAATACATCCGTAAAACCCTAGCAACGGCATGAGCTATCATTAATGCACGACCATTCTGGGGACAACTACACACACAACCTTGTTTTCACACATCTTTTAAGCGGACTGTTCAAGTGATTCCTTTGCCAGCATGGAAAACAACCATATACATAAGCAAGGTTTTAAATCATAGACAACGCGTGGCGACGGAGCCGAGCAGTTACCAACAGACACGATCATACAGATTTACCAGGGGCATCATTGAGTCCGGTATCCGATTTGGTACGAACTGATATGTAGTGATTAAAACAATTACATGTTTCAGTGATTGTTAGCCAATCTGTGACATAAGATTCCCAGCGGTGCATACACCCGGCGTCACTCTTGGCTGACCCCCTATAGACTCTAACGACTAAGGCAGCTGTGTGGGAGGATATGATTTTTTGCCATGCGCCATATTTTTACAACACGGGCCTCATCGCTGGCGGAGCGGTTGGATGCGCCGCCGACCGCCATGTCAGACACAAATCCCCACGTCCATTTTCGCAGACGTATGGCGTTGCTACGAGCCTGGGAACGCGGCCACTTGAGACTTTCCGCTGGGATGTTCTGTTTAAATTTGACGTTTCTACGATTTCGTTTCCTTGTTTGAGATGCGCACGATGTTCGTCAGGGAGAGTGTGTAAGAAACCCTTTTAATTGGGTGCCGTCTGCTTTGTCTATACTACATTGTTTAAAACTAGATGACCTGTATGCCCAATTCTTTGCTGTTGAGATTTTTACAAGAGACAGTTTCATTCGCGGTCACGACAATTCGCTTCTGTGCCGCCAAGGTGGAAATAATAAACGCAATGTGCTCTTCCGGCCAGGATCTAAACTGTCTGGTATATTCCCTTTCGGAGTAGAATAAGTAGTACGGCGTTTCAACCTGATTTCCGGACAATTGCAGTCTCAAGTAGCACAACACTTCCTCTGCAGTTTCATCTATCGTCTTGCCGAAGATACCGACCACAGTGTCATTAGTTACCATATATTTTCGTCTCTCTTTAAGACTTTCTAGTAACGATCCGCCGGTATTAGCTTTCGACGTGATTTTTTGGTACTCTTGGTCGTGTAGACTCCTTACCTTATTACTTTTACCCGTCTTTCCGATAAAAAGTGCTCCCCAAACACTACAATTATTAACTTTGCAAAATTGCGTAATGGAATGTAAATAGAATCCGAAACCACGTTCAACCATGTGCTGCGCGATTAGAACAATGAAATCTCGGCTCACCCTGCGATTAATTTTTGTATTGCTAAATGGGTACACCTCCATACTACTTGAGTTAATAATGCGTAATCCATTTGCATTAAACTGCCAACATATAAGACCTTCCCAGACCTCCAGCTGTTTAGATAGCGTGGCATCGTTAATCTGCGAAACTGTCAACCTCTACCTCGATTGCACACCTACCTGTTCCGTGTACAAGGGCGGAAAATCTCGGAAACTTCCGAATACTCCGGACGGCTCAACGTCCATTAGCTTTCAATTATACACATTGCCATGATTTATCTTCGTTTCCCCATTGAGATGGGAACCGGTAAATAAAGAATGCGAAATGACCAACGACACACACACATTTATTCAACTAATAGAGAGATGGATGATGATTCGCGCCTTCCGGTTTCGTTAGCAATTTGTGGCATCGTAATATCGTTGTTTGTGCTGATAATTGCCTATATTTATTACACTGGGTAGGTATACGATTCCCAATGGCATATTTACGCAGAGCTATATACACATCAGAGCTTGAGGGTGAACAAACGGAAGCATCCCACGCATCATTACCTACTGATGCAGAACAGCACAGTGGACCCCTAACTGCGAAGCAACTCAAAAAACAAGAGCTGAAAGAAGCAAAACGTCGGCAAAAGGCTTTAAGAGATGAGGAGCGCAAAGAAAGAGACAAAAAAAAACAAGAACGTGAAGATGTCTACCAACAACGAAGGGAAGAGAAGGAAAGACAACGGCATGAAGATGTAAGTAAAGCGATATGAAATACCACACATACCACAGGAATTGAAGCGTGCAGATCGCGCATATGAGGCTTACAGAAATATCGCATCGTCGTTTGTTGTGGAAACGGAAGGGCACGAGCAACCCCGCAAACAGTTCAATGTTGAAGACTTCGTAAATTTCGTTATTTGGAAAAAGGCTACCAACCTCGTTGAGCTCTCCGCAAAGTTCGATTTGAAGCAAAACGAAGTTGTCCATCGTCTAAACCAGTTGGAGGACCAAGGCCGCCTGTTTGGCCTTTTGGATGAGAGAGGTCGCTACTTATATATTTCTGCCACAGACGTGGACACCTTAGAGCATTATATCGTAAACAGTGGCAGGATACACAAGTCTCGCAATTTAACTCCGTTTTGCAACACTGCACTGTGTATGGAACCGACAGAAGAGAATGTATCGAGGCTGCGAGCGTGGGAACAGAGCGTTCAACAATACACAATGGAAGTGTAATTTCGACAATAAAATTGGCTACATTTTATCCTTGATCATGGTTGTGATTCGTTGCAGTAGTTCTTGTTTACTGATAAGGGGCGACCTTAAGAGCAGCTTTATTTGAAGCTCAAGTGCCTCTTTGAAATAAGGTCCCGGGGTCAGTCCAGGTATCAGGTTTACCAGCTGCAACGCTATGTAATGCCTCGCATCAGGTTACCTCTCCCCCAGTGATTGGCGCCTTCAATGAGTAGGCATTTTGAAGACCAAGCTGATTAATGGTTGTCGTAAGATCTTCATACTTGTCTTTCAGCTCACGAAGATTGCCATAGGATGCCTCATTTGCCATGCATAGCAACAACGCTTCCTGTATCACTATGATTTGTTAACACGGAATTTAACCCTCCAGAGCGGCCCTATGTGGCGTATCGCGGTCCCTAGCGTTTCTCGTAGGTCTTCCGTGTTTGAGGGTAGGCCGTTGACCAGTTCAGCGAGCTCTTCGCTTCCTTCTACTATGGTTTTCGCTCTGCAGCCATATAACGCTTATATACCAACATACCCGGATGCCAATTTATTAGGAAGTTTGAGACGACACTTAATAACGTGTTCTATGTACGTACACTTCCCAACGGGCGGTTCACCTAGTTCAGTTTACGAATCATACGTGGTAACATACTGCTAAGAGGAAAACAAAAAGCAGAAAGATATAGAAGTTTGCGATCTATATTATTCCAACCAACGTTTCCCAGGCAATCTCGCACCAACGCCATGATTTTGCATCCAACGCTGATCTGCTGATCACTTGGCGAGTCACCTGCGCTATTAGAAGAAAAACAGGACAGCTTACATTGTTGCTCCCTAACCAAATAAGGTAATACACCCCAGAGGTTCATTGTTTCGAAGGCTTTCGTGACATCACCTCTGGTAAGCATGTCGTCGAGTTCTTGAGCGATTCTTGGCTTGGCCACCTTATTTTGGGCATATGGGATTCTACATAGACACGCAACCTACTTTGTTAGCCAATTGATTCAGAATTGACGGGTGCGAACTGGCAGTCCAAATATCCTCGTCCAATTTGTATCCCAGTCTTGCGCTGAATCGAGCTGCCCTGATAACCCTTAAAGGATCATCCATGAAGGTACCAAATGCAGGAGAGCACGTGCGTATAATTCGTGATTTAAGGTCATCGATGCCTTTGCCAGTGTAATCTTCGATTGCATTTTTTGAAATGTTATAGAACAGCGAGTTGATAGTGAAGTCCCTGCGCATTGCGTCTTCAGATGGAGATCCTATCCTCATAATCGGTATCCGACTGTCGTCTGCATAATCCTCACTTCTCAGATTAACAAAATCAACGTTCAATCCGAGGATAGATAGAGTCGCTGTTTCTAGATGCTTTGATTGTTCCGGCCTACGCTTCACCACACCCACTGTTTTGTAGAATCCCATGTGCTTTTCGGTGAATGCGTTGAGATAGTTACAAAACTCAACACCAGTCATCTGTTCCAATGCAATATCTATATCCTTGCTCTCGAGTTTCAGGAGCTTATCTCTTACCCAACCACCCGCAACTCTGAAATCTGCGTGGGATATTTCGCTTACATTTGTACATACCCATACTTAAACTATTATAAACCGCACATTCTTTCAAAAGGTTGAACAGAGCCTCTTCGTCTTTCGTGATTTCGATGGTAACACTTTGCCCGTCCTTGCTATTGGCTCCACCGCGATAGAGGTCAGCGATAATGACTACGGAATCCTTCGGGCTAATGTATCCAACCGGTTCCGTAGGCTCCGACATGGTTTCAATAGATTCGTCTCGAGTCGTAGCGTTGCGTATGTTTGGGAGTCGCGTATGTGACATTCCGAGTTGGTTTCCTATGGTCGGAGAATCCTTTTTATTGAAGGCGCAAAATGCCGTCTGACACGACGTATAACTATATCTTGGTGTTAAGATTAATCGGGCAAATCGATTGATATTTCTAGTTCCACAATGCCAGACAGCGAGATTCACTCTGTGTAAAGGCGTCACATTGCGAGTCGTTTTTGTGCATCTATGTGATAACATAAGGATACCAAGGTACAAGAACGGGCAAATTACATACATACACACAAATATACTCGGTTTAGTTCGCATACCGATTTAAACACCTCCCTGTAATCCACTTATGGTAACTCGACAGTCTGATGGGGAAACATAAGGGATTAAATGGTCGAAAAGCCAAATAATACTACACAGTATAGCATGTATCGTCTCGAAAAATTGCGTGATGAAAACTGCGCCTCGGAATCCGCGGAAATATGTTCGTTTCCGGCGTATCGGTCTACGGAATGGTTGGAAAACCACCGCCTAATGCCTGCTCCTCAGGGTTGCTTAGACCACATTACTATAAACCCCCAAACGTTATCGAATTATGCGCATATACGGGCGTATGAGATAAAGGCGAATATAGTTCGTTCAGAAATTCGCAACGCCCTATTCCGACAGGCTCTCTTCAAGGTAGGTTGATCGTGTGGACTCAGATGTGCCACAGATTCAAAACATTGAAGTGATAGCTGATAAAGAATGCAAAAAAGACCGCATTCTTCGCCGAATTATAAAGAAGGCTCAACCATGGTTCGCGCCGGGCCTTATGAAGGTAGGCCACGTTTGCAACCTCGGAAGCCACAATCTTATGACGACCACAGAACAAGTCAATAATTTCTGAGGATATTTGGGAGATTGATAGGTGCGGCTCGGTACAAAACTATACGGTGGGCATACTAGAGGTGTGCGGATATACAGCGTCAGGTGCGATACTACCGTGAAGGGGAGGACGGATTTCGCTGCAAAGTGTACCCCATGAGTCTAAATAATTTCTGCAACCTTTTGAGATATTACTTATCGATGTAAGGATATCACGCGATTCTCGAAAAACGTTGCCGTTGATTGGACCCCTACTAGTAGGAGTATGCTCAGGCTTCCACGCGCGAAAATCGCTTGATTTGACCCACTTATGTCAAAATGCAGAGTAAGCGATAAACATTGTGCCGCATGAGTTTGCAGGTTACTTCTGGGATTTGTTGCGTGGTAAAAGCAGTGAGGATTCCAATAATTTCACTGAGGCCCACGTAAGTGAGACATCCAGGCCGCTATACCATCTTAGATGGGTGAGGAAAATAACTTTTACTACAATGAGGAGTTGAAAACTTGGGTGGTCCGAGGTGAGGAGGAACAGGTGGCAAGGGCGGCACGTGAAGCACCTCCGCCTCCGCGACTATCTGAAAATGGTAAACTTATTCAAGATACATACATATAATGCAAATGTACTGTTCATACAGATGGACCGGCGTACAGTTGGCCTTTGTGCACGTGGTGTAAGCATATACATTTCATACGCAGGTTCAATCACAAGTGATGTTCCAATTGCAAGCACAACGGCACGCAGCCTCCTCACGTCTGACCAGTTGTACACTAAGATACCAGGGATAGAGGTAGCTGAGTCGACAACAAAACCCCATGCAGACCCATTAATCCCTTTGAGTGCTAAATCGCAATTCATTCCGGATAGAGCAAACGATGACAACAACTATGATTTTATTAATTAATTACTCATGTCCACGTCGCAATTTTCAAGGTCTGGTAGAATCTCTCGATTATCAGTAACTTTGGAAAGTTTTGGCTTCTGACCTTTTAGTATTCGCCTGCAAGGATGTCAAGCATGTGAGCGCTCCAACCAACTTTCTATCCACAACCACCTTTTCTATGCACCGGCGCCATGTTGGAATGCTGTCGTCTGCGTCCTAACACATCATGATTGCCAAGTTGTGAAACAAACCTCGGAGAACTGCATAGTGAAATATTCATAAGTTGTGATATTTTTATACATGAGGTAACAATGCAGAAGAAAAAGTTGCCAGAATAGCACAGCCATCACGGCGCAGAATGATGTAACGATGCATGTGGATGAGTAGAATGCAGTTGAATTGAAGGTGCCATAAGTCGCTTGCCAAGCCTCTCTGGGAGCAAGAGATAGAGCATCCATGATAAAAACCGCTGAACCAAGGGCCGTAATGGAGGTGAAAAGTAGCGTACAGGATGCTACCAGTGCAAAAAATGGCTGGTAGTTGGGCGATCCAACACAGTTGTTGACCCATATGCAGTGATGATCAAAACGTAGCACGCATTTGTTGCATATGTTGCAGTGCTTAGAACTGGGATCGACAGTGCCGCAAATGTCGCAGTATGTCTCGGAATCGCACTTCTCTACGTTTTCAATGTCCCTCTTTCTTGCCCTTGGGTCGGCGGGATCGGACAGCGTGACTACTGCAAAGAGCCCCAATACCAAGATAGACAGCACACACACGGCAGTATTAACATAGTTATAGTAAGGAGGCACGAATGATGGACGAATACCATACCAGAAGCCACAAAACACCGCGATACCCACTACACTTGCGAGAAGCTGTGCGAGGTGGAAAGGGCGTGTACAACCGTTGTTGCGGTGGTATGGATCATCACGGCGTCCGTGAAGCACATCCCTTATAACACAGCACACTACTTGTTCCCGCATACTTTAAAATAACATTAGAGCGGTGTGTGACCTCGGCTGTGCCACCTGGATTCCAGGTGGCACGATGACGGTCATTGAGGGTCAGATTCAGCACACATAGGCGACCACGAAATGTTCATCTTCTCTTTAGATCAAAAGTCTAGTTCCCAATCATCGTCAGTCCTAATGTCATCCATTTCTTGGAATGCCTGAACCTGTTCCTGGGCCTGCACACGATCACACCAACACATTCATGTCAAACCTCGTCTTCGTTGTACGTTTCACCATTAGGTACATAAGGCGGTTGCATAGCTCTTCCAGACAGTTTGTCCCAGTCGAAGTCCTGTCTATTGTCAGTCAAAGCCACAGCGTACTTACTCTAAAGTATGAATGATTTTTGATATCATTAAAACCGTTGATAGAGCTGCCTAATCGTACCTCAGGCACCCTGCACAACAATCTGTTAATGATATTGATCGCTTCTTGGTCCTTGACATATTCGGGGAAGGACAAGTTTCCTACACATCATCATTGGTAAAGTCTATGCCAACCTTTCAGAATATCTCTGAATATGTCGATTTGATCTTGAGCATCGTTCCCAAAAGGTAGAGGCCCACAAATAAACTCATATAGGCAGATGCCGAATGACCAAACGTCGGCTAGACAACCATAACCCTTGCCTGTGATCATCAGCGGCGCAAGCGTAAAGACCTACCGAGTATGACCTCGGGTGCCATGTAGTGAGGTGTTCCGATGAGGGTATAGGCTCTGCCTTTGATTTTTTTGGCGCATCCAAAATCTATCAATTTGATATACCCCTGTTCGTCGAGCAAAATATTTTCAGGTTTGAGGTCCTGTGTAGTGATCGACATCTCTTAGTAACCCCCAACCAACCCTATATGCGATTTGTCTTTCGTGTAGATATTCAAATGCCAAAACAATCGAGGCTATGTAAAATTGTGCTTGGGATCTCGACAGCAGCCCGATTTTTCGAATCGCGTCGTACAGTTCGCCTCCAGTGACAAGTTCCGTGAGAAAGTATACATTTTCAGCATCTTTAAAGGTTTTCACTGTAGTTTCGGTGATATTCAGAGAATCGTAACGTACCCAGCTGAATGATAAAAGGATGGTCATTTTGCGCCATAATTTCTCTCTCTAGTTTGATATGTTTTTCTTGCTTGAGAGCGCGAATACACTTGCGGCTGACGCACTTCAAGGCAAATCTTACGCCCGTTGTCTCATGGGTAACTAGTTTGACGGTTCCAAACGTTCCTATAATCGGATAGTTTAATATCCAACTAAAATGCCTTACCGTGACCAATGGTTTTAACAACTTTGAGCTCTTGAAATTGTACTCGGGTGTCCTGCATTTTGATCCTCTTCTCTAGATGTTGCAACATTGTGGGTTCCATGATCTACCAATGTATGAGATAGTATAATTTAAAGCGTTCATACCTCCATAAATATAGGTTTTTCTACGACCCAAAGATCGATTTGAGAGGCGTTTCCAACCACAGATGCACTCCTTTGTTCATCATATAAGAGAGATCGTTCGCCGAAATAGTCATGCTTTCCAAGAGTCCTAATTTTAATGCCATCTTTTATGATTGCAACTTCACCACTTTTAATTATGTAGAGGGTATCTCCTATTTCCCCCTCTACGAACACAGTATCGTTTTGTTTGTAACGAATGGTCTTTATGGCTTTGATGAGTTTGTCTATTTGCGCATCGGAGAGATGGGTGAATATATGAACTTTACGAATCGCCGCCATTTTGTTGTTATAATCCAACCTTTCGTCCAGGTTTTCTCCCCCCAGTACGAGTTGTATGGCATGCTTAGTGAGAAGAGCTAGTTTACAGCCCACGTAATTACCCTCACCTACTGCAACGACGGTGTGACGGAACGGAACATTGGGATGAGTGATGTACTCTTCCCCAAAGCTATCCCCTCTTTCCATGATCCCTATCTCAGAACTATTATATAGAACCTTCACGGAACCTTCAAGGACGATAAAGTAGCGGATTCCCTTGAGCAAATTTTCCCTATCCAAAATTGTGCAATCCTTACGAAAACTACGTATGCTTGCTGATTCAATGAGTTCACACAATTGTTCACCTGTGAATTGCCTGAAAACATCAGAGTGTTGCAAGCTCTCCATCATAATATTTCTGAAAAGGACGTGGTTCAGATTCCCTAGCACGTTCAGCAGGATATCCCTACTTAATGACACGCACGTAGTATCGTCGATTGCCTGTATGGTTGCACTTCGTGTTTCACAATATAAAATAGCTCTTTCGCCGAAGTATTGACCTTTTGCGATAGTCCTTACCCTTACACCATCTACATAAACATCTGCGTTTCCATGCTTAATAATGTATAGGTCATCTCCAGAATCACCCTGTCTAACTATGCAATCGCCGGGCGCAAAGCGTGACTCCACCAGGGCGTTAGTGATGCAATTTTTCTTGTCGTCAGACAGGCTTTCGAATATGGTGACACAATCAAGGAATTCACGGTTTTCCGCATAGTTACGAAGCGATATTCGTTTGAGAGTTTCACGAAATACGAGTCTTGTAACTCCCCAGAGCCTCCCTACGTTCCCTGAACAATTCCTAACCTTCACTGTTGCGCTCCTTGGTGTGTTGTGTATGAGTGATATTTCTCCGAAGGCAGTGCCTCGTGACATGGAATTCACAAGTTCTCCATCGACATACACATCGAAGTCGCCGCGATTGATGATGAAGAAGTACGCTCCATTAGCACCCTGGGTAACAACTGTCGTGCCTTCTGGAAGTTCAAAGGAGGACATGGCTCCAACGAAGGCATCCACTTCATATTCGTTTAAGGCATCACAGACGAGATTGTTTTTGAGAGCAGTTCTTATAAGAGCGATATCTACATCACTTTTCTCATGCGTCTTGGCGTATTTGGCCAATTTGCTGACCTCGGCGGAATCATCGCTGAGAGCAACACCCAGAGGCTGCGCTCGTGCAACTTTGCCATGTTTATACTTAATATACTTCAGATTTTTAGGAGACGAATTAATTAGGTGTAATTTTTTGAGGTCACGGCTAAGCTCTTCCGTTTCGTGCAACATTTTCTGAGCCGCCGGCACCGATACACGACCGCCACATATAGGACTCTAAATAAGTGCCTAAATGGAGGTTGCCTTTCCAAGTGTAGTTCCTGAGAGCAGTAAAACGTGTATACCGGCTATGATAAGCCCAATGGTCCCGACAATTCTGACGAAGGCATCCATTTGAGTGGGCGATGCCATTTCGCCTATGGGATACAGTGACACGGCAGGGAAAGCGGAGACATTCTGAATCTCCGACCCGTATTGTCGATGAGGCCTGCTCTTAATTGGTTGCTTATGGGTATACAACACATCACCGGTTTCCCCATTGATAAATTTCGTTTCCATGCCATCTGCGCCTAGCTCATGAATACAAAACCCAGGCTTTTCGCTGAAGAACAAGGAATTTGACGTCTTCATTACAGGCCTCCTGCCACCGCTGCCACCGTTTCCAGCTACAATCATGGCAAGTCCGTTGTTGTCTATAATTTCCATATCATGATCATAACCTGAGATATAAGCATCAACTTGCGCATCACGCAAGAGAGGGAGGAGATAATACGCAAGGTGGGAGTCGCCCTTAGATGGACCACTCGATTGTATTGGCTTATCACCTACTACTACAATGTAATCAAGAATCTTTGGGGCGACTTCCAGAACTTTTTTGAGATCAGCCCAAGCTGCATTGCTGACGTCTTTGTAGGGGAATGCCTGGCTCAGGATCCACGTGTCTATGAAGATGAATCCCACGCTCATATCCTTGTGCCCACTCTTGAGCAGCGACATAGCTGTACATTGCTCATTTAAGTTGAAAGCGCGATACACAGATGCATTACACAAATGCAGTGACATCACAATATAATTGCAAGCAAGTAAAAACAATGCAATAATAACTCGGCAAATTCCGAAATATAGCAGGCTCCACAATTTATAAGTTCCAATGCAAAATACGAGTAAACGTACAGGCAGTTGTAGCGAAGTGCGTGTAGTAGTGGTACCACCAGTTGGGCATGGTCCAACGAGGTAATCCCTTGGTTTCCACATTTTCGCTTATCTGAGTGGTGAGATACGCCTGTTGATTACGATTAATCTGCGAATTGAAGTCTCCTTGCCAATCACCTGCTCCAAGAACAGTAAACATAGGAATTTCCATGGATCCATCGTCACTGCTGTATATAGACTGAAAATGTTTCTGCCATTTGTCATCTTTTGCTCCGGTTACTCCATACTCGAAGTTCGAACCCGGGGAAATAATGAAGGTAACGCGTTCCTTGGCAATTGCCGACTTGAGAGTATCAGCTACTTTTTTCTGAAGTTGTGAGCCAGTACCCCAGTTTCCCAGAGACGCAAACCGTAGCTGACATCTTACCACGACGAATTGCGACCCTATCGAGAAAAACAGTGCGATTATAGTAAACACGCTACTCAAGCGAGATAATAGCACCATGGTCGGCACCCTTATGATTAATTCTAACGCACGAACACGGTATAATTAATAGTATATTCCGGCGCTAAAATCATGAATAAACGCGTTTAGTGTGCACAACGAACCACACACTCGGGGTGTGTGCCCACGCAGGTACCAGGTGTGTAGCACTTGGCTCGCAGCCGTAATTATGCAACATCCATTATGAGAACACTAATAGAGATTTTCCACAAAAGTGTTTATAGTTTCGCCGCTAGGTGGCACCCATGGGATTTGTGATCCACGTGGGTTTCCTCTTCTCCTGAGCCATGTTCCACGATTTCCACTACCACCAAGATGGCAGCCATAATTATTGCCCCTAAAAAGTAGCTCGTCCAAAGCGGTAACCGCATATGACTGTCTTCCTCGGAAACCTGGTGCGTAAGAAGTTCAAACGACAAGTAGAGGAAGAATCCTATTGCCAGCAGTTGAAATACCACCTGCGTGGTTTCCGATTTTCCTTTTATTTGAGATCCTATTAGTATCCCTAAGGGTATGCAGAGAGCGAATGCGATTGAGCAAGCATGCCTAAGAGCCTCCCACGTGATAAGGTTGGTGGCTGTGGTGTTCAACACCAAGCATTCGGCCCATTTGTGGGCACATATGCCGAAGGCCATTCCCCATAGAGATCCCGCTGTTTTTTGTGCACCCAAAAGAGCACCTGAAACACTGTCATCTCTCAGTTACGCAGTTATATACCTTCCAGTACGGAGTGCGCGTAAAATGTGAGTAGCAGGTATAGCGCTCTGGAAGTGAACAATTGCTTCAATCTCAAGGAGATCGATTCTATATGAGTCCAATGACCCTCGCCTTTGTCGTCATGGTCGGTGCTGACGTGTGATAGCGCCTTGTGTGTGTGCGATAGATTCATGAGTTCAACGTCGACCTCTAGATTTGGGATAGAACTACAGGCATTGAGATAACGAACACTTGGATATTACCTATCATTGAGAGATTTAACACCTGAGTGCACAACGGAATGGGATCCACAATGGTGACCTGCAATATCATATGATAATACGCAAGGCTCCTACCAGCGAAGAAGTCAATGGTTACCAGTAAGAGAATGGGCATGCCCATGATAAACCCCCTAAAATCCACGTGCTTTACCACGAGGCTACAACCTCCATCACCAAAACCTTCAGGAAGAAGGTGTGTGAATGCGAGGGACAACAATGCACCTGCAGGAAATCAGCAATAAAACCGTTAACGCTAACCGCTGGTTGCATTGTTCAACGTTTTTTCATTTATCCAATTGCTCCTATAGATTGAAAACCTTTCAGTGATCTTAGGAGCATAACAAAAGACAAGTGTCTCTACCAGTACGATGGCAGCGACTGCAACTTTGTGTAGTCCAACCATGTTACAAGCACTGGTGACATCCGCAGGAGAGGCGCAATTAACCGGATGTGCTGCGCTACCCGGTTACGCTCTCGGCGTGCGATTTAAACAATCCCTATATTAAAATTTTGGAGGTGCCATAGGTGTAGACTCTCCGAACAAGCAAAGAAATTGAGTGTTACTTCCCCACAACTCCACCTAGCGGCGCAATGAAAACATTCCGGTTGCCCTAAAATACCATTAACCACTACAATAGCAACAGCAAAACGGCTTCATCTATATTTGCCTGCACCTTTATACACCACAATAAGAATCTAGCGTTTGGTTACCCAAACAGTGGCATACACACACCCAACCTAACAAGAAGACAGGCGATGTTATACGCCCAGATACACATTTTAATATTGAAGTGATTTCAATATACCATTTGGAGTGTTAATGCATATCCCACATTTGTCATTGATATAGCTACGTCGCGAAACAGATCTGATGGCCATCGGACGCGCTTGATATACTATTGCACGCTCACGAACACGCCTAGCAGTGCTGTACCGTCTATTTGCATTAAGATTTTTATCGGTGTATCAATGTGTATCGAATGGTATAAGTGATTGTAGCATGGGCGCATCGTCAAAAAAAGCTCCTACCCCGGGGAGCTTCAGTGGAACGCCGCCTTTAGGTATGTTAGGTTTTCGTTTCATTGTAACCACAGCTTGAACAGTAACCTATCGTGCTGCTTCCAACAGCATAAGTTGTGTAGCCACTATATGCCCTTTGATGTGGACCAGATGGGACATCTGCTCTATCCTGATGTATTTCGCTTGTAGTCCTTCGATTTGCACGCCGCCTGATTTTTTTCAACAGGTTCTGCACAATTCCGTTTCGCCGAAATGATGGAATCGAACAAGGATGCCATTGTACAGAAGGCAGCTTCTCCTCTCGATGTGTCTGAGGTAAGGCAGGAGACATGCGGTTTAGCTTTTTCCGACACAAAACCGCGCTGCTATTCTTACAAGCACTAATCGAACTTGCACTCACATCAAGCGGTATAAAGAGCACACGCAGTTTACAGGTGGAAAAGCACAAGTCAGAGGGCGATTGTTGGAGCATTTATAAGGGCAATGTTTACGATATTACTCGTTACTTGGACATACACCCTGGAGGTGAGTTTAGCGAGAAATCCGTGTGTTAGCTTTCTGCACAGGTCGCCAACACTTGCTGGATTATGCCGGTAAGGACTTAACAGAAGAATTTTTGAGCGTGCATCCTTGGGTAAATGGAGAGTTCTTACTCAAGTCTTTACATGTCGGTGAGCTCAAAACTGATAGTGAGAACACAGCGAGTTCTCCGTCCAGGAATACAAGTGGAACATCAAACTAAGCATTGTATCTGGGAGCGTGCGCAAGTTTCGGAATCACACTTATAACAATATGCAAACACTCATTCACCGTATAAACTAGCCACGGAGATGGCGGTCTAATCAAACAAGTGTCTTCACTTAAGTTCGGCAATATGTGTTGTTTTGTCTAAGCGCTACGTTAATTCCGTTCGCAGAAGTCGCGCTATGGGGTTGCTATCGTTATCACCGATTTCACTTTCCCAATCTGTCACCATGTCGAGCTCTATGATCGAGATAAAATTCAAGGATCCCAAGAATTTTTTCAAGGGGCTCAAGTTGAAAAAAAAGCTTCTGCAGTTGAAGCAGGCGACTATTACACCTGCTTTGAAAAAGGTGCTACCCTAGGGGTTCCTTTTTTTAGGATGTGAAATGCAGATACATTTCGGCAATTAACGACACATAATAATTTCATACGGCCACTACCATGCGGTATGCGGACGTCTTCGCATGGGCGCTCAATCCTCTGTCCTTTCGCCACGCGGAGTTCACATTTGACCGATATAACAACGGTTGACAATCGTTTAATTTCAATTGGAAATAATTGGCGTTATTTGAGAATGTTTTCGGGCGTGGGAGGCTGCATGTCTGACGTGACGGATACGTAGCTGCCTTTCGAGCCGGCGACAAGGCCTTTTATGTACATAAGTGACGTTTCGGGATTAATACCCAGGACTTTTAGTTTCCGGAAGCTGCAAGTGTTGCCGCCGAGGCGGCCAGCCATGCGTTTACCCGGTTTAACAGAACCTGGAGTGGTTGACGCTCCAATTGAGCCCGGCCTCCTGTGATGCTTGGATCCGTGACTCATTGGCCCTCTGCAATTTTATGAATTGAGTACACATGAGTGAATGGAGGAGACGTAGCACATACATCTTTTGTTGTGTTTCGATGGCACATCGCCGTGTACGTTGTACACGTGCTTGACACATCGAACCATTTGCACAATGGCGAATAATGTGGAATCCACAGTCTCTAGGCGTACACTTACCTGGCGAATCCATGCCGTTTTATGACACCGGCGAAACCCTTACCCTTTGTGGTTCCTGTAACCTTAACATGCGTGCACCCGGCAAACATCGAAATGTCCAAAATCTGACCAAGAACAAAATCTTGAGGTGGCTGTAGCCTCACAGCTTTCAGGTTGGAGAAGTTCGCACAGTTTTTAGTGAGTTTCCCTAATTCGCTACGGCGCTTCCAGCGTTTCTCCCACGCGGGCCTCCCTGAAAATAAATGTTCCAAATCGCGATGAGTTGATTACGAATGGCTGCATCTACAGTCTGCTACACCCTACAACTGCGAAACCACAGACAAAATGACCGCAAACTTGTGAACTATGAAGTCATTTGTTCAGCGTCGGGCGGGAGCGTAAGCTGCATCTTCTGAACGATGACGTACCATATGTCACGAGGGCATATCCGAAATCCATAAATTCACATATTGTGCAAGGCAGGACCTTCAACGCTGTTACAGTTTCCACATGTCCGTCCGGTGACCATATTTGGCCAACGTGATACTTTATAGCCCTTAACTCAATCTGCGTACGGTGAGGTAAGATGTCCACGTGATTACGCACCTTGCGCTCGGTTTCAGGCCACCTTACGTTCCAAAGGTAGGGTCTTGGAGCATATGGGTCATTGGCAATGATTATCTGTAGCGTGACGTTATTTAGAAGGAAAATAAACGCCTACTCTGTCCCTAGGCGTAAGAGCGAAATCGCTCGGAAGCGGCTCTTTTACTGCACACCTTCTAAAGAAGTCATTGCAACCGTCATGTGGTATCCTCTCAGTGGCCAGGAACGCCAGAGGCAATCCACCACACTCCGGGCGTGGATGACGCAGCCCTTTGGGACATGACGCGCCTCCTCGACGAAGATAGGCGGCCAACACGGTATGAAACGACAAAAAAGTCACAGTTAGAATTAATAGAACAATGTGAACATGTTGTGGCATGTCAGGAACATATTTTAACCCGTTCCAATATATGTCAAATTGTCAATTACGGCGGGTGGAGGTATCGGCATAATCCACCACGACTTCCTTACCATCAACATAGTGCTTGGCATTCGGCTCCATCACGGCGTGTAAAGCGTCCTTATGAGCAAATGTCAGGAACCCGAAACCTTTACTTTTTTGCGTGTACGAGTCGCGCGGAATGTAAGCATCAGCAATTTCGCCAAACTGAGAGAAATAATTCCTCATAGTTCCCACTGTTGTTTCCGGCCCTAATCTACCAATAAATAACTTCGGAACTGTACGAGGCCTCGTCTTCGGGGGCACTGAGGCTCTGGCGTTGTAGCGATTGTCATACTCTACATCTACTGGGTAAAGAATAAGAAACTACAAACTACAACTCACCGTAATGTTCCGGCTTCGCAGATCCCGAAAAAACGTAGCTCACGGGTTTGTGTGGATCAAAACCGGAATAGGTCCTGGAATAGCTAACTGGGCTGGCATAGCTGCCACGATCGCTGCCGTAGTAAGAGTACCTATAATGATCTTCCCTCTCCTTCCTGTAATATCTGTCTAAACGTAGATCCTTTTCATCATATTGGCGTTTATATCTCGGGTAACTATCTCTGTAACGCGTGTTAGTGTCGTCCACTGCTTTGGTGCCTGAATATGTTTCGATCGCCCAAACTTTATACACCTACTGCTGTGATATTTTTGACCCGTAGCACGATCTATCATGACATCCCTGCCAAGTATAACATGGGACGGCGCCTCTAGAACCTGCATATTGTATTGCAGATGAAGGGTAAAACAAACCTTTAATAAATCATCCTCGTTTTCGAAGGAGACAAAACCATATCCTTTATTAAGCGCTGGGTTCCCAGGTTGTCTCGGTATGTGAATATCGATTAGGACACCAAACTGAGGAGTTTTTTGCAAGATCTTTTATAAGTACGCCTTACCCGGCTAAAATAGTCTTCAAGGTCTTCTCGCGTAGCTTCGTATGCCAACTTCGAAACAAATAATCTGAAAGCTGCGATTTTTTCTTCTTCGTATCGCGCATCGTTTTCGCTGGCATGTTGGTCCTGCTGATCGTCGAGAGCTGGAGTTGCCTGCTCTCCATCCATTTCTATGGCAGCGCAATTATCATCCCCCGCAACGGTGCAGCTCTCCACTTGCGAATTTCCGTCGTCGGTGATTATTTCCTGGACTTCACTCATATCGGCACACGCGTGTACTTCGCCGGCAGGAGGGGCAGCAGAGTCATTGGATGCCTCAGACTGCAGTTCCAGTTCCAGTTCCGGGTGATCCGCTGGCTGATTTTCCTTGCACATGTCTTGCCTAAGTACTCTCGGTGTCCTGGTTTCGGCCAATGGCGCCTTTTTAACTGTCTTCTCCTCCGTTTTCTTCACTGCGGCTGCTTTAGGTTTTTTTGGGATGGTAGCCTTCAATGTTTTCCTTGCAGCCATTTCTTAATTATAAGAAATATTTTCACGGACACTTTCCGTGGCGGAGAGATCGTGCAAACCACACGCCGCATTAGGCGGGAGCGGCTGCCACACAGTCGCTTGCGCAACATGACCGTCACCCATGCAGTGCTTTACATCGCTACACACGCCAGATAATACACCTTTAAGCATACGTTAGTTATACCGATACATGTGGATGCAACAATTCGCCAGAGGCGGCATTTGGTTGTGTGCGCCGAGTGGCCAGTCTGCTCACTGTTTGAAACGCCCTCGGCTGCTGTTACTCCGCCTCCCCCTACTGGATCCCCGGTCTAATTGGCATCATTTATCGCATTAAACAAACTACCTCTTCCCCTCGTGTTGGACGTGGACGGTCTCGCTGTCGCTGCGTTCCTTTGATACATCACAGAGAACTCACTAATACGCTTCGAATCCTCAATAGCTACATCGGCAACTTCTTCCGGTAGGCGGAACGATTTGACATTGTTACCTCGAATGAAGCACTCATTTAGTTTCCAAAACTCGTCGCCCCTCTGTTACCAAGTTTCTTTTGTTGCTGATCGCTTCGCTCACCTTTGATGTGCATATTGCATTGACCATGTGAACATTCATAAATGAATCGCAAGCCGCAAGGATTCCACTGTACGTTTCACCGCTTTTGAGTTCTATAAGCTGAAGCGTTATGATAAAATGGTATGTCACTGTTTGCCGTATGTTCATCAAACTTACCGCTGGTTGACTCTTGCCCGCTCTTAAAATTGTCAGAGGAAGCTGCATTTGGGGTTATTGTTCACAATTTAAGGGAGCAAACAAACACATGGCCAAGAAAGCGTCAGTAATTGCTCAAATGAAACATAATACGGGGACATAGGACGCAATAAGCTTGCACATCACACAATTTCCTACGTTTAATTAGCATAGCACCGTGAGTAGACAAAGATGTGACATGTACAGCGCCATAGCGGAATAATATCGTAACCAGCCAACTCTATAGTTGCCACGATTTAAAACAAAACTCACCACCATATTACCCCAAACTAAAATAATTAATGTATATCATGGGTAGGAGAACGAACTATTAAAGTTAGCCGGCGAAGACAGGCATCGCGATACAGATGCCACGGCGACAGTATTTTGTCACTACAATTCCTGTAAGGCCACAATCTTAGGCAATTGATTTATGAATACAACACAACCCTTTGAAACTTTAAAGCAGTTCTAAAGCCAATATGTGGATTAGGGCGGATCCATATGTCGCTCGTACTTTTGTCTTTATAGACCGTTAGTGGTCTGGACATATGAGGTGCTATACCAACGTGTCGAAGAACATGTGTGACTGCTGTATAGCTTAAAATGTTTGCATCGCAACAATTCACATTCCTCAGGAATGGATTCTTTGATGGCGGCCACATGAACATCTGCGATATAGGCAAAGCGATGACAATGGCGCAGAGAATGTGGCTGCAACAATGCCATCAGTTGAGATATATTACGTCAACAGCAAATCACGATATTCCTGTATCTAGAAATCGAGTGCACGATTACTTAAAGGAGAAGGAGGTGATAGAATTTACCTCCGGAGAGATTGCAGCACCAACGGAGCAACGATGCCATAGCGTTTGCGTCGATTTGGCAAAACTTTCGAGAAATAGACATGTCGATATGGAAATGCTACATGAGAAGGCCCCAAATCGGAGTCGTCAAGTTGAATATTCACTTTTGTCTGCGCCAAAATATCCAAAGGTTTCGTTTTTCCCCGATGGCTATATAAATGTATCTTTGGCGCACAGGGGTTTACATAGTGATTTTATTCGTGACGCTAGGGATTTTCGTAATGAAGAGGTATCATCGTCGAGTCGATTGTTCCCCATGCATCGCACCAGAGGTCGCACGAAGGAAGAGGCCGATGTAAAGATGCTTCAGCGCAATCTTGACGCCAACTTATCAGACATAATAGGTTTCAATAATCCATCCGATTTGGTAAAAATTTTACGTCAGATGCACTCATTGGATCTTTCTATCAAAACAAACAAATTCGCAGAGATTTCGAAAAAAATTTCGAAGGGTATGGCGTCGATCTCCACACACGAGGTATGTTCATCTATTGCCAATATTGCCTTATATGGACATGCAGCTTGTGGATGTTGCATATCTGATTAGAAGTTATCTGGGCCGTGAATACCAATCCGGATGTTTTCTAATCGGAGCAATAGGAGGGCGCTTGGATAAACGTTCTGGTGATCTCCTTTGTATGTCTGCATGTGATATACTTGCTCGTATTCTCCCAATTTTACAGATACAAATATCTTTTCCACATACAACGTGGACTATTCTAACGAATTTGCAACTATTACGGAGGCTTGTCGCCGACGTGGGTCTGCTTGATGCGGACGGGAAGGCAGATTTGTTCACCCTTTTAACGGTCTCCAACACTATTGCCCCATTAAGCGAAGACCTCGTTGGGGCTACAAAGTTCATAGCCGAAAAAGTGGAGGTTCAAGTGCCGAATATTTCGGATCGTACCATGCATCGCTTGCTCTCTGTAATGGACATTTTCGAGACCAGGTTTCCCAACCTTCGAGACGCTTTGTATCGGAACTCATTCCACCGATCTAGATCAATGCAGCCCAATGAGTTGGCATCCGTTTACTTGCGCATGACGCCGAGTAAAGAAGTGTCAAAACAAGTCAAAAACACAATAGGTCGGCGTTTGGTGGAGGTTACGACTAGAGTCTTGGTGGACCTGTATTGTCGTCACCTGAAGGATGGCGTGCATAATGCACGCCAATTAAAAGCCTTTGAATGGGCTATTTCGAAGAAACGCGCAACATTGTCCTTGCGAGATATGTCAACGATACTGATGTATCACAGCACACACGGAGCATCTATGTCACGTTTAAATGAGCTCATAAAGGCACGTTTTTTGGATCTGAAGAGTATGGGTAACGCACAACACGACGAAGTAAGTCGACATTGTGCTCCAGGGCAATGCGATTTTGTGTCTTCTGTGTAATTTGCGTGTTCTGGGATGTCTATTCACCACTGTTCGCCGTTTCCTTGTTTTTACAGTGATACGGGACGATTACATTTGCATCATAGCATTCCGACATTGATACTTAATCAGGTTTTAGACTTTGTTCTATCCATGTCGCTGGTTGGACTACACAACGACCTTGACGTTTGGGCTGGAATAGATTCGGTCCATTTAGTTTATTCTACACCGAACAATATTCTGGTATACTTGGGGTACGCTTTCCTACTCACAGGACAACGTAATAGAGGCATATGGACCATACTTTTCGAAAGGTACGCATACATCGCCTCCACTACTATAAGCCGTTGCAGGATACTCTACGATTCGAAACATTATTCTTGTGAGCTTTACGAAGTTCTTAAAATTGCGAAAGTATTCGGAATTATAAGGGATGACATGGAACCTCATCTGTTGAATCGTGCCTTATGGGTGATGCAACACACGAAGTCACAACATTACGCAAAACTATCCCGACAAAGGTATCAAACGCACGCCCCCATAGAGCAAGCATTGAATCTCACCGGATTACAGTATTCCAAAGGTAAGATAGGCCTGCAGTGTTTGATTTCTATCGTGAGGTGGCGCTGCACAATATGTAATTGCGTTACCAATGGTCTTCGCCAATAACCACATGCCGTGTATGATGGCAAGTAAAGCGCCTTTTGTAAGCCGATATCGTTTTTTATGAGAAGCACACTTCTACTATACACCGAAATTGTGTAATGCATGTACAGGCGTTGTGATCGACGATCTCTACGAGGCACCGTTTTACATCACATCGCACAAGATAATTTTGGATCCATTACGCGAGTCGTATTTGCACGTGGTATGTTACCAACTGCTTATACAGTGTATAAGAAATTGCAGACAACAGGTCTTGAAGTCGGTGAGGCCCACCTACGACATAGTGTGTGGCACAAGCAAGGGTACCACCCGTTTCCCCTAAACATGCCTGCGTTGAATAAGTTTAAAGATACGGGCAGTAACACCTGGAATGTACCTGCATTGGCTGAGTTCATATGTAAGGTTATGAAACTGGAGAAGTATGGCCCACTACACGGTAAGATGTTAATAGCGCCCTTTATGAGTGACAGGTATGGGCCGTCTCAAAGTGTTACGAGCCAGAAAACCTGAAAACAACGCTCACAAGCGTCTTACTAACCATATTGCAAAAGTATGGATGCCCGACAGAAACATACGTCATCTCCAGAAAATGTTGTTGGACAATACAAAACGGACGTGACGCATAATGATTTACACATGTGCCATCTGCGTCGTGATGACACTTTACACATTAGATGTAGCATTAAGAAGTTCAGAATATCGGCAGCAATGGCAATTTTTACTCGGATGTGTATGTGGTTTATGGCGGTCGTGTATGCTGGACTGTTATCAGCCTTCGCAAGCCCACCCATATTGAAGTTTGATAACTACATCGCCACAAACATTGCGAGAAAAAGTTTATCGGAAAAACATCTTACAATCCCATTTGAGGAAGCCGATTATCTTCCCTTTGATACGGCGTCTGGTAAGGGAGATGTGAGATGCCGTAACGACCTGAGAAAGCATTATCAAGACTTCTTCTACGCACTTGTGGAAAATAGCGATTGCAATATCCAGAATGTTGCAGGTGTGCCTCTGGATGACCTCAACGGTCATCTGTCCGAGCCGGTTGTGGATCATACGGTAGGCACAACCGTTAACAAGACCAATGCGGGAACACCACCTGGCTGTATACATACTAAGATACAAGCCAAATGCCCTATTTATTTATTTTATGCACAGTGTGTGTTTGCGAAATATGTGAAATTTGGGAAGCGTACTGCCAAGCTTACAGTCCCGAAGCAGTCTTCCATTGATGCAACCTTCGGGGGACGGTTTATAGAACACATTGAAGGTGTAGCAAAATATGTTCCCAGATTAATAGACGAAACGGTTACTCATCTATGTCGATTTGTGAACACAGCTTGCGGTCTTCTTCATCCACAGTTTGCGGATACATCAAGCTTCCGGTTAAAACATGTTTGCTCTATTTTCGACATATATACACCGTTGGCGGATTACTCCATCCTGTATAGCTCAGAGTTGTCGAAGGAAGAACAACTTGAGATAGATGACTTGCATCGTGAAATGTACGAGGAAATGTTTTATGCGCCAGTAGAAAATGCAATTTTTTCACCACTAGGGGTGCCTTACGACATATCAATTAACGAGAAACGTATAATCGATGGATATTTGAACAAATTATGCGAAAAGCGCTGTGACTACATTTCTGCCATGTTGAAAATGACATCTGATTGGACTAAGTTGAGCACCTTAGGTCAACAACAGCAGATACTAATATGTGTCAAACTGGTATTAACATGTAATGAATGCCAGAGTTGTGAGAAAATGGGCATAACAGGTAAGAAATGACGTCATGGAATCGATACGTAATCTCCATACGAGTCTAAGAACATATTAATGAAAATTGATCTCATTATAATGACACAGTGCCTTGACATATTACGCTCCAAAAACGTTCCCAGGCTCTTGGAATGGTTGATGGAGGATGACAGCTGCCGGTGGATCGAACTTAAGAGCACGTTAAGAGAGCACGTGGATAAAAAGGATTATGTGGCCACTTTTGTTTGCGAACATGTGCGTTTTCTGGCAACGGGGCGGTTTGCCAAAGCTCGACAGCTATTCGATGATGAACATCTTAACGTCATCGCAACAGGCTTGGGAAATGGATCCTTACACAACACAGTAGACAAACCTAATGTACCCGAGCAAGAACAAATAACTGTGAAAGGATATACATTTGATGATTTCGACGATGTGTTGGAAGCGGCGTGCGAGCAAGTTGAACCGTCATTGGCCTTTGTGGCGGCAATTGAATCCCTCCGCCACCGTCACTCAAATGTGGAGCGGACATTGCATATTTTGGAAAAAAATATAGCCAAATGTACCGACCGCGCGCCTCGGATAACTACAGCTGCGGCAACTTTAACCCAAGTTTTCCAGCATTGCAAGGACTTGTCGCCTTACATTCAATTTCTACGGCGTATGTGGCTTATGGATATGAACGATACGCACAATGTGTCAAAAGCGAGTTTAATATCCCTAGCATTGCAAATGCATACAAGCGTCATCTACGGTAAGGCTGGTTTCGAAGATCGCGATTCCGTAGCGCACTTGGCTAATCTTCTTTGCTGCTGGAAGAGCGACGTGTTATCCTGGGTCTCGCGCATGTGTGTTTATAGCAGTCAAACAACATTGTGCACTCTGGACACAACACCTTTGGATGAGGCACTGTGTTGCTTTTGGTTACTGACGGATGATCGCAGTGTGATGCCACGGGTATATTCTTTACAGTGTCTCGCATCCATGCATATTAAAGTGGCCCATGTGCTGGCGAGCAATTCCACCGACGTCCAATTTAATTTATGTGATATGGTATTAACACTGTCTACACGGGTTGCTCGGATAGCGGAAACGTGTGGCTACCTTCTGACGTCACCTCCCGACGAGATCATTATAACATTGCTTCGATGTTGTTCTCTTAAGCCGCTGAGTGATTATTCTGTAAAGACGATAAAAACATTTATACAGTTATTGCCCGCAGATGCCCAAGTTACCCTCTTTTGCCGTGTTTCCTCCAGATGTTTCACCGACGCCTCGTTGGCCACGTGTCTACGGACGTTCGGCCCTCACCTCCTAAATATCGCGCCGAGGCTTCAAATGAGCATTATAATGGTATTAAAGAGTTTGTTGAAGCGTATAACACCAGATGTGTGCGAGTTCCACGAATCTTTGGACTGCATTTTGACGTGGATGGAATCGCTGCACCCCTTGGTTGAGTCTGACTCTCAAGGGTCCAAGTTGTCATTGGATATACACAATGCAGTCACACAACTGATGGTGGATGGAGACTTGAGCGCCGAACTCAACGCCCGTCTTCTCACCATCATAGAAAGTTATGGCAAACCTACGTATAGCGCAGCGCAGTTGTAGGCGATTATTACAATACTATAGTCAGGTGGCAAAGGCATATGACCACCTGGCTGAGATATGTGGAGATAATGTAGACTATTTGTCTAATGTATGTGGGCTTGTGCCCGTATGTGAAGATAAAATTGACGATGAACGTTACCTATTGGCGGTGGTAGTTTCCAGATGCATCTTGGTACAAGTGGAACCAATAACCGTAAGCAATCTCATCGATGTTCGTAAAGAAGTACCTAATAAGTTCAACTGTGACTTGCGAAGCACGACAGATCCACAACGCAAGGGAAAAAATCGTTTTGAGAACCGCCAAAGAGACCCCCTGATAACGGGCGTATCATTGGCGCACCGCATACGTAACCCGGAGATCTTCTTGCGATCTGCCATTTTCGAGAACATATCTGAGTTTGCAGGCAGGGAATTGATACACAGTATTTTGCACAACAGTCGTGTGCTGGTACCTGACTACATATTCAAGTTCAGCCGTGACGTTGGATGTTCCTTGCTGTTGGGCGAAAATGCAACATCCGAAGAGCTCAGAATCATACGTCGCTTCTTAAGGGGCGTCGTGATAAGTATGGATTCTCTAGACCCACGCCCCGATACTAGCGACTTGGGGTCAAGACCCTTTGTATTTATTCAATTGTCTGGTAGCGTTATGTATAATGACAATTTCGGCGCATCAATGGCTCAAGGAACTTGGTCACATATAACGCTTTCTAGGGATATGATGCTCTATAAGGACTCGTTTAATGCCAAATTTGGATTCGGACGCTCGAGTCTTCTGGAAGCAGTCACAGCGTTGTTTCCAAGAAGTGGCCGAGATGGTCATTCAGCCGATTCTCGCAGCCACAAAGATACTTTAAAACCGAATTCAAGCACTAAAGATTATCAGATTGGGATTTCATCTAACTCTGAGAAGAGCGGCCCAGCATTTCAAGCGTCGAATGCAGATGATCGGTTATCAGAGCCATTGGAAAACAGCACCGTGTATCGTTCAGTAACGTGGAGACTGTTACAGTTTGTTTTGTTCGACAAAGGTTTCGTGCACGGCCAATTGAAAGAAAGGTATCACACGGCAAGGGTTTTCATAGATAACCTAACAACCGTTGCTCATGGGACGGTCAAACGACGTAGGAGCCTAATGAGTAGCATTTATCCACATTTCAGGAAGTTGCTCCATAATGTAAGGCATTTAGATTTACGCAAAGAATACTGGTCATATTTTAGTGACAAAACGATTAGAGACTCTGAGAAAACATCCGGAATTGATCACAGTCGCGTTGTTCGTTTTGTCCATAAGGTTGTAGAGGCAGTTGTACCGCAAAGTCTCTTGGGCTGCGAAGAAAACTTCTCACGTTTCAAAGGCGTTTGTAGAAGTATCGTGGTTTTGAATAAAGGCGAAAATTTGGATATGTCACAAGTCATGCAGGGATTTAAGGCCACTGGGTGCCCATGGTGTGCTGACAGAAGCGCACGACTTAGCCAGCGTCAAGTGCGCACGATTCTAGAATACACATGCAGACTTGTATTCCTGATATTAGAACACATGGTGATACCATTGCTGCAAAGGCATTTTTACATTACGGAAGCAGATTTCTCGATGTATCGTTTGCTTTACTTTAGAAAGGTTGACTGGCATCGCATGGTTATGCTAGCGAACGAATCCTACACGTCCAACCCAGACTCTATTAGGCATAAAATGGGTCATCGTGAGGAACGCATGGCAACGATGCCTGCAGACATAAAACACCCGATAACTGCTTCAGATCCAGATGTTTCTAGGTTTGGTGCACTAGGAGGTTGTATTAGAGTTCGTTGGATACCTAAACTATTCGGAATGCGCCCCATTATGAATTGCAATATTGCCAGCGTGACTCGGTTTGGTAAATATACCAACAGTTCCGTCAACAATATGATGCGTATGCCTTTCCAGGCACTTACAGCGCACATACGTATGAACCCACGTTTTTTGGGTAATGGCATATTGGGTTATACTGGTGCGTTCCGTTCGTTAAAGCAATGGTGGGCACGGTTCATGCGGATGATGCGCCACTCTACCCCCACCCGAAACGTTGTGACGTTGTATGTTACATTGGCGGACCTTTCCCGTTGTTACGAGCGCATCCAACATGGTTATATTTTGCGGTTGTTGAGTAGTATGAAGATGCAAGGCAATTTACTCTTCAAGCACATCTATCGGCGCAACTTGATTCATGTGGCGTCATTCCCCAATTCATACGGCAAACGTGTAACTTTTTTATCCGATGACTCTTCTTCCCTTTCTCCACCTCAAACGTCGTCTCTATTGTCCCGTAGTTTCGGGCAATTTTCCATTTATTCACGTTACGTGAACTCTGACATCTCGCAACTTGTATCTAAATCGGATATAGTTGCATCTGTAACAACGCTGTTGTCGCATTTCAGCACCTCCCTTCCAAAATCCAGCCCAAGTAGGCTGTTCCACAAGAATGTGGGAATTCCCCAGGGCTGTTGCATATCCCCTTTGCTTTGTAGTCTATACCTAGCCCAGGGAGACATGAACGCCGGTGTACGAAAATTGCTAGGAACTAGCAGGGCAAATTTGTTGTTGCGTTGGATTGATGATTTTATTTTCATCTCTAATGGAGAAGAAGACACGGTAGAGATGTTGAAAATTCTCAGAGACACGTCAGCTTTTGGAATGGCGATCAACGATAAGTTGTTCACAATGCGCTTGGATCTCCCTGTTTCGAGAAAGATGACCAATATAACATCTAATACGAGCAGTGCAACTGTCGAGGTTGTCGATGATTCCTGTATATCGTTTGATAAGACCGTGGGCCGCATTGGTCCCAGAGCAGAAAGCTGCGCCCGCCTTCCTGATTCCGTTGACGCAAATGGGGAGGCTCTATTATCATGGATAAATTGTTCCTTTGACTTCGATCTCGTGAGGGGACGTCTAAATGCCACATTGATACCTTGGAAAAACGATCTTTGCAGTATAAGGGATTCACTAAAGCTTTCAAAAAGACCTTTTACCACGCCAATGTTTGCCTATATAGAGCAGCGTGTCTTGGGGTACATTGCTAACCGTCTGAAACATGGTTTGTTCACTAGCGTTGAGCTGAACACGCAGCGCTGCATACTTCAGAATTCTTACGTTGTTATGCGCATAGCTACGATGAAGGCATTTAGTTTCGTGTCCGCTCTATTTGGGGAACTTCGCGGATTCATGAACCCGCAGTATATCGGCAAACTAGCACACAAGATGGTGGAATATGCCCTTCAGTTGATTTCATTGGGGGGTCTGGATATCCGAAATACTGGGGTACGTGATTTACTACAACTAGCCGTAATTAACACTTTCTCGTCAAGTTGGCACAGACGTCTGAGAAGCAGATACAGCCGTAGGAACATCGCATTTTCACGTGCCATTGAACGCTTGTTCAAGGGGAAATGGCCCTCTTATGTACATGCTTCTCCACGTGGGCTGACACAGTCGAGCAGATTCCCATGCACCACAGAGAGCTGTTGACGGTTAGTCTGCCAACACACGACTCGTAATGCTACGTAAGAAGTTCATCGTCACGATAAGAAGTATGATGCGTTGGATATAACCGCAGTAACGACTTGTCGCATTTCTCTATACACGTAGGCATGAATATGCTTTGATAATTTATAATGGCAATGTAAGTCGTCTTCATAGAGCCCTTGATTGTGTATAGACGGGTTCCTGTTTTGCTGTACCCAGCCAATGGCCTCTGCGCCCAATCTTAAGCCTTTTATAAGGACTCCTCATCAGAGGATATAACACATGAGTAACTCTATCTTTGTAGAAAGGAGCAGGCGAGAGTTGATTCGCAGCCGTCTGCCCGGTGGCCTTGCGTACGAGAAGAGGAGGTGGTACATTTAATAGACCATTCCGCCAAAGGAAAGGTTTGATGTTGCGTAGCCAATGAATTCTCGTGCTGTTTCGTACTACTTTATGGCGTTTGTACGTAATTTTGCGGGGCTTGCTACAGAACTTGAGCACGGATTCGTCAAACTCAATAATGCGTTGTGAAGCACGACTAAAGTACACTGTCGCTGGCACTGTCTATTCGCAACATATTCCGCTTAACAGATAAATTCCCACCTTATATTCCGGCCGTCTTGTCTGCGCAACGGCAACCAGTGCATTGGCTATTTGACGTGCTTCAGGAAGGTTTCGATGCACCAATCGTACGCGATTTATGCCATACAATGGTTTAATAGCATCAAGCTGTGCCATTACATCATATGCCTCTTCTATCATAGCAGTTGCTGCGTTCCGTGGCTCGTAACCGCTCAGCGCATCAGTAAGGGGAGGGCACAAGATAGTCTGGATGTGCATGCGGTTGAGATGCTCCAAAGCTGATTTGAAAGCGTATCTCAGTTTGAGTGTGGCATCCCTTGTGCTATTCTCTGACAAAATATGGTTTATTACAGGCAGACACATACCCCAGAAGAAGGGCGTAATAACAAACCCAATTATGGTCGCCTTGGTTGTGCCAAATGGCGGAGTTAAGATAACATCCCCTAAACGGTTGATACAAATCACTCGGGCACCCACCTATATTTAAGGTTTTGGCGACTGCTGCCGCTTCTTCATATTTCTGGGAGTTTTCGAACTGGCTTCGCATAGCATCAAGGGCTTTTAGACGTTCTGCTACTACTACCTTCGCCCGTTTTACTAGGGCTTCTATAAGTTTTTTCCCCCCGCGCTCTAGCACTTTAAGTCCTACATTTTTGTTTCCGATTAATTGCAGTCATCATACACGTACCAAAACCACTGTAAGGGGTGAGATTCGGCGGGACGGGCACCAGAACACAGTCTGCGCTTATATTGAGGATATCGTCATGCTCTGCGGAGACTGTGCCGAACCCTCGGAGCTCCAGTGTTTCTAGAATGCCTGAAAAATCGCCAGTCAGCGAATTTACGGGCGTTTTAGTGACCGCAGCCGTGTCATCAATTGTACCATGTATATTAAAAAAATGCCGACTTTTCTTCAACGAATGCAATACAGGAGAAAATTCCGAGTTATTACTAGTAGAATTCAAAACCTGTACAGATTTTATCCAATCGATTTGCTGCTCTATGGCTCGCTCCCTGATTGTTTTCAGTTTCGATTGGAGAAAACTTCCGGTTCCAAAATGTCTCACTGCGAATGCGCAGTTATGACGATAACTAGCAGCCACACACCGTGCATACGCGATGGTAAAAAACGCCATTTATTAACAATGGTATCGTTTACACTGCGTAAGAGACATCGATAAGGCCTACTGCAGCCGCCATAGGTGTTTGCCAATGCACGACATATCTAAGAATATTATACACACATTCCTACTCGCCAGTGACACCTAATAAGACATTCTATTTCTAAAGGCAATAGTTCTGCGCAACCGCGTTCTTACGACATCCGGTATGAACAACTTTGTGTTAGACACGTATTATGCGGAAGGATTGGCACCGTCGCATATCTTAAACCGTCCTCACTACGTTATATCTACAGTATAGACCTTCTGTTAATGGGAGAAAAGCTAGCCCTGCGAGGAATCGTCAGCCGCGCATATAGACAACTCCTGCGGCGAGGTGCCTAATGAATTGCTTTTCAGCCAGTGGATTCCCAGAACAGAATACACACTGCAAGAATTTAACAAAGTGAGTTGAAATAATTCGTTTGTAATGGCACTGGCAGATGTAATGACGTTTTATCGGCGTCGTGGACCAACCCCTAACAGAGGCACCGCAAACACACCCTAAAGGAAGTATCAAGATGACTTACACTGCGCTTTCGCCTGGTGCTGTAGTCGCTCCCATACCCCCAGGGACGTATCTATTGCCCGCCGTCAGTGGTCCGGATTCTCTGCTTAATAGCTGCGGGAGAGAGGGTTGTGTTAACACAGCCCACGAAAAAATTTTTAGCTACACACCCAAAGAAGACGACTCGAAATGGCAATATAGGGTCATGTGTATTCCACTTATGCTGATTGCCGTGGTCCTAGTAACTCTTATCGCATGGATAACAATAACTGCTAATAGCCGTTACAAGGCATACGAGGACGCACTGGACCAGAGGCTCATTGACGCTATGGACGAGGAGGAGAAAGAGGTGTATGCTTGATCGTCCATCAGGTTTGTAGCTGCTACAAAAGCGGCATATCGCATCGTGACGTTGATCACGTAAGACTATCATTAATCGTATTGCATGAGGTTGCTGACCACCTCGCTAATCCTCGGTACGGTCTTATACAAAACTCCTTTGGAAAGTACGAGCAGGGAGCGTTTTATACCCGTGCGTATGCGCGAAGCGTGTGATTGCTGCAAATTTGTTGTAATGAGTTGCACTGAATTTCAGTAGATAACGTTTCAAAGGCATACGCACGTCACAATATAGGCACACTGTGATATACATTCATGCGCCAACACACACTGTAACTCCGTGCATGGCGTTTCGCATGGTACACTTATTCACGCTACTTCGCTGGTCACGGTAAAACGACCCGCAATGTCACGTCAGACAGCTGCCCACCTCCAAACTATGACGGTCCAAACTATTCTTTATACCATCTATTTCTTTGCGTTGAGATAGCACATCATCCAGCAGCTTGTGGATCTTCTCTTTTGTTCCGTGAGGAAGAGGTTCCTGCACAAAATGTTCATACTCAAGTCAGTTATGGAAAAGACAATATTTTGTAAGGTGTGATAAAGTTGAGCAACTACATCATGATATTTTCCGTATGTGTTTATGTCAGCCCGTCAATGAACTATCTGCAGGAAAAGGTTCGCAGTTGGGCCCCGACACACTTTCCGCCAATAGTAATGTGATTCCTACAATGCACTAACCTTCAATCGTTGATGTAAAGCGCACAGCTTGGTATGTCCTTGCAGCTGTAGCAATGACGTATCTATGTTTTTATACAGCTGAAGGGTATATGTAAAGGAGTTGATAAGACGCCTGAAGGTTTCTTCCTCGGGCTCGTGAGTTACACTACATTGCAGCTTCTGACATTCGTTTAAACTATGAACTTAAGTGAGTTAATTTGTACTAACCATGACATACTCGCTGCAAGATTTACACATAATCGTATCCAATGGGCCATCGTGCTCCGTCCCTTGCAGCAGTACGCAGCACTTGCAGTTTATACAGCACGTTTCGCCGCACAATTGACTAGAACAACGGTGGATTGCAACATCCCAGCTTTTCTTACCACGCGAAAATAGATGTTGCAGCGGATGGTAACGGGAAAGATACGTTGCATGCAGCGCAGGTACTTGCGGATTCATCTATTGCAACAAGGCGTAGCAACCTTCTGATATCTTCATAATCTGTTTAAGATTACGTTGTACATTTCATAAACACGTGTGTAGAAAATGAGGAACAACTTAGAATCCTTGACATACGACATTATGTAGGAATAGAGCAACGATAAATGCATATTCATACAATAGAACGTATCACAGTCGGCTAATAACAACAGAAATGATCGCTTTTACGCAAAAAGCAATGGAAAAATTACAAATGATGGCGATATGTTGGCACATCACGAATATAGATAAAACACCGCTGCGTCAAAACCCTTTGGTATCATAAACCGCACATGGCATCGGAAAATGCACAAACTGTACCGGAAAAACGCCAATGACATACTTCGTTGCTGTATGGCTCTCTTTACTCGTTGTTTTCTTGGAGGCGATCTGGCACGTTGCGAGGCCCGTAAATACACAAACTCATCGGTCAAATTATCAAATATAACATACTTTAACATTATTTTCAACAGATGTGTGCAACTTCAGAAGCCATGTGTATTATTGCGATGCCTCCAGTACGCCAACCGGCATAACTGGCGCAACCCGCAAATCTTCTCTCAACATAACCAGAATTTGTTACAAGAAAGTTCCTTTTGTAACGTTCGATTGAGTTTCATGTGCAATTTTCCATGTGATGGCAAAACGGACTTCCAAATCGGCTCTACGTGTCACTGCAATGTCTGCATGGAGGGCCTTACCGCTGTTGTGACGTTAACCTTTGCGTGACGGCAGTTTTCCCCACCAGGGATAGTTAAAACCTCATACAGTTGACTTGAGGGATGTCGCCAACGACTCTCAATACTGCGTTCACAGCGTGACTGTCCAGATCGCTCACATGTAGTACATGCTATGGCCGAAACCAATGACATAACTTTGGCGAGAACGTGCTTGCCGGTTTCTTGAACTTCGAAAGTGGGATTACAAAGCATCAAATGCGATCGTAATAATGTCGGTATACCTAAAATTGATTGTGGGTATCAAAAGGTAGAAAAAGTGATAAAGCGTCGTGGAACACGCCAAAAAACCCGTCACCACCCGGCGTGGGTATGCTCGCATACAGGATCCAGTTGCTTCCAATCATCATATAACATGGATTGTCCATCCTACGATCTAGTCTGCGTTGTGGTAAATATGACCATTTTACGAACCTATCGTCAGCGTCATTGGTGTCGTCGACTAACAATGTTAGTAGATTCATGCAGAACTCTGCTTAAAGGCCGACATCAATTCTGTCATTATGAATTGGGGTATAGGTGGCAAGAAATGTTGCTGTTAACCCGGTACCATGGCGAACTATGCTGTAGGAGACCACCTTAACATAACACAGTAGCGTTAGGTGGATTGCATTTAACGCCATTACACCGGCCTCAGGTGAAGATAATATCGTGTATTGGACAACTGTACCCAGTAATTCATCGACTGGATTACATGTCTTTGTTCAAATTATCTCCAACGCGCTGCATATTACAATAGCCATATGATACGACGGGCGGGACGGATGACGATATTTTGTGTGGTAATCAAGACCTAGCACTCTTTGTAAGTACAATACAGGCAATAGAGGTATGATGTATCTACATGCGCCATTTTTGACACACCAAACTGCGTTAAATTATTAAATTACAATAATACCTGTCAGCAGTATTGCCTCTCACGTAACCCAACCTCTATAACCATTCTACAGTTTTGGCAACATGCACTTCGAATTGTAAAATTACGTTTCTCAAGAGCCTTCAGCTTTTTTGTGTTCCCATATGAATAATTCTATTGGCATCGTAACACTACCCTCCAAAATGCTCAATCCCGTGTTGGACAACGTGCGTATAAGAGTCTACAACAAATAAAACATGCAGTCATCAATATTATTTGAGAGCATAGATATGACAGATATCGCTTGACACAATACGTTGCTACAGATTTGCTCCCGTATGGCACAGAAGCGAACCTTGTTATAATTCGCGTGTATGCTTTTGTCGGTCAGCGGGTGATTAACAGTGAAGCAACGGGACATACACGCTGTAGAACGTATGAAATAGATCAAAAGTTTGCGTTTTTTGCCCAGAATGTCGAGGACACGGCAGCATGTAACGTCACGAAATATCTGCAGTCGCTGCTTGGAAATCAGGTACGATGTGTTGGCCTCATTTAGCAAAACGATTCCATGTTCAGTAGTACAAATGTGCTCAAAGGTGTCAATCAATGTCACCTTATAGAGCATAGGAATATTTTGAGCTCTAGCTTACCACCCGAGATATTGGCGATGGTAAATGTGTTTTAGCAATTTATAAAGGCCCGGTGAACTGTCTTCTACTAACCAAGCACCAGTAGCTGTTACAAGCTTTAACTTTCTATATACACAGAGCAGTTGTAATTTCTCTATATAGGCCTCTACAACAAACGTGTGATACACACACACCCTAGTGGAAGAGACACTTGTGTTGCTGTAGCTTCAGTGGCATCCATTGGCGTCCGTTAGAGTTATAAATTCAGTTCACATAAACTGGAATCAAGAGTGGTGCTTGCCGCCTGGCGTCATTCTTCAGGGATGCAAGCGTTGCCCACGATGATGTTGCTGGCGTTGATATCCCCAGCGACAGTCAAGAAATAACCTTCCCGCATGGTTATGAAATGTGAAGCATGAGCAGAGGCCGGATAATGGCCTACATTGGCCGTTCGCCGGTGCTTCCTGATGTTGTATGTTCACGTGGCAAGCCGTTTGATATAGAGAATTTTCTAAGACTCCTAGATGGCCGTCGACGTAACAAACGAGTTATTTCGTCATTCAAATCATTGAAAGCCATGCAAAGTGCATTTTTGAAAAAGGATTCCGGGACGATCACCCCTGCAAGGATGCTTTTATATGGAGGCTGCTACAGGTACCTGCGCTGTTTGTCCGAGCCTAAATTTCATGCCGGCGCAACCTTCTTGCGGCAATTAGACAACGACGGTGTATTAAGTCATAATCAAGACAACATATCGGTGAAAAATGCTGTTATTTTAAAACTTATGTGCGGCATAAAACATAAACCTCAACAGGTTGCGGCGTCGCTAATTCAGCATCGCTGCAGCAGATTACCATCGTTAGAGCTCCGTTCAATATTTTCCAAGTTTGTATCGAGAAATATGGAAGTAATGAACCTGGAGGAGATCCGTCAACTGGAGAGTCTTCTCAACGTATTGGCAGGCAGCTCGGATGACGACCCACTGCGGTGCACTATAGCGGGTGTACCGAGCAAATCAGAGGCTTTGGCATCGAAAAGAGTTTTGATAAAGCTCCGGGATTTCGTGTGGAATTATCACCCAGCTATGATTACCAATTGAGAGGATGTGTACAATGTCTAGGGGCTATCTCTACACACTGCATAGCAGGCAGGGTGTGACTCCGGATTTGCGGCAAATCTGTTTAATAATATGCACATTGATTTTATGGACCAGGATAAGCGGATTACGTGCGGAATATGGCTTGTCTACTTGTTGTGTGCCCGACCAAGTCTGACGCAGCGCTTCCCACGATGTTGCGGGGAAAAGCGTCTCTCCGTAGTGTTGCATCGACAATGTTGGCACTATATGACGGCTAACATATCGAATCGGATGCTAATCTACTAAGGGATGTAGCGGATTAACGGGATTACGATCAGATTCGCCTGTAGGCGCGCGTGTGTTCTCACGGCCAGGTGTGTGAGATAACAGCTGCAGTCGCCGCTTCCTTGAATATTACCCTTGTAAGTACAGCGTCCACATACTTCCTGGAACCTATAAATACTGCATACACGCGCTGTAAAATATGTCTGACATTCCATTTCACCATGACCTGGCTCACGGCGGTATCTCGTGGCACGTTGAGTCTGGTGAGATGGTACATCAAGAATCCCCGCAAAGAACCTTAAAGAGCCACAGATGCATTTTTGCTAGAGACGATGTACATTAATGAGTCTGAATGACTACATGGTCAGGTTGGAGTAGGAAACATATAAGATATCACGGTTCTTTTACCTACACAACTTGGCGCCCTACAACGTAGACATACTGCTGTTACAGAGAAAATTTATCAGTTCTGATCCGCAGCGGTTCCGCCTCGGGTGACGTGTGTATACACCTACACCTACGTTTGAAGCCGCATGATAACCGGAACGTCAGCCGTGATTAGCACGCACAAGTTATTTCAAAACTTATAGAGGGTATGTTTGTGTCTGAGGTTTTTGTATGCTACTTCCGTATGCGGTGTTGGTATATATGTGTGTGACTCCAGTAATCGTTTGGCCCCTATGGCCTTGAAGGTCATGAGGGTTCTCTGTACACATCTGTTGTAGAATCTTCCATGGTTCTATGCATTGTGTTAAGCCAGTATATTGTGGACTACATCTCATCGTGAATGCATCGTCTTCACATACTGGTAGAATCCTATTGCTCTCCATAGTCTTATCGGTATTGTATCCTGTTGTTATGCATCCTGGCCTACGTATAGCACTGATGTGCGTACAATCCTTAGCATACATGGATGGCATATTCACGTAGGTTCAGGCTCGCTCTAGTTATACGAGCATGTGTTAATTCCTCAAAGAAGGAATCTTCGAATCCAGTTTAGGCCAAAGCGCTGACAAATGGACATTGCAAGCCGAAGCAAAGCAACAATCTTAGTTACAGAGGCGCGTTTACAAAAATTGTGAACGAGGCTCAATATTAAACCATAATCTCCAGTTGTGCAACTTCTGTCTGCTGCCCGAACACTTCGTGAAGAAAACGTTTGCGGAATCGGGACAGTTCTATGTATGGTTATTAGGGTCAATACGCTGAACATAAGTATATTGCCTTTTGTATATGAGAGGAATGAAGTAACAATTAATCTCCTCTAAAAGAATAGAGCGGTCTCCAAAGAGGGACTTTTCAAAGGATTTCACGATTTGTTTCAGGAACGACATTTCGAAGTTCCATTCGTAGATGCACTTAAACCGTGCAAAACAGGGGTAGATGACTGTACCTCGTTGAATGGTAACCTTGGGTAGCGTATGACATAGTTTCGTATGCTCTGCACGTACCTCGGAAGCATTCTCCACAGGATTAATCTGGACAGTAAAGGCTGTTTAGAGGGGATTCCGTGTAGTTGGCAACAGAATAAGCGCAGTGGTTACCTAATAGAAACCTTAACTGACGGCCGTCGCAGCGAGGGTTGAGGAATTGTACACTTCATCTTTGTGTACTTGACTGATACAGGTATATCGAGAGCGTTTGAAACCAGAAAGACAGATATATTTTGAAATGGAAGTTCATGCAGAAGATGCCCGTTTGGGAGGGGAGGGTCAAAGCCCAGAGAATCTTGTACATGAGAATAATGGTCATTCGCCGTATTTAGACCCCATTGGTATGAACAAGCAATGTGTCAGTTCATCATGTACAACTATGTGCGACAGTGGCGATGAGAATCAGAATCCCAATCCACATGGTGGTCAACTGGACTGTGGCATGTTGCAGCAAAATTACCCAATGAACTATGGCTATCATCCTCAATATGACAACTTCGATCTTGCGACGTTCATCAATAATTCTTTTAATAAGAAAGACGGCGGAGTCATATCTGGCGTTAAATTCCAACCTTCTGACAACCGCTGGATTGCGAGGTGGACGACAGCCGACGGCAAGAGGGCATGCAAAAGCTTCTCTGTAAACATTTACGGTTTCGAACAGGCGCGTGCGTTGGCCATTGAGGCGAGGCAGAAAGGAGTTAGCCTTTCGGGTCGTTCCTTTTGCAATCGGGAACGCCAGCATGCCATGCGATCGGGAGTTGGAATAATTGGCATACGTTTCGACAAGACTCAGGCGCGTTGGGTGTCATCTTACTATGAAGGTGGTAAACGCAAATTCCGCTATTTTACGGTGAAAGATTACGGATACGAGCAGGCCAAACAGCATGCAATCCTCTGGAAGACATGTAATGACGAGCGACTTATACGCAATCGCGTGCAACATAACGAGGTGATGGATTTCAAGATGACCGAAGGCCCTATGGAACAGGTGATGCCGCCGCATCAGTGGAACGCTCAACCTTTTCAGCAGCCTTACGTAGGCTACTACCAACAACCACAACTGGATTATTGCAACCAACAAAACGAATGCGTTGTACAATACGACCAACCCCAAATGCAACAGTCGCTCATCCATTACAAACCTTCCGCAATATCAGGGCAACAGTCGGTCGAGACTCGGAGCCCAAGCCTAAGTACCAGTGCAAGTGTGAGTGGCTACGTCGATCCCAATGAGCAGATGTGCTACAACTACCAAAGCGATTTACCCTACCAATACAACCATCCGCAATACGCGTACGACCAACAACAACAAATGCAGTACATGGGTGAAGAAATGGATCAGTACCCATTGGAGCATGAACACGAGGAAGACACTTGTTCCGTCTCCGGAGTCACCTTCGACCGCAAAAATAGGCGTTGGGGTGCCAGATGGACGACTCCAGATGGCCGTAGAGCCGGGCGATATTTCCCAGTGAGGCAGTACGGATTTAGCGAAGCCAAACGCCTGGCCGTAATCTGCCGGCTGCAAGCCATAGAAGAAAACCGCGTGGTGGACATCATGCCACCTCTAGATCTGAATATGCAGCAGAGCTGCGGCGAGCCCGTTAACGACTCATACTAATAAGCTACGTGTGTGCCTAGCCCGACAGCGGGGTGTCTATGTTGCGCATAGGTGTGTCATTCTATCGAGATGCGAAGTTTTTGCCTGCTTATATTGGCAATTTTCATCTCCGGCGTCGCGGCGTTCCGCGCGGGCAACCGCCGCACCGGGGTTGCCAATGCGCCTTTGACGCCGAAGCGTGAACAGCTGTCGCTCTTCAAGTCCGATAAAGGCTGCATCTTTGAGCGAATATCCGATTCATTGAACTATATATCTGATACAGTAAACAACAGGATTCCAGGCGGCGTTGCTACCGTTATTACCGTGCCTGTGGTAACCGCTGCAGCGGCAATTGCCATACAGAGTGAGTTTAAGCGGATACATTTCAGCCTTCCATGTACACACGCTGAACAAACGTGATTTGTGATACAAATGGTTTATGAAATAGAGAGGAAGGCTGCATATTTCCGTACCTTAAGCGTATAGATTCTCTACCCATCCCGGTTATGTGTGTACGCTTGCAACGCCGCCTGGGAGAGACAGCGTATTCACTGCTCCCAAGACACGATTGCGTCGCTTCTTTTGACGTTGTGAACTACGTTTCGCGTGCGTGAATGCAGTAACCAAATTATATGCGCATTGTTACACCTTTGATTTCTAAGCTCACACGCTACGTGACAATTACATACACTTTCAGGTTACCTCGGACCAGACAAATCCAAGGCAATAAAACCAACGCTGAACCGTTACCAGTGCAGCGGCTGTGGTTTTACCATCTTCCCCGCTAAGAACCGCGAAGAAAGATTTTTCTCCTCGGTGAGCAACATCGTACATCATGCACAGCGTGCAGAACTTCACATGCCCAAATTGCGGCGCACCAAAACATAAATTCGTGGAACGAAATTAACCAGAGCACATAGTGCATGGCTCGTTGGAGTTGGGGTCGGTGCGCAATCTGCATACCGGGAATCCAGCAATTTCATCAACGGACACCGCCGATCCGTCAGTTGTAGAAAGCACCTCTGCCATTTTGGGCCGCGGGCCCTGGTTGGCAGCCTTGGCCATTTGGCTCAGATTGGTGTCAACAGTGAACTTAATGGCATCAGTAGCCGGCTGCGTGCGCAGGTAGTAAACACCCGTCTTCAATCCTTTCTTCCACCCGTAGAAGTGCATACTGGTGAGCTTGCCAAATGTCGGCTGCTCGATGTAGATATTAAGCGACTGCGACTGGTCGATGAATATGCCACGGTCCGCCGCCATGTCGATAATGTTCTTCTGCTTGATCTCCCAAACTGTTTTGTACAGGTCTTTGATGTGTTGCGGTATGCCCTCGATGTGTCTCAGGGAACCATTATAGGCGATGAGTTTCTGCTTCATGTTTTCATCCCAAAGTCCCAGATCCACTAGATCGCGCAGCAGGTGGGGGTTAACCACGAAGAATTCGCCGCTAAGCACCCGACGATAGTAGATGTTACTGGTGTATGGCTCAAAAGATTCGTTGTTTCCAAGGATCTGTGACGTCGACGCAGTTGGCATAGGTGCGAGGAATAGCGAATTGCGCAATCCGTGTTTAGCCATACGACGCTTAAGATCGTCCCAATCCCACAACTTGTTATCCACAGTTGCACCCCAGAGGTCGAACTGGAGCTTGCCCTGCGATGCTGGAGAGCCATGGTACGTCTCATATGGACCATCGCGCTCCGCCAGTGATATGGATTCATCCAGACAACCGTAGTATATCGTTTCAAAAATGCGGCGGTTCAACTCTTTGGCCTCCTCAGATTCGAATGGGTACCTCATGAGCATGAACGTATCAGCCAGACCCTGCACACCAACACCGATGGGTCGGTGGCGATGGTTGGACACCTTCGCCTCTGGTACTGGGTAGTAGTTCCTGTCAATGACCTTGTTGAGGTTGTACGTGATTACACGGGAGACCTCGTATAGTTTCTTAAAGTCATAAGTCTTCGTTTCTTTGTTCACATACATAGGCAGCGCAATTGAAGCCAGATTGCAGACAGCAACCTCCTCCGGTGACGTGTACTGCACAATTTCACAGCAGAGATTGGAAGACTTGATAGTCCCGAGATTCTGCTGGTTCGACTTGGCGTTACAAGCATCTTTGTAAAGCATAAACGGAGTCCCTGTTTCGATTTGACTCTGTAGTATGGCAAACCAGAGCGTCTGGGCAGGGATGGTCTTACGACCCATACCGGCCTTTTCATACTTCGTGTAGAGCGCCTCAAACTCGTCTCCCCAAACCTCGTAAAGACCACGGCACTCATCTGGGCACATCAAGGTCCAATCGCCGTTGGCCTCCACACGCTTCATGAATAGGTCAGGAATCCAGAGCGCGTAAAACAAGTCGCGCGCTCGGGTGTCCTCTGCTCCGTGATTCTTACGCAAATCCAAAAAGTCCATAATATCAGCGTGCCACGGCTCCAGGTAAATGGCAAAGGAACCCTTACGCTTCCCGCCACCCTGGTCTACGTAACGCGCAGTTGCATTAAAAATACGCAACATGGGCACGATACCGTTGCTCTTGCCGTTTGTGCCGCGAATGTAAGCACCGCTAGCCCTGATTTTGTGGCACGACAGACCGATTCCACCAGCGCACTTGCTTATGAAGGCACATTGTGTCAACGTGTCGAATATTCCAGCGAGAGAATCATCCTTCATGTCAAGCAAGAAGCAACTAGACATCTGTGGCCTTTGCGTTCCCGAAAAGAACAGCGTCGGAGTTGCGTGTGTGAAATATTTCTGGCTCATCAAGTGATATGTCTGGATGGTGCGTTCAAGATCGCCACAGTGTATACCCGCCGCAACACGCATGAGCATGTGTTGTGGGCGTTCCACAATTTTGTCGTCTATGCGAAGAAGGTACGATCGTTCCAAAGTCTTCAGACCGAAGTAGTCATATTGGAAGTCCCGTGTGTAGTCGATTTCGGCGTTGATGCGATCGATGTTCTCCATAATGAAGTTGTAGACTTCCTCGCTGATCAGAGATGCATTGCTGTCGTATATGTACTTGTACTTGAACAGGGCGGTAACCACCTCACCGTAGTCATCCTTGGTGTTCTTGTGGAGGTTGTCGACAACGATGCGTGCTGCCAGCTTAGAATAGTCAGGATGCATTGCGGCCATGTACGCACACGTTTGCGCCGCAAGTTCGTCGAGCTGGGAAGTGCGGATTCCTGAATACATCCCATTGATGACGGTTTGTGTGACCCGCGGAGCGTCGACGAGGCTGTGGAGACCGAATGACAGCTTCCGAATGCGATTCAGAATGCGGTCGAATTGCACCTCTTCCCTTTCACCTCTACGGTTGATGACGTACATCGCCTTAAGAGCGACGTCGGCCTCCGAAGAGGCCACACCCGACTCCGTTTGTTGCATCCTTCTTACGATATGTGTAATTGTTATCGTATACACAATGTGTCTTCCTCAGATCCAACTGTAGGAAAGTGCCGAATGGCCTGAAGTAACCGATCAGGTTCCTCCACCACGTCCAATCAGCACACAGCCAATACAGCCCACAAAAAATCTAAACCGCACGTATTGAAGCGTTGTAAACGCCCTTCAAAACTTTTCACGACGGTCAAATATGTAATGTGCGTGTAGACATGCTAAAAAGCATGATGTGTAAGCTAATCGGAGTAATGGTGGGTCTCGCCGGTGTAGGGTTCCCAGGCGACACACGACCGCCCGCCTGCAGCGCCACACCTTTAATTTTTTCCGCATCGGGTTGTATTACGTCAGGATGTGTGCTTAAATGTAGATCTTATCCCCATGTGGAATCTGAATGCTGCTAGTCAAAATGAGATAACACAGTTACAAAACTGTTATCCTGTCGATATAGGCTTGTCATGGCTACTCGCACATACCTAAGGGCCATACAATGAAAAGTTCCGTGATGAGAGAGTACTTTGTGATCCGAGATTCAAAATTGCACGCCTCAGCTCTTGTCCGTGTGTGCACTGTGCGTCCGCGCTAGGCACTCAGATTGCTTACTCACAGCACACACACCGTACATATACGTTGAAACCCGTGTATAATCGAAGAAGCATCGCGTTGGGACTGTCGCAGCCGTTGGAAACCGGCACAAAATAACGACATCACTCGTGCCTGTTTCTGGCCGTGGTCTCTATTGTCAGGTGTAGAGGCTTTTATCCTCCACTTATTCGCTCTGCAATGGTTTTAATTTGTTTGTTCATTAAACAACGCGAAAATTGGTAGTCAGTAACAATGGTCGTTAGGTAGACCATATACTCTGTTGTTGTTGTTTATTAACACTCGCCAACCGGCCAATATCACCTCTAATGTTGAGATATGGGTGCCAGAATTTCTACTCGGTGCGGCAAGTCGCAGGTCAAAGACCATAAAGTATCCATATTTGAGCTTCTGCTGCAACTCTCCAAGGTTGGGACCACGAAGGATGGCGAGGACGAAATATGCCGCCTCTTTCAGCAGCTATTCGACATATCTATCGAAGATGTACCGTACGAGACGATTGAAGTTTATTTTCAAAATTTTGTGCTTCACAATTTGCTCAGCGTCAACCTGAGTCATGGTCAAATATACCGATACTGGGAATGCTATGCAGCTCTGCTTGAATACATCGTCAAACGCGAGTCTGTTGCAGCCGATAAATCTGGTCTAGGGCGCACTGGCTCGGTAAGCTTGTGGAATTACCCCCAAATAACCTCACAGGCATCAACAAACACGACCACATTAGCGTCCGGCAATACAAAGACTGAAGTGCCAATTTCAAGAGCTTCATCTTACACCAAAAATGGCCAAGGTATGGGTTATAAACCCGAATGCTCCAACCATTCCGAATTAGATACCTTTGCTGGTAAAGAGGAAACGCTCGACCCTGTAGGGTCGGCACCTTCAGCGGAAAACGACATTTTCAACACCTATGAGAGGCTGACGCGTGGCAAATGTGATGTAGTGCGTTGTTTAACGCCCTTTGTCATATCAAAGGTCTTCATCAGGTGCCTTGTAGCGTCTGTAAACGCGGTAGAACTCCTCTTTCATATAGAATACCTCCCTTACTATTTGGAATGGAGCTCTCAGGCCGTCTTTAAATTGAACGCCCAAGATGGAACAGATCATTTCATGGCCAATCAATCGACAAACGTTGCGCATGCCGATGACAGTGATGGCGATCACCCTAAGCAGGACAAACGGCAACACGGGTTAGAAGGGGGAGATAGCAACCCCAGTGTAGAAACTACGGCAGAGGGATACAATTGTATTGACAATAAGAGGGCGGAAGACAATGTTAATGACACAAGCAGCGGGCTTGTGCCGGGTCCATGTTCCATCACCTTCACCCCGTCGCAGAAGTACGAAGAGAATTCCGAAAACCTAAGGACGCTTAAACTACGTTTGAGTACTGAAAAGGAACCAATCAACGTTAGAGTTAATGTCGATGAGTCTTTGGAATCCATTAATAACGCGATTCTGGAAGAAGCGCTTCGTGCATGGTCCGACAGTGCCACACACGCTCTACGCCGAGGATTCTGCTTTATAGATCACAAAATGCGCATATTCTCTCTAACATGCGTTGTGGAGTTACTAAAACGTTCAAAAGGAGCTGTGGAATTTATGGCATTGCCGTTTTGCAGCGTTGCTTATGGGGGGTCAGAACAAGCCTCCCGCTTACAAAGGCTGCTCCTCGCCTTACACTCCTATATAACAATGGATATATCGCCGTTATCGAGTTCGCATACAACGTTTATTAAGGCATCACAATCCATGGCGACCGATGTGTTGGTCATTTTACTCTCCAGCATCGTTATGGCCCCCTACGTAAACACTTGCGTTGACAAACGGAAAACGACGGAAATTTCATCTATGTTTACATGTATCAAGAACGTTCCCAAGACTGTAAGGTCAGTGGCGCCGTTCTACTACATTCATGTGGAGTGCGTCCGCTCGCAACTTTTTGTAAAAGGACCGCCAGATCAAACCCCAAATGCAATAGAGCCTGTTGTTGATTGTTTTATGAAGAGGAATGCTCCTATGATATATACATCGGTGGATTCGCTTAGGAACGCAATTGGATCGAGAGGAGTGGAAACCACGGCATGGTGTTTGGTTCGTCTTTTATTAACTTCCCCGCAAAACGTGTGGAAGAGGCACCTCAATGCGCTGCGTGACAACGTTACATTGTTAATGTTGATCATGATCAGTGCAGGCAAGGGAGATGGGCTTTTAAGCCAAACGGAAGAAATGGCCAAGCGCCACAAAACGTTGGGTTATAGCACTGAAATGTTAAGTCCCCCCGGAATAAACCAGACTGATGATGTTATAGAAGAGGCGGAAACAAATATTCTCAAGTCTATGTTAATTCTGAAAAATTCACTAAATGATATACATTACTCATTATTGCTAGGTGAAAATTTGCCTCAGGAGTTGATGGTTGCAATGGCCAAAGCAATGGATAATATAAGCCCATCTATTACGTGTAGTAACGAACTCTGGCTCATTCTTATCGATATGCTGTCGTGCAATAAAGTTTTTGCGTCAACTTTTTATCTGAAACCGGGGCCCTTCATCAGAGAAGTTATGAGCACTATTAGGAAACATTCGGCTATAAAAAGGGAGGTTGTCAAAGGCAAGACATCTGGCCAAACTCCTGCCGAGTGCCCGCATCATTTGGCATCCAGAACTCCTCTTATAAGAACTTTTGTTAACATCCTGGTTCACTACATCGTTCATAAAAAGGTATTGGTTGCATCAAATCACCCCAAATCAGACTCAGGAAAATTATGTGGATGAAACATACATTGATTCCGATAGTTTAGTTAGTATGATAATTGCCGTACTAGAATGGTAAGATGTGTTTACGATTCCAACAAGGCGTTTTAGGAATATCCAGACTCAAAAGGATCGTCACCTCGTGAACTCTTTGCATCATCTGGTTAATGAGCTAACGTCTACGCACTTAATAATCACCCGGTAAGTGTCACGCGCTAAACGATCAAATTTCTTGAAGGACAACTGCCGAAAAATTGCTGAAGAACTTACACCATTGGTTATTAGCTGCTGGCACGGCAATAAGCAGTATTCGCAAGGGGATGATACACGCAGATATTGCCAATCAAAATACATTGGTGAGCTGCATGGCATAATCGAGATACACAATGTTAGATGCTCATTCAAATGGTGACAGCTGTCTTGAGTATAATTAAGGCGGCTCTATCTCCGGAAACCTTGGACAAGAATCTGACCCTTTTACACTCTATACTGAATACGTGCACAATGGCGCCCATTGAAGACTTGCTCTTCGACATCAAGGACTCTCGATTTGACGGTAGGCCCCGGCGTTCGTAACCTAATCGTTGCAGACCTCTCCAAATTGCTTGCAATTGAAGAAATGAGGCCAAATACAGTTGAGCTTCTGGAATTCCTATCTCTGATCATGAGAACATTCATGGGGTACAAATTGAACTCGATGTACGAACTCAACAACACCAAGGTACGTCACGCAAATTTAGATGTAACCCTATTGTAGAGCGGATATGGAAATCATCCCGTTACATTGGCTGTGTCCAACGTAATACGAGAGATATATGAAGCTGACAACCACACAAAATCGGCGCTTGCATTGGCGCTTATTATGGATATCGAGTCACCGAATCCACCGCCTACACCTTCGACGGATATAATGCAGTACCATATGTCACAGATTTGGATCGCGGCGTACAGAAGTCAAACCCGATACACGCTCTGGCGTTACGATCTTGGCAAAATGTAATGCAGCATAAAGAACCCCAAAGTGGCAAATACGATGTCACAATCGGCAAAGGCTTGCCAACAAACCCAGAATATAGATGTAGCAGTAAAGACAACCAGTATTATCGGTGAATGTTTTGAGGCCACTTAGCTTACAGCCGACCTTGTAAATTATTACCCAATGCGTTTAACGTATAGCTTGTGCGCTTTATCGTCAGCAAGCAAAGATAATTGGTGCTGCTGTCCCATCAGATAAAACAGGTGATCATCTCTGACGTTCGCTTTAATAAGCGCCTGACAAACTTGAAAATACTCTGAGGTGAACGTACCTGGGTCAAATTCGTTATGCCCAGATGGCTGACGGAAGCAATCTTGTCTTTGAAGAAGGGAATGAATGCCTTGAAGAAATTCTCGTTTCTTAGGCCTAGATACGCCACAGAACGAATGCATGATGTTAGATCAACAATTTCGAAACTGTACACATATATTGATATTACTATATGGCATCACCTGTGCACATTCTGACAGATCGCTGCACAACAAGACTCCAGCATAGACGGCGCAGCATTCCCACCCGGTGCGTCTTCCATTTCTGACAAGGGTTTGCGTAACCATGTGGGCGCAGGGAATGCTGCCTTGAAACATATGCGCCCACGTCGGTTTACTTTCTTTGTCACTTGACGCGTATATTTCACAAGGTCCTTTAGAAAAAGTGTCAGCTGAGCATTAGTGGCCTGCCCGTCGACGTAGGACTGTATGAACCTACAACGATGACATCCATCTATCATACAACTCACCGTCGTGAAATGAACTCTACAACGGTGTCATCTACGGTCTTCCCGCATTGAGCGAGCAGTGTGATGGCACTCCTAAGCTGAAGACCATTACAAACAAAGACAGATTGCCAACCTGTTCCACATCAAACTGGGCCAGAGATTGTGTTGTATAGCAGTGTTTGATCGCGCTGGAGAGCAACCTCACAAAGTATCTCTCGAGATGATGCAGATTTAGGTAGAGCATGGAATCCAAGATATAAATAATTTGTCCGTCACTGTACAACTGCTCCTTCAAACCTGTGAATGCGATAGATTCAACTGAACTCCGCTGTTCGTCAACATCTCCATCAGTGTTTATGCGCGGAAGGATTTCACATATAACACCGCTGGGATGTGCTAACGTAGCTGATACTATACCTTCAACGTAATCACTTTTCCTGGTAACAGTTTCGGATGAATATTTTCCTATATCCTTCCCCTGGAATATTATGCGAAGTTCTTCGGCAATGTGTGAATAGAACGTGATGTGATTGTGTTTGAGCAAAGCATAGGCTCTGGCAAGCTTCGTTTTGTGATAAGGACTCAGTTTACCCAGCGCAATATCGTTGTGAATGACTCTACCTACAGTTGTGAGTACAGTTTCGTTCTTGATACCAAGTTTGCCAAGAAGGTAGAGTGTATCCACAAGCAGATGTGATTCAAACTCCCAAGCACACTCCGCTATAGGGTCGAAATCCGCTGCTGATAGTTGACGTTGCTGGCCAGTGCGGAAAATATACTCCACTATGCCATTGAATAAATCCAGCTGACCCGGTACCAAGTCGTATATGTGGTTTTTAACCCATCTTACAAAAAGCGTTGCAACGTTTTTTGACGAAACATTTTCGTCAAGGAGTGATTGAGCCAGCTCGAGTAAGCCACGAATGTTCGTATCGGGCCTACCATCGCGTTCAGCACCGGCAACATCCCGACTGTGGTGCTGAGGCACTATTTTGTGTGTTAACTTTATGCGGTTTTCCAATTTAGACATATAATTTAGCCAGAAGGGTTCGCCTAGTTGTTTGAAGCGCCTCAGTTTGGCAACAATCGCCGCCTCTTCGTTTAGAGTCAATGGATTTTCCAGAAGGGTCTTTGCTACGTCCATAACGTCGTTGCGCTGTTTTGAATCCGCGTCCTGTATCCCTACTCGAAGCAACTCGTCTAACCGGTTATGCATTTTAGTGGCAGTATTTGTCCTCAGGAGTTTGGTCGAAGTGCCGGCTGAAAGCCAGCGACAGCGCCACATTGTGGACGGCAGCGACAATATTTTAAAGACGGCCATTTGCGTATAGTCCAACGTTACACGGGTTTCTGACTTCCGATCAATTTACATTGCATTCGTCGATAATCTTGTCGACTATGCCATATTCAACGGCTTGTTGCGCACCCATATAACATCCGCGTTGTATAGTTTGCATTACATCGTCCTCGCCTTTTCCGCAACACCTAGCCAGCACAGATATCACTTGCCTTCTCGCCTTTAATATTTCCTTCGAGTATATACAAATGTCTGCAGCTGGCATGAGCTCTAGGGAAACCGAACACTGGCGCAACGCCGTGAAGGAGTTTGGCAGTGCCAAACGCTTGCCTGCTGTGCCTGCGGCCAAAATCAATGCAGCTGATCCGTAAGCCTAAAACAATTCAAACGTTCGAGGAGAGATTGAACCAACCTTCCCCAAGTTCACGGTTATTATGTCGCTCTTCACGTAACTGCATGCGAAGGTGTGGGACTTCGATTTGGTAACCAGTACCTCATAACATCAACAATGTTAAGCGCATCGATATCACAACTGGTTAACGGGTCTTCGTTTACTGGGCTGTCGTCACTGTTTATGTATATTGTTATAGGCTTCTGTGATGTGTGGTCCAGGTAAAGCAGTTGTGCTATTACCAGCTGAGCGACCTAAACAGAATAGCAATGAGGAGTTTCGACTTACCCCAGCCTGTATTGGATGTCCAATGAATATGGTACGCTCATTCAATAGGGCCGAACTTAGATCCGGCGGTCTGCTTTTCGGTGCTGCAACAAGTGGAACACAAATTATCGATTAACTTACTGCCATACAGTTGTGTTATGCCACGCGCATTGACCGTGCTTGCGATGGTGTGAGAAGGTAGCGACCCTAGTCCACCAGGCAGGAAGGCAAACGATGGCAAGCCGCCCGTAGGAGCACCGACTGTAGATCTAATTCGACAATTATTCTCATTGTGAGACACTTCAGTGTTTGAAATACCATGCGGAAAATAAATACGCCTATGTTGGCCTACGTTAACGGAAATTACATCATCATTAAGGAAACAGATTAAGAAGACCGGCACTGTGCGCAATATTGAAAAGATTCTATTGACCATTTAAAACCAGGTCATGCGCATTATGTGTTTTTTAAATCTTTGGTGTATAAAGTGTAATGTGCGTTCTTATACCAACGCGGGGGAAAATTGACACCGAAGGCCATACAACGGTACACCCGCGACTAAAAGGAGCGGCCTTTGCGAACATTGATCGAATAGACAATATATAGAATATTGATGTGTACGCTGTTTGTTGTTTGTAGCGCATTGTAAAATGGGTTTGTAACGGGTATGTATGCATGTGTGTCGAGAGTATAACCTAGGATTGACACCACCATCTATGTAGACTTGAAGCAGCCCAGCGTGCCTTCTGCGATTACCTTGTCCACAAAAGGCCGTGTTTCCTTTGCTGCAAGCGCCATTTCCTCAGTGGTCCTGTGTTATTTGCGTATAGTGAACAGCGGACATACCATAGCCTGTTGGTCGGTTTTTCCAGCTCATCGTAAATGGAATCCGGATTTTCTAAATCTTTGTCATGCCTGGGGATTATGTGTGCGTGCACATGCGGTATTGTCTGCCCTGCGGCCTTCCCATCCTGTCAGAATATATGAAAACGCGTTACACATCGGAGCATACATCTGCGTAAAACAGACATACAATTATCCAAAACGACATCAATTACGCCGGTAATACCGTGCGGCGTCGAAACCAACGAACGTTTTGATTTTTCGCAATGCCTAGACACCCACCTGAATAACTATTGTACTGGCAGTAGCACCGTATTTTAGTTCAAGAGCTTCAGCAACGGTCTGAACTAAAGCACTGAAATCGGACAGCTCTTCAGCGGTCATATCCCTGTATCTCTACGAGAGGATGGGCGACATCATATTACGGGACGCAGCGAAAGCAGAGAGCCGCGTGGCGCCGTGGAGACACAATTGTTATGCAACACACACCTTAACAACTCGCAACGGGGACACGAGCGAGTGCCCCGGCATGAACGGCCTTATGTTAACGAAAGCGTAGCTCAGTTCGGACTTGGCAAGAACTTGAGTACAAGGCAACGTCAGCGAACCAAAAAGGAACGAGGCCTCTTCAGGAATAACGGAAGTAATGGTTGATAATATTCTAGAGTGATGTGCCGTCATTGCGCTGGTATATCCCACGAGACAGGAGCGTGACTAGCAAGAGCGATGGAGGAATAATCGGGCGTCTTCAGGAGACAAAACCCATTTATGGCACTACCGAAAAACCTACTCTGATAGCTATCGGAAATGGACGAAACGGAGGATCGTAAATAATAATTCGACGACAATGTGTTGTGAGCTGCGTGCCTCCATGAAAAACGGGGAATATAAATGGGGTTAGACGAATTTCGTGCATCTCCAGAGAGGAAAATTGCTGCAGTTATTACCTTACGCGTGTCGTATATGCATATCTATCACATTAGCAAAAAACTGCCGCGGTGTACGCTTGAGCCCACCGCAGAACTTAAAAGGGCACGCTCATCAACCATAAAGCACTAAAAATCGCTGTATAGTAAACCTAAGTGAGCCTGGAACGGTGTGCGTAACTACAGCGAGACGCATCATTATGCAACGCAACCCCTTCGAGGTTACCTCCGGGAACCTAGGGAGAGTCGAATAAATGACCTCCAGGCGACAACTATGACCACCAATTGTGTTTTAATTTAAGGAAGGCTTCCGTTCAGCGGCAAAATCAACGTGAGGAACGGACAAGACACATGGCAGCATTGGCCTGGAATTAATGTTGGCACATTTTCACTAAATACGCTGCTATAAGCGCCTTGCGTTAACACATATGCTTACGAAGAGTCAATAATACAAACATGAGTTATTATGCGTCTTTCCGGCAAGCATAGGGCGCGTGGTCCGATGTGTGGATCTCCCCTGATGCTACACCCATGCAATGGCAAGGCACGAAGTTGACGGCCTAGCAATGTTATGACAATACACAAGCACGCGCAAATTACTAAAAAGTTGATCCTGAATGGGATTCCGTGGGTCCCTTTATGAGCGGTCTCGAGGAGACGAAGGCCGCGGTCGCTCACATAGACACCGCAGCAGGTCGCCTCGCGATGCGAAGTCGCGGCATTCACGAAGACACGATCGATCTAGATCACCAAGTATAGATGGAAGGCACCGAGATCGCCGTCGAAAACACTCGGTGCACCCAGACGGTCCCAGCGATGAAGAGGTATCCAGGAGGCACCGTTCTCGCTCACGTGACCATCACAAGGAACGGCACAAATCATCAGAGCGTAGGCATTCGGGGCGTGATGTTCGCGACGATGCGGCAGCCAAGCGTGGAGATGGGCCGTATGAGGAATCAACCAAGTATGCCGCAGGGCAGGATGATCGCACTCACTCCGATAGGCAAACGCAACATACCGTGGAAAGTGCCACTGAGACCAGTGCCCCAAAACAACCACCGGACAAAGATGCAGCAAAGCTGGATCGGTTGGCTCGCTTTAAAAAACTGGCGGAGGAAAAGAAATTACGTGCTTCCGCGACCAACGGCGTCGGAGCTACCAAGATACTGTCGTTGAAACTTGGTGCAGCCAAAGTTAAGAAAGTGGAAAACAATGCTCTTGAAAGTTTCTTTCAGGGGCACACCGAGGCGCAGGGGAAAGAAGACGCACAGGATAGCACGGAAGCCGGCGATGTTGATCCTCTGGACTTGTACATGACGAACATCCTCAAGGAGAGCGAGGAGGAGTTGAAACATGTGCAACTTGCACCAATATTGGACCCGAACTCCAGCGCAGCGTCAGACGTGGGGAAATCCGTCACGTTGGAGGAGATTATGGCCATGTCTAACGAACCCGAAGTAGCAGGTGAAGACGGTGAAGAGGAATTCCTCTCACAGCTGCGACGTAAAACTAGGAGGGATTCAAAACAGAACGACGGGGACGATGGTGTAATATCCAGCGATGACGAAAAACCGGAACCAACGCAGGGCGTCGACTACTCCGAAATGTTCAAGGGCAGCACACGCAGCAGGATTGAGATGCCCAAGGTGGACCATTCTACCATTGACTACCCTCCTTTCAAGAAGAATTTCTACGTACAGATCTCAGCAATCACTGCGATGAAGGAGCATGAGGTTGACGCTTTCAGGAAGGCCAACGGAAATATCAGGGTCCGGGGAAAGCAGTGCCCAAGACCTATTTACAACTTCTCACAGTGCGGGCTGCCTGATACAATCCTAGCACTGTTACAACATCGCAACTACGAAAAGCCGTTTCCTATTCAGATGCAATGCATACCTGCCCTCATGTGCGGACGCGACGTCCTAGCAATAGCAGAGACCGGTTCGGGAAAGACTTTAGCATACCTACTTCCTGCCATCCGGCATGCTCTCTACCAACCCAAGTTGAGAGAAAATGATGGTATGATTGTGCTCATTATCGCACCAACTAGAGAACTTGCCAGTCAAATCGGAGTGGAGAGTTCGAAACTATCGAAACTTGTCGGATTGCGCACCAAGGCGGTTTACGGAGGAGCTCCAATAGGTGAACAGCTCAATGCGCTAAAGAGAGGGGCGGAAATAGTCTGTGGTACACCAGGGAGGCTAATAGAGGTTCTTACTATCAGCAACGGAAAGGTCACCAACTTGAGAAGGGTGACATTCGTAGTCATCGATGAGGCCGACCGCATGTTCGACCTGGGTTTCAGTCCGCAGATTAGTGCCATTATTGACAATGTACGACCGGACAGACAAACCGCTTTGTTTTCAGCCACCTTCCCTCCGACCATTGAGGCTCTGGCGAAGAAAATCCTCACTAAGCCTCTGCAAGTGATAGTTGGGGAGTCCGGAAAGAGTGCATCGCAAGTGGACCAACACGTCATGGTACTCCCAGAGAATCAGAAAATCTATGCGCTGCTCAAGTTACTAGGGGAGTGGCATGAGCACGGCAGTGTCATCATCTTTGTCAATAGACAGGTTGACGCTGATAACATGTTCGCCGAGCTTATAAAACACGGATACGAGTGTGCCGTGCTTCATGGAGGTCAGGACCAGACTGATAGGGAGTTCACGCTTCAAGACTTCAGAGATGGGACCAAAGGGATACTCATTGCCACATCTATCGCAGCAAGGGGAATTGACGTCAAGTCGGTCGTTCTGGTCATCAACTACGCAACACCGGATCATATCGAAGACTACGTACACAGGGTTGGCAGAACAGGGCGGGCAGGGAACATTGGCACAAGCTACACGTTCATTACGCCTGAGGAAGGTGCAAAGTCGCACGATATAATTAAAGCACTTAAGGCTTCCAACCAAGAGGTGCCCATGGATCTGCAGAATCTTGCTCAGGCACACTTGGCAACGTTGGACGGGAAACACAAGGTGCGCATCGGGGGCGGATTCGGTGGCCGAGGGTTCAAGTTTACAGACGCCGAGAAATCACGGCAGCAGCAGGAGCGACAATACGCATGCAAAGCTCTCGGTAAGCATACGATATACCTTCGTTTTATTTGGATATTAGGTTTCAATAACGACATGGACGAAGAAGAGGAGGCAGCTTTGGCAGAGAATGCCACCGGCGGCATAGCAAACGTCAAAACGGTAGCTTTATATCTTTACCATTCACACTTTTTTATCAGGCGGCCGGCGGATTGCAATCTTCTCTAACACAATCAGCACAGAAAGAAACGAACCCCTTCGATAAGCCCACAATCACGGTTTGTTCCACCTCTTTGTATTTAAAACCCCCCGCAGCGCGAACCGGAACCCATGATTAAGGGTCTCACATGTGCAGGATATATCGATGCCAATACTGGCTACGCACATGACGAATTCGATATCAACTCGTTCCCCGAGTTGGTCAGACATCGTATCACGAACAAGGAGGTGCTGTCGTATGTGATGGAGCAGGCAGGCGTGACGCTACAAGTCAAAGGCCGGTATATACCAGTTGAGATGGCGACACGTAACTTGAACATGCTGGGCGGCACCAAGGGATTGTATATAGAGATATCCGGCCCGAGCGTTGTGAGCGTCCAATCCGCATTGTGAGTCACTATTAGCATATTACACAGCAATTCTCAGGAGCGAATTGAGGAAGATCGTACAGTCGGCGGCGATACCGCAATATGGTCAGCCTGTGATGCAGAAGATGACCGGGAGGTACTCAGTACTATAGCCACACGGAGGAAGGGACGTTCGACTACTTTGCGAACGTTATACCGATACACATCGACTTTTCGAATCATATAACACAATTTGGAAGTATTAAAGTTGATAAATCCTAGATTGCCTACGCTGCGTGGCGATGTTGCCGCGGCCGCTCTGCCTGGTCATACCGCTGGTTGGGAAGCTTGGCGCTCACACATATATGTTTTGGGTGTAGCAATGGATGAATTAACATGAGTAGCGACCTGTATGGTGACCCTGTGGCCGAAAAACAACCACAAGCGCCTCTGGTGGTTGCCCTTGGACTCAACCATGCTCTCTGCGTAACCAAGTCGGTGGCTTTAGCGGAGGCAAATGCATTCGCATCCGGCCATGACACCGTTGTAGATGCAGAGCTGAATCTGTATTCTTGGGGAAAAGGAAATTTCAACTGTCTTGGACACGGCCTGAATACCAACCTGGTAAAAATACCCAAACCTATACCTTTCTTCAAACAGAAAAACGTGTTGCAAGTATCATGCGGCGATTATCATTCGGCAGCTCTCGTGAAACCCCACGGAGCCACGGGGGTCTCAGGCGGTACGGTATACACGTTCGGCCTAGGCACAGCAGGACGGCTGGGATACGATATCGACAACCAAACACAGCAATCGCATAATGTCCCAAACAACACAACATCCGAAACAGAATCAGCGTGGTGCACAGCCGAGCCACAGCCAGTTGGACTATCTGTGAACCTCAAGCACAACGTTATTTCGCTTGCATGCGGGGCCAACCATACACTAGTGACCACGGTGGATGGATCGCTGTTTTCCTGGGGCATGGGTTCCTTCGGCGTACTAGGAACAGGGGAATGCCACAACAGCTACACCCCGGTCAAAGTTCGCTTCCCATATGAAACATTCATGACAAGTTGTGCTGCAGGATGTCGTCACTCCTTTGGTGTCGACAATGCGGGCAAACTGTGGGCATGGGGATATGGAGGTAACACTAAAACACACGTTACATAGCAACTCACAGGAAACGGTAGACTTGGAATAGGCAACACTAGGACGCAATACACCCCTAAGATGATAGGATCTCTAGAGGAACGCCACGTGAGACAAGCCGCATGTGGTGACACCCATTCAGCTTGTATAGATAGCGACGGAAAAGTCTATACGTGGGGCTCTTCAAAAGGCGGTAAGCTTGGGCGCAGAACTTCGGAAGATGACGTATTAACACCCACCTTGGTTGAGACCCTTGGTGACACAACAATAGTTCAGGTATGCTACATGGCCATCTATCTCACAGATTAATCAGGTTGTCTGTGGCGCAGGCATTACATTGGCACTAACTGAAGACGGATCTATATATCAATGGGGGCTTGTGTTGGGTTGCGTGTCGACGTCGTCAGCCGATGTGCCAAAAATCGCACACGTTCCTCGGAAGGTCACGGAGGCCGGATCGAAGAACATATATATCGCAGCAGGACCATACAGCTGTGCAGCTGTTAACGCATATGGCGATCTACGGACATGGGGTGTTGGGAGCTGTTTCAGACTGGGACACGGTAATGTCTCCGATTTTCAGCGTCCCAAGTTCGTAGCCGAACTCAGGAGTAGGGTTTTTGTGGACCCAATACTAATGCAGCGGTCACAAACAGAGCAGGGAAGAGCAGTTGAACCAACTGTGGAATTTAACGCTGCTAATGTGGCGGACGAAAGACGAATCAAACAGCTCTCAGTTGGTACGGCTCACGGGGCGTTGCTCACTTGTAACGGAACTGTATACACTTGGGGGGCATGCAAAGGCAGCGGGTTTTCAGATGATCCTGAGAACGGCGAGGTAAGAATTCCAATGTTGCCAAGGCAATTCATTCAGACGTACCACGAACCTAGGCGTCTAAACTATTTCAGCACGAAAATCAGAAGTATCGCATGCGGATCTAACCACACGATAGCGGTCACTATCGAAGGCCTTGTCTTTTCATGGGGTCAAAACGACTCGGGGCAGCTTGGGCTAGGTTTGTCGCGATAGCGAAGATGGTATCACCGTATGCAGGAGACCTCAGGCCCAGGGGATTCCCGGAGCACGTTATATCCCTGGAATATGCTATAAAAGCATTCGCCGGATTCAACAACAGCTGCTGTGTGACTACAGCAAAACATGACGGCTTCGCAAGCGATGAAGTAGGCATGGCATGGGTATTCGGTTCGGCATATGGAGGGAAGTTGGGACTCGGAGACGAATGTACAAATGCAGTAATAATGACTCCACGCAAGATAACGTATATATCGGGCGTTTACAAAGTGGTTTTAGGTTTGCGGAATAATAAGTGACATCATATGTTGCAGGCAATACTCACTCGTTACTCCTGCAGCATGACGGGACGTTGTACGCTACTGGGTCTGGAGCGGATGGAAGGTTAGGAACTGGCGACACGGCAGGAGTGAATGCATATACGCGAGTCAAAAGCGACCTTAAGTTCATAGATATGGCTGTGGGCGCTTCGCACTCACTGGCCGTATCTATGGAACATGATCTCTACGGTTGGGGAAAGGGCACCTACGTCAATGGAAACGATGATCCGCTTTTTGAACCAACATTAGTTGCCAATTTGCCTTCGCAAACGGGAATCGCTAAAGTCCATACTGTGGCCGCATCCTCAAATCACTCCTTCGTCATCACCGATCAGGGTCACGTACGTCTATGGATGAGCTTTTAACATCGTTCAGCTCGTCGCTTGGGGAGATAACTCTTCAGGGCAACTGGGAGTGCCTATTACGTCTAAAGATGTCGCATCAACGGATTTCATCGAACGACCTTCTTTGGTGCTAATCGAGTCTGCCGTTATGTCTATAGCAACGTCGCGGTCGTTCGCTGCTTGTACGACAGTGTAAGGAGAAGTAAATCAGTTATATATTATGTCGCAGCAACGGAGATGCGTATGCCTGGGGTGCATCATCTGATGGCCGCTTGGGAATCGGGGAAACGCGTGACAAGGTGACTTACAAACCAACAGCTGTAGGTTAAAGCCATGAATGTATATGATGACGCAGATTGCCGCCATGAGCCTCGTTGGTGATATGTTGAACAGATTTGACAACATGAATGCGAACGATGACTTAGTAAGTACGGAGCGTACATTTTTAAAAACCTGCAGTCTGCGTTTGCATTGACCGTGGAGTCGCTAATAAATGAACTGCATTTTAGCGACGACAAGAATGTGGTGGATTGGAAAAGCCTTCAAATCATTTTGCAAAACGAAGAACGCCTGTGTTGGGAATCGTCGTTGAAGTCATTTGAGGTTCGATGACTCTTAGAGCATCCGTGACAGCGCTCAGGATGACCTTGTTAAATGTTTGAAACAGCATGTGGACTTCATACTTGAACTCGACGGGTATCATGGTGAAATGAACGCCCAGCAGGCCAAACTGGAGGCAGCCATCCAAGGATTTTTAGGTAGTATTAATCGCCCCAAATCCCGTCCACTGAGCCTGTTTGACCGATATTTCAAGTCTTACACGCGATTTATATCGGAGATACAGCAGATTGTTCAAATCGTCTTCCTACAGCCCGCGTATCTTGTTAGGCTCTGCCTATTCGGGAACGCAATTGCAATCGTTGAAGATTTTGTCACCTGCGTAAGTGAATCCGCCTACACTCTCAAACTGTGTAGCTCTATGCAAGTATAGATACACCGAGGGTGCACATGCAATTTGTCGCATTTTTGTTTACTCTGATGCGTGAGGAGCTCCAACTGTTCTTCAAGCCCCATGCGCCCCTAAATGCTTCAAGTTCGCCGTTTGCACAGATGCTGAGGGTGTATGCAACGTCCAAAGTGGTCTCTGCACCGAATGCTCGCACATTCTATTCATACGAGTTCAATGAGTCCTTTGTAAACTTCATGAAGCTGCACCGATTAGTGCTACCATGCAAGGCGACGCCGAACAGCGAAGAGTTGAACAATTTTACCAAATTCCTGTTGCATCTGAACAAGATCCTTACCATGATTACGGTGAACAGATATGTCAAGCTGGCATTCAAGAGGATGCACAATAAGGTGAAGTTCACTATACCGTCGGAGTGGACGCTTCCAAGCGTGCCTCTGGAAAACGTTTCCATCTACCCATTGATACCGGTATTCGTATATGCAGTGTTACAACCATACTTCAGCAACGCTGTAAATATGGCAGGTAAGATCGACATGCTCCCATTCATCTGCTAAAACGGTCACAGCATCCCATGGATACGACATCGATGATGAAGCAGTAGTGTCTAACTTCAAAACTGCCGCGCAATTTTTTGATTACATTGCGAATCCTAATCTTCGAATGGAACCGAATCCGTCTCCTGAAGTCAACCGTATGACTATGGCGATGTATCGCAACGTCTCAAACCTGCTGTTGGAGTACGTCAAGACGTTGTTGACTGTTGAGGACACGTTCAACATTGACATCACAATGGAAACCTTCAAGAGCCAGTTTGACCTCGAAAAAATCAGCATTGAAGTGCCAGGCTGGACGATTGCGCAATTTGTAAACTGCTGCGCAGCCAAGACGAAATATCTCAACATTTCGGCACATGATACGCTCTGCAAAATTTTGGAGGGTATGATGCCTAAGGGAAACAATACGAATATTAACAATATATTCGGGGAAGAAATAATCGGAAAACTGAGCCACCACAAGATATTTACTTCAATAGAAGTCGAACACAGATTTTTGATGCACGACAAGAATATGTCAATATGCAAGTTCTCAGGCGTTTTCCTGCCGCAGAGACTGGCATACCGACAGACGACGTGTTCAGAGGACTGCATTAAACTCATGTCACTCATCATACGATATCGGCCCCTTGGAAAGTACGATCCGCCGCGCATCATACAAAATGCACTCACAGAATTGGAGCAAATAGACATGGCCCCAGGCGGATTCGGCAAACTAGCTCTCGAGATGGATAGATTGGCCGATCACTATATTAATCTGGGCATGCCGAACCACGCCGCAGCTAGCCGGGCGCGATACGCATACGAGCAACTCATGAAACTGGACGACAGCGGCGTCACACCGTGTGGATTGGCTGAAACAATTCTTAAAAAGGTTTTAGAAAGGCAGGAACAGCGTAACTATCTCTTACGCGTGTACAAACGGCAGCGAGAAATTGAGGTATGCAGAATCAATTTCGACGCTGCTTTTCGAGAGAGATGTCAGTACCTTGCACGTTGTATCGAGCATGCCACTAAAGCATACGTCGAACCGTCCATACTCAACGCCGCTTGTGTTAACAGGGTCAAGTTACATAGTACCAAACTCGTGAAACCTCCGCCAAAGTCGAACATTGATTAAGATGCATCTAGTCTTCCGTGCTGCAGAAAAACTGCGTGATTGTCTTTAACTGGAATAATTGCGTAGAACGTTCTGAAGCGTTTCATGTGTTTTGCATTCAGACCCAACTCGGGATTAGACCTTTGCACACAGGGGAAGCCGAAGGAAAGCAATGTGTTAAAACCGCTTGAGACATAATCTTTTGAAATGTCCACATGGCCGGTTGAGCCCCTAAGTTATACCCGTGATCGAATAAATCATGATAATTAGCCACAAAGGCCCGAGAAACCTGAACATAAGTTCCCAGAAAAGTAATACGGAGTCCCGCCCTCAAACCTCAGCCCACAAACACCTCCACGCAATCCGGTCATAACAAGAGACCTTGCGTGTGGGGAAATCATTTGACCATAGAATAGACGAATGTTCCCAAAACTGCGAAGATCATGCCAATGTAACCCATTCCAGTGACCTTGTTTTTAAAGACAATAATAGATGAGGATATGAGCAAAACACGTTTCGCAGTGTTTGCCACAGAGTAGGTTACTTGGTTAATTTGGCCCAGGCAGTAAAATGCGCTGTCATTTGACAAGAAGTAGAAAAAGCAAGATGCGAAACCATAGAAAAGGAGCCAAAGCTTTTCACTTTCCGTCATATTTGCTGTTGCCTTGGTCCAGGCTGGGATCCAGTGACGGGCCTCTAAGCCGATCAAGAAAGGAAGAGATATGAGCGAAGCAATCAAGGTCAATATCATGTATATGTTGTTCGCCGTAAGGTTTTCCCCAATTTCTGCTTTGTTCTTTAAAGTGACCTTGGCAAGAATGGACCTCATTGCGCCCGCTACGTTGGAAAGCATGGCGAACAAAAATGCTCCAAGACTAAAGTTCAATTCCTTTATAGATGCCAAGGCTACTCCTCCAACAATTGGGATGAGCGAAAGATATGCGTATACATTCATGAATTCATGGAGGCACAGCATAGATAAGATAACAGTGATCACTGGCTCAAGCGCCTTCACAACGTGAGTAAATGATATAGCCCCGAGACCCATAGAGATAACTGCAGACACGTGCACCAGAAAATGAAGAAACGACATGGGCAGAAAGGTGACAAAAAATTTGCGTACGTTGTCGAAGTTAGGCTTGTCTCGTATGTTGCAACCCCAGAATAAGAACATGAAGAACCATCCAATTAGCAGTTGGCAGGCACTAAGCGTCCAAGGCAACGGTAATTCGTTCAAAAACAGTTTGTTGAAGACCACATAACAGGCATTCTGCACATACCACAAGAAGAATCCGATGATAAGCCACCAATCCAGTCCCACTATGTAACTAATCCACGTTCTTTTCCCGCGTTTTTCAGGAAATGCCGAAGCGGGCAATGCGCGTTCGTATTCCTCATCATGCAGATTTGCGAATGCAACATCTGGCGCGTCAACGTTCTTCTGATTGACTTCCATCTTTATTGAGACTTGTCTAACAGCAATTTGCGTAAAACGTGGGCATATGCAGGCTATTTACGTATCGAATACTTATATTGCATCCAAGATGCAGAAAGAAATGGAGAGAGCGAGCACAAAATGCGATGAAGAGACAACAGAAGGCTAGCCTTCCACGTTCACATACACTTCCTATAGACATGCAACGACAACAGACACCAATCCACACAATGGTCCGCACGTTTGATATATCAATCCGCGCATACAAATTTGACTGAAGCGAGGACGCTGTTGATGAAAGGAACAGTGCACCGACACGAAACGACGCCTTCCTAGTAGATGGAAGGTGCGGTCACTAACGAAGACGCAGATGTCGTTGAATATGAAAAATTCTACGGTCAACTTTGAGATTTTTTATGAGTCCGTAATAGTAAGTAACGAGGGAATCATGGAAGGCCACCGGCGGCAGCTGCTCACCATTGCTGATGGGGTCGTGCGGAATTTTCTGCGCTAAAATTGAATTGTTTAGCTGCACATGGGCCGCATAGAGCGAAATTACAGGAAATAGCTTCGCCATTTTACGTCTATGCGACCTTGCCAAGGCATATATTGTCAGTAATTAATAAAAATTTAACAGGACGCACACAAAAATAAAACGCGCAGCCTTCCACCCAATAGGACACCTAGGCCAAAAATATAGAGTTAAAACGATCTTAGTCACTGCGTTGGTTTTTATTTTCAACAGAAGATCGTCCAATATGCTCCAGAAACATCTGAAGTCTGCAGATGGTTGGGGACGGCACTAGCGTCCCTGGCACACACACAAGTGCAAATCCTTTCCTTGAAACCAAGCATATAGTGTATATTATGCCCCGCAAGAAAATTAAGGATGGAAAGCACAGCTTACCATGCGCAGAAGATGCGCATATTACACATGAGACAGGACATCGCAACCAGCGGCGGCGCGTTCCGCAGATTGGGCGTTAATCAAACACAGTACACAGTACCGGGAGAACGTCCTCACACTTGCTGCTCACTTGCAGTTGCAACCTCTTCACGATCGGTCACTTGTCCAGCCTCTTCGGGTTTGCGCGAGAAAACGCCCTGCTTGACCAAAGAGTACAACAACGCGCCCAAAACAGCCATGACCATACCCACATAGCCGAGCGGTGTAACCGTATTCCTAAAGATGATGATGGAAGCAACGATAACCAGCACGCGCTTTAACGTGTTAGTCACAGAGTGCGTCACTTGATTCATAAGACCCAGGCAATAGAAGGCGAAGTCGTTGTAGAGGTAGTAACATACAGCGGAAGAAAATGCGTGAAACAATAACTCAGCCTGCTTAGCGGCGCTCATCTCGGCCGTGTGGGCCAACCACACGGACTTCCACTTGTATGACTCCGCTCCCAAAACGATGGGAACGGACAGCACACCCGAAATCACTGTAAGTATCATGTATATGTTACTGGGCGTCAAGTTCTCTCCGATGTCAATTTTGTTATTCATAGTCACCTTCGCAAAAATGGATCGCAGTGAACTTGCGATGTTGGAGAGCATGGCGAACAAAAATGCTCCGATGCTGAAGTCCAACTCCTTTACAGATGCCAATGCCACGCCTCCAACAACTGGGAGTAGAGCAAGGTACGTGAATACACTAAGGAATTCGCGTAAGCATATGATGGAGAGAATAGCAGTGGTCACCGGCTCTGCCGATTTGACCACCTGCGTGAAAGACACTGCTCCCAGACCCATGGAAATGACTGCACCGTAATGAACCAACAAATGACACATTCCAATGGGGATAAATACCTGCATCGCCTTCTTTTGGTTCGTAATGCGTGGCGCCGGTCTCCACTTTAAACCGACGACAGCTAAAGCGAAAATGGAACTTAGAATCATCTGTACCCCGCTTAACGTGACATGCAGCGGTATGGCGTTTAAAAAGATCTTCTGTTGTACAACATATACACAGTTGAGTGTATACCACATAAATACGCCGAAGACCAGCTTCCAGTTACAAATACTCAAGCAACCAAGCAATTTCTCATTGCCCTGTAACCAGGCCCTCCATTTGGACGTTTCAGGCGCTTGCTGGCTTTCCTGAGTCTCCACAACAACGATATTAGCATTATCCGCAGATGAATCGGACATTTTGATGGCAATGAGTCAACCGTATCCAATCACGCAAATGGTCGAACTGCGCGGCAGCAACCGAAATGTGTACGAAGAAATGAAGCAAGGTGTTGTCTATAAGCGTTTTGTGTGTGAAACAAAACAATTACAAATTTTTTTAATAGGCTTAAGGTCCAACAATGGTGAGTGTCTATACACAACGACTTCTGGATTAAATGCGAAGGACACACTTAGAATCCAAAATGTGCAATCTGTACACCATCGTACACACCTTATAAATATTATAACAATCAATTAAACACAGCGGTCCTGTGTAGAGAATCTGCCAGTGTGGGAGTGCAACGACACTCAACCCAATTGCTATCACCCACAAATTAGAGGGGCCACAGAAATGCAAAAGTCTCAGAGAAGGCGGTGGTTCAATGCAAGTTCTAATGCTTAAGAATGGAAGACACGCTGTTGAGATGCGAAATATGGTTACACACAACGTCAGCCATGTGCAGTCGATGATGAATGTTTTCAACCATATGGTGGTAAATGTGTAAGCGTCCGCAACGCCATACGTCATTTATACTTGTAACTATGCCGACATGCTATTAATATTCGACATTTCGCGGAATCGCCGCAACCACGGTCACGCTACACACACAACGGTACATTCTCGCGAACGTTGGCGTACTTGGCATTATATTGCTCCCTTGGGTACCATGGCGGCTGCGAGTAATACAACAGATGCTGTTCTCTATTTTGAAAACGGTATGGGTTGCAGTCGACTCGAAAAGGGGTACAGGCACTAAACAGCCGTCAGCTCATTTCGCCACGTACATGCGCCATGTTTGGCCAAAAAATTACAACAAACCAACAGCAACAAGCGTGCCATACCCGCACATCTGAAAGTTGCCACGGTATTCTTTAGGATAATGATACACACTATGGTCACCGCCACACGCTTCGCGGTATTGAGAACCGAGTCTGTAACCTGGTTCATAAGTCCCAGGCAATAAAATGCGCGGCCATTTTACAAATAATACAGAAAACCACAGGCAATGAACTGGCCAACAACGGAAGACTTTTAACTCCCTGTCATGGACGCGGTTGACTTGGTCCATACTTCCACCCTTTGGGGCGTCTAGATTACCATCCCTAAAGCAAGGCACAGAACCGACATCACCAGAGTAAAACGAATATCGATGTTGGCGGGAATGACGCTTAAACCATACCACTGAGTGGCCATCTGCTGTGTTACGGTTAAGTGCCGCCATGCATCCTACCCCTATGTTGCAAAACAAATTATTATAGCGGCATCGGCGACATCTTGCTGGTCGCGCTCTTATCACACGGCATGTGGCTTAAACGCCAATGTTTTTGTGCGTGATTCTATGTCGATAGACATTGAGAATGTATCTCAATGACACAAAGCTTCAATAGGAAAGAGAGTGGAGATTGTTGATTCAGAAAAAAATTCCAAAATGCGATCCGTAAAATGTTAGTGACGGGTTGACGGAGACTATATAAATATTGGAACGTTTTATACCACCGTCGTAAAAGTGAGTAACTGAATCTGCGTACTCACCTAACACATAGTATAATGGTTATCCCAGTACGGCTTACGCCTCAATATACAGGAATGCTCATATAATAGCGTCTTCACGTTTATCTTTGTTTTGGTTTGTTTAGTGCGCTATGTGCCTACGTGTGGCTTGGGCCGATTTTCGTGTCTACCGGGCTAGCGCTTCACGCTGCTGGTGTCGGTTGCGGGATCTATGTCGTTCTGTTGTGGAGCCTATTTGGTTCCCACCCATGATGTTGTACATTGTGTTTGGGCGCGAGGGTAATTCACAGAGTCGTCATGATATCCGTCTCCGCCAGATCGTCTTGGTTGGCAATCCGGATTTCCACGATGGTCATAGTGATGGCGTTCCTCAGGCACACGGATGGCGTATCACATTGTCGCTTTCTAGTTAGATGATGCGGTGACGGTACCAACACTTACATCCCGCCACTACAATTCCATCTTAATACCTCTAATACATTACCTACTAGGTTAATTTTTAGGTAGGACGATTAGCACGTTTACGACAATAGGCAGCGTATAGGATGTAGGGGACGTGCATATTAACATATAGTTAATAAAAGTGTTGAAAGAATAGGTACTTTGGCCAGACTGATAAACACGACGGAGGTACCCATTAAAGTGGCATAGCATCGCCCACATCCGCCACTGCTGGCACGCCGGGATGATAAATGTTGTTAGATTGGAGAGCGTTACCTGTTTTGAGTGGCTTATTAGAATTCTTGGCATTCCAGGCATGTAACAAGCCCATCTCAATGTTAATCCCTGGTATCCGTTATTTCTCACCTTTGGCAGAGGAGTTGCTGCGAGTTGCTACAGCTTTTGCGGTTCCTGCCTTCTCCAATCCATAGAAACCCCAGAATCCAGAGAGGTCGTAGAGCGTGGTCAACACTTGATGACTCACGCCTTTCAACGCCTTGAAGATATATGAAGCGGTCATTTCAACACGCCATTGAGGCTCCTCGTAACCAACAGCTATCAACACACTGCCCAAACTACTCGTCCCCAAAGCCATCGGTAACCCACCACGGGTTTCAGCTTCGCTCGCAACCTTCAAAGAACGTAGACCCGTGTACAACATTGGCGCAACACCCACAAGGACCACTGCGCAAGCTTCCGGGTCCTTCGCGCATGATGCCTCCCACGTAGCTTCCGAACTGTAAGTAGACTTATACTGGTCAGGAATCTTGACATTTTCCCGGAACTTTTCACAACCATCTACGGCTTTACTTAATTTCTCTCCAATGGTTTTAGCGGTGACACCTCTTGCCTCTACGACGTTAGCATAATCGCTTTCGGCTATAGATTCGAACCACCTGTCTAACAAGGTGATATTTTCATTCCTCTTCTTGTTGAATCTCCTTAACAGCTGTCTTACGAATGGCTGCTCCTTAAGCTCCCGTTTCTCCATGAACTCCTTAGAAATACTCTTTACCTTCTCGAGAGCTGGCACCTCCGTGAATCCAACGGGCTTGTCTGCTAGAAATTTGTGAACTGCCTTACCTACAGCCGCCAAGTTCTTGTCGGCATCAGTTCCCCTCAGGGCTATCAACCAGTCAATGCCCTCCTTGAGGTTGCGAGGAGCCTCAGTTAACGAATTGTATACCATTTTGTGAAGATGAGCTCGATTAGATTACCATGAATGTGTCTGTTTTCATCTACTTATAGGTCAGTGTGCAAACAGCTGTGTCTTAATGGCGGATCGGCAGAACAGTGCTGCTACCTTCTAATACACACGCGCCTAATCGCAATCTACGAACCCGCCTACACACAATAGGCAAATGATAGAGTTCCGATGCTGGCATAACAGCGGCTCGCATCCAGATCTACACAATCAACGTGACATGCAACACGCATGTCATCGCCTTATGCTGCTTTCAGAAAATATGGCATATACGGGATGTTGCGGTGTCATTAGATTTGGAGCGCCACGTCGAAGTTCGTAATGTTACCATGCGTGACGAGTGGTATATTACAGGGTCTACGCCGTCCCGTGGTTGTCACGTCGATTTCCAGGCATAGCCCACTAACTCGACCATAATCAGGGCACTTCACAACACAGAATGTAATCGCATTGTGTTGCGTTACACTTACCTATCAGGCGACTCAATAGCTTCTCCATGATGGCACCTCTTGTCCGCTAACTTGGATGATCACCCACTCCTCTTGAGCATCCTTTTGCCATCCTACTGTTGCACTTTAATGCCGTTATGGTGCAGCCATATATTTAACGTCTCGAACCTTTTGGAACGCTTACCCTCACAGAGAAGGGAGCTAGCGGCAACATGGGCGTCTAATTCCGGTGTGATCCGATTATTTCGCAGATAATTGCAAAGATGTCATCATGATCATGCCAAATATTGGTTACCGATGATTAGTTTGCGCAACTATGTCATAGGTAGATTGCAGCAGCGTAAAAGATGACTGTACAAATATTTAGACATCGACACCCACTAAACGGTGGGCAATTCAACAATGAGGCATGATACCAGTATACATAAAAACTCTCCAATGAGTAATCACATTTCAACTGAGACGTGTGATTCAAAGTGTGGTTGTGATAATGTCCGATGAAAATTGCTTCAAGCAATGTTGCCGTTGCAGCTGTGGCAAAACCCCGACTTAGAATGCAATTGGTGTATTAAATGGCTGAAGGAAATAGGTAGTACCTCATTCCGAATGTTTCAAAATGGCAAACGGTGATGTTTTTGGAAAGGTGCGATAGCAACGCCCCCCTGCGGCTGACGCATACGGTTGAAGGGGATTTATTTCATCGTGGTGAAAACCACCGCTAAAAGCATTAAAAACCCAAACAACGCGTTCTCTGTCGGCGTTTCTGAGATCATCGACTGCCATTGCTAGTTTGGTTTGTGCTGCTTGCAATAGCGAAAGCTAGCTGGTGATGCGGGGGGTTAAATTGTGATGGCAACTCAAGAAAATATCACGATAAACCTCTCAAAATGGTTCGAATTAGATAAGGTGGAAACATGCGGCATTCTATGACAAATAATTCGTAATTTAATAATGAAGATTCAAAACTGATGGTGAACGTTTAGCGCAGCGGCGAAATTCATACTGTTTTCCTCGGCAAGGGGATCACACATCGTGCAACAAGAGGCAAGTGTGATTGTTCTCCAAGCCCATATATCTGTAATTGCAGAGTTTACTGCAGTAACTCCGTAGGTGACTCAATCATGCAGGTTGTACCTTCTACACCCCGCGTCCAGCTTAGGGCGTGGCGCAACGGAAGCAACGACTTCTGTCTTTTATACAACAGGACTTGGCCTCAACCACTGTGTAAAGTAAAGAATCTTGCTACACATCGATTGCAGTACAGTGTGTTGTGGACCGACGCCCACCCACCCTGCAATGCGTCATTAAGATGGGCGCCTGGGAAGCAAAGTAGATTCTGCACGCAGGTAGACAGCAGATTACATAGGAAATCACACTAATCCACGTCAATGTTTAAGTAACTAAGGTACCGCAGCCGTCAGCTGCTACCACCTTCCGGGCGCGTTGTTCATCGCTGTGCAGGGATGATGATCGCAGTAAAAACTGCTTGGTCGGGTATTTCGGAAAAACTGAAAGAGGTTTGGAAGATAATTGAGCCGGTTCTGAAAGTGGAAAATTGTCCGATATGCAAAAAGCGTGGTATTGCTAGTAGTGATGGGACTGATGATCGATGTAAATTTGCTGGCGTGTATGTTGTCCCTGCTCTCATCTTACTCATTATCATCTTAGGAATTTACGTATTGCGGACCCCGTTAAGATTTTTCAAGGGCTTGTTTTGTTGCTTCTGCTGATTGAAGTCTACCATCGCACACTCCTACACACGCCAAGAATCTGACGTAGTCACAGTGCATTCAGGTTCTTTGTTGTTACGTATTCTGATTCTAAGGATCTAGCGTAGCTACCCATCGCAAACAGGCCACATAAAAACACTTCATATTATATCGCAACCGTTATGCACTTCCGACACTCAAATTTACCACGTGGTGGCATCGTAGATCCGCCCAAACAAGCGTTACGTAACATCAAGTGATATATCGTTTCGCCTGATGCACTGCTACGATGTAATTCATGAACTTGCTCAACCGGTACCTGCCAACGCACGATTTTGAAACATTAAATAACACATTATTACGTCGGCACCATGCCGATGATGTCTAAGACGGTGCGATGAGTGCGATTATAAAAATGCCGGAAGTGATTAAAGAATGCGATACAAAGCATTCACTTTCGGGTGAAACAATCGCGGACCTTGTGGAACGGCCGGATACGTTTCATGATCATAACGCATACGACGATGAGGATGAGTGCGATAATGACGATGAGAAGAATGGCGATGGTGGAAGGGAGTGCACTTTCACGTGGACAGCAGCCACATGAACAAGACGGTTTACATACTCTCTTACAATTCTGAGGGTCACATTCTAAAAGACCTATCCGCCTACTGTAATCAGATGAACATTTGGGGCAACCGTCACCGTCGTCATCCTTACATCCTTCACAACACAAGATACAGCATATACAATTGTCAATACAGTCAGATCGTGTTGCACATTTACACTCCAGCGGTGACATCGTCCCCTAGCTCAGTTGTCAAACTGCACAAAAATAAAACACATGTTTTAACCTTAAACAGTGAAGCAGGCAAATCGTCTCCAATCGGCGTTTCGGAAGTTTCTGGGCAACTACATCGTGTCTTTCCGCCCGTGACACCACAGCCGTACGTTTCTCACCAGACGGATGCTACGCCCATCTCGTCATCTAGATATTGCGAAACACACCACATACATCGCTGGGGAAATCGCGTGTAGGTTTAAAAGTTCCGAGTTAATTTATGCGACGCATTAATGATGGTAAATATTAAATCTGTTATCAGTCGTGAAAGTCTTACAATGCTGCTGGACCCATTCATGTTACTCACCTCCCACATGGTAGGATCACTGTGGTATCCACGCAACAACACTTTTAATTTCAGCAGACCACCGAACCCTCTCAATCGATACATAATGACAAGCTCACAGGGCTTTTGCTATATCATCTTTATATTAACACTTAACCACTTAATCCGATGTAAGGTCTCACATCCTAACCCTAACGAGGCCGATCTGCTTATTGATATTAGGGTCGTCGAACGTGATTCACTCACTGCTGGCGTTGAATTCATCTTAACATTTTGATAACTTTCCAAATTACGAACCCGTGGTAAAGCATCCTATCGCTTTCCATTACCTCATTCCGTCAAGCTCTAAGGCATGCGGTTGAGTTAGGGGAGGCCTTGAAAACCACCAATTCGCACTTGTCCATATGATTCAATGTACCTTTGCAGATCATCTTATTGTTTGCGCCGCGGAGATATTAAACGCGAATGAAGGCGCTCTTGCTATCATTTCCACCGATTGGCAATAGTGGACAGATTGACACCGTTGTTACTTATCACTAGCAGTGGGGCCAGTGATGTCCACTAAAGTCTTTTGTAATATCTATTGTAACGTGTTGGAAACATTGCAGATGTCTTAACTCGAGAGTCACCAAGCAAATGGCGACATCACACCTTACTCATAAAGACAGTCCGAGAAATGCAGCAAAGGTACTATAGCACACATTTCCCCATCACGACAATAAGCGTGTTTTTACCGTTTACAAGGTTATAACAATCTACGACTACACAAAAACGTGTCGTTTAATTGGATACCTCAAATATGACACCTGACCCATTCCCTATCTTTGATATCTCCTGAGTCAATGGAGTGGATGGAGCCCAAGGAAGTTTATGTGGTTGAGTGAAACTGTAATGGTAAATGTGACGCTGCAAGGCATCGCTTAAAATCAGATTTCGTGGACCACATATGAATATCAAACGGTTTTCAGTAAGCGCAATCAACTGATTAGGCAGCTTTTTATAATGCAGTTCAGTTTGAGCAACATTTGATTTGACCCGGATGACTGCATTCCCGGATTCGGAGCTCATTACGTCGGAAAGAGGAACGGAACGGAACGAAACTTGTCGTCACCAGTAACTTAAGTGTTAATATGACAGTGTTCATCCGAAGTTGGACGAGGATGCCATACATACTCGGCATCATTTACATGGCGAGGGCATATCACAGTTGCGTTGCACGATGTTTGGACATCTATGTGGCAGATAAAGAGAGCATTCCTGTTGAGTAACTCATGTGGATATCCGAAGTCGCAATTAAATACGCCACGATCTGTAATGCAAGGCATACATATGGTGCAGAGTACCAATATGTACTTCACAGTAAGTTGTAAGTTGTGATTAACGGTGTCGACATGCCGCTGTCAGATTTGATGTATGAAATAGTTTCCAAAAACCTATTCATTTCAAACCGATCACATGAAATAAAAAATTCTCACAAGCATCAGTAAGGCGTGTGGCAACTTTCTGTGCAGAGATGGATCTGTAAGCATCGCAGCAGATGTTTGGCTAATTGCCAAAGAATTTTCCTCTACACGTGTACACAGGAGACATAGAAACGAATTAGACAGATGTGGTGGGAGACTTAACATTAAAATTTCCGCTAAATATTTCATATGCATTGCAATATATAAGCTGGCCATTCAACCATTGTATCAGCCCACCAAGCATAACCGACCGGAAACCATCGTTTCGGATGGGCAGGAAACCACGATCATCACTGTGGAGATCAGGTTCAACATCCAGAACAACCTGGAATACGGAGACATCTAGGAGGAAGAACCGTGAGGGTCTGGTCAAGGAGATCAGAGGGAGACCTATTAGCTGGTACAATTTTCGAGGTTATGCCGTAGGTGATAAGGGACATGTTACCCAGAGAATATTGCAATTCTGAACAACCGCCTCCCCCAAACAGGATTGATGCCATCTTGGATGACACCACATGCACCCGGGAATGGTGCAACGTGGAGACCAGGACGAATACAGATAGCAATAGGAGTACGCCTTTGGCAAAGATACGCAGCAGCAGCTGCCGTGTGAGGGCATTCATGGCACACTAGACAGATATAAATGCGTACTTAACATTCAAAAAAGTCTACTTGTTCGATTCAGTGCAATATGCATTCACACTTGAATAGGTACTCAAACTTCTGAAAGAATCCACACAGGAGCGCGGCTGCCGTTGCGTGTCGTTCTAGAGACTTCATTTTAATGCTCATGGCCCAAGCATTGGAGCCAAATCTTTGCTCGATGCGTCCCTCGTTTCCTGCGTTAGCAACCTGCAGGATGAAGTTCGAGGCAATCTTCGACATGGTTACCGATTCTCCCGAGTATGAAAACAGTGATCCGCCTGTGCTGTTTCCAATCGTCCTGATACCCAAGCACTTGTCGAAGGTAAAAACATCATGGACGATCGCAGGTAGGTGGTGTAGGACAGAAAGGACGTATTCTCTCGACCCTAAGTACGTGTCAGCCATGAAAAGCGAATGGAAGTGCTTGGAATAGAAACTGTAGAAGGCATTTCCTGTTTGAGCAACAGCTTCAAGCCCCATCATATGTGTGGGTACAGCCATAAACAACGGCGGCCCATTGGCACACTTTACCCTTGGAATCCCATAGGCTTTTCTCAACAGTTGATCAGTGGCTTTAACGATGAAGGCAGACTTCGATATTGCTCTTTGGAGAGATGAATTATCGGCATTCTCATTTGCCAACTGTGGCGCCGTAGGCGGCTTGTCATCTAGCATCGGAAGGAGCAACATGTCAATAGTTCTACGAGAGTGCATGAATGGGTAAACAAAACCTTCCTGCGTGTTGCTTAGCGCCTTTACATGCTCAAACACCGATTTAGCAAATGGCGAAAGCGTATCTAGCCGTGTATTATACCCACCCTCCAGAACGCTGACTACCCTGCCACCACAGACGGTGTTCGCGACGGCTACCAGACGCTCAGTGGCCCAGTAGAAATCTTTCTCGTTGTATTTAACGAAACCCGATGAAACAGAATCGCGATAATGACCGTCGAAACCGGCTGAAATGAATATGAGATCCGGTTGAAAGTGCAGTAGATATGGGAGAATTTTACCTTCGAATAGAATCTTGAATTCGGCAGATGTTGTGCCCTCTGGTATACCAACGTTTATGATCCTTGGCTCGGATGCCTTGTACTTCGCACACGTTTTACCCGTACCTGGATAGAATACACCATCGTATGCATGTATAGATGAGAAGAAAACTTCTTCTCTATCGTGGACATCCCTCCATCCAAACCACTGTGGGTGACTGTATTGAGGTGCCTTGGGATCGTTGACAGACCCATTGTAACCATGTCGGCATCTAACATTTCGCGGCCCAATATTTAGAACGATTTGATGAGTGCCGTTCCCATGATGTATATCGAAGTCGATTATAGCAATTTTGCGTATGCCCTTTTTGGCGTACATGTATTTTGCGTATGCAGCACCCACAGCAACGTTGTTTATCAAGCAGAATCCCTGCGAACCAGCTCTGTAAACGAATGTATAACGTATATGTGCAGTATGACTTACGCAAAATCTTCATCTTCGAAGCCCGCCGATTGTGCTCCTCCCCACGTGCCGAGGTGGTGTCCGGGTGGCCTTACCGCACAGAATGCATTGCGGCAGTGCCCATTGCATACAGCATCCACCGCAGCAATCACTGCGATAGTTATAATTACATTGTGAATCAACTACGTACCTGATCCTGCAGCATACATAGCCGAATTCCAAGAATGAGGAGTTGCCGGAGTGTCGCCATCAGCCAGCACTGGCCAGTAATTGTTCCCCATCCACCTTTTTTGCGCCGTTTGCACTTGACTCAGCAATTTATCGATGTACCCCCAGTCGTGTACCCTCAAAATATCTGCCAAAGTAGCGGGCGGTGGGCTGTGCAACAGTTTGACGTGTTCTAAAATGTCACTCCTTAAAATCCCATTTTCATTCGTGATGATTACTTCCAATCTTGTGGGATTTTCAGGATATGACATAATAAGCCTGTGACGTCTGTTAGGTGCATCGGTTGGTTCAGGGAGCGCTAGATGATGTAAACACGTGGGATGCGTGATAACCCATGTGTACTTGTTGTCGGCAATGGGTGCCTGATTTGGTAGACGGCCTGCGAAATGTCATATTTGTGAAATGCCTAAAACTAACCTCTCATGTTTTCTAGTGCGGATTCCACATCCCCGAGTTTCACCGTCACTTCAGGACATGTTACGTGCGACGCTGGATCACTTCCAACTGAAGTTGTGGTGCTATTAATGGCACGCTCTGGTGATACAGATGGAAATGCACAACCCTTGAATCCCCCCAGAACGGTAGTGTTTCTTGACTGAGTCTGTTTGGGAGTACGTGGCTCAACGTCGACGTCCCCAATGGTTACAACACCATTAGACACATTTTCGACATTGTCCAATATTTTCCCATCGCTACAGTCGCCGCCGTCTAAGAATTTAATGTATGGTTCGACCCCATCAGCCTTCAGTAGGGTTGTTGCTAAAAAGGTGGCAATATCCATGAAATGCTTTGAGTTCCCAATCATTATAGACATCGTTATGAACCTATGCATGTATTGTGGGCTCGCTAATATGTGGAATGCAAGGCCCTCATTATGTGAATACATAGCAACAATGGCCTCCCAAGCACCCGCCTTTATACCTCTGTATGTAAGCTGTTCGATCAGCTTCATCATCTCTTCAAAAATAGCGACATATTCGACATCCCTTAAAAGGCCATATTCTCCAGTGCTCACCATGCTTGTTTCATTGATAGGCATACGCGGTGCCTCGGAATGAGAATTATTTTTGTCATCGCCAACCGAGGTACCCATCATTGACGCAACCTGTGCTGTATGTCCGGCAACAGAGTTTACATGTACTTCACTAAGCGTGTAGAATTTGATACTTTTCATGAAAAGCTCGAAGGATACGCTTTGGTGGTGTCCATTGGTCTTTGGTTCCTGCGGCACACGTGTCCCCTTTTCGTTTTTATTCTGTTTGCTCTCTGTCATACGACGTCTGTGGTAAAACAACGCCTTTAAAGTCTCATGCAACATGGTAATGAGGCACACAGGATCTTTTGAGTCCATTGCGAGGTGTACTGGTAGGTCGCCCACTTCGTTAACAACCAGCGGCATACAGCCACACCCTAACAACCACTTGATCAAATCCGCATCTCTAATTTGGCACACCTTATGCAACAGGTTAGATCGGGTATAATCACGCTGATTCAGGAATGTTTCCCATGACACAGTAGGAGTTAGCCAACTCGAAGAAGACACGATATCATTCAGCTCTTGCATCTTGTAATCCAGGCGCCCACCCAAGTACTTGCTCACAAGCGGGCAGTCCGATGGTTTGACAGATATTTGAGAACAGTTCTCATGCCTAATCATACGCTTCCCAAGCCTTATATCACCGATACCTTTGAAAGTACTGGACATAGCGTTACCATCCATTTTACTAACATCAGCACACAGTGTTTGGTTGATGCTAGGATGAACTTTGAGGTTATTTGGTGTGACTTTAGCCCTATTCACCCAAGCATTAATTGGTGTGGGATTCCCTGAACAAGGCAACAATTTTACACCCTGTTCGTTTGTGGCTGCCGCGTATTCACTCACAGCATCGATGGCAACTACCGCATCTACCGAGCCCCACCGGGAGGACCCGGTCGCAGTTGTATGGGGGGATTTTGTATGTTCTACACGCTTACAGGCTTCCGTAACGGGTGAAACCGCGCTATTTAGCGGCTTTTCTTTTAAATTTCCCGGTGCGCAATTGGAGTCCCCCGTATCCTTACGCACCGTGTTGCCTGTTGGTGCTTCTCCACGGGTTTCTTGTCTTGACTCACGGGAACTATTACCGGTGCCGTAACCTGTTTTTGCCTTCTTGGAGTGGTTCTCAACTGTTTCGTTCACATTTGCGCTGTTGGATGCTCTGCGTGACGAGCTGCGTACCCCACAACTTGTCAAGTTAAGCCTTTTAGGATTTAAAGGTTCAGATTTCTGGGTCTGACCTAGAAGTGGGTCTAGTTCCACAGTCGCAGATGCTGCACCTGCGGCAGTTGACGTGCTAGGTGCAACGGGGGCCTCCGACACCATATCCACTTCATAGCAAGTTTCGCCTGATATATCCTTGTAGGAACCTGAGCTTCCCACTGATTCAGAGAATTTACCGAAATAATGCAACAGTATGCGGAAGCACTTGATTATGTTATTGCGATAACTTTCAATGTATATATTCGAGAAAAGAAGGTGTATGGGAGACGTTTTGTCGTACGTGAACAACAGATCAGTGGTAACAAGGGGCACAGCCACAAACTCTTTTCGCGTCAGCGTAGCATTCACCAGCTCGCGCAGCTGTGGCTTTCGTGAGCTGGGAAAAGGCATGGGAGACTTAGAATCACCCGTGATTAAACTAACACCCGTGTTCCCCACACCTTTCTCTGTGAATCCCTCCATTTTACGTTCTCTCGTTTCATGCGCATCACTATTTTGTTTCAGAGCATCCGGAGCCCCACATGGGAGTGAGGGGGCTGGGTATGTTGTTACGAAAGCCGATTTGTGATGGTTTACGTGAGACCTTTCGAAGGTTATTTTAGTATGGATATTCTGCTCTCCCTTTTCCATACTTGCCATGACATGGCGTAGATTGGCAGGGTGGCTGGCATACAACGCCGCATACATAGCAGAGTACTTACGTGCAGCAACATCCAGATCGTGGGGCTCACCAATCAAGAATTTGTAATGCTCTTCGTATAAGGTTTCCACCTCTTTTAGTCCACAACCAAATATTGTTGAACCACGGTCAAAACCAAATATCGAATTATTATAACTGCTTGGGGAATCCTCCCAGTGCCTCAGCAGGCGTGTGCCAAGTTTCCATGACTCATCAACGTTGAATCCATGGAAATTACTACATTGTTCGTTTTGTGACCATTCTACCCTCTTACGGCGTATTCCACTGGATGGTAATTGGGATTTAGCCGCCCCGGAGTCCTTGGCAAGGAGAGTACTCTGTGACCCCGTGTTTTCAGTATGTGTATGATCTAATGCCTTATCCAACTCCATTTGGTCACACTTTTCATCACAATCCATTGCGATATCAATGTCCCAATCCTGCGATTGGCGATCAGCTGGGTGGCCCAACAAGTGATCCCAATCTTGCGTGGCAAATACCTTCGAATGGTGTACAAGAGGATAGTATAACAACAGATAGAGTGCTTTTGGACTTGCCATTTGCATCGCAATGTGGAGCGGAGTGCGGCCAAAGTGATCACAGTCATTGACGGATTCCCTCTTCCTTGAGGCCAGGATTCGTTTCAACGCGTCAAAATCATTCTTCATGATACATCTATGTATTCCTGGGGTTGCACGTCGCTCAGGAATGAGGGGTTTCACCTCGGCCCTAAAGATAGGTATATCTTCATTTTCATCCGCCATAAGGCGATAGCCAAGGTCCAGTTCGATCGGTATCATGTTATTTTTTGTTTCAAACGAACATTTCAAGCTGCTTTAGGTGGAGTCTAATATCTGGATGTGACGTGGGAAGTGAGCTATTGGCCCGCCAAAGGTACAACTTTCGGCTGTGTATGGGGAAATATAACCGCCACAAGATAATTTCAGACGAAATAGATTTATAGAAATAACCTGTAGACAGGGATAAAACGCGGGCTGAATGTGAGTTCTGTGTGTTCAAGACTATGTCGCGCTGCTGCGTCGTGCAATGATACCGCGGTCACGTTTAGTTTCGCTGAATGGCCACTTTATCTATAAATATGGTTTCTAAAAATTTTGTATAATGTATTTACGATGTGTGCGCAGAAAACTATAGTTAAGTAGTTGTGTTTTATGTGTCCTTGTTGACCTCTGGTCGCACAAAGATTCCTGGCGTCAAGCGGCGTCGTTTTACTCGTTTCACATGTCATGGGCCTATATACATATGCAACAGATCGGTCCCATTTGAAACGTAAACTTTCCTATGACGCTTCTATTACTATCACCTTTCAGGTACTAGCGGTGACACATGGCTGTGTGCAATTCTCAGCCTATAAAGGGTACAGTCGTAGGATGCGCATAGCTGTATGAAACGTCCTATTATTTGGATTCTTGCGTGTACCGTCCAATTCTGCCTTCGTTTATGTCTCCCGTCCTGCAGGTTATTGAAGTTGTGTTATGTAGGACTCTTTTATGGCGATGTCGTTGAACATGCTATCGGTGGCTATATTGACGTCGCTGGGATGTACACACGTACCGAATCTAGCCTCAGAGGTCCGGTTGGCATCCTTCGACTGCCTGCGTATTCTATTACGTGCTAATTGCGTGTACAACTAACTTTAACATCCCAGCAAACATGGTTGCACGACCGCCTTTGAAAACATCAGGTCATTGGACTGCCAAAAGATGGGGGACCTTGCTCTTCAATTTTAGCGCCGTGTCACTCAAATGCAGCACTGGGCAAATTTTTGGTAACCACAACTATCAGAAACCAAGAGTCACTTTAACCCCCGATGTTAGTGGCGAGATGCCTCTGGGATACGAAAATGTGGGAGATTTTCAATCACCTGAATCATGCTTCGTGACCTTTTCGGTCAAGGTTAAGTACAAGGAGCATCCCCTACATGAGGAATGGCAGCTATGTGCCACTGTGGAAACAAAACCAATTTTATCACGTTTCGATACGAATAACCATGAATACACGACGTGTTTGTTGAAACATCTGGAAAAATTACCACTGTACCTTATGAGACGATGGCCGGCCTCTACCCATCATGAGGTGCCGGTGCGCCCTCAAAGTGATTTCATCCCATGCACGGAAACTGACATAGGTGAAGAAACATGTGAATCTCCCCAGTGGAGCCATATAATGGAGTCATATGCATTTAAAATTGCAATAGATACGGCGGTGATATACGACGGTAATGTAGTTTACGTGGGACATGGTCGGCGTCTATTAAGTGCAAAAGATTTATTTGGGAGACGGATTGCTTTTGAGCTTTTCGGTGATTCCTGTAATAAGGATGAAGTTTCAGGGGTTCTTGTGTCTGATGCCTGCGTATTTGTTAACGTAAACATCAAGGACGTTAAATTTATACCGTGTACTGAACGCTGCGAAAACCCCCACGCACCTGATCCGCCGCTGCCATCTCCGGGATATCGTCCTGATTACCAGGAATATGGAAATCCCCAGTGTTTGGAAGAAAACAGTCCAAATGACATATGTGTAACCGTGCCTCAACAAGAAAGACAAAGCAGCAGCGGTATCCCATTGTCTAGCGATCGAACGTCCGATTCGGAAGCAGTGCCACTGAAGGAATGCATAACATATCACCTAGTTCCATCTGATATGATTGGACCACCCTCACAATGTGGAACAGCAAATGATTTATCTGCTGTTTATGTGGGCAGCGACCCGAAGTATACGGTGTCCGTATTGGACATAAACAATGTCGCCAACAATATAAGCAATAGGCACAATATGGACGTAGCTGCTCACACAAATCAAGATGATATCGTATTGAGTCAACCCGACAAGGCAAATCATACGGTTAGGGATGGTAATGAATTGTCTAGCCCAATCAGTGACACCCCTGAGGAACCCCACATTACACCCGGGAGCCCAGAAGATAAGGTGCTGGGAGATGCAACGTTAAAAACCGAAGAAAATGACGATTGGACGTTTAGTTCCCCTTTTAGTTTGTTTTTTGGGGGTGAGAGTCAAGAGCCTTCAACGCAGCAGGATTCTGAGGTTTCCAGACCTCGAGCCAAATTAGCATCGGCAAATGCACGTAAAACGACTAAATCACAGGGGTTATTGACATCTCCAATAACGGTTAAACTGTCGCAAAGAAACCAACACAGTTTTTTACTAAAAATTGGTCACGCCCAACGTAGGTCAGGTCACTTGACCCTGGACCGTTCAACCGGATTGATTTTAGACGGCATATTTGACGGTCTGGCTACAATTTTTAAACGTGCGTCTTGCAGCTTCGCTGTCAAGCGCATATGGATAGAGCCAAAAGATGTGGGGTCATTTGTCTGCGCTCTCACTATTCCTGACAAGGGTGGTAATCTGGATTACGCCAAAAATTTAATGAAACCGTTTTGCAACTTACCTCTCGATGCCATAGGAGATATGGCTATTTTGTTAAGTGCTTACAGCTCCAACGAATCAGACAGTTTACAACATAACATACTGAGGGAAATGTTTATGGACTTAAACGTTGGGTGTGGAATGTCTGTGTATGGCTGTATCACGGGAAATAACTTAGACGAAGTGAATCCATTCGATGGGCGGAAACAATCCCCCAGTTCATCATGTCTACGTGCGACCCGATCTGAAACTGCTGTATACGGCGACGCTGCTTTGTCCGATACCTTAGACACCACTTCAGATGGGGCAAAAGCTAGGTGTGAAAGCGAGCGAGACACAATTTCACTCGGGTCTTGGATAAATACGATAAAAAAGATAATTCTTGATAATGAAGCAGGCACCATACAGATAACGTCGCCACGCACAACCCTACCGATCAACACGGATCAAAGGTGGGCCATTATGCTGAAGCAAATGTTGGAAAGTATCAAAACAGATGAAAACGAGGAAACATGCAGTGATGCGATTAAATTTATCTGGCCTATGGCGCAATAAGTCAATCCTAATATCCCATACGTTCCAAAATCCTTAGGGCATCCTTGAGATGCGATGATGCCTCTTTGAAGTCTTGGAAGGAGAGTGCTGCGGGCTTTTGATAAACCATTGAATTGGGGAGCATGAATAGAATGAACGTACCTGAAACGGCTAATCGTGCGGAATTCATTGCGCCATCTGCCATTTGAAGGTCATATGCATCTGTTGCTGGCGTGTGATGCGGCGCTTTTAAATCTTCTGTTTCTGAGACTGCCTCCCCGATTGCATCTGTATGCTGAGCGCTGGATATTTCTGCACTCGTGGATGCTTTTTCGATTGCGTTTTGCGATGTCGGTGATTGCTCGCCAGAGATTTGCCTCTTCTTTTGAAGGGCCCTGAATTGGGCGTATCGCCTGCGTGAGCTAAGTACACGGTCATACATGCGCCTACCTAAGTTCACTGTGTTTGGAATCGTCGCTGAAGTGTACTATAACGTCGAATAGTTTGCCAGCAACGAAGAACCGGTTGAAAGCGGACTGAGGGTCATTGTCGGCTTCAGCTGCATCCAAGAGACCTACACATCGCCATACAGATGATGCTGCAGTCATAAAAATTGCTTACGTGACGCAAATTCCACGAAGTCTGAGAGCTCGAATGGCCCACGGGCTTCCTTCAGACTCTCGGCCCTGTCCAGAAGCTGTATCAAGGTCCTCTTAACATCAGGATCTGAGCTATTATTAAAATAGACAATGGACGTATTACCGCTTTTGTTAGCCTGGTAAACCTCGGACACCTTGTCTATCACATAATTGAGGCAGTAAAAGGACGAAGCAGGCGATATTTCCTCTAGCTCGTCCGCCCTTTTGATGTAACTATGATGACTAGGGTGTATTTTCATTTTTTAGCATATAAAATAGTCTGTGTTTTGTGGTAGGGGCGATTATGCGGTGTCCGTATTTGCTAGTTGCGTGAAAACTCTCTTCATTTGCTCAGCGTCAGAACTCTTCTTGAAAGCCATCACCAACTGTTTTTCGATGCGGGATGTGAGCCCCCGAAGTGTTTCTTTGGTTATTACATGCAGCCTTGAGTTTCGAGCAATGCTTTGCGCAACATGGATTGTGAACAGTTTTAGACACATATCCTTGGATGGGACAAACGATAGTTCCCGAATGACATTGTAAGCATCTACATCGCTTTTTGACGACATATACTTTAATTTTCGGTTGAGTTCGGCCACCTGAATGTACGTAATTTCCCCGCTGAGAGTAGGATCGGCAGTGGCATTCAGGAACTCTATCGCATCATACAGCACTCCTGTGAGATCCTTAACAGCATCTTCAGCTGTCACATCTCCGTATTCTAGGCTCTCCATGGCGTACCTGATCAAAGTGTTCGCCCTCCTCATGCAACCGATCATCACATGTGATAGCACGCGCAGTGTAATGTGATGCATGTCGAAGAGCGCACATCCCTCCATTAATGAATATCGGCCACTCCGTTTCACATCACATGGAACAGCCTTGATTATAGGAACCAACCCCCAAGTTGAGTGCTCTTTCGCAAAGCGATACGCGGCGTGCAATATTGCAGTAAGGTGTATGTGGTGGTCACGTAAAAGACCTTCTAGGCAATTTTGCCCAATTGCATAATCCATCAACCCTGATAAATAAGCGCAAGTGTTAATTTCTGTATCGAACACATTCATGGGAGATATCGGAACACTCGGTAGCAACATTTCAAGAGCACCACTTGTGAGCATTGAAGAGACGCCGCTGCAGTGCTGCCCTGCAAGCGTATTAATGCGATTAAATATAAGGTTAAATGGCACCATCAAGGTCACAAGGTGCGTCAACGCTGCCGTCATATTGTTGCCTGAAGGTGGGAGCTCCTTAGCGTCCTTCCGCATTTTCCATTCCAAGTAGTGTTCAACTGAGAGTCCCAGTCGAAGGACCAGCAGTTCGGATTCCACCGAATCGTCATCAAATGCGTTCCCCAATATAGACTTATTGGCCTCCGCATGGCGATAATTCGCCCTGGATTCTTTGATGCGTTCCCCCATCAACTCCTGCCGATTCAATTCTTTGCTGCCACGCAATGAGAGCAACCAGGCTAACGATCCAAGACTGTAATCGTCCTCTTGACTGGCATCAGATGCATGAACTAGGACTTTAAATTGTGCATTAAATACGCTTTTCAAAGAACCGATGTAGAACGCAAGAAATGACGTAAACAAGGGTCGCAACGAAAGGTGCATGGCGTCCCCCAAATCGTCAACGAAACGCATTACATCAGCAACATCCTTTAATGTACGTTCCACCTTAGCATAAACATCCTCAAAAGGGTTGTCATCTTTTCTGCTTTCCGATGCTGATAGGATAGCGGAGGCGACGGCATCGTACACGGGGTAAAATTGTTTTTGTAAGTAAAGTAGGACAGTAAGTAAGATCCAGCCAAAACTGATATCTGCAAGCAATTTAGCCATTACTTCCCCCTTTGGAATAGACTTTACTTTATCTAAAATACACGTTAGAACAAAAATAATTTCGTTCCACGTAATATGCTTGGATCGATCCATGAGACGAGGCTGTAGGGTGGCAAATGCCAACTGAACATAACATACAACAAACTGTTCCGCAATATTCTCTTTAATGCATACACATGGCTTGGAGCTCTTATTGGCAAGCCAGTAATGTCTATACACGGGCGTTTCGCCCGTTTTATCGCCAATATGCCCCTCTTCCACATTGCCATTAGTGCCGTCTCCGTGGTACTCAAAAACAATGTCACAATCGTCTGCGCAGCAGAAAATGCACGCCATATCACGTTTTCGAGGATTTTCTCCATCTTCTTCTGGCACCCCGTCGGTATTTGACTCAATGAATCTGGCCAGCTTGAAATAACCATCTGAGTAAACCGCTTCCAACACATACATGAGGAAGTTAATCACATGGTTGGACAAGCTATGTAATGTCACTGACGAATCACCTGCCACATCTATCAAGTCATGTAGTCGACTTTTAAATCCCAAAGATTTGTTGACCCAGTAAATTTCCCATAACTGCGTCGCGGTGATATGCGTCACAGCCAAGTTGCAGCAGATGTCCACCAGGACATTCTGAGACATGAACTCATTTTTTACATGTCTAACTATGCCGCTGACTACGTTTGGGATGAGAATTCTTATCTTTTGGTTAAACGTCTGGAAGAGTTTTATGTTCGCTGTCTTGGGACCAGATCGCTCTCTTACCATATTCAATATCACGTAGACCCTACCTAACAGTTCAAGCAACTTGAAAAAATGCTCCTTGCTTTCATCTCCAGTTGTTGGCTCTTTAGTAGCGTTGTGAAGACATGTTGCGATGCAGGCTAATGCCTGGAAAATATTGAGTACACGATTTAACTCTGTGATACCACGTAATTTCTCACGGAACCCATATCTGGAAGATATATCAACCGATGATGCCTTTATCTGCGATGATTTTAGCGTATAAAGTTGCTTTTGGAGTACGGTTAGATCCGCATTTATTTCGTGCACCGTGTCTAGGGATGAGAAGAGGCATTCGTAGTTGTCGTATATTAGAATCTGTTTCCCTGCTGTAAACTGCCTAACCTCACGTTCCAACCTCCTAAGTAGAGCTATGAGCTCCACCATTGAATATTTTTTGAGCGCGGTCGTAAGACACTGATCGACGTCAAAATCCTCATTTCCAAATATTGCGCCGCTTAGTAACGCCTCATCCCATGAGTCTTGACTTTGGTCGCTTGCGGAGTATGCTTTACTTCCGTCAGTCGCGTCATTCTGCTGACCGACGTCGTAAAACGAAGAGAGCAACGACGATACTGACGCCTCGGCGCCTTCCCGAGAGCAATCAGATGCGGATGACCCCGCAGATTGCTTCATGTTCATTTCATTTTTAGCACCAATGTGTATCGCAATATCGCTCCCGTGATGTGATCACGGAGAAACGATGTGTCGTGCCCCAAGATGTGTTATTGATAGACAACGACTTTAACGAAAATTTTGTTCTTATCAATGGAGATTTAGAAGAATAGCATTTTTGCGTTTTGTGTTCGTTGCTATAGCGCTATGTGTAATCGCCCCAACGATGTGCAGGCAACCGAACTTGCAGTACAGCGCGTCGAAGAATCTGTCGACAAGAGGCGCAAACGCAACAAGCCTGCGCCGCAGCTCGAGTTCAATGGAGATTCCGTCGTCCTTCCTCCGGCTGTAGTGGCATGGTTGCTGCACATCGGCGTAGACGTTGAGAGATACCAGCGGGCGCTATATCAGGTTGCTAAAGGGTTAAAGAAGAGGTACTATCGCATGTTATCAAGCTCAGATCAGTCGTCTGAGGTTGCCGTTGTTTCAAAGCCCACATCGAGTGAATTACATGTTCGCGAAGATGTTCCTTTTGCTCCAGATCAGACACATGAAGAAACTGATGCTGACGGCTCATTGGCTTTGAATTCCAGTGAAGGCTTAGCACATGACAGCACCATTTCACTAGGCGAAGATTCAGGGTGCAACACGAACCATACGAAGCAGCCTTCTCCCCAACGTCATTCGCATGTAAGGTGGCTCCGTGACGTCGAACTGTACGAGTGTTACTCGAAGATCCCTGAAGGGGCTATCGGTCTAGATGCGGCGAGTGCGGCAATTATAGACGCGCTAAGGTTATCGGAACTTGCGCAAAAGGATGAATGCAAGTGGATTTTGGATGTTTGCTGCGCTCCAGGCGGCAAGCTTCTGGGCACGGTGAGCACCGTGAAACGTCTATGGGGAGACAAGATTAACTGCAAGATTATTGGTCTAGACATCGTCAAAAGGCGGCTGGATGTATGCGCATCTCTCCTAAAAAGGGAGAATGCACCAAGAAACATTGACGTTCATTTGCTGAACTGCAGTGGTCAGAGCTTCACCGAATTCGAGGGCGAATCTATGATCGAGCGGTTCGACCGTGTTATAGTGGATGCTGAATGTACCCATGAGGGATCCTTGCGATCGGTCGTGCGCACCTTGAAGTACTGGGGCATACAATCGCTGGAGAGCCGGTTTACGGAGGAACATGCGAAGTCGGTGGTCTCAAACCAACGAGAGCTGCTTAGACACGCTATTAGGTTGATACGCCCCGGTGGCATGGTGGTTTATAGTACGTGCTCTTTGCACGATGAGCAGAATGAGATCCTGGTTGCAAGCGTGATCGAAGAATTTGATAACGTGCAGTTGCGCCAGCTACCCTTGGTACAATGCGATTGTTGTTCAACGGTTTGTGATAGGCCGGATGCATGGCCTGCTACCTCCACGGAGCATATAATCAGGAAACATTGCTCTCCTCGTTACCTTCCTAATCGAGAGGTCTCCAGTGAGGCCAGTGGCTGCTCCAATATTACCTCACCAGTTTGCGTTAGATTCAGTCCATTATCTCCCGATACCGATGGCATTTTTGTTGTTTCAATTGTAAAATTGCCAATTTAATGAAGTTAAAATACGTATATAAACCCTTAGTATTGTAGGATCGTGTCGGGTACAAGCTGGATAACAGCCGTGGGACTCAGCATACCCTGAGGATACCAGACACATTATGTATTTCTTGCCTAAACACTTGGTCCCGTAATTTGTAGCATGGACTTATTAATGTTATACCCCATAATGCGCTACGTCCTGGGGATACATTCCTGGTGGAGGTAAATCCTGTTACATCCTGCACTATTACGAGTTTATCAGCGTCAGATACAGGTTTGCCGACTCGCTATATACGCCAGTAATTTAAAACACAACCCGCCAAATTGGAAACATTGCTTTTGTAAAGTATTAAATTAAAAGTCCGCAACGAACCTGCACTAGTTAGCCCTTGGATTCATCCCATACCTAGATATCTGTTTTTTGAATCGATGAAATACCGTTCGTGTAAAATGGGAACATGATTATAATCGCATATCTAGTAACGAAGTTTTCTCAGAACCCTCAATGGGCCTTTTAACTAGATGTTAGCAGGTATTCCCTACATATTTCCAAACAGTCGGCAGAAAAAAGTGAAGAAAGTGCAACTCGTAGAGTCATCTCATGTCCTGTTCAACACATAGGATCTATTAGTTGCTTGGAGCTAAATGTGAGTGATTGGTAGTCGATGATCACACAAAATGGCTTCGCAGGCGAGTGATCAAAAGGACCATTACACACGGGAATTTTTTATCACGCTGGAGATCATTTATGAACTCAGAACTTCACAGGAACATATTAAATAGCATGTTACACGGTTAAAGGACGGTTTAGACAGTAAAATTATTGGCACCGCAGCGCTAGCTTCATGTCTACCGTCAATTGACATTAATCAAAAGTTTATTACAGGACAAAGCGGACCTTGGACAGGCAATAGTCTATTCACGAGATGATTCGGATGTTACACACACTAGATTTCACTCTATCATAGAAGGCAGTGCGAGGTGCAGTTGAATAGTGCTATTTGTTGTGGCCTTTAGATACATGAATATATACACTCCATCGGAATGTAGAAACGTTGTTTCGGAACGATGAATAAATGTAGCGACAGGTATACAATCCCTTAAAACCGTAGTTGCTAATGTCTATTTCCTTGGAGAGACGTGACGCACCGGGAATTCCCCGCTTTATGAAACTCGTGTTTAACGGCACAGAATATTATTCACCGGCTCAGATTTGTGTATTAGTGGCCATATGCAAGGTTGTGTGATGGTTACACATTACGTCAGCAACATCCGGAAATGAACACCCATGTCTTTTTGAAGGCATGTAGAAACCGCATTGTAATATGGCCTCCCACCCTATTGGCGATGCTATCACTCTGTATATATGAATATACGAAGATAACGCTTGAACTCTAACAGAACTAAGTGATTATGTGGTGATATATTTTACATGGGTTTTTTGGTACTTGTAGATGTGCCGCTTAGGACGTTAAGTTCAAATATGCTTCAGTTAAGCAAGCATTCATCGGCATCACTCAATATAGGGGAATTCCTGAGTGTTGACCGTCATCTTCTTTCTGGCAACCATCCGCCACTCGTGGAACATTGTCCACTTCATTCTGTCCTCCATAGAACCTACTAACATTTCCAACCGTGCTCTGCACGTGCGATACCAAAGGGAAGCAAGCGCGTGGAGTTTCAATAAATATATACCGTCCACCATGCGGTTGTGAGTAGTGAATTCTTCAACAATCGCTGCAGCGTTACGACCAGGCAGCATAAGCGCAGTATTTCGCCAGTGTTTAAAGCAAGCCAAAACGAGGCAATACCTTTCCATAGCGTCTGCAGTCAATGTATATCCGCCATTATCATTTACTGCTGCAGCACCAACATCACCATCCTTTCCCAAGACTTTAGGCCCGTCCAGTTGATGACGGCTAAGCTGGGAAGAAGCGCCAGTATGCAAGTTGAACGAAACACATCTTCTCCAACACCTGAAAACGCCCAGCAATAACGTACGATTGTGTGTTTGCTGAACAGTCTTCGTTGCGATATTATATCGAACGTTCTGCTGCAGCGCCTTGAGTCCTACAGCAATACGGGTTTCCTTTAGCGACGATAGTGCCAACAGAGCCACATAGAGCTGACTTTGACCTGTTGTGATCTTACTAAAAGCCGCTTCTGAGTTTTTCATAACGCGTTGTAGTTCGAAAAACCTGCGACAAATATGATTCTGGGTGGCTGCCCAATGCTGCTCAATCGTCCGAGACATCTTGCGCGTGGCTGCAGATATAACCATATATACGTAGTGTTGACGCTTCAAGCGGCTAGAAACACACTGCTTTAACTGGCTGAATCGGTACATAATGCTGAAGACGTACTCCTGTTCTATGATATCTCTACGCCCTTTCATTTCGTGGTACAGTGCCGCAAGCCTTTTGCTCCTTTGCATAGAACCGTGCCAAGCTGTGAATGCTGCTAACAATGTCCTCTTAGATGAAGCAGCAAGTATGCGTGAACGCAGTGACGCAAGTGCGCAGCGCCTAAAGTAGTGCTCTAGCATACCTTCCACTGCAGTACCTAAGAGTGATGCGTCAACCCTTTTTCTGATAATCGTGGCGCTCTTATCCAACCTGATATTATTAAGCACATGCGACTTCCAGCCATTGAAGCACTTTTGCATTACGAAATCTTTGGAAGGTAAAAACGAGCTTAAGGCCTTCTTACAGCGAGTAGTCTTACACCATAAATCAAATGCATGGCCTAGGCGCCTCAGGGTAACCTCCTCTTTGACCGAAGATTCTAACTCTGTCCGATTATTACAGCGCTCAATGAATGCAGATTGAATTGTACTCCAGCCCTTCCTCATAAAGAGATCCCGGTAAAATGCATCTGTTTGTGATGTTACCTCCACACGCCATTGAGTGAGCATCTTCCAATAACAGAAAAGCCTGCGTAAGACTGCATAGGAACGAATTGCCGATATTTCTGCAGATGCATCACCACTACGGCATGAGGTGACAACAGCTTTTGATAGAAACTTCATATGGCGCTGTCTCTCGGCTCCGGTGTGAATGGCCATTAGGCGCGTAAGGTGAAGTCGTATAAACACTATACTGACTGACCTATAGACCAAACAGCTCAATATAGACGTGAATGTCGTGCAGCGTTCGTTACGATCAGCTATCCTCTGTTCCTGGCATATTCGCGCTACTTCCAGCCAACGTGTAAAGTATTCAAGACGGGTGGATATCTTGAAAATCCCCTCAACGCTATTGCGCATTTCCGACAGTTTGGCGCGGCGATCGCTCCTATCGGCACTACGTTTTTTCCACGCCCTGAAAGTGGAAGCGCAACGAGCTTGAGCAAACACTGTGAACAACAAACGCCACACAGGCAGTCTGGAATATAATACATCAAAAGTGGTGCACCTTTGTGATCTCAAGTCGCCGACACCTAACAACTTGATTGCTGTCAAACGCTGCAACAAGTCCACTGCCCACTCTGGTATGTCACGCAGATTGCCCATGCAACCGCTGCGAGGGCTGTTCGTTGAATCTCCTTGTGTAGCTATGGGCGCATTTTCATATACGGATTCATTTAAGCCTGTCACTCCATCGTCAGGTTCTACCATGCCAGATAACTTCGAATTGTTTCCTAACTGTGGCGATAATGCCTTTATCGACTGCTTCGAGTGCTCTGTGCTACGCGATTCGGGTAGAGAATTTAATTGCGGGAATCCTTCTAACCTCATTACATACAGTTGATACGCATACGTAGAATGCAATTCACCTAGCTCGCTGGATGTCAACGTACGGCATACACGGACCACAGCATCATCCACGGACATATCCAATCTTTCTATCAGTTCGAAAGCCCTTGTTTTAAGGCCAGACAGATAATGTAGAAAGACTATGCACTCGCTACGCAGTGGAAGCGTCAGGACTGACAGAATGTTTGGTCCTAGAAGTGTTTCCCTGAGACTATTGCAGAGGCCTTTCATGTCGTGTGATTTAAGAAGTTTTACCTCCCGAAAAGTTCTTAACCATACAGCCGGGTCTCCTGCATGTTCGTCGAGTTTGATAGATCCAATTCTAGCAATGCACTGAAGCTTCCGCATCATATTGTTGGCACAACGTTCTTCAAGACGCCGCCACGCCCAATGTAGTGATTGCGATTTTTGAGAAACCTCTATGAGACCTAAAACATCATAAGTGGCGCTATACGTCAAACATACTTCGAGTGGTTCTCAAAGACCGAGAGCGCTCCACTGCGACTAGGAAGGCCCTAAAGTATGCACGGCGGTGGTGTTTCCTCTGATGAGCCTTGAATAGAGTCAGCGATTTATGGAATTCTTCGATGCGTTGCAAATACCTGTTCCTTAGGTAATCAAAAAAGTGCGATATAAGAAATCCTCTGTAATTGAGGTCTGCAAGAAGTTTCATGCTGGACTTCTTCTTTCGCAGATCACTATACATCTTCCAACTCACAAGGGTCCGTTTTGCTGTGTGTTTTTTGCAAACCTCCGTTACAAGCTGCATTTTCAATGTCTCTTGTGCAACGCGATTAGAGTTGTCGCATAATGCCCTCAGTGATGCACGTTTCAATTCTTTATGCATAGCCTTGGTCAAAAGCCCTGCAGCTGTTATGATATCACGCTTGTGCTGTAGAGCAGACTTTATCCTATTCTGGTTGGTACTATGGGACAGAATGTTGTTTTCAGAGGAGTCCGATGTAGGAGACGGTGCTGGTGGTTCACTACTGCGTTCACTGTTGTGTTTCCTGCGATTACAATTGACATTTCACTCCGTACTGCGAACTTACAAGGCACTAAAGGACTTGTACTTAAGCACAAAAGAGCGGTATTGAGCGGCTTGCTTCTCTTTGGCGGCAGACTGCCAGTAGTCGAAGGCGGTTGACACCGCATCACGCAGAACGGCACACTGCACAAGAGCTTCCTTCTGATAGAGCATTGATGCAACAAATTGGCATATGGATACCTGTACTGAATCTCGGTGCAAGGACTTGATGCGTTCCCATGCTAATCGCAACGCGAAACGTTGGCATGATGCCTCTATCTGTACCGAGGCCGACTGGTACCGATAGGCAGCTTGCCAGGACATCATAACTGCGTTTTTGATATTCTGATCGTGCAGGCATGTGATTTCCGTGACACACGCATCCATACGCTGCTTTTGCTTGGTGTATTGTCGCCACGGAGTTATGCACCGAGCGACGAGAGATATCTCTATCAACTCCACCATGCGGGGTATTACGCGCTTGCATTCCTTTTTACGTTGCAGCAACAACTTGAACGAACGAAACATGCGGGAAGCAAGTGACGTCTGATAAAAAATGGCAGCGGACGCACTGCTGTAACGCTCCGTCGCGGACTGCGATGCCATGGCACACCAACGCAGCAACAAAACTTTGATAGCAAATGTATCCGCTTCGCGTTTGGCCCTATTGATGCGACGACTCCGTGCCGCGGATGTCAGTGTCTTCAACGCCATTTTGAAGCGGTGCTTGGTATAACAAACATTGGCTATTTCGTCGCCTACGGATTCTCGTACATTACCATGGTACGATCTAGCCCAATGAAAGAGCGTGTTGTGTTTTCTCACATGTTTCAACGCAGATCTTGGTGTTTGGAGTGTTTGATCAAGAGATAAGGAATGAGAATGAGTACAGCGAGCCTGCACCATGCTGATGGAACGAGAGGATCACGTACCTGATCAAGGGAAACGCACGGCTTACAGCGGTCATTAAAAGAACCACGACATGTTAGACTATCATCACACGTTTCGACGTACTCCGCTGCAGTAGTCGACTTGTACGGATGCAGAGAAATGAACCTCTTACTAACCAACCTCTGCGCCTGGAGCCTTCTTGGGGAATGCTGTGTCGTGATCATTGTAGCTCATGGGAGACATCATTTGTCAGTGTGAAAACTCATTCTCAGTTGTGACAGAGTAGCGACCCAGGAATCCTACAAACTAGCAACACAGCGGACCAACGTAGCCGTACTCAAAGGGTCGATGACATTTGGCCACTATCAGAGGTGGAACCCCTTAAAATAAAATCATATACACATCCATAACCTGCATGGATGCACCATTTGCGGTGAAAACTGCGATAATAGCTTCAGATTTGTACGTATATATGCGTTGAAGCGAACAACTTCACAAAAGAAGCTTAAACCTTAGGCAAACCTTCTTCCAACCTAGGAATGAGCCAATAGCATTGATTAGCGCTCCACTTGATCATTCGACCTTATATTCCTTCGCTTTTGAAAATAGTGTGTAAACCGCAAACGACAACAGATGTTGTTGTCAATAAACTGAAGCCCCTTACCTGCAACACATTAATCGCGGAATCACTTGAAGTTATTATCAGCAATGTTTATAAATGGCGAGGTTTTGGCAAGCGGCGCTTTATCGTACAGATTCATGGGTAGCACACTACTCGGCGTGGCGCGCGCCTAAATGTAGACATGTAAACAAAGGCATCATCATGGTAATACCCCAAAGTATCGTAATACAATGATGGTATGAGATGAGGGCGGACTTCTAAAGATGGGTGTAACATATGATTAACCCCTAGCCTTATCTATGTTATGGATAGGCCTCGAACCAAAGAAGGCTAGCCTCTGCGTCGTAACATCTAGACAGAACAATGATAAGATTAAAGGCATCGATTTTCGAGGGGTTTAAATGGCGATGTGTACGGGTACCCGCGTGTCGCCAACTCTTCCATAGAAAAATAGCTAGTACTCCTGCTGAGTCATCTGAAGTATCAGATCGCAAGGCGATATTGCTTTGGCAGTTAAAGTTGTCGGCTTGCCTTGCCGGTTTTATCGTATCAGCATATGGAGCGTACGTCGTAGTCAGTTCAGGTAATTATGCTGCCGTTGTTGTAGCCACATTCGTGCAGGATTCCAGTTGGACAAATGCAGAAGGAAACTTTCCTTGCATTGGAATGGCATTTTATATGGCGATTCGCTTCCTGCGCGAGTTTCTGCCTTGCTAAATTCCCGATATAGCGTGTGTCTGCAACCTGATGTATTGCGCAGCCTATCAACGTATTTCATCAAATTCGATCTAACCAAGGAGAATGGTTTTAAAAGAAGCGACGCTATAATGTTCCTAGAAAAAGCTGGAATCGCCACTAAAGGCACTATCGTGGATAGATTTATAGCAGCGGGCGTAGGGGAGTCGAGGGAACATCGCATGGTCAGCGGTTGCTCTTTGCAGGAGTTCGCTGAACTTTTAGAGGCATTAGTCATGGACAACCGTATAAATGGTGATGATCAGCTGGAGCTCAAAATTAAGGAAACGCTTGACGAGGTAAATGGTGAAGTAGTAAGTGAAAAAATATGGCAATTGCCATTGCTTTTGTAGGCTTCCGACGCTTCCCAGCCAATAAAAGGTTTTCGCCTCAACAATCCGCTCCTCTTGGATAATGCGCAATCTTTATCAACAGAGCTGCACAAACATATGCAAGAATATTTTAAAGAGTCTGAAATTACGGACATACAGCATGAATTGCAGCGGAACTATAATTTCAGAGACAAACTGCAACAAATATGCAACGTAAGAAAACTAACTGATGCTGAGGTTCGACGGCTGGAAAACGTCAATCAGGCAATACACCTGCTAGAAGAGGAGCTCTCTAAGGAAAAACACATCTCCAACCTTGTGGCTTCGAAGTGACTGCTCCTGGAACAATTGAACATCGGAATATTCCAAGTTTATTTAAATATTCATTCAACATCCTTAAATGCATGGAAATCGTTGTGTTGTTTTTTTGCTACCCGTTATGCAAGTGGCTACGTTTGCTTTGGAACGGGTTTCGCGTTTACTGGGCTGCTGCCCCGCTCTATATCGGTATTGGAGATTAGTTATAGGTTGTATGATTACTGGCTGCGCTGCATGCCATCCCGTGCGGAGCCCGTGCACAGCCGTTTACACGGCACAGTAAGGAAACAATTAATAACGAGTATGAATTCACAATCTGCGTCAATGATTGACACGATGTTTGCTAGTTTGGGGAGGAATTATAGCATCTAGCAAAGTAAAATGACTACATTCAAAGATTGAGTTTTTGTGCAATACAATGTGCAAGGATTAATACGCCTTGCGATCGAAGGTGTTTTGCATCCAGCTCACGGGTACGAAACCAAGCGGCACTGATATCTCATACAAATGAGAAGGCTCTAAGGCCTGTACGGCGTGATTTATAAATATCGTATGTCCACACAATGTCCGTTGGGTGTATGGACATTAAAGCGTGATACGCTGAAAAGCAACCAGTTAATTCGCATCATGAATACGATTCATGGGATACCAAGAACTATGTTTGACCTCTCTTTGCCTACACAGTGCAGTGGATAAAGATTATGTATACCGTAATGGCGACGACTACATCTCATAATGTATGAATATTTCGTGAGAGTTCGAATGTCAGCTCGCTGGTGATCCGGACACCAAATCGTCGTTTATCCAACCGCTTTTTAAATGAACCTGCGATACTCACTCAATAAAAGGCCCAGAATCCAGCGAGGTCGTATAGTGTGACCAACATTTGGAACTTAACACCTCTCAATGCATTCCGGATATCTGAGCCACCCATACCGGCGGCGCATTCTTCCTCCTTGTAACCAACAGCTTTCAATACTTTTCCCAGAAGCTTATCTGCATTAGAAGTTACACGTCCGAAGATGTTAGGGTTGCCAGCTTCCCGCAAAGAACGTAGGCCTGCGTATAACATTGGAGCAATTCCCACGAAAACTGCTGCACAATCTTCCGGATTTTTTGCGCATGATTTAGTCCACGTCGCTTTCGAACTGTAAGAGGACTCATAGTGGTCAGGGTGTTTTATATCATCCAAGAACTTCTCACAACCAGCTACAACGTTACCGAGGTCCTTTGCGACGTCCTCAGCCTTGACCCCCTGGGTCTGTATGATGTTCGTATAGTCGCTTTCGTCTACAACGCGAAGTAACCTAACAATCACATTGGGTTTTTTATCCATAGGATTGTTGAATCTTCCCAGCAGCTCGCTTGCGGGCCACATGTCCTTAAGCTCCTTTTGCTCCAGGAACTCCTTAGTGATAACTTTCACTTTCTCAAGAGCCGGCAACTTAGTATATCCAACAGGCTTGTCTGCGAGAAATTTGTAAACTGCGTCACCGAAAGCCTTCATGTTGTTTTCAGCATCTGTTCCCTTCAGGGCTATCAACCAGTCAATGGCCTCCTTGAGGTTCTGAGGAGCCTCAGTCAGCGAAGTGTATACCATTTTGTAGAAATTCGTTAAATTAGGCGATTGTAGAAACGTATGAATTTAGGGTATATTTATAAGCTGATGTGCAAATAGCTGTGTCTTAATAGCAGATCAACAACAGCGCTGTGGCCTTCTAATATGTAGACCCCTTATCGACATATGAACCCCAGTCCACACACCAAACAGGCAAGTGATGAAGTTGCGGTGCTGGAATAACAGCGGCTCGCATCCAGATCTACACAAGTAACGTGACATGCAGCACGCATGTCATTGTCGTAGGTTACTTTCAGACAATATGGTGTATGCTGAACGTTGCGATATTAGTCAATCTGCAGCGACGCGTCTGGTTTTGAAATATTACAATGGCCTACAAGTAGTATATTACGACCAACGCTGTCCCTTGGTCGTCCCTTCGGACGTCCTAGACTAACTCATTGATCAGCCGCCTACCTAGTAACTGACATTCCAAACTATCTCCTGGCAAATAATTCTGCCTTTCACCCAGGAAGGCGCTAATCAGCTAGAGACATAGATTACCACCCACACTGTGCCCCAAAATAAATCAAGCAATGAACTCTTATTGTATTACCTTCAGATTTCACGTTACGTGTGCTACGTGATTGGCGTTAATGGAAGGTGCAGGGCACGGGTTGAGTGTTCACGCATTGAGGTAGCATTCATGAACCTAGTCCAACGGCAATTCCTGCGGCCAGATTTCGGCGCGCGAAGGACTGCCCGTGCTACAACTTCGATCTAACGATCCTGCGGCACTAAAGCTCTTTGGTAAGGTCATTCGTTTTTGGAGTCATTCGCGGCTTGAGACGACAACGGAGAGGTAGCGTGGCGAGCGTCTGATTTGTCATCTGCTATCGCAGTTTACGCATTGCATTCATTATGCTCTTATTAAGTACGCCAACGAACAATAAAAACGAATACTGACTCGACGACAGTACCAATAACGCTAAAGATGACACCACCGATGACATAATCGGTGATAGTCGCGCCTGCGCCTTTCCCGAAAGACGAAATTCCTGGTAGAGCGCTAAAATCCGTGAACAAGAATATGCCAAGTATGATGTAATACGCAAAGAGAGACGCGAAAATCCATCTCCAAAACGTAATCGACCGCTCCAAGTCCTCGATCTTCTTCTTATTCTCATTTGACGACGCCTGTGGTGTCTTTCCTTCACTGCGGGTGTCCCCAGCCGTATCAACACGCACCGCCGGAGCTTCCTTAGACGCGTTCGGCTCGCGTTGATTTCCTTGAGAAGCCATCTCGCAAAATAATTAGCAGCGTGCCTTTATATCATAAACTGCTCTTTACGAAGGCATACACATCCAGAGTGCCGTCTAAGTGGTTCTCGTAAGCGTGCCTCCGTAGCTTTCAGCTTTTAGATACCGTGGATGACCACGGTTAAGACATGTACCGACTGATTAGTTTGCCAGCATAATTTGAACCCAATTACAATCACCCGTATTCGGAGCGAGAAGAATGTCTGGATTCCACGCAGATTACCACTGTGTGCACGCGCGCTGCAATGATCTTGAGGGGACAAAATAAGACCTAACAATGTTTGCGGGGCACCCCGCAAAGTGGCTACTGAGGTAGTCCGGGGTGACGACATCAGGGCCAGCCACGAAGTTGACCATAGATGCCACTTAACTAGGCCGTGCACTTAGACAAAACCGTATATTTACAGAATGTCCCCATAGACATGCAATTTCACATCCTACAGCCACCCACTCAGCCGGCGGATGCCCCAACACCCCTCCCATGCTGGCGACCCGGGTGACCACTGACTCAGTTTCAGTCCTCTGTAACTATTGGAAGGCGCCGCTGACTACGACAACTCAGCAATTGCAATACTAGATGAACATGGTAAAGCACATTGTGTATTAGGTCACTGGTTAGCTACCATCAGCGAAGCCATCTGAAGTGCTTGTACGGAACGCTTGGTCGTCTTGGGTGTTCCTATAAGCTACGGAACACATTATACATCATCGGATCGTTTTACCCAACATTGCGCAGTATACGTATGGCGAAGCTATGCACAAGGAATTGCTGAAATGCTCAACCCAAGTTATCTAAGAGCAGCAATACCAGCCGCGCTTCCATACATCTCCAGGATTTGTACCACCACTTTCTCATAGCATGGTGCCGCCTTTGTAACAGTTAGACTGCGATTATAGTGCCATCTCTCCTGTGGATCAGCTAACAAATGGCCGTGTAGCTCAAGGGGCAACGTTCAACGTACCTGAAGGCGGGGATGCAGTCGAACAACGCCCCTAGGTGACCTTGCAAACCACGTTGGATATCAATTGACGTAATAACAATGATTTAAAATCCACATTATCGAACAACAGTTGGCTGAGCCATAATATTATTCAGCCGTTTTCTTTTGCAATAATCCACCCAAATTTAAGGTGAATGCCCATGCAACCGCCGACCCCCCACCGCCGATGTAGCATTAGACACGTTAGGAAGTTTGGCAGACAATGGATGTAGGTGCAACGCTAAGTTCGCAAATAACGCTGGTGTAGTGAGAATTGAGGCCCAAGTGTGAGATGCGGCTTAATAATTCGAACGTCGCCTCTGGTATAAGTGATTCACTAGGGGCATTGGGAGTGTGACAAATGGAGAATAGCATCGTTAGGTGGGGCATCAATTTAATCTTATGATTAAATATAGCACATCTAGCCATGATGGCATCACACGTTTTTATAAACTATGTATATAAACCTCTATTGAATGGCTTCTACTGATACATGGTCAGGTTATATCGAGGTGTTGGATCATGTTATAGGCGAGGGAAGGATGTTACTTATTGAGTATGTGGGTTGGCAATGAATGTCTCCGGGATTCTTCGACGTGATGGCGTAGTTAGGTGTCATCTATGGTCAACATGGTGGTAGGCCTTGAAATCGTACCCCCGGACTATGCCCCCGCAGCCACTTTGCGGGGCGCCCCGCAAAAATTGTTGGGTCTTGTTTGTCCCCTCCAGAACATTGCAGCGCGCGTAATCCGTGGTAGTGTGAGTGTAATCCAGACATTCTTCTCGCTTCGAATACAGTTGAGAGTAGCTTGATTAAAATGTTGGCAACTAACTCATAAAAACGTGTTATCTGTGGATATTAACGGTGTGTAAGAGCTGAAAACACCAGGAAAATGCTCACGAGAGCGCAATTGGACGGTAGTATGGCAATGTGTGTCTATCAAAAGGCATTATCAAGCTAAACGTACATTAATCACTAGTATGTAAGATGGATTCTCAAGGGGGTAAGCGTGAGATGAAAGCTTCTCCAGGAGGGGATAAGAAAAGGGATCTCGCAAGTCGTGTTTCTGTGGGTGGGGACAAGGATGGTGAAGATGACAGGAAAACTGACAAGCTAAAGCCAACGAAGGAGTGGATGAACCGTTTTGATGAGTTTATGATGTACACGCACGCGTTACTTAATGGCTTACTTGGCGACACTCGGTCAGATGCGACATCGGAGTTGAACAGTCGATCGGGGAATTCACCGTCAGGTAACGGTGGTAGCTGTTGCAGCTCTCAACAGCACTCCTGTTGCCCTTCTCCGTCATTAATACAAAACTCTTCGCAAACTGTCCCCGAAAAAGACCCCAAATCCACAGGCTCTAATAAACCGCCTAGAGTGACGGATCCTAAAAGAAGGGTTTACACTTCGTTGACCGAGGCTCCTCAGAACCTCAAGGAGGCCATTGACTGGTTGATAGCCCTGAAGGGAACTGATCCGGAAAAGAACTTGAAGGCTATGGGCGCCGCTATTCACAAATTTCTCGTAGACAAGCCGGTAGGGTACACTAAGGTGCCAGCTCTCGAGGAATTAAAGCGTATTTCTAAACGTTTCCTAGAGCATCCTAACCTTAAAAATCTACGGACCGTAAAAGCGATGCTGAAACGATACAAGGCGCCCATGAATAAGAACCCCGGCTTTTTCTATAGGCACTCTGGGATTGTAGCAGAAAGCGATTATAAGAACGCAGTACAGGCGCGGGGTTTAACGGCTATGATGACCGCACATAAATTAGGTACACTCGTGTATGCTTCTGAGGAGTTCCTTCGATGTATAAAAAACCCTGACCAATATGTGTCTGCTTACAGTCCCGAAGCGACATGGGATGCATCATGTGAACAAGACCCGGAAGCCTGCGCACTAATCTTCGTGGGGATTGCGCCTATGTTATACGCAGGCTTACGTTCTTTGTGGATTGCGGGAAATGTTTCAACTTGGAAATGGCTAAAGACTATTGCGCCAAAGAAGATTGGAAAGTTGTTTTTGGCTTTCGGTTACGTACGGCCGGAATGTCGCCCCCGCATTGGTACTGCCGATGTCTACTTGGCGTCGCGCGTTATGCATAAAGATATATTGGAAACAATCTACGACCTCTCGGGCTTCTGGGCATTCTATTGATTGGGGGTGTCAGGTGAGCTGTACAAGCAGCTCGAAAGAAACGGGGTCTGTGTACGCAACACCATTGAGTTGACTTCATACGAATTTTCACTAGACATTTCTAATTTTGGAATGCATTTACCAGGATTTACATTTATACAATCTTCGTCCACAATACTGGTGGCATCATGTAATGACAGTCACATTTCTGAACCACCATTTATTGTCGTTGGTGACGCAATTAGTTGCATACATGTTCCCACGCCGCACTTATTCATCTTCGTATAGCAGGCGGGCATGGTACTGACTCCCACGGTTTACACTTTTTTCCGACCTTATCATCTGTATGACGGATCCGTGCCGTATTTTCATGGCTTGGTAGCATAGATTTTGCGGGAATGCATATCTCCTATTGGATGCATGGCGTATTAAACCGTGTACATCGTATCACTCCACAGTGCAATCGTTAATCGTACAGTCTCTGCTGAGCTGAAATACTGTTATTTCGTCCCACAAAAGAAAACATGGGGATGATCCGCATTGATGTCGATTGTGCGCTTGTAGGCCTTATGAGTAGTTCGCTTGTTGTGCCCCGCAAAGCGGAGGTAGGCGGCAGTACACCGGTCCATTGGAATGGTATAATAGACGTTCGGCAACAGAATGGCTCATATATCACAGCCTACACCAGCAGCATGAGGCGCTAGCCTTGTGAACGCGGAAATCGGCCCAAACTACACGTAGCCAGATAGCACAGTAAACAAAGCAAAAACAAAGATCAATATGATTAGCCTAGCGTATTCCACCATCAACTCCGCTAACCTCGCAGACGGGATAGAGTCCTGTAGCGATTTCCTGCCCAATGTCATTGAGGAGGCACCATCAAGAGGCCAGCAGATGGGTACACAACTCCGCAGCCACCTCCCTCATACTACTAAAACATAAAACGCATAACAACTCGCGAAGATACAATGTATACGTTGAAGCATATTTATAGAAATGATTAAAGTTTCATTGCAAGGTTGAATACTGAGGGAATAAATGCTTGAATAGTGGCGGTTGCGATATTCGCATAAACGCTGCGAAGTAAGTGCAATATATCGCATAGTCGAACATAAGGTCTATGAACAGCATGAAATGCTCATCCCAGATGAACATTTGTTCTGCCGACGTTTTGAAGCAGAATGTTCGCACCAAGGAGTATACGACCGGCTTGAAAGCACCGGCGAATATGCTGGCCTTGAATATATTGTACGCTTTAAGTTGCCCGTATGCCAATCCTGTTTGCATGGTGAGAGACTCGTCTATGATTCTTGCCCTAATGATGAGCTGATTGATGTTCAGGGCTATGATATTGGTGATGAAAACCACGGAACCAATAGCAAAACGTGCCACATCAATTCCGTTGACGAGTATTTCAATAAATTCATTGACGCAGGCAAATATCGCTACCACTATCACCGTACGAAATTCCGTGGGAGTGAGAGTTTCACGGATCATTTGCCACCCCAAAGATAGCAGTACGAGTGTGGCCAACAGGCAGTTCTCGTGCACCCTTTTTACTAGATGCGTCATTGTCCAGAGGATGTTTGGGTATGTTCCGGTCTCAATGATTGAATGTACCAGTTGGCGATCAAGCTGCAGGTAGATGGCTACACATAAGAAGTTTACGGCCAACACATAATTCAGCCCTTTCGCTGTTCTTCCCACCCAAAATATTAAATAAAGCAACGCACAGATACCCGTGGTGGCGTATACAACCGTCCATAACGTTAACACGCCCCTGTAGTATTTCATTTCGACGGAAAGATGTTCGTTGTTCGGGTTCATGAGCGTGACCTTGCCATCCAGAAGGAGTTTGCGCTCGTTAGCGTTAAAAAGCAGGATAACAAATGTACCAGTTGACTTCACCTTGTACGTGAAATCTACTGACTGTCCGACAGCTGGGATGGGTATGCGCATATCCGCAACGAAATAGCCACTGGCAATGAATTGGCTGCTTCCTTTCGACGGCTCGATTTGCTGCTCACTCCTTGACGTGAAATATAGATCCCACTGCAATTTGGACATTATCACCAGGTATACATTGTCGAGAGTCTGGGTTGGAATCCCCTTGACGCTGTTCACTGCACTCTCGTCAACCTTCCCACTTCCACCACCGAGTGCCCAGTTGTAAATGTTATATATAAGATGGATCCAACTGTAGTGATCTCGGTTGGTTTTATAACCGCCGATTCTGGGTCTGAACTGTATTGCACTAGTCCAATGCGCGCCGAGTGTTCTGTTAATGCCACTCCTCGTTTCTTTTCCTTTAGACATCATAACTTGTGTATCCTGTACAGATACAACCTTGACAGTTCCCTCTATACTTCCGCCTTTATCCAATGCGAACAAGTAGTTAGGTATCTCTATATGCTCCGACGTCGCCGCTAAGATCGGCATGGAGTAGATAGGCGTTATCAAATCCGTACGAGGACCGTCATCTACACGGAGTTCTAGAACAAGTGCGTCAACGACAGACAGTGCGATGGTAAGCGCAAACACCCAGGCGGTGCGACATGCCGCCTTTTTCATGTTTAAATATGAGATGCTTCTGCCGGGTCGGCGAGCCTCCTTCGCTCACACATCACGGCATCATTCAAACCATTGGCAAATCAACACATCGAAATTGTATACTTGTAGCTCGCCCTTAAGTTGCTAAGTTGCCGACTTCCCAATGTCTTAAGTGGCCAGCGAACCGGACCACAAGTGTACAGCGCTGCCATTTATTACAGATTCACGTGTTCTCAACACATTAGGGGTATTTTTACAGTTAGCGTACCATTGGCGAATTTAGCCGTTGCCAGCCTTACTTCAGCGTTAGCTGGCAACCTGACTGTGTGGTGGAATCTTTGCGAGCGCCGGGCAACAGAATGATTGTCATCGCTTGCTACTTCATCGGCGTCTGCACGCACTGTTAGTACACCTTCACGAATAGAGACCTTGACATCTTCTTCGTTGAGTACTGGTAGATGGAAGGTCATCTTATAGTACTTCATATCGTCACTTTGGCCAGAGCCGGAGCCAGAGTGCCGCACGGGGAGCAGTTCGCCACGAGAGTCATTGTAGTCACGGTCATCATTTGATTCCAATCGAGAATGAATGTCTTCTATAGCTTGGTTTGCACGGTCAGTCGCTATGCGATAGTTGCGCAAGTCCTCGGAGGCAGCAGAAGCGTTGTCGTAGTACCGGGAAGAGTGGTCCCGCGCATGCTGGTGAGCATCGTTCACTGGTTCCAGGTGATTGTCCCAAGTGTTAAACAACCGCCTGCCAACATTCATGAAGTCAGTGAGCGAATGGGCATCTCTAAGCGCTCCTGCGGTGGTACTTGCGTGTACAGGGTCCCCCAAAATCCAACGACTCCAAGCATCCATCTGCCTTTCCACTGCATCGAACACCGAATGCAGGTTATGGATTGACGACATGACATTGTCGCTCCTACATTGGTGAGTTTTCGTGCGATCGCCAAAAGGATGCGCAACAACCGGGACATATGCCGCTCTCAGCACGTTTTCCGGCATGAACGGATTCCAAAATCTATATTTAGGAACGTGTATATTACCGTCGAATCCAATCACCTTAATAGGGTTGTAAATCCTGAGCGGCGGAGGCCTAACTGGGAAGCTCCGCCGCCGTGAAATGTGATCGATGGGTACATTCTTCTCCTCTGTTACTACCCAGTCCGACATCCTGTTTATCTTCCAACGACAGAATCCAGATGCTAGAATTGCAATGATGCGTATATGGCAAGGAAGGTAGAATGGTAAGCGCACGCTAACATAACATTATCGCCAATAACAAGCACATTGGCGCATAATTACGTTGTAGAGCCCAGCAAAATATTTTGAAGCTATATAATGTACCAGTGTTACCGGCTAGTTAGAGGGTAGGTCACTTCGAGGGGTTCATCTACCACCTCACTCCCATAAGTTGCTATTAGCCCTGAAGACACGGGTTGCACATGCGTTTTATAAGGTGTAGCAGGCTTATTATTTGTGTCTCGTCCTGTTGTGATGTTAAATTGGTTTGCCACGCTTTACATCACGTGAACTCGATGGGCAGCAGGCCTGTCTAGAGTTTAGCACCTGCGGTTTAGGCTGTGTTTCTCCGCACCGGGGTACACTAACGCCTGCAACATAACCCTAGTTCGATCGGGTCTGTAAACAAAGAGTCTTGTGTTTTGGTACCACTGATGCCATGGTTCGTGACTTCGTGATCGGCTGCGTGGGTAAACCGTCGTCGGGTAAATCGACATTTTTCAATGCCGTATGTATTAACCCAAACGCCAAAACCGCGGCGCATCCTTTCACCACCATAGAACCAAACCATGGCGTCGCCTTTTTTACCACGGATTGTCCGTGCGTAAAGTATAACGTGACATGCGCCCCGTCCTTTGGCAGTTGCAGGGATGGCGTGCGCAAGGTTCCCGTCAAGCTATTGGACGTAGCTGGCCTTATACCCGGAGCTAATGAGGGTAGAGGCATAGGGAACAAGTTTCTGGACGACTTGCGGCATGCCGACGTGTTGATGCATATCATTGACGTTTCGGGCAGAACCAACGAGAAGGTAATGTCGTGAATAGTTTTGTTTTTAAACTTTCTAGGGGGATGCAACAATCGGATACGACCCTTCGGGAGACCACATGTGGCTTGTTGAAGAGATCGAGCTGTGGATTTTCAACAACCTGCAGCCCAAATGGGCCTCGATGGCGAGGCGCCATGCAATGAAGAAGGACAACGCCGTAACAACTCTCCACGGGAAGGTTTCGGGTTACATGGCAACAGAAGCCTTAGTATCTAAGGTCCTTGACCTTATGGACGTGAAGCATTCTCAATTCGTGGACCTATCGCAATGGGATGAAAAGGAGATCCGCCGCTTTGTAGGTTAAACGCATGTTGCTAATAAATGCACACGTTGTTCTATGATTTCATTTTATCGATTAACTTAACTTCATTTAGGTTTCCGTGTTCGTTCAAGAACGTTTCAAGTTTGTTTTGGTCTTGAACAAGGTTGATTCGGTTGGTTTTTTCGTCGCGCCATACATCGTCATCAGGAGGGCGACACGGATGAAAACTGCTTGAAGATTTGCCAGCGCCATCCCGACGTTCCTAGTGTGATGTGTAGCGCACTAGCGATGTGTTTCCTGCGCAAGATGCAGTCACAGGTGGGTGTAATCTGGTGGAAGGTGTTTTGCCAATTATAACACAGGGATACATAGATTACTTTGAGGGAGATAACGACTTCTACATGAACGGGGACTCTTCGGATGATCCTCGCAACCAGGTGCTGAAACCGGTGGACGATAAGCTGCGTCACCGGCTCCGTAACATCCGTGACCTCGTGCTCTACAGGTTCGGCTCAACTGGCGTGACGAAAGCACTGAACGAGGCGATTAAAGCTGCAGGGATAGTGTGTATGTATCCCGTGAAGAGCTTGAAGACCTTCGGGGACGACGATGACAGCACCAAGGCGTTCCGCACGTGCATTACCGTCATGCCCGGCACGACCGTTCGCGAGTTCGCCAACATGCTCGGCCCGGAGATTGGCCGCAACTTTTGCAAGGCTGTTGGCGTATCGGGTATGCAGTTGGCTGAGGACAAGGTGCTGACAGAAGAAGACAATGTCGTGAGCATAGTAACAAAGGCCATCCAAGTTTAAATGTAGTCGATTATATCTATAGGTTGATAGGCTGTAGAGCAGCCTTTACAGTGTTTATGATATCACGAGCTATTTTCGCAGCTTCGGCGTCCTCACACGTGACCTGCGACCATACATGACACTATGCACGGCATATCTAACCAACCTCGCACTTGGAGAGGTTTACGTCCATTGTCACAACGCGGGCGTTTTCCTCTAATGGATTCTGAATAAGGAACTTGAGTGTTTTGTCATTGGGCTTCGCCTGTTCTTCTTCCACTTTCATTTGGGTGGGTTCTCCGAATTTCGTGGCGAGTTGCATCTCCGCCACGGAAAAGAAAACCTCCTCATCCCTTATCTTGTTGATCATTTGCGCCTCTTCTGTGGATTGTTGGGGGTGCACTATTAGCTGCACGGCGAGCATGTTAATGCTGTCTGCGATAAGGTCTGCCACCGGGCTAGCTGTCCACCTTAGGGTCATGCGGTCTGCCGCCACGATCGCTGTCACGAGTTCCGCAACGATGATGGTGTCCTTTGAAACAACCTTGACGTCGTCATATACAGCTTCAACGGCAGTTTTGAGTTGTTCCAGTCCGCCGTTGAAGCCGATAGTCATTTCTTGGTCGACGTAGCTGATTCCCAGAGTTGCGCAGTTTTCGATGTCGTCGGCGTACATGACCTTGGACTCGTTGTCTTTTACTATAACAACGCTAGCCAACTGCTCATCGTCACTACTAACAGCGCCATCGAGCATTTTTTGTTTGATGTCGGTCGCTAGCTGCCCGACGGCGTTGATAGCCACTTCCGGCGGGAAGCTGAGCGTGACCATTTGCAGCACCTCTGGCATGAATACCGAAAGCTCGGGTATTTCTTCCGACAGTTTATCACGCATACGAGTCATTTCTGCGCGTTCTCCGTGAACCAGTATGACATTTGGCACCGATAGTTTCCGAATAAAATCTTTGGTCTGATTGTAGTCAGCATGTGCGCTAAACGAAATTTGTTCGACAGCACACTTTCGCTTAATCGCTTTGTTGCCTACGCTAACGACTTCTGGGTCTCGTCTAAGCTCGTCTCCAAGTGTGCCTTTGACAGTGTACCCGGTGATCACCACGCCATTTCTGTTGTCCGAAGCTATTTTCTCAAAGATTTGAAGCGACGGACCTCCCTGCAGCATCCCAGGCGACGTAATGACAACGCAAGGAGTATCTGAGCGCAGGTAGGGCTCTATGTCACCCACAGATTTTGCGTATTTGACGAACTTGAAGTTAAAGGGATTGAACCCGTTGTACACGCACTGCACCATACATGATGAAAGAGCATGTTTGACTAACCTCTTTGACGTATTCACCACAGAGTCCTACGAAAGTCTCGTACACTCTGAGTGATTTCTGCGCGAGTGGAGAGATGTAGAAAATGGGAATTGACTGCAGGTTGCTATTCGCCTCCCAGTACTCGTCCAAAATGAGCAATATTTCCTGTGCCCTGCCGAGGGCGAATACCGGCAAAAGACACTTCCCTCCTCTGGTAACTATCTCAAGGACCACCCTCAGGAATCTTCTCTCTCGTTGCAGTCTTTCTTCGTGAACGCGAATTCCGTATGTGCTTTCGCAAATAAGTAGGTGGACGTTAATGGGCGGTATTTCAGCTGACGGGACGTGCCTATCGAGTTCAGTGGAGTAATCTCCGGTGTACAGTATACGTACACCGTCCATTTCCACTAGGAACATGCATGCGCCTAGCACATGACCTGCCCTGTAGCATGAAATTTTAATCCCGCCGATGTCCTTTTCTTCGTGGAAATCGATAGTCTCAATTTTCTCCAGCGCGTATTCCACATCTTCGAAGGAGTACAAGCCTGAGCCACATATCAGCTCGTCCATCAGCCCCTCTTTTTGGTCGGACGCCTCCTGGTCATTCTTAGGCCCCGTTCGGTCGAATATGGATTTGACCGTCTGCATCTGCTCCATACGGGCATAATCCGCCCACAGTAGATGACATATGGCCTTAGTGGCATATGTCATGAGTATGCGCCCCTTGAATGCAGTTTTCGATAGCAGGTACGGCACCGCGCCGCAATGGTCGAGGTGGAAGTGGGTGATGAGGCAAACATCCACCTTCGACAAGTCGATCGCTTCGAATACAGGCAGAGCGCCAACCCCCGATAATGCGGGGTGAAGGCCACAGTCGAACATGACATTGTGGCCTCCACGCTCTGCGAAGACGCATGAACGACCCACTTCGCAACCGGCTCCGAGTACGGTTATATTCGTGGATTTCGCCACATCTGCCTGATTAAGATGCGCAGTATCACCGCCTTGCATCTTGTCTATGGTGTTTACGCAGAATCTCAATGGTTTTTATGTTTCTACATTTGTACGCATCGTGATACACCAATACTAGCTCCACATTTAGACATCCACCTATTGTTTGGTATAAGTGGAAGAATTGCGATGTAAGTCACTGCCCCGCAGATCAGTTACCGTCTTGATATCATCGTCTACATCCAACTAGTATGTTCACCGTTGCCATGCGCCTTCTTTGCCCGAAATCTATACACACATTTCCCTATATATCGAATATATTTCGTAAAATATCGCGGTGCATTGCATTGGTCTCCCTGAAGCGTTTTTATCCCCCTTTTCCACGGCGTTGGAAGGCCTCGTCGCGCACCTATCCGTCGTCGTAGCTCATTCGCCATTCAAGATGGGAATTGCGGACAATCCTAAGTACAGGCGCATTAACGACGACATCGCTGCTGGTCGTTTTTACGATTCTCTGCAACATGTGTTGAGCGCATCGCAGAGGTAGGCTGCGCTAAAGTGCCTAGCAATTTGGTTCAGGGCAGTAATTGCCAAGCGCTACTCCGAAGCTTTCGAGCTACTCCATCACTTCGCGGAGGTGTACATACGTAGGTGTTAGGCTAATGTTGTTCAAGCTGCGCAGGAGCAGGTGAATATGCTCAATCCCTCGAGCTGATGAAGGAGTACATGAACATCGCAACGAATTCTGGCATAGAGTTCACGGAGGCTAACATCGACCAAGTGATATCGTTTTTCTGCACTGTCAAGGAGTCCCTAAGTTCTGCGCAAGAGCCCTTGGCAGGGCCACTTGCAAAGGACGCCATTTTGACAAAATCAGTGGCGATAGCAGACAGCGCGCTGGAGATCAATCCCCATCCTAAGCTCAGTCTGTGCCTTGGGAAACACCACATGGATGAAGGGCAATTGACTGATGCGCAGACGTACCTGATACAGGCACAGGATATGGAGGCGCTTTTCAAGTTGTTGGACTACTGGGGATCCCTTGTTCAGGAACACGAAAGACCCTTTGTATTTCTGCGTTGCATTTTGATTCAGTTAGCAACGGGCGATTTTTCATCTGCAAAATGTCTGCTACTTATGTTGAATCAGGATTTCGAGTCCAGCAATACGGTAAGCGTTGGTTGTGTTGATTTCATTAGCGTCAGGTCCCGATACCGCTGCAAATGGCGTATATCTTCACGGAGCTATTTGAAAACCCCGACTACCTGTTGTACAAAGTAGCGTGCAAGGTATACAAGCCGGTGATAGACGCTGATCCCAACTTCCCACGCCTGGTGCATCACGTGCGTGAGAGGCTCTTCCCGGGGCACGAAGACCCAAGCGACCCTTACCAGGTCGACCCGACTTTGCCTCAGGGCACGGGTAACCCCTTCGCGTCGTTGCTGAGTTCGTTGGTGTCATGACGTGGATACCTGAGGTTACCGCGTTTCGTTCTGTTATTTTATAATTGACACATCGTCATTATCATCACAATCATTTAATGTAACCATGTGCCAATTGGCATGTTCCAATTTTTTTGCGGTGGCGTGAGCCGCTCCCCAAGGTATACGTCTACAGTCTCCTGGGACGTATGACCCTCCCACGCGGTCGCAATGGAGTCTTGTTCCGTTAAGTTTTAGGTGTGCACAGCGTTTTTTATAGTATCAATTTTTGTTAAACCGCAAAATTTGATGGTTTGTAACTGAAAACCGTTTGCTTGTGGCGCCGAGGAATCACATGACCTTTCGAGACACATTACGTTTATATCTCGGCAAAGATGCTAAACTTCTACCGCAATTTATCGACCGCTGAGAAGCGCGCAGCTCGAGTGCTGGGTCGCTTCACGCTGTTGATGTTCACGGTGCCGCCAGTGATCGCGATGACCCTCCCCGCTTTCATTCGTTACCTAGGCTTAGGTCGCACCGCGTCGTTGGCGATATCGGCTTGCACTGCGACAGTGTCGGTACTCATCATCGCCATAAGCTTCGGATATCTGGCGTATCGCGAAGACCACGGCGACGGCGAATCCCAGGCTCGCTATATCATGGGCAAATCAACAAAGTCGGATTAATTCTACGCACCTACAACGCCGACACACGGGTGTAAGTATTTAAAATAGCATGGTAAAGTGTGAAGCTTCGGATACACACTGGAAGGTTTGATCTATACGCGGATTGAGGTGTGTAGGATGGTCGGCATCATTGCGACTGTACTCAGCGAAACCTTGTCGCTCGGAAATACGGCAGACTATATCAACACAATCCGATTTGCGATGCGATTACAAATGGATATTACGTTACCGCTTATCCCGTTGCCAGCCCTCGTGAGATGACCATTACGGGATTGAATGGAGGCTCGACGAGGCTGCAATAGTCGTCCTTCCAGTTAAATTATACCGTCCAAAAATCTTTACCAGAGATATTCTACCATGACAACTGCACATTTTGGTCCGCATCGGTCGGCTCTTGTTCTACCGTCTTAGGGTCTGTTTTAACGCGTTAGTCATATCGGTGGGCAGCCTTATTGCGCCCAGGTCACCTGTCTAATTCAAATAAATATAGAATTTATTACACATGTGGCTGACGTCCTGTGTCTGGCGTTCGATCTGCCTTTTGCCGTGTCGCGCTGGATGTCCTGCACCGCACCACAGGCCGTACGGTCTGCGATGACATAGGTATTTACCTGTCCCTTCCTTGCCTCTGAGCCTTTCTAGGCATGGTTAAAATTTGACGTGCCATTGATTCCGACATGAAAACGCCGTGTCTGGGTGGATTCTCAGCAGTTCAGATGTGTTGAATCTCTTGGTGACACTCATAGTTTTTTGTAACATCCCTCAAGGTGGAAATAACATTAGAAACATCCTATCTGTGATTTTATTGTCTTTAAAAATTTGCGGGATATGCAGTACATCTTAGTGCTTACTTTTTTGCGTACTCCCTTTTTTGTACCTTATTGTGGATTCCTTTTCTGGTAATATGCAATTCGGCTGGTTTTAATTGAATGTGAAAGAATATTCGTTGCCTAGTCATTTGGGGGTTATATTTTCGGGGGTTTTGACGCCAAGTCTACTCTGCCGCGTTGTGTGACATCAAGATGGATTTGGAGGGCTACGTGACTAACGTGCAGAGTCTCAAGACTCTGGATGAAAAGACTAGGGACAGTCTGCTACCACGCAATCCAGTTATGTCGAGAACGGGCTCCTCTACGTCGCTGTCTAGTCTGGTTACGACCAATGCGACTCATTACCAGAATTGGCTCAAGACGTTTTATGCGAACAAACTGAATGAGGTGATTCACTTTCGTGAAGCGGCTCATGTTGTCACCAATTATAATTATAAGATGGACGATGGCGACGACATGGATGACATCGTCGAGCCCTGCCTGCTCGACTGCCACACTGAGGAGGGTTTCGTCATGGCTGCTATGCATCTGATCCTCCATCGCATAAAGGCCAAGCAGGCGGAGTCTCCGACTTCAATTGTGACTATTGGTTTGTCTGGTGGCAACACGCCGAGAGCCGTGTTCCGGTACATGTCTAACATGGAACACCTCGACATAGACTTCAATCGCATTATATTCTTCCTAGTGGACGAGCGCTATGTTCCGCCTACTGACGAGCTCTCTAATCAGCGGCTCATACGGAACACGCTGCTCAAAAACTGGCCAGTGCCCGAGTCACACATCATTTTCCCGGATACCACTTTGCCTTTGGAGGAGTGTGTGCGCAAGTATGAGGCGGATCTAGAGCGCGTGTTCGGCAAAGTGGAAGGATCGGCAGCGAATACGACTGAGAGTTCGCCCCAGCCCAAGGTGGTGGGTATGGCTATGAACAAGCACACGCTGAAGCCCGACTTGATAACCCTGGGCATCGGTGACGATTTCCATATTGCAGGGCTGTTCCCGGAATACTTGTCAACACTCGATCCCTCGCAAGTAACGGATTGCAACGAACGTGTCATGATTACCCACACGGACACAGCGGTCGTTCACGACCGGTTGACCCTATCGTTACCTTTCCTGTGTTGCGCAAAGAGCAAGCTATTTTTCTTGAAGGGCGAGCGTAAGAAGCGCATTTGGACCACTATGCTGCAATACAGACACGTCGACCCGATTCGTTTCCCGGCTACTCAGATTTTCACGAAGCCCGGATGTGTTGCGGTGTTGGATTCGTCAACTATCCGCCGCATTAGACGCAAGGTTCCACTGGAGCAGACGGACTGCCTAACTTTCATCCTGTTCGGTAGCACTGGTGATTTGGCCCGTCGTAAGCTGTACCCAGCTCTTTTCCACCTATTTTATTTGGGATTCCTGCCGACCAAGTTCCGAATTTTGGCCGTGAGTCGGTCGCATCAGTCGTTTGATGAATTTTTCGAGACAGTCTCCAAAGACATTTTTGCCTCTATCAACACAACTATTTTCATGTGTGAGGCAGCGGCGCGTTTCGATTTCCCCACTGTGATCGCGGAATTCAAGAAGAAGCTGGGGAGGGTGACGATAAAGTACGACAACCCGCAATCGCTAGTGCAGCTTAACGACACTCTGAACGAGATTGAGCAGGGTTCCACCGTGACGCACCGTCTCATATACATGGCTACACCCGCTGAGGCTTACCACCCCATTATGAAGATCGCAACTTCAGTGTGTCGCCCCAAGGAGGGTTGGTTTAGGGTGATGTTGGAGAAGCCTTTCGGGCGTGACATGGGCAGTTGCGAGGACATTCAGCGCGTGCTGCAGCAGCATGCACAACCTGAGGAGATGTTCCTCGTTGACCACTACTTGGGCAAGCCGCTGATATCGTGTATCATAGCCATCAAGCGTTCGCTTCGCTACAACCACCTCTTCAGCAGGCGCTACGTGAAGAGCGTTCACATTAAAATGAAGGAGCGCATTGGCACGTTTGGCCGAGCCTATTTCGAGAACTACGGAATTATTCGCGACATGGTGCAGAATCATGGGTTACAACTGCTCTCTTTAATCGCTATGGACAAACCCGATCGGTTGAATGATTCGGTTGCTGAAGAGAAGCGCAAAGTGCTGAGGGCCGTGCGCACCGTGGGTCTGGAGGACACCATCATAGGCCAATATGCAGAGAGCGAGGATGGCAGCGAGTGCGCGTACTTGCAGGAGAAGGGCGCATCGCCAGATTCGCTGTGCAGCACGTTCTGCTCTATGGTCCTGTACGTGGATAACGAGAAGTGGCAGGGCGTGCCGTTCGTGATAACCACGGGCAAGGGTCTGGATGAACGGCTCTGCGAGGTGCGACTTAACATGAAAAGCACCTTTGCAGCTGAATTTGGAGCCGATTTCGAGGCGCGCAACCTCGTTTTTAGGGTGCAGCCCAACCCCACGGTCTTCTGGTCTGTTGACGCCAAGCACTTCGGCGTGCAGCAAGAGAATGAGAAGTTGGTATTTTCCAGCGACCACGATACGGACAACATGGGTCTGAAGGTGGAGGAGCGTATTTTGCGTGACGTGGACTACAACCTGACCAAGAGGCCCGTGGTTGGGTGCTACGAAATCCTCCTCTACCACGCTTTCAGCGGCAAGCGCAACTACTTCCCTTCGCTCGAAGAGGTTAGCGAGTGCTGGCGCATTTTGACGCCCCTGCTGCACGAAATCGACGACAAGCGCGTGCGCCCGATTCTGTACCCCCGCGGGTCAAGCGGGCCCAAAGAGCAGGAGCGTCATTTACAGCTATTGAATTAAGTGTGATTATTTCTGTGTTGCGTTGGCGATGCCTGCCGATAGTTCCTGCGCGGTGAACAGGTGGGTGTTGTAGATGCGTCGCATCTTGACGCCGGCGCTCTTGGCCTGTTTGCGTTCTCCGTCTCGCTTCCGAGAGCTGCGCGCGTTGTTTGTGCGGACGTTCCCAACTCACTTCTGCGGGGCGACGTAGGTGTACTCCACCTGGCTGACGTTGTAGTCCTTTAGCAGCTGGTCGACGGGGGGCATGGTGACCGAGTCCCATAGCGTTTTTATATCGTGGTCCAGCTTAAAGCGATCCTGCTCGTAGCTCTCCTTGCCGAGCGGGAAGAGCAGTATGTCCCGCACGTTATTGAGGCAGTCGTTGCATTTTGAGGAGCCGTAAATGGTGCACTGGTCTGGTGTGCAGGCGTAGCGGCATTTACGCTTCCCTGTATCACTATGTGGCGCTACCTTGCGCATCCAAACCTTTTACGTTTGATGGTGTACAACGAATAGCTCGCAATTTACGCTGCCTTAGTACCTCGTCCAGCCATTCCACCATGTTTGGACTGGTGTTCATCAACTCCTCGTTGACGCGCATCCCCTTGATGGCACAATTCTTGTTGATGTACTCAACGAGTGCATCTGGGCCAGTGACCGATTCATAAGGGTTTTTGTACTGCAGTCGCTTCCTGGCGACGTCGAATTCGATTCGTTTGACATTCTGCAGGGACTCAAACAGATCCTTGTTGGTGCATATGTCAACGCCCTGTATGCTGTTGGTTGCGTCATCCAGTCGCCTACCATAAACCCCAAGCTGCGCAGAGCCTTCTCCACCTCTAAGGTGTGTAGCGCGCGGTTGTGCTGAGAGAGTATGCGGACTATCTTGTGCGTCACGTATATGACCGGGCAGCTCTCGCCTTTGTAGGTGATAGTGCTCGCGCGTGTGCTGAACTGCGGCGTAGTCTGTGCAGAGCCAGCGTCAGATTCCTGCTGCTTGCGCGACGCTAAGTGCAGATGGAACGACGAGCTCGCGCTTATGAACGACATTGTGACTACGCGCTATGTGTCTGAGGCCATGTACAACAAAGATGGACGTTTCACGCCATCTTACAAAATATATTAGACTGCATTGTAATGGTCGACATAGAAGTTGTGCAAAATGCCTGCAGCGGTGGTCGTCGAACTTGCGTATGTGTGGATCGCCACCATGCCACTCCGGAGGTTGCCGTCGTGCCTCGCTTTCAATGGCGGTTGGAAGGCGCCGCCATAAACAGCGCAAATTGCACCATTTATTTCCTCAGTAGTTAGTCGGTGCTCAACCATAAGCTTTTGTAGTCGTGCCAGGCGATCTCTTGAGGATTCGCTGCCACCGTCGTTCGAAGTCATATTTCCACACGCGGTCTCACCCGCTCCGCGTATGTCCGCCGTTAGTTGGAGACGGCGTATGGTACACACTCCGCGCAATGCGATTTCTCGTGCTGCGCCCTTTTGTAGGCAATCCAGTAACACATCTGCCAGGTCGCTCCCAACCGTTGCGATTTTCCGCATCGTTTCACCATCTGAACCGGTGCTACTATGCATGGAACACATCCACTGGATGTATGTAATCTCGTCTAGAAGTCGCATAATTGCGTTCGCATGTTCGTCAACCGTCTTGCCGGCATAGTCCAACCTACAGTCGTGTTCGCCCACGCAGATCCTGGCAAGCGTGGCGAAAGACTCATATGTATCCATCACATCCCGCTTGGGCCGTTTGAAGCCTATGGCATTGGCAGATTCTATATTTAAATCCACAGATTCAGTAGTCTGAACAACGTTGAAATTTCAGGTCACCTCCCCAAACTTACCCTGAGATTGTGAACTTTAATCCTGCCGTATTTGAAGAACACTAAGGCGTTGAACGTGCGCATTACTCTCGTTAAATCAGCCAGCTGCACTTGCGCATGGTGCTGCTCGGAGAGAACCGCGACGGTGCTTACGATATTGCTGTTGCTGCAGAGACATTAAGGGTAAAAGTCTCATAACCCACCAAATAATTTTTAGGAAGCGTGACGCTAGTTCTCCCGAGGCATCTCGAGATATTATACCTGATATTGATGAGAGCATGTAACCGAATCTCCTCATTGTGGCCACGAGGACCTCACATAGTTCCTGAGGCCTGTTGTCCAGAATGCGCCTGTCGCAGCTCTCGACGCTAACGGGTGCAGCAATTTGCATGACTTTTGTCAGCTCATTTATCAGGTCGAAAGAGGTGAAGTTGAGCTTATGCAGAGAGGAGACGATGGCAAAGAGGTGCCGCCAGAGGGGCTGTTCTATTGGCATAGAAACATCCATTATCTTCTGGGGCTTTTTCCACAGCCCATTATGAAACATATAGCGTATGGTATTCCCCATGGCGTTTTCTGTGTGGGACCTTTCCAATGCCTTCAGCTTATTTTTGAGTCGCCAGCTGTATAGTGACGACACTCGCACTGGTTTCAAGAACAAGGCGTCATCCACAAAAATCGGCGTCCGTCTATCTACGAAACTCTCCAGGTGCCTGGCCACATTCCACTGATTCGTGGGTACCACAGGTGGCCAATCGGCCCCACCCGAGGTGGAACCCATGTATGTTACCGGTTCTGTAGTAGCATCGGTCGTATCCGCTCGGCGGCTTAAGTAGCCGTCGGCGATTCGCAGATCTCCGGCGTCTTTATTGTATTGTTGAGCAATTGAAGGTTGTGCAACACACCAACGACTAAATCTTTTCCAGGTATCGGCAATTTGATGTGGTCTGGGATCATCACTTATCATACCCAGGGTGCTAGGCGATCCACCATCGATTGCAACGTGCGTTCCTGGCGTCCCAGTTTTAAGCGCAGTCGTATAAGGTCTCAAGAAGCAACGTTTGAGTACCCTGCACTCGTTTATAAAATACTGTGTCATCTGCACATGACGGGAGCCTGCGTACCGCATCTTCTTTTTTAGCTTTCTGAAGGATAGATTAATTTTTGATGGACGCCTCTTTTCCAAACGCACTGTATCCAACACTTTGCTGCTCTTGAAAGATTTTTTCAGCTTCAATCGCTCCGACTGTAATTGCATCTGCTGGCGTATATTCAGCCTCCTCGAGGCTGGATGCCTTCCGTCGAAGTGCAGATTAAGGAATTCATGCATACACTCCTTCAAGGTTTGGTGGCGCACAACATCCACAGACATGGGTAATACTTTCAACTGCGAGAGGTCCGCCGTTGACGTGCCTGCACTAGAGTCGGCATCATCTGCACGCCGTAGGAGCCTACGCAGAGCTGTGCGTTTCTTATGGGGTTCTTCTTCAGGTCCTTTTGCATCTAAAGAACTAGTTGGAAGCATCTCTAAAACCATGTTGCCGGTCAATACCTCTGGAACCGATCCGCCTCCAAACTGCATTTGCGTATCCGCCGAATGGAAAGAGCGACTTCCATATATGATCCAAGGGATATTTTTGGGTAGAAAGCGAACCTCATCACTGCTATTACCGTCGTTTGGAGATACCAGTTGTTTCGCACCAATATTTTGCATACAGTGAATGGTGCACTCCGTAATGCTTTTCATGACTGCGATCGGTTTGTAATCAACTTTCGCGAGCATGTTAGCGATTCCAGCCAATACCTTCAACCTTGAGTTAACGTCTTGCAAGCCTGAGGTGACGTCTATTATTTGTTTATCTCCTGCGTATGAGAATTGTGATTGCATGATACCATGTACCAGCTCTTTGTGTTTATATGACATGGCTGCGTAACAGTTGAGTGTGTCACACAATTGCTCGCTGGTGAATTTGTTGATGTGCCTGACAGTTATATTCCCTATTCGGCTCAGCGCGACCATGTCACGGTAATAGAATTTCTTCAAGACGCTGTATTTCACTTATTACACCAAACGTGACCACTTACTGTAGCACTGTGATTAGGAGTTTTGGCGACCATTTATCCGGCTGTTCAAGGTAATATCCAACTAATCGCAGATAAGGCAACGGCAGTTCATTTATTTGACACCGCCCCATGCTATTTGACAACATCAGGAATTGCGCTACTTCCCCCTTCTCTATGTTGCGCTCGAAGTTGAGGCAGATTCGATTAAACACATCGCTGCAAATCGTGACAGGCTGACATGTAATTACTGCACCTGTCTGTAGGATCGATGATGAGTTGTGTCTGGCTGAAAGAAGCAAGGTGCTTATGGTCCATATATCCCATGTCATCGAGGCACTTATCGCGGCAACGCTCGAAAAATCCCATAAAAACGTCGCCCTCATGGAGACCGTTTTCTACTAAGAATTGCAGGAATCTCAGGTGGTCTCCAACGGAAGGGGTCTGGTGTGGCTTATCAAGCTCAGCGAAGAAGACGTCGAGGTGGCGGTAGCTCGGCACGAACCTTAAAGCTTGTAAGACTAAAAGTGAGGCACTACAACTAACTTCAGAGTCGCACATGCTCGTATGAAGGACGTTACATGCGTAAGCTTGCAGTTTCGTAGTAGACAGCACCAGCTGAGCGCCTCGCTGATCCCCTGCAGCAATACTACATTCCGATACTTCATATGAGCAAGAACGGTTGTGATCTTGCACAGTTCCTCTGCCCTGCAAGAAACAGTTATAGATTTTAAAAAGTGCTCAAGCTTACTTGGTGATGGCCAATAACTCTAACGCACGGGCGCTCAGGTATCGAAGTTGCCAGACATCCCGGTAACCGGCGGGCTTTGATAGCAGCACGCTGAATTGCTTCAATATCTGGTGCGCGTTACCTTCACCGCCTTGATCTGATCGAATCTGCTGCTCAATAGCTGCGCTCTTTTGTAGAGACACAGCATTATCCTCGGTTGCTGTCTTAGACCGTTCTAACTTTCGTTGTCTGACGACATCGAAAATCGAAGCGAATCGACATTGTTGACGGAATGTTGCATCTTTCGAGACGTGATGCACGTACTTACGTAGCATCGTCCCGTAATCGCCGAAGAAGCATTGCTTCCGCGTTCAAATTTACTTCAAGTCCATTGCAGGCAGCGGAGCATTGATAATAGTGGAATCCTCAAGGACAAGGAAAGTTTCAATCATGTCTATGTAGAATATATTGCGGAAGACACCATTTGATGCTAATGTGTGTACACTTGACGCCCATTTATTATGCGGTCCATACACCTGCTACCAAACAGTCTATACACGCCGTCGGAGCATCGTTGCAACTGGAAGACATCATCAAATTACTTGAAAACATAAGATAGATTTCGATTAATGCAATATGTGTTACGATCTTGTCTAAAAGTTACAGCCGCGACATCGTACGTGATCGCTGGTTTGCTAGGCGCCACGGAAATGTGTATTACGGCACGTTGTCCACTGTTACAGAAACATATGGAGAGACGACTCTCAGATTTTAAGACGACGTGATGCCCATTTCATACTGCTGTCACATCATCGCATCCATTGAGCTGCGGTATGCATCGGACACACGCATACCGAAAAAGATTCTTCGAGCTTTTAAGTATCCCAGGATTGAGGAGAACGATGAAGCTTCAGAAGCATCTACTGGCGGTTGGTTTTATCTTAAGAATCCATAACATAGTGTTAGAGTTTCTCGCTTCAACAGCGGCCTGGATGGACGACGTCGATGTCTGCAACAGCATCCTTGAATCGCATGGTTACTCAATCGTTAGTTTACCAACACGATAAAACTGTTCATGGGCGTTTATAGGTGCGAGATGACAGCTGTAGCGGGCAAGGGGGAGGTGCTTTATGTATAAGGAGGCTGGATTCTAATGCAGGTCAACCCGTAAAACGGTTGCGTAAGCAACTCACCCGTGGCGAACCAACATCCGGCAAGGCACCTACAACGGAGAATGGCAATGTAGACGGCGCCTCCATGAGTTATATATGCGGCATTGTGAGGCGTTCAATGGTGTACCACCTATGTCTGTATGATGACTACTCCAAGGACTTTGAACACATCGTTTCTAAAACGACCGATGTCACGCGGGATGTTTGCAGCATACGCAAGCATTCCGCTTATGAGATGCTATGCAGTCTAAGGGACTGCCTAACGCAGCTGCGCAGCAAGAGCACCGAAACCATGGAGGCAGTGCTCATCACCGATGAGTACAGCGGCATCTTCACGAATGAAGAGGTCATTATCACGCGCTCCACAATGGGATTTCGCGGCATGCTCGCCGATGAGGGCATTAAGTTTTCCAACATGTACGATATCGCTTCGTCTTCTTTCGGAAACCTACCTTTGGAAAATTGGGATAACTCTCGTGATAATCTCGTCAACGATTACTTGCAGATGAGCACAACATATGGACCGGAAGAAAGCCAGGAACCTAATATCGATGAGCTGGCCATAGTTTCCGTCCCAGATGGAGCCACTTTTGCTGAGAGCACGCTGCCTGCGAAGGAAGCCTTTTTTAAGGCACTCAATCTGCCGGTGTCTGATGATGACATAAATGTTTTCACCGTGAAAGGGCGTGCACACTGCCGAAAGTTGCTGAAATTCCTCGAGAGGCTGTGCAGGTCAGCGCTTTTGAAATTGAAGACAGCGAAGTTGCACTGTGCCCCCGTAAAGATTGTGCTGTCAAATTTCCCTGTGATATTCTCCAAGCTCCAGGAGCTCCGTGTTTCATCCGAAGAGATGGAGAGTAGCATCACGAGTGATACTAACTGCCTCACCGTGAAAGGCCTGATACTGCCGAGCGTTTTGAGTGGTATCTTCAAAGTCGTACGACGTATGCAGACTCAAGGAACAATTCAAGATGTTTCCTTGACTCTAAAGTACAATACGGATGTGGATGCTGAGCTTCATGAAAGCATGCTACAAATATCGGAGAAAAACAGGATATACAACAATTTCATGGTGAACGTTAATTCGTTGGAGAGCGCCTCACAAAGAATTTATCGAGTGCTGAGGAAGCTGGTGCCATTTACAAACTTTGTAGTGCACAAAGGACGAATAAGCGTTCCTTACAAGGGTGCACTGAGGGATCATGGCCATATAGAGTTGTCACATACTGACAATGGCGCAAAAATCGAAAACAAGAGTCTGCATCTAACTGACGCGTCCCTCTCCCAAGAGCAGATGGGAGACACGACTGCAGAATCTGAGCCAAGATGTGAAAAGGTGGTTATTTTGAAAGACACGTTGTACTCAAACCTGGCTATGGTGAAGTTTACAATGGAACATCTAGAGGGTGCGCATACAGTTTCCGTGATACCTACAAAAAGCCTCATAGATGAAGCAATTGCCTATGTTTCCTGCATTAGCTCTTCATCTGAGAAGGATGATTCGCACTTCACAAAGTGTTATGTTGATCTGTATCCCATCTTAAACAACGAGAATGTGCATGCGACCATGGATATACAGCCGTATCACCTGGTTAACTTAGTCTGGTTAATGGGTTACCTTCTCCATTGTGGTGGTTTCTTGCCATTTATGGACCGTGAAAGCTGTAGTGAAAACACAGAGATGCCATCCTTGGATACGGATCTTTTATCTTCGTCTCTGTCACTGTCTAGGTCGCTCTCCGAGGAGTTCAGCGTTTTCTTGGATGGGTCTGTGCCGGAGATGTTCAAAACAGATGTATCACCATCAGCCGTAGACCCTTTGTCCCAGCAGTCGTATATAATAAAGCTTGTTCACCACGTGACTTTAAACAAGCGTTTTCAGAACCTATTTGGGATATCTTACAATGAACACTCCCGCAAGAAATTGGAAGCGATGCCTAGTTTGGATGTAAAGCGAAAGGTTTCGAATGATACAATTTCTTTGATCTCGCGTGACACCTCTGAGGGATACACAGCCAATCTAACGCACAGTTGGAACAGCCTCATACAAAGGGCTCAGTCCGACTCAATAACCACCGACTGTGGAAGAGAACAAGATGGCGGCGAGCAGGGCAATGATGACCTTCAGGGCTCTTTAAATTCCTCCCACAATACTGAAGTGTTTTCGTTGGATAAAATGCCAGAACAACCTTCGGGCGCTCAAACTGCAGCGGGCAATCTCGTAAGCATGATCCCTTCCACAGCGGATGATGCTGTGAAGCATAGCCTTTCACTAACGGAAAGTTTCCAGTCCGTTTCGTCGGTTACTAGGGCACATGGCAGGGTTCGCCACTGCGTCTTCGATTTTGATACAAAGGCTTCACTAAAGGACAAGAGCGACAGATCGAAGCTACAGCACGAGATCCATAACACGTATCGTCCCGATCATGTGCAAGCCGAGCGATCTGGACGGAACCGGCACCTAGTTTTTGTACTTTTGACAAATGAAGTTGTTTCTCCACTCGCATCGAGCAGAATAAAGTTGGTAAAGGACGTCATCAACTCATCAGATGTTATGTTTTTACATGGAGAGAATGCTGAGGAGAGCGAACAGCCCATCGAGTATAATGCCTTCAACGCACAAAATGTCGAGAGAAGATACAAGTTGGAATCAACAGCTGCAGTATCGGACGATTTTTACATCAAAGGTGGTATGTCGTACTCGTTTTCTTTGGGGGTTGGTCGACTTATTCCACACCTCTCACGACTGAATAAAATGGTATGTTTCAGCTTCATATCGTTTAAATTACGATGCAGTTGAGCAAGGACGTGGCTATAGAATTGTTCTACGTTAGGATGGATTCTGGTATCTCTATGCGTAAATTACTCTCAGTTCGTGGTCTGGTTGAGCCAGATAGGGGAGCGGCGAAATCTATTTTTGCTGGGCGGGAGATAATAGAGCATTTTGTGAGCTACGCATGGTTATGTGATGCCTATTTCGATGGCTGTATCGACTTGCGTGCTGAAATAAGGCACTTCCAAAAGATGTCGGTCTATGGTGATAAAATGGTTGACCATTTCTTCTCCAGAGATGACGCGGAGCAACATCGCAAATACAGCCACGGATCCTTAGCATTTTCATCCCGTTATCGTGACGTTAAGTTCTTATGGGGGTGGTCTATATATGTGTTGGATAGGGGCAGCGTTGTAGTCAGCGATGAGGATGCGCTACTCTTTAAAATGCATTGCGGCATTAACGTACGGTCACACGGGTCGTTAAATGCCATTGCCAAAGATGTGAAGAACGACTTGGAGTCGCGCTTGAAACGGTTTAATATAGATGAAAACGATATCGCATCGTTTTTCTTCCACCCGAGGATATATACCAATTCGCTGGTGCTTCTGGATGACTCTACGTTGCCCAGTTCAGATTTGGAGAGTCTAAAGACGAACTCTGTTTACGCAAACGGTTGCATAAAGGAAACATTCGGAGGGTTTCCGATATGTTTCGGACGGTACGAAGGATTGCCTTTGTTAAGGTTGCGCTGGCTAAAGGATACGTTGAGAAAGGGTCGGCCGGAGCCGATATCAAAATATCTGCTCGTATCATAGTCACACGCATCATGAAACTTCACACGTTCACAGTCAGCTCCATCATGTGATGGGTATAACAATATCTTTTGCTGTTATCAGTGCGTTTCTACCATGGACACTGTCCACACTTGCAGGGGTGACAACTTTTCTCAGGTTGGAGCAACATTTCGTTGTTGGATTACACTTACGGCTTATGACTGGCGTAGAATTACACTGATTCCCACCATGCCTTTATTAAATCGATCACAAGGGATTAGACAATCCGGCACTTGTCCGTCGGCATTGAAGCATCTGAACTACGGACCCTCAAAACGTTGCCTGTAAACAACCAATTTTATATGAATATATGTTATTCTGTAACCGCTGAGTATATACACACGGTATTATAGTATTAAGTGCAAAACGTGAGTCAAGGAAACACGGCAACTGGAACATGCTTAACGACGATTGACCTCAATGTAGATTCGCATTGAAAAAGAGAATGAGTTTCACAACGTAGCATTATAGCCAAAATATGGGCTATTAGACATGGCATTTATGTTTATTGTGCACAAAGTACACTGGAGATCATCATCGGGTCTTCGTTGATCCTGTGATGAACCAACGTCACACCAATTTTATACTAGACACGCCAGAGAGCACCCACATGTTTATTGAGCTCCCAAAGTTTTGAATCAGTCTGTATATGTTCCATAGTGAGGCGTTCGTGTGACATGGTTGAGTAGTTCGACGTTGTACTTACCCGTTGTGTCCAGTCACTTGTCTTCAGTAACCTCATTAATATTGGACCGTCTTTTAGTTCAACACTATCTGCATTCATTCTGCAGATCACACGTCGACATTAAATGCTTGTGAGTTTATAATTGCGGAGCAATTTTGTATTCGTGTTTATATGTGCGAACCGTAGTGACATAATGACTGGTGCACACAAAAGCGTTAATATAGGGCATATTTTAATTGCATCTATGACAGTATTTAAATGACGATTTTGTTATACGTGTTATTGCAAAACGGTGCAAATGTTGAATAAAACATCAACGTAAATCCGAGTGACCTTGGTGTCTGTTCATGACTGAATTCCCCAGGGCATTTAAAAAATTTTTTAGGTTAAAATGGATCCTAACGGTCAACGCAACGTTCCTGGTCACGATAATATGCTCGGTAAGTTAGGTATCGGCTAGTAACAACAGCTTATTTATGTTTCAGACCATCAAGGGCAGGAATTTCAACAGATGCCACATGGCTGCAACAACATGCCTATGGATGTGAGTGGTTAAAATAAACTTTCATGAATGCGCCTGGTATCAAGGAAAGGGACATACATGAATGGGATACTTCTTATGCAAAATCAATAAATGCGCAGATGACTCCCAACCATGCTGGCAACATGGCTTACATGATGCCGCCCATCCCTGTCGAGCACACGAATCCAATGTACGGCGACAGCATGGGTATGTACTACCCGCCTCCCCAATTCCCAATTTACGACAACGGGACTGCTTACAATGGCAATGCGATGCCGTATATGCAGCCTCCGATGCAGGTTATGCCGCAGTACGATCATTACCAACCAAGGGGGATGCCACCTCCACCAGCCGCGTTCACGTCGCGAACTAACTGTCATGAAGTAAACCCAGGGAGGGTTCCACCATTACACATGGGCGGCAGAGCCGTATACCGCAAGCAGAAGGGCTTCCTATGCTGCTGAGAAAACGGCACAACTCCAGTACACATCGACACAGTTCCGATTTAATGGTCGTTTTTATGCTCCGTGACACAGTGATCTACCAAAAGTGCTTCATAAGTGGCATCGCAGAATCCCGGCGGCGCGGCCGTACGGCAATCCTCTCTGAGATATGAGAGACAATGTTACCGACGGGAGAATACTCGGTACCAATGTCCCGGAAGGCACACCTTCCGCGCGCAGTTGCGCCCTTGTCTACGCCGGGGACGAGGCCCTGGCGGTGGTACACGCGATGTCGTTGCTGGGTGCAGTGCTCAACTGTCTAGAAGAGTTACGCGATAAACGTGGCCTCTTGATATGCAAACGAACTAGCTGGGATGCCGCGGTGGCGCTTCTTGGCAGGAGTCTGTCCGACAACTTCGACAGCTGCATCACGCCTTGCAGCGCCTTGCATGAGTTATACGAGTCGAATTGCACTACCCAATCGTCACTGGAAAAGCTATTTGGCCACGCATTTAGAGTCGGTTCTTCGGTGTTGAACGCCGCAAAGCAAAGCGAAGGCTGGGATATGCTCAATGACGTGATAGACGGTCAACTCTGCTCCCAGTTGTCCAACGCCAGTATGCACACTTCCCTGACGCAGCAAAATGCAGCAATGACACAAGCCGTTGGTGATACGCAGAAACAAACGTATACAAGCTTCTCGGGAGGTAACACGATATACCGCTCCATGCAGCGAATTCTCGCGATGGAGCGTAGCCGTGAAAACACCCTGGATAGACTTCTCGTCCGTTTTGTCGACCAAATACCGCTGGAATCTACCTCAGGGAAGAGATCGAGCGCATTCAACCCATTTGTAGAACCTGGGCTAGAAATGAAGTGGAACTACATTCAAGCAGCCAACGAGATGTGTGACCATCCGCCTGACATTGGCGTGACGGTTGTAGCGGGCCTCTCACATATGAACTTGATCCGCCATAATGCAGCGGCAAATGCAGAAGAGGCGAACAACAGCGATGACGGAGAACATCGAATATCAAGCAACTCTTCAGACGTCAAAAGTAATCCTACCATGCACCCGTTTGATGGGTCAGACCGATTCAGCTGGGATGATGAAGGGAAGCGTCAAAGCGTTCGCCTTAGGAGCCTGAAATCGTACACGTTTTGCATAGCCCTCACGCTTAATGCGCTCAACGTGAACTTGACCAGGCTTGCGACACCAAATGGTTGGTTACCAAAATTGTTCATGATTGAGCCCTTGCCCAGTAAAAATGAAGATCAGCAGCAATTTGTCGGATTCCTCAGAAGCAGGTTCCAATTCCTCTATCGACTAGAATAACACACGTTAATGCACAACATTACGATCAAAATCCCTGCCTATTGATTCTAAGTAACTAGCACATTTGTACAGAGGCATTTTAGCCCTCAACGCGTGACATGCTATCATAGCATTCGGTATCTCTACCGTATTGCATTTTCGCAATTTCTCCAACGAGGTTGAAGAACCACCAGCAACGCTATTGGCTGCAATGACTTCCTTATTTGACACCTTGCGCAGGTCATCTAAAATTGTTGTCCTATACTTGCTCTTGACGTATTCGCAGCATACCAGCGATGCCGCCTTGAAGACATCGATATCGAGTGGCGAATTTACGCTAGTTGCAAGGTATTTCGGATCTTGCTGCTCCAGCCACTGTAAACGCTTCTTGGTTCTGCAGAAGCATATTTTCAGCGCCCATATGAGGCGTTCATCCGGCACGCCATCGGCGCTGATCTTGATAAGCTTCATTGGTTCCTTACCGCCAGTTACCTCTTCGGAATCAAATATTTCGCCAGTCACCGGATGGTATTCACTTTTCTCCTGCCGAATTGATTCCATATCTATATCATCGTCAAATGCTGGGTGGTTTGAGTTGTGTCGTGCCAGGAACTTGGAGGCGAACTCATTGTACATCTCCACCGGCATGCCCTCAAAGTAAGGTTCGTTATACAGATTAAGGAACCCTTTGTCACTGGGGATCTCAAACAGGTTCACCCTAAGCAAGAGATTGCGTTTTTCTAACGGCAACCCTGCAGGGAAGGACCGAGGAAGCAATTCTTTCATGCCTGTAGATTCCGCAGCACGAGCAATTAAGGCCGGTTCTACTTCCATAAGCACACCCTGGTCCTGTTGTAAGGGAGGTAGCATACCATAATCCAGAAGGAAGACGTTGTTATCCCAGTTGCCGTAATTCACCCTGAGTTCCTCACCAGGTTGGATGGCGCGTAGAGATTTTAGGATGAAACCGCCTCCCCCGCTTGAATCCATTTCTATGGTGCAATTCGGGTCAGCAGAGTCATGGTTCACGAGATCCAAAAACGGAACTATATACGATTCCTTTTCTTCAACACCAACAGACATGCTGTCAGACGGAGACCCAGTCGTCAGTTTAGCCATTATACCTGGAGCTCTGTTGTGAAGGAAACTGCGTTTCGTGTAGTCATCACCTGCGCTGTTTTCCACACGCCCAATTGTCCTGATATTATGCGCAACAACGGAAGCGAAGAGCTTGGTGAACGTACGCTGTGTAATTACGTTGTTTATAGCTTGTAGCCATGAACTCGGACTAACATGCTTGTACAGCTGTGGTTGCAATGTACCGGTTAAGTAACTTTCAAAGGCCGATGAAACATCAACAAAGTCGGCTTTTTCAGTCGGTTCGAATGACGGTCTATCTTCGCCTGCCAGGAGGCCGTGGACATCATCGATGCTCCATTCGAATGGCGCAGTATGAACAGTAGAATCCTTACCGCCTTGGAACGCTAGAATCTCACTTTCTATTTCTTCCATCGCTAGCTCTGCGTTTATCTTGCGGTTTTCCATTAGCGGCCCGCACCCGGACTGTAAAGGTGTCGTGTCTTCAACCTTGTAGTGCGCCTGTGAGAGTTGCTCAATGCGGTCCTGAACAACAGAGAGTGGATCCAAAGCAGCAGTCATAGCATCATTCACAGCTATAAGGCGTTGGCGCAGGCGATGGCATACGATAGGTTCCTGTATTTGGTTATACGCTGACACCGGCATCAACATGGGCAAGTGGCCCATGTCCTTAGTTAGCAGGTGATGAACCCAGTTTAACCTCACAACATCGGCTTCACACAAGGTTGGAATGGCGAAGGGATCGTGGAGTAAATGCATAACGAAGGAGAATATTGCCCTCTGATATAAACCTGCAAGACCAAGGGAGAGGAGTAGCAGCTCACGCTCATTGCGATTAAGATGCATCAATTCGTACGTCTTGTTTTCCAAGGCGACAGTAATTGCGTCGCCCGTAGATAGCACGCTATCGGCAATTAAAAGTGTCCGAAGCATGCTTAACTTTTTGGATGCAATGAGAGCTGATAGCCGCTCCTCGAACCCGTCGCCCGAGTGCCCCGTTGCGATGTTGCCATTAACCCCCAAATCGCCATTACAAGTGGATTCAACATCTATGTTAGATCCTGAATGTGTAGATCGATCAAAAGATTCGCACACGTGACGATCTTTATCATGTCGTATGCCAATGAGGTTCTCGTTGGTGGTTTCGTCATCGTTTGAGCAGCACCGAGCAGGCTCTGTCATCAACTGACCCAAATTCAACCTTTTCAGGTTCTCTATGTGCGCCAAATAGGCATGCAAGACGTCATCTTTAGGCGGCTGTTTTTGAAGAAGGCTGTGGTTTGATATCAAATCACCCCTTATATCCGAGAGGGATAACAGAAAACGATACGGCACCTTCACAATTTCAACAGCAGGGCCAATCACCTGTTCGGCCACAATGGATCGTTCTGCGCCATTATCTCCATCAAAGCGCGCGAAAAACTGTTGATCAATTTCCCCAAAGGTGTTTCCAGTCAAAGCAGTGTCTGCCTTTTTGGCTGCATTGAACGTATCGAGGATCGCCGTTCGATTATACTCCAACCTTGACGTGGTCTCTACCACTAAAGGTGATGCCACAGTGCCTGTTTTCGCCAATGTGTTCCACACACCAGTTACCAGTGGCTCGGTCGACTTGCTATTGTTTCCATCATCCTGTATGGCATGTAAGGACTTTTTAGCCGATATTCCATACACATCTACATTCCACACACTATTTCGCGACAAATAAGCTGCAGCAAATGTCGTTTTACGCTGAACCGTGAGCCTCTTTGAACCGCGGTCAAACGACACCGAACATTTCCTGCAATGATAGCCGTGAAAAGTTGCAACAATTAACAACCAACAAGCTGCAACAATTGTTATTAAGCGAATATACATGTCATTATTATACAGAAGACCACGAAGGTCACACTTCTATCAATATGAAATGTCTAATTAAGGATACACATTACAGCCTTCCACAACATCAATCTAGTATAGGTTGAATTTAATGCTTTCATTTGGAACCTATGTCTATGCACTTTTCAACTTCATTTATGTAATGCTGCAGATTTACTGTCCAATTGCTTGATGATACCGGTAGCAAAGCGGCCGTTTGCAGAACTACTTTGATACGACATCACCAAGTCGCCGTGCGACGGAAGACAACGTAATCAGCCACCTGACAATAACAGATGGGAATCTCAAAGCTGTATTACGCTAGAACACATTGTTAAACCGATGCTTATTGATGCCATCGTAGCCGTAGAGACGTATACTTCCTTCAGCGGGTCTGTTACAGTGCCGGAAGAAGCGCGGTACAGAGATGTAAACCGACTCCTTCGTCGTCGCCAACCATTAGTTAGAACAAACCAATTACACATTGCTTTTTCACAAGCCTACAGCTTCACATTGATGCGTGGAAGTCGATCATTTAAACAGTCACATTGCGCGCGGCGAAGGTGGCACTGCCGTAGTCACCGCGGCGAACGCTTTGGGTAAACCCGAGCTGACAAATTCTAAAGGGTACTACACACAATTGTATAGTCGCTTCACATAGAAACGTCTTCTAAGATAGCTTCGAGTTTTGCAGAATTCTAAAACACAGAAGTCCACGCTGCGGTGCACAGGAGCCATGAGATGAGCATTCTTCTGCGCTAAATTACAGCATACTTGACCGGAGAAGCTTCGTAGCAATATACCGCAAGACCAGCGTCATGTGTAGAGAGCGGCTGATTAGGCGCAGGCTGCGAGCACTTGGCGTGATACCTCCGCAAGACCTGAGCGCGCACTTCCAGGCGCTGGTACTCAAGCTGGAAGAGGAGCACATACGTCATTATGCGATATCGGAGCGCCGGGCACTAAAGGAGGCAGACTCCAAGGCATTCGTGACGGCCTTGCTTAAGGTGGGTACGACAATAGCACCTCTAACCTTAACGCAGTACTGCGATGCCGTTGGCATTGAAATAGACGATTCCTTGCTGAAGAAAGGTGAATTAACCGAGGAAGGCGTGACTTCAGTGCTGGACGGACTTACGTTGGCAGCACTGGAAGAGGAGTATACCGACCTAGTCTCAGGTGAGACAGAAAATGTCATTTCCATTGCATTTCGCAGATGCACAATTACACGTTCCAGCGACTCAAAGCAGCGGGGATAGCGATAACGGATGCTTGCCAGCGCTGCTAGACAAGGTCAATAATCTCCTGGAGCTACTTGGCATACCCGCACTGCAACAGGACGCCCCAGTAGAGGAGATTCGTTCCGCCGTTTTGTTGCTTCTACGGCTGCATGCCAACGCACGTCACGATAGGAATGAAAAGTCTACTAAATTAAACACCGTCCACATGAACCTTGCCGATATACCATGTGGAATTCGTTCCGACAGCCCCGTTGTTACCAAGGCTGCCAGGGTTCTGCGCACGTTGCACTGTAAGTGTTCATTCACACAATGACAGGGTTTCAAATATTTGCAGCGCAAGAGTTGTGCAAACTGCAGGCAGACATCATCTGGCTATCCGAGCGTTTCCAGGAGCTTACGGCAAATCCAGTCGCGAATTCCCACGCGCGGTGATTCACGAGCTAGTGGAAAACCACTTCTTCGGTTTGGCGCATCTCTTCGTCGGTTATTTTGTAGTAACGCTGCATTACTGGGCCGTACAGACGAGCCAAAAGTTTGTTGCGCCAAGCAGGCGAGACCACAACGTTCTTCTTCTGCAAGTACTCCATATCTACATGGGGGTTCAGCTTGACGATGGCCTCGCGCATTAGACGGCTTGCAGTTTTCGCGTACTCGCGTACGCATTCGTGCTCCCCCTTCAGCTCAACCTCCTCCGCAGTCGGAGGCTGGATGGCTGGAAGCCAGTATGCGATGAGGCGCACGCTCGCTGGAGAGCAGCAGCTGTTTACCGCCCACCACTTCCATGGGAAAGCGTCGAATGTGATGTTCATGTAGCTGTACTCTAGCACCATCAGCAGAGGCTGCAGTGGGACCAGCGCACCGAAGGCGCCATGCTTGAAGGGCAGCAAAATGTTTCCTCTGGAAGTTGTGCCTTCGGGGTAGACCACCATCGACACTCTCTCGTGTTCTTCGTTAATAGACTTCATACGATGGACGATGGCACGGTACGCCTCCTTGCGGTTGGATGCGCAATGACGATCTACGGTGATGCAGTTCAGCAGGCGGATGAATTGCCCGATGATGAAAGTTGGCTCCAATGCTTTCTTACACACGAACGAAAACGATCCGCTATGCAGCATGTAGATCACATCCTGCAAGCGTATTTATATTAATCTGTTGGCACCTACCAGAATGCCGATGTGGTTGCTGATCACGTTTATAGGCTTGTCTCGGGTGACGCCATCCGCGTATACCGTCTTGACCTCGGATATGCCTGAGCAAGATGAGCTGAGCCTATGTGGTCATACATACCCATGCCCCAGAAACTGAAAAGTGTTATGTAGTAAAACATGGTGGCCACGTATAGCCTTGTCAGCTGTCTGGAGCACCCTCCGAAAAGTGTAAGTGGAAAGCCTGCAAGAGTTAAGGCATACAGCAAGAGGGCTCACCGACGAGGATGACGCTCATAGCGAAGAAAACGATGCAGGCCAACAGTCGCATGGGAGCCAAGAATATGGAGCCATAGAGCTGCTTCGCGAACCTGTAGTTCTTGAGGTCACCGTGCATCAACGCCGCCTGTATGGCATGATCGCTGTACATCTTGGGGAATGCGTCGAAGTTCTCAACGTGAAATCGCACGCAGTTGTCGAAGTGAAACACCCCGTACACCGCGCACAACAACAAGCCCCAAAAAAGCGCCAACTCGGCCAGCAGGAATGGACGTTGCGTCAGAACTGCGAACTTTCTATCAGCCGCAATTACCTGCAGTATCAATTTGTACGTCAGGTGGAAGTGAAACAACGACCAAAGAAAGCCGGCGACGATATTGTTCCACCTCCTCACAAAACCGGGGCGGGACTTCACACGTATAGCATCGTAATCACATTCATACACTTGGTCGCTGCTTACGGCCTCCTTCCGCTCGTCCGCTCCCGCACGGCGCCGCGGCAGCGTGTCGGCCACACCGTCCGTGCTTGACATCGTGGTGACTCTTCGTTCGATTTCACCGCTTGTACGAGACGCAGTGGCAACGGGCCGTGGCGCTCTCAGGCCAGATGCCTGTCTTAACCGACATTAACGGGACTCAATGCAGCAACTTCTAGGCGGGACACATCCGTACACAGACAGGCTCCTTGGCACGGTCCTTGAGCACAATTGCGGGAGGTATGTCTCGACGATATTATACACTTTATGCTGTTCTGTATTACTTGTCTCCTATGACTGGAAGTATGTTATCTCTGCGGGCATCGATATCTACGGGTACAGGTGGCGCAGCAGATTGATGTCGTCGTCCAGGGCGTAAACGTTACAGTTGAGGTACACGCTGTGTACGTCGCAATATTTTACAAAACTCCAAATACATATGTGTCACTTGGTGTCATGGAACAAAGATTAGGGTGGTCTCACATTGTTGGTGAGGCTGCGAGCTCCCGCGCTGTGAGACGACGCCAATCACAATACGACGCAGCAATATTATGAAAATGGAACTGCATAAAAATACATGTTGATATAGTTTGGCACACTAGACAGTGCTGGAAAGGCGCTTTAAACACATACTTGCCTATACATTCTGGACAGGGTGTATATCTAGTAGGTACGACCGTTACCTGTGTCGCTCTATTTTCACTTAGTTGCGTTGTGTTATGTGTCTATTTATGTATAAGAACATATTCGTTGCTTAGAAGGCTTATATATCTCAATGTATGGGCGAAGGCTATCCACGCGATACCGCATGGGTGTCGACGTTCTGTAAAGCCTCGCTATACAGACTCCTCATGCAACCTTCTGTAGCAGTTTTTACATCGTAGTGGTCGTTTCTGGGCAAGATAGATCGAACCACAAACCCATGACTCTGTCCAACGTGTGTATACATCTAATCCGTAATATTGTCAACACCCCCCCTCATGGGACTCACTCAGCTAATGGAGGCTACACGACGCGGCCATGCACGGTGACAACAACGCACTTATCACAGCCGTAAACACGCGCAACGTTGCAAACTTCTATGTAGTACAATTGTAATTTTATAACGGCACTGAGTCCGTAGTGGCGTGTTACTAGCACATGTTTCATGTCGACTCCGCAGCCATAGACAACGCGGCCATCCTTTTCGGACGGATGACAGAAATGTAAATTAATATCGAACTCAGTATGGCGGCAAGTCCCATGTATCCCTGCGAATTTTTGAAAATGTAAATTACGTGGCCTACCATAAACAAAAACGCGAGGGGACGGAAGCTTTGCTGAGGTATCTCGGCCTTTAGAGTCAATCCCCAGTTGTAAATCGGTATGTTTAGTAGTGAAGACAGACCCGCGAAGCCAAAAATCACGGTCACCAAAGTACCAAAGTATTGCGTTGGGAATCTGGTGTTAACGTAGCAATATACCGTAGATATACAGAGAGAACCCGCTATCAAATAACAGCAGCAGGCCGCGATCTTCATCGCATAAATGTCGAATGCCGCACAAGCATAGTAGAGTACAGCGCAGTTGTGCAATAAATTCATAACCAAAGCCGGGCCGACTCTGTCCATCACGGCACCCAAAAAGGGTCCAGGCGCGAATGTGGCAACATTGATATACTTGAAAACGCCAGTAGCATCTCCACCCTCGCTTGATGCCACCAATAGATTACGTTGAGACTTGTTGACGAATTCAATGGATGGCATGAAAAGAGAGACGGACAAGGCAAGAATGAGGAACTCTAGCAGGAATGGACTCTTTAACCCGTTTTTAATACTATTTACAATGGCCCAATTTTTCTGGCCCGTTGATTCCAAAGCTGCAGAATCCGCCATCACTTCGCATGCGGGAGTAGACTCCGTGCCGATCTGTGCATCCTTTTCAGATGGGGCAACAGGGGCCTCCTTCGGAAGTATAAAGAACCCAGTAACGAAACATAACACATTCGCAACCAGGAGATAACCTATACCTATGGCAAAAAGCATTTCCCTTACGACACCACTTTTGTGATATATCAATGCCAGCAAGGTAGGTACGAAAAACGAAAGGGAACGACACGCTCCCATTACTGCAATAACGGTGGAAGACGCAGTCGGAAAGTACTTGCTCACTGACAACATGGGAATGTAGCATGCTTCACAGGCCAAGCCCACAAGAACGAAGGCAACCTGCAGCAGAAGACCCTTGGTCGGGAAACAAAAAATAAGAAGCCATGCCGACCCTGCAATGAAGTGACCTGTCATGAAGCAAACACGAGGACCGAAACGATCCAACAGCCATCCACTGAAAAACGAGCAGATGAAGTGGGTGGAGTAAGCCAGCGTGTACAGGTTGTTTATGCCACCCTCCCTGTCTGGGCAGTCTGAAAGAAATTAGCACACAACTTAGAGTGACATACCAATGTATGACGCACCGTAGAAAATCTTGTGGGTTATCTCCGCACCGTCCTTGCAATACTCCTCGAAAGCACCAGCCTTGTAGAGAATCTCCTGGACGCCATTCCATCCCCAGTAAATGCAACCAGAACTCAGAATATAGTAGATGTATATGGCCAAACGCAAGAAAGGATTGATGTGTGGCGCTGGCATGACAGCCGGATCAACTATTTCGAAGCGGCATTTCTTTACTCTCTCTACTTCGCTGTCTGACAGCGTCGCCATTCTGTTGGTAGAATGAAGTGGTCGAGGATACTATTATCCTCTTCTGTTTTCGTGTATGAATAGGCAAGAATTGTTTTAATGAAGCCCTAGGCAACGATTGAGCCGGCGGGATACATTGTAGAACGTTTCATGGGGCATTAGCGCGTCCTGCCATGTGCGTCCATGTCCAGATCGACGTTGTTCAGATGTTTTATAGACAAAAGTAGTATTTGATAGCTTAAAGTGGCACGCGTATACCCATTTGGGGATGCATGAGTATCACAAATGGCCCTTGGTGATGGTTTTGTTGCGTCGTTGTATGTGTCTCTACACATGGATTCATCGGTTGCGCAATGTCCATGCGGGAGTTCAATGCGCATACAAATAAATATGGGCTGATGTGTTACGCTTGCGTTATTGGACGCAGTGGCGGCTCTTGAGGTGCGGGGTTAGTAAAATAATGTGTGCATTAGTTTACACATTTGACTATCGGATTCCGATTGACGTCAATAACGGCATTGTACCGATGTATGCATAGGAATCTGTTGTCAACAACCCCGCATGTATAACTTCTATTTCCTATCGACGCGCTTACTCGATGAGGGGTAGGGGCTGACACAGCGTAGCCATTGGTGGGCCAATTACACATATATCCTTGTACACATCACATAATATATAATAAATCCGTCGCGTTGGGTCCGTCTTCCGTTATAAATGCGGGCGGTACTATTAAATGGCTTCACCTGATGCGATACCACTGTGTCACGGCTCCCTGTTGTATAAGGGCGCCATGTGCTATTGCAGGGTCTAAGTTGTCGAATAAGTACAATTGCGACGAGATAGAGGTATACCTAGGCCTAAACGGCGGCGCATAGCGTAACGTAGCCACATGACTACCATAGCTAGGAAACGCCTCGCCCAGGAGAGGGCTGACTGGAGGCGGGACCATCCCGTGGGATTCTCGGCAAAGTACGCGCCGCTGCCGGACGGGAGCGGGCTGGATATCATGAATTGGATATGTAGAATACCCGGCAAAAAGGTCAGGATTCTACTCGGTGAATGTGTTGTCTAGCTGCGGCACTTCACTTTCCATCACCTCCGTTAACTCGATTTATTATACTAACGCTTCGCAGGGGACCATCTGGGAGGGAGGGGAGTACACCCTCACCATGGCATTCACGGACGACTATCCGAGCAAGCCTCCAAAGTGCAAATTCACCCCGGTGCTATTCCACCCCAATGTGTATCCCTCGGGCACGGTCTGCCTCTCCATTCTGAACGAGGACAAGGATTGGAAGCCGTCAATCACCATCAAGCAGATTCTCCTAGGCATACAGGTAACCGAGACTTTTGCATTGCTGACGTGCCGGTGGTCGTTTTACAGGCACCGCCTTCCCCGATGTGGCCGAGGCGTGCTGCACATTTAATGACGGTTTAGATGTCAACATGACGTGAAACCCGTTTCATTAGTTCCATGCGCCTATGAACGTTCAGGATCTCTTGGACAACCCGAACCCGCTGTCTCCAGCTCAAGCGGATCCATACATGCTCTTCGTCAACAATCGCGAGGAGTACAACTCCAGAGTGCGCAAACAGGCACTCGAAAATCGGCCCACTGCGTTCAATTAGCTTCTCTGCAGTTTCCAGATAGGCAATGACATTGTCGACTTTTGAGTTATGTTTGCTTTTTTTTGGCTTTGTTTAGTGTGATGAGTGGCTACGTTTGGATTGGGCTTATTGCTCTCGCCTATTTAAGGCTCAGCCCCTCGGAAAATACAGGTGTTGAATGTTCGGAGTGTGCGCTCCGGTTACCGTACTTATTGGATGTCGCTCGTACGGAACTGCTGGCTGCCGTGTAGCACCACTTCAAGGGGCGGAGCGTGTAAGCACAGCATAAGGCCTACGATTGCACGATCCTCACCAATGCGGGGCATCACCGTATTTATGCATTTGGGACGAAATAACAGAATACCTGTACAGAAAGTACGTACGATAAAACATTACGTTGCTAAGTGATACAATCCACTGCGGTCAATACACCTTGCACTCAGCAGGTGTTACACATTTCGATCACGGGCATGCTGCCGATTCCCTCCAATATGGTGCTGATTGCCCATAGACCTGAAAAGGCTTTAACGTATCTGCATCGTGATTTATAAATATCGTATGTCTACACAATGCCCGTTGGGTGTACGGACATTGACGCGTGCTACGCTGAAAAACAACCTTCCACCCGGCGTCCTCAATAAAATTTTAAATACGTAAGGAACTGTCTGTCCCCTCATTCTATGGCCGCAATATTGTGGACTAATAGGGTATACATAAAACTGGCTATAGTTATATTTCATAAATTATAAATGCTTCGTAAGAGTTTCAATGAGGCCCAATCATTCGGGATCTGTACTCAGAACCTGTTATTGTTGATCTGATTTTCCAGCATTTTTGGAGCCTTTTTTTTGCAGATTTTTTTTACCTGTTTTACCCTTTTTATAGTTTTTGCCTTTGTTAGGCTTGGTAGCTTCCACCAGTTCTCCAACTCCTGTAAATTGTACCTTTAGAATAGGTCCCACAGATTGTTCCTCTTGAACGGGTTTTACAGATTCCACAAGTTCTATGGGGTCCACGGTTTTCACGTATTTTGCCTCCTGAATAGGTTCTTCAATGCCTGCAGGTTGCTCCTCTTTAATAGGTTTAACGGGTTCCACAGATTGTGCCGCTTCTTCGCCTTCCGCATATTGCACAGGCTCTACCGATTCTACCAATTTTCAGGTTCTTCAACTCCTTCAGCTTCCACGCCTTCTTCATATTCTACATATTTCGCGCCTTCCTCAGGTTCAACATCTCCTTCAAGTCCTACAGCTCCCGCAGGATGTTTAGCTTCTGCAGGTTGTTCAGGTTCTAAAGATTGTTCAATTTTAAGATCCCCTGCTTTATCAAACCTATAGAAAGCCCAGAATCCAGAGAGGTCGTAGAATATGGTCAACATGTCATATTTCACACTTTGCAACGCCTTGAAAACATCTGAACGACTCATACTAGCGCCGCATTCAGGCTGCTTGTACCCAACAGCTTTCATTACTTCTCCCAATTGCAACTCCCCATAACTAGCTAGCCACACACGGTTCAGACCATCTGCGCTCGCATGCTTCAAAGAACGTAGACCCGTGTACAACATTGGCGCAATCCCCACGAGGATCACTGCGCAAGCTTCCGGGTCCTTAGAGCATGAAGCCTCCCACGTAGCCTCTGGACTGTAGGCAGACTCATATTGGTCGGGGTTTTTGATATTTTCCAGGAACTTTTCACAACCATCTACGGCTTTACTTAATTTCTCTCCAATGGTTTTAGCGGTGACACCTCTTGCCTCTACGACGTTAGCATAATCGCTTTCGGCTATAGATTCGAACCACCTGTCTAACAAGGTGATATTTTCATTCCTCTTCTTGTTGAATCTCCTTAACAGCTGTCTTACGAATGGCTGCTCCTTAAGCTCCCGTTTCTCCATGAACTCCTTAGAAATACTCTTTACCTTCTCGAGAGCTGGCACCTCCGTGAATCCAACGGGCTTGTCTGCTAGAAATTTGTGAAGTGCCGCACCCATAGCCTTGAAGTTCTTTTCCGGATCAGTTCCCTTCAGGGCTATCAACCAGTCAATGGCCTCCTTGAGGTTCTGAGGAGCCTCGGTCAACGAAGTGTACACCCTTCTATTAAGATGCGTTGCACAAGGCAACTGTTTTTCATTATCCTGCGTTTTAGGGGAACTCTTACTGTACTCCGTTGAGTAGGGGAAATGCTTTCGGTTATGCCAAATGGTGCTCACATATTGTGAAATTTGTTGATATGCAAAATATGATGGAAGAATGGCATGGATGCATAGAGTCATTATACCGAACTGCATCTCACGCTCATCCCTTTGAGAATCCATCTTGCAAACCAATTAGAAAACCGTCTAAATACCCCAAAATCCTCTTCACGTAGAGATACACATCCATACTGGCGTCCAGGGGTGCTCTTGTGAGCGTGATTCCGAAGGATTCACGTTTTACACACCATTAATATCAACGGCCAATACGTGCATTGATGTCTTTGTTTGCCAGCATAATGTGAATCAAGTTACACTGAATTGCATCCGACGCGAGAAAAGTATCAACACTCCATGCAGATTACCACTTCTCACGCGCGATGCAAGATGCTCGGGGTAGTAAATAACTGGATACTTAAGTTTTTGGGGCGCCCCACGAAGTGTCTACTGGCGTACAGTCCGGGAGGACCACTTCAATGCTCACTACAATGTTGACCATAGATGCAACTTAACTGCGGCTTTCACTTACACATGGCCGCCGATTCGACAAATGTCGCACATAAGCACGCCAATTCACATCCTTTACCTCCCGACTCACCTCACAGCGGAATTAAGACGGCATTTATCAGGGAGTCTCCCTGATGGCCTCATGCATTTGCAGTCTACTGACATGATCTGTTCATGGCAATGAGCCCTGCATCGCAGACACTACAACACCATATTGACGAGTCTACCACATTATCTACTGAGTCGATAGTAACGTTAACGTAGGTAGCTATTAATAACTGAGTTACTAAAATAGGCTCCCTTACATGTATGCCAATGTCGTGAGTCAACGGAACACCATGCTACTCAACATTTACAGCCAACTAAGTGCATCAATTCGTTACTACTAACTTCAACAGGGTACTAAGGTATCACGCGAATGAGACAATTCCTGCGAGACGTGTTGACCCATAGGCTCATCGTCGAAGTAGTCGACGTCGTCGTAAAGTGACAGCACCTTCCTCTTGTGACTGAGGAGCGCCTTGACATCGATGAGGTGGGATGCCGTGGTGGTGAGTAGGTGCGAGCGGATGCGCAGCACGTCCAGACGGTAGAGCATAGTGTGGGTCAGGAGGAGGAATGCAGCAGACCAGAACGCGATAACGGTGTAGAAGAAGTGGAATCTGATCCTGTACAGGAAATCGTCCATGCAGGTCATAAGGTTTGCGAGAGGCCCACCTAAGGCAACTTCCTTCAGCTTGGCGATGACCCGTAAACATGTGACTGACGCCCGCGATGTAACCTCTGGCGGCGTGAACCCGTGAGTATAGAGGAGGGGTAGAGCGTCGGGGCAGGCGTTGAGTGATTTAAGGTGTGAACATGTATGCTTCCTCAGGTCTCTATTCAGCTTCTCCATTGACTCCCACAGTCTGTCTGGTAGGTAGACCGCCCAGCTGAGGTAGTCGTGGGCGAAGGCCTGAGAGTACAGGGCGTAGGCACTGTAGGTGGTGGGCATCATGAGTTGTGGGCAGTTGGCATTATCGATGCCGCAACCAAGCATCGTGGACAGGGTCCTGGGATGGTCTTGGTCGTTGATGGAGTTGGGATTGGCGGAGCCCCGGGCGTCCTTGATGGCTCGGAGGTCGACCTCCTTGAGACAGTCCCAGTCGGGGCACTGGCCATGTCGAGTGGTGAGGGCGGAGCCCAGTGGAGACAATCCTCCTGAAACATCCTTGTGCAACTCATTCCCGAAATTGTGGAAGAATGATACGAGCTCCCCGGTGGTGCGCGGCGTCCGCCTGGTGAGGCAGGTGAGGTAAGAGGACAATGTCAGCAGTGGATCCTCGCCGCCGCAGGTGGGAGAGAGGATGGTGTGGAGATGATTGCCGTTTTGTGATTTCTCAGGCAAATCATCCTTTGTGAATCCCATGTTGATACGGCTCTTGAGGCAGATGTCACACGGGTTGAAGGGATGAGTCTCGAACTTGGAGTCGGGGGCGTCAGTCAGGAAGTCCTGGAGGGGGGAGTTGGGAACCATAACATCACGACCATACTCACAATCCTGCCAACCACCGTGCGTGGAGTTCCGAGAACACTGCGACTTTAGGAACGCCAACTGGTGGCAGCAGGCGTAGACGTAGTCCCGCAGCTGGCAGAGGAGGCGGGCGGGGTCGGTGGAATAACGAAACTTGGAATATTCTGAACTGAAATCAGGGACTGAAACAGCCTTCGAATTGTCCTTGTGTTTTATCTTGTGGAGAACGATGGCCGCGTAGAGACATGCCTGAGTCAGAGTGTTGGAGACATGGGAAGCGGTCAGCTGAGTGGGATCCCCGGTGACCTCGAGGGCATATGAAGGCTGCGAGACATCATTGTTAATGTCCACCAAAAGACCTGCAACATGCTTCTCGATTAACGGAATATACCCATTTTGGTTCAGGACAACCATCCAGCAGAGCATTTCCCGGATGGTGTTAGGCGGGGGCAGATGGTCCGAGGCTGGGGGAGGGGAGACGGGTGGTGAGGTGGGATCAGTGGCGGAAGGAGCAACGTGCCAGGGGGTGCGGCAGACGTCGGGGTCATCTAGCGATTGGCCGGGGAATACGGCGAGGGGAATAATAACCTCTGCACGGTCGGACGGCTTCTCTGAAAAATCATCTAAAACTTTAAGCTTGGGATGTCTGGGCTTCGGAATTTCGGGGATATATGTGGGATCATGATCGCAAAGAGGCTCAGGTGGCAGGGGTTTACGGACTTCGATGTCCAAGTTTTCGGACACGTCGGCTCCATATACGTCTTGGGTTGTTAGGTCAACGTTATCCCGTGCCGGCAGCACGGTTATATGAAGTTTATCGTCAGGCGGCGGCACAGGTATCAACTCTACATCGGGGATTTTGTGGTTCTGTGATGATTGCGGATCTCGAATCGCAACTGAGATCTCCGGCATTAGCAAGATGTCATTCCGATCATCTGTTGGGACATAGGCGATCGGAAGTTTATTTGCATCATTTTTAATTATCCTATCATTGACACTCAACATTTTCTCAATTGTTTGGTCGTCAAATTCCAGAGTTTCAAGCGACTTAGGTGTTGTGGATGGGAGACCCGTAGGTTTGGAGGTTGCAAGGGGTGGCAAGGGAGGTCCCTGGTTGAGTCCGGGAATCTTTTCTCCCGTGGCTTGTGACATGAGCGTATTCGAGACGCGATGATCTGGTGAGATTACAACGCTTGGAATTTTTGCGTCACGGACAGGAGGCGTCTTAGGGAGTTTTGAGGCTGGAGGAGGTGACACGGGGCGTTTCCTCTTGGGATTGGAGATGGCCCATGCGTCTATCGCAGATGGCGGCACATGGGTGTCCATCTTCAGAGGTGCGGGGGCTGTGATGTCATTTCCAGTGGACTTTGTCAGGATTATGTCGGAAACATCTAGATATTTTTGCTTGTCTTGAGTGTCAAGTTGGACAGGGTCAGGGGGATACGGTTCTGCACTCTGAAGCGGGGTGCCTGTCGGTTTTTGGATTGGAGTAGGGAGTGGCCAGGGATCTTTTAATTGAGTGTTGGGAGTATTATGACCTCTAAGTTCCAGCATATGATGGAATGGTGGAGTGATGTCGATAGAGTCGGGGGCCTGTGTATTTCTTTTAGAAGAACCCGTAAGTTTAGTAGCGGAAATACCCATCACTTCAGGCAGCGCATAATCGTCAAAAATAACGGTGGGATGGAAGAGAACTGAAGGTTGCTTTGATTCTAAACGACGTCCTGTAGGGATACCGATAGGTGGTATCTCTGGCAGAGGTGTATACTGATTTCCAAAATTAGCATTCCCACCCATCCTAACGGCCATACCCCCACCACCTCCAACTCCACTTCCACCAGGAATCGAGCCAGCCGACTCCGTAGCGCCGCTGCTTACATCTTGACTGTCCCCTCCACTACCACCACTTCCTCCAGTCCCCTGATCATCAATTGACCCAGCATCTGAACCTGAAACGCTCGGAGTCAGAGCAGGCCCCTTGACTTGATCGGCAGCAGGCTGTTGACCTGGAGGAATACCGGCCGGTGAACTCGGTGCCCCGCCATCTGGCTGGCCAGCGGGAACAGGTAGAAGAGTAGGAATGGGGGTATGCCGTGGACCGAGTGGTGCTGATGGTCCTTGAACCTTAGGACCTGGATGGTGTTGTATACTATCACCAAGGGGGTGAACTATTTTGGGGATTTTAGGAACTGCTGAACCCATTCTGGGGCGTTTTGTTTCAGCTTCAGGCCTTAGTGACACGGGGTTCGTAGTCTCGATGTTAGTGATAGGAGGTTTTGGAGAAACGGCGGAGTGAGTTGGCGATTTGTGTTCTTGACAGTTTTCACCGTCCAGTATTCTCTTCAGCTTATTAAGGCCCTCGTCATCTTTAGCTCCGAGCATGATAATTACATCGTTCCAATTCTTTTGCAGATTCCTCGACGCATAATTCAGCGTTCCTGTCTTTTCACCAAATACAAAACCGTTGGGAAACAACGAGTGCTCTGCGAACTCACTATATCCGCCTGGGCGGTAAGGGGGTATATTATTCAAATGCTTCTGAACAGCAGACAAATTAGTCCTGAACCATTCCGCTGCCCGTTTCGCAAAATTTATCTGGTTAGGTTCTCCAATTTTTGCTGCCTGCCCATTATAGTCAAAGCCTCCGGCGGTGAACAATGTGTCTATTCGTGTTTTAAGCTTACTACAATATGCCTTTAATGAATTCCAATCTATGCATTTTGGGGGAATCTGTTTTATGAGATCTGTTTCGAATACATCCTCTAAAGATTTACCCGTAGAGTCCGTAGACACAACCTCACAAAAAGTCTTCACCAATGCAAGAACGTTCGCGGTATTAGAGACCTGATGACCGAAGTTTGAAATGATAGATGTAGAGAAGATGTCTCGGAAAAAATTGTGGCCAGTATTTTTGCCCAGTATTTTTTCGAGGTCATTACACATATTCTTACCCTGGGTATAACCATGCCAATCTCTCACGTCCCCTTTACCGAAACCACCGGGTAATATACTGGGTAGTTTGCCGTACGTTTCATGCATGTAGGTCGCAGTTAGATATCCCTGCAAGTCGCCTCCGTGGACATAAGTAGCCCACGAATAGACCCACCTCCGCCTATCTATACCAGGATAATGATTCTTCCACCCCCCGCCACCGAGTAGTCCAAACTTCTGATCTACGCGGTACCATAGATAATACATCGCTGCCAGTAACCTTGGAATACAATGGAGGAGAGCGTCGACGATGTCTTTTGTGTTGGCGTCGCTTTTAATTGAAGCTCCGGACATACGTGCGTCGTAACGAACCTTATCTTTTACCAATTTTTTATAAAATGTGTCCACGTCACCGAGGAAGTTAGACAATACGGATTTTATGCCATCTTCAGTAACATTCTCATACGTATTTTTAAGGTGCCTCAGGAGTTCACTGGCTACCTCCGGCAGCATACTCTTCCTGTCAGTGTTCAACCAATCCAGGAAAATCAAACAGTCCTTGAGACTGGTGAATTCGAAGCCACGCGCATCATAAACCATTATGACAACACGTATCAATATTGTGTTACATTAACAAAGAGTCATTGAGCTATGCTTACGAAACAGCATGGCAACGCCTCAGGAACTCCGTGCACTGGTGAATGTCTAAAGCTAAAAATACTTTACGGTGATAGCGCAATTAATCACGCACTTAACTTGGCGCGTACAACGCAACACGTCACAGCCTCTAAGAGGATGGGTGTAAAAGTCTACAAAGTGAAATTATGAGTGAAAAATGCGTCATGCTTAAACGAGGCACTCACAGACTCGAAATCGCAGACAACACGCCCTGACTGCATTGAAAAACGCAGTAAAGAAAACTAAAGTCACATGTGCCAATCAACTGAGGCGAATGGAATGAGACAATCCCATCAATGCACCAAACCCGGAGCCCTGCTGATAGGCTAGAGTAGGGTGGGAAGACGGCAGATCTCTCTAGAATTCCGAGTTGAAGATTGAGTCGTTCTTCTGACCTCGCATTGCAACACCGCCTGATATCTTCTATAAATCGTTCTGTGACCAGCCCGGCAGACACGACACGACGCACACAATAGATACCACATCCGCGCGCGTTGTAAAAGCAATTACCCCAGCAGATCATATATACTGCGAATATCTCCACAGTCCTCGTAGGGTAGTGTTTCGGGGGTGTTGTTAAATTTAACATACAGCATTGCGATTCATAATTGACTCTCAATGTTACATGTGTGTGTAATAATACCATAGCCACAAGCTGCGCTGCCATGCTTTTCTCATTCACCTGATAACAGAATTATGCCGTGATACACATGACACTTCCGACTTCGGCCAAAAATATAACTCTTTCATTTAACACCTCAGTCCACGCCATGGATTCTTTTCCTATGTAAGCATGGGACCAGGCATTCTGACAACTCCTGACGTCTCAACCCGAACGGGTCGGACAGACGGTACAGCTGAGGTGTCCTGTGTTTGTGTCACTCACTTCGGGTATTAAGTCCATTTCCCACACCTTCATCTCTTTGGTGATTCCTAATCCTTCCCTAACGGGTTGTAGTGATTTATCATACCCATCCTATCAAGATGTTGGGTATGTGACAGAGTCAGGTAACATTTAGAAATGTGTGACTTTCTAGGTACGGGGAGGACACTGTCCTTGCCTGGCTGCAGACACAAAAACCCTACTGACTATAGTTGAACGCACGTAGATAGCGGATTTAGGTTTAGGTTCTCGATTGAAGATAGCCGAATGTAGCATATAAAAGCACATGATGCGGTGGTCTGTAATGATAGAATGAGAAGTTAAAGCACTACCACCGTGACTTCCGACCGGTGGGCCAAGGTGGGCATGTAGTGCCATAATAGTTGACTATCAACATTAATGAGTTATTGAAGTACAACACCAGGTTTAACATATTAGTCGTCCTTCCGTGCTAAGTGCATTGCCATTATTTGTGCTGACAAACAACTGTTAAAAAGGCTACATCTCATCTCCATCATTGCAGCGGTACAATATTCACGGCGAAGTAATGACACATAATTCCCTATCATCCTGGTACGTACATTCCCTACCCCTTATACGTATTAAAAAGCAGCCATTATAATACAACAGTAAGTAAATGAACTGGCAATCACCATATAGTTTTGACAACCGAAAGTTACACCACCACCTGAACACACAAATCAACACAAACAATGAAATAAGTATATTAATTTCTACCATTCACCGACAAGTTATCACATCTGAGCTACTCATCACTTAGCCTAATAGTTCTCTATCTGGATGGTTGAGAGAACTATGCCCTTGATGGTGACGCAACGACATTGCAACGGTGGTGTTTGGTGAAGTGTCTCCCCAGACCTCAAGAGTGAGCTGTGTAAATGCAAAATGACGAAGTGGTTGGACCGTGATGCCCTCAAAGATTTGCTGACATCGGCCAAGTTAGTGATGCTACCGTCCACTAATACTTGGCTGAAGCAGTTGGGTGGGTCCAGGACATACGGCGCCGGGCAGTAGAACGCAGCTTCCTTGGCAGCCTGAAGATCAATCTTGCAGCCAAACTGCGACTTCCCATCACCGTCGTAGAGTGGAGGTGTCTCCGGTTTGAAAAATTCGTCCGACGCGTACGTAACGCCGCAGCCCTGCATATACGGGTCTGTGGTCTCGACGGCAACTTCAACGACGTGCCAAGTGTATCGTGAAGATGATTGAACAATATGGGAATTGTGTTGCGCAGAGGCGTTTGAAGTGGGCGCATCACTGGTTACGAAGGACAAGTCCGATGGTTTGGGTGCTTTGCCGCAAACGAATGTCATTGGCACGTATTTCTTGTGTATTGGATGCTTAGATATAATAATGGCGCCTCTGTCTGATTTGACGCCAAATTCACGATATCTGGGCGCGTAGACAATCGGAAACACTTCAAATCCTCCTTTTGTTCCTGCAATCACTTCTTCGTGTGAGATACTAATAAGAGTAGGTCCATCTGAGGTATTCTCAACAGTATAATGATACAACTCAGGCACACGTGGTAACCACATCAACCTTTCCATGCAATTATTCTCGTTGTCGAATACTTCGGAATCAATATCACAACGCAATAAGAAACTCGCGCCTAGATGAAGTGTGATGTAATCTGATGACATGTTGTATAACACGAGTGATTTTGAAGATACAGGTCCTTCGTTTGATACTCCTACTTCCTTCCATGGCAGCGATATGTAAGGAAGCCACGTATGAGATACCTCATCACGACTTACCGTGTAAGAATAATCTTCTTGATGAGTCGACTCCACAATAAGCCTAGATTTTTCGTATCCACGTTGGTCTACGCAAATGCACGCAAAACTGACAGGACCATCTTCAAGAATGAAGAAGTCGAACACCTGAAACCCCCGAATGGGATGTGATGTCGCAGGACGCATAGATCCTGGGAGTGACATAATCCGATTAGAGTAAAGATCGTATCCTGTGGAGTCGCAGTTGTTTGGCAACAACTCCTCGTTGGGCCTGCAATGGATGCCAGCGTACCAATCGTCCCACGTAATGTGGTATGCACATTCGTAAGTTTGTCCCATACCATTTCCATATATTTTGGTTGAACAATGCTCATTGCTCATGTCTGGATCAAATACATTTTGTGGTCCCCGGTCGCAACCAACGATAAGGTAGTAATGAGTAAGAGCAAGTGACACGTTCACAGTGGCGTGTATGCTATCAAAAACGTACTTGTTTATGGCTTTTAATGTCCAATGGAAAAAGAACGAATTTAACCCGCTTATTAATGTGAGAGGTTTGTCCAGATGGTACGTCAGTTTTACCTCTCCTCGAGCAAATTGGGAAACATCTAACTCAAGAGCATCGCCAGCAAGTGCTTCGTGATACAGAATTTCGTCGTAAACACCATCATGGTATATATTTTTTGATTGCCACAACTTAGTCAAGTCCGTTGGTTGAAATTCAGTTTTGAATAAATATTTAGGCAGTTTTTGAGAGGTTAGCCCGAGTTGGGGGTACTCGTCGTAGGGCTCCCCATCGGCTTCCTCTATTGGGAATCTTATGGTCAAAGTGCTGCCGGGATGGAGAACGACTGAGCACCAAGGGCCACTGATGGGTCGAACGAGATTGCGGAAGATCTTGTTGGTAATATTGCAAACGTAGTCAGATGTAGAACGGATCGCAATCTTGGCATTCACCTGACCATTTTCCGAACCTATGCATCTGCATTCACCATTGAAGGATGGTAGTGCTAATCCATTGAAATATTTAGCTACTACCCAAGGTTTATGGTCATCAAAACACCAATATGCGTATGGTTCCGGAGCCGCCACAACTTCACCATTTGGGTTAAAGATGGACCTCATACAATCCTCGGGCTCGATCCTGCCTTCGCAGAGAAACCCTATGGGTGATCTAGACATAGGATCAACCACACATGAGCGGATGCCCGTGATGGGATTCACGGCCATATCGCTATTAGAGAGGAACAGTGGTGATGGGCGGCTACCACAGCCTTGAAGTGGTAGATGTGTATGTCCTCTGTACAAGAAAAATACACCCAATCCATTCCCTATCTCAGTTATTTCATCAGTCAATGGGTTGGGCGGAGTCCAAGGATGTGCTTGCATTTGGGTGGCCCCATTGAGGCGGTCAAGGTGGCGTTGCAGCGTATCACTCAAAACCAAATCGCGCGGTCCGCAGATGAATATCAAGCGGTGCTCGATGATTGCAACCAGTTCGTACATGGGTGTGTTGAGATGCAGTTCCGTTTGAGAACCATTGCATTCGAATCGGATGAATGGATTATTGGATTCAGAGTGCACGACGTCCGAAATAACAACGGAACGAATTTTGCCATTTCCGCCCACGTAAGTGTTGAGATGAGCGTGATCACAAACGGCAGGCTGAGGATGCCATACGTATTCCGTGTCGTTGATGCGGCTAGGACATCTCACAGTTGCGGTATCGAAGACATCGATGTCCATGTGACAGCTAACGAGAGCATTGCTGGTAAGTAGGTCATCGGGATCTCCGAAGTCACAAACAAATGTATCAATAAATCTTACCGAATGCAGGAATGTTGCACAAAATCCCAACAGGAATCTCATTCTAAATTGTCCCATGCTCGTCGATTATGCGTTATCAAACCGCAATAAAGACCACAAAACACCAAATCATTGCAATGAACAGATATTATGCACATGTGAAGCTGCAAAGATTTTACAACTGCTGATGGTCTGTTACTAGGGGGGGCAGCGATTACCCCATTGCTGCAGCTAGACATCAACAAATCGAGGAAATTTCCCGGAGAAAATTCCAGGAGAAACAACAACAATGAAGTAGACGCTTTTACAAGAGACATGACAATCGTGATGATGCTTCCGTGACCATGGCAGTACACATTCTGGTCACGGAAGCATCATCATATGGGTTCATAAAGCATAACCTAAAGGATATATTACCAGTGGATCAGTAAAAGAGCGCAACCACCATGTTGGAGACCGGTATTGCCCAGCAATTTAACTTCGTGCAGATTCAAACTCGTAAACTCGTTCATTGATTGCTAACACAGGCAGCATGAATATCGTTTCTGACAAGGACACTTAAGCTGTACCATGGCCGGTCTATGCTCCGAGCGGGATCCTTGTTCACGGCATGCATCTAGGTAAGCCCGGAGTGTGCACTAAAAGCGACATCATCTGTATATGCCTGGTTGTGGTACATTAGACAACATGAAACAATGAAATTACTTGCCAACGTCGCCTCGTGAACGCCTCACCAACAATGAAGGCGTACAACATTGTGGGCGCTTATCGGGCTGATTGGTCGATTAATCTAAAATACATATTTAACAAAGGTGATGTTAACTAGTTCAAGCGAGAATGGGGAGCAAGAGGCTTCCTATTGATACTACCAACAATCAACATCAATTGGTATAAAAGCACCCTTTAATCGATTTTATGTCGCTCTCCTTTTAACGATTTCAGTTTCAACACTTGACTAATGCGAATGAGACATAAGACGTCTGGCTTAATTGAAGCTTCATTAATTAACGACCCTAGCGAGATGCCACATTTATCACTACATTGATGTTTGCCTTGACATAGACAATTCTTGCCAGGACCCAAAATGTTTTAAGGCGTCTAACACCACGGGGTGATGTGTATAGTGCAGAGCATTGAGGTCACTTTTGGAATTCGGCATGGTAGTGGCTCTGAGAACATTCCGCAGGCGAGCCTCTTTGCGTTGCAATCCAATCTTCTGTCCTATTTCACGCCTGTAATGGTGTGCAGGGTAATGACGCTGCGGCCTGTTCAGCTTTGCACCAACTTGTCCACTGTTTTCTGCGTAATCCCTCCACATAGCAGTTGCGATCCTTCCCGGGTCCCTACATTGATGCAATATAAAACTGGATCAGACATTACGCAACAAAACGCTACTACTTTGACACATAAACGACAGAATGTTCCCACGGATGGCTTAAGAATAAACTCGGCACCAAAACAGCGGTCTAACCGCGGTCCGGTGAATTACGTGAGCCTTCGCTCAGACCAAAAGGGGTTCATTTCCGATAGCTACTAATATTATCATATATTATTTACAAACGGTCTACCATGTGTAGGCTTGGAAGACCGTTTGGTGCACGGAATCATCAATCATGGTAGTGCAGACACCGGCACCAAGACCAACTCGGAAACACAATAGAACAGTGATAGACACAGGTTTCTTTGAACTCACTTAATGTGCGCGTATTCTTCCAACCTTTGTGTATAGGTGTACGCAGGAAGGCGATATGTTATCTCATCTGAATTGTGTCTTTCCTCGGGCATAAAATCTACCAAACATACGTTTGTCCTTACGAACGCCGGCAGCGTTTGAATCCCCGCTTTTGCGCGCGTACAGTGCCATACTACTGCTGTTATTCGTGTGTTGCAGCGACGCGCAGAAGAATCCGACGAAGGCCACCTTCATGGCGACGCCGGGCAGAAGGCCAGACCGACGGGCCACTAATATCCCTTAAAAAGCAGCGGAGTCATATTTTTGGCACGCTTCGACGCACGAGTAATTAGCGTGTCCCCGAGTACTCTCCCATGGGGCAGGTATAGAGTCTCCGACGGCGATGTGTCGCCGTTTTCGTGGATAGGCATACGATTGCGTTTGTCGCTTCAAAGCTATTGCATATAATATTCGATGTGTAGTTCGTAAAACAGGCAATTCTCACCAGAATTTAATGAATCGTCATCGCTCTGCCGCTTTATCACTATTCCCGTAAGACTCCAATTTACCAGCGTCCCAGGCCAAATAGACGAGGAAAAATGGCGTCATGCGCTCACTAGAGTGTCGTATACTGCTATACATCCGCGACGCAGTGCGGTTTGATAGATGGTAGGTGGAAGACAAGCGCTTTAAGGATGCACTGGTACGTGAATCGGGAGGCGCGTGATCGTTTGCCGCCAACTTCTGCTAACGAAGTTGAGCTGGTTGTACCGAATTTTAGGGGTAAGATTATAGAGCATGTTTCACGGTTGTTAAAAGAAGGGGACCCCAATGAAGAGATACAAAGGCTGAAAAGCTTGAAAATATTTTCGGAATGGAAGGAAATTCCTAACTTCCGGTTCCGTATTATGTTCTTTCCCCTCTCTCAGTATTCGGTAAGCGATTCAGGCGTTACGGAATGCCAAGTATCCGCGTATGTTGAGAGCGCTGCGAAGGAGGACTGGCCAGAAAATTGGGTGTGTTATAGCACCCGTTTCTGCATCTTTCTCATAAATCACAAGGATGTGCACTTGTCCCTTTACAAGCACGATAGCTTCAATTTCTCGAGTACAGAGATCGACCGAGGCTGGCAGGCTATTATCACCCATAACCAGCTGCTCGATGGGGGCTTTCTGAACGAAAATGGCGACCTGTTGGTGCGCGCCGGGGTGTATCCTATTGGCGCTGAGGTCAACCGCGCTGCTCGTGAACATGGGTACGACTGTAGGAAGGCTACTGGTTTCGTGGGGTTGCAAAATCACGGTGCGACGTGCTACATGAATGCGCTACTGCAGAGTTTGTATAGCATCACAAAATTCCGCAAAGCAGTCTACAGCTTGAACTTCCGGGTTGACGAGATGATCGGGCAGCAGTCGTATGAGATTATGAAGCGTCTGCAGCCTCGAATGCGTGATTACCACCCTAACGAGGGCCAATACCACAATGGGTACAAGAGCACCAAACGCAAGTCCCACGAGAACAGCGAGTTTAATAGTGAAGATAACGAGGACTCTCCGGATGAAATCAATGACCCGCTAGTTGACGGTAATATGGATGAGCGCGATTGCCGTGCCATTTTAATGGACGAAGAGGAAGAGCAGAAAAAGGTCCCCAGCGTAGGCTTGGCATTACAAAATCTCTTTTACAAACTGCGGTATGCGCAGCACGCGCCTCCTTGCAAAGAGCTGATGCGTTCTTTTGGCTGGGACTCTTCGGACATGTTTACGCAGCAGGATTCGCACGAGCTTTTGAAGTTGCTGCTCGACAAAATGGAAGAGCAAATGAAGGGCACACCTGTTGAGGGTTCTGTTAAGAACATGTTTGAAGGTGAGATGGAAACATACATTGAGTGCATCGATATCGATTACAAGTCGTCTCGTATGGAAACCTTTGAGGATATTCAGCTTGACATTCAGGGATGTTCGGATATATACGATTCCTTAAAGAAGTTGACGGAGGCGGAGATTCTCAGTGGCGATAATATGTACGAGGCTGAAGGACATGGTAAACAGCGCGCTCGCAAAGGCATCCGCTTCCTAAAATTCCCGCCTGTTTGCGTGTTTCTGCTGAAGAGGTTCACCTTCGACCTGCAGCGCATGGACACTGTGAAGCTTAATGACCGTTTTGAGTTCTACAAGGAAATTGATCTATCTCCTTTTTGCCCTACCGGCGGTAGGTATGTACTCCAGGCCGTGTCCGTGCACCACGGGTCGATTAACAGCGGCCACTATTACGCTTTTGCGGCTTCCGACAAAGGGCAATGGTATCGTTTTGACGACGAGAATGTGTCCAAGGTTAGTGAGTATGCGGTGATTGGCGACAATTTCGGTGGTGAGGAACCAGACTGTTACAATTACTGCTCGGCAGTAAACGAGTCAGCGCGCCGTCCCACCCGCCGAACTAAGAACTACAACGCGTACATCCTCATATACGTATTGAAAAGCGCAACTGGAGACATCCTAGGTGACTGCGATCCTGTGAAAGAGGGGTACAGTATGATCACTCGTTGTTGTTTGCAGGATCGTCTAGCTGCCATGCGCAACCGCGTACGCGAACGTTTGAGTCAGTTCATCAAGGTTAAAGTTTTTGAGAAATCGGATTTTGAGGGCCTAAAATTTATGGACCAGCCTTTTATGGGTTGGTTAGGCGGTAAGGTTATTACGTTTGATCGCTCCACCGTACTCTCTGACGCTTTGAAGCGCATAGGGAACATGTTTATTAAGCCATATACGGCTCTCTCCTCCGCGCCGGAGAACTTTCATGTAATGGGCATAAATAGGAGCACACACCGTTTTTGCTGCCTTGCTGAAGTTCGTGGTCATCAGGAAATCTCCGACGATACTTTGCAATCGATTGTTTCTCAGATTCGTCACGATGTCTTCCAGGTATACGATCCCACGTTGTATATTCTCTACGTACCCCGGCCTCCGCATTGTACGTCAATTCATTCGTCGAGCTTGTTCTTCATCAAATACTTCGACATATTCTCGGAAAACCCCGATGGAGAACGGCTGATATGCCTCGATGTGGTCTACCTCTCACCTGAAGGTACGATTTTGCAGGTTGCAGGCTCAGCCCTACGCAAGTTGGTGCGCTTTATGAACGATGGGCTGGTCACTCCATACAATGTGAGCGCTATTGAACGTTGCGTTTCTCGGATTGAATCCGTGCACATGAGTGATAAATCTGTTCGTGAAATAGACGCCACACTCGACCAAATAATGCACGAAGAGTCTATGCACCTAAATTGGTACGTTGAGCAGTCAGGCCTGTACGAGGCGGTTGCGCTGAACAAGACACTAAAGGACCAGCAGCTGGGAAATGGTGACTTGCTGGTTTTCAACTTCCGACCTACCGAATCTATGCGCCGTTTAGTGGAGGAAGCGGATTCCAAATTCACGCTGAAAGAGGACTTTGATGAAACCTGCCCCGTTCTGGAGGGGCCCCCTTCCGGTCCTTTGTTTCACATGTCTTCTGAATACGTACAAAGTGGTGAAGCTGCTGGCCTCAGCGTGACTCCACACACGCTCGCATTCAGGGACATGAGGACTCGTTGGGAATCATTTGCTGAAAGTGAGATTTCGAAGTACCATAGCGTGAACATGTTTCCGATATACGACTTCCCGAGCTTCATCGACTGGCGTTTGAACGTCGTGACGATCACGTTCGAGCTGTACAACCCTTTTGAGCAATTGGGTACGTGGGTGAATTGTTGCAGTTCCGTAGTTAAAGCCGGGGGAAGCGCGGATGACCCATCGCCAAAGTTTGTCGAAGAGTCTCACAAGGTCACAGGTCCTCTGAAGACTATGCAGTTCACGCTTGACCTTAGGGTGCCGTGCAAACATGCACTTCGGTACGTCTGCTGGTCCATGGGAGTTGATCCAGCACACGTTTTATTTTATGCGCATCAACCACACAAGGTGGAGTCGATTTGGATGCGCCCAGCATCCATTGATGACTTCTGCCATCGGGATGGCTCACTCGGATTCGTCCAGAAGCCCTTGTCTAATCTGTTCTCGGCCTTGGGGAAGGCGGTGAGACACGAAAAAAGCAGTAGGGATGCGGTGATGAGGTCAGGCAGCATAAATAGCAATGCGCAATGCAGTGACCACAGCGTCGACAGCACGTGCCAAACTGATGTAAGTGCTTCCAGCGCCACTGGAAACGCAAATGGCGTCGGCAACGCTCTCGCACTTCCAAATCGCAGCATATCGGGATGTGATACGAGCGTTCTCGACTCAGGTCGTGACACCGGCCGTGAAGACATGATGGGGGGAGTGCCGTTAGGCAATTCACTGCATAATCGATTTGATGGTGGTAGTTCCAAGCCTAATGTCATATACATGGCGATGTTCCCCCAGCGTTACAGCGACTGGGTGGTGAAGTGTGATGGAGTGTCGCTGAACTTCGTAGTCCAAGTCTTCAACCGTCGCGTAGAGTGTACAGGAGTGTGCATGGGTAAGGCCCCGGCGGGCATTACTGTTGGGGAGGTATGCGAGATGGTTGGTCACATCGCAAATTTCGGCCCGGATGTCAAACTTCGTATGGTTGAGTGTTTGTCTGATTCGTTCGTGGTTGTCGAGCCGTCGGGACTTATGCGGGATCTTCCACATTACGTCAACACAAACATCCGAAACGTCCTTGCCGCACCAATAAGGGTCGAACCGGATTGGTCTCACGAGGAACAGGAAAGCCTGAAAAACGGCGAGCGCGTGCTGCTGACGGTTATGCATCAGACCCCTGACCACGAGACCTTTGGTCACCCGTTCCAGGTTCTGGTGGACCCACGTTGGACCTTGGGCGAGATCAAGAGCGCTATTAAGGAGAAGGTATGTCTGCCTAAGCGCGAGTGGGATCGCTGGTCGTTCTTCCAGCAGATGGATGGTTACAATCGCGCGTGGAAGGCGAATGACGATTGCCTCGACTGGGACAAGAGCTCAGACATAAAGTTACTCGCGGAACACCCCAAGCCTTACGATAAATCCCGCAGCTTCAGCGCGATGCGTATTGCATGAATGTACTATATTCTCAAATGCACACTTTAGGTCATGAAATGTGGACTATGTTGCTAATCTAGATTTTGCGCCAGCTATTTAGTGGCCAGCTTCCCATGTAACCTGCATGGAAACGATAGATGCATGTAGTTCACTGTCGTTTTATATTAGCTGATCTGTTGCGCTGTTGTTGCTGTCAGCGGGGTGCAGCTAGGCTGCGGTACTAGCACGTCACGCCACTACCACCCGGAAGCTGTATCCACGTCAAAACTGTGCAGTGCACGCGCCGCATCGAATCCGGTCACATACGCCGCACCGTGAATGTCATCGCGTACGGATTCAATGACGACCCTTGCCGCTTCAGCGTCCACATGTCGCATCGCATTAGCGATCTCGAAATAGTTGCGGAAGTTAACCTTACGCAGCAGTTGCCTTTTAAACATTTCGAAGTCATCTACTTCTGTGATGTCGAACCCATCCGTGGTGCGTTCGATGACCTCCAAGAGCCTCAACAAGTCATCCGACGCAGGCCTGAAGAGGGCGCCGAAAAATGTTTCTTCCTCCGGATATACCTGTAGGTACCTGTATACAAGCTTCCTCCAGCACAGCCAATTGCCCGGCTTATGCATTCTCCTTTGCACATATAAATCGTATATGGAGAGCAAACAATTGCGATACGGTCCCCCAAGTTGGAGGAATTCTGGCTCGATACACCTAATTTTTTCCAACAGATCAGTTGGGCTGGAGTTCCAGAAGGTCTTCTCAAACGACTGAAGAAGGATGCCAACGTATTCGTTAACTATAAGAGGGTCCGTAATCCTGCAATGATGCTCTGGAAGAGAAACATCCGCCCAAAGTGCATCCCCCAGTTCATCGAGTGTTAGTGGCACGTCCAAGTTAGGCGTTGATTCCCTTGCCAACTCTTTGCACGAGAAGAGGGCGTCGAGACACTTATAAATCTGCAAGAAAGCATTGACATCTTCCAGAACGTATTCGGCCACTTTTGCAAAGAATTCTGATCGATAGGTCGAGCTCGCTATGAAGCGACCGATATAAATGTCAATCTCCCCAGGAAAGACAAGGAAGAGAGCTAGAAAGCCCTCTATCGATTCCAGATGTGCAATCAGCGATCGGTGCCAACCTAGCTTGCTGAGACGCGCACGTAAGACCTGTATAATGCGCATGCACAGATGTACATTGATGTTGTGGAATATTCGATGCATCTGCTCGATAAACAAGATGTTCATCGTGAAGTTGCACATTTCAAGCATCATCATAACACCTAGCTCCACGTCCACACGTAACAGTTGGAGCACATCGAAACGCACAACTGAGCGCCATCTTATCAGGTTCTGGTTTTCAACCTGCCCGTCCCCTAATTTAGCAGGATCGGAGAAGTCGTAATCCGTGAAGCACAGAACTGCCGTGTTGTAGAAATTCAAAACGGGTAGGAAGCGACCGTCAAAAATATCTGTGCTTTTCTTGGCAGATGAAAAGAATTTGCCCTTCAGAGTCTCGAACTGCATCTTCTTCAAGTTGATGGATGAGAGTCCAGTTTCTGCCTTCCCTAGCGCCTTACTAAGCAGAACACTGGCCGTATTGCCGGTGAAACGATGCGCCAATTTGTCGAACGAAATTTTCATTTTATCCGGCTGGCACACTTCAATCTTGGCCAAATTAACCTTGCCCAACAGCTTGAGAATGCAGCTTCGTAACACAAAATCATTCACTTCCAGCTCATTTCCTGCATTATGTGTCGACTCAGTGTCACCGTCAGGGCCCGTGATAACCTCGAAGAGTGTGATATTCGAGGCGCACAAGTCTGACGACTCATTTGCATCATCAGACTGCATAGGTGCAACATGGAACGTTTTTTCCTTCAAAAATCTAATGAATGCAGGAAGTTCATCGTGAGCGAATTGCGCGCACAGCTTTGCCATAGCTCCGAAATCGGCCGACTTAACATACGATGAAGCTAATAGTCGCCACATCAATACCGACATCGCTGCGTCTTCTACCGCCGCGCTTTCAAAGTTCGCATGCGCCTGGCTTTCCTGCACGAGGTTAAGTATCAATGCCAACATCCCTGCAATATCTTTACGCGCTTTCGCAGGTAGGACGAGTAGGGCGTTGTCACGAATATGGGACAATCGCTTGGTCATTTGGCCTTCGCCGTATACAAAACCATCGTCGCCATCGGTATATGCACCGCGCAAGATTGATGCAAAAATACGACACTCCCAGTACGATTCAGCGTCTGGTGACACTTTTTCGGCATATTCCAAGTAACACGAAGCCAGGTTCCTAAGTGCACACTCCATTAATTCGGTTTTGTTGCTGTACAGGTTATAACCCAACCTTTTCTGTTTCCTCTGTATGTTGCTGATGTACAGGGAAGAGGCGGTATCAACAGTTGATATTCTTTGGAACATCCCCAAGCGCCCTAGGTCGCTGATAATGATTTCGTAGTCAGGTATGTATTGCACATTGTCGCCGCTCTCTATGAAACTAAGCACACTGCCACCCTGATTTACGACATTCCCATCCCAATCCATGCCTAAAAAGTCCAGGTATACTTGTATCATGTCATGAATTTTCATGGCCGATTCGTAAATGGGATGCTTCAGATACTTCCAGTCGGCAGCCCCCTCATGTAGCCCGTGTGATAGTTCAGTGACCAACTTAGCGATTGCAAAGTTCACGTGTTGCTGGCTACTTAACCTATATATTGTAGCCTTCACAGCAGATAGTGACGCCATAAGGAACATCCCTATCTTGTCTATTCCCTTGCTCGAAGAGGCGAACCAGACTTGTAATTGGGCGTCCACGTATCCTAGTTCGCTAGAAGAGATGCATATAGTGAAGAAAAACATCATATGCAGGTCTTGCAGAGATAACCCGTTGAGGTGTGCTGCGATGTCTTGCAGGGCATGTACGCAAATGCGAAAGTCATCCACGGATGGACGTCTGTCGATTATATGTATGAGGATCTTTTGAATAAGCAAGGCGGCGCTATCCTGATCACAGAGCGATTCGGTGAGTTCCGTTATACCGATATGCAATTTTGAAAAATTCGTCGCCGACATTCGCATTATGGACAACAAATTCAGAACAGCCTCCATGAAGTTGATCTGACACCGCACTGCTCGCAAAATCAGACTCAACGTTAGTTGCACATTCCCACTACTCCTCGCTTTAATGAACTCCACATAACCCGGGTCAGAAGGTTCGGACCTGCTATAGCTGCATGCAGTTGTGTGATCCCTGGATAATCGCTGCAGGCACGAATCACCCAGATTTGCCATGAAACTGTCTTCATGAGCCAAGGCATGCGCATTACCGTAGTCCCCGGCGCCATTGGTGATCCCAAATAGGGTGAAAATAGACTTATATACGAAGTAGTTCTCCAATAGGTTATAACGAGAGCTGCGATCGAATAGTACGCGGAGAACCGTGTTATACGCCACGTCTCGGAGACCCGCAACGAGTAGCGCTTTTGTCAGCGCATAAAGAGTCTCGAATAGTTCCGTGCTTATGGCGCCTTCAAACGTTTGATACAGGCCCTCCATGCATTCTGCGTTACTCGCGTTTGCGCATCGTCTTAGCTCTGCGAAGAAAACGCAAAATTCCTCAGATAATCCACAGAACACATTATCGACATCATTAACATCTTCTTTGATACACTGTAACCGGAAGAATACACTCATTACATTTGTGGCATTAACGGTCTTGCAGTTTAGGCATACCTTGTATATGCCATAATTATCCCTGTACGTTTCGTCACATGCGCAATCTTCCTGACCCAGTATTGGCATTTCTATGCATTCAATGAACAGCTGAAGTCGTTCACTAGCTTTCAGTTGGAGGAACTCGACAAAGGTGAGGCAGTTTGATGCCTCGATTTCCTTAGCGGTCATGCCGGATCCGGTCTTGAAGCTTCCATAAATGATGTACTGCTTCATCAGAGAAAGAAGAGATCGGAACAGATACAGCTTAGATCTGACAACCGCGCTACAATTTTCGATCTTGTTTAACAGTACAGCCATTGTCTTCAGAAATTTGAGCGCGACGTGGAACGAGCATTTGGTTACCTCTAGTATTACGTATGTCCTCCACAGAACCCAGTCAATCACTTTGCTGCAATCTTCATCTGAGACCCGCTCTGACATACTAAAAACATTTCCTATAAGGTCTCTGCACCTTTTGTAATCCCCCACAACTGGAACGTAACTCAGCAACACCGACCAATTCTCCTTGACATGATCCAATAGACATGGATCGTAGTTCTGCAAGATTACATCAAAAGCCTGGAAATTACCCATCATCAGGGAATAACACAGGAGTTTGAAGATATCATCGCACGTAGCATCCCTGTAAAATGGCCAACTCAAGATCGTGACAACATCTAGGTCCTCAGCAACTGTTTCAACTTCCTTCACCGGATCAGACACCCCCCTTAAATTGCGATAGTCCACTGGGTTTATCTTGAAGTTAGTCAGAGTGCGGGGTAATAACCGTTTCTCTTGTTTACCCAACCCCTCAAGGCCTACGTCCGGTGAATGTTGATGTGATGCATGCTCGAAAGGAAATTGCTCGGTGAGTGCCATGCAGATAACTACGTAGCGCTCAAATCTCCTTACAACGTGATCTATAAGTAAAGACGTTTGTTTGCCATACCCGTCTCCGATATTGCTGGGGTTGATTACATCATCGTCGCTCTCTCCAGAATCACTCTGCGTCGCAGACACAGCTACCCTATGAAGCCTTGCCTTAGAACATCCACGCGGGAACCGCTTCTCAAAGATCTCGTTGGCATTGGAAAGCAGCAGGTAGACTTTTGAAAGGTCTAGCTGTACATCACGGCTCCGCACGAATGCAGAGGCGCCGCAATTGTACACATCGGCGACGCTCGGAGTGACAATACCGCTGCACATCGAGCCGCCACTGCATTTACTCGTCGAATATTCCGTCCGTTCCCGCCCATAGTGTCCATTGGCAGAGACGGAAGAATCGCGCAAGAGCTGCCCATGAGGATTGTACGACAGAGCGAAGCTGACGTATTCCTCGGGATTCTTGAGCGATTTCAGGCACCTCCTAAACTCGTGGAGCCAGGGTTGCGGCTCGCACGAAGCCATCTCTCCAACCTAGCTCTGGGTGAAGGGGTTGTCAGTCCCGGTCATCATATACGAGCTGTGCACCGGATTATGCGACAAACCAGATGACATTGCATTTAACGCCACACAAGGATACTAAATGTGTTATCATTTGTGACTGACAGGGCTGCCAGAATCGCGCAGCAACGTAATCTGGCACACAGCGCCGAAGGCCGGTACGCCGTATACACACCGACACTTGGCTCTAATCTGCAAAGCGACATCCATACTAGGTGAATCTTCATCTGTGTTGCATATACGTTTCAGTTGCCACCAGTGGCAGGTGTGTCTAGCCGTTTATAATTTTCTTCATTTGCTCCGTGGTAATCAGACACTTCATTGTCGGCCGACCGTGTGGACAATTCCATGGGTGTATCAGGCTTGCAAGTCCACGCTTAATCTTTTCCATCTGCTTAACCGAAAGTGGCTCTCCAAGCTTGACTGCGTTTTTGCAGGCCCTACATTCAACGTCATGAACGACAACACGAAAATACCTGGTTGCCAAAATGTTCCAGATGCGCTTGGGGCGTGGCAGTATGGTATTGCTGCCCCAGAGAAAGTTCCGTGCATCGTTGGATTTGTTATCCTTAGGGGCTGGGGCGCCGTTTTGAGCCAGATCATGCACGAAAGAGACGAAATCTTCTTCGCCCAGAATTTGACCCATCAACTGCGGGAAGGAGCGAAGATAGATTCCAGGTTCTTGCGCGCCCGCTTTTGGTTCATCAGATGTCTCCGTCTTCGGAACCAAAAAGGCTTCAAATCCGTTCTCTTTCAGCAGCTCTATGTTGGCCAGCACAACCTAACATGATATGTGCACTTCTTCGCTAATCACCTACTTGCTGATGGAACGGTGATAGATCAACTCTTCGTGGCTGTACCAAGGGCTGTTTGTGTATTTTCACGTTGGCGTTGTACTGCTCGAACCTGTACGGGGTTAGCGTAACTCAAAGGACCACATACTTTGTTTTCTCGTCTGCTGCGTGTGGATCGATAAGGTATATCGAGTACTGTATTTCCTCCGTGTGTAATTCAGTACCCTCTAATTTTGCGACTATGAACCCATTATTGAATTGGCCGCATATCTTCATTTTCAGAAATACGTTTGGGTCCATCATTCCATAATCGCTAAGCATAGGCACGTTCTCACTGTAGTTATTTCTCTTTAACGTGCGCTGACTGATGGTCGTGTACACGTTGTCGTTGTAAAGGCGTGACATGTTCACTTTAAGAACGTCGTCGTTGAAGAAGCAGCCGTCGCTTACCGATTCCTGAGTAGCAGCTGCCTGAGATAATATATTAACACTATCGTCCAGTTTAACGTCATCATGCCCCTGTGAACTGTTCCCATGATTAAAAACTTCAGGGTCAGAGCGCATTGCGCTTTCCTGCGTGCATTTTTGGCTGCCCATCTCAGTGTGCCCATAAACTCCTCCATTTGCCTCATCACCAGGCTGCAATTGTGATACTCCAATGTCTCCGCGCGCAATTCCAGAACTTTGGTTCACTGTGCAATCGTTAGAGGTGTCGAGATGCATTTCGATCTGAGATGACTGTGTTCCAACTGTCGACCCTTCCGAAGGGAGTGGCATGTTGCTTTGTACACTAGCCTTTGCAGCTGTATTTTGTGCGTCGTAGCTATTTACTGATGTCGCATCGTTGTAGTCGTGCCGTGGTTCACTCTCATACTCGTCGGTACTCACGTGTGGCGTAGATGGCTTTGTTTTATTATTTGGCTGCATGATAAAAGAGTCAAGCAGTTGCTGATGCGATTCTGTGTCCCTCGCACGTACGGATTTTGGTCTCAATGCTGGCGAATGTTTTGCACTATTGCTCTCTCCAGTCCGAACCGTTTCCCGGGCTTTGATGGTGGGATTCACGCTCTCAGATGCGTTGCCGTCAACATATACGTCCGCTTTCACAAGTGTAAGTTTAGCACTTGTTTGTTGAGAGATGCCAGTACTTAGCCCAAGCTGTGTTTGCGACGCCACCTCATCCTGTGCTGCCAGTTGGTTTTTTCCTTGAGAAGATATGACATCAGCGGTGGACTCGTCGTTGCTTGGCGCACTTTGTGTAGCCTCATATACGCTGCGATCTCTACCAACAGACTCGGCCCTAGCTCCGTGAGACACTGTCTTGCCGTCATGTTCTAGGTCACCTGAGACGCTGAACTGCATCTGCTTCAACGAAAGTGGGTCGTTTGTAAGAGATCCCTTCGCCATCTTCATCATATAAAGCTCCACCATTCGCTGCTTTAGCTGTTGGGTTATAATTTCCTCCTGCATCAGGAATAGTCGGCGCTTGTCCGGCGCCAAATTTACGTCGACTTGGTGGCAATCGATGGCGAGATTGAGGATATAAGCCACGTTATTCTTGCTCGAGAATTGGCGATGTACGTCCTTAAGGCATCTTTTGATCTTCTTCATTTCGTCCACCGGACGTCGGTTTACGAAAAGGATCTGTATATCTTTGCTCTGTCGCCCCGTCTGTGGCGTGCTGATAACCCCCTCAACGCTCCACCCATCACCGCTGAGAGAAACATCAACAACGTTTTTCACGAAGTTGGATCCAAATATCTGCTCGGAGACCTCTCGGATGGTTTTGCAATTTCCCGGACTTGTAAAGAGGCTCTGCAATTGGTAGCTGGAGGATGAGACGTTAGAGACTGCAAAGCGTATCTCGGGGTGAATCAAGGCGTATTGCTGCACGATTCCAACGGTTCCTGACAAGTGTGATTTTGCGGCTTTGAGCAGCAGATTGCGCCGAACAGGGTACGGCTCAAAAAGATTGCGACATGTTACTGTCGTTCCCACCTGCAACTAATAGCAATAAGTCAGCATGCACAACCAACCTTCGTCGCTACCCTATTCTTTTCCTGCAGCGTCCCGTCTGGTTTGAACTTCAACTCCCATCCCATGTCCTCATCGGCTACACGGGTTACCACATCGAGCACGCCGACATTTGCGATTGAATTTAGCGCTTCTCCCTGCGGATTAGGCGTTAATAATGTGGCATACTACAGCGTACCCTGAACCCATGGCTAGTGAGCTTTGTGAAAATATCTTCGAAGTCCTGGATTTTGGATGTCGTGTTGCGAAGCGCTGCACCTTAGTCACGCACAGAAGCCAGTAACCCACCAAGCTGTTCGAAATTTGATTCCTTTATGCCATGACCGTTGTCAACAACTCTGATAGCAGTTGTGCCGTTATCGATAAGTTTTACAACTGCAGCCATTGTTGATACAAACGGGCTGAACACACCGATGTCGTTAGCTCCAGCGTCGATGGCGTTCTCCACGAGCTCACGCACAACACACTTGACCTCCGCGATGACCTGCAGGCTGCGGTGGCTGGCCGTGCGATCACTGCTTAGGTCGGTGATACTCATGTCTACGGTTTAAAAAGTTACGTCAAGTCATGTGCTCTCATGCACCTTGTCCAACGGCCACATCGTTCACATGCACTCTGCTCCACCAGTATACATTCAAATGCAATTTTTATAACTTCATGATGGGTATATTGCGCAAAGTGAACTGATACAATGCTTGTTGGCAGACGTATGGTGACCGTGTCTGAGACCCTTACACACCAGATGTTATGAGACCTTTGGTGGGTGGTATAACTTTACAAGGGTTGTGAATCACATACCTATGCCTGTATACTTTACACTGCATAGAGCGCGGGCTCCATTACTGTGTTTGGATAACCATAAGAGAATATAATGTAAAGATATATATTTTTTGCTGTATTTCGGCGATGAAATATAAGTTTCTTACGAATTTATGACACACATTAACGATAGTTGCCGATAATTACTGTCAAATGATCATGTGTACACGTTTTAGGACACCTGTAGTTTTACTGTTATCAAGGTCTTATATGTCTTGGAGCGCCGCTATGTGGAAGCATGAATATAATATGTGCCAGTAAAATCTTACTTAACAATGACGACTTATTTGTATGACCAGCAGCGTAATCACTGTCTAAGTTCTAGGCATCGTAGTACTATGCGCAGACCTACGATTGCGACCTACGCTAAATAAGGTATCTGCTGCGTTAGGCTCTATGAAATCAACCGACAAATATAAATATGTACAACTACTCTATGGAAGTCATTGTGTTCGTTATTTCTCCGTCCGCACGGCGGCGTGCTAGTAAAGACACAAATGATTATGACGCCTATATGTTTAAAAAACATATGCCAGTCTTAACACAATGATAGAATCCGCTACAATGCAATATTGAAATACCCTGTAATCGCTTTTAATCATTGGCATCCATTTTATTGGTGCTCATTATTGTTCTTCTGGCGCGCGCAGTGGTGGGCGTATGGCAGCGGAATCGGTTTTCTGGCATCCATTAAGCGACCTTCCACTGCCATTTCGCAACATTCATTTGATGTGTTGCAGCTACAACTGACTGTGTTGGCAGCCTATACCGTTCGCGCCGACGGACGGAATCTACAGCAATGAGTCTGCCCAGGCAGACATAGGCGGACCGCTCGTATAGGATGCCGCGATATCGCATTAGTCTGTTGGGTGTCCTGCTAGTGATCAATCTGCTGGAGTTGCCCCATGCTGCGTCCCTAGGCGGTGGCATCTACCAACGAAACGGAGGTCATCACTTGGTGGCTGCACCTCGTCGCTGTATACGGTCGCTGCAGCGTTCACATAAGTACCCGGCACTGATTCCGTTCGGTTGGGGTGGCCGTGGAAACGCAGGCAACAACTCCACCCCCTTTGACGACGATCGAAGCTGGAAGTGGGCGGACAAGTCGGACGCCGCAGGCCGCAACGACACCAATGGATTGCCAGCCAGCAAACCCATTTCCGCAGATGCAGAGAATGAAGGAGATGAGAAAGATGGCAGTACGGGGAGCCTTTACCAAAAGGTAATCGATGGCGTTGCGACAAATCTGTTCGTGCTTCGGGACACATTCGAAGGCAATAACAATGTAGAGATACGTATGGGTCAGGAACCTGCGAACAAACTCGGGGTGGCAGAAGGCAACTTGGTGCGGGTTAGGGGCAAAAAGCGCTGTGACACTGTATGCGTCGTGAAGATCGATCCTAACATCACCGACAATCGCGTAGTCATCCACTCGGACACCCGCCGCAACCTAAGGCTGCGACATGGCGACGTGCTATCCGTTGACCTACTCGTGGACGTACCTCCAGCCAAATTGGTAAAGTTGTTGCCGTTTTCGGACACTGTGGCCCCAATCCTTGCCGAAATACCGGAGGAGGCCCGGGCATCGTTTCCCAAGATGATGATGAAAGTAGCGGTGGACTTTTTCAGCCGTGAAATCGCCATGGGTAGAAGACGTCCCGTGCGCCTAGGCGATCATTTGACGCTAAACGTGAAGTTCCAGGATGACAGTAAAACCGCGCTCAAACTGCTCAGCAACGACCACAGGGAGAGAAGCTGCTTTACTATAGAGTTCAAAGTGATGGGCGTAAAGTCGTACAATAGCGACTACCGGAACATTTCGGATGCGGAAACAGGACTTATTTCCGGTGACAGCATCCTGGACTGTACTGGGGCGCCGTTATCACGTGAAAAGCACGACAGCGCATACGGAGAGCTAGGCTACGAAGAGATCGGGGGCATGGACAAACAGCTATCCAAGATCAGGGAACTAATAGAGCTGCCGCTCTTGCATCCGGAGGTATATAAGGCTGTCGGTATATCGCCGCCGAAGGGTGTCATTTTGCATGGACCACCAGGCACTGGCAAAACGCTGATTGCCAGGGCCATTGCGTCAGAAACGGGAGCACACTGCGTCATTATAAACGGTCCGGAGATCATGTCGAAGCATGTTGGCGAATCTGAGGCAAAGCTTCGCCGCGCGTTCGAAAAGGCATCGAAAAACGCCCCCGCCATTATCTTCATTGACGAGATCGACTCCATCGCCACGAAACGCGAGAAGAGTCCGAGCGAGTTGGAGAGGCGGATAGTTAGCCAGCTGCTGACGCTTATGGATGGAATTGAGCCTAGCAAGAATGTGGTGGTGCTTGCGGCGACCAACCGTATAAACTCTATCGATATGGCGCTGCGAAGGTTCGGTCGCTTCGACCGGGAGATCGAAATTGCGGCGTGTGACGAGGACGAGCGCTACGAGATTCTGAAGATCAAAACGCGTACCATGCGCCTAAGTCCCGATGTGTCACTGAGGAAAATTGCGAAGGAGTGCCATGGGTACGTCGGCGCCGACATTGCACAGCTCTGCTTTGAGGCCGCCATGTGCTGCATACGTGAAAACCTGGCTTCGTTGGATATGCTGCAGTTCGAGGACAAGGTGTCGCCCGAAGTTCTGAACAAACTTGTCATACAGAATCGTCATTTCGCAGAGGCGTTGGCTATTTGCAACCCTTCGACGCTGCGTGAGCGCCGCGTCCAGATCCCCGAGACCACGTGGGATGACGTCGGAGGTCTTGAGGACGTCAAAAAGGAGCTCATAGAGACAGTGCAATACCCGGTGGAACACCCTGAGAAGTTCCGGAAGTTCGGCCAGGCGTCCAGCAAAGGGGTATTGTTTTACGGTCCGCCGGGTTGTGGCAAGACGCTATTGGCCAAGGCCATCGCCCACGAGTGCAATGCCAACTTTATTTCCATCAAGGGGCCCGAATTGCTCACAATGTGGTTCGGAGAATCCGAAGCCAATGTGCGCGAGTTGTTCGACAAGGCGCGGGCTGCTGCACCTTGCATTCTCTTTTTCGACGAGATCGATTCCATCGCAAAGACTAGAGGAGGAGCCGGCGGTGGAAGCAGCAGCGGATCGGAGGCGGCTGACCGCGTTATTAACCAGATTCTCACTGAAATTGACGGAGTTAATGTGAAGAAGCCTATCTTCATCATAGCGGCCACCAACAGGTATGTCGTGACAGATCATTGCATTAATGAACCCACAGACCCGACATCCTTGATCCGGCTATTTGTAGGCCCGGGAGACTGGACCAACTCATATACATATCGTTGCCCGATCTCAAGAGCCGGGAGAGCATCTTCAAGGCCGCCCTGAAAAATTCTCCGCTAGCCCCGGATGTGAACATCCGCAAGATGGCTGAAGCTCTTGATGGATATTCAGGTAAGCTTTTGTGGGCTACACTATGAATTCCAACTCATGAGGCACACCTGACATACATGCAGGCGCCGACATCGCAGAAATATGCCACCGCGCGGCCCGAGAAGCCATTCGGGAGAGTATCGAACATGAAATGAAGCGCGGACGCCCTCTAAAGGAAGGCGAAGAGGACCCTGTGCCGTACATCACCAACGAGCATTTCAAGGTTGCCATGGCTAACGCTAGGTGGGCATCCCTTTCTACCCTTTCATTTTGCGCAGGAAATCAGTGCAAAAGGAGGACGTTCAACGATATGAGCAATTCAAGCGAAAACTTGCTTCAAGTTCGAGTTGATACTATGTGCAATATCACGGCGTAAGGCGCCTGGGATCCCTGGGGAACAACGACGTTCTGCGGATGTTCCCGGTGCCAAGCAGCAGCATCGCCACGCGCTCCAAACCAATACCGCAGCCGGCGTGTGGTGAAACACCCATTTTAAATGCCTCTATGTAGCTTGATATGGTATTCGGGTCGATGCCGCACTCCTTCGCCCGCCGCAGCAGCAGTTCCGGGTTGTGTATGCGCTGGGCTCCAGACAGGATCTCTTCTCCACGCATGAAGAAATCGTAGCTGTGGGTAAACATCATGCCATCGCGCTCCAACGGCATAGTGTAGAACGGTCGTGCGTTGAGAGGGTACTCGTAGACGATGTAGTAGTCAGTGTTATACTTCTCCCGCACCAGGCGTCCGAGGCGCTTTTCCTGCTCGGTGGAGAAATCGTATGAGGATATGTCCTCGGGTATCTCAGATGCTAACTCGGTTCCACGCAACATTTCGACGGCCTGAAAAAAGTTATGTTTAATGAGCTAAGGCCAACCTCGGTGAAGCGAAGACGGGGCGTTTGTTCCAGCCACTTCAATGGCTCCACTGATGGCTGTAGCTTCCCGAATATCTCCATTTCATCTCTACACTGCTTAGTAACGCCTTCGAAAATGCTCTTTAGCATCTCGTCGATCATGTCCACCACTTCCATGTACGAATCCTTAAACTCCATTTCCATGTCCAGGCCTACAAACTCGCAAAGGTGGCGATGAGTGTTGCTGTTCTCTGCTCTGAAAACCGGGCCTGCGAAGTTAAGTATAGACAGAATATTTGTGGTCATCCATACCTATCTCAAAGACTCGACGGAAGTCGCCCACAACTGCCAGCTGCTTGTAGAGTTGTGGAGACTGAGCGAGACAAGCGTCGTTATCGAAGTATTTCAGCTTAAATACATTGCAACCGCCTTCACTGGTGCCTCCGAGGAGTTTGGGGCTGTGAATCTCGATAAATTGGCGCTTGATTAGGAAATTGCGGAATTGCTGACAGATCTCCGACTGTATTTTGAAAATAGCAAGGTTGAGCGTAGCCTGAACGGTGTGATGTAATTCAAGCATTTAACAAAAGTCACTCACCCTGAGGTCTAGCGGACGGTTGTCCAATCTGGTGTCCTGGTTGACCTTGATGATCTGCACGCATTGAACGGCACCATCATATCACTTACGCTTGGATTCTTGCACGCCTCCTCATCGTCGGTGTTATTCGCATCTCGGATCAAGAATGGCATCGTTGGAGTAGCTTTGCTGACGCAAAAGATCTTGTGTACTTGGAGTTCGCCTGCGCAATTATATTTCCAGTTCCGGATTAGCGGTATACCGGTGTATGCACTCCCACACCGTGACACTATCATGTTAACTGCACGTTTACTTACATTTCGCTGTAGTTGAGGCGACTGGCACATCAGGAACAACCACCTTGCCGAACACATCCACGATGGACTCCATGGAAAGCGAAGCGGACCACTTCACCATGTCCTTCGATACCATCTCCTGGCGTGAGTCCACGATGCACTGGAGTGACTCATACTGCTGGCGTAAGATAATGAAGGCCATCGCGCCTGCACAACACTTAGTTAAGGCTTATGTAACGGAACACTCACCCTTTCCGCGGACATCGTTGATGCGGCCGCGTATCCATACTAGTTGATCCTTTGCATTATCGACGTCCTTGATGTCAACCCAGTTGCGAGCAGGCACGCTCGTTAAGGTGGGCGATATGTAGCCAAACGAGGTCGAATCCAGGTCAGAGACCGTCGTCTCAAGGAGCAACAGCTTCTGTCGCTCTTGTTCCTCTGGAAAAACTGTGAGCTCACGCAACGACGAATATCACACATCATTACAAACAACCCTCTACGTTACTACTACAACTATAAACACGCGGGAATCCCCGACGAACGAACGTTCAAGCTTCACAAGTGTCTGCGAAGGACCTACCGCGCGCCCTCAGACGTGCTTGCTTGGCGTCTTCCTTGGGTTTTGCGGGCGTTACAGCCGTCGCATCAATGTTGTCTTGACGTTTATCCATAGTGAGACTATGGAGGTTAGGTATATATGCTATGTTCCGGTGAAGAAAGGCAGCGCCGTGGAATCTAGGATGATGGATTGCGCCCGCCGTGCAGAATCCTCTAAGCAGCAAAATACGTACGGAATGCAATAACAACAGCGTCAAGGGCCTTTTACTGTGGCCCATAGGCGCAATGAAAACACATTGTGACCAGCGCCTCGCAGCATTGTAGGAGGGTAACACGCCCAACAGCATATTAAAGAGTGGTTTAAGCTTTAGGAGCAGGCTTCCTCTTGCCCATCTTGGAGTCCTTGAACTCCTTGGGTTCCTTGGCACCCTCGGCCTTGGGGGCCTTAGTGGACTTCTTTGCGGCGTCCTTTTTCTCTTCCTTGGCCTTTGCCGGAGCGGTGGCTTTGGAGGCCTCACGAGCTTCAATGACCTTCTTCAAAGCCCTCTGCTCTTCCTTGAGGAAGGCACGGATGATCCTGCGAGAGATGTGCAGCGATAAATAAACAGTTGGGGCACACGCCATGGAAAGCAACTAACCTGTCTTTGACACATCCGTGGCAACGGACACCACCGTATGCGCGGGAAACAGTGCGTTCGCGCTTCTTCAGGTTGCGGTAGAGGTGAGGCCTGAGGGCGGCGATACCGGCGAGTCTGCGCTTGCAGTCGCCACACTTCGGGCCCTGCGCGACCTTGACGCGGCGCTGAACCACCAAGCGGGCGCCGGGCGTCTTGACCACGCGCTGCTTGTTGGATTTAGTGTTGTAGCGGCAACGACGGCGCAAAACCACTCTCTGTGCCATTGTTACGATAATCTAGTAATACGCGATGAGGCGGGATTCGGCGTTCCCCTGACACACTGCCAACAAATGGGGATACTCGTAGCAGGTGTATATAATACTGCAACGAGTCGTGGAATAGGCCTCTTTTAAATGGTTAGCCTTCAAGAGGCCGGAAAACAGGCCATTTACTGCGCTATGGGGTAGTCGCGCGGAAGTTGCTACTGTAACCGTCTCTCGGATTAGGCCGCTATGTCACAGATAAATGCGTAATATAGCCATATATAGTTGCACGATTGCTGTTGCCACGTATTGGGCTACATTTTGCCTGGGTACCGGTGCCTTCCTATCGGCTGCGGCCGTACGGCCAACAGCAGTTCTAAGCCACGTTAACAACCTAGCATTTAACGCTATAGAACTTGCCAAGGTTTGAGCTGTGTTATAGAAGTCATCTAGATGCAGATATTTGGTCGATTGGCTGATCCATCGCCCATCGGCAGCGTGCTCAAAACACCTAATTGCAATGTCGTCGGTGTAGACACGCGCCGCAAATGCAAGTGGCGCTCCCTTTTCGACCACGAGGACGAGAGCCTGTCCCGACCACAGTTCTCTAAGCGGCTCGCAGCTGCGCAGTTAGACTGGCCGACGTACTACGTCGCAAACAGACAGCCTCTCTTCCTGGTGCCTGAGAGGCAACGTCACAAGTTCAAGCTCAAAGGGTATCTCGGAAACGGTTGGTGTTGCGATCAGTTTTAATGTAATGATTGTGACTAGTGGCGGTTGACACTCCAAGAGTAGACGACGCTAAGGAAGGTGCCGCTGCCATTTCGGGGCGAGCATTGAAGGGCATTGCCACCCAACCACTAGAAGAGGAGGCTGTTGGTGAGTGTCGTTGAAAAGGTTGTTCAAACCCGCGTTGCAGACTCCGTATTCATGGCACTTAGCCACGAGGAGGATAAACTCACGATCAACCACATACTAGCATTCATCAGGTATAGGTCCCCCCTCTTGCGCATGGTAAACTGGGAGACGTTCCTGGCATCGCTTCCGGTAGGACCAGACGACATACCAATTTGAATGCCGTTAAATATCCTCAAACTCAACTCTCTGACCGCACACTGAGCACTTCTGCACGGTGGAGTTCTCAGGGACGAAAGTGTGACCGTTGCTGGCGCATACGGGAGGAGCTGGCCGTGGCGCCGATTTCTTGCGGCTGTGTTTAATAACTTTTTTCTTTACACATTTATCGGTTGGGACACTAGTTTTCTCTTGTTCCCGTTTTATCGCTCTCAAAGTCTCCAACTCCGATGTTTTGTACAAGCGCATCGGCAGGTGGTAACCTCGAGGATTCTTCACTAGACGCACTGTTAACGGCACCGTTGGGTTGCTTCCACGCTTCACTTTAGAGGCAACATTGCCTGTGTCGCTTCCGGCGGTGCCAGAGTTATCGATAACGTGTGCCGCATTCCTCTGCAGTTCCGACACACTCAGGCCATAAAGCTCGCTGGCTCGGGTCTGTGATATCCATTCATCTGTCATTACGTGGAAATATTATACAGCCCACCAATGACAGACCTTTTAGAAAGGGAGCATTGGTTATTATAATACGCGTAATAGACAATGTGGAGGATTGCACTCATCGGTGGAATCCTACTGACCGCGGTCACCAATCTTCTTACACCGCTGCAAGCAAGGTGAGATAAAGATCGGTTATTATAATGCCTACAGAAAATTGGTACACATTGGTTGCGGTATCATACTAGCACACATTAACGTGCCAGATCCGCTTCTCAAAGCAATTATCATTGCCGTGGCAGTTGTATCGATAATCGTATTCAAAACCGTGCCACTTAGATTCGGCATCAAGAATGACGCAGGCATCATTTGGTACAATCTAATTGTGCTGCTTTTCGTTATATTCGGACTTCCCATTAGGGTGCTTCTGCCGGTGTTCATCATCGACCCGGTTGCCTGCATTGTAGGCGTATCCACGAGATCGAAGAAATGGTGTGGCAATAAGACGGTTAGTGTGATGTAGTGAATATATAAGCATGTTTTGTTTGTGCTGTTTCCACCTGACAATTGTGTATAGGTGTATGGAACACTGGCTGCGGGGATTGCCTCATACTTTTCCTTGTATTACGTCCGCATGCAACATCACCGACTACTGCTGAGCCTTATACTTCCCATTACGGAAGGTGTTATGCGACAGCACGACAATATAGGAATTAGCATTGTCGTGCTATTGTACTACTGCGCCGCCCAACACTTCGGATGGCCCGTTGATCTAAGCTTTACGCCTCTTAAGACTGAAGTGTAATGTGTCACATTGCCAAAATCGTATATAAGTGCGTTTGAGATCGGTGATACCCATCTTCTGGCCACAGAAGCGCCGGATTATTAGCACTAGCCTTCAATGCGAAATATTGCATTGAACCATATAAAAACTGCCTCAGTCACGCCGAAAATTTTGGGGATATGAGCTCTCACGTATCTCACAAAGACACCCTGCGTATATAATTATACGATCACATATATATTCATAAAAGTCCTTTAAAATCACCAAATCTCTTAATTAATCATTGTTTTAGCTTTTTGTTGTATTTTATGTATCCAAGTTTGGCTCAGCTGATTTTTATGTTTACCGGATTAGCCCATCACGCTGATGGTGTAGGTTGTGTATTCCACGTCGTGCTATGGCCGAACGTTATTGGCCTCCTGTCTGGGCGTGAGCGCCATTCACAGCCTTAGTCGTATTTAGGTTTATTCCACATCATAACATAGAGCTCCGCTTTGAAATGTGTCTGTTGGTTAAAACTTTTCTTCTCCATATCATCCTCCATAACTCTTACCTCCTTTTCAGGAAAATTTCCAGCTCGGCCAACTTATGCTGGGGCGTTATACGCATCTCCTAAATGGTGTTGTTACGATTATGATGGTTATATAATGCAAATAATAGAAGATGGCTTCCCTGAAGGGTGCCTTCAAGTCATCCTTTTAAAGTTGAGGTTGCCTGTTGGCTTGTCCCCGATGTGGTAGGTAGTGTTGATAACTCTTAGGGCGCATGGGTTGACGGCACTCATTAGGTTTATGGCACATAAATTAGTGTTCACCAATATGTCAGTTATTAACTCTTTTCTGCATAAGTTTATTCTCACGATTTTTGTCGATCGTCTGATGAAAGTCATCTATACTACGATGCGTAATTGTCAACTACATCTACCCAATTCACGTGAGATGTTGATACAAACAAATTCATTAGGTCGGTACAGATTGTCTGTGTTTTATAGTTGTGATTATTGGGGGCCGCATTGGTAAGGGTTTGCTGTAGGATGCGCAGATTGTGCTGTGATTTTACAGGAAGTTGCCAAAAGGGGTATATAAACGAAGGCACAAGGGATACAGAACAATGAACAACAAATAAAATAATGCGTCGTAGTAAGAGAAACCTGGCATGGCTAATGTTTGAATGTGATTGTGTGTGGAGCATTAAAGATCATTTGTAAACAACTCATCGCCTACGTTAAATACCGAAGTATCAAGGCTATTTAAATCATAGTATGGCATAGTTACGTTTCCAAGTGGGAAGAAAACGTATCAATATGACGTTATAACCACAGCTACCAGCGTATTACTGGCCTGTGCAAGACATATTTTAACGGGATGAAAAATATTCGCTATTCTAACCGCCAGACAAAATGGAGTTGAGAATCAGTAGAAATATCACCTATCTACCAATAGAAAAATGAAGTCACAAGGTACACCGCAACATACGCTCCCACCAGTATCAACATGGCTGTAGACATCGCCGATGTGCGAACTAACTTTACCCAACTCCAATGCGCATGTGAAGGCACTTAACCTTGTGGGTGACACCAGGTAGGAATATCATCGATATACAGTACAAGCGTCAGTTTGCTACTGTTGAGGACGGAGTTGACTAGGCGAGAGTCCACCACACCCATCATGCCAGCGCTGAATCTCCTATCTATACACGCCTACCTGTGGCAGATGCTCATAGAGGTTTTTGAAGCTTATGCTATACGAGTTTTGATTGTTGCCTATATGTGGCGTTTTAATGATGTGACAATTTGTTATCTACCGTAGCGTACAGTTGTTGCGACTTTGAGGTCGGCAGTAGTTAGCAAGCGTTCAATCGATCGGCTCGCGTGCCTCGTAGACATATGCTTTGCCATAAACGTAGTTGCTCAGAATTTAACTGTTTACGATAAAATGTTTTTTCGTTGTTGCTGTATATTTTTTCGCTGTATGGCCATGTCTATTGTTCTGGGGTGATATGTAATGGATAATACGGTCCGCTCTACATTAACGCTTATATTATCGTGCACATGTGATGTAGTTTGTCCAGATTCATTCAACACGATCGTATTGCAATGAATGTCGTGATACGTAGTACGGTACATGATACCTACTTCTGACCGTTCTATTCTGATGCATATGTTATGAGGTTCCACTAGCTTTTGACTAAAAGGTCAATTGGATAAGAACAGGGCTATACTGACACAGCAAAATTGGCAAGTATGGAGGTAGGATCTGAAACTACGGCTTCATCTGCAAATAAAAGGCACCCGTATAGGATTGTGGGAAGATCACTCTACAATTTGGTGTCTTTCATTGAAGGCTACGACCAACAGGTGTTGTCCATGTGTATGAGAGCTTTCGAGTTAACATTGGGATTTTCTCAGTCTCAATTGTCTACGTTGGCAACTGTGTCTACTATGTCGCGCATGGGTTGCTGTTTAATTTGGGGGTTGCTCGCAGATAAGTACGAATCAAATCATGTACTCGCAGCAGGGCTTCTGGTGATGGGCGTGGCTTCGATTGTTCTAGGTTCCGCGTCGCAATACAGATCAGTCAGTTGCAATTTGTACTGTTAATGTTTCCACAGATTGTGTTCTTGCGCTTCTTACACGGCTTTGGATTCGCTTGCGTCTACCCGGTGCAACAAAAGATTGTGTCGGATTCAACCGATTCCGAGAATTCAAACAAAGCAGAGGGGGCACAAGATCAGGGTACAAAAGCCGAGGGAACACCGAACCAGGGCAAGAAGGCTGAGGGGGGACAGAACCAGGGCAAGAAGGGTGAGGGAGCACAGGACGAGGACGAGGAGGAATCAAAGGAAGCTAGTAGTATGTTCACGACTTTTCAGGCTTTAAATTGCATTGGAAGGTTGCTATGCGCAGTGATAACTACGCTTATTGCACGCAAAGTATTATTGGGATATTATGGTTGGCGTACTTCTTATGTTATTATAGGATATGTGTGGATATTGTTTGCTATTGGTATCGTGTTCGGGATGGAAAAAATAGAATCTGAGTGTACTAAAAACTCTGAGGACTCCGAAGGTATCCAGGAGCTTATAACGGGGGCCATTAATGATCCTTTCACGAGGGGAACAACATGGCTATTAATATTAACCTTATTCATCGCAGAAGCCCCAATGTGTGCGTTTAATTATATGACCATATACTTGCAATATTTGGGAGTGTCTGACACAATGGCAGGCGTTGCGATTGCCATTACATTGATTGGTGGCGCGGCTGGAAGTGGAGCTGGCGGAGAAGCTATAAAGAAAATAGCACAAAAGGCTAAAGGATATGGTGAACTTGGTTCTGGACTTGCAGTGATGGCCGTCCGAATGGTTGTCTGTCTACTATTCTTCTTAGGCAAGCCACCATGTGGTAAATTGCTTTGGTATCATTATGTGGAGTTGGCAACGCTTGGTGGAACATTGGTAACCGTTGGTGGTGTGGATAGGGCCCTTTTAAAGAGTGCAATCGAAAAAAAGTTTCAAGCCACTGCATCTGCTATGGTTCGAACCATATCCGGGATCGCAAGTAGCGTAATTCTCTTCCAGGTTTGCGCATATTTGACCGAGAAGGTGTTTGGCTACGTCCCCTCTAGGGAGTCGTTTGAAACCATGGCTGCAGAAGTTAAAGAAAGAAATGCTGAAGCTTTAAGGAAATCGATGATGTACATTATTTTGGCGGGCACAGCACTCAACACTTTATGCTATCTCGTGTTGTTTGCTACGTACCAAAATGATAGAGGAGTAGTTAAGGACAAAAATAAGGCGCATAAGGCAGAAAAGGAGAAAAAAGCACAAGAAAAAGCAGCAGGGAAAAAGAAATAGCGTTTGAAAGTCTTTCTGCTTGCACCTTATTTAACGTCGGGCCGAAATGGGTTTTGAGCGTTTAATACTATTCGTAAAACGTGACGGACGAGTGAGGTCGAGATTTATTACTGTGGTCATTTCGTATTGCCACCTCTTCCTGTGTGTTTTATGTTTAATTTGGTCGTGTGAAACGTCTTTGTATAGCCTAAAAGCCATAGTGGCCTGAACGAGAACAGCGTATATAATTTACTGAGTGACAAGCCTTCACTATACTATCCCCTCCACGAAATTGATTTGCTGATCAGCACAAACCATTGCTGTGTACCAATAAAACAGTGGAAACTGCATCCTTCGGAACACCTGGGTCAGAATTTGCACATTCCATTACTACAATCATGGATATCCACACTGCGCATCAATCTTGTACCATACTTCCTCGTAGTTGATCATAAAAATACATCGACCATCGTTGAAGAATTTATTCAGGAGATGATGTAAAATATTACGTGAAACTTCAATTCTCTTAGAAATTCGGAGTTTCAGGCTTTTATAGCCTTACACGTACACCATTGCCATACAGCCGGGGAGCATGCATACACCGCCACCTCGTGTACTATGCGTTGTGCTATTAACGTATCCATGCTTTCATTTCATTGGTTCATCATATACCCCCGATTTTAGGAACTCCGATCCTTCCTAAGTGGTTTCGCTGGGGAAACGTCTAGGCTCTTCTGAATTTCCGCATTGATTGCTGTAGACTCTCCATGCATGGAAACACAACGTTATAGTTACACAAAACGTCTCTATATTGCAACGTACAATCAACACATTACTCATAACAAACTTGTGAAAGTAATACCAAAGCCACGTACCAACACATTGTAAGGCGTACCTATCTTTCGGTTATCCTCTTTAACAAGTTCCACACGATGTTGATATTTATGCGCCGAGTTTCTATTTGGCGTCGGGGTATGGCGTTTCTTGTAAATGGCGTCTGCTCATCATGAGTACCGTGCATTGACTGTTTTCTCCATCCATACGAATAGTTTATCACACACCATTCGACCATGTGTTCTGAACTTTTAACAGAACAAGCATATAGTATAGTGTTATAGACATGGCTACCACTATTGGCATGCTACGTCTGCAGGGTGAAAACGCCACAATACATGTAAATGGAAACCACCATGCATCATTCGTCTATATTGCACGAATACGTGGCACGCTTACGGCGCAAAATATGAAAAAACATTAGCGCTTATTGTTTTCCGATTGTTTGCTAATTATATGTCTACCGCAAAATTTCTGAATCACGGCGTCAGCTATGTATGACAATCTCATTTTGTTGCTGGAGAACATCCTAATGTAAACAACCAACCACAAAATGAGTGTAATAATGCCACCATTTAGCTGGAAATATGGAAAATGGCCCACTACGTTCCTGCCACCGATAGATGCCAACGAACCCTTCCATTCCTCGTTGAAAGCACGGGAGTCGGACGCGGTGAACTCACGGTTGAAAGCTTCGGCTAGGTATAAGCTTTCTTGTTTCGCATTTTGCGCCGTTGGAAATGGAGCTGCGTAGTTTTTGTCTATGTGTTCCATAATTTCTAAAAGCTTTTCCCGATCAGTTCCACTACTGCGTTTTACTTTTTTGCACAATTCTTTAAAGGCTCGGTCACTTGTATTCAACTTGTTGGACGCCATCTGCGGGAACCGTTTACCCAACTCTTTGCGGGAGCGAAGCAGGGTGTTGATGTCCATATTACCAATGCTCTTAACCACATCATCGATGCTGTCGGCAAGCTTGTCGGGAGTTACCTTGCAACAATCACCGAGTGCAAATATGCTGCGATCTGTACTGCCTCTCAGGGCGAGGTATTGGTCCACCAAAAGCGCACGCGGGTTGTTCTGTTCTTCAAAGTGTTTTTGGATCTGTAGAACAACGTCAGATGGCTTCAAACCGCTTGCCCAGACAACCAAACCACACTGTAGTCGTTCAGTCTCTCCCGTGACAACATCCCGTACTGTGCAATCGTCTTTTCCGACAGCACAGACTTGCTTTCCCAACATCACATTGACGTTATTCTTCCGCAAAACACGGTCCGTGAATTTCGAGTTGCCGGCACCGAAAGTTGCTAGCAATCGCTGCCCACCTTCCACTATGGTGACTTTAGCGAATCGAGCCAGGGAAGGGAATGTTCTGGCCATGTATTTGTTGAATAGCAGTGCCACCTCTCCCGTCGTTTCCACGCCTGTCGGCCCACCTCCAACAATAATCATGTGAAGCAAACGCCTTTTGTCATCGTCGCTTGTGCTCGGCAGAGACGCTTCTTCAAAGTTCGAGACTATTTTCTGGTAAATGGATTCCGCATGCTCCACCTCCTTCAGAAAATAGGCATTCTCCTCCACGCCGGGGATGGAGAAAGTGTTCGATTCGGCGCCTACAGCAACAACGAGGTAATCATAGGGTAGCGATAGTTTTCTCTCTGCGTCGCGTACTGACACGCAATCCACAGAGTGCTCATCTGGCCTGACATCCAGACACCTGGCATGTACGAACTTGAAGTTACCACGCTTGTGCTTTTGCATATATGCCGCAAAAGGTTCCGTACATGTTACCGGTGTGATTTTACCGGCTGAAAGCTTCGGTAGGAGCGGGGTAAACGTGAAATAGTTCCTCGGCGATACTACGGTTAGATCAAACCTGAACGGTATGACACCAATGAGACGCTGCTTACTTCGTGAGATCGAGATTCTTCACAAAATATAACGACGACCAACCGGTCCCTAAAACAACCACCTGCTTCCTCTGCTCATTATCGCTGTCCGATGAGAAGGCCCTTGATGTAGCAGCATAAGTCAACCGCGACTTGGGGATCACGGATCGCAAATTATGCTGTTGTAAGCATCGGTGGAGGCGGTAAAAGGACAGGTTCATCCTGCTAAGACGCTATTTTTTAACGTGAGTTTGCGATGACGAAGAGGCTCGCGACGACGTACGTGTGTACGACAGCTTGGTGGGAGCCAGGACGTCACTCGAATCGAACATTTATAAACATTTCACAAATATTATGCGCGGGTTAACTTCAATTGACGCGATTAGGTGGTACGCCGTTGTCCGTCTGGTGGTTTGCGGCATCCACTGATCCCTCCTCAACGCGCTTCAGGAGCTGTGCCAAGAACTGCATGGCCCTCTCTGCCACAAATATTGTGTCTGTGTCTTCGTTGTAGATGCTGCACGGTAAAAGGTCTTGCTGATCTACATCAATGTTAACTTGATGGAGCTTATGGGCGTCTGCATTGGTGTCGAATAAGTGGCTGTTTCCTTCTGCGTATTCTTCCCACTTCTGAAGCAGCAGCTGCGATGGAGTCATGTCTGACCACACGTACATCTCTTGAGGTGGCGTATGTTCTGCCAAGAATTGCGCGATCCGCGCAGCCTTTGCCAACCGTGATACCATAACGTCCAGTGTTATGTCACCGGCCATCTCGACCGAAGCCTCTGGTCTGTATATCCCCGACACCAAGGCGTGCCATATGGATGGTCCTCTCTTACGCCTCCGCCCTAGAGATGCGGCTGCCGATGCGGTATCCACGTTACCGTTGTTCTTTGCGTGCTGTTCTTGGAGGAGTTTCACCGTCTCCTCATGCAACGCGTGAACTGCAAGGTGTATCGGCAGTTCCCCAGTATTCATTGATACGTTTTGCTTTGCACCGAAACTAAGCAGCGTCTCGCAGACCTCAGTATGGGCTCCCACAGCAGCCAGGTGCAACGGCGTTGCGCCCTCAAGGTTCATCTGGTTGACATTCCCGCTCAACCTCGCCAGATATTGTACAAGATTCCGTTTACCTCTAGCCGCTGCATAATGCAGTAGTGTTTGTCCCTGCAAGAAATTGTGCGTCCGTGCATCGAGGACGAGACTTTTTACCGTACACTTCGATTCCATCAGCCATCGCAGGCTACGAAGCTGTACCGTGACGACACCCTTGTGCCGCTCAATGATATCATCGCATTTCTCTGCGCATTCAACTATTAGCCGGCAGATGATGATCTCGTTTTTCAACGTCTGAGGATCGTTCGCGGTGGGCACGGACACCATAGCAATGAGAGGCGTGACACCCAATTCATTCCCACCGGCTAAAGTCAAGAGGAGGTTTGCGATTGTTGATTCCACACTATTTGTACTGCCGTTTTTGCTTATAAAATCGTACGCCTTGTCTATCCTGGTGTGGATTGCCTCTGTGATTGCCTTGACCATCTCTACGCTACCGTTGGAGGCTGCGATACCCAACACGCTCAAACCCGTGCCAAGGTGCAGAATGCCATAAGATGCTATTGACATAAGCATTTCCAGTACCTCTTCGTTCAATATTTCGCTTTGCGCGGCCATGAATGCGATTGTAGCGACGTGGTCCGTGGTGGCCTCCGACAGGTCACCTGTTGCAGAAAACCTCAGAACCGGTGGAAGCACGCAGTTGCCAGTGACTTGTTTGAAAACTTCCATATATTTTCCCGGCACGTGGATTACGAAATTATTACAGAGCTTGGAAACGTGGACGTTCATTTGGAATGCGATATTCCGGCACTTTTGCATGTGAATCAGTGCCTCGCGGGACTCGGCTCCTGCTATGACGGTCCAATTCCATAAAGCTGTATACGCGGCCTCCAGTGTCATCTGCTTCAGTAGAATGTCTTCCTTGCGGTTTACGCGCGCCGTCGTCACGAGTTGGGCCATTAAGTCTGCCAACCTGGAATAAAGATGTGCCTTCTCATGACATACCAGCGGCAACATTTCCTCTGCCATGATGGTTGCCACCGTCAGATGGCGAACAGCCTCCAGAGAGTTAGATCCAGCTTTGTTCATTTTAATACCGGCAAGTAACACGTGCGCATTGTACATCAAATAGTGCTTGGGGTGTAGTGCCCCCGACCACCTCCACACGAAGTTGTCTAGAAGCTTCCTGACCACTAGGTGTTGACCAGCTACATAGAGGCGATGTGCTCTCATTACGATACTTTCAGCTCTGTTCTCAATTTGATTGAGGTCATCATCGTTCGTTGCACAACGGTTGCCACATGCCCATGTGTATTCCTTTGGTGACCGCTCGTCCATTTGTCCATCTACGGCGTTTTTCACATCCTCTATATGACAAAACCCCCTGACACATTGGCCGCATCTCACGGCAGATATATCAGGTGACTTAATAAAGGGAGACTTCTCAACCGCCTCAGAAAGCAAGAGGCCCGCCGACCAAAATTCCGAATCCTGAATGAAGGGAGGCACGTACTTGTCCAGTGCGGTGTTGATAAAAAGCTTCGTCCCTGGTTCCATTGCGTATATAGAGCGTATAGAAACCCTTCCCACCCCGTCTAAATGGGCGACCAGAGTGGGGAATCTGGATTGCTGGAAACACATCATGTTGGCATCAAAGACAATGCCGCCGAATATCACATTCTCATCATCGGTGTAAATATCAGGTTTCAGAGACAAGCTCTTTGTCCACAACACCACCATCATATGGACCAATTCCCTGTGAGTCAGGTACAAGCAAAACTGCACTCCCATCTCTTTCAATAGGAAGTCAGCGAAAGTTTGCATTTGGTCTAGAATGTGTCGGTACCTTTGTTCCAACGTTGAATAATCCACTTTGAGGCTGAGTATTTGCTGGAGCACATTACCTCGAGCATCTGCCGGCGCACCAGAAGTTGGCGGCGATGGTTCGGAGTCACGTTTGCCCATGCATAGGCCGCACCGTATGAGCGTGCGCGCTGTCAGGATGACGAACGTCTCGTTTAATGCTGTAGTTGCAAACGATTTTAACTTCAACAAATGTTCACACTCAGCCGCATGAACCGCGCCGTTGTGGAGAAAGCAGTCTTCGGAGCAGAACACTTTTAAACATTCGAATGGCTTAAGAGGGCATGACACGAATGTCATGCTCTCGTAGTCAGGGTCTGTCACACGTCTCATCGCAGAAAGACAATGAAAGCAGCTGACGCGCCGTGCGTCGGTATCCGTGCTTGGCTGCCAGTCAGCGGTGTCGATACACCACGGGGCAGCGGCAAAAGGCCGTTTCCTCATGAGGAGACTACCGGGCCTGAGGTTTACCCTTGTGACCAGGGTGTTTGACCTATACTCCACCGCATTTTCAGCATTCGTCACATTGGTCAACTGCTCGGTGTAACCAACTTGCGACATCCAAGTTGACCACTTTTCCTCGAGGTCTCTGACAAAGAGCAGTTCCTTGAAGGCTACCGGTATGGGCATCACCTCTGCCAACCAATTATGCTGTGCTACACGTATCATGTCCATGGTGACTTCGTATTCCTTAGATTCTTTGTCTAGAAGGTAGAGTCTAGTGTGAAGGTCCGTAAGCGCCTCTCGCCACATGCGCCGCTCCATAAAACAGGAGGCGAAGATCTTGTACAATCGTTCATCTTCGACGGCAATCTTAAAAGCTTCCGCATGTCGTTTCTGCAGGGACTCTATGGTACATCCTCCTTCTTCGGATAACTTGCGATCGGCGAAATCCCTGAGCACGCCTTCCACAATGACACCGGTTGGACAGCTGTTTCCTTGCTTCGCGGCAACCATGTTGTTGTAACTACATTTTACACGTTCAAAACTCAGAATAAAAGGCACAAGTATACGGAAGAGCGGATACGGCCTCAAGGTTGGCAGCGATAGCCACGCTCTTTAAACACTTACGCCCGTTGTAATCGTATGGGCGTTTCGCAATTCTAAAAACCATCATATATCATTTGGCTGTTTCAGCAGCCTCATGCTAGCACTTAGCATGCTTTAATCAATATCCTCATCCACTGTACCACGCCATCTACACATCGCTACGTTTATGTGTGCGGGCAAATAGCTCATATGAACGAAGCGTAAACACATTTAAAGTGTGTATGTGGAATTACAAAATATAATTGCAGCAATCCCTAGGAACCGCATTTATAGCCTCATTTGTTGCTAGACACGTGACAAAGGGGATTGACTCAGAACTCCTCGAAATTTTTTATTGGAACATTAACGGTCATTTCGTCGATCATTCTACATGGCTATCGTATCATACGGCACTATTTAATTGGCTAGCAATACTGTACACACATGCTTTCAAATTTTGTAAAATCATTCGTCCCGCGAGGTGAAGGCGCATTTTGTACATGAATTAACACTTAACGGCTATGAAACCTGGTAACGGATAGAATCCTGTGTTATGAATCGCTTACGTAATAGAAGGACTTCTGAATAGCTTTGTTTTAGCATGATTTCTTGTGATACGGCGCCCCCGCAATATCCACGAGGAAGGATGCCCCTTCCACGTCACAAAGCAACATTCACCAGACAATGTAATATTACATTCTTCGTTTGTGGTAGCTATCTCAAATAGGCGTATCTTGACGCTATGGATTGCGGCTTTGTTTAGGTTGTGACGTATAGCTTATACCCGTACAAATTACCACTACGCCCTGTGGTCCGGCGCTGTGGTATACTTCTGGTTATTTGATATGCTCATTTCTGATGAATGTGGCATATCTCACCTAGAACATACCACAACATAAATAGCGGCAGAACGAGCCGCACTCCCATCTTCAGAGGACACTGATATAGTTACCCGCTCTATCTGTGCTTCAAGTTGTATAGTATTCTATATGTATACGTTCGTCTGGCATCACCTTATGTTCCTATTCATGGCTCATGAGCTACACTTCAATGCTGCCCGCGGGTTCCACGTCGTGCTATTACCGAACGTTTTTGGTGCCATCCATGACATCCCTCCGTCTGGACACAAAGGTCATTCACAAATGCTTAATCGTCTCTCTGTTTCACGTGCATCATCACGTAAGGCATCACATCGAAATTTGTCTCTTGGCTGAACTCTCGGCCTGTGACGTTAACTATGTCTTCGGACGCCCTCTTCATGTGTGTCTCCATTTTTACCGAACTGTCTCAGTTCATAATCTCGATCTCCACAATGAAGATGACGCACTTTTGACGATACTCAATTATTATGCCCAGTAGTTTTGGTCAGTGTACTGATGCAATGATGCGCTTAAGGGCAGCATGTACACTACAATGTACATGAAACAATTGTCACACGCAATATACTATCTTGTATCGCACATGATCGGGTGCTATAGTGAAAATTGCAGTTGGAGACGCTGAGGAAAATTCCTACGCAACCAAGCACACAGATGCTGCGATACTTGTAAAGTTATTAGCCTTCACAATAAATTAATGATAGGTTTCGTGTACATACGGCCAATATATACAGTTTCCGAAAACATTGAAATGCTTTGTTTGTTTTAAAAGTTATAAATATACGGTCTCCATTTGCCTGTACAACGTAATGCCACTAATCGCAATGGGAGGCCTTATCGTAATGAAGTATATGTTGGCATTGTGCGCAATACTGCTACATTCGGTAAAATTTATTGAGACATCTGTTTGTGACTACGGAGATCCACCCGACTTACTGAGGAACAATGCCATTGTTAGCTGCCACACATATATGGAATTCTTCGGATTCCCACCTGTGATATGCCCGCGCGTAGTCAATGACACCGAATATGTGTGGCACCCACAGCCGAAGTCGGTTAATGACGGCTATCTCAACGCATACGTGGGTGACAATGGCAAGCTTAGTTCCGTCGCTATTTCAACAGTTGTGAAAACCGATAGGCATATTGCATTTGTTTCGGTGCAATCGAATCGAACACAAACGCAACTGTACTTCGATATACCAATGAATGAATTTTTCTCTATTACCGAACGCCGTCTCATGTTCATCTGTGGTCCGAAAGATTTGGTTATGAGTGATGCGTTGCTACGTCACCTTGAGCGCTTCAATGGTGTCGTACAAATGTTAGAACTGCCTTGGAGCTCCTCAACGCCATTGACTCAGGAGATATCCAAGATGGGAAAAGGTTTGGGGATATATTTGTTGCTCAAGGAATCCATGCATTTACCCCTCAAGGGCTGTGGAAGCCGGCCTTCTCCGCTCTTTGATGCCGATGGTGAAGTAACAGTAGACCCCGTCACCGGAGTCCGTTCATGTGTGGTGGATCCTATGTCGATGTCACGTATAGGATTTCTTTGCGAAGGTCGGATTGAACCCAATGATTGCATGAGATCGCTCTTGGACAAGAATGGAGGTCTTGTGACTGCTCATCCACCACACAGATATTGGAAGTTTGATAATTATAGGCCTTGGGTGATTGCGCAATATTTTGAGAAGTTGGCATTCCGGCCATTCAATGGTGAGTGCAAGTGTATAGATCCCGAAACAGGTCAGGTAAAGGCCAGGATAGAGATCCGCTCTAAAGCCGATTACGTATGTGATATCACTAGTAAAATATTCCGCAATCGTCTGCGTCCCATCCGTGGCCCTTGGTGTTCAGTGGTCCTCCATCCGGGTAGCACCTTGACTATAAGATTCCCAATAGAGGAAGCCGATACGGAGACTTCGGAAGAGGAGTCTCTACCTGGTCTACCCTCTCAAAATCCGCCTAGATACTTATTCAAAACTGAATTCCTGCCGAAGGACTTGAACACACTGAGACAGCTGACGACAATTTATGATGATATTTACGGCGAAGTAATGTACCACAAGGCAATCGCCGGTGACGCTCTTGAATGGGATGTTTCCAAAATCTCAGTGGGAGAGATAAAACTTAAATACCTCAAAAACAAGCCTCTCGCGTTAATAAGAGGATTAAATTCGTTTTTTTATTATTGGACCTTGACGGCAATAAACAAGTATATATTTGGCGATATTCGTGCCATACTGACTGTATCCTTCGCATTCACGCATTACTACAAGACGGTTGGTTGTGAGCGAGGCGCGCAGAAGGTGTTCGATCCTGCGATAAGCAAGAAGCACTGTTCAACTAAACGGTGGGGTAGCGATATTGGACAAACATACGAATGCACGTACAACAAAAACTCGAATATTTTGTGGGCTGGTATTCACTGCAGGGAGAACGAGGAACTTATGCCAGGCAACTGTGAGTCAGTGGGATACGATCTACAATATAATCGTATTATGCCTTTCCGTGGATCTTTGAGAAATGCGACGGTAAGCCGTGTTCTAGGGTTTCAGTTATTAAGGTCCGATTTTAGAAATAATAACCCTGTCAGTTTTGCCTGCGTATGTGTCGATCAACGGGGATACGAAAAATCCAGGTTAGTATTCGAACAAAGTCAATACGAACATTATATGTACGATGTACGACAGGAAGAGGTGCCCATCACTTCGGTTCGTCGTATGTTGGTGCCTTGGCGTGAAGCAGGATCATCAAGTGACGGAATGACGCCACCTGGTTCGCTTATGATACACCATGCACCACAGAGGCCCATGGTACTATATGTAGGCACCTCTTTGGTCTTACGTTGTGCTGTTGCACGTGATGCGCAATACGATGCAAATCATTTTGAGATACGACCGATCTGGTTGCCACTTCTGCATGAGTATTACCATTATACCCCAAGAAATACTACGGATGGGACAGAGCTTGTTCATACGGCACACGGCGATTCAATGACCACAACTCAAGGTGGCTTTGAAGTCTTTACTATGATGTCTACGCCCACCATTTATGAATTGGGGATCAAATCGCATAGGGGCGCCATCATAATATCTAAGCATCCAGTATACAAAAAATATATGCCCATGACGTTTGTATGCGGCAAATATCCTAAACCTTCAGATATCTCCGTCATAGGTGGTGACGTATCTTCACCCGCAATACCCTATATCGCAGCATCCTCGGCGCGATACACGTGGAATGTGGTGGAGGTCAAAGTCGAGACCACGGACCCATACATGCAAGGCTGCGGCGTCACATACGCATCAGACGAGTTGTTCAAGACTGAGACACCCAAGCTCTACGACTCTGATGGAAAACAAAAGATAGGTTGCAAGATTGACCTTCAGACCGCACGCAAGGCTGCATTCCACTGCCCAGCACCGTACGTCCTGGACCCGCCCAACTGCTTCAGCCAAGTCTTTGTCGATGGTGAAGTAAAGAGCATGAGCGACCTCAGTAAATCATTAGTGGCTTCTCGATCCAGCCATTTCGTCATCCTGAGATTCGATCGTTCCCGAGTCGTATTAGGTGAGACCCTGCGCCAGACGCCTCCGTTGGAGTGCCGCTGCGTCACCGTCAAGGGGATCGTTCTCTCCACCATACAGATCGAGAACTACTACTCAAAGTACTGAGTAGCTCACATGTGGTAACTTGTCGTTTAACTGCGGGAACTAATTTGCTTTCATTGTTGGCGTTCTCGACAACATGTTTATGAGGGTATTTCAGTGATAGCATGATTTGGGTTGTCGAATGCTTATTCTGGGTGTCAACTCAATACCTTATTCTGTTGTCATTATGGTTATGTATGGCGTATGTATGATGTAAGAGGCGTAATGATGGAAGTGAATTGTTATTAAGTCTCGCCGAATCTTCCTTGCGCATTTTGTAGAGTGGGAATAAGGAACTTGTAGTAGGAGCATTTTTATCTATACTCATACATTCGAACATTGGCAATGCCTTTAATACCCGATAATGGATACTATCTGGAGCCTACAAGTGCCATTCAGTAACTCCACTCATTTGGGTGAGCAACTACCTCGTGAGTGTCAGGCCATGTTAGACGACCGGTGGGGGGGCATATGGAGATAGCTTTATGTGCTTATTTTATCTTCGCACCGCACGTAACAAGACTATTTGCGATACTACAGTGAGTGACTCTGGAACTGCAGATCTCTAGGTGCCACCCGACTCAGCCAAACTGCATGGATTTATGGGATGGGTAAGATAAATAACTCCAACACCTTGGTGAAATGTTAGGAATCATTAGGGTGATGGAGATATGGGAAATGGATTTAACAGCCGAAGTGAGTGAAACAACCGCAAGACACATCAGGTCTATAATGTGTCCGACATCAAGACGACACAGAAAATGAATCCATGGCATGGATTCATGTTTTAAATGAGATATTTAGGCAGTAATCTGAAGTTGGATGTGTCATGTGTATCATGGCGCACCGATGTTATCAGAAAAGTGACGATAGCAGGGCAGGCCAGCCTGTTGCTATGCTATTATTACACACAGATGTAACATTGACTGTCAATTATAAACCGCAATGTTGTATGTATCATTTAGTAACATCCCGACACACTGCCTTACGAGGTGTGTGGAGAGATTCGCAGTATATATGATCTGCTGGGGTAATTGCTTTTGTAACGCGCGCGGACGTGGTATCTATTGTGTGCGTTGTGTCGTGGCTGCTTGGCTGATCACAGAGCGCTTGCTAGAGACTATTACATGGTGTTGCAATACAAGGTCAGAAGAATGACTCAATCTTCAACTCGGAATTCTCGAGAGATCTGACGTCTTTCCACCCCGCTCCAGCCTCCCTACCAGCAGGGCTCCGGGTTTGGTGCATTGATGGGCTTGTCTCATTCCTCTCGCCTTGGATAAGTGGCGTATATGACTTTAGTTTTCTTTACTGCGTTTTCAAAACAGTTCGCACGTGTTGTCTGCGATTTCGAGTGTGTGCGTGCCTCGTTTAGCATGACGCATTTTCCACTCAGAATTTCACTTTTTAGCCTTTTCACTCATTCTCTTAGAGGTTTGGACGTGTTGCATTCTACGCGGCAATTTTAATGCGTGATTGGTTGCGCTGCCACTGTAGAGCTTTTTTAACTTTAGACATTCTCCACTGCACGGAGTTCCTAACGCGTTGCCGTGTTATTTCGTAGGCATGGCTTGTTGCGTCATATGTAGCGTAATGTAATAGTGACACCTAGTTCTATGATTATGATGGAGAAGACAGTTGGAATCAAGTTCACCAGTCTCAGGGACTGTTTCACATTTCTGAACTGGTTGAAGAATAAAAAGGAGATGCATGAGCCAGTGGCCAACAAACTTCATGATCTTCTAGAACCATATTATAAGAATATTGATCGCCATAAAATCAATTCAGATTTGTCCAAATTTCTCTCCAACGTAAACAAAATTTACGGGAAATTAGTATACGTAAAAGTAGATGACACAGCCTCATTTCTCCACGAGGAAAAGCTGAAAAGCGCATCAAACATCGTCTACGCCCTTTTAGAATGCCTTCCCAAGTTCCTTGCCGCAATGTACTATCTTTGGTACTGCGTAAATCCAACTTTCGAGGCGCTGGGCGGCGGGGGGTGGAAGTTAGATTGGCCTGGGTGGGAAAAGGAATGGTATTATGGTTCAAGTGGCGGCGAACTGCAAGAATATCTCAGATCCAATGACTCTAAAAGGTACAGTGGCTTAATCCCCGGTGGGTTCAATGCACGCGAAGTGAAATACTGGAATAATATTAGTTTCAACTATGAATATCGCCAAGGTTTTAATATGGCTAATGACCTCAAAAATATTTTTGAAAAACACGATGGCCAATTTTTGCGTGACGTGTTCGCCACTTCGGTCTTGCCCCAAAATTCTGGAGCCGATACTCCTAATACTGCCAACGCTGTTGGCTTGGTTGGAGTTTTTTGTGATATTGTGATGAAAGAAGATTCTGACACCGGAGCCTTAAAAGCAGCATTAGATGAGGATATTAAGCGACATGGAAAATGCATAAATTGGCAAGACTTAAAATCCCATTGTCAAAGGCTCAAAGAAGCTCAAATTAATCAATTGTTTAACGATCGAGATTTCAACCACACGGGCCAGTCGCAGATAGTTGACCAAATCAACAAGAAAGAATTTGCGAAGGAAACTGCGAGATGGTTGAGAGGGAATTTGGATAAAGTGAGGGCGAATTTGCAACGTATTAGCACCACTTACGGTGTCATCCACAAGACAAATACCAGTGATATTGCAACCTACTTTACCCAAAACGTCTTCCCTTATGGTTTCATATTTGGTTTCAAACACCATGAGACGCGGAGCAAGAATGCAAGAACATTGCTTCAAAAATTGCGATATGTAATCGATACGCTTAAGGAAAAGCACAAAGGCATTTTGGCGAGGCTTGTAGAAATTCTAAATGGTGGAAAGTGCCCAACTCCCCAGGTTTCGTCTCCGAACCCCCGACCCAGGCCTGCGCCTGCGCCCCCACCCCGGTCATCTGATGGTGGTAACGGTGTAGCGGAAAAAGGTGGGGATGCTCGTGGGAGGCGGCCTGGTGCCAAAGGAAGTCAAGGTAGTAGAAGATACATACGGGTGAAAGGTGTAAAAAAGGTCCGTAAAGTTGGTAAACGAAGAAAAGTTCCAACGAAGCCACCTCATGTGCCAGGGCCTATGGGGCCCTCAGCTTCACCATATGAGCAAGTGGTTAGTGCTGAAGAAAATATTGACTCTCAAGATACTGAGGACCATGATGATGAAGAAGATTCAGACTCGTCAGACTCCGACGACGAGGAAGACCAATTAGGGCTTGGTGATTCAGGTATGGAGAATCTCGGCAATTATTCGCAGCCACAAGATGTAGTAGATAAGGCTAAACAGTTGCTAAGAAAAATAAAAGATGCTCGAAAACAAAAGAAAGATGATGCAGATGCGGAGCTTAGACGTAAACAGGTTCTTGACGAACATCTACGTCAATGGCAAGAGTACCAGGACACCTTTCCCTATTTAGAGGGGAATAGCGCTATCCCTCCGGAGCCCGTTTATGTCTGGCTCGATGGAGACATTTATGACGATGGTTCTGAGCTTTTACGGCGGCAAGAGGATTTTGCAATACAACAAGATACTGACATTAAACTATACGACATGTATGAACAGTTGCGCAATGTTTCATTCACTGGAACGACCGCTGACGACGCCAGGGGAAATCAGAGGGCATCCGACCCCCAGGTTCTGGCTCACATTGGAGTTCCAACGGGCCGTTCGTTGCAATCATCAGATACAACGGTACAAATGCCACTTAACATAAACTTCACAGGTCAGGCTGCAGCAGAATCAAAAGGTGCATCGGATACTCTGCTTCCACAGATTTTTACGGCTATTGGTTACCCTTTAGATGCCAAGAAAGAGAAGAATTTCGTGCGATATAATCCGCCTCCTGCGTGTACAGCTCCGTCTAAGTTAAGTAGTGGGTACCGACAAAGCATTGCCGTAAGACAAAATAAGCATCCAGTTTTTGCCCAAGCGCCTCTCGCACCCGTGACGGCGCAATTCGACGACCCATCCATGGCCAAATTTTTGAATGTCTCCGGCACAACCCTGATGAGTTCTTCTAAAAGCGACGCCATCGTTCCAGAATTCGAGAGCATTATGTTGTCCATGACACCAATGCCGGATTTCAATGTAACACCCATTCCTGATTCCAACCTAAATACTATGATTCCCAAACTCTATTTAGACCCCCTACCTCCAATAAATTTAGAAGTTGCGGATGCATACAAGCAACGCAAAATTCTAGACCCACTTGAGATTGATATTCACGTCCCCAATCGCACAGTTACGGACCCCTCATATGACATAAACTTGGCTTATGGTCTTTCGCCTCTTCCAGACGTCCAACCACTCGAGTCCATTAGCCCATCTATTCCCACCATCCTACTCAATTTAAAGCCACCTGAAGTTGCGCTGCGTTCCCCACGCACAGACAATACAATGATTAATACAGTCACATTGGAAGACAAATGTGATGCTCCCTGGATCACCCAGACACATACGCATGACCCTACCGAAATTCCCGAGACGGAGCTTTTCCCCTCCGAGGCGCCGCGCACGGCCAAGGAGATGCTTGTTTGGATGGCAGGACTGCGGAACGCAAAGCAGCAAGAGACTCTGAAACAGTGTATTAACAACGCTTTCAATCGCGAAAATGATGACGCTTCAGATCTCCGACTCTCTGTTAACGGTGCTGAGATGCGCCCTGAAAATGTCCTTCACACCATTAAGCTTGTCGCCATGTTCGCAGCATCAGTGCTCTCCGCCGTCGCGCCCAAGTGGAGAGTGGCAATATCGTCTGTACCTTTAGCGTCTAAGGACTCAGACCAATCCAAGGACCCTGATTGCTGCGCCCTCCTCTGCCAGCTGCGGGACTACGTCTACACCTGCTGCCACCAGTTGGCGTTCTTAAAGTCGCAGTGTAATCGGAAGGAATCTGAAGGTGGCTGGCAGGATTGTCAATATGGTTTTAATATCAAAGGTCCCTCCCCCCTCCAGGCCTTCCTGACTGACGCCTCGGAGTCCAAGTTCAAGACTCATCCCTTCGACCCGGGTGACATCTGCCTCATGAGCCGCGTCAACATGGGATTCAGTAAGGAGGATTTGCCTACGAAATCACAGAACGGCGAATATATTTTCACCATCCTCACTCCAACCTGCGGCGGAGATGACCCTTTGCTCACACTGTCCTCTTACCTCAACTGCCTCACCCACCGGACGCCGCGCACCACCGGGGAGCTTGTCTCTTTCTTCCACAATTTAGGGAATACGCTTCATGATGCATCTTCACAGTTGTCTCCACTGGGCTCCGCCCTCTCCAAGCCACATGGCCACTGCCCCGGCTGGGACCGCCTTGGTGACGCCGACCTCAATGCAATCAAGGACGTCCGGGGCTCAGCCTTTCCCAACTCCATCCACGATCAAGACCATCCCATGACCCTGTCCACACTGCTTGGTTGCGGCATCAATAATTTCAAGTGCCCACAACTCACGAAGCCCATCACCTACCGGGCCTACGCCCTGTACTCTTCCAGCTTCGTCCACACCTACCTCAGCTGGACGGTGTATCTCACAGACAGACTGTGGGAGTCACTGCTCAAGCTGCAAGATGATCTCAATAAGCTTCAATGTTCCATGTTCAAGCCCCTCCACCAGTGTGACAAGGCCCTGCCCCTCCTCTACTCTCACGGCATCACCCCGCCAGACGGGGCACTGCAGTCCTCACTCACGTGTTCCGAGGTCATCGCCAAGCTGAGGGAAGTGGTCAACGGCGAGACCATAGCAAGGCTTATGACATCCATGGACACATTACTCTACAGCATCCGTGCGCCCTTCCTCTACACCATCGTCACACTCTGGCTCACCGCCACGCTCTACATCGCCCACTCACTCCTCTACCGCCTGGACGTGCTGCGCATCCGCTCTCACCTCCTCACCACCAAGGCCTCCCATCTCATCGACGTCAAGGCGCTACTCTCCACCAGCCGCAAGATGCTCTCACTCGACAGCGACGTCGACTACTTCGATGACGATCCTGTTGATCAACACGTCTCACAGGAATTGTTGCATTCACATGATACCTTGGTACCCTGTTGAAGTTAGTATTAACGAATTCATGAATTTAGTTAGCTGTAAATGTTGAGTAGTAAGGTGTTCAATTGACTGAAGACATTGGCATACATGCAAGGAAGCCTATTTTAGTAACTCAGTTATTAATAGCTACCTACGTTAACGTTACTATCGACTCAGTAGATAATGTAGTAGACTCGTCAATATGTTGTTGTAGTGTCTGCGATGCAGGGCTCATTGCCATGAACAGATCATGTCAGTAGACTGCAAATGCATGAGGCCATCAGGGAGACTCCCTGATAAATACCGTGTTAATTCCGCTGTGAGGTGAGTGGGGAGGTAAAGGATGTGAATTGGCGTGCTTATGTGCGACATTTGTCGAATCGGAGGCCACGTGTAAGTGAAAGCCGCAGTTAAGTTGCATTTATGGTCAACATTGCGGTAAGCCTTGAAGTCGTAACGCCTGCCTAGGCCCCTGCACCCACTTAGTGGGGCGCCCGCAAACATAGTTAGGCACCCAGATATCTATCACCCCGAAATCCTCGCAGCGATCGTGAGCACAGTGGCAGTCTGGGTGGAGTGTTGATACTTTTCTCGGGTCGGATGCAATTCAGTGTAACTTGATTCACATTATGCCGGCAAACAATGACATCAATGCACGTATTAGCCGTTGATATTAATGGTGTGTAAAACGTGAAACCTTCGGAATCACGCTCACAAGAGCACACCTGGACGCCAGTCTGGATGTGTATCTCTACGTGAAGAGGATTTTGGGGTATTTAGACGGTTTTCTAATTGGTTTGCAAGATGGATTCTCAAAGGGATGGGCGTGAGATGCAGTTTGGTATAATTAGTCTATGCATCCATGCCATTCTTCCATCATATTTTGCATATCAACAAATTTCACAATATGTGAGCACTATTTGGCATAACCGAAAGCATTTCCTCTACTCTACGGAGTACAGTAAGAGTTCACCTAAAACTCAGGATAATGAAAAACAGTTGCCCTATCTAACGCATCTTTACAAAATGGTATACGATTCGTTGACTGAGGCTCCTCACAACCTCAAGGAGGGTATTGACTGGTTGATAGCCCTGAAGGTAGTTGATCCTGAAACCAACTTCAAGGCTATGGGTGCGGCACTTCACAAATTTCTAGCAGACAAGCCCGTTGGATTCACGGAGGTGCCAGCTCTGGAGAAGGTAAAGAGTATTTCTAAGGAGTTCTTGGAGAAACGGGAGCTCAAGGAGCAGCCATTCATAAGACAGCTGTTAAGGAGATTCAACAAGAAGAGGGGTGAAAAAATCACCTTGTTAGATAGGTGGTTCGAATCTATAGCCGAAAGCGATTATGCTAACGTCGTAGAGGCAAGAGGTGTCACCGCTAAAAACATTGGAGAGAAATTAAGTAAAGCCGTAGCTGGTTGTGAAAAGTTCCTGGAAAATATCAAAAACCCCGACCAATATGAGTCTGCCTACAGTCCAGAGGCTACGTGGGATGCGAAATGCGCGAAGGACGCGGAAGCATATGCGATCATATTCGTTGGGATTGCACCAATGTTATACGCGGGCCTACGGTGCTTGAAGCATGCGAGCGCAGATGGTCTGAACCGTGTATGGCTAGCTAGTTATGGGGAGTTGCAATTGGGAGAAGTAATGAAAGCTGTTGGGTACAAGCAGCCTGAATGCCGCGCTAGTATGAGTCGTTCAGATGTTTTCAAGACGTTGCAAAGTGTGAAATATGACATGTTGACCATATTCTACGACCTCTCTGGATTCTGGGCTTTCTACAGGTTTGATAAAGCAGGGGATCTTAAAATTGAACAATCTTTAGAACCTGAAAAACCTGCAGAAGCTAAACACCCTGCGGGAACTATAGGACTTGAAGGAGATGTTGAACCTGAGGAAGGCGCGAAATATGTAGAAGATGAAGAAGGCGTGGAAGCTGAAGGAGTTGAAGAAGGTGAAGAACCTGAAAAATCTTTAGAACCGGTAGAGCCTGTGCAATATGCGGAAGGCGAAGAAGCGGACCAATCTGTGGAACCCGTTAAACATATTAAAGAGGAACAACCTACAGGCATTGGAGAACCTATTCAGGAGGCAAAATACGTGAAAACCGTAGAGCCCATAGAACTCGTGGAATCTGTAAAACCCGTTCATGAGGAACAATTTGTGGGACCTATTCTAAAGGTACAATTTACAGGAGTTGAAGAACTGGTGGAAGCTACCAAGCCTAACAAAGGCAAAAACTATAAAAAGGGTAAAACAGGTAAAAAAATCTGCAAAAAATAAAAAGGCTGCAAATGCTGGAAAATCAGATCAACAATAACAGGTTCTGAGTACAGATCCCGAGTGATTGGGCGTCATTTAAACTCTTACGAAGCATTTATAATTTATGAAATATAACTATAGCCAGTTTTTTGTATACGCTATTCGTCCACAATACTGCGGCCGTAGAATGAGGGGACAGACAGTTCCTTGCGTATTTAAAATTTTATTGAGGACGCCAGGTGGAGGGTTGTTTTTCAGCGTAGTACGCGTCAATGTCCGTACACCCAACGGGCATTGTGTGGACATACGATATTTATAAATCACGATGCACATACCTTAAAGCCTTTTCAGGTCTACGGGCAATCAGCACCATATTGGAGGGATTCGGCAGCATGCCCGTGATCGAAATGTGTAACACCTGCTGAGTGCAAAGTGTATTAGCGCGTTTAGATTGTATCACTTGACAACTTAATCTTCGATCGTTGTTAGTTTTTTGAGAATAGATAGTATTGTTGCCCAAAACACGCACGTACGTAGGTGCATTTTGTCGGCGTGGATTGACGACCTACAGACGCTGTGAATCGTTGACTTGCTCTGCCCCGAAAAAAGCCCCAATCCAAACGTAGCTACACAGGACACTAAACAAAGCCAAAACAAACATAACTCAAAAGTCGACAATGTCATTGCCTATCTGGACACTGCGAAGAGCCTAATTGAACGCAGTGGGCCGATTTTCGAGTGCCTGTTTGCGCACTCTGGAGTTGTACTCCTCGCGATTGTTGACGAAGAGCATGTAAGGATCCGCTTGAGCTGGAGACAGCGGGTTCGGGTTGTCCAAGAGATCCTGAACGTTCATAGGCGCATGGAATTAATGAAACGGGTTTCACGTCATGTTGACATCTAAACCGTCATTAAATGTGCAGCACGCCTCGGCCACATCGGGGAAGGCGGTGCCTGTAAAACGACCACCGGCACGTCAGCAATGCAAAAGTCTCGGTTACCTGTATGCCTAGGAGAATCTGCTTGATGGTGATTGACGGCTTCCAATCCTTGTCCTCGTTCAGAATGGAGAGGCAGACCGTGCCCGAGGGATACACATTGGGGTGGAATAGCACCGGGGTGAATTTGCACTTTGGCGGCTTGCTCGGATAATCGTCCGTGAATGCCATGGTGAGGGTGTACTCCCCTCCCTCCCAGATGGTCCCCTGCGAAGCGTTAGTATAATAAATCGAGTTAACGGAGGTGATGGAAAGTGAAGTGCCGCAGCTAGACAACACATTCACCGAGTAGAATCCTGACCTTTTTGCCGGGTATTCTACATATCCAATTCATGATATCCAGCCCGCTCCCGTCCGGCAGCGGCGCGTACTTTGCCGAGAATCCCACGGGATGGTCCCGCCTCCAGTCAGCCCTCTCCTGGGCGAGGCGTTTCCTAGCTATGGTAGTCATGTGGCTACGTTACGCTATGCGCCGCCGTTTAGGCCTAGGTATACCTCTATCTCGTCGCAATTGTACTTATTCGACAACTTAGACCCTGCAATAGTACATGGCGCCCTTTTATAACACGATGTTGTGGCATCGCATCAGGTGAAGCCATTCAATCGTCCCGTCCGCATTTATAACGGAAGACGGACCCAACGCGACCGATTTATTATATATAATGTGATGTGTACAAGTATATCGGTGTAATCGGCAGACTAATGGCTACGCTGTGTCAGCCCCTACCCCTCATTGAGGAGGCGCGTCGATAGGAAATAGAAGTTATACATGCGGGGTTGTTGACAACAGATTCCTATGTATACATCGGTACAATGCCGTTATTGACGTCAATCGGAATCCGATAGTCAAATGTGTAAACTAATGCACACATTATTTTACTAACCCCGCACCGCAAGAGCGGCCACTGCGTCCAGTAATGCAAGCGTAACACATCAGCCCATATTCATTTGTATGCGCATTGAACTCCCGCACGGACGTCGCGCAATAGGTGAACTCATGTGTATAGACACCTACAACGACGCAGCAATATAATCACTAAGGACCTTGTTAAACCCCCATGGATTTCAAATGCGTACACATGTAGCACTTAAAGTACTCAAAGACTACTATTCTCCATAAAATTTGTACACACAGAGTCATTGTGGACGTCTACATAGCTCCCTGGATGCGCCAATGCCCCATACGACGCGCCAGAATGGATCTCTTCCTTACGGGTAACATTTGCTGCTTGGCAGCTGACCACAACTACATTTCCGCATTCGTATACGAGATTGTATGAGGGCAAAAAATCCCTCAAAACATCCATTCTACGATCAGAATGGCACCAACGTTAAACAGTGAGGGTGGCAGCGGTCGGAAGTGCCGTTTTGAAACGGTTGACCCAGCTGCGATGCCAGCGCCGCACATCAACCCTTTCTTGCGTTTGGCTATATACATATACTATATTCTGAGTTCCGGTTGCATTTACTGGGGATGGAATGGCATCCAAGAGATTCTCTACAAGGCTGGTGCTTTCGAGGAGTATTGCAAGGAAGGTGCGGAGATAACCAAAAAGGTTCTCTACGATGTATCATACACTGGTATGTCACTTTAAGTTGTGTGCTAATTTTTTTCAGACTGTCCAGACAGGGCGGGTGGAATAAACAACCTGTACACGCTGGCTTACTCTACCCACTTCATCTGCTCCTTCTTCAGTGGATGGCTGTTGGATCGTTTCGGTCCTCGCATTTGTTTCCTGGTGGGCCACTTCTTCTCGGCGTCGGCGTGGATGCTGATTTTTTGTTTCCCGACCAACGGTCGTTTGTTGCAGGTCGCCTTCGTTCTTGTCGGCCTGTTCTGTGAAGCATGCTACATTCCCATGCTGTCAGTGAGCAAGTATTTCCCAAATGGATCTTCCACTGTGATCGCTATCATGGGATCGTGCCGTTCGCTTTCATACTTCGTGCCAACGTTATTATCTTGGATATATCATATAGGCAGAGTTGAGAAAACGATGTTGTTTGCCATTGGTATAGGTTATCTCCTGGTTGCGAATGTGTTGTGTTTCGTTTCCGGGTTCTTTGTCATTCCGAGAGTGATCCCTATTGCCCCATCTGAAAAGGATGCACGGACCGAAACGGAGTCCGCTCCTGCATGTGAAGTGGTAACGGATTCTACTGTGTTAGAATCTGCGGACAAGAAAAGTTTGTCCGTTATGGACCGCATTAAGAACGGGTTAAAGAGCCCATTCTTGTTGGAATTCATAATTTTGGGATGTTCGGTGTGCTTTTTCATGCCGTCCATTGAATTTATCAACAAATCTCAAGGCAATCTGCTGGTGGCATCAGGTGACGGCGGAGATGCTACTGGGGTTTTCAAGTACATCAATATAGCCACATTCGTGCCTGCACCCTTCTTGGGCGCCGTAATGGACAAAGTCGGCCCGGCTATTGTGATGAACTTCTTGCACTCATGCACCATACTCTACTACGCTTGTGCGGCATTCGATCTTTATGCGATGAAGATTGCGGCTTGCTGCTGCTATCTGCTGGCTGGTTCACTGTGTGTATCTACGGTATATTGCTACGTTAACACCAGATTCCCGACGCAATACTTTGGTTCTCTGGTGACTACGATTTTCGGTACTGCGGGTCTGGTTTCCCTGATAAACATACCGCTCTACAACTGGGGACTGACTCTAAAGGCCGAGATACCTCAGCAAAGCTTCCGCCCGCTCGCGTTTGTTTTTATGGTAGGCCACGTAATTTACATTTTCAAAAAATCGCAGGGATACATGGGACTTGCGTGCACGTTGAGTGCCACTTTGGTCTATATTTCTGTCATCCGTCCGAAAAGGATGGCCGCGTTGTCTATGGCTGCGGAGTCGACATGAAACACGTGTTAGGAACACGCCACTACGGACTCAGTTGCCATTTTAAAATTACAATTGTAGTCCATAGAAGTTTGCAATGTTGCGTGTATTTGCGGCTGCGATAAGTGCGTTGCTGTCTCCGTGCATGACCACGTTGTGTAGCCTTCGCTCGCTGAGTGTGAGTCCCATGAGGAAGGTGTCATCGCATGTTTCGCTGCGCCGCAGCAGGTATGCCCTGCGCTTGCACTCTGCCTCTTTGAGGACGTTGCGCAGGTTGTCAACGGGCCACTCGTTTTCCGGGAGCCTGAGCGGAGCTTATCGGCTAGGAGGGACTAACTCACAGGTTGCAAAGCTCGTATCCAAGTTGGAAATATAGCGGGGAGAGTTTGCCAACTGCCGTGGCTGTGGCTTCGGCGAGTAGCGCTCCTGCGTCCTTGTAGTAGCTGGGGAAGCTGATTTTACAGAGCCCAGCTCGGTAGAGGTGCTTGGCGTAAAAGAAGCGTATTTCTAATTCATCATCCGGCAGAAGCTGCAAGTTATGAAGACAGAGCCGAACAGCATACCTCGTCGTCGGATCTCGATTCTTCCTGCGCCTTGGGACATAAGAAGGCCATTCCTGGTAATGGGCAAGTAGCTCGGCACGGCACCTTCTACACAGATTTCATATTTTCTAAAGTCTCACCTACCACAAAATCCACGTGCCTGCAACGTTCGCGATTATTTGTGATCAGTTCTTCCACATGCTGCTCCAGGGTTGCCATCGGCATCGACGATGTCGGTGAAACATCCGTTGTTCGGTACGTGTGAGTTCCACTGCCGTCCCTTATGTATACGGTATACACCTACCACTGCAGCCGTTAGACGCTGACATAGGAATTAAGGATTAATAACAATAGTGCATTAGTGTGAATGTTTGTGTAATGTGCGCCATCTGACACGGTTACGCATTCTTGCAGTGAGGCGTGTCTGACGGATTCGTGACGGCCGGCTGCTTCGGCTATTACCCGACAGAACGTTATTTAAATTATTACATACATATGTGTTCTTTGTTTTATATGGTCAAGCGTTAATGTCTTGACCGCTAGAAAATTGTTTTCGGTAGGATGGCGAAACGGAAGACAAAGAAGGTTCAATTGAGCCGGGCGCAATTGATGCAAAAGCGCCGTGGCAAATTGGACAAGGAGTTTTTGTGCTATTACTGCCAACATGAGAAGTCTGTTGCAATAAAGATGTAGGTGCTACATGGTCTTAACCTCAACCTTCCCAGCGATAACCAGTCTGGCGTCGGCTTCTTAAGTTGCCGAATCTGCGGCGTCAAGTTTTCAACTCGAGTCACCGTGCTGGATGAGGCCGTGGATGTGTACGCTCTGTGGATGGACTCATGCCGCGAGGGTCAACGCGGCGACACAGCTCCGCAGAAGAAAGGCACAGCGGACACAGTCAGCACACAGGCCCCGCTACAAAGTAAATCTATTGCGAAAAAAACGCAATCGGAGCATGATACGCCTCGCGCCGATAAAAACACCCCGGCCGCCGACGCCGCGACGCCAGAGGATGCACTTCTAGATTCTAAAGAAGAAGCCAACACCGCAAAGCCGTCTTCAATCGATCCGGAATTGGCATCAGCTGCATTTTCCGCCATCGGTGGCGGAAAACGCAGCAAGCGGATCATTGACGCTGTGGAAGAGACACACGACGAGACTGAGTACGCGGTCGGCACGCTCACGGGCGAAAACCTATTCGAGGATGATTAGCAAGCTTTTTAGCTTATGTAAGGTCTATTATGTATAATTTTCTACGCGGTTGTCTACACATTAAGGGGGTGGCGGTGGCACACGTCCACTCCGCGGACGGCAACTTCGCACCCCAGCACATGGATAGTTTCTCAACACCTTACTAAAAGTAGTCGTATATAACATCCTTATACCATGGTTACCCTTAGGGGTGTACCACTTGCGAGCAGCGCGTTGCTGCACGCGCCTGTTTTAAACAGCAGGCACTTAGTCATCGAGATTCGTCAGGGGGAGATGGCTATGAATGAGTTTACGTGTCAACAGCTGCTGTCTAAAGTGAAAACCACTTGTCGCATATCGGACATTCGACCAAATGGGTTTATCACCTATCGTGATTGCAAGCAATTGTTGTCGGATAGTGACTATATCGCAAACATCGATACACGTTTTGAATGCATCCTTGTACGTCTGTATCCCGTTTCGGCAATCATATTGCATGATTCGGTGTTAGTTATTGCAAACGGGAATATGAATCTAGATGATTTCCTGCGTTCACTCTGCAAAATCACCCGAGACTATCACAACAATAGCCACTCTTCCAGGTCAAACCCCGCGCAGTGCGGCAGAGGATCCGATGATGCTGATGGTTTGGTAGATTCGTTGCTGCCATTCGAGGTTAAAATCTTGGAATGCTGCTACATGGCATCTTTGAGTAACTTGGAGGAGGACATGGCGGCAATCGAAGACAAGTTTCGAGTAGTGGAGCAAATGGTGCATGAGAAGCGCAGATACCAGGAAATAAACATGATTCTGCACCACTTGAAACAGCCCGTGGTGAATATGAGCGAGATTCTGAAGGGATTCACCGAAATGATGGATGAGTACCTCAACGACGAGGATTCCATGAAGCTTCTGGAATTCGAGAGCCACATGCTGTTTTACGGCCCAGAAACGCTTCGTATAGGCTTCGTAAGTCTATTCGTTCGTCTGTAACATCCTTACCAGGAGGATCGGACGGTAAACCGCGATCTGGAGAATCTGATGGAGTACTTCGACCAGGAGGTGGACCAGGTATGGCGGATGTAGTTCTTGCAAAATTGTCGCAGATGGCGCGTCGTTCCAGAACACTCGGAACGTCGCTGAACGAACTGGAGAAACACATAACGGTCGCCCTGGCAATTAAAAGGAACGAGATGATGCGTTTCGAACTCATTTGCAGCGTTCTCAGCACGGCTTTCGGGGCTGGAGCCTGCTTGACAGGTGTGTGCAGCTACATTACGTATGAAACGCGTGTCAGGAATCTTTGGAATGAACGTAGTCAACAGATTTGAGGAAAGCCACACGGCTTTCATTGTGATATCGGTTATCGCTCTGCTCATCACATGCTTCGCAGTATTAGGTACGAAAATACTGCTATACAGGCATCGATTATAAATTAACTTTAAGGTGTTTTTAATGTTTCGTTAAATTGCGACAATGTCTTTTGTGCCAAAACGTTGGAAGGTCAGTATATGCGTCTGCTTGCCTCACACTAATCCACGTTCGGCGCCCCTTACCCCTCCCTTACACCATTAAACGGCGACAAAAAAGCCTATCCGGTCGCGCGTGCTGACAACATCGTGTCCGTCGTTCGGTGTTGTCGTTGCGACTGAGGAAGGCAGATTCCATGCGATGCCGTTTCGCCGTCTGGCTCTTCGGTCCCATATTTTTCGTATCTTCTCTTCTCTATTCATCTAAATGTTTTAAACGAACTCGTTCAACGGCAATATCGGGACCTATGAATATCACGTATGTGTGCATCTCGAGCTGTGACCATGTTCGCAGGAAGTTCTTTGCGGTGCGGCCGAATCCAGCTCGCAGCACGCCTACGTCACCTATTGCGGCAGAACAGAGCGTACCACCGCGCGATGTCGGAACTTCTGATAACGGTGGGCTAAACATACGTGGTTGTGACGTAACTACAGAGTCGCCAAAGAGGCGCCTTGGAACCGTTTCAGATGCAACCGAAGAAGCTTCAGTTGGTGGCGGACTTAGTTGGAGCCAAGGTTCGTTGAAGTCGACATCTGCGCTGATTAGTTTATCAGACGACCCAACTGAATCAGTGGGCTCTAGCATAGTGGGCAGCCAGCTCAGTGAAGACGCTGATACTGCAGTTAGCAAGCCATCAAAGAAACAGAGGAGAAGCCCTAAGAGAAAGGTGGATGCTGATGAACCGGCAGTTGGTTCGCTGTTCAACAGGATTGTGAAGCCAGGCGACGGGTGCGCCGACATAAAGTCGGCGAAATTCGACCCAAGTCTCTTTGACATCAGCCCATATATCCCCCAACATCCACCTGCTTCCCGCCAAAACTCGCTACTGTTCATATTTTTGGCTGAGGTATTGCAGGAGGTTGATGATACATTCAGATCGGGCACGGGTAGTAGGAAATGCGTATCCACGATCCTGTCGAACTTCTTTCGTGTCTTAATCTACCACAGGCCGAACGACGTTATGCCTGCCGTGTACATCATGGTTAACAGGTGAGTCTTACGCTTGCGGTTATTGAAATGTCCAGGATCGCACCAGAGTATGAGGGCGAAGAAATTGGCGTTGGCGATGTGCTGGTGATCAAAGCAATGGCGGAATCCTACGGCAAAAGTGTAAAATCTATCAAAGAAAGTAGGTGATGTCGTTTTGCATACGTAACCTTAAAAATCGCGTTTTCATTGCTTCTCAGTGTTGACCAGGCACGAGGACCTGGGCATCGTTGCCAGTATGAGTAGCTGTACCTCCCAAACCATCGTGAGGCTCCCCGACCTGACTATAGAAGGAGTTTTCAAACAATTCAAGTCCATTGCTGCGGAATCAGGGAAGAATTCGGTGGAACGGAAAAAGAACGGGATTAAACGCCTTCTGGCATGCGCAAAGAGGAAAGAGGCTAAGTATATCGTTAGGTTTCTACAACAAAAATTACGAATCGGCGTGAACTCCATCACATTATTTCAATCGATAGCAGATGCAACTTATCTCACAAAGGCTGCTAAAGGAGATCAGCCGGCGATCGGTGATACACGGACTGCAGGCATAAAGCAGGCCGATACTATTGACGAAATGGAGAAGGCTGTAAAAACAGCGACAACACACTTAGCCTGCATAGACACCATTATTGGTCATTTGATGGATGGAGATAACTGTGAACAGTTGCTAGAGCACTGCAAGATACGACCAGGGATTCCCGTGGGTCCTATGTTGGCGAAGCCCGTCAGCAAAACGTCGGAAATCCTGCCAGCCATCGGTGGGCCAGGCGTGGCGTTCACTTGCGAGTACAAGTATGACGGTGAGCGGATTCAGTTGCATTTGATGAAAGACCGTACGGTCAAGATTTTCAGCCGCCGCATGGAGAACATTTGCGAAAAATATCCGGATGTTATGGAGAGTTTTCGAATATGCGTGAAGCCCACAGTAATAGACTGTATAATTGACCTTGAAGTGGTGGCGTATGACCCTAATAGCGGAAAGATAATGCCGTTTCAGCATTTATCCACCCGCAAGCGCAAGAGCGTGATGGTGAAGGACATATCCATACCGGTATGCATGTACCCGTTCGACATTCTCTACCTGAATGGCGAGTCCCTTGTGACAAAGCCCCTTTCAGAACGCCGTGTTGCGCTTGAATCGGCAGTATCTGAAAGAAAAAACCTTCTCCAACTTGCATGCCGCAAAGACATGAACTCTCTGGATGAGATTGACGATTTCTTGCGCCAGGCGGTATCAGATTCGTGTGAGGGGCTTATGATAAAAAGCCTACATCAGGATGCGACTTATGAACCGCAGGTGCGAACCAACAACTGGCTTAAATTCAAGAAGGACTACATTGATGGCATGGGGGATTCGCTTGATCTCGTGCCAATCGCAGCTTTCTCGGGGACTGTGAGTTTCTGCGTACGCCACTTTACTTACATGCTTCAGGGAAGGAGAACAAGTGTCTACGGGTCCTTCCTCCTCGCAGTCTACGACCCGGTGCACGAAGTGTATCAAAGTGCCTGCAGGACGGGCACCGGTTTCAATGACCAAATGCTAGCAGATCTATACGAGGGTCTGCAAGGGCATATCGTCCCCCACAAACCCGCGATATATGATGTTCCGGCGAGCATCGAACCTGACGTGTGGTTCCTCCCGGTGAGGGTGTGGGAATGCAAGGCCGCGGACTTCTCCTTGTCGCCACTGCATACGGCAGGACAGGATTTTACCCCGTTTAAGAAGGTAGGAAATTAGTTTGTGTGTATGTTTGACGGTAATTAGGGCATCGGGTTGCGATTTCCGCGTTTCATACGCTTGCGAGATGACAAGTCCCCAGTGGACGCCACTACCAGTCAGCAACTCTACGAGATGTACACGAAGCAATTCAACAAGACGCTCTTCAAGGAGCGGAATACTTCGCCAGATTTTCATCTCTGACTATTTGGGCGTCTTTTATGTGTGAACCTGAGATGTTAATGTAATGTGGCTTATTTACCCACCTTTGCGGCGGAAATGCAACAACACGCGATGGGTGATGTCCTGCTGTATCAGCGTTTTGTTCTCGTCTAGAACCCGCCGAGTTGGCATTTCAACGAGCTCCCAGTCGTCCACAGCGATGTCAGGGATGAACAAGGATTGCATTTCGTGCTTGAGCGTGGCCACCGGCGTCTTCAGAGGTGGATGAATAGTGAGCACTGTTGCGGAGGGTAACCTGATTTTGAGTTCGACTGTCTGCTTCTGATCGGCATGTTCGCACTGCTTATTTAAAGCCTCAAGTGTTTTTTGCGACGCGGACTCGAAGTTGCATTTACCGGTTTTAAATATTTTCTTGAGGAGCGACGCAGCGTGTTTATCGTCTTGTACATCGTTGTCATCTATTTTGTGGGCTGATTTTGGCACCGGCTTGCCCTCATCCACGTGTATTTTTGGTTGCCACTGATTTATACTTGTTATCACAGTTGACTGCAGGAGGTTAGTGCGGTTTACACAGTCAATCAGAATGCACTGCTAATGATGCGGACGCCATAGCATGGCACATTAAACGTAAATCTCCACGGGTTTCCACTCACCGTCAATTTGTTGCTAATCTTTTCAATTTGACGCCTTGTCAAATCCTTTCCAACACATTCGAAAGTGTCGGCGTCTGAGTTCCTGTTAATGTCGCTGTTGTGTCTATACGCCTTGAATGGGTCGAAGAAGTGCCCTTCAAGGGACTTAACGGAAATAGTATACTCTTCCTGTAGAGCTGCGATAAGGGACCGGTAGGCTAGGCGTAGAAGTGGCACATCTACGACTTGTAGTACGGCATAACCGTGAATACTGCGAAACCCCAGTGCCACTAACACAGCTTTTAGCTGGTTGTCGTTTCCAATACGCTGGCTGTACAGGGCATTTTGCTCTCGTATTCGCCTTTTTTCGTGATCCCAGGGGTGCAGAAGAACGTTCTCAACTATCTTGAGCAGCAACTTGTAACCTGCAGACTTCTTCTCATCCCGTGGACGCTGATTACATTTACACACAGAATGGGATCTACTTACTTCGCGTAAATCAGAGAATGTCTGAGTTAAAGCCGCCGAATTCGTAGAATCCTTCGCCCCGATGAAGTCGACCTCGTCGATGCTGAATAATTCGGGTGATGTCGCGGAATCTTCGCCCGTAGGTTTGCGGGTATCCATTTGCATAATATTGCTACGTTTATTTGCGACTAACACCGTCCGACTGCGCTTGAACATACAGCGTCACCAACGCTAAGCGATCACCCTAACTTTTAATACATGCCATCAACGTATACACGTGTCTTCGGGTCCTTTTAAATTACAACAACGTTTAAAGCGAGTGTATACACCTTAACGTTTAGGTTGTTGTCGACGTCAACGCGCTGCGCCGTATGTGCCAGCGGACATCAACGCCCGTGAAGTTAACGTAACTTCAGTGTCTGGGGATTGAAAACAAACAACTATTCGAGGTGTAAAACAGTGCTAAGGCACTGCCTGCGACACCGTTTGGCTAAGGCGCCAAGGAGGCCGTCTAATCGTGTGCGTCGCGGTCGACACCCGGGACGTCGGTTGCCGCTCAGTACGGTTGGTATACGTGCCCAGCTCAAGAAATCCACCGCCAACCGTTACCGCGTCTCGTACAAGCGGCGAAGAATATCCGAAAACTGCCGCGATGTCGAGCAATGACGGTGCGGCCGACACGCCGCCGCGGCGCCGTGCGGGAGCGGACGAGAGGAAGGAACACGGAAGCGGTAGCCAAGTGTATCATTGTGACTACGATGCTATGCGCGTAAAGACCCGCCCCAGTTTTGTGAGGAGGTGGAACAATATCGTCGTCGGTTTTCTTTGGTCGTTGCTCCACTTTTACCTCACGTACAACTTCATGCTCCAGCTGGTGGCGGCTGATGGCAAGTTCACATTCGTGAAACAGCGCCTATTCCTGCTGGCCGAGTTGGCACTCTTTTGGGGCCTGTTATATTCCGCAGTATACGGGGTCATTCTTTTCGACAGCTGTATGCGATTCCACGTCGAAAATTTTGACTCCTTTCCGAAGATGTACAGTGACCACGCCGTACAGGAGGCGTTGATGCACAGTGATTTCAAGAAATACAGTTTCATCAAGCATCTCTACGGCGCCATATTCTTGGCGCCTCTTCGGTTATTGGCCTGCGTTCTATTCTTTGCCTTGTGTGTCGTCCTCATAGGTGAGCTGTGGTTCTGTCTGCCTTAAATCCTGCAGGCATCCCCTTAACGCTGTTCGGAGATCGCTTCAAGGAGCCGACCAGGAAATATGTTGCCACCATGTTTCGCTACGTAACGCGCATCAGTTTATGGGGCATAGGTATGCATGCGCGCATGGGTTACAATCGTCTCGCTCAGGTATATCCGAGGTCAAGTCAGTGTACGCGGATGGCGTCACTGTGGACAAGCCTATAAACGTGATTAACAACCACATTGGTGTTCTGGTAGGTGCCAGCAAGTTGCTGTCAGCACGCTTGTAGGATACCCTCTACATCCTGCAGAATGGGTCGTACTCGTTTGTATGTAAGAAGGCGTTAGAGCATACTTTTATCATCGGCGAATTCATTCGCCTGCTGAAATGTATCACTGTAGATCGCGAATGCGAAAAGAACCGCAGGGAGGCGTACCGAGCCATAGCAAATCGTATGAAGGCCATTGACCAGGGACACGAGAGCGTGTCCTTGGTGGTCTACCCCGAGGGTACTACCTGCAAAGGGAGCGTCTTGCTGCCCTTCAAGCATGGCGCATTTGGTGCCCTGGTTCCACTGCAGCCTCTGCTAATGGTACTCGACTACACCTACCTGGACATCGCCTACGATGTTTTCACCTGGCCGTGGTGGACCATTCACACCTGCTGCTCTCCAGCGAGCGTGCGCCTCATCGCATACTGGCTCCCAGCCATCCAGCCTCCGACTGCAGAGGAGCTTGCGCTGAAGGGGGAGCACCAATGCGTGCGGGAGTATGCGTTATACGCAAACCGTATCATGCGTGAGGCTGTCGTTAAGCTGAACCCCAACGCCGATCTGGAGCACATACAGAAGAGGGACGTTGTGGTATCGCCTTCTCTGCGCGGCAAACTGACAGCTCGCTTGTATGGTCCAGTAATGCAGCAACACTACGAAATCACTGACGCGGAGTTGAGCAAAACCGAGGAAGTGGTTTACCACTAATTCGCCAATCAACGCGCGGTGGTTCTGAACTGGATTAGCAAGGATCCCCTGGAATCGCTCTGATAGCCAGATGATCTCCTGCAGTCCGCCCATCTTTCATGTTGCATATACATGAAGGATTGTCACTGTGTGAACCAACGCCTTCAATGCAACGTGCGTTGAACCCTGGCAACCTTTGTTACAACGGGGTTGCCGGGGCAAATTCCACACGGTATATTAGCTATGTTCATGTCGATGGCTTTTATGCCATAACCATTCCATTTCTGTAGTGCAGTGCCTTAACCGTGCAGCTGTTAAACAAACTTTCGGATGACTTAATGGCGTCTGCAATCTTATCTCTTACGTGATTGTCCGGGATGTCAAGGACTTCCCCATCCATCTCTGTGAAAGTGAATTAAAATCTGGTGCGACCTACGAGGGACGTACGACGTGTCTAATAAGGGCGTCCAAGTCAAACATGGCAGCTGCTTCGGGTTCGTCACCCATGTTGACGCAACCTTCCACCCGATCATCGGGTGACAAAGGATTCGAATTGTACGTTGGCGATGGAATACCGCCCGCTCCCATGGGAATTCCTGAGTCGCTACATTCCTCATCGGATTTGCAGTGGCGTGATTCGTCGACAACACACGGAACCGCCCAACTATCTGGCATGATGCGCGAGAACCTTCTCGGTGGCTTTCAAAGTAATGGCATCGCTAAGGCAGCCTCGCGCATGCGCCCAGCAATGCAGGCTGCAGCTCGACGCAAACGCTTAAACGGATCCCACTTATCATACAGTGCAGCAAAACTGCAGCACAGCTTAAATGAAGTTTTGGAGAGTACATACAAGGTTTTTTAATAACACGAATTTCAATGATTAACCGGAAATTGCGACAAATGGCCCAACACCATGAGGCATCTACATTCGTAGCCATGCAGACATGGTATTAGTATTCGACATTTCTTGAAGTGGCCTAAACGACGGCCACGCCACAGGTACTTCTGCGCATTTTCGCGAACATTGGCACACGTGGCATCACATCACGCCATTGGATACCCGGCGGTCACGAGGGAGACAACAGACACTACATTCCTTCCTCTGATAACAAAATGGGTTGCAACTGGCGTGTAAGGCGAACGAGACGCTAAACGGTCGTCTCTTCTTTCCGCCGCGTACACACACCCTGCTTGGCGAGGGAGTACAACAGACCGCCCACAATAGCCGTAGCCATACCCACATAACCCAGAACTTCCACGGTGTTCTTGAAGATGATGATAGACACTACTATCACCGCTATACGCTTCATGGTGTTGAGAACAGAGTACGTAACCTGGTTCATGAGTCCCAGGCAGTAGAACGAGCAATCATTGTAGACATAGTAAAAAACACCACAGGCGATGAACTTGCCAATAACGATAGCCTTCTCACCCTTTGTCATGGAGGCGGTTGCCTTGGCCCATACCTCCACCCATGTGGGCGCCTCGATAATCAGCGCTGGAGGCACAGAGCAAATTCCCGCTACCAGAGTGAAAAGCATATAGGTGTTAGTGGGAGTAAGGTTTGTACCGAACCTCTCATCATCCGGTTTGAGACCCTTCGTAACAATTGCGCGAAGTGCCTCGAAGACGTTAGACAGCAAGGCCGAGAGAAAGCCCCAAACGTGGAAGTCAAGCTCCTTTGCAGACGCCAGAGCCACTCCAGTAACTATAGGGATCAGTGACAGATATACGTATATGTTCAGGTAATCCTTCAGTATGATAATGGATAAGGCGGCCGTCGCCACAGGCTCCGCCGACTTAATGACGGTAGTGAATGACACGGTACCCAAAGCCATAGAAAGTATAGTACCGCAATGAAGTAATACGGTAAGCACACCCAAGGGTATAAACAACTTTGCAAAAGCCGCCACGGAAGGGAAGCGCGGCAAGGGACGGAACCCCGTCGCCCAAAACACGGGCGCAAAAATCCAACCCACGAGGAATTCAAAAGCACATAAAGACCATGGCATATATAGAACGTTCAGCAGCGACTTCGAGATCATGATGTGTGTAATATTCAGCCCGTACCAGACGCCTAACGCAGCCCACAGCTTGACGTGCCCCAACCAATCACATTTCGGTTTCTCCTCCGCGGCTGCATCATTTTCCGGATTCGTTGCGGATTCGTCAACCAATGCATCTATTACGACGTCCTGCGTCATTTCGTTGGTATTCAACAACGATTCCGACATTGTTTTGCCTGAGACACTCGTCATCATGCACACACTAATTTATTTCCCGGGACATAAAAATGTAAGCTATAATATAAAAGCTTCCTTTTTGATTTAACATCTAGCGCATGTCTCAATGTGATTCAATGCGGGGCTGGGTAGTCTAAGCGGGTTGCTGAGAAAATTCAGCAGCGCGAGGTGGCGCACTAGCCTAGAGGACAGCCAAACATCATCAGCGCCGTTGACATTGTTTTTAGGCTGCTTATAGGTGTATGTACATTACCCGTGAAATATGCGTTACGTTCTGGTACGTGACAGCACCGCGTCTTCGTTCTAAAATAACAACAGCTACATGTGTGTCAGCCCTGCTTCATCGTACACAGTTACCCGTGTCGCTTTATTTTCACTTCTTTCTGTTATGGCGTGTGTCTATTTATGTATAAGAAAGTATTTTGTGCTTTAGGGGCTTATATATCTCAATTTATGGGCGAAGGCTATCCACGCGATGCCGCATGGGCGTCGACGTCTGGTAAAGCTTCGCTGTACAGACTTCTTATGCAACCTTCTGTAGCAGTTTTTACATCTTAGTGGTCGTTTCTGGGCAAGATAGTTCGAATCACAAACCCATGACTCTGTCCAACGTGTGTATACAGCTAATCCGCCATATGGTCATAACACCTTGCAATGTAATCGCGTGTAGTTCCACCTTGAGCTTCGTCAACCGCCTGAACGCTCTTCCTCTGGGGTACTTCGCCAGGCGCTCTCATCTGCACTTTTTCGAATGTCTCCGCCAGGTTGCCTCGGTTGGTAATCCCGATATTTAAGGGTGATGGCACGATTCCGACCGTTGCATGCTGCCCGTAAAACAAGATGGATCTATCAAAGGATGCATCCCAGTTTTGTCTTGAAAGTTACTGCTGCGCATTGAGATGTCCCCAAGGAGGTAAGCAGGATTCGATCATGTAAGGACGTACACGCTAACGCACTCCGTAAGTGATCGGCCGTGGTCAGATGACCGCCTATCGCAGTAGCTCATGGAGGTGTTAAATCCAACCCTCCAGTTGCCCCGGTGAGTTTAATAATGGAGGTAATTTAATAGTCTCACAGGTTTCTGGGTATCTTAGCGTTCATATCCAGCGACATTGCGAAGGCATTCAGGTAGCGTTGAATCGATTGGCTTATGTGCATGATAGACAAGCATTGTTTCATAAATATAGTTGTTCACATTTTATTTATCCATTATTAAACCCCTTTTTGCTCCTGTTATATAACATTTTTGCTCTATGAGCAACTCCATTATTCTGGGGTACGTGAATTATTGGATAGCAGACCCCGTGGTAAATAAAAGTTGTATTATCTTGCACACGTAATGTATTATCCGTAGTTACATTCAACGCGATTGTATTGCAACGAATGCCACGAAGTAGGGTACCGTATACGACGCCTATCACTGATCGTTCTATTCTGAGGTATATGCTACGCGATATCGATCACATTTGATTAAGCAGTCATTTGTTGAGTACCACCACTACAGTAGCACAGCAAAATGACACACGCGCCGCAAGATAATGCAGCTCAAGCTACGAATAAAAATCTTGGGTATCAGTTCTTGGGAAAAGCCCTGTACAATCTGGTCTCCTTTATCGAAGGTTACGACCAACAGGTGTTGTCCATGTGTATGAGAGCTTTTGAGTTGACATTGGGTTTCTCTCAGTCTCAGTTGTCTACTCTGGCAACCGTGTCTACCATGTCTCGCATGGGTTGCTGCATAATTTGGGGATGGCTAGCAGACAACCATCATTCAAAATATGTGCTTGGTGGTGGTCTGATAGTGATGGGGATGGCTTCGATTGTTCTAAGTTCAGCATCGCAATACAGATCAGTAAGTTGCAATAGTTGTGGAATAAATGTACCTGCAGATTCTTTTCTTGCGTTTCCTACACGGTTTTGGGTTCGCTTGTGTCTATCCCGTGCAACAAAAGATAGTTTCTGATTCAACTAGTTCAGATGCACAGAAACCAGAAGCGTCATCTGTGCCACAGGCTCCACAGCCTGCAGCAGCTCCAGAGCAACCGAAGAAGAAGAACTCAGACGGTAGTACGATGTTCACGATTTTTCAAGCGTTAAATTGCATTGGACGGCTGCTGTGCGCAGTCATAACTACGATTATTGCACGCAAAGTATTGCTGGGGTATTATGGCTGGCGTACGTCTTACGTTGTGTTGGGGTATGTATGGATACTGTTTGGTATTGCGATCGCACTTGGAATGAAAAAGTACAACGAAAACGGTTCCAAAAGTCAAGGCTTTGAAAATTTATCTCTCGCCTTTGAAGCAGTTTTTGGGAGGTCATCCACCTGGATATTAATATTTACACTATTCATCGCGGAAGCTCCAATGTGTGCTTTTAATTATATGACCATATACCTGCAATACTTGGGGGTATCTGACACAATGGCGGGAGTTGCGATTGCGATTACATTGATTGGCGGTGCAGCGGGAAGTGGAGCTGGGGGAGAAATCATAAAGAAAATCGGGGGAAACTATGAACACTACTACGCTGAACTTGGTTCTGGAATCGCAGTGATGGTCGTCCGATTAATAGTGTGTCTATTATTCTTCATGGGGAAGCCACCATGTGGTAAATTGCTTTGGTATCATTATGTGGAGTTGGCAACGCTTGGTGGAACATTGGTAACCGTTGGCGGTGTAGATAGGGCCCTTCTGAAAGATATAATCGAAAAGAAGTCTCAAGCAACAGCATCTGCCGTGGTTCGAACCATATCAGGCATTTCAAGCAGTGTAATTCTCTTCCAGGTTTCTGCGTATTTGACCGAGAAGGTTTTCGGTTACGTCCCGTCTAGAGAATCGTTTGAAGCCATGGCTGCGGAAGTTAAAGAAAAAAATGCCGAAGCCCTGAGGAAATCCATGATGTACATTATTTTGGCAGGCACACTGCTCAACACAGTTTGCTATTGCGCGCTGTTCGGTACGTATGAACATGATAGAAAAACTAAAAATGGTGGCAACGCGCAACAAACAAACCAATGACTACAAATTCCAGTGCCAGCACAAGTGGGTCAATGCCCTAAGAAGTGAGATAATGCTTGAAGGAACGCAGCCTTAACCTGAATAATCGTCGAAGTTTATTCTGTTATGAGTATCGGAGAACATTCGTACACCATAATTCTGTATAAAGGCTTAAAACTGGTGCAAAGACTATTTTATGTTAATATCTCGTCCGGTGTGGTTGATGTTCTGAATTTAGAATCTCCGCAAACCAAGCCGCAGCCAAGGGAGAATCAATGCCCTTCCAAGATACGTATATCTGCTCCATTGAAATATATCCGCTGTAGTAATCACACGAAAAAATGGGGTTGAAAACCCATCAGGAAGCTATATTCCTTAGCAATAGAATAACGGAAGGTATGTGCTTCACGGCAACCACAGCAGGAGCAAACCGGTTTCCGGTGCCCTGTAATGTGAAATCCTACAATGGAGGAAACCGATTTGTTTTACAAACCACAGAAACGCGACCACCGTAATATAATCATGATTTTGACCTTTATCCATCAACTAATAAACCTGATTACGTATTTATGATTTCATAAGGAAATAGCTTTGAACTCTTAAAGCGCGGCAGCCTTATTTCTGCATTCAGGATCGTAAAATGCCTTCGACTAAGGCATTTTAAAGCGCGAGTAAGAGGCAATGTCATATTGAATCGTAATATTTGCCGTGGCAAAATTACAGTGGCATTCGTTGTTTGTGATGAAAATAAATGTTACATTAACGAGAAGGACATCACGACAGATTCAGCGTGGAACAATGTCATTCGCTTTGTGGGCTGTAAATGAACTCAAAGCGCCAGTGTCACAACCAAATTCTTCAAGCATTGTCACTCAGCACGTATCCAGCGCCTTGTGTAGGTGACGGTTCCGGAGGCAATACAGTACAACGCAATTTGAGCTTTGTTTCGAGTTACCGACCTTATACTTTCACTTTAATGCCACACGACTGTCGCAATTAGACGTTATGTCCGGATTATACTGTCATACACTTGACGGCATGTGTACCGTAGAGACAACCGTGTGTCGCCGACGCAAACCGTTACACATTAAGCTAGAAATTAAAATTTTAGATCGCCCACGCAAATGTTTTTATTAAATTTGCCATTACTTGTTTTAGTGCACGGTAAAAAGTGAAGGGTCGTGGTTGGTGAATATGTGTGGTATAGATACGTTGAGTAACCAACATGTACGCAAGTCGCACAACTTCCTTTGAACGATCAGTTTGATCGGTTAGATCACGGCTCATTTTTTGTGGCTAAATCCCCTCTCATTCCGCCTCCTGTCGTATCTCTGTGGAACAGAAGTTATCCATCATTCGCTGCAGGTTCCAAATGTTCGGCTCGCCCTGCCACTGGCGGCGAGGTGGGCAATAGATCGCTGCAGCTGCGCGTTTTAACTTGCATTTTAAGCGAAAGAGTCCACACATCCTGTCGATCGCCAAAATGAGCGCCACTCAGCAGGACGCAACTGCGCCCGCGCTAGAAGGCGTTGCGCACCGAATGAGGTCATTGGATATCTCTACCGCTGCTCGTTCGCAGTCGGTGACTCCCGCTGGCATGGAGGGGTCTGCGAAATCTGCCGACTCAAACACGCCCAGGGCTAATGCAGCTTCTACGCCAAGAACCGCTTTTGGAATTGCAAGCGTAGGTGGTAATCCATGTAATGTTCACGGGTTTATAGTCGAATGTTGAGAAGATACAGAAGGCAGCAGCACAAAGAGTTATAGATGTTAACGACTCGAGCCTAGAATGGGGACCAACGCAAGTAATCATTGATATCGACGATACCGTCAAGTCAAGCGGTGGCTACAAGCTATTCAACGTGCCTCTCGGTGGAGTTGATACGCAATACGGTCGCGGAGAGCTTTATCCGGGCTCCTTCCAGTTCATTCTTGAGCTGGCCATGTACAAGATGGGGAAGAACCGCAAACCTCTCCTTCTCGCCGTGCTCACAACCCGCATACCACAGGTAGGTATGTCCATCGTTCATCTATACGCAATTTCAGGTGCCAATTACCGTTGATTCGGCACTCAATATGAGGCTTCGTGAGGTCGCGGAAAAGAGAGGCGTTTTGAACTGGGGCATTGACTGCGACAACAAAATCTTGTACTCAACGATTAAAGAGTGGGTGTTTAACGAAACAAGGGGAGAGAAGAAGTTCGTTAACTTCAGGAAGTTACACAAATACGTGTGCAACGAGAACAGTAATGCCAGATTCATATGGATAGGTGACACCGGTGATCGGGATCTCGAGGCTGGGGAGCTGATGATAAAGTCATTCCCAGGGAAAATAAGGGCCGTGTTCATGCACTGCGTCACTCCCACTGATGGTTCCGAAGGTCAGCGCATGCCCAACGATTATTACCTCAAGTCCGTCCCGGTTTTGTTCTTCCGCACCTACGTCGGTGCCGCGAAGAAGGCTGTGGAGCACGGGTTGCTAAATCACAACGCGCTCTCGCGTGTCCTAGTCAGGGCGGTACTAGATCTTAACGAGAACAGCCCGCAGGATCTATCGAAGTGGAAGGACCTTATTAGGGACATTTTGGAAGTGGAGGAGATCGCCAACCTGAAGCGTTATGAGGCCAACCTTGTGGTGAAGACCCGTGTCATCATCGAAAACAAAATAAAAGAGCTCTCGCATCACGTCTAATGCGGAGTTGCGTAATATACTGACCGTGAATTAAGCTTTGGTTACAATTTTAATCTTATCGCAGTGCGGCATTTATTGACACCAATAGCTTCCATGTTGCGCCCATAGTGCACCGGTGTACTAGACGCGACGTTAACATTTGCCTATATTAAGAAAGTTATTCCTGTGAAATGCGTTGGGGTGTGAGAGGCGCTGAGTGAATGATCTATCGACATAATCGATGGGTTGCGTTGTGGTCTACAACATCTCACTGGTGTGTCGTGGTGCTGCCCTGGTGGCGTATGGGTGGTCAAAATTTGCGTGCGTGATGTTTACATCATCCACTTAATCGTCATAGAAATATACGATACCTTGCGCATATTTGTGCATTTTGACGCTGCCTTCGTCGACACCGGCTGCATCTTCCGCTACCACCGGTTTGGATGTTGGTGAAACAATTAGCTGACACAATCACCACCGATCGTTGACAACACCCCGTACGCCGAACTCTAATGTTTCTCCAGGGCACCCGATGGTTGTTACTGAAGTGTCAGTGCCGATTTCTTGTCTTCATTACCGCGTACGTACGTTATTCCCTGCTGGGCCAAAGGGATTGTATCGTACTATGCAAAAACAATAACTCTTCTCCATACCATTTACGAGCATCACAACCTTCTAACGGGGAACAATGTTCCGCTAATCTCCGTTTACGGCGAGAAACGAATTGTTCCTCAGCATTTGAGGGCGCCTCAAGATTTTTATAACAATGGTTAATATAGATTGCGCCTTCAGGAACGAGTGCTATTTGAAATGAGCATACATTTTTAAAAGTGCGATATATGTGACGACATGATGAGTGATATCTGGCGCCTCTTCCCATTTGCGCGGTAGGGAACACTTGTAGAAATACTCAGTCGGACGATACAATGTCCGATACTACAGTCTTGTTATACGCCAAGCAGCATTAGCCCTTTCTCCGTAGCCACTGAATTCATTTCAACCCACTTCATCTGGTGAGCTCCCGTCAACTGCTACTTGGTCTCCTGATACGCAGAAGGGACACTGGTGTAGTTCGTTGTGTATGTAAGCGGTACAGTGTTCGCAGTAGAAGCTGCTGCACTGGGGGCATACCAGACCACATATTGCGTCCACATTACAACTGCTGCATTTGGCGGATGAGACCTCCTGTGTAATTCGGTTAATTCGCCAAAATTTTGACCCACCTCGCGAAAAACCTTGGGCGGAATGAGCTGGTGGAACATTCTTGAAATGTCTGGAGGTGACACCAGATACAGACCACAGCACTATGAGAAAATGAATTGCATTCCAGTAAACAATGAACCAAGTAAATCTCATGTTGTGTAATTATGGGTAGTGAGACATGCGGTGTACGCTGTGCCCCCAACGCATATTCTAATCAATCATAGATCGCTATCTATTGCTGGCATCATAACCGCCCAATAAACGATACACCGGCAGAAGCTAAGTCCCCGTCGAGGCCAATTAGCCAGGCAATACATAACCCTTTTTGGTCACGTACCTTGCATTTCGTAGGTATTGCGCATGATTTGCTGTGACACTGGGGACAAATGTATGTCTTGTACGTCAGAGCAGAATGGCAAATGCACAAGGACGCCGTATTTGCCTTTTCTAGTGGCGGGAATCCAACCTTAGTTAGAATGGGTTCCATCCAACTGCGCCTGCGGCATGTTAATTCACTTTTCAGCTGACTAGCCATTTAGGTGCCATGGTGTGTCCATTCATAAGCTGCTTCAAATGCACCGAATCCCTACAAACTGCGTATGTTCCGCCCGTTTCTTCGCATATGTGCTGCAAATGTCATGATGAGTAACGGAGCGGTAGCCTACTTTTAGTATATACATTTCCGGCGCGATTGAAATGGCGCTAACGATGACATGCTCGTCTTTTAGCCTTTGAAGTGTTGCCAATATGTTGCTGAGGAGTGTAAAGCTACAAGAAATGTAATTACCTCGGGTCGAACGTCTTTGTGGACGCAAAAATAATCAGCACTTCCCGCGTAGTGTACGGTGGCATCCCGGACAATACTCCAACTGCCATCTGAGGGTAATGATGCATGTCAATATTATTCGCAAGATGTAGAATTCCACCCTCGTTTTTGCAGTGTGCTCACCTCGAGGCCGTTTTGTAGCGACGGGACACCCTCCGCTCCCTCTTTTATCATCGCATCCAGCAGAGAAACGGTCTCCGATGGCGGGGTCCCAAGCTTGGCTATCAAGGATGAGCGTTTGTTGCGAAGCGCAATAAGAGCAAGTTGGGTCATAGGCCCCTGGTGGAACATCCTCTGGATAAGCTCCTGTTTTGCCTCATTAATACAACAATTAGGAAACAACTAACCTTAATTGCACCCGACGCGCAGTGCAGACGGTCCGGTTTGAAATCAACCTCCCTCATCCCATCGCTTGTATCAACGATTATGACGACGTTTCTGCCGAAAGGTTAACCCCAGTCACCATATTATAACGATGCAATATTATTGAAATATTATCATACATTTGAAGGTATAAGCAATTGCAGATCGTGCAGCATAAATAGGAACGTATATTCATACCTGACTACGCTTCGCTTCTGGATGCCTTCATCCGTATCTTCCGCGGGAGCAAGACTCTCGTACGACCACGCAGGCGTCTGTGGGTTTTTTTGATGAACGAATTGCAGGACGCCATCCTTATCAATCAGCTGTTCCCAAGATTTGTCGAAATCTGAACGATTTGTATTCGCAGAATCCGACGCCCACCTTTTTCCCACGCATACTGCGCATATAGCTCTTCCTCACGTTGTTCATCGATATCAAAACGCTGCTCGAACTCTGTGATTAGCTCTTCTACGACCAGCGGCCGGGTCGTTTCCTCTCGCGCCATGGTTCGGAGGTCATTAGACTAGACACCGTCCACCGAGTCCGCTTCCTACGCCAATACCTCAGGTAGTAAGCGCATAAAGGGAGTGGTGTTGACCATGACTATTGTGACTTCGGGCAACACGGTAATCTGTTGCCCGTGCGATAACATACAAGAGGAAATTACCCTGCGACGCTTAGGTTGCCAGAGCACGTTTAAATAGATTTACATGTGCTACCAAATAACACCAACTAGTTTTTTGTGGCGTAACACAAAACATTGTATACATTTAGGCTGTTTTGGAAGCAATGGGTGGCGCTCTACGTGTCGTGTGTATGTCGAGACATGCTCGGTAGTGGGTCGGCAAGGGAGCTGTAGGACTGGATATTCGAGGCGCGGAAGTCAGCTCGTAGCTAAAATAACCAGAATATGCCGAATACTAGCGCGTTGCTTCGTCCAGAAGCTCACTTGTGACGTCGCATAAGTCCCAATCCCCACCTATACACCTTGACACGGAGGCACAGCCCAGCTCTCGTCACAGTGCGCTTTCACATCGGGCCCAGAAATTTGGGCAGGGTGTGTATGACGAATTTACTTGGTTAGCAGGTATACATAAAGGCCCTGCTTCCGGGCTTTGGATGCACATTGAACTGATCACGAGAGAACGCAGAGGATGGCAGGAGCTCCCGTGAATGTGACAACCGTGCTTCGGGTTAGTAGTTTTGCTTTTTTGTGGCTTATGTGTTGCTCTCTGTGCTCACTATGACACACATTTTCGGGTTAATGTGTATAACCCTGGGTCTCAACGTGACTCCGTAGGATGCGAATTAGTATTATACGTAAACACATGCTACCGTGTGGATGTGTGTATGTAAACGTGCTTGGTGTATTCATATCCAACGTATCCGGCTGTGATCGCTATTCCCTACTGCGATGTTGTCGTATTTGCGTGTGCCTACATCATGGTCGTCTAATTCGTAGGTTACGGCCCCGTGACGTGGTTTCCACTTGATATTTCGTCTATTGTCTGCGACAGTGCTCATTATTTCTACAGCTGAAGGACCTGGGTTTCGACGATGGATGCTTCAGGTTCGGAACGCTTACGCTGGGTGGCGACAGATTTGTATGCATTCGGGAGTCCGAAGGCGCATCGCCATCCGTCGCGATCATCGACTTACAAAAGGGTGGCGATGTGTCGCGCCGTCCCATTAAGGCCGAGGCGACTATTATGCACCCGAATGAGACCATCATCGCATTAAAGGCATCCATCGATGGTGGCCATTTCGTCCAAATTTTTAATCTGGAAACCAAGGAGAAGCTGGGCGCTCATCAGTTTTCAGAGTCCGTGGTTTTCTGGCGCTGGTTATCCTCCACGACGCTGGCAGTTGTGACCACCACGTCCGTCTACCACTGGACAATCCGTTCGGGTGAACCCATGCTCATGTTTGCACGCTCCGGAAAGCTGGCGGATCCATCCACCAAACTGGTACACTACGCTTCTGACGATGCTGGAAAATGGTGTATGATCTGCGGAATATACTCGCTTGATCAAGGCGCAACAGTAGAGGGATCCATTCAGCTCTACTCCACAGAGCGCCGTCAACAGCAGCTGCTAGAAGGCTACACTGGCACTTTCGGAAGGCTTCGTATTTCAAAGGATAACTTTGACACCACTGGTCTTTTGGTCTTCTGTGAGCACAAACGGGGAGCGCAGACGTCCAAGCTCCATTGCATGGACATTTACACGCAGCGGACTGAGAATTCCCCCGCTCCACTAAAGGTCTCCAAGGAGATTGAAAACATTGCTTCTACTATGGGTGATTTCCCCATATTCGTACAGATCCTCGACTCCTGCGGCCTCATATGTATCTTGACCAAAAACGGTTTCGCGCACTACCACGATGCCGCAACGGCGTTGCCTCTATTCAGGTGAGTTCAACGGCACTGTAGTAACTAATGCGAGTTCAGCCGTAAAATCAGCGACGTTCCGGTGTTCGCGGCCGATGCGAAGCGTAGTGAAGGCAAAACCATCGGTATCATTGCTGTCAATCGTTCTGGTGATGTTGTGGAGGCTGTCGTTGACGAGAACCGTCTGCTGTCGGCTCTGAACTGCCCCGATGAGGTCCGCGTGAGCCTTGCAACAAGATTCGGCTACCCAGGATCAGAAAGCTTGGTGATGCGCACTTTTGAAGACTACTTCTCCAGGCGTGACTACAAGCAGGCTGCCATGCTGGTTGCCACTATGAATAACGGTGCACTGCGGACCCCGGAGATTATGCAACGGTTCGTCAACGCCCCTGCGTTCCATGGGGAGTCTCCGCCGGCGCTGCATTACTTTTCGGTGTTGCTGGAGCACGGGCGTTTGACGGCTATGGAATCAGTTGAACTGGTCCGCCCTGTTGTGGCTCAGGGTCGTGAGGAGTTGGTGAAGAAGTGGTTGGATGAGGGCAAATTGACCGAGTCGGATGAGCTTGCTGACTTGGTCCGTACTCTGAGTCCGTTATTGGCATTCAAAATAAATGTGGCCCTCGGTTCTCACTTTAAGGCCATCATGTGCCTCCTTGATGCTGGCCATGCAGAGAAGGTGGTTCCTTACATCCGCAAAATTCCTTCGTCTAACGTAACCTACGTTACCGGTTCCACCGGAGACAAAGTTGCGCAGATTCAAGGGCTGCCGTCGATGGATACTATCGTGGATCACATGATAAACTCTCGATCCGCAGACATCGTGGGTTTCGTGAATGATTTGATCGCCGGCCTGGCCCCTGGAGAGTGTTTGTGTGATGTGGGCCACGTCGCTGAGATATTGATAAAGAACAACAAGCTGCAAGAATTGACAAAAATATTACTTGAGTACTTGAAGCCCAACCGTGAACAGCATGCCGCGCTCCAGACGCGCCTGTTGGAAGTTAACCTTCAGCAGCAACCACGTGTTGGAGAGATGATTTTGCAAATGAATGCGTTGACGCATTACGATCGGCCATACGTAGCTCGTCTGTGTGAGAGCGTGGATCTCTTCGACTTGGCCGTACAGCATTACACTGAATTGTTTGATATAAAGCGCGTCGTCATCAAGGCTGGTGGTAAATTGAGCCGTGGCATCTTCGAGTCGACCATGAAGGCGATGACGCCCGAGCAGGCTCTGGAGGTTATTCGCGATATGGCCGATTCCAACGATGTTGGCAATCACGAGGTGGTTTCAAGCGCACTAACTCTGCACAACCACATCGGCACGATGCAATTAGTTCAAATGTTTGAGCGCAGCGGTTCATCTGACCTGCTGTTCTTGTTCTTGAAGGCCCTTCCGGTGATCTCCCAGGCTGCGGCGGCGGAGAAGACGGAGCTGAATGCCACGCTGGTCTACAAATTCATCCAATGCTGTATCGAACGTGGCGAGCATGATGACCTAGAACGCATTTGCAAGGAATCGAACTGCTATGATGGCCTTCGTGTCAAGGACCTGCTCAAGCAGTCCGCGCTCCCCACTCCCAAAAGCCTGATGATCGTGTGCCACAAGCTGGGAGAGTTGGCGGAGTTGACTGAGTATCTCTATCGCAACGGTATGGAGAAGGCGATCGAGATATACGTGAACACCATTAACCCAGGAGGTGTTGCGGCGGTCGTCTCCGCTCTGTTTGATATCAGCGCTGCAGAAAGCGTCATCCAGTCGATTCTGGAGAATCTGAAGGATTCCAACGGCATGATAGCGATGATAAAGGTGGCTGACGAGCGTCATCAGTTGCTGATGTTGAAGGACTGGTTGGAGAAACGGGTCAGTGAGGGTTACAAGGAAACCGAGATACACACTGCATTGGCCAAAATCCGTGTATCTTCTCAGCAAGACGCGGAAGAATTCTTGCGCACTAACACCCAATACGACCGTGTGGTGGTGGGGAAGTTTTGTGAGGAGCGCGACCCTATGCTAGCTTACCTTATATACTCCCAGGCTACCCTGGATGATGACGTGTTGAGGGTATGTTCGGGCAATGCCATGCACCGGATGCTGGCCTCCTACGCACTGAAGCGTTCGTCTGCACAGATGTGGCGAACTATTTTTGCAGCCAACTCCACCGTTGTTAAGCCTGAGGATCGTAAGCGCATATGTGAGGAATTGGTATCTTTGGCGCCTGAGAGTTCCAACGCAGCTGAGATTTCTTGTGTTCTGAAGGCACTGTTGGATGCGAGCATGGACGCTGATGTTATAGCGCTACTGGAGCAGCTGCTGCTCACACAGACGCAGTTCGCTTCAAGCGGCAACCTGCAGAACCTGTTGCTTGCTACTGCGGTGAGGACCAATCCGGAAAAATTGGAAGAATATCTTCCGAAGTTGGACAATTACGACGTCACTGCGTTGTCGAAGCTTGCCACTAGCTTGGGCCGCACCAGGTCTTCCTTTTCCATTCTCAAGCATGCCGGCCGTCACTTGGATGCGCTGGAAGCACTGTTGGACATGAAAGAGGATGGCATTCTCAAGGAGGCCCAAGAATATGTCGAGAGCGTCGATCAGTCCGAAATGTGGTTCAGGCTCGGTAAGGCTTATTTGGAACACAACGAGCTTGCTCCGGCCATAGACGCGTATGTGCGCAGTGGCAACCCCAGCGACCACGAAAAAATAAAGCTAGCCTGCGGTAAGGACACCACTCTTTTGTTGCGGTGGCTTCGCGAATGCCGTAAGGTGAGGGAGAACCGTCAGATAGACACTGATTTGCTGCTGTGCCTCGCTGAGAGTGGCAACACGGATGAGTTCCGCGAGGTGTTGAATGCCAAGAACTGCGCTGACGTTGCCTATGTGGGCAGCAAACTTATGGAAACGCACATGTACAGCGAAGCAGTGATTGTTTACGCAAGCATTCCGAACCACTCCAAATTGGCTGTTTGTCATCTGAATCTGGGCAACTTTGAGCTCGCTGCGGAGACCGCCTTGAAGTCCCGCAACCCCCAAGTCCTTCGGCAGGTGGTCGAGACCTGTGTGCTGAAGAACGAACTCGCTATAGCGCACAATGTGGCCATAGAGCTGTTGACATACCCAGATTTCCTACCTGGCATTATAGCCATGTACGAGAACACGGGTAACGTACAGGAGGTTATTCACCTGCTCGAGAATTCGGAGCGTTCCGTGGCCGTATGCACAGAGTTGGCGATCGCAGTTGCGAAGTACCGACCCGATGACTTGCTGTCGCACTTCAAGACCCGTTACACCGGCGACTCCATTCGCACCTCTTTGAACATTGCTCGCGTGGCGCGCGAGTGCTGCAACCTCTGGCTTTGGAGGGAGGCCATATACCTCTACAGCCTTGAATCGCCCGACAAGGCGCTCATGTCTATGGTGGCCCACTATGGCCTGGCGTGGGACGAGGACGTATTCTTTGCGGCAGCTGGGGCAGCTGCCAACCCGGAGGCGTTGTACAAGGCCATCCACTTCTGTATCCAATGCGAACCCATGTTGCTGACGCGTTTGCTGATAAGCATCAAGAATCGCGTCGACCCTGTTCGCGTGATAAAGATCCTGAAAAACGCGGATTGTCTGGGCATAGCGAGGGAGTACCTGGAGTCTGTAGCTGACAAGAGCAGCCCCGCCGTGAATGACGCCTTGTTCGAAGTCTATGTCGAAGAAGAGGAGCACGAGTTGCTGGAGCGCAGCATCGCCAGACTGGCGGTGTTTGACCAGCAGGCTCTGTGCGCGAAGCTCGAGGGACACCGTCTGCCGCAGATGCGCAGCATCGCCGGTGTGCTGTATGCCCGTTCGCGCGACTTCGCCAAGTCGGCGCTGATACATAGGCGTAACGGTGACTTCGCAGGCGCCATCAAAGCCGTCAACATGTCTCGTAGCGAGTCGATGGCGCTTGAGATGGCGAAGTACTTCATAGAGCACGGCCTCCGTGAGGAATTCGTGGCATGTCTGACCGTCAACTTCGCGCTGCTCGAGCCCGCGGACGTTTTGGAGATGGCGTGGGTAAACGGCCTGGATCTCGACATCCTCATGCCGTTCATGATACAGACGCTGCGAACGATCCCGCGCAACACGTCGCGGCCGTTCCCCTCGCAGCAGATCCCGCAGCCGAAGCTGCCCCTGGGTTACCGTTAACCAGGTGTTTTTAATGTATTCAGATACTACTTTAGGTTTATTATGGGCAAATGTGCACCTGTTTAATATTATGTTACTGATATGTGGTGCAGCCCGACTGGGCGTGCATGGCGTTGTGCCAGCAGTTTGAGGGGTCGCATCGGTATGCGGCTTTTCCCGTTTGGCATTCTTTGGCTGTATAGTACATCCCGTACTCCCATCGGTGCGTTGCGAGGCTTATGCGATTTGCGTGGATACACTGACGTGTCCACACTGCCCGAGCACTTGTGCATGTTGGTACACAGGGTGCACGTGTCGCTGCAAAGAAATAATTACTGGGAGCCTGTAAACTACATCAATCAACCGTCCTCGTCTTGCGGCATCTGTTTCATCGCCCTCTGAAGGAATCCAACTTGTTGGAGAGGTATTCCTTGCGCTGGACGTACTGGTAGTAGTGAGGCAAGAACGAGTAGTGCACCACCTTCATCAAATAGTCGCGATAGAGTGCAGCCGTGGTGGAGGCCACCAATACGATCCAAAAGCGTCCGTTGGCAAGCAGATTCATAGCACCACCCAGAAGTCCGCTCCCGAGTTTGGTGGATAGCGATAATACGTATATGGAAAGGAAGAAGTTGAAGAAGCTGAACACATACGTGGCGGTGGTTAGACGGGTGTAGTACCAGGTTTCCATGACTAGCTTCAGGCTAACCACAACCATGACAATGAGCATCATTCCAATACCCAGCTGTGGGCTGGTGAGCGGTTGACCATCGCTGCCGGGGATCGTGTAGCGATCGTTCAGGCCGAAGTTCACCATCAAGAATATGATCAGAGCGTGGAAGAAGCTGTTGAATAGCCACCCTAAGAACACCTTCGCATTGAGGTAGTAATTCTTCTGACCCAGTTGATACAAGTGTGGATACCTGTAGCTCAGCGACTTGTCAATGTCACGGTCAATGGATCCCACCAAGATGACACTGATACCAGTGAAACAAACATTGTAGAGCGCAACTAGGACTTCGAGAAGGATACGTTGGCCACTGAACAGCGAGGTGTAACCGTAGAAGAATATGGGCATGATGAGCGTAATGTTTTTGTAGAACATGTACGCAACGCTCTTGGCCAATCGACGGTAGCAGTTGCGACCGTGGTTGAGGATCAGTGGCGTGAGGTACCGGAACTGCCCAATACCGTAGTCGGAGACATTGAAGGCCTGCAGGCCCTCCTTACCCTTAAGGCCGATTCCGACATCTGCCGTCTGGATCATGTTGCAATCATTACCGCCATCTCCGATAGCCATCATCACGGTGCCTAGTTTGCGCTTGAATAGCGCAACGAAGAGACCCTTGTGCGCAGGGGTCATACGGCAGCATATGGCAGAGTGGCAGTATGTGCACAGCTCCACAAAGTCCTCGACAATGTCATCCTTGGTGAGCTCTCCGGTGGCAATACCGTCGATCACGACGCACCTGTGGGAGGCGCTATCGGGGTCCTCTTTAACCTTCGCAAGCCACTCCCGCACCTTTGCGTGCAGTTCCTCCTTCGCGCAGGCAGCCGAGTGCAAATCTATGCGTTGTGAGAAGACCCTGAGCAGATTGGTGGCAATGCCAATGTTGATTGCGGTCTCAAGGTTGTCTCCCGTAAGCATCCAGACCTTAATTCCGGCCGCACCCAAGAGTTCGATGGTCTCGCCTACGCCTTCTTGCAACTTATCCTCTATTCCCGAAACGCCCTGTAGCACGAGATCCTTCTCGATGAGTGAGGCGCATGCGGCCACCGACTTCTCACGGTTTAGAATGTCTGCTTGAGCTTCGATGTATTTTGCGTTCCATGCCGTGAACTCGGCTGTGGTGAGCTCCCTTTTCGCAAACACCAGCGTACGCAGTCCGTCACGGGAGTACTGGTCACAGTATGATGCAGTCACAGCATCCATGTCACTTTTGGACTTCAACTTGCTCATAATGACGTTGTCACCTCCTTTGCAGAAGAGAACGATTCTGAACTTGTTGAGATCCTCGTCCTCCAGGTTGGTCTTGGGGTCCTTCGGGAAGGCAATGATTGCGGAGCTGCATCGACGGATGTAGTCAAATTCTATCATTGCTAGCGTCCGCACACGCATCTTTCGGCCGAACACCGTCATGGTGAGCGAGTTGCTGGTTTTGTCTATGAGCTTGAAGTCAGCAAAACGCCCAGCGTGCACAAAACAGAGTTCATCCGGACTTTGTGAATTGTACATCACTTCCCCTGTTCTCGACACATCCGTAAGCACGCCGTTGTTGCAGATCATGTGCATGAAGAACTCGACCAGGTGGGTATGTCTCGGGTCGTTGTAGTTTTTGAGGTGCTTAAAGAGGTCGTCGTCCACCAGATTGACGTGCGAGTCTTTATCGTACAGTGGGTTCTCTGGTTCGGGCTCCAATATTGCGCCCTGCCTGCTGAGAACGAACCTTCTAATGTCGGTGTACCCCTTACCGTAGGACCTTCCGGCAACGGCGAACTTCCGGAAGACCATTTTGTTGCACGTTAGTGTTCCGGTCTTGTCCGAAAATAGGTAGTGTACTTGCCCGAGATCCTCGTTGAGCGATGTTGTACGGGCGGCTGCGTGCATGTCGATCTCGTCGTAATACATGTCTGTGTCCGAGTGGATAAAGAAGGCCTGAGCAATCCTAGCGATGTTCATGCTCACGATGGTGCTGATAGGCACAAACGTGGCTGATATGGCAATCCAGGAGAAGAAAGATATCACGAACACGCGAACCGTTCCATACGACAAGTCCTCCCCTTGGAGGTATGGCAATAGTTCATCTAGACCGTATTTGTGCCTGTAGACAGTCCAACATGCGGCCACAGAACACAGTGCGATTTGGAATACCCACACGATGAAGGTGAGTCTGACCATGATTCTGTTCAGGTTGCTCACTTTGTGTGGTGCTTTGGGGATGTTCTTGTAAATTTTAGTCTCATGGCCCGTGTATATAACAATGCCCATTGCCCACCCCGTGTTGCGCAATTTGCATCCTCTAAGAAGCATCTGGAGCAGGGTGATCGATGTTTCAGTTGCACCCGAATTGGCAACTTCGCTGTTTCGGTTTCTGGCCGAAGGTGCGGGCGACCCGTCACTACCACACGATCCATCCTCATGCGCTGCGTTAGCGCCCGCTTCGATTTGATATGTCAATGATCCATCAAACGTAATCAGGTGTTGATTCGGCGGCTCGCACGTCACGCTACCTTTGATATCCTTGAACCGCTTTAGGGCTGTGTCCAGGTCCCTAGTGAGGTGTTCCGCAACTTTCAGCACTGCCTCCTTTTTCTTGAGGCTGCTCTCTCCGTCCAAGCATGCTGTCTCAACGAACGCGACTCCATTGATTTCCGAGGAGCCGATAAGTAGGACGTCAGCGGGAATGGTGTCGCCGCTTTGAACCACAATAACCTCCCCGACCTCAATCTCGTGCCACCTTTTACAGATGATTTTGTCGTTAGCGACGGCTTTGGCTATGAAGGATCGCCTCGGCTCCTCCTTTGGCGGCATTGGTCGTATCGCCTTGTCCATGTTAGTGAGCTGCGGGTGAACGGCCACCTGCGCGACGCTGTTGTTGACCTCGTTGTCAGCTAGGTAACGCCTGTAGTCCTCGTAGGCATCTTTGACGGCGTTTCCGAGCATGACAATGGAGAGCGGTAGCAGCATGACTGGTATGCCATGTGTGGAAGATATCTGTACATAATTATTGACAGCTTCATGAGAGGCCTCATAATGTAAAAATAAAGACTACGGCGCCAACTAGAGGGAGGCAGGGATAAATGGACATCAAATGAGACGCCTAATTCGCAACACCAACATTCTAACCCATGTACACGTCAACGAAATGCGAATCATAACGCATGAATTCCACTGCCCACCACCCTCGAGGAATGGTTGCCAATTTAGCCGGGCAATAAACATTCCCGTTGTGATATAGCCAGCTATCAATGATGCACATCAGAGCAGGGTCAACATTTCGTTAAGGCTCCAAATATTGCCTCCATGCAAACAACGCCACTTAGTCACATGCCCATATACACAGCAAAGCGTTGAGATTCTTACCCTGGGGATAACCTGTAATACGGCGATAAACACGAAATAGAGGTTCGAAGGCTCTCTCAGCTGCTCCAGGAGGTTCTTAATTGGGAAGTTGTACAGTGTGTACTTGGTCGTTTTGACATTGTTCGAGCAAAAGTGTGTAGGCTGGCTGCCGTTAACGGTCACATGGCGCATGGTCTCTTCGCTGCGGCAATGTCATGTTTTCAATTGCACGGTAACACACCTTTCGCGGTGGAACCATTTCCAGGGAGCCCTCATCCTGTCTCAATTGACGGTTCGTGGCCGACAGGGACGATCAGCCGCTGATAACCCTCCGAGCCTAGATAACCGAAGCAAAGCTCGGTACCCGTGTAGTGATCTGGCCGGCAGGTGTGCTGCTCGTATTTGTTCCTCGATTAGGCCTACTACTACTGGGCATTGGTGGTATCCGGCGCGAACAGACACACCGGCACATCATACAGCCATTTACTACAAAGGCTGAAGAGCACCGCAAAATGTACTAGCATCTATTTAATACGTGCTTTTTTATGAATTATGTGGCTCGCCGACAACGCAGCAACAAGTCTACGCCACACGCCGACTCAATGGTGACCAGATTAACACCGCATTTAAACTAACTAGCAGAATATAGAGGCAGCCAAGAGCGGACAAGAAAAGCGCCCTGCCTGTTGACACAATTAGCGTACAATAAAAATAACACAGCTGGACGTTGTGTGCGCAGTCGACTGCAGCGCCCCAAATCTAGACACAAAGCAATTAGCGATCCGGCAGCAGGAAAAGTTCACGCGCAAGCTGGACATTTTCCGCGACGTTAGCCACTTGCTGTGTTTACCAAAGCGTATTTACGACCTGCTGAGCATGGCCGATGTCTAAGGACAATACACAGTGTGCCGCTGTGCGTATGTTTTGTCACTACTTATGCCGACAGAAATCCCGCGCTAGTCAGCTTTGTGTGCTCTGTCTGGACGTTCTTTGCCGCTGCTGCAGCGCCCCCCAGAAACGGACAAAGGTCGCCGCGCAGCACGGGAACACTAATAACTTTAAACTTCCGTTTGCCACAATTTGGGGCAGTATCGTAAAGAGTGAAGTAGACTGCTCTCCATCACAGAGGGCACTTTTAAGATAGCACTGTCGATACTCGCAAGGACCGGCCACCTCAGCCTTTGTTCATCGCTAGTGTATCATGAAAAAAGAGACTCCTGGTGTAGCTGAAGCTGCTCCGAAGCCGAGGAGAGTGTACGTTCCGCCTAGCCGCCGTAATCAGATAGACGGCAGTGGGAACAACACCAGCGCCTTCGCCAGCAACAACCGCGGGGACAACAGGCCCGCGCGCAGCTTCAGTGCGTTCTAATCCTTGCGATATTATTGTGTGCAGATGACGAAAACCGTCGGAACATCCTAGACCCGGCTGGGACCAGCAACAATGCTGGCTCCTACCAGCGCCGCGACCGTTTCGGGGACCGCAACTCCGGAGGTCAGCGCGAAAGAGGGTCATACCCCTCCCCATGGGCTACCAGAAATGGGAGGAGGTACCAGAAGGAGTCGGAGGAAGATGTGTTCGGTGATATGGAAACCTGCACTCACGCGGGCATCAACTTCGGTTCGTACGAGAACATCCCGGTCGAAATGACCGGTAACAAGTCCAACACCATCCAGCCCGTCGAAGATTTTGAAACTGGCATCCACGAGTTGCTTATGGTCAACATCCGCCGCGTTAACTACACTAGACCAACCCCGATCCAGAAGCATTCGATCCCCGTCATTATGGCGGGACGCGACCTGATGGCGTGCGCGCAGACTGGTTCTGGAAAGACGGCGGCGTTTCTGTTGCCTATCTGCACGGCGATGCTCAGAGACGGCCCCCCTGAGGCCAGCTCTTACGGGAACCGCATTGCCATGCCCGTGTGTCTAGTTCTGTCGCCGACTCGTGAGTTGGCCATGCAGACGTTCAACGAGGCACGCAAGTTCATCTACGCCACCGGAATCCGTGCGGTTGTGTTGTATGGAGGCAGCGAGGTTCGCAAACAAATGTTCGATTTAGAACGCGGCTGTGACATTTGTGTGGCAACGCCCGGTCGTCTGGCTGACTTCATTGAGCGTTGCAAGGTCGAGCTCAAATGTGTGAAGTATCTGGTTTTGGACGAAGCTGATCGCATGCTTGATATGGGTTTCGCACCCCAAATCCGAAACATCGTGAACAACAGGTCCATGCCTCAGGTGGGAAGACAAACCGTGATGTTCAGCGCTACGTTTCCCAAAGAGATTCAGCAGCTGGCACGCGATTTCTTGCATGATTACCTCTACTTGGCGGTTGGTCGCGTCGGGTCGACGAACGAGTTCATTCGCCAGCGCCTGCTGTACGCTGACGAGGAGCAGAAGAATCGCTACCTCGTTAAGCTTCTCAGGGAAAACGCAAATGGCCTCGTGCTGATATTCGTGGAGACGAAAAGGCGCGCGGATACTATCGAGGCTTTCTTACTGAGAGAAAACTTCATGGCAGTCAACATTCACGGTGACCGCAGTCAACAGGATCGTGAGGAGGCGTTGCGCCTGTTCAAGACTGGCGAACGCCCCATTCTGGTGGCTACTGATGTGGCTGCCAGAGGACTGGATATCAACAATATCACCCACGTGATAAACTGCGACCTGCCGACCAACATCGATGACTATGTGCACCGCATCGGTCGTACCGGTCGCGCGGGTAACGTAGGCATTGCCACGTCGCTGGTCAACGAGACCAATCGCGGAATCTTGAGAGATTTGCTTGCCTTGCTGGAAGAAGCCAACCAGGAGGTTCCTCAGTGGTTCCAAAAAATGGTGACCGCTCAAGCATTCTCCTCAGGTAGCCGTGACCACGGCAAGCGCTCATCAGGCGGGAAGTTCAGCCGCCAGTTCGTTTCTCGCGATGTGCGCGGCCACACTGAGTCCGTTACGTTCAACCAGGGGACCAAAGGTCGTGGAAATAACGGATACTCGCAGCAGGGCAAGAGCAGCGGTTTCCACGAAGCGGACGACGAGTGGTGGTGAAACTGCCGCTCTGCTAACGTGACATATTCGCTAATATATCCGTAGTGTGGAATTTGTGAGGGTCTGTTTTTTCCTTGTTGTCTATTACGTGTGTTGAACAACGCTGCCGCGTTGGCGTGCGCCCGTGTAGGCGGTCGCCCGGCACGACAATCGCGCCACAACAAACGTTGTTAAACACGATTGTTATGTCGTGGTAGAACGTCTTTGTGGTATGGTCTTAAGCCCTGCCTTCTGTCGTTGCGTGCGATGGATTTCAGCCCAGAGGAGGAACGGGCGGGCATACACAGCTCCATTAACCTACACACCAAACGCGTGATCGCTGCCTTCTACTCGATGATCGAGTGTGCACAGGTGGGTGTCTGCCGTCGACGCGCTAATACACTGCACAGCTGGAGGCGACGCAGGACTGCCTTCTACGAACGGAGATCGACAACTTCCAGTTGAAGCTTCATAACGATAGCCTGGTAGGTTTTAGTGTATGGGTTTCGTGACTTCGTGCAGCTACATAGCTGCCGCAGCCTCTATACCATAGCTTCCGACCTTGTGATCAACGAGCTGCTCCACTCTCCCGAAGCGAAATTACGCGAACGCATTCAGGACGAAACCGACCTCGCCCGAGGTTTATCGGTGCTGCGCAGGCGCATCTCCAACTTCGAGAGATCGCTATCTGCGAAGCACAGAGACTCTAAGGCAGCAGAAGCACCGAAGCGTAGGAACAGTTGACATTGCCCAAAAGGGTTGCCCTTCAAAACATAGTGCGATATTGTACATTTATAGCAACATTTTGAAGTTTGCGTGCGATATGGGTGCATGGGCGATGTATAGCCAACGTAACCTAGACAGGCGCTGATTCCGTTGGCATGTCCGCCCCGGCTTCCTCCGGTACAGGGAGCTGCTGCGCCATTTCGAGCCGCCTGGCCAGTATGCGTATTTCGTCGTAGGCAACGCGATGTGCGGTGTGATCCTGCGGCTTGAGGAAGAAAATGTTCATATTCCCTGAAGCTGTTGTCATCGGTAACCAGGGTCTCACTTACCATCTTTAATGAAGCCCTCGTGCTGATCCTCCTGGAAGCCGTATTTCTCGCAAATCTGTTCGATCAGCGGGTCCAGAGCTTTTGGCTTCGGTTCCCACGAGTAACCGTTGGTAGCAGACCACCTGCTGATGTCGTTGAGCTTGTCGTAAAACTTCTCAAAGTGCTCGATCGACTGGTGCAGGCGGTGGCGTATTAGCGATCCGAACGGAGGACACATGAAAATCGATCCTTGGATGATGTAGTACACCTGTTAGGTGGATGGGCGAAAACAACAAGGGCCATACCTTCATGGGTGTAACCGTCACGCCGCTCTGCCCGAGGCCCCTCTGAAAGAGCGTGATGTGGAACACGGCCGCATTCGAGTAGTACTGGCTACGCGCCATGTCATCCAAAGGTGGCAAGTGTTTCAGCGGCTCGCTGATGTCGACAAGGTTACTGTACGTGACCTGGAACATCAGGCCCACCTGCTGGCTGCAACATGATGAATGTTGCCCCTATTGTGGCGTATACATTTTAAATTCACTGGCTATGTAAGTGTAGGTACAGATGACTAGGCTGCGCAAAAGAGGAATACGGGATGAGTTGTCTACTTTTCTAACCAGTGTTTAAGGCTGGGATGGAAGTAGCATGCGCAACTCAGTAGATCAAACACACCTATCGACAACACTACCGGCACGCAGGGTCTCGTTGAGAGCGCGTTCGCGGTACTTCATGTAGAAGGGGCTCTGGTAGAAATACTCAAGCGCCGCTTGCTCGGAATCCAGAGGCGTAACGGCTAGAAACCTTGGGTCCAAAAACTCGCATCTGCACTCCGATTCGTGCTCGTTGATGAACTCGTTATCATCTGCGCAAAGATGTGGCCCGAATTACAGAATGGTGACCTAATGGTCGGAACGAGACTGACCTTCGCGGCCAGCGGCCGGCAGCTGGAAATTTGGCGCCGAAACGCTCATATGGGACTCAATGACACTCTCTGCCCCTTAAACTGTTAGTATGTCATGTCAGAGCGGGATGTGTAAACGTTAGACGCGCGACAAGTGCCGGCAGTTCCCGTACGTTTGATGGGGAACACTGTTACCATTTCCTACCTTCAATCCACGCGATAGTCTTATATCATTGCTGAGGTTGAATGCAATTTGTGTGTTGTGCCATCTGGACGGCGCATATAACGTAGAGAGCTAAAGGGCGACGTGGATGCCATACTTTCAGCTGACACCTCACCAAAAGCGCGGCTGCGTAGTATTAGACACTCCTCTGTGCGGTTATAGGCGGCACGAAGACATCACCTACGACCGGAAGAATGGACGTCTTTTGATTGAAGTCGGCAATGGATCGCAAATTTTGCAATTTATACCGAATGTACGCCTGAGGAAATTGGACGCTGAGATTCCTTGCAAAACAACGACATATGTAGTGGAGTTATCCCTAGAACATCAAAGTTACGGCTGTGGCAATACGTCTGATGGCTGCAATCAAACATCTGCCGTTGTAAAAAGCTCAAACGTACACCTACCTGGTGTAAAGCAGGCTGACACGTCAGACAAGCAGCATACAATATTGCCGGATACCTCAGTCAGCAGCCGGATATCGGATCATTCCGGTTGCATTATTTCGAGCGGTGATAGTTTTTGTGGCCTGAAAGACGACTGCAGACCATCCACCTGGGTCGCGAACTTTCTGGGAGGAACGTTCGAGTGTAAGTCTTTCACGTGTCCCATCGTTGGCCATTCGGAGGGCCCATACGAACAATCATTTACGGTTTCTATACGTGATCTACACATATCACGGCACTACCTACAAGACATTTCGGTTCAAACCCGCGACGGGCTGTATACCCTAATCTGGAGCATAGTTGTGTACACTCCAAACATTCCCTATTTGGATCTGCGTATAGCCACTTTGCGTGAAACTGCTTGCGATTTTGACATCATAAAGCACCGGCGGCTGGTGGTGCGTTGCAAAAGGTGCCAGCACATATTGGAGAGCGTGGAGGACGCAACGATTCTGCCGCTGCCAACAGAATTTTTCAGCAGCGTCACGGGGTCCACATTTTGTGAGGAGTGTGAGCCGCAATTATCGTCTCGGGTTCCATCGCTGGTAAAAGTGGGCCACATCATATATCAGGGAGAGGAGGTAATAACCCTCTACAGGCCCTCAGCACACGCAATTAAGGAAGTAGTGGCGCTATGTGCACAGTGCGGTTATAGGGTTGGCGCATACTCGGACTGTGATCACCAATTCGTCAGCTACAGTAAGCGCTCCATAAGTGCATTTGTTGACGACAAACCGGAGGATATCTTCTGGCGTCACACTCCGGAGCGTGAAGCCGTAGAAACGTTGCAATACCACAGCGGGGTTAAGTTATTCATATTCGGCGCAGTTGAGGTTCCCGAACAACTTTCTGTGGGATCTACCGGGCCAGGTGTCGAAGAAGAGCATACAGCCGGCAACTGTTGCATTGAGCTCATCAAAGTCACATCGCAGCCCGACGCCTTCGTAGCCACTAGTGATACAGTCATAGAGGCTTCGCGTGTGTTGTGGCGCCTTGTGGAGGTCCCTGAAGGCGTGTCACTCGTCAGATGGTCGTCAGAGTTGTATGACCACCTACTAGATGTGTTGAGGTACTTCTCACAGTCAACGGACCCTGCCACGGGTTTCACCCCGTCATTACTAGTTGGCATCTAAAGGTTTTACGCCAGATTAACCACCATGGCTGATTATGCTACCGGAGATGGGCCTACTAGGCTCGTGCTTGACGAGGACCCTGTACCGAAGCTCGACATGCTGAAGCGTCACCTAATGAGGCCAGGTGGCCTCATAGCCATGCCCACTGAGACTGTGTACGGGTTGGCAGCGAATGGATTCTGCGAAACATCGGTACGCCGCATTTTCGAAGTGAAAGGGAGGCCTCTAACGGACCCTGTGATCTTACATGTGCCAAGCTTTGAGGATGCCTTGAGTAACATATTCGACGCCGACCTCAGCGATGCGTGCATGATCCTTATTCTGGCAGAAAGGTTCGCACCGGGCCCAATGACACTAATCACGCGAGGAAGGACTTCCATACCATCCGTAGTGTCGGCGAATACTGGATTTCCGGCGGTGCGTTGTCCGAATCACCCTGTTGCACAGATGATTCTCCGTCACGTTGGCGTGCCACTCGCCGCACCGTCCGCGAACAAGTTCGGTCACATAAGTCCCACGTCCACCGAACACGTCCTTTCGGAGTTCAATGATGTCCCAATGCTCGTCGTTGAAGGAGGCAAGTGTCACTTGGGGTTGGAATCCACCGTTATAAAAGTGGAACCAGCTGAAGGAGATGTGAAAGCGAACGATTTCTTGCGTGAGCATAACGCAACCTATGCGCATCTGCAGGGTATCATCTCCGCGATTGGTAAGGAGCCATTAAAATTACAAGCGATGCGCGACGAACTTGTCAGACGATGTGAGATGTTAGATGGCATGCCGCCCAACCTGCCCAGTGCACTGATTGATTACCTTATCGCAAAGTCTAGTATTCCTCGGAAGGTCACCATCCTTCGCCCGGGATTCGTCACTAAGGCTGACTTAGCGAAGCTCTTTGCCTCTTCGGTTTTCAGTAACGTGGAAGTTGGCTGCAAGGCAGTATATGCAAAGGCGGACGAACATTGCGACTCACCCGGCACAAGTATCACGCACTATGCGCCGTCGGTGCCAACCTATCTTGTTTGCAAAGAACAGGCATTTGGTGGCACACGTATTGACCCGCCGTACATCGTCATGATCGACGTAGGCGGCGTACTAAGAGACTATGATCGTCAGTTTTTGCACTACTTGCCCCTCGTTGAGGGTGATGAGGCAGTGGCGCGCGAGCTTTATGGCTCATTGCGAGAGGCGGAAACAGTGGCTTTGCAGTTTAACGGGGACGATCACCAAACGGGGAGTGATTCCCATGTGACAAGAGATACCGCTGTAATCGTCGTGAATTATCCACACGGTCAAACCGAATTGAGTACTACACTTCGTGACCGTCTCGTTCGTGCGTCATCTGGCAGGACGATTGGCTACAGCGTAAAATCTGGCACTCCCGTGTTCTACAGATAACCAGGGCAATATGTATGCTTGAAAGCATGAACAATGGTCCACTTAATAATTTTATGTATTGCGATCGCTAAGCGATGCTGTGAATATCGCTAAGGGAATAGGCGCGCATTATAACGAATGCTGCATTTGCAGACATGTGACATCTTCAATCGCGTTCTAATGTGTACATCTGTGCAATGAAGGTCTCAGTACACAGTATTCACGGCGGAATCTATGGTCATCTGACTATAGTTTGCCACCCTGTAACCGACGAAGAAATGTCCCAGGTGCAATAACGGTTGGAAAGTGGATCACCGGGAAATAATGTGGACAGATGACATGTTACCCGCAGACTACACTAACAGTACGGTGCGCCAGCCAGCCAGGTAAACGCAAAAAATCTTCCCAAGCCAGACGTGGGAACATGGCAAACTACACAATGCCTAAACAAAGACCCTATGTTACATTATGTTATAACTGATACTTTCCATTGTCAGCGACGCTGAGAGGTGCTGTGGCGTGTGTATCGGAAGCATAACAATGCTTAGTCTCCTGCTTCATCGGCTAGATCGGTGTCGAGGTTTCCCACGTTAGCAGCTTGATTCTTCCAGGATGGCGCAGTCATCGCTCATCGGCCCACTTATAGTGAGGCCATTCCAACCCATTCTTGGTCGTTGGTCCAAAATTTATTGCTGCGGATGTTGCGTGTAGTCCTACGGGTATCCCAGGACGCTGCATTATTCTTCTTGCCAGCAGTGCTGGGCTTATTCATCGGCGGCTTCGTGTCGTCGAAAGCAGGACGGACGTCGAAATACGCAATTTTCCCTTTCTGTTTCGGAAATGACGGAGATGGATTACTCTTTGATTCGTCACCATCGGTAGTTATCTTATCCGCTGGCGGTTTCGTGTCGTCAAAAAAGGGAAAGACTTGGGAATGCCTAATTTTCCCTTTCTCCTTAGGCGTAGACGGAGTTGGATTACGCTTCGAGCCAGCAACCTGGCCAGCACTATTTGGCCTTTTACCGTCACGACGCCGGACTTGGATGCGAACCTTCAGCTTGTCCCTCGGCGATGCGTGTGGATTCGGTTTTACGTCAACGCTCACATTGGGCTCGAATTTGAAGTTAAACATCTTTTTCCGAGGCCCTTTAGATGATCTCTTGGTGTTCGGTGCATTGTTGCCGTCGGCTTTGTTTGTCACGGTTGATGGGGGATGAGTGTCGTCGACAAGTTTTGGGACTTTGAAATAATGAATTTTCCCTTTCTCCTTAGGCGGTGACGGTATTGGATTGGCCTCGCCCCCAGTATTCGTTATCTTTTCCGCTGGTGGCTGTGTGTCGTCAAAAGCACGAGGGACGTGGATATACTCAATTTCCCCTTTCTCCTTAGGTGGTGACGGAGTTGGATTTCCTTTAACATCGTCACCACCGGTAGTTATCTTTTCCGCAGGCGGTTGCGTGTCGTCGAAAGCAGGCCAGACTTTGGAAGGCATAATTTGACCTTTCTCTTTGGGCAGCGGCGCAGATGGGTCACCGTTAGCTGCTTCATCCTTGGCACCACCAGTGGTTACCTTCCCCGCCGGCGGATGAGTATCGTCAACAAGAGGCAGGACTTCGGAATAATCAATTTTCCCTTTCTCTTTGGGCGGCAACGGATTTGGATTACTCTTTGATTCATCACCATTGTTGGTTAAGTCCTCTGCTGGCGGCTTTGTGTCGTCAAAAGCATGAGGGGCCCTGATATGCTCAATTCTACCCTTCTCTTTTGGGAGTGACGGGGCGGGCTGCGCCGATGTCACCGCAGAAAGATTGACGGCGCCAAGGAAGAGAAGAGCCACCGTTATTACCCACTTCATTTTGTCGTTAAATATTAAAAATTAAAGTTAAACTGGAATGTTAGTTACGTATCTTCCTTGGCGACGGTTGACGTGAAACGTATGTCGTGCATCAGCCTTCCACCGCTGACAACTAACACACGAGTGTAAGTCAACCGATTTCAAAAGCGCTGCATATAAAAGGATGAAATGTGCGCTATGTACACAAAACATCTCATAGCTCCATGCGTCCAGGATTAGCGGAACAGGAGGCACTATTGCCGACGTTATACCTAATGTCCGAGAAGGGGCTACTAATATTGCGTTGTCATTGACGAGCAACGTAATGCACCACTTATGAAGTGCTGTGTTGTATTTTTCCGGCTTCCGTTCGGCGTCAGGCTTCGGCAACGCGTGCTTCGATATGCGTCCTATTCTACCACTGCTATACGGACCTAGATTGGTTTTACTCCACAACCACTTTCTCGCAGCCATGTAGGCATCATAGTCTACTTCGGTCACACTTTTACAACTACTAGCAATGTAATTCTGTGGAGGTTCGGCTGTCGCTATAATTAGTCCGGTGATTTGTCGCACTGGATTCAGTAGCTGATGTTCTTAGTTATTCACTTTCTAACTTAACAAGAGGAGGACCAGGGCAATCCCCTACGTTATGACGTGGGAGGGGATAGTGACAAAAGAACACACCAAGTATAGGCGGGACCTGGGCATATCGGATCGCTTAGAAGCCCATATACAACGGGTAGTGATCCAAGAAACACAAAAGCTAGTGTTGAGGGGCATGAAACCCAGAGAAGATTATGGCTCTGTGAATGACCCTCTCGCCCAAACAGGATGGATGCCACAATGGATGGTACCTGTAGTGTACGATAATTCGACATGGATCCCGCAACCGACACCAGCAGCCTAAGGCGCTTGCCTGGTAAACACGAAAATCGGCCCTAAGCCACGTAGTCACATAGCGCACTAAATAAAACCAAAACAAAGATAAAAAATAACTAACATGGAACCACCCACCTAACAGACGACCGAGTGGCTCACCCAGCACAGCAGTAGTCAGCTACCTACGTTGATGGCCAACAACAGTTTCACACTGCAGTGACACTAAGGGATGACAGACACGCTTCTCTAGTGATCTATGACTAGGCACTTTCACCATTGGGCATCTCGACTCGTCGATTGCATTAGATATTTTTAGTCACACGTTAGGTTGGCTTGGTAGTATGTTGCGGATTGGTGGGTTTGTTTAGTAATGCTAAGCAGGCGGTTAAGATGAGAGTCGGTGAGGCCTTGCAGGCTGTCGTGGCAATGGACGGAGATCTCAAGAAGGATTTGAAGAAAGTTAAGGAGGAGATTAAGAAAGGGATTAAAGATGTGATTGAGGATTTGAATGTTTTGAGTTTGGATACGAAAGTGAAAGAGGATTTGCAGGCGTTGAGGGGGAAGATTTTGGGGCTTTCAAGTAATGTTGGGGATAGGAGTGATGATGATAGTAATATAGTTGGTGATCAGTTAAAGGATCTTAAAAACGCCAAAATGCAACTTGATGTGCTTACTGATAAGGATACCGGTACAATTCAGATGGAGACTAAGAATCTTGAAACCAATTTCAAGGAGAAAATCCAAGGGCCGCTTAACACTAAAGTCCAAGAAGTTGGCACGGCGATTGGGGAGCTTGGCGGGAAGTTTGACAGTAAAGTGACAAGTATTGATGGGATTTTGGGGAAGATTAAAGGGGAGGTTGGCAAGATTCAGGGGAAGCCGGGGAGAGATTCGGGGCTGGAAGGTATCGTGAAGAAAGTGAAGGAGCTTACTAACGCGTTCGTAAAGGGCAGAGGGAACAATTCTGGTTTTAATGGCAGAGTAGGCGGTTGGCTGGAAGGTGTAATAGGGAATGGGAAGGGGAGGCCGGGGACCAGAGACCATAAGCCCGGGTTGCAAGCCGTGACGTCTTGGCTTCAGCAGTCTAAGGATGCGGTTACAAAGCACAAGTATAAGGAAAGCGATTTTACAGATCAGGTTAAGAACAAGATTATGCAACAGACAGAAATCTCACATGCCATTGCCGCAGCTCAGGGGAAGATTAAGCAAGTAGTAGATGGGAAAGTTGTCGACAATCTCAGTGCCATCGTAAGCGCTTGCGAGGAGTTTGTCAAGGAGCTTGATAAGAAGATCACGAAAACGGAAATAGAGAGATTTGCTCCTGCGATAGCCAAGGAGATTCAGCGTTGGATGGACGGGCAGGGTCTTCAGAATTTTACTCAAGAAGCCGATCTCACTACCGCCGTCAAATACATTCTGGTCGCGCTCTGCGCTTCTGTGAGGCAGGTTGGCAATGAGATAAATTCACTAGGTACCGACAAGTTTGGCCAAATATTGGACCAAATTAAACCGATTGTAGATGAGCTTAACGAACAGCTAGAAGCGGCTACTAGCAAACCTACCGGCCAAAATGAAAGCCCCGCCAAGGCCGTGGACATGAGGTTGGGGGAAGTGAAGAATGAGGTTAATAACAATATTGTCACCAAGTTTAGAGAAAACGTCATAAAAGAACTTAAAGAAGCAGTCCGCGGACTTCCCGGCGCCGTTCAGGAGTTCGACCGCCAAGCTCAAACTCAGATCAAGGCTGCGGCCGAGACGGCGATCACAAAGGCGGCTGAGGAAATTAAGACGCAGAGTGGTAATGAGCTTGACGTCAAGGCAACGGTGGAGACATTCCACAAAGCTCATGATGACATTAAGAAGACTCTCCAAGGTAAACTTAATGAGGAAGTTGAGACGCACATTGGGGAGGATGATCCGCCAGCTCCGGCAGGTGATCCGAAATTCAAACTTGCCGAAGAACATTTTAAGACATACAATTCGCACGTTGATCAAAATAGCGTTAAGGCCTTTGACACCAATAACCCAGATGACCTAAAAGGCCAACTTCCCGAGAAGATCCAGAGCATTAGCAAGGAGGGTCTGAGAAGTCTCACCGACGTCATCGATGCAAGTGGCGGTGCAGACAAGCAGATCACTCAACAAACCTTCACCGGTCCGTTCGTAGAAATTACGAAACAGCTTGAAGAGGTCAGGAAGTGGGTTGATGAGAGGAATGGCACAGGTTTCACTGGCGAAACAATCCCAGGCAAAGGTGTCAAAAATTATTTGGAACACCTTAAAAACGGACTAAACAATGGGCCTTTTGCTGATGGCTATAGTGGTCTCGAGAATATCAAAACGACAATTCAAAATCTGCATAACAATCAGTTCACTACCCAACCCGCTGCAATTGGCACGGCCGTCCAAGAAATTAAGACGGAACTGAAGAAGCTTAGGGAGAAGTTGAAAGGCAAATATGGCAGTAAACAAGATGTCATCACGGCTTTGACTATTATCAAACGCGACGGTCTTAGTAATGGTGATTGGCATAATGGTAACAATTTTTGGACACCAAACGGTGAACCTCTCAGTGGTCTTGGGAGAATTGAGAATGAGCTTAAAGAGCAGAATGATGAATTGGATGAGCAAAACAAACAAATAGGGGACGCCATGAAAATAGTCATACAAGAAATAAAGGCTGTACTTAGAAATGTCGGCATGAAGTTGAAGCATGACTACATTACTGATGACGTCGTAGACCACTTGCAGTGGTTGAAACATAGGATAGGGCAGGGTACACCGTATAATGGGAATCTTCAAAAAATCTATAATGCTATTAGGCACCTTCATGACAAGCCGTTTAATACACATCCCGACGATATTCATAAAGCCAACTCAACAATTAAATTGGAACTTACTGCCCTTCAAAACGTGTTGCTAGGCAGTCAAGGTAAAGAAGATGTCATCAACACGCTGGACGATTTGCAGAACGTTGGACTAAGTGGAGATATGTGGGATAAGAATACACAAGGAAAAGGTAAAAGCCTTAAAAACATTCAAGATTATCTTAACACCCAACAAACTACGCTGTCCTCTCAGCCCACTGCAATCCGCGGTGGCGTTGACCAAATCACCGGTGAGCTTACAAAGCTCCAGAAGCAGTTGAGTGATGACGTCACCAAAAAGTTGGATGACTTGAAAAACCATGGCCTTGGCAGCAAACAAAATTGGGATATTGACGAACATTCTGCAAAAGGCCTCACTACAATCACCGCAGACATCGAGGCCATAAAGTCCAAGGACGTCGACAGTGTTAAGCATTATCTTATCGCCCTGTGCAGCGCTATTAAGCATAACGCAAGAGATCTCAGAGACATTTTAAAGGAAGTGAAGGAAATATTGCTTGACAAACAGTTGAGGAAATTTTACAGTGACCTTTACGATTTGTACTTCGGCCCGTTGAACGATGTCATTCAATCACTCAAGGCCTTTGATAAATACGTCCTGGCCGCTTCCTTGATCTGAGTTTGAGCTTGGCGGTCGAACTCCTGAACGGCGCCGGGAAGTTCTTTAACTGCATCAGCAAGTGGTTGTTTGACTTCATTATTAAACTTGTTGGTAATCTCCTGCTCAACCATTTTCCTCACTCCGCCGATCGCAGTGTCCACGGCTTGGGCGGGGCTTTTGCCATCGGTGCCTTGGGACGAGTCAGTCGCATCGGTAAGCTGACCGTCAAGGTCTTCAGTCGCCTTTTTGGCTTGATCCAACAGTTCTGCGATGCTTATGCCTTTGGTTCCCTTGCCTAGTAGCACTGAGTTAAGCTCCTTCCCAACTTGTCTGCTCACCGAGGACACGGCAACGAGGGTAGTGGCGATGGCTTGCGTGAGGTTGCATTCTTTCTTGTCGCATTTTAGGCAATTTTCACCCTTCTTGCCGCCGCTGGATTTGCAGTCTCCGCATCCGCAGTTTGCATTCTCTAAGGACCTTTGCAAGGATGTTCTGTGGCTGTTATATTGACGATCCTTCGACGCATTCTTAGCCTCGCTAACCATCGCAAGGACACCGCTTTTCGTATCCTTCAGTGCCTCATCAAGCTTATTGGCGAAATATTCGCAGGCTTTTTTGACGGCTTCAATTTTTTGCGTTATGCCGGCGTTATCATTAACACCTTTGAGCGCTGTAGCGGCATCGTCAGCTTTGGAATTAATCGGAGACCTAATAAAGCCTCCGAGATTAGTGTTCTCCAAGGTACTTTTCATACCATCCGCCGGCTTATCCTGCCAGCTAAGCAGCTTTTTAACCACACCGTTTTGGCCAAGAATACCGTCCACCCAGCCGCCGACTGCTTGGCCGAAGTCACTCTTGAAAAAATTAAAATAATGCTCCACTCCCTGTGCTATGCCCGTCAGACCTGTGGCATTTTCAATTTTCCAACCATTTTGGTTTCCTTTATTCCCCTTAATTGCCGCAACTTTATCTTTAATATACCTGAAAATCTTTTCGACACTCTTCTTATCATCATCTCTGTCTAGACCAAACGTCCCGCCAAGCGTCCCAATCGCCGTGCCAACATCACTGACCGCCTTGCTAAGCGGCTGTTGGATCTGCTCATTAAAGTTCTTTTCAAGGTTAGTATTCGTCTCGTCCTTAATCTTGTTAACATGTTCCTCATCAAGTGTTTTCTTCTGACTTTTAAGCGCCGCCAACGCACCACTAACAAGAACATTTTGGTCATTTTGATCCACATCCTTAGCAAGCTTCTCAATCTTCCCCCTCAACGCCTGCAAATCCTCTTTCACTTTCGTATCCAAACTCAAAACATTCAAATCCTCAATCACATCTTTAATCCCTTTCTTAATCTCCTCCTTAACTTTCTTCAAATCCTTCTTGAGATCTCCGTCCATTGCCACGACAGCCTGCAAGGCCTCACCGACTCTCATCTTAACCGCCTGCTTAGCATTACTAAACAAACCCACCAATCCGCAACATACTACCAAGCCAACCTAACGTGTGACTAAAAATATCTAATGCAATCGACGAGTCGAGATGCCCAATGGTGAAAGTGCCTAGTCATAGATCACTAGAGAAGCGTGTCTGTCATCCCTTAGTGTCACTGCAGTGTGAAACTGTTGTTGGCCATCAACGTAGGTAGCTGACTACTGCTGTGCTGGGTGAGCCACTCGGTCGTCTGTTAGGTGGGTGGTTCCATGTTAGTTATCGTGTGCGTTGCCAGACAGTGGACCTCGTTGTGACGGTTGTTGTACAGCCTAGCCAAGCGGCATCTATGACCACATTGTGGCGTCGGTAATACAGTAGTCACTACCATCACAGCTACACTCGTCATTTGCCTCGTCACCCATCTCCTCAAACGGCGAACATTAATACACTGCGTCATTACTTCAGCCAACATTCAATATTAATTGAATTATTATTCCTTACAGAATGGTTACATACAATTCTAATATTGCACTGATTACGTGGCGTCATTGTACCCGCATCCTTCACCTCCATATCATCCTTTTACTCCCCGACTCCAGAAATACTGCTCAGGTTGCTCTCTGCAGTTGTCCGACCACCTCAACAACATGACACCAGCAGCATCATTTAGTTCACTTAGCCATTTCACATTCGACGTAGACGTGTTAGCGGCGTCACCTTCAACTTCAAGGTTTAGGTTTAGGTTTTGCTTTACGTCAGCAACACTCACCAAACATGCCGCCTAACCAAACGTCTTACCAAACGGCTGACCTATCACCTAACCAAGCACCTGACCTAACACCTAACCTAACGGCTATCCTAGCACATAACCAAATGGCTCACCTAACACTTAATCTATGATGCAACCTACTCGCTGCTTTGTCATCTCCCTTCTCCCTTTGTCGCCTTGCTGTCACTCCCCAAACGCCCTCCTTCATCCCACCTTGTCCGTGGATTGAGGCTGCGGACGCCTCCTACCACGCCCCTCTTGCGCCTCTAAAATGTCTAGACAATCGCCACTAACACCTTCACTGAGTCACCTATTAACACCGCAATCACTACCTCTGCAAGCATCTTGGGAGTGTCTTGGTTATCTGGAAGCAGTGACGTCACCTTAGAGGTTTTATCGCCTTACTGTCTCGTGGTTAACCATTTAAATGCTGTCACTTGCACTTGTGTACCACTAACGTAGTGCCGATTTATTAGTGTCATTGTGCTTAGTGCTTTGGTAAATAAGATGGCGGCTCCAATTAAGCTTGGAACACTCAAGGAGTGTCTCCAGTTCCTGCAGTGGTTGAATAAAAATACTGATATGCAGGATAAGGTGGCCAGTGAGCTGGAAAAACTTCTTAAAGGCAAATATAAAACTGTTAGTCAATCGCATATTGCAAACGCACTCTCCACCTTCCTTGGCAACGTGTCCAAGTTTCATACGAAATTGTGCAAGAATGCTAATGCCGTTAATAATGGCAAACAAGATCCTACCGCCGTACTAAATGCTCTTTTAGAATGCATTCCCAAGTTCCTAGCCGTGATGTACTTTCTGCGCTACCAGGTGGACGATAAGTTCAGTGCAGTGGGTGGAGGGGGGTGGCAGAATTACCGGCCTGGTGGAGGTATACTACGTGGCGGTGACTTAGATAAATATCTCTATGCGCAGCCGCACCAAAATAACTATGGCGTAATCCCTGGAGGATTCGGTAGACAAGAGTTGAAGCCTGGTTACCGCCAGGGTTCTTTTATGGCGGGTGACCTTCAAAATATTGTTGACAAAAAAGACGGTGCGAATGTACAAAATTATTTCTTCGACGTTTTTGCCACTTCAGTGCTCGGACAACATGGCACCCAGGACTCAAATACAGCCAACGCCCTGGCGTTGGTGAGAACGTTTTGTGGAATAGTGGTAAACGAGCAGTACAATGATAAGGGAGGAGAGTTATTAAGAAGATTGAATGAGCATTTCAAAGACAATCAAAATCGCATTTGTTGGAATAATTTAAAAGAACATTGCGCTAAGCTTCAAGAACAATTTCGGAGGATTTTCGCCGACCACCGCTTTTCCTTTACTGGCTTCGGCCGGAAACATGAAGAGCTTAAGAAAGAAGAGTTTGCAGATTACACGGCACAGTGGTTGAGAGGTAATTTGGCGACCGTGAAGGATAAATTAACGAAAATTGATACGACAAACAAGTCCCCCGGAAAGAAATCAGCCGCTGAGCTTACAGACTATTTCACTAGAAATCTCTTCCCATACGGATTCACGTTTTATCATAATGATTATAGTAAGCGGGGAGCCCCGTATGAAGATTTGAAAAAAGATTGGGATGCTGTAATTGATGATTTTAAGAGGCCCAGTGGCGGTTTAGATCAGCTTAAAACAATTTTGGAAGGTCAGCAGTGTCCACCGAAGAAGCAAGAGGATGAAGAGCCTGAAAATAAAGCTGAGGGAGCACAGAATCAGGGTAAGAAAGCGGATGGAACTCCAAAGCAGAATAATGGTCAAAGTGAAGAAAAGTCTCCAGCTTCAACAGTTGTAAAGGCCACTGTTCCACCTCCATCTCCCGGTGATCCAGGAGTTCAAGGCCCGGCAGGGTCTCCTGGTCCAGGGGGTCCGGGTCAGGGTTCGCCGGGCAATGCTTCTCCAGGTCCACAGCCTGTTGATCCTCCAGCCCCTACGCTTACTCAGCCTCCAACTGTTACAGGGTCACGCTCTGAGTCAACTGGTGGTCAGAGGACTGCTCCACATGGTGGTAAACCAACAAGTCATGGCGTCGATGAAACTTCAAGTAGCGGCGCTACTGCGCCGGATGGCACGGCGTCTGGTGGAGGTGGGAGTAGATACGCATACTACATTGAGCTGTGTTAATCGTGCCCTTTTAACTAATGCACCCCCAATTCGCTGCCACGACGTAATTTACAAACGCACTCACCGGTACCTGCTGATGCCCAACTTTGAAACATTATATAAGACGTGAATACATTGGCGATGTGCCAGTATTGTCTTAATCGGCGCCATAAGTGCGATTATGAAAATGCCGTAGGCGATTATAGAATGCGATACAAAACGTTCACTTGCAAACGAAACAATCGCGGACTCTGTGGAACGGCCTAATGCGTTTCATGACCATGAAGCATACGGCGACGAGGATCATTAGAATTACCGCAGCGATGCCTCCATATATCTTTGCCCTGCGACGGCTACAACATTCACATCCACAGGAAGAGTTATCTTTATAACTCTCGTCACCTCTACAGCCTGTACAATCGGGCTGACAATCACGGCCGCCGCCTCTTCCATTGTTATTACAAGTACACTCTCTCTTCTGTGTTTCCAACGACATCTTCCCCTCACCCACCCCTCATCAATCTGCGCAGCGAGGAAACACGTCCCTTAACGTTGAACAGTAGTGCCGCCCAGCGGTCTCCTATGGGCGTTACGGGAGCATCCAGACAAACTCCACGCTACCCACCGCCAGGGATACCGTAGCCACACGCATGGCACCACAGAGATACTACACGCAGCAGGTCGTCTGTTACATTGCGCACCTTGGCCCCAAATACCGCTGGGCAAACGTTGTAATTGTTGTAATCATTTACATTACTTGGTGACAGTGTTCAGCGTTGCCAATGTTTTGTCAGTGGTGCATCGTCAATGTTTCACAAGGTTGCCTTCCACACCCCTGTCAGTTGCATGATAGAAGCATTGTGCCACAGGCACCAAAGCACCTACTAATTCAGTTAACTACCGAACTCTCTTAATGGACATATAATCCCATGTGATGGAATAATCTCCTGTGTAGCTGTGACCCAAAGACGGAACCACTCATTTGGAGAAAGCGCTTAGCCTTAAAACGCTACTGGTATCGGACTCCTCGTCGAGCTGAGGGTTACCGTACTTAATTCACCCACATCTGGTGTTAATCCTATTTACAATATCGTCATCATTTTCTGACGCTGAGCGGCCTAATATCAGGTATTCGCTCCCTTTCTCTCATCCATCCCACCAGGCTGTAATCCATGTGGCTGAGTCGGGTGAGACCTCTATTTATGCATTCTTAGAGTAACGATGACTAATTTAATCCACAAGAGGTATGTCTTCTAGTGCGCTGTGCAAATACGATTAGCAGATGAACCCATTAATCTATGCCTCATCACCGTTAGACTGACGTTGCCTGGCCTCACACCCTAAAGCCTTAACAGTGTTACTTGATGAAATTAATTACGGCAAGAGGTACTAAATGTTGTAGATTAATGCGTATTAAAGCCATTGCCAGTGTTCAATGTTATGAGCATAAATGAGACTGCTCAAACCACATATTCCTAATTAAGGCAGTGGTAAAGGTTAAAAGAAGGTGTGATGAAACATAATTTTGTTCCAACCTATTAAACGGGGTTGTTGCCACTCACACAACTTATAAACAGCGGTGATAAGACTACGACGAGCTGCTTAGTTTTACCATCGCATTTACGAAGTTTTCACCGAAACCGAAACCGCCACTAGAAGAGATAAATCAACAAAATCAGCACCAACAGTGAAGAATTAATTTCCACAAACGGCTGATGAGTTACCACATCTGATATACTCATTACTTGGAGTAATAGTTCCCTATCTGCATGGTGGAGAGAATGACGCCCTTGATGGTGACGCAGCGGCACTCCAACAGCGATGTCTGGCGCAGCGTTTCCCCGGGTCCTACATGAGAAGCGTCAAAACTCAGAATTACGAAGTGGTTGGAATGCGAAGAAACCAACGACATGCTTAGATCACTTAGGTTCTTTACTTCATCGTCCACGTAAACTTGGCTGAAGCAGTTAGGTGGGTCCAGGAGGTAGGGAACTGGGCAGTAGAACGCCGCCTCACCAGCAGTCTGAAAGTCTATCTTACAACCGCGCGGTTGTCGTATGTTAGGGTAGTAGAGCTTGGGTGTCTCAGGTCTGAATAGCTCAGTGGACAAATATGTCACGCCGCAGCCTTGCATGTAAGGGTCCGTGGTCTCGACGGCAACTTGAACTAGGTGCCAAGTATATCGCGCCGATGTTTCAGTGACATGTGGAACAGCTGATGCAGATATCTCGCCAGTGATGACGGACATGTCCGATGGTTCGGGCGCTTTGCCGCAAACGAATGATATCGGTACATAATTCTTGTGAACTGGATCCTTCGACACCAAGACTGCGTTTATATGTGATTCGAATATCAACCGTTGATGTGACAGCTGGTGCGTGTCGTCGTCAACAGCTCTAAATCCACCGGGAGTAGTAGCAATGGAATCGCCATAAGTCTTACGAATAAGCTCAGGACCATCTGCGATGTGATTGACAGTGTAGTAAAAATAGTGCGCATTGTATGGCAGCCACGATGCTGCTATTCTCCCATTGTTTGCGACATAGCTCTGCACGTCAGATGACACGGCCTCTGATCCAAGGCCACATTCCAACCACAAAGTTTTACCCACATGCAGTGTAACGGAAGATGTGGAAATGTTGTATAGCATGAGCGACCTTAATAAATTCGTTTCGTCAGTCGATGATCCCACCTCACGCCAGGGAAGCAATGCATAAGGAAATAACGCGTGAGATCCATCTCTACGATTTATTTTGTAAATATAATATTCGTGGTTGTTTGACTGTAAAATAAGCCTAGACTTTTCATATCCAAGTTGGTCGACGCAGATACAAGCACAACTGAGGGCGCTAATGTTGTGGAATGCAATGTCGAATATCTGAAATCCTCGAATGGGATATGACGTCGCACTACGTACATTTGCAGGAAATGGAATAATGCGATTGGAGTACAGATTGTAAGCCGTGGACTCACAATTGTCGGGCAACAGCTCCTCGCCTGGTCTGCAGTAAATACCAACTATGCCGATATGCGGTGTTTTTTGGTAGAGACACTCATAAGTTTTCCCTATGCCGTTTCCCATCCATTTGGTTGAGCAATAATTCCTGCTGGTTTCCCGATGAAACACATTTCTTTGCCCTCTGTCACAGCCAACGATTGCGTAACGATGCGTAAAAGCGAAGGAGACGTTCACAGTGGCCTGGATGCTGTGGAAAACGTACTTGTTTATGGCTTTTAATGTCCAATGGAAAAAGAACGAATTCGGTCCCAATCGTAACGAGAGAGGTTCGTTAAAATGGTATTTTAGCTTAATCTCTCCTAGGGCCATTTGAGAAACATCCAGTTCAAGTGCATCGCCGGCAATGGCTTTGCGGTATGAGGCTTCGTAGTAAAAATTGAATCCCTCATGGGTCATAAGCTGCCGCAGTGTCACCAAGTCAGTTGGTTGAAATCCCGTTTTGAATAGATATCTAGGAGGCTTTTGCGACAGTGTACCAGGTAGAGGCTCCTCGTACGAGGTCTCCGTATCGGCTTCCTCTATTGGGAACCTAATGGTCAAGGTGCTGCCTGGATGAAGTACAACCGAACACCAATGTCCACGGATAGGGCGCACGCGGTTTTGGAAAATCTTGCTACTAATATCACAAATATAGTCGGCTTTCGAACGGATCTCTATCCTAGCTTTATCCTGTCCCGTTTCAGAATCTATGCATCTGCATTCGCCATGGAATGGTGGAAGCGCTAAGTCACTGAAATATTGCGCCACGACCCAATGTTCATTATAAAATTTCGTATATGAATATGGTTCGGGAGCTGCCACAACTTCACCATTTGGGTCCAAGAGATATCGCATGCAATCCGCGGGCTCTATCCCGCCTTCGCAGAGAAACCCTATAGGCGATCTAGACATTGGATCCGCCACGCACGAACGTATGCCAGTTACGGGATCCACAGTCACCTCATTAGTCGCAGCAAACAGTGGTGACGGGCGGCTACCACAACCCTGCAGTAGTAAAGTTAGGTGCCCTCTGTACAAGAATACCACACCTAATCCCGCACCGTTTCCAATCTTCGCAATTTCCGCAGTCAATGGTGTCGTTGCACTCCACGGGAATTCTTGCATTTCCGCGAAACCATCGAGACCGTCCAGGCGACGCTGCAATGCAGGACTCAAAATCAAATCTTGCGGTCCGCATATGAATATCAAACGATGATCAGTGACCGCAAACAATTCGTGAATTGGTATGTTGAAATACAAACTAGTCTGTGACTGATACGATTCCACTGAGGCAAAAGCAACTGGCGCATCGGTTACGAAAACATTGGAAAGAGCAAGAGAACGCAACATGCCATTTTCACTAACGTACGTGTTGATATTATAATGGTCGGTGGACGTTGGTTGAGGATGCCAGACGTATTCCGTGTCGTTTACTCGGCGTGGACATATAAAAGTTGCACTGTCAAAGTCATCGATGTCCATGTGGCAGCTAACGAGAGCATTGCTGATAAGTAGCTCATCTGGATCTGCGAAGTCACAAAGAAGTGCGTCGGTACAACTATTACGATGCAACCAGATTGCGCAGAATGCCAGCAGAGCTCTCAGCACGTGAGAGGTTGCCATTGCGATTGATGGTTTTTGCGTGATGCCGTCACCGACACTATATACGCAGCTTTTTTGAAAATAACGCGTTTCAAACAAATGAAACAAAAATATATACAGGCGAATGTGTCTATAAGATGGGTAATAATGTGTTGTACAGCTACGCCTAGCCAACGATCGCAGCAGCTGTCTGGTCAACTGAGAATTTTCCTTGACAGCTCCAATTGGCATAATCAACAAAAGGAGAGGACATATGTGATCATAGAAATAACATTTTAATGTTGCTAAAAACATTCGTTTTTATGAGCAGATCGAAATCTGGACCGTAACGGCCGTAACCTAACTTGACGGGGGGTATCCTTAGATGTCCATCGAGCTCAACCGACGGAATATAATCGGAATACACCGGCGAAACAATATTATTAACATCGTGAATATTTGCATTACGCATCAAAGGTGCTTGGTATGAATAGAACGATTGTAGCTCTAACAACTAGCGTCGCAAAAGAACCGATGACTCACTCTATTAACTGCAGTACCAAAGCAAGATGGCCGCCGATCGCCATGTTAGCATCAATTGAGTATATATTTCGGGCTTTTGGCGCTGAGTAGGGACATAAATAGACCCATGACGCACGTAACCACTTGCGGCACGCTAGCCAAATAGAAAGATGACATTAAGATAGGCATATTAACCTTTTAATGTACTCAAATATCGAAAACAGGCTCGACAATTATATCTAATGTGAGCTATATGTTAGCATACAACAACTGCTCCGGTGGCGGCAACTTGTGACCGTTATGAATCATGTCCGCCAGGCTCGTGGATATCCGACTTGTTCAAGTGTCCAATTCTTCGCCTTCTTCTTCTCCCAAGGACAAAACATCAGATATTTCGTTTATGGAGCTTGCAAAGTCGTCTACCATATCGGAGGTTACCTGCATAAGCGTGATACGACATTAACGGCGGCATACATGTGTGCTTATTTTGCAGTCGCCAAGTCTCGCGCGAACGAGGCAAACGGGTTCCAACCCCTCTTCTGATTGTTGTTGCTCAGCAGATTTGCGATTTCGCCACGACCTCGCGTTTGGTACGTCTGAACGGCATAAGTTGGCAGAACATGCGGAGGTCCATGGAACCGAACATGTAGCGGCCTAGACATACACACATTTCACTGATTTTGATTCATTTGTATGTAACATTTCATTTAGCCTTGGAGCGGCACAGTGCCATCAACGGCCGGCATTGTTAAGCGGTGCCGCTATTGCCAACTCCTTAGTAAACGCCCTTCGGGCCAGGAATCCCGTAAGGTAATACCCAATTTGGATGCCAACAACATATATCATCAGCCGTTGCTCAGAGCCGCTGTGTTTAGGAGCTTTAAGTAGGGAACTTACGACGCTTGTAACTGATGCGCAGTGACTTCGCCGCCTGCTCAGAATCAGCCGCCACCAAAGCAGACAGCCGTTTCAGGAATTCTTCACAGTCTAGTAAAACCATCGCTGAGATGTTGCGATATTGATCGGTCTGAGAAGCGCCACTTCGATGCCCATCGTCCCCATGGCCCGGCGCGTTGAAGAAAGGCATCCAGCAATTAATATTCTAGCCATGTTCTCCGGTCTCAGAGATGATGAGGAAATACGGCGCCAGTTGGAGACTAGCCTGGGCCTAGATTCGGCTGTTACGACGAACACGGGTGACGATGTGCAGGAGGAACTAGAAGCGCTCGAAGGGGAGTCTGATCAGCGTCAACGCAGACGGTATGTGTTGGATGCGATATACTGGTTTTATGTGTCTCAGTGTAGGTGTAGGATTTCAGGCGGCGAAGAAGGTGCGTGTCTTCTCCGCCGAGGAGTCAAAACTCAAGGAGGTTATAAAGGGGAAACAGAGCGCCTCCAAGTCAAAGCGTATAAAGACGGCAGTGAAGCAAGCTGCCATTCCTGAAGATGACGACGACGCCGAACCGTCGAGGCTTGATCTGATCTTGTCGGCGTCGAGCAATCTCAAGGCCGAACGCCGAAAGCTTCGCGCTAAGCGTCTCGGTAAGGCATGATTCCGCTGTATGACCAGCTTAAAACCGTTTAAATATGACATGTATCGCATCAAACTCTGGAATAGCTCGTGTATGGAACGTGTCTACACTTCCAGACTATTAATTGCGCACGGTGATTAGGCGATGCATGTGACGACCTATGTCGCGGTGACATTCTACAACATCGCTAGTATCATCATCTGGTCATCCAACTAGTGATGAAGACTATATTATAAATATACACTACGTTTCTTGGCGCTCAACAATATTATGGGATAACGCGGTAAGAGCGCCTCATGCGAAGGGAATGACCCGACCCACGCTACAGGTCACGAAGCTTCTGTTCCCAGTACGGATTTCTCGACAGAGCTGTGATTATGTGCCCGACGTCGATCTCTGTCACTATTACGGTGTCCCCTAGGTCCTCACCGAGTTCCTCGTACCTTTCCATCTTGCGTTTAGAATCCAGCTCGCTGATTGCGGCGGGCTCCAGCGATATGATACCAGACACCGATGCAGATACAAGCATTCGCCTATATGAGTCCATGGAAATGCTTTTTTCAAGTTCCGGTTTCATCACTGCCATCATCCCACGGAACGCGTGGTAGATTTTGCGCGCGCATGCGACGGAAAGTTGCGTCTCACGCAGCTCCAGCACAAGAGCTGCCAGGAGACACGACATGGCCTCCGACTGGTGTTGCAGCGACTCCACTGCAGGTGAGCTCAGAACCGTGTTCGAAACGCGATTCATCTCAGCCGTTGACACCTTGCCATCAGTAGCCGCCGCCAACGCCATCTTACAAATCTGGAGCGCCTTCCGCATGTCCCCGCTGTAGTTAGTCACCCTACGGGCGCACAGCTGCAGTGCTACAGGGTCAATGGCCGACTTTATGTCTTCCTGGGCGGATAGAACATCCAGTATCTGCTGGTAACGATATGGTTGGAAGACCAGGGACCCGAATGCCAGGCGGCTCACGCACGATGCCTTCATGCGGCTAGGAAGGTCCATAGTATTAGAGATGATGACTACGACAAGGTTTGACTTCCTTCTTGAGGGCCAGTCGAATATTGTGAACAGCACTTTCTGCGTGCGGGTAACTAGGTAGTCCGCTTCGTCGATTATCAGCACGCTGCGCACGCATGAAGTGTTATATTTTGCGGGCAAATAGGCCGTAAAAGATGAACACGCATATCACTGGTACCGATCGTCAGTTCACAGGCTAAATAAAAGAACAGGTAAAGGCCACTTCTGTATTCATCACCAAGCTCACCATGGCGTCTGGTTGTTCGCAAAATATTCATCTAGCTCTTTGTAGGCGATAAGATAGTTTGGCGCCGTTGCCTTCGTCAGCTGCATAGTTTACACTCCACGCAATCAGTATTGGCACTTACCTTGTTATACAGGATGCGATAAAAATCGTTGGCGTCCACAAGGTGTACACCGTTTATCTCTACAAGATCGAACCACGGGAGCTTTGCGCTTAGCTTTTTCTCCGTTATTTCGCGCACTATCATGTTGACCGTTGCCGTCTTACCGGTACCCGGAACTCCGCTCACGTCTAACAAATGTCAAGTGGTGGCGCGGATGTAAACTTACAAAGCAGCTGACCGGTGCCACCCTGCCGTATGCCAGTCTCTATAAAAGTCCTGATTGTGGCGGCCTCATCCTCCCTTCACACAATAACGAATAAACTTGGCATGGACTCACCGCCCCAATATGACCTTGCCTTTGTCGGCGCATGTTTCTTGCAATCGGCCAGCCGGCGATTCCGTGAAACCCATGTGGTACACTCGGTGAAATTGGCTGCTTTCGAGCATTAACTGCTTCCACTGTGTCCCCGTGTCGAACGGCTTCAGCGCATCTATCTCCGTGCAGTAGACTTGCTGACAGAAGAAGTGGTTGGCCTCATCGCCGGCCGCGTCAACGGCTGCCTGATAAGCTTGCAAATTTTCGTGCACCGTGATGACATCTTGTATCGAACCCACCCTAATTATTTTGAACTGAGAAAATATCAGAAACAGATGGGCAGTCGAAAAGCGGCAGAAGACGCATCGCAAGCAGAACTTTTGCTATAATATGAATCCGTGAATAAATTCCGCGCCAAAGATAATTGTTCAATAATGCAAATGAAATGGTCGTAGCATAGAATGATTCCAACAGCGCAAATGCCCAACTTCACGGTACAACAATGGCGTAGACACGCGTCATACCCACCTGGTTAGAAGCAACCACTTCGCGGTCATGACTGAGTCCCCGCCAATCCGAATTCTGGTGTATATAGATACGTGATTGGTTGGTGAGGAATCGATGGTGTGCCCCCGGTACAAAATCTTTTGCGTCGTAGTAATATGCCACCTCTGCCTTCATCTCGCTGCAGCCTTCTTGGAAGATCGCCGCGATTTTAACTGAACGGTAGTGAGCCGTCAACCTGTACAATATAACCTACCCAGTTGCGTGCCGTTCTCCTGGTTATCGAAGCTGTCAACAACAGCGACGGAATCACAGACCCTGATGACGTCTGCGCCATTCCGAATAGCATGGTAGAACTTCTTGCCTTCTAATTCAGTTACAACATTGCCGCAAGGTGGGTACCTCGACCTAAAGGCGGAATTCAGCCCAGTAAGCGTCAGCTGACGCGGCGTCGAACAAGGTGACGCGCACTGCGAGAGCAAGGAAGACCGATTAGACAACGGCGACACACTACCGGAACCTTGCGATCCACCGAAGGAATGAATCATCGTTTGTTATATTTAGATAGTCATTATCAGTATGTTCTACAGTATGGCCTACTAAAGCCTGAGACAGCAACAATCCAAAGTATGCTCACGGCGACCCGAATAGCCGCGACCGTACAACTACAATAGTTAAGACACAGCGAGGCAATTTTGACCCGTTAGGAAATGGTGTTTGCCAATGATAACCGGCGCTACAAGGGGTGTGTAGCGCGTGTCATGTTAGTGTGCGCGGTATGGGCCGCATACTGGGCCAACTAGGGAGGCACTACCCCTAGATCGGTCTTACTAACGGTGTACTGGCATCAGCTGCTAAAAACCGCTAGCAGCGCTCGCGGTTAGGTAGCGCCGCTTGCACACACTGGCTGCCAAAAGGCCAGCCTTCCCCATGACCCCCATGCAGTGGCACCGCTAGTGCGGGAACCGCCTCGGTTACGCCATTAAGCACGTCGAAAGAAAGTTTCGGAACTCAACACAAACCTCTGTGGCCCTTACTGCCTCAGCCCCCGGGTTAACACCTTACACATCTGCCTCGATCTGCTGAGGTGACCAGCGTATACGGAGAGAATGGCGCCCAATTCCAAGGCAACGATCAAGAAGGGAAAGAGGGCGAAAAAAGACCCTAACGCTCCCAAGCGCGCTTTGTCGTCTTACATGTTCTTTGCGAAGGAGAAACGCGCCGAAATCATCTCGAAAAACCCCGCGATGGCCAAGGACGTTGCCGCAGTTGGAAAGCTCATCGGATCTGCATGGAACGCGCTCGGCGAGGCCGACAAGGCGCCTTACGAGAAGCTGGCTGCAGAAGACCGCGCCAGATACGACAGGGAGAAGACTGAGTACGCCAAGAAGAATTGAGCGACCCAGCCCACGCCAAAGTACATTTTCGTGCTCTCGAGCGTGATGCACAACAACTTAGTCCAAGGTTGAACCATGTTCGCCTAGACATACATTTCAATTTTATTGTGTTACAACAGCGTAAAATGATGCACGAAGCACAATAAGCGCCGTGTATGCCAATCCGCTACACCACCGCTCTATGACGTGAAATCCGTATCTCTAACAGCGTGTACTGGCGCCGCACCGCTCCGGATTTCCCACTCTGCGTGTATTTGTGCGCGGCGATTCGGTAAACTCACGAAGATGTTGCGGAGTTCAATGGCCACTTTTATGTCGGCGAAGCGACGTTTAAGCGACTCGCAGACGGACACAGCTCGTGTCGCATGCTTCAACGGAACCTTTAACACGACTTCGTCTGCGCTGCCCTGGGACATATTAGCAACATTTTATCAGAAACATACGTCGGTCAGAATGCCGCTGCACTCTTCCACAACTTCACCAAACTTGTGACCGTCATTGCTCACAAAAATCTCATGGCGTCGGATGCCAGCCATAATACCACGTTCAAGCGCCGATGTGCCGGCGCCACCACCAAGGCCGTTTGGAAGACTGGGGACACCAAATTCTCCCCCTAAACCAGAAGCGGCTGATGGCTTAAGATTTAAACAAAGACCTAATTATAAGGTCAACCACGTCAGGGCTGGTTACGGCCTTCTTTCTTGTACGCTCCTGTTCGCTTTTCGCCAGACCGGAAAACGCACTAACCACGAAGTTTTGCAATTTCTCAATTACTGTATACCGTAGACGACGCGATTTCGAAGTTTTCGCAACGGACATGCGCGGCTTGTCTGTCACATGATATGAATGTGTAAGAAGCTAGTGACCAACCAGAGTGGTCGTTTCTTAACTGCTGCTCTTCCTCACGCAGGTTGGCGTCGCTTTCCGCGCCCGTTTGAATGAGAAATCGGAGCAACTGAACGTAAAACAGCTGTAAAGTGTTAAAGTAACTCAAATCTCACAAACCTGATCGTTGTATAGTCCTGACAAGATAATCTTGCGGCACTCCTGCAGACCCAGCTTGTCCCGCAGCAATTCGTATCCAATAACCTGCATTGCGATGGCATCACGAGATTGCCAGACCTACGTTGTCTGGAATCTTAGATGGGCGCGCTTTCTTCAAAAAATCAGCATTATTATCCAAAAAGTAGTGTACTTGGGACGAAATGCTTTTGCTCAGCACCTCAAACGATTTGTCCACCTGAGCCGCATTTGACACTTACGGAACGGCCAGTGATAATGACATAAACTCATATCATACACAACTGATGGATGATCCACTGATACCGTGCAAATTAATGGCGCACAGCATACTTCGTACTACTACTTGCACATGCTGTAGCCCCGGAGGAGACGACGCCATGCGAGAAAAACCTCAACAATGCTAATTCAAGAATCAGCTCATGTGTCGTTACAATAATACCTTGCTGTTGTAAGACGCAGAAATTACAGATTTTTAATTCCAAGAAAAGCAGTGGAAGAAAAACGGAATTAGCCACGGGGTCGAAACCTACCTTCACGTTGGTCTCCTGGTTCCAGTGATCCAGACGTCCTAGTATTTCGTCACGCCGCTTGGGTAAAATATCTATGCTCTCAAAAGGATCGCCGTCAGCAAGGTTTAACTTCTCTGCTCACAATACAAACGGAAGGCACCGTCACTCACTGAGGGAAGCAAGCCTGCCGTACAACCGGAGAAAAATATTGCCGATATTGCGCTGAATAGAAGCAGTATCCTCGTATGTTGCCTCCTCTGGCGACAACTCGATGCTACTAACTGCCTTCGACAGCCAAGGGTGTGGCCAACGCGACGTGTTGACCGAACACTTTTGGAGCTGTACCCGCAACCGGATCAGATTCTGGTAAGTAGTACACTGTTGCCTTACCGCTCGTACCTTCCGCTGTCCCTGATTTGCGACGCTCTTCATAGTAAAGTGAGGCGACGCGACAGCGCATTGCACGAGCGCGTGACCCGACGCCGATGGAAGGTTAGCCCTCGGACGCGGTAGACGCGCTTTTTTTACACAAAGTAAACATGGTAGTGATGTCGAATTAAATTTTCTTCCAAATGGTGCGGGAGCGACTGAATGCCATCGACGTGGCGGCCGTTGTAGGCAACCTCCAAAAGGAGATACTACACTACAACCTCGTCAACATCTACGATGTGACGAGCCGCGTATACGTGCTCAAGTTCTCAAAGAACGAGGACAAGAAGTTTGTGCTGTTCGAAATCGGCCATCGCATTCACACGACTCAATTCCTGAGGAACACTGACCACCTCCCGTCTAATTTCAACGTCAAGGTAAATATCAGGCACAAATTATAACTTATAATGGCGGTATGATGGCCATTGAACATGTTTGGCAGTCGTTTCATTGCTTCCCGTGGCTGTGGATGATGCGCAGCAAAGTGGTTTGTATGTATGTCTGGGGAGTGCTCCGACATCACAGTCTCCCAAAAGTCGAATCTGCTATTCCGGCAGTCAATGGCAACAGCACTTGTTGTATTGCAGTTGTGTGGACCGCTCCTGTGAGAGTGGAATGATTTGTCTGGTTATGTGGTGACATAAATGCATATTGTCCACTCATCGTTGATACTTAGGTCAATATTAACGTGTTCAAACATGGTTGAATCGTGCAAATTTATATATACGTATTTATAGTTATTTGATGGTTCCTCTTTTGTTGCCACTGACTCAACGATGCGCAGCTGAGGAAACACCTCCGGACGAGGAAGCTCAGGGGGATCGAACAAATTGCGCAGGACAGAGTTGTGGACTTCACATTCAGCTCAGATGAATATGCATACCATCTTATCGTACAATTTTTCCTACCTGGAAACGTATACTTAACCGATTACGCGTACAAGGTTCTGGCCGTCCTTCGCCCGCAGAATGCGGGAGAGGCATTTTTCAAAGTAGGGCAGACGTACGAAATTCCGGAGGCGAGTGTACCTTGGGGCGTACCCGTCTCACGGGATGTTGTAAATGAGGCGTTACGCATGCTCACAACGGCTGCCAACAATGTGGCAGCTGGTTCTGGTGGACCTGATTCCCTCGACAGCAGAAATGTAGACACGGGGAACCACGGCGCATCAAAGGGTGCAAAAGGGAATCCGAAGGGTAAATCGCAGACAGGAAGCAAAGAATCTAAGGCGGAACCGGAGGAAATCGCGAATGAAGTCAAGGATCAAGACAGCCTGCACGCGCTTCTAAAGGCAATATTTCCCAGCGTTCACGTGTCGCTGATGGATCATGTACTAAAAACTACAACAGGTGATGCGCGTGTGGGATCTCGAAACGTAACAGAGATAGACCCTGAAAAGCTGCATGAATGTGTGGAAGCTATTCGGCAGGCAGTCCTTTCAGTGGCACAAGCGAGCACTGTTGTGCCGGGGTACCTCTACAAAGGAGGTCAAGAGTACCATGACTTCAGCCCATTTGACTTCGGTAACGCTTCCGACAGGTTTGACGATTTTAATCATGCGCTGGATGCATATTTCACAAATTTTGAAGTCAAGAAAATAGAAAAAGAAGCGCAGCCGAAGAAACCCATCAAATTGAAGAAAATTAAGGATGATCAGGACCGGCGCGAGTTGAAACGGCAGAAAGGAATTGAAAAATTAACAAGTGACATTGAATTGGTTGAAAGCAATCGCGTCGTTTTCGACCAAGTACTCTCTCTTATAAGATCCTTGGTAGCTTCCGGTGCTTCGTGGAGAGAAATAGTCGACCAACTGTCGCTTCAGCGCGAGCGTGGGCACATGCTGGCCAGACATATCCGATCGGTCAACATTCCGGAGCGCCGGGTGGACGTCTGTCTACCTTCCGACGATCCCAATTTCTATGGGAGCGGGCCATCGCAGCACGGCAAATTGGGCAAAAAGAGTGTAAAGAGTACCTTGGAAACAACAGACTTGGACGACAGATCTAGTGCCACATTGGATTATGGCCTTACCTGCTTCCAGAACCTGGAGACCCTGTATGCGAACAAGAAACAACTCACCGAAAAGTTGGAGCGCACGCGGATTGGTCGTGAATTTGCGCTGAAGCGCGTCGACGACCAAAAGGAAAAGGAAAAACAAAAGAAGTCGGGCAAGTCAGTGTCACTCGTCAAGGTCCGCAAGCGAATGTGGTTCGAGAAGTTTCACTGGTTTGTCACGAGTGACGGGTTCTTGGTTCTGGGCGGTCGCGATTCGACGCAGAACGAGCTGCTGGTAAAGCGTTACCTTACCAAAGGTGACATGTACTTCCACGCCGACGTTCATGGTGGTTCAAGTTGTATTCTAAAGAACCCCAATGGAACCGCTGAAGCATTCCCAAATTCCATTGAGGAGGCAGCATGTTTCGCCATCTGTTTAAGTTCTGCGTGGACGCAGAAGATGGTGGTTCCTGCATGGTGGGTGCACCACCATCAGGTTTCGCGCTCGGCACCCACAGGAGAGTACCTACCACACGGTAGCTTTATGATACGTGGTAAAAAGAACTACGTACAACCGCAGCGGCTGGAGATGGCAATCGGTGTGATGTTCCATATCGATGCACCGCAGTTGCAAGGTCTAGACATAGAGCAACAGTCAGACTCCGAAGGCGAGGAAGATGACGTCAGCGATGATTTCGGGACAGCCGACACTCCTGTTCCCAATGATGGAGTACGTCGTGTTAAACGTCAAGGCACTTCCGGTCTGCCCTTATACGGTAATAGGGGGGAAGCGGGCGATAGTGTCACATCAATGGAAGACGGAGATAGCGTTACTGCCAGTGCTGACCCAAATGGTGATGCGGTGAGTAGCGATCATGCCCATTCGTCTGAGAAGGACCTCGGTGACAGTGATGATGGTGCCGAGTCTGTGGATAGCGGCGAATCAGAGAACAGTGATGTTACGGATGATATTCAGGAGTCTGACGATAGTGATTCGTCATCCGATTTCACAGATGAATCAGATTTGGAGGATGACTCCGATCTTTCCCCGGAGAAATCGATGGAGAACGATTATACAACAAATCACGAAACTAAAGTCGATGGTAGCGTTTCAGGGAGCACTGAAGCACTCACAAATGAAAAGCCACTGGATGTAACTTATGGAACTGAGGTGGGCCAAGCAGAGCCTCTAAACAAGTCCGTTTGTTTCTCTGTTGACGAAGCAGCGCCAAGCAAACCAAAACGATCCGTTAGATTTGACTTGTCAAACATCATTTCACCGGCAAGTGATGTTAGAGACGTTCCACCCGCGCAACGTTTGCTGAGAAAGGGTACTGGGTATCCTTGCCAAGGATTTAACCCTGATGAACTAGTGGACAAGTTGTCTCAATTGGGATTGGTAGATTCCGACCAATCCTATGAGCTCCCCTCGTCCGTGCGATTTGCGGAGCCCGAGAAAGTGGAGCACACTCCTGAAGCCTTACAGTATCTAAGGCAGCGGATGCCCACCGGAATAGTCGGGAAATCGAAGAAGCAGGGAGGACCGTCCAAACTGGCAGGCATCAAGGCAGCCCGCGCAAGGAAGAAGTACGGAGAAGACGACGAAGAAACGCAAGAACTGCGGCGCAAACTCACTGGCTCAAAGATGTTGAAACACGTGGAACAACAAGCTGCTGCCATGGCAAGCAATGATCGATCGGACGAGAACAAGAACCGGACCGTTTACCAGCGAAGGGAAATAAAGCCTCTAGACAAAAAAGAGTTATCTTCCCACATGGATCAGCTACGCATGCTATCGAAGGAGCCGAGCCCCTCCGATGTCATCGTCAGCGCCGTTCCGATGTGTGCCCCTTACAACGCACTGAAGACACATCCATACCACCTCAAGCTCGTGCCCGGCAACATCAAGAAGGGAGCCATCGCATCGCAGGCTCTACAACATTTCCTCAAGGTAGACGACACCAAGGCTCCTTACGTTAAACTGATCACCACGGATCAATTTGCGCTCACGCTCATCGAGAACTGCAAGATACCTGGAAACGCCGCTGGCCCAAAGCGGCCTTCTACCGCAGCTAAATAGTCCAAGCGGCGTGACTTTTACATTAATAACCGTTAAAATGCATCTTAGTTTATGCTCGGCCGGCAGTACGCTAGAACACGAATGTCTGTCTCGGCATTCGAGCCTACACATCGCAGTGTTTTAACGTACACATTCCTCACATAAATGATTGTTGGCAAACAGATACTGTGTGTAGTGCGTAAATAACGTATTTTCCACCTGCTGGCAGGTCTCATCCCTCCAGCGCCCACTGTCGCGAAATACTGATTTCTCGGGCAAATGATGCTTCCGAGTCGATGTTTCGGTCATATTCCAGCGTCAAATAATCTCTAACATGACTCTACCTTTCAAGGAGTGGGTGCTCCGGCCCTGCAAGACCGCGGATATCTCGGCTTGAGATCGGAGGCTCAGGATGAGGCCAGGCGTAATGACGCGGAAGGCGACTCATCGTCAGGAGCCTGCCGATTTGGCGAACTGTACGGAACGCATATACGATGTCCTGAACATCGAAAGCTCTGCGGAAGGCGGAAGCGTAAGCCAAGCACGTCTAGCAGCCGCCATCCTGAGCCTGGAGAATGGCAGAGACTGTGCTTCGGATAGCCCATTGGAGGCGACGCTATACGTGTTCCCATACGAATACGAGGGCGGGTTGGTTAAATGGTTCACTTCGCGCCGCGGCCCGCGGATCATCGCAGCTGATGGTGGATCTTCACGTCTAAAGAACGCGAAATATGCCACACCCGAGGGTGCATCCGCGCTCAGGCACAAGGCGTACGTCACTAACGCCAACTGGAATAGAGGTTGTACATCTCGTGGCTACAAACTGCTGGTATCGATAACAAAAGACATGATCGCTTACGTATGGCGCATTGGAGCAGCGAAGGCAGATTATGACCTCATTTTCCAGGTAGACATCGGAGAAAACGTATTCGGACCATCGGTATCAGCGTTTTGGGTGGATATGAGCTCCATCGGTATCGATTCTATCTTCACAGGCAAGGAATTCATCATTTTCCACGAAGTAACGGATGGGTCGTGCCAGGGGGAAAGTGATGATCTGGGACCGTGCCAAGGAGAACCACCCAAGTCTAATGGAGTGCAATTGGAACCCGAAGAGCGTGGTATGTGTTCTGGAAATGGTTGCAGCGTCCATAAGCAACATTTCAAAATGTTAGCCTTGCAGGGGATCCATTCGCCCAGCGGCAACGTAAATGGCGAATTCCTATTAAGCCACCAGGACATTGAGCTGCCAGTGGTTATTCAAAACATCGAATCTGCTCAACTGTGCAAACACACGCTGCAAACGGGATTGATCACTCTCTACTCGCCAGACACCATGCGACCGACGAAGGTCCATCCAGCGAACGGCTTCCAAGCAAGCCGATGGATGACCATTGTATCGCGCAGCATAAGTGGAGAACCATGCGAGGAAATTGTCGACGGAATGCTTGGAAATCAAATAGCTGCTGCGCTGCATAAGTTCCTCCCGCCGTGCACAATCAGAGGTGTGAGTGACCTTGGGCTCCCCGTCGAGTTGCTGCTGGCGCCCGGGGATATTTTCCTCAAAGATTGTAGTATGCAGGGAATGGACACTGTGATTGGGCTCGTGGTGCGCTACCTTTGCCGGGCCTACTCCCCTCTCTTCGTACCCCGCATGACTGCACTGGACGATGCAGCGCCCAATGAAATTGGGGAAGCGATCTTGGGCAAACTCAAGGCGCAGGATTATGTTGTGGAGGCGGAGTGTATAGCTGACAAAGATTATTTCCTTGCCCTGGTGTTGCATAGGAATGGCAGCGTTGGGTTGTGCCGCGCATTACAGACCAATCACGCTCTCGTGTCCTACAGCAAACTACCGATACCACAAGTTGCGCATGTCCACGCCATCCGAGTGCTGACGCACAAGGATCGTGTGCTTGTTGCGATGTTTCTTGTCGATTCTGTAGGTGTCACTCGCTTCAGCATTTACTGTTGGACTGCGCATAAACTGGTTCTCGAAGCATCATGGCCATTTCAGCTGGCGCCAAATAACGAAGAGCTAATCACAGAGTTTGGTGTATGGTACGACGGGGGCCCATTGTGCCTCGTAACCCGGTGTCTACTTGCGAGCAGCAATGCCATCTCCGGCAATGACGTTCACATATACCTCATCAGCGGTACGGACATCTTACACCTGTCTACCATTGCAGATAATGAGATGCGGAATCTGTTCACAGGTATGGTGAAAAAACTTCCGTTGGAAGTAGGAGGGTCGCGATACAGCCTAAGTGGTGGTACGCTTATCTGTAGCCCGCAATCACAGCGTGCGATTCCCCTCCGGATGGCTACCGGAACCAAGGTGGACGGTGACTCCGTTGTTATATACCATCCGCGCTATATAAAAGCATTTGTTGATATCGGGCTGCGAAGATTCGTGGATGAGTTAGTTTGCGGCCTCGTCGAGGTCTGCCGTAACTTTCTTGTGCAATTGACAGCGGATGGTGCTTGTGGGTCGGATAATATATTGCAGTACCCTTGCGATTGCCTCATGGCCAAGGCTAAACATGTGCAAATGTTTACCGATTTTGATCGAACAACATCGTTGCGACTGCTGCAAACATTTGCAGCTCTAGTTAACGTTGACCCTGCCGATCTTGGTGTTGGAATGAATGTTAACGTTTCAGTCGTTGATATTGATGAAGGAATCCCGGCGAAAGAGCTGCTTTTGTATTTAGAGCATATGAGGTTGCCAGGGCTGATGTGGCAGGATCAACTCGAGCTCATGAATCTAATAGACATAATGTTCCAGAATTCGGGCGCAGCGAAATTCCTCGGTAACCACGCGTCGCAGACAAAATCCATGAACAGTGTGGACACCCTCAGCAACTTCTTGCTCATGAGTGAAACACGGGGTAATGAAGACTTTAATATTGACGAGACCATAGACTTCAAGTTGACCGTTGATAACGAACAATGCGAAGAGTCTTGTGATGCTGATTCGCCTGTTACTTGTCCACTTATACGAAGGGCACAATATCTGCTGCAAACTGGGAAGGACGAGAAAAAAACCCAAATGTGGCGAACAAACGACGAACTTGCAAGCCTAACCTTACCTTCAAAGATCGTAACAGATGACTTCTGCATCGGGAGATGCGTCGATTACATCAAGTATGGATCAGAGGACGAAGACCACTTGGTATGGGCCATCCTCTACAAAGATGACCATCATCTCTTCTCAAACATGCTTTCTATGTTGGACAGTGCGGACGATCAGGAATTGTGTAACCACCTGCTGCGGAACATGAAAACCTTTGGCATAGGATATTGGGTACGTAGCCCATCGTGTATAGAGCAGTTTTGTTCAACTCTAGAACGTGGCTTCCGGAAACTCATCTCTGTCACAGATTCCGCATCAAATGTTGACATGTTTGATGAATTCGGGTTCTGGTCCATTCTGCGCGGCAAGCCGCTGGTGTATGGCTGCGTTCTTAAGGCCAAGGGGTTCCAGAAGTTAGGGGAGTTCTTCTCTAACAATTTTTCAGAAGATAGATGGAAGCAGGCTGCGGTAAAGAATGCTTATGCACTTATTGCACAAAAACGTTACCTTTTAGCTGCAGGGTTTTTCGTGTTAGCTGACAAGGTGAGCGACGCTGTGAACGTGTGTTTCCAATATATGGACAACGCCCAGCTCGCCTGCCTGATATGTAAGATACGTCAGCACGACCTTGAGGACGCCTTACGGTTAATGAAGCCTTCGAGAGTTAAAGATATCTTGCAATGCAATCTGAGTTCCGAAGTTGTCATAAATGTAGATGTGAACACGGTAAACGACCTGGTGTACTACCTTTACACGGGAATACGTTTCAAACATATAAGTGAGGAAGCTATGCGTGACACCATCATCCGTTGCGCTGAAGGATACATAGACATGGGTATGCCTCTGGTGGGCATAATCATCAACTCCCTTAACGTAAGTGATGGTCCTAGCATCTGGAAACCGCTAATTTTGCAATCTAATATGCAGCATCTCGTGAAAAATGACCTTGATTATTGCGCGCTTTATCAGGGCTGCATGCAAACAATGTTGCGCCTTTGTGATGAGGACACAAATCATAGCGGTAAGGGCGCCTCCAATAACGAAAGTGAACCCGAAAATCCCAGACTGGGAGATGTACCGGGCTCATCTGACGACCCTGCCATTAAATCTGATCAAGTGCTCGTGTCGCCGGAGTCAAATGAAGATCAAGGTTTGGAAATATACCGAGAAGATGGGTTCCATTTTTATCTCATTAACCTGCTCACTAGCCTAAAGGGTCGATACGGCCTCGAGGTGACTGTCGGGGCTGTTACTGGTAAGGCCTCTCTTAATCGCAATACCTTCGAGACCGTAAAGCACCTTCCGGATTATTTTTCCCAACTGTGCAAAATTTGTATCGCATTCTTTGAAGGGGACGCTGCCATTGATGGCACGTTAATGTTGGCGCTTATGTTACGAGCCATCATGGAAGGCAGGGACGGTTTCTCATCATGCATCATACTATCAATCGCCTCTCTGCTTTCCATAACCTGTTTTGATCGTGGGGTAAATGGACAGATATACCGTGCATTCATGGGCCAATTGGTTGTGCTTAATAACCTCTTGAACAACCAGGGTTCTGGGGATCAATTTCTGGCGTGCTTGTTGCGAACGATCGAACCCCTGTGCTTCGGTACCCCAGGTAAGATGGTAGAACCGCAGCTAATCAACGTTCTACACTCAATTGAAACGCCCCCAAAACACGCGTTCTTCGGCATATGCCTGGGAACAGCAGTGCTGGAAACTCTTATGGGTATATGTCGCAGCTGGTTTTATAAATTTGCTGAGCATGCCGAAGCCATTGAACAAGCATGGATGGACCGATTGTTATATTCTGCATCTAGGTTTCTTTTCAATAACGTCAAAAGTGAAGTGGTGGAGGACGCACTTAACTCCACAGGTATCGTATTTCCCATGTTGTCCCTGCGCATAGGCCTGGAGAAGCCCGTAGACTGCAAAGTACAGGACGCAGAATGCCACGTGTACAATTCGTTCTTAGAACAATACGTGGCTTCTGTTTATGGAACGGAGTTTGAAAAGTTGTGGCGGTTGCTCCACTGTGGGTTCCGAACTGCTAGTATATTCAACCGGCACATGCATCCAACGTGCCAAAATAGATACAGGAGCAAAGGAACCTGCTGTCGGGTAACTGACATGGGTGATCAACCGCATCCCATTGCTGCGGGGTCCAAGGCATTACCATTGGTAATGCCAATGACCGCCATGTTCGCCCCACCGCAGACGTGGAGTCAGGAACGTGTGGCCGCTGAAGCTAAATTAAACGGACGAAGTAAGGGCGAACACAAAAGCGCTTGCGAAGGTGATGCCTCAATACTTAACGCCTTGAGAATGTTGCGGTTTAAGTCGTTGCACGCCTTTAAGGGAAGGCTCGCTTCACCTTCTTATGCAATGCCAAGTACGACAATATGCGAAGGCGCTAAAGGGCTCACTTCTGAGGTTATAGTAGGTCCGGTGATCAGCGACTTGCATATGATGGCTATGCTAAACTTGCGCGGACCCTGTACGCTGTCCACGTTGCCGGACGAGTTGTCGCAAGCTGCGCTCAGCGAGATATTTGCGGCAGTGAACAAATCAAAGCCGGTGTCGCTGTCCTACTCGCTTTACGTAAAGTTTGTGCGCATTATGTCCATGTACAGCAAGAACCGCCTCGAAAAAACGTATTCGGTCAAGGTGTCTAAGTTCGCCGCTTTGGCCGAAAAGTTCCACAAATGCTTCAATGTGTGCAGCAATTCTAAAGAGCCCGTTGTAGGAGGTCCTTCTGGAGGTATATGCGGGCATCCGTGCTGGCCTATATACGCCGTTGTGTACGGTGAGAATCCTCCGAAACATATGCCGGCATATAACGTATCCTTGCAGCACCCCGTGACGCTTATGAGGGATGACAATACAAGTTTGGACAATACCGACAGTGCTCCAAACCGTAAAATGGTTTATGACTGCATCACAGATATGCATCTGAACCGTGGTCGGGGGTCGGTATTCGGCGACCTTTGCAGCGCTGCGTGGTCAGCGGACTCGCTCGCACTCCTCGACAAAAGTGGTTGGATGCTAATTTATCATCTAAAACAGATGATGTATGTCGATGAAGGCGATAAAGAAATCGCCATACCATCCATCTCGTTCCGGGCTCATACCGCCGCCACCGACTCCACGTGGCTCTCGGATTCGTATGTCGCCACAATCGGTAACGGCGTATTGCCTGACATGATAACTCCCCATGTCAGAGTTATCGATACAAGGGACGGCGACGTGGGATGCCAGAATACCAGTTCCCTATCAAATGTTCCAAGTCCGGCCATGAGCGATAATGTGGAATATTCGTCTCCAAGTAGAGACACGGATCATCTTCTACGCTGCGTGACAGACATGCACATCCCCTGCTTGTGTATTTGGGACCTTGTGGACTTCAATAAAAACAATTCTCCCAAACTCAAGCTGGTTATCGCAAACAGTGCCAACATACCGCATTCGATCTTTAATAAGAAGAAACACGCCTCGTCGGCCGTACGTTTCACATGTGTCCTGCCGATTCCAGCGATGCATGTGAATTCTAGACATTCAAATGGGTTGGAATACGACATGGTCATCTTTGATTCGGCGGGCGACATGATGCTCTTCAGCGCAGCCACCAGCGAGATCACGGTAACGTGCCACGTGCATTCCTGTGCCGTCGTAAAGTGCTTCTATGTCGGGGGCAACATAGTCACCGTGACGCAGGATGGCGCAGTGGCGATGTTCAGACTCAACGACATCTTCTCTGAACCTACACGAATTTTCGAAGGCGTCGCACAGCCACGGGCAAACTCGGCAGACACCACACCAAGCGAAGGTTTCGTGACGAGCATTAGCGAGTACTTAGGTATCAAGTTTGTGGAGTCGCCGTCGAGGGAGGCGAGTGGCAGCAAGGCCACGTTGCTTCCGGAAATCATTGACGCCCAGATCATACAAAACAGATTCTTGGTACTCACCACTGCTGACGGCAATGCTACAGTGACGGAGTTGCCATGTTAATGTTGTTATTTAATCTATATCAGAGGCGTGACGCAGGCACCAATGACCCCGGTGTCTTATCATCATAGTACGCGTCATTCGTGAGCGGCCCACCAAAGTACAGCGCGATTCTTGACCCAAGCGATCGCTTGGAAACTTCGGTACCTTGTATCTTTTTTGCGATATCATGCTTAGTTGCGATGAAGTGGCCTTCACGGGCGACCCTCCTTTGGGGCATGCCTATCACAGATAAAGTATCAATCCCAATACAACCCACCTCTGCAAAAGTGTGTTAGAGTTGCAAATGCCATCGACGTATCGTGAGACTCAAGACTCTGATTGTTTGGTTGGTTTGATGCGGCCAACAATTACCATTGTGAAATATGAACATCCCGGGGTCTTGGTGCACCTATTAGATCATGACGGCGGAAATTGGGGGTAACGACTCACAACAACGATGCTTGATCAGGAGACAGATCCCTTGCGACGTCCAAAATGTCGCTGCTGGGGCACTCCTACGACGTGTTGCCGTGTACAATGCGTAGCACATACCGCAGTCTGGTTCAACCAAACGTTGAAGGGTTTGCATAGGTCTCTCAACACAGAGCCCTTAATAGCGGTCACCCAACCATTCTTTGGGTAGAGTGATGTCCACCCATTCCCGCTGCACAGCCACGTTGCTGACGAACTTGGTATGTGACTGTCGGAATCCTGAGGTGCGCCAGTGTCAGCGGCGCCCGGCGGGGAGCGCTTATGGGATGTATGACAGAGAAATGTGCAATCAGCAGAAGAGCTGCATGTTTTCAGTAAGTCTTCCAGTAGCCCCTTGAATCGCATTATGTTAACAGAACAGGTACACATACCTCGAAGGCTGCCTGCTTGATCGTACCTCCATCGCAAAACTGAATACGTATCAAGGTGTAATTTTTGATAGTTACCCTTCTAGCATTTCTTACAAGCAAGTAATCAGAGCCTTCGTCTGTCAGTGGAAGCTTTCTGTGGCCGTGTTCCCTCGACACGTGTGTGAGCCCTAAATGTGTAAGATAAATGACAATAGAAACCAACCCGTTATGCCGCGATGGGTGATTAATATAACTATAACATTGAGATGTAGAAGATTGATGGCTGAGAGCATCGTTTCCTAATAGACAGGGCACTTCAAAACGACATCGCGGCTCGCCACACACATACGACGGATCTATGGGCACCACGGACAAGAAGTCCAAATGAAATTGCAGCTATCAATATAAAACTATAGTAGATAGTGTGGCTAATGTATAATGCAGCGACAATGAAATAATTCTGCCATGTGAAGGTGTGCTTCGATACAGTTGCCCATATTCGAACATCAATATCTAATGTGTTTAAGTGTCGCCATATAACTGTAAACAAAATCATACAATGTATTTTGAAATCCGTGAATTGGCCTTTAATGTTCTTAGGCATAACAAAATCCTAAGCAATTTCCATTTACCGACCACATTCGACGATTCGTATCCATTTTGTTACTTCTACAGTTTACCGCTTAAATGTTCCAATAACCGTTCTTGATATTTCATAACTACTTTCAGGAACTTATGCGACGTCCCTCGTAATCAAGTCACACCTTCAGTCACTCTAATAACCCACCAAATAGCCCGCTTAATAGCCCTGATGGCTTTTGGCATTCTTCAATGCTAGCATATTTCCAGCACCGTCGTGGAGACCGAGATCGCCAATCAGCATGACATTGTTGGAATAATGGGGTAACAACTCTGAGTGCCCCTAGCGCCCAAACAGGACGGATGTCAACGTGGATGGTACCTGTAGTGTACGATAATTCGACATGGATCCCGCAACCGACACCAGCAGCCTAAGGCGCTTGCCTGGTAAACACGAAAATCGGCCCTAAGCCACGTAGCCACATAGCGCACTAAATAAAACAAAAACAATGATTAATCGGACCACTCACGCTGTTGTAATATGTAAGCTGAAGTATGAGCAAATTAGTAGCAGAGTGAGATGCTTAAAGCCTATTTTGCTCAGAGCACTCAACATTCGTACCTTGTGGGGCTACGTTGGCATGGTAATTATGCTACTTGTCTAATGTAGATAAGCTGTGTTACGCTTATGGGTGAATGCTGTCCAGCATATGAAAAATCTGTTTGCTAAGATAAACCTATAATATTGACATTACACGGTTCCATGAAATAATGATATGGGGGCTGGGTGATGCTATCATAGGTTAGTGTATGGAAGGCTTGGGGGTCTTTTGGAATAGATTGGAGAAGAAGTTTGTTTCCACTGCCACAAGCCCGACGTTGAAACATATGGCGTAGAGGATGATCATGCAAGCAATGCTGATGAGAGCGCCGAAGTATATCGACGGTTTGCAACCCATCTTGCACCTGATCTCCGAGCCATCTCTCGAAATTTTATCTTTTACCGATTCAAGACACCCACACGTATTTCCCATCTTCACTCACAGATCAACAAACAAACAACCCTGCGCAGAAATGAACAACGTACCTCAAGACAGTAGCACTATAGGAATAGTGGCGATGTACAATGCCTACGCCCACAGATATAGCCTGCCACCCTTATAGTGCTGGGGCAACCGTTATTCCGGATCTCGCAACGCAGACATACCATTAACTCCGCTGCCGGCATGCGTTGATTACGCAAGTTGACCGATGTACTGCTATCACGAGGCATCTCACCTATAAGCATAGCTCCACCCTTGCAATCTTGAAGATAGCATGTCATCCATTCACCTATGAGTTAACTCACCACCTCACCTAGCATGACACTCAATGCTCACTGGAATGACCACCCACCCAGCTGCACGTCGCAGTGCCACACTCGGGAGACATTGCGTGCGACACAGCGTCTACGGCGCTAACAGAACAGTTTGCTACACTAAATTAAATTGCTGATTAGGTGGGTTATGAGAGGACACTGGAGGGAGGAGCTGCGTATGAAGGGAGGCTTGGAATCCGTCCTAAACGCATTCCTTATTTCAAGTGTCAAATTTACGGCAGTGCAAGGATTTATGTAGGCGAGGAGGGCGCATACGAGAATTACTGGAAGGATGACAGTGACGATGATGGCAAAGTAAACCACCCCGCAACGGCTTTTGTAACCGTCGCTACCACCAGTTTTACAAAGACTGGCAATTTAACACCATCATATTTCTCCTCTCACCGGACAGGGTAAAGCAATGGACAATCAACTCTGAAGGTGGTGTAGTTGAGAGTTGAGAGACGTTAATTACGCGTCAGGTATCTGTATCAGCGTATTATTCGCGTTACTAAGTATGTCAGCTGCGGTGTATGTTTTAAGTGTACTGCGACGTTGACTAGGCGCGGCAGCGGGTAGGCATGGTATCGCGTGGCATTGTACTGAGTGAAATAAATAACAGCGACTAATTGCAGAGTGAATGCAATATTATAATAGGTTCTATTATGATCGAAAAAACCTAGCCTCCATTGCGCCACGTGCTGTGTATCACGCGCGGTCTGTAGGCAACCATTTGCGTGACTGAAGTAACCAACGGCACGACCGTACCAATAATGGCAATTACAGGAGCATCAATCTGCGGAGTAATCGATGGGTCCTGTTATCAATACGTTGGACTACGCCCTGATGCTCATCCCTGCGGCCGCGGATAAAATGCACCGCTAGACGTCGACATTCGTTTACAACCAGTTGCGAAGATTGGTTCTACAATAACGGCGACGATTGCCAAATAGACGATATTCGCCTATATTATCCCCATATGCTGCCGCAACGTGGTTGATGCTAATTTGGGGGTGCCATTCGAGTTGCCCTAACCCGCATCACCACTTGGATTCCGCTGTTGCAACCTGGGCAGACCGGATGAACCATAAAGCCACTAGCTCTTGGGAAACTTTGACCAAGTACATAATGCTTGGGAGTCAGAAATGGCTTGAAAAGTGCTTTTCAAAGACGTAATCAATATCCTCGCTAGCGATTTTACTGTCGCAGCTGGAGCATTGTTACTACGTTTTTAAAACGCTATATCCATTACCCTTCTGAAACAGCCATTTGCTGTAGCATATGTTACCTAAAACTGTGTCACCCTTCTTTATCCTTTTCCGATTAAGATTAAACAACAGAAATGGCAGCGGTAATGTTTGAAGCGGCGTTCCCTTGAGATTATCGGATAGACACTTTAAAGGCATTCGTTAGTTGAAACGTCAGTGATACTTGGTGATGTATTATATACACTCGCATTATGCCTCTTTTTTGTTAGATCACCCATCGCCGAGTGGGTGTCGATACCTAAAATTTTGATCGGTCATCTTTTACACTGCTTTAACATTCTAATAGAACAATTATGCAAGCTTCTCGTCGGTGAACAATATTTGACATGGCCACTATAACCTTTTTCAATCATCTGTGGAGTGGTCGGATTGCACCTGAATTCTACGGTCGTGGTGCCACTAGCTACCATCGCTGAGATGGTAAGCACTGTAACATGTTCCAAAATATATAAATGTGACGGTAACAAGAGCGTTTTATCTGACAGTAAACAACCTAAAAAGAGCACTTTATAGCCATACACACTAAAATAGTTCAAGTAGACCGTTTAGCTGAGTCTTGCACCCTGGTGATGATCAGTTTCGGCATGATACTTTGATCGACACAATTTGAGGTACAGAAAGAGACGCCATGGGGGCGTACGCCAAATAGAGCAATTATTCCGTTGAATGTTAAGAGGAATGATCAAGGTTGACTGTGGTCCGAGACGCTTCCATAAACTGATGCATATCAAATCATCTCGTATTTGGAAAGGATATAGGATTTTATAACGTCAATACCTCAAGATGACAACAACAAGAGATTGCAGCTAATAATTGTGTTGCTAAACTGTATGAAAAAGAAATAAATGTTGGGTGAGTTGGTGCTTAGGTTATGAACTTTAAGAGTGCACTAGGACCACTCAGTGTATAACATACAGTGATACAGGTGTAGTAGGCAATTAATTACGCTTTGGAAGTGACAAATCCGCATATACCAAACATGGTGGAACGTTCCGGAGAAGTTGTAATGTTATGTTCAGAAGCGATTAAGTTGCGCATAAATTCATGGTAATATTGCAAACGTCAAATAGGTCCATTCAAATATAAAGATTCCTGATAGACCGTTTGCAACCTCTAAGACACATACTTTGACGCAATGATGAGCACGTGCGTTGGTTGTGCATATGAAGTTATCTGCATGCGGCTACATGGTATCCCGGTGATGTGATTATTGATGGGTTAATAAATGCCTACCGTATTAAACTCTTGTCGGTGACACTGTAGGTGGCGTGACTAATATCGCATGATTAATTTATGGTACGCCGCTCAACTGCTAACACCTTTTGCGTACGTTTTTCATCGCTGTTCAGAGTTATCACGTGTCCTTTGGGGAAGATGGAGCAGCATCATAAGTGGATGATCCCAACGGGTGTCATCCTTAGCTTCTTAGTTGTCGTTGCGCTGACCATTTTAGTCTGCCACATACTTAAAATGAATGGGATTGAGACAATTTTCGACAAAATAGGTCGATCAAAATCTACCATCGCAGACTTCGCTATTCCCTCCAATAACCTGTCTTAGCCTCACTCAGTGCACATAATATTACTGTTCCGTTGAACCGTGTATTGCCAATGAGGTGACGTTCTGCAAGAACGAACACATCATTATACATGTAGACGCGTACAACATATTACACAACCAGTGACATTTGAGGACGGTTGCCTCACTTTCGTGAGATTACTGGATGCCACATTATTGAACTCTGCCTTGACAAATAATCACAATGCACCACAACCTATAACGAAGTGACGACTACATGAATGCGACAATTCCTGTGAGACGTCTTGATCAACAGGATCGTCATCGAAGTAATCTAGGTCGTAGTATAGTGACAGCACCTTCCTCCCGTGAGTGAAGAGCGCCTCTACTTCGATGAGGTGGGAGTCCCTGGTGGTGAGGAGGTGGAAGCGGATGCGGACGCTACATTGAGCTGTGTTAATCCGTTTCTTCTAACTAATGCGTACTTGATGCGCTGCTACGATGTAATAAATTCATGCGTTCACTGGCTACCTGCCCGCAAAATATTCAAAAAATAAATTAGACATTACATTGGCGTTGTGCCGATAATGTATGAAACAGTGCGATAAGTGATTTTATAAAAAGTGTCGGAAGTGAGTAAAGAATGCGATACAAATGTTCACTTGCGGAGAAAACAATCGCGTACCTTGTGGAAGGGGCGAATGCGTTTCATGATCATGAAGCATATGACAGTGAGGATGATTGCGATGATGGGAACGATGACAATGCTTACAAATTTAGTTTTACAACAATCACAGTCGCAGCTCCACAAACTTTTACCTGCACATTTTGGACAATTCGAATGACCGTATTTCTCGTAATAAGCTCTGGACTCAACGCAAACAGTGCACTGTTCGCCGGGTGTACACCACTTGCAGCACCATGGGCAACATCTACAACTGTTGATACCACACTCTCCGCCCTTTCCATGACAATAACAAGTCTTGCTCATCTTCCCCCAGCTCACTCGTCATTAACCTACACAAGCATGAAACCCTTGTTTAAGCCTCTAACAGTTGCTTTGCCAAGCATACGCCGATCCGCCTTCTGGAAAGGTCCAGACAACCGCCACGTGACCCACCGTTAAGGATACCTTAATGCACATGCAGGCACGACACACACGCTCTTAACTTGATATTATGGCAGAATACGCATTATGTACTTAACACATTATGGACACGCCACTGCGTCTCTAGCTGAACCACACTGCAACATTACGATATTAGTGGTCGTCAAAATTTCCTCCATAAATGCTACTAAACAACACCATACGCTGGCAATCACATCGGAGAGTTCTGGCGACATCCATGGTCTAGCAACGCACGTGATAGCTACCATATCAACCACTGGTCTAACAGACGACCGAGTAGCTTACCTAGCACGGCAGTCGTCAGCTGTCAATCGCCTCACCATCACTGCCAACTGACAAAATGGGATGACGCGGGTGCATCTCACCACTAAACCACAAAATAGCATACAAGACGATGAACAACGTAACTCACCACCCACATCATGTGGTGGATTAGGCGGTGTGTTTTGCTCAGGTAGGCTAGCAAAGTGGGATTAAGACGCAAGTTGAATTGAAAGTGCAAGAGGCTTTGAGCGCTGTTGTGAAAATGGACAGTGATCTCAAGATGGATTTGAGGAAAGTGAAGACAGCGATTCAAGCAGGGTTTAAAGAGGTGATTGATAGGTCTGAGGTTTTGAAGTTGGGTGAGAGAGTGAAAGAGGATTTGGAAAAGTTGAAGAGGAAGATTGAGAATCTTTCTACAAATGTGGAGACTAGTGAAGCAGGTAGTGGGCTTATTGGTACGCAGTTGCAGACACTTGCATCCAAGAAGACTGACTTGGATAATGGTGCTGTGAAGCGAATTCAGACAGCAGAGCAGGGACTTGAAGGTAAATTTAAGACAGAGATCCAACAACCGCTTAGCCAGGCGGTCGAAAAAGTTGACCAGGCGATTAGGGAGCTTGGCGGGAAGTTTGATCCACAGCAGGGTGAAAGGAATATTGAAAAGATTTTCGGGTATATTAAAACAAAGGTTGGGGAAATTAAGGGGAGTGAAAGAGACCAAAAAGGTCTGGATGGAATTGTTGCGAAAGTGAAGGCGCTTGCTAATGCGTTCGTTAATTCAGGTGGTAATGGTTTTAAGCTTAGAGTAGATGGATGGTTGGAAGGTATAATAGGGAATGGGAAGAAGCAAGGGGAAACAAACAGTAAGCCCGGGTTAGCAGCCGTGAACTCTTGGTTTCAGCAGTATAAGGAGGTGGTTACGAAGAAAAGGTATAAGGAAAACGATTTGACAGATCAGGTTAAGAACAAGATTGTGCAACAGACAGAAATCTCAAAAGCCATTGCTGCAGCTCAGCTGAAGTTTAATGATGTAAGGGGGAGAAATGACCAATCTAAAATTACCGGAAATCTTAAGGCAATCGTCGACGCTTGCGAGGAGTTTGTCGAAGAGCTTGATAAGGAACTGACAAATGGCAAAATTGATAACCTTGCCAATCCCATAGCCAGGAAGATTCGCAGTTGGATGAATGGGCAGAGTCTTTGGAATGGTGTAACCGATGTCGATCTCAAATGTGCCGTCCGCTACAGCCTAGTTGCGCTCTGCGCTTCTGTGAGGCAGGTTGGCAATGAGATAAATTCACTAGGTACCGACAAGTTTGGCGAAATCTTGGACACTATAAAGCCGGTTGTTGATGGGCTATATAGTAATCTTGAACAGGCGACAAACAATTTCCCTTCCAATCAAGATGGCACAGCAAAGGCCGTGGACAGTAAGTTGCAGGCGGTGAGGGATGAGGTTAGCCAGCTTGACAGCAAATTCAGTCAAGTCAAACATGATCTTGAAGAAGCGGTTAAAGAACTTCCCGACGCCGTTGACAGTTTCAACGGTGCCGCCGAACATCAGATCAAGGAAGCCGCCAAGATGGCGATTCAGAAGGCGGCTAATGAAATTACTAGGGATAGTGATCCAAAGAAAATTGAGCTGTCTCAAAAAATGCAGACTTTCCATGGTCAATTCACTGCGATCACCCATAACAAAACTGGCCTCCAACCACAACTTGAGGGCTTACTTGAGAAGCACATCGGGACGCATGTTGATCAGGCAGGTGTTCCACTTTTTCATGTAGCAAATACATTCATACTCTCAAAACTCTTTGATAAATACGGTAAGCATGTTAGACAAGATAAGATTAGTGCTCTTACACCCGGTAAAACCCTAAAAGGCGAGGCAACCGAAGGCCTTCTTCCACTGGCGATCGGGAACATCAAGACGCAGGTGTTTGATGTTGCTTTGCCAATGATCGATCCACAAGCCAAAGGTGGGACAGCGACGATTAACGAAGATACTTTCACCGGTCCGTTCAGCACAATTAAAGGAGAGCTTGAAGAGATCAAGAAATTGGTTGAGAATAAGACGCAGCAGCAGCCGCCAGGACAGGACCATGATGGTGTAAAGGATTTGTTAGAGAAGCTTCGGAAGGGGCTTGGCAAAGAGAAGTTGGAGAAAGCTGATAAAGGTCTGCAAGAAATTTATGATGAAATTAATAAGCTGCAAACCGGTAAGTTTGACAGTGAACCAAAAGCAATTGACACAGCCGTCAAAGCAATTAGGCAGCAGCTTAAAGACCTTAGAGATAAATTGCAAAAGAATAACGGTGAGGATGTTATTTTGACCTTGACAGAGCTGCAGAGCAAGGGTCTTGAAAAACAAGATTGGCAGAATGGTAAAGGTCAACCTCTCAGTGGTCTTGGTAAAATTCATGGTGACCTTCAAGCAGAACTGAATACGTTAAAATACCAACCCGTAAAAATAAACGACGCCATAAAAGCAGTTAGGGAAGAGCTTATTTTGATCGGAATTAAGTTGAATCATGAAAAAATTCATGATGACGTCACGGACCGCTTGAAGGAGCTGGAAAGTAAGATTGGGAAGGGAATGGGCATAGGTCTTGAAATGATTGCTAAAAAGATTAACAAGCTCCAAAACGGCCCATTTAAACAAGATCCCCAAACCATCGATGAAGCCAAAGAAGCAATTAAAAAAGAACTCATTGCCCTCCAAGGTGAGTTGCACGGCACTCCAGGCAGAGAAGATGTCATTGAAACACTGAACGATTTGATGAACAAGGGGCTCGGTCGCTATGCACTCTGGACACCTAACTACAAGGATGCTAAAGGACTCAAAAATATCCAAAAGGATCTTAAAATTTCACAAGCTGTATTGACCAAGCAACCTGAAAGAATCGGCGGTGGCGTACAGTCAATCACCAGTGAGCTTGAAAGGCTTCAGAAGCAGTTGAGTGATGACGTCACCGATAAGCTGAGAAAGCTGAAAGAAAGTGGCCTTAATCACGATAAAAAAACGTGGACAGATAAAGGCAACAATATCAATGGCCTCGTCAAGATCAAGAATCAACTTGAGAAGCTCAAAAACGGGGTCTTTCAGAACCTGAACACAAAAATAGAGAACCTACGCAAGGCGATTCGTGACTCCGCTGGGGATGTCAGGGTCTTACTCACTAAGCAGAGGAAGGTGCCATCATTTCACCACGTCGACTACTTCGACGACGGCCCTTTAGAAGTACTGGACGTCATATAATAATTATAGAACGTACATATGCATGTGTCGCTCTGTGCTGTGTTTTGTGATTTGTACGTCAGCCATCCGTGACCGCCACAGTGGAGTGCCACTAGCGCCTCTAGGTAACTGCACAAATAGCTCACTAAACGCCGCCAATACGATCCTTATGTAACGTATTCATAGCGCAGTTCACATGGAGTCGCGCCGTCGTGGTCACATGTTGGGTCACACTGTTCACTCCCTTTGTCCATGGCCATCTCCAACCTAAGGCTGCATATTCAGATGACACAAACGAGGCTGAGAATGCAACTCACGTTGCACGTTATACTTTATCCAGACTGTAATATAATCCTTAATAGTTGTGGGAAATTTTTACAAAAATTGCCATGGTCTTTCCACAAAGGTGATTGCAGCAGACGCTGAAACATGCATCCGATGAACTGGATGGGGCCGTGGTGAAGGCGTCAAATAGGCAATAAAAATTTTGTTAAAGAACTATGGAGATAATATTTGTAGCATATACGGCGTTATTGATATGGGAATGGAGACTCGAATGAAAGGGGTGATGGACATGCCAACAACATAAATGAGTTGTCGGTGGAGTGGGGGTTCATGAAAAGGACGTAGTGCTAGCAATGTATGATGAGTTGACGACTAGATTGCATCATGATTGGTTGTCAGAGTCTCCTTTGGCTATGGGCTTAAGCCTAATCGTCCATGTCAGTGGGGGTGTCAGAGCTTGGCTGCAGGGTGTGGAGCAGAAAGATGGAGATGCTACGAAGTCCTTAAATGATGCTACAAGTGTGAGGTATGGTATCATGTCTGTTAGTATATTATGTGATGCAATTACATATCAGGTGGGAAATCGGGAGGGCATAGCTAGCCAGTGTCTTTAAGAGGCTGCAAAGGCAGAAAAGGCTTTGGGTGGAGTTGATAAAAATGTTGGAGACATGATATCGTGTAAAATATGGTATTCAAAGAATATGTCGACAAATACTGGCGCCGCCGTTAGTGATCCCACGGTGGAAAAATTCAGTAAGGCAGCTGGTGACGTGTTCACTAGGCACCAGATCGGGTTGAAGAGGCGTATTGAGGAGGAAATGGAAGAGATGCACGAAACATTGAATGGCTAGTGTGATAACATTTGGCGGAATACGGGGAGTCCTGAGAACGCCAAAGAGGATAGAATTGAATCCTCCACAACGGCCGTGCAAGCGGCGGAGTGGTTGACTGAGAAGCGGGTTGGTGATGCCGGTGTCGTAAAATGATCCGAGGAGTGCACAAGAATCAGGGTGATGACTATGTCGCAACTTTAAGATGATGTCCATACTAGACATACAGCAGTAGCACAGCATCGGACTTATGCGTGCCACTTTGAGCAAGCAACATGCCCACCTCGGGGAGGCGTCAAGGCTGAAGCCGCGTGATGCGTATGGAGTCAGGACACGTGGAACCGTTAGAGCAGTAAGCGAGCTGCGAAGTCAAGTGGACAGCTATTATGAAGCTGTAATTGAAAATGTCGCACAGAGAATTGCGTACAATGCGCGACAATCACGGAGACAGCACTCACGTTACAGTAACACTTCATCTAAATCGTGAGCAGCGATAATTGCATAATTATGGGCTTGGACATCTTTGTAAGGCACAAGGCTAACACCAGATAAAACGGCTACATGCGCATGCTTTTGTGTTATACCCGATGACGCAGTGGATCGAGCGCCCAGCCGATGCTACGACTCTGGGCTCCAGGCGCGGCCGCGAAAGCGGTACGCTAGACTATGTGCTAAATACATCTAAAAACATTGTCGTTGTTGCTCACATGCGCGGCCGGTAGGCGACACGTTAGGGGCATCGGCTAAGGTGCCGTATAGCCGAATCACAGGGACTGATGAAGGCCGCAAACTGCAGGTTGCGCTAGGATTGTAAATGATGTTCGGGGCCTTGTGAATGGAACCAGTAGGGACAATGACGGGGACAATGACGGGGCTGTAGCAAGAATGATGTTGTAGTGGCAAGCAGGCAAGCTGTCCCATGTCCCCGATGAGAAACGCTGCGAAGAAGAAAGCAAAACGGTAAATGTCAATGATATAGACTGCAGTCTGTGACTGGTATTCAAGAGGGAGAGAAGGAGAGAAGTCTGCAGTGCATGAGAACAGGTTGTAAACCCTGCATGTGATAGGTGTAAAGATGCAAGAAGGCGATAGATGCGTCTATTGGCCTGATATGCATGTTTTGAGAGGTAAGCTTTGACAGCGAATCAAAAATGTGAAGATTGCAAGAAACGATGCGAAAATCAGAAGAGGGCATGACTGCATATGCTACCGCTGCAAATGTGACAATGGATGATGTGTTGCTGTAGATGGTGTAATCCCAAAACCAAATGCCCGGGACAGGGGAAATGCTTATCAGAGGAAAAACACCACAAAGAAAGCAAAGCCGAAGAATTCGATGCAGGCAAGTATTACTGCCAACACGCACAAGAAGCTAGCAAATGCACAATCAATGGCTGCGACCATACTGAATACTTTTACCTCAGCAGCAAATGCCGCTTCCCGTGCACAAACTGCGGCAAACTATGCCCCCAAGATCAATTTAGGCGCGGGTGCTATATAGGAGTCCCCATACTTCTGGTTTCAGTGGCCATCGTTTTCGTCTGTCGTATGTATCCTGGTCCATTCCGCAAGGCGTTCCATGAACTACGCGCTGCATTTGTTGACTGGGCTCAAAGTTCCGGCGCATCCACGAATCTTGCCGGTGGAAGGATTCACGAGGAGATGGATGCTGATGAATACTCCGCCTTCCCGTTTAAGGGCCTGATGTAGCTTCACGTAGCACACGTTGAATGGCATCGCAATAGATGCCATTTAAATGTCGCATTAACTGTTGTTAATGTATATTTCCCCTTTGCCAGATTGGTGCGTTAGGTGTTGGGTGGTGGTTTACTTGTGGTGGTTGTTATAGCTTAGAGGCTGATTGTAGTTGAGTGTCATGTGATCGTGTCAGCAAGGTGGCTTATACTCGCAAAATTAATGTGCCACGTATTTCATTAATTTGTCGGTGTTGTTCCACATAACCATGCTGTCACCCACAGCCATTCCAGATAGCATACCTTAGCCGCGTCACATCCAAAGTCATCTTACTAGAGTCCATCGGCTCCTCATATTTTGACGTACACCTTGGGGAGTTGACTCAAAAACATTTTCTAATTTTGCTACTACCACGCTCTCCCTCTGAACCTCGTCCGTCCACAACCCACATCATCTGGTTCCTGTAAACATTATAAGCAAAACGCCTATAAACCAATCTCTAGTCAATCCCCTAGCTCATCAATTCGTAGCGCAGCTAACTCTCCCTCTCGGCTTTTTGACCACATGTCACGCCAGTCCCATCACTGCTGTCGCCAGCAATCATTCGCCTGCGACGCCTTTATCAAGCACGCTCTTAACAACCTTAGGGGCAACATCAACTCACTGATTTGCAACGAAGTTACTAAGTTCCTCGACACATTGAAGCCTTGGTTTGCAACCTCTTACCTCAGCTTGAGCAAGTTAGCCAGACGCCGGGCAGCTGCGTTGTGGAGTTGGATAAGTGGACCAGGGAGGATGAGGACAATATTGCAATACTGCTGAACATGGTTAAGGAGAACTACGCACAACCTTATGAAACAGGAAATGTAAACATAATCTTCACATCGCAATCACTACCGTTGCAAGCATCTTGGTAGTGTCTTGGTAAACTGGCAGCAGTGCTGTCACCTCAGAGGCTTTATCGCTTTGGTGTCTCCTAGTTAACCAGTAAAACGTTCTCACGTGTTCTTGTGTGAGAGTAGCTTAGTGCCCATTTGTTAGTGTCTCTGTGCTTAGCGTCTTTGTAAGCAAGATGACGGCGGATAAAATTCAGCTCAACACTCTCAAGCAGTGTCTCATGTTCCTGGAGTGGTTGAAAACGGATGAGGTTATGCAGAACAAGGTGGCCAGTGAACTACACAGGCGTATCAGTAAGTATTTTAAAAAGGATGATAAACATTTCAACCTACCAAACGTCAAAAAGGGCTTGTCGGATTTCCTCACCACCGTGTCAGCGTTCTACACGAGGTTATGCAAAGACCCAGCGCCCGGCAGTTATACAGGAAAAAACCCTAATGACATCGTAGATGCCTTTCTGGAATGCCTCCCCAAGTTCCTCGCTGCGATTTACTTTCTGGAGTACTGCGTGAATCAGGCTTTCAAAGATCTGGGCGGCGGGGGTTGGCAGCAGGATTGGCCTGCGTGGAATGCAGGCCATTGGCGGGGAGGCGATCTTGCTAACTATCTCTACGCGAAATCCGGCGACCGAAAATACAACTCACGCACCGGCCTCATACCCGGGGGCCTCACTTACGGCGATGTGAGATATAGTAATTGGCGTGATTACTACCAAGGATACAATATGGTTGGGGACCTCGGAAACATCATGAGCAAAGGAAACTACAACTTCCTGCGCAGCGTGTTTGTCACTTCGGTGTTCTCCACAGATCGTGGCACCGCTATGCAGAACACTGCGAACGCTGTCTCATTGGTCAGAACCTTTTGCGATATTGTAAAAGATGAGCATTCACCTGACGGCGGTGATTTAAAAAAAGCTTTGGAAGCTGGCCTTAAGAATCAAGTCACACCAAGATCAATATGCTGGCAAGACTTACAATCCCACTGCGCTCAGCTTAGAGATAAATTGACCACACTTTTCAACAACGAGAAACGCTTTGACTTCACCGAACAGTCAACGCAACTTAAAAACCTTAATAAAGAGGAGCTTGCGAGGGAAACAGCTAATTGGATGAGAGAGAAGCTGAACCAAGTGCGGGGGAAATTGAATGGAATTAACATGAATGACCCTGCCGTCAACGATCCCAATAAGGGCAACCTTGGCGCATACTCCACTAATAACATTTTCCCCTACGGATTCACGTTAAAAGGACGCTTCAACATGTCGCCAAAGGAAGTGAAGGCTTTGATGCAGGATTGGCGTGAGGTGATCGATGACCTTAAGAAAGGGAATGACGGTTTGGAGAAGCTTAAAGAAATCTTGGACGGAACGTATGTAGGAGCATGTAAAATGCCTGAACCTTCCCAAAAGCCTGTGCCTGAAGAGAAATCTCCGGCTACGCCACCCAAAAAGCCTGAAGTGCCGCCTGACCCTACCAAAACTGGCAGCGCAAGGCCAGTTGCTACCAAAACTGAGGCCACAAAACCTGTGGTCACCAAGGCCGAGGCGGCGAAGCCGACTGCAACTAAGGGTGGTGAGGGAGCACAGAACCAGGGAAAGAAGGCGGAGGGAGCACAGAACCAGGGCAAGAAAAGTGAGGGAGCACAGAACCAGGGCAAGAAAGGTGAGGGATTTCCAACTCCACAAGTTACAGACTCGGCTGCTCCATCTCCGACTCCCGGTGCTCCAGGAGATGCAGGCCCAAAAGGAGATCAAGGCCCGCAAGGGTCTCCTGTTACAGTGACTCCGGTGCCTACTGTTACAGTGTCTCCGACGTCTCAGGACACAATTTCACCAGTTCAAAACACTGTGCAACATCAACAACCTGTTCCAAGCCCGTCAATTCCTCCCCCTCCACCGGCTCCTCCCAGTACTTCTGGAGCCCCTGGCTCCCCTAGTCAGCCAGGTCAGGGTTTGCCAGGCGATGGTTCTCCAGGACCACTCCCTGGTTCCCCTCAAGATTCTGTGCTTACTCAGTCTCCAAGTGCTTCAAGTTCAAGCCCTGGGTCAACTGGTGGCAGGGGACTGGGCAACAGGGTGATCAAAATGGTAGTAAAGATGTTAGTCAGCCAACAAGTCAAGGCTCCGGTCAAACCCAAGCAGCGTCACTACTACGTCGGGTGCCACGGCGTCTGGTGGAGGTGGGGGTAGGAGTGGGTCAGGAGATAAGGTTGTTCCTCAATCCGTTCCAAATGTTAGTAAAAAACAGTGCAAATCAGATGAATATTTAGTGAAAGATTCCGGTGGCAATGAAATGTGTTTTCGAAATCCTCAGAATCCCGCCCCAACCAAATCATACGGCCCCAACCTTTCCCCCGATTTTCTAAAGAAACTTAGAGAAAAAGAAGCAGACGTCCTTAAAAAGGCGGAAGAGGAGGAGGAACGGAGACGTCAGCAATATTTACAGTATTACTATCCTAAAACATTTCATCAGATCCCTACTGCTGTTGAGTCTTCAGCCACTATGGGCCTTGATGGCGTCGACGTCTCCAATGAATCTTTGTATGATCCCGGCCTATGGTGGGAACAAAGGTATAGAAATGATTGGAATTATCCGAAGCAATTAGTAGAGTGGACTGCAAAAAAGGAGCAAGAGAAATTCGAGAGAAATCTTGAAGAAGCTAAGCAAAATGTATCGAAACAACTTAAGGACACCTGGATACTTCAGGAATTACGGGACGACGACCTTGGCCACGTCGTCGTACCTTACATACATACGTCGATGCCACTTCCGGATCCGGAGTATCCGGACCCGTTAGCACCCAAAGCTTTGTCACTGTCAGGATCAGTCATTGATTCGCCGCCTCCTGAGACAGATGACCCAGTGCCGCCGCCAACTGGTGACCAATACGACTGGGACATCGAAGTTGTACAACCGCATCCAGACGCAGTGGAGAGCGCACTTATAGGCATAGATCCGTATTCTGACGTGAAAGACGATGGACTGGTATTCGAAAAAATTGATCGCCAATCTGATGCCAAACAAGATTATGTCGACCTCCACATTGATGTCCGCAAGCCCATTGTTCAAGACCTTGTCGATAATCCTGATGAATACCTTTACTCCAACGCGGAGGATATCCTGCGGGACGAGTTGAAAAATGCGGAGTCCTGGCATGGTGAAGACAAAGGATTTTCTGCCCTGCCCAAGAGTAATTTCAACATTGAATTTACTCCATCATTTTTAGAATCTGATGGGAAGCATGATGCTGGTATTACCCGCGGTACTCCAAGGAAGCCATATGACCAGCACATTCCAGTGTTCCCTGACTCTGGAGTATGCCAAAACCCGTGGTACGTCCCCGATGCCTCCTCCACTACCGTCACTCCACCCCTCTCCCCGCCCCCAGACACGGACCATCTGCCCCCGCCAGACACCGTCAGGGAAATGCTCTGCTGGCTGGTTGGAATGGCTGAGTTGGGGTATATTCCTTTCATCGAGGACCATCTTAAGAGCATTTTGACGGAATATAACAAGGATGTCTGCCAGCCTCCAGATGCCCTCGAGGTCACCAGAGATCCTTACACTCTGGACGCTGCCCGTGTCGCCAACACCCTGACTGAGGCGTCCCTCTACGGGGCCAGCGTTCTCCACAGGATTAAACACAAGGACAATTCGAAAGCTGTTTCAGTCCCTGATTTCAGCTCAGAATATTCCAAACTTTGTTACTCCACCGACCCCGCCCGCCTCCTCTGCCAGCTGCGGGACTACGTCTACGCCTGCTGCCACCAGTTGGAGTTCCTGAGGTCGCAGTGTTCTCGGAAGCAGTCATATGGTGGTTGGCAGGATTGTGAGTACGGCCGTGACATCAAGATACCGTCCCCCCTCCAGGCCTTCCTGACCGACGCCTCCACCTCCAAGTTCGAGACTCACCGCTTCGACCCGTGTGACATCTGCCTCAAGAGCCGTATCAACATGGGATTCCAAAAGGACGATTTTTCTAAGGACTCCAACGATGGCAAGCATCTTCACACCATCCTCTCTCCCAGCTGCGGCGGCGAGGATCCCCTGCTGACATTGTCCTCTTACCTCAACTGCCTCACCAGGCGGACGCCGCGTACCACCGGGGAGCTCGTCTCCTTCTTCCACAATTTCGGGAATGAGCTGCATCAATCATCTCCACTGGGCTCCGCCCTCTCCAAGTCACATGGCCACTGCCCCAACTGGGACTGCCTTGCTGAGGAAGATCTACAAGTCATCGAGGACCTCCGAGGCTCCGCCCCTCCCATCTCCATCCACGACCAATGCCATCCCAAGACACTGTCCACACTGCTTGGCTGTGGCATCGATAACGTCAACTGCCCACAACTGATGAAGCCCATCACCTACCGGGCCTACGCCCTGTACTCTTCCAGCTTCGTACACCACTACCTCAGCTGGGTGGTGCATCTGACCGACAGGCTGTGGGAGTCACTGCATCGGTTGCATCAAGATCTCGAGGATCTTCAATGTTCCAAGTCCAAGGCTCTTCACCGCTGCGCCGACGCCCTGCCCCTCCTCTACTCTCACGGGTTCACCCCGCCGGAAGGGACACTTCAGTCGTCACTCAAGTGTTCACAGCTCATCGCCAAGCTGTGGGAAGTGGTCGCCGGACAGCCTATCGCAGACCTCATGACCGCCATGGACACATTCCTCTACGGCATCCGAGAGCCCTTCGTCTACACTGTGTTTTCACTCTGGCTCACCGCCACGCTCTACATCCTCGGCGTACTCCTCTACCGCATCGACGCGCTACGCATCCGCTCCCACCTGCGATCACCCCTCATCGCCACCCAGTCACTTCCCGCAGCGGCGCATGTCAACTCACTCGGCAACTTCATGTACCTCTAGCCGTAACCATCATCACCATCACGGCGCTCACCGCGCCTCCGTGTCACTCACCGTCCCCAAGTCACCTCCCAGCTCTCCCAACCCACCTAACTCCCCCTGCATAATTTAGTTTGATGTGTCAAGTTACTATTTTCGCGTCAACGATTCCGTGCTTCGAATTCAGGACTCGAGAAATAGCGTAACAACTTTTGTCCAAAACATTCGCACAGTCCCCAACCCTCCACCACAATATGATATCGCAGCCCGGCTCAATAAGCACAACCTCCTGTAACGATACCACATTGTGATTTAAATGCAAATAAAAAGAAGTATAGTGTGACCTCATGTATAAGACTAACGTACACCCCTTTATTAGGGTGCGCACTACCATTTGACTAATAATTTATGACGTACAGCAATAAACCTCAATACCAGGAACAGGCGGTTATACAAGTGCCATTTGTACGTCTCTCAGATATCATACAGGACTACAATTTACAAAATAGTTTGTATTGGTTGATCCCAATATAGGCTTGGTGACGACGGCAAGCGCTTAGTGAGAATTTCGTGGCCGTTGTCTGTGATCAGTATGGTGTGTTCAAATTGCGCCGTCTTCTTTCCATCCTGTGTGGCCATGGTCCACCCATCAGGCCACGTCACGCATTCTGCATGACGGCTACGGGTAACTATTGGTTCGATGGTGAATACCATCCCCGGTTCCATGACCACATCGCTTTCGTTGTCCGTGTGATGTATGATTGGGTTTTCATGGAAGTTTCGGCCTATTCCGTGACCTACTAAATTGGGGAGAACGTTGCAGTTATGCGTTTCCACCCATTCGCGTATTACCCTGCCGATCTCACTCACCCTGAAGCACCGATGCATTACTCCCTTTTTACACCTACCTGACTCCCGGTGCACATATCTCGATTGCCTTCATAAGTGCATCGTAAGCAACCTTCATAAGATCAATATCGTCTTCGAAGGTATGTGAGAACAGATATGGCTTGAGATGCCTATTTGGGTCAGCCTTTTGGAATATATGCTTGATAATCTCGGGATTTGGCATAGTCGTGAACTTCTTGGGCTGCCCCGGTGGTGATATTGTGGTGGGTATTTGTGTAATTGGAAGTCCAACAATACGCCCGTCATAATCGCTCTCGTGGCTGTCTGTGTTGTACAGTTGTTCCACGTCCATGGCTACCCTCGTGCCAACACGCTTCAAGTCGTTTTCCTTGTTGCTCAGGAATAATGGTTTGCGATCGGGATTGTCGGTGTATAAATATTCGAACCATTCACTCCAACCTTCATTTGATTGTAACCTTCGCGCAGCTGCGTCGAACGCCTGCAGCAGGTTTAGCTGCATCATTATGGTTGCGCCGGCGTCCCAGACGTTATCATGCAATGATGCGTGGTATCGCATTTTGTTGCGCTCATACATCCCTATTTCTGTCTTCCTATTCGCAACTCGTTTGGGGTCCTTGGCTGGCAGCACGATGAAAGTTTCCGATACATCACCGTGGAAGCCGTCTGCGTACACCGTGATGTCGACGTTCAGAAGGTCTCCCGCAGAGAGAACCGTGGAATCCGGTATGCCTGAGATCATATGACAGTGCTATGCGTCCACTCACCGTGACACGCGATTTCATTGACTGAAGTGCAGACGGACTTCGGGAAGCCATGGTAGTTTAGCGGTGAGGGGTACACTCCTTTTATACGAGCCATTTTGTGAACCAAACGGTCGATATCATCGGTGAAAACTCCTTCAACGACGAGCGGATTTATGGAATCGAGAATTTCCCGCGCTATTCGACAAGCTTTCCGTATCCCCTCTATTTCTTGTGCATTTTTAATCGTACCCCTTGGATCGTCCTCGCTGCGCCACCATGACACGCCGAATAGCAATGACTCACCCCCTGTAGTCGGTTTCCCTCGGATAATCCACATATGTCGGTATCCCTGACTTGTAGTAGTTTGGTCTTGCAACACCCTTAGCCGGCAGGAGTCTCCCGCTGACAACTCCCTTTCTTATTGGCCCTGAAAAGCGTTAAACATGGAATTCACGCCCTGTTACCTGTGTAATTGTACACATCCCATATCTGCTTCACTGTCGCGCTTGGATAATCCTTCTTCAAGCCCTGCAATACCTCCTTGCTTTTATTTGACTCAGGTTCTGGTTTTGGCGTATTGGGGCTGCCGAACCCCTTCGGCGCCAGCCTTCTAATATAGCGCTCCTTTTCGAGCACATGCTTTTGGCTTGCGATATCTGCCGGCCGCTTTTGTCGACATCTGGCAGTCTGGGCGACACCGTGCTCGCAACTGCGGAAAGGTCTGCCACCAACACCGGGACCTTCGTCCACAAAATGTCTCAGGAATGCGATAGGTGCGGTATTCCCCGCACAGAATGCGGGTTTACAGCTCCATATGGGCCTGCTACCCGCAACATTCGGAGCGCTGACGGCGGCTGCTTCACCTGAAACGCCATCACGGAAGGCTAAGCCCGTGAACGTCGCGGCTATGCCGAACAGCGGGATGATCATGAATTACGCTTCACATTGACAATGTGCGGCCGACTTAAATTACGTGTCTAGGAGGAGGTGTATAGCCGCGGTCACTGTGGCCTCAGTGACGGACAGCAAGGTCAAACATCACGGCAAATATACGCATTTATGATGCGTTGCTATATTGATTGCAAATTGAGGCATACGCCCGCTAAAATCGCCGTTGAGTTGCTCGGGTGTCACATCTTGTTTGGACGCGGTTAGACATCACATGTCACGCGTAGAGCTGTTGATCGTGACACGGGATCACCATTGGAACGCTCCACGACCTATGTGTGACACCGGTTAGATTGTTGGCCCATTCTACAGCTGTCGAGTAGACAGGGCGCGCCGCCACCGTACGTCTCTGGACGTAGCTAGTCTCAGCTTTGGACCATCGGCCTCCTAACCGACCTCAGCGTTTTGTCACTTGTGAGGGACACCATACGCGAAGTAGATTGCACTTCAACTAGGGGCAGTACACACGTTTACTCCTAGAGCAGACGTTCACGAATACTTTCTCACATTCGCATCAACACAATCGATAGAAAAATAGCTCGCCTTAAAAAGTGACAGCTATTTGTTTTTGCGTGTGTGACTCCAGGTATTTGCGCGCCTGCGTTATTGACGTTTGTAGGGGCAGCTCGCTGTGCAGGGCTCATCGCGTCGTCTTTCAGAGGTGCGAACGTTACACCAAAAACCCGATGTGTTGTTAGCTCTACTCGTATTAATCTGGAGACAACTCGTGGTTTTTTCTGGCCGTTGAGGTTCGATAAATGGAGAGTGAGCCGAATCCGCTGGGAGCAACAGGAAAAGATCGTATTGTAGAGGCCTCTGTCTGCGGTGACCCGTTGGATGGAATAACTGACCCGGAACAGAAGGAAACGGAGGGCCCTGCCGGCGAAGGCGTGGCATCGACATCCTCGCTGAAGCGGCGCTCTCTGGGCGCGGGTATGGAGCTGCACCAGAAGCGGCAGGCGTTGCCTGACTCCAACAGGGGCCCACGCGAGGCGGAGCCGACCGATGTCGGTGACATATCGCAGGACGAGTGCCCCGTGAACGCGGGTGCGTCCCCTCCGTCTGATCTGGGCCCCTCATCCGGGTTCGCGGATCCTCTGCGTCGTTATCCGGGGGAGGCTAACATGAGCGACCGGCCTAGCGTCATGTTTTCCAACCTCAATGGAGAGTTTTCGGCGACCACCCCTCCTTTGTTTGCGAGCGCGCAGTTGTTGAGCGAGCCACTCGTTCCGGTGGACCACTTGCCACTGTGCGTGAACCGCCAATCCATGAACAATGCCCACGGTTCTGCTGTGGCACGTGACGCATCGGTCTGTGTTGATCATTCGTCCATTGGGACGTATGGGTCATCGTGTGCAACCCAAGGAACTTCAAGGGACCGGGGTGACTGCGCAACTCATCCATGCACCATCGACGCGTTTGATGATAACGTCAGCAATGCGACATCCAACAGCTTGCCTGACGTGTCGATGAGCGTCTCCCGCATCGATGCGGTTCATCCGGTGCCGTATGATGATAACATGGATGCGTCACCTGACATCGACAACTTGGACTTGGCATCGGCTCCATGTGGAGGGTTTGAAATGCTCGAATCATACACCGCGACAAACGATTATGCCTGTATGAGTCAGTTATCGAACCCCGTATGCATGAATCATCTTGAAGACACGGCCATTCTGGATACCATGCTTGGCCCCACGCGGAGTTCGCAAGAGTCAGTGTCCAACCTGATTGGTGGCGGGGCTGAGATGCACAGGGAGATGGATACCATGCCGAATTTGGAGTTACGGCGTTTGAGTAACGGATCTGTCAACCTTGCGAGCGACTGCGGGGACGTCAAACGGCAGATAGTGGTAGATGAGAACTTGACCAATACGATTTTGAAGGACCTTATCTGCTCCATATGTCTGGAGTACTTTTACTTCCCAGTGACGCTGAGTTGCGGGCACACGTTCTGCCGCTACTGTATAGGTCACCTGCGTCTCGCCGGCAAGCTGTGCCCGCTGTGCCGCAAGGAGGTTGGGCGCCCGCCTAGCGTGAACACTATTATGTGGAACCTGGTGAAGGCCCTGAAGATTAGGAAGCGCCCTACGTTGCCGGAGGCGCCTCGTGACACGTCCTTTGAGGAAGAGAAGGCGTGGTGGGATGAGCACTGTCTGAAGCCATTCATGAGTCTGCCGCTATTTTTGCGCATAATGTTCGGCGACATCGTGCAGACCCCTCCATTTTTCGACGATGTCTGTACGTGTGTGGTCGACTTTTTTGATAGGCATGCGTCGTGGTCCAAATCTAAGTGGGTTTTCACAGTTGAGGATTCTCGCGTCTTGCGCCGTTTGGTGGGCTTCGACAGTGAGGATATGGATGCAACATCAACGCGTCTTCAGCTGTGGGTGGAGAACTACCTGAGCAACAACCCCCACCTGTGCTGCAGCACCGAAGAGCCCTACCCGTTCGTGCTGAAGGTGTACAGCGACATAAACCACAAGATCGATGGCATTTCGTTTAACGCTATGAACATCCATCATCGGTTGCCGTGGGATGCTGGACGCCATGTAAAGAGCCTGCTGCACCTTCCCCACTCATCAGTTTCTCTGAGCCACCTGGTTTTCGTGCCTTGCGGTCAGGGCCACGTGGGTCTGCTGGACTGCGGGTCCACTATCGGTACTATGATAAAGTTGCAAGGACAGAGAACATTGCAAGATGGCGACAGGATACACGTCGGTGACAAACATGAGGTTGATGTGATACTGTCTGGCACGGACCCCGACATGTCTTACGAACATTTGCGCTGGGATCCTGTACGCAAGGAGGTTGTTGACCTGACAGCCCCCGAGTTCTCAAACGTGGACCCGTCGTCTCTGGAGCCTATCGATTGCCCGCTTCAGTTACGCATTTACGCCGACGCTCAAGAGGAGCGCGAAGTGTGGACAAATCCGAAGGGCATAATCCTCGGTCGGGGTCCTCAGACACAGTCCGCGTTCAAGAAGCTAAGTATTACTACGCAGAACGGCTATATTTCGCGCGAGCACTGTCTTATCTATTACGACGGCAGTCGCCCGTCGGGACAGCGGTGGATTCTACGCGACATGAGTACGCTGGGCACGTTTCTGAAGGTGAAACCGTTCCAGCAGCCAATTCCCATTGAAGCTGGTTTCATTTTTAAGGTGGGGCAGTGCAAAGTTGAGGTCTGTAGCGCTACTGACGGACTTCACCGCCGGGCGCCCAACTCGCCCGCGGCGCTAATTCTGTCTCAGCTGATCCACAACCACTTTTCGAACGTCGCGGCCACTATTCCGCCACCTCAGGCGCCCGACACAAATGTAGTACAAAGCAACAACTCGCAGCCGGAGGTGTAATATTTAACTGTTTGCTGTCGGTCAGGCACACATGCCGGGCGTCACGGTCCACGTTGGTTGTGGCGAGGGAGTCGTGCACTTTTAATTATGAACTTAAAATAGTATTTTAGTTGGCGGCGTTTTCGTAAAATACGATTACGTTGCTGGTTGGCGTGCTTGCGAAATATGCAGGCACGTGCAGAATTTTAGACGGGGCGGCGTTACTGTACAGTGCTCCGCCACTCGACCTTTTTCAAGGCGGCCCTTGTCACGGCAAATTGTGAGCAACTTGGTGAGAAAACAGCACCGGCTTACAACGCGGCGTTTATCAATATTTGCTGCCGTCTCTCAGGCCGCGACAGGGATGCTTTTTATTCGCCTACACATCTGTAAATGCAGTTTTTAATCGCGCGTTCTGCTCAAGAAATATAATATATGGCGTCTTTAATCGAGATGATCGACGTTGCGGCTGATAATTCGAATCGCTCTCCCTCTTCTGCTGGCGTGCATGTGCCTGGTGCCACTCTCCGCCGCTTGGAGGACGAGCCGTCTGACGTCAACCTCCCTGCAAAGTCAAATGCTGTCGTCCGCGTAGTAGACGCGGTTCAGCGGTGCGGGACCACTGCTTCTGACTGCGATACGGTTGGCGAATCATCCGAGTCCTTCCCGGTGAAAGGCTCTACTGGTAGCGCAGGACATGAAGCTGGTGCCCACAGTGATGACTCTCCGCAAACATTCGAGCGCGAGCAGTCGTCAGATTTGGTGATATTTGACTATGACGACACTATCCTGCCTACATACTCGCTTGCATGTGCCCAGAAGCACTCCGTGGGCCAGCAATTGGTTGATCCAAATACAATTAGGGACGAACTTAATCGTCTAACGGATGCAGTATTGGTCAATTTGAACAATGTGGTTCGCGTGGCCACGTTAGTGGTCGTCACCAACGCTAGCTCGGACTGGGTCATGCAGAGCTGTGAGCGTTACCTGCCTCGTATTGGGGAGTTTTTCGCGGCGCATAACATTCGCATCATATCGGCACGCGACAGATTAGACAACAGCCTCCTCGCGCAGAAGCACTGGAAGTATTTCGTTTTTATCGATTTGATAGAAGAACAATTCATCGATAGGCTAAAGAGCGGCGAACCTTTCACGGTGACCTCCATCGGCGATGGAGCGGAGGAGCGTCAGGCTTGCATGAAGTTGGCTTCGATTTTTAAGAACCAGAAATGGGTTTTCAAGAATCTGAAGCTCTTGACTCAGCCCACGTTGGGCTGTTTGATTCAGCAGCACCTGCTGCTGGCGAAATCCTTCGACAGTTTCTTCGAAATGAAGACATCGGCGGATCTATGTATTCTGTTTGACAAAAAGAAGTCGCAGAACGACATTTAGATCATTCACACACACATTTAATGCTTCTCTTCGTCGTAAAACAGTGCTTCGTTGTTTCTTGGTGCGCGGTGTACGTGTAGCGGACAGACCTGGTGGGTCGTCACTGATTTCCGGTGCATCGCTTTTCGCCACTATGCGAATTCATCATTTGGCGTGGACGCGTTACTCACGACTCATGGTCGTCATATGGGTCTGGTCAAGCCGTTGTATAATATCGGTATGGGCCTGCCGCATCTTTGCATTTGCCAACTGCCTACATTATTACCATGCTTTCTCTACGGTTAACAACTCGCCGTAGTTAACATGTTTTGTGTTGCTAACAGATGAGCATCGCCTATTATTCTAGTTTCTAATGTTAGTTGTGGCGCTGTGATTAGGCAACATCTGTTGTGCGCCTTTTATTTGCTCATCAGGGTTAGAGCGTTTTTATATAGGCTTTATGCACCAGAGGGCGTGATCCTGTTATGGTGTATGCAAGTAAGCACGAGTGAGTCCCGTTTAGGTAAAACACATCTGATTCTATTCCCTTTTTGTTTGCCTTCGACGCGTTCGCACCGATCCAAACAACCTTGCCCTTCGCATTGGTGCACTTCAATCCAATATCGAATATTGGGGTATCGTAAGGTTGAAATGCTACCGGGTATTTGCCGGGTGCTCCGATCCTCATAAGTAACCCCTCTGATCGGGGCGATTTGGAATCATTCGACAGGATGGCACCGAACTGTATCCAACCGTTGACGTCCACTTCCAGTCCAGTGGCGCTGCAAAAGATGAGTTCATATGGCTACAAAACTCACATATAGATACTGTGGCTGTCCTTCGCATTATCCGGATTGACCAAGTTTTTATCGTCCCCCAGTTTAACGGAGCTGTATCCGCCCTTTGAAAAATTATCAACCTGTGCGACCCACACCTGGTCTTTTAAGGCATGGAATTCTTTCAACAGACGTAGGTGATCCTTTTCGGCTATTGAGGATTCCCACCGTTGGGGCATTCTGTTGGATTCGAATATGATGGTTTCTTCGGCGACACTGTACATGTACCTGCGTGATATTAAGCTAAGGTCGTGCATCATTAGACGTACTTGGATGACCGCAGTTGCCACTGTTGCACCATGTACATAATTGAGATGATGGAGAGAAAGATGTTGACGCATCCCCACTGCGGACTTATGAGTTTTTATTGGCTTGTTCGTACCTTTATGGTGCTAGCCTTGAGGTTACTCGTTGCGATGAACAGGAAGCTCCCCGCAATCCACAATACTGGAAACTGGAGCACAAAGCCGAGTACCACGGTAATTTTGAATATAAGTGAGTCGTACGTGACATCCGAAGCCCTTCTCACTTCTCCGCCCTCCACATCCCTTCTGGTCTCGGACGAGCTGTTTGCATTCGTGGTGGCATTAATAATATTTTCATGGCGCATAAAGGTCATAACCCGTTCTTTGAATCTGTTGGATGCCCTGTCCTTGAAGTTCGAGAATGCATCGTATAATACTGCAATGTGAGTGTTAAAATACCTGGATCCCTGATTGGGCAATTCGGTTGTTACCGGCTCACTCTCATTTCTCTCGCTTTCAGGCTCAGGTTCGTTGAGTGTGGTGAGGTCAATTTCCTGGTGCCCTACCGCCACGCTGGCGCCCTCTGCTTCAAGTGGCGGGACTACGGGGGTAGTTTGCGATACGTTGTCGTTAGCGCTCTCTTCATTCGCTTCCGCCATTGTCAATCTTTGGGTTATTGCTTTTATCCTTAAAAGTTGGTGCCAGGGTCTCTGGCCAGGGTTCCAGCTTTGCGTTGAACTTCCACTCGTCCACCAGTCTTTCGCGCTCCGGCTTGCTGTATCCCTCTATGAGGTACCTGCGTCACGTCACGCTGCCAAATTAGGACCTACCTCCTTTTCCTACCGTCGAGGAACTCGACCTGAAGAGCTGCAGGTGCGTCGTAATCGAGAATCTCCCAGGTGACGAACAGCTGTGGAAATTTAAGCTTCAACTTGTCGCCCGTCGCGTATACGACTAGTCGCCTTCGCAGTATGTATCTCAAGCTTATGCCGCGTTACCTTGCGATATCGGCAGTATCCAAGCGCCTATTGGAGTAGGAGATGTGCAGCCGCCTCAGCGCCCCGAGTATATGTAGCGGCGGTATGAGCGCGTACCTTTGCATTATCCGCTACGCCGATACGCATAGGACGAGCATTAATTTATACTCGTTTAATTGCAAATGCGCGAAAGTGATGGTTTAGTTGTCTGGTATTGTGTATGCTGTGTACGGATCCCAGCGCGCCTATGAGTGCGTTCGGATGGAAGAACGTCACGCTAGCCACCCTGGAGTGTAGCAGAGCCATTGCGCACATACAGCACGGCTCGTGGCTCATATAAACTTCACATTGTGTGCACAGGTAATCCGGAATCTCGACATCATCCGTAGGCTCCTCTGCCACTGATGCCTCTGCGTTACCGCTTCCATTGTGTGACCCCGTGAACCTTCTCTTGGCGTTAGACATGCGTTTCGGGTCATTCTTCTGCAGTTGAGCCACCTTTCTAACAGCCAGAAGCGCTGCATGGTTGAGTATGTTGGTATCTCGTTCGTCAACTGCCTTTGCGATAATGCGATCGTTGTGCGTGATGATGCATACGGCTTTGTCTTGATTGTTGCGTGACTCTGATTGGATGTTGTATTCCATTTCTAAACTTCCTACCTATCAGAGTGGCTTCAATCATGCTCAGAATCTTGTCTTTCAGTGACTTGCTGCGCGGTGTTAAATCGGTGACAATAAAATGCACGTAGTGAAAGTAGCATCAACTGCCTGCTGGCACCAATAAATGCCACGGACATAAGCTACCAAGCTTTATCGCTTTTATAAACTTACGTGATCTTGACGGGGGTCACGCTTGGTTTCAGGTACTTGAGGGGCCAATGCTTAGACCACTGGTGATACTGTTCTAAGGTGCTTGGGGAGTAGCGCGGCACCTTTACTGTGCGTTCACCATATATTTGTATGCCTTGGCTCTCGAATTCAGAGCGAAAAGGCACCTCGGAATCTCTTCCGTATATGAGCAACAGGCGCTGTTGGTCGATCGCCTTGCACATTCGCACATATTGCAGGTTTCCTGGAAGCATGACCTTCCTGGTCGCCTCCGTGAGCTTCAGTGCAGTTTGAGTGTGACACCTGTCTATTTCAATCGCCTTAAGTTCCAAAAATTCGAGCCCGCGTGTGAACTGCTCTCCGAGTATCTCCTGTACATCGTATTCCGCAGCAAAATCTGCGTCCGAGGGCACACATCCTCCACCAGATTCCTCCATCAGTTCAACAAATCAGATTTGTACCACCAATTGAGCTCTGGGCAGTGACGAAGCCTCTTTGGAAGGTTACGACACCGGCGGTTACTTCTGCCCAAGGCATTGCTGATGTCGTGTACACACCAGCGCACATCTGCTCATTATGCCTTCACACCGTGGTTAATACGTATTTTCACGGCGTAACCGCTCTCAACTGGCGATGGCAGCGCTTTGTAGCTCTATGCGTGTCTGCAAGGCGCTGTTGCTGTCGTTGCTGCTTGCGTTGACATTTCGCAGCGCAGTTGCCTCGCGCATTGTACACAGCACATCTAGGGAAGCATTGCAGAGCCATGCTCCTAGCGAAGGTTCAGGAGAATCAGCGCATCCGCGCCACTGCGCTTCGGGCCGGTGTTCTAAGGCTCGTCGTACGGAATCCGAAGGTCGATTCTTGGACTACATAACTAGATTCGGTATGTGTGTAGTGCCATGCTGGTAACGGTATTGCAGTGTCATCGCCTTCAGGACTGCTGCTGGACGATATAATCCGTGTGCAGCTTGCGCAGCCTTTCGACGCAGCACTTCAGACATCTTTTATCGCATTGCCAGGTATGATGAGTCTACATGTGTGTATCCATATGATACAGCTGAGGAAGGAATCATTTCCGTTATCACTGGCCTGGTACGGCGTATATTATCTTCGTTTTCAGTCTCCGTAGTTAGGAAAATACTCTTGGGATATTGTTAATACCGTCGTCCTGTTGACCTCGTCTGCTTACTTCATCTACATATTCCTGTTAGGTATGTTTACCTTCATGATGTCTAACGCTGTCCAGATCCGTTGTCCAACGTCTGCATCTCTACGATCAGCGGTGGGTTGCCTCCCAACGCATCGATAAATCCGTGCAGCGCACATCATTGCGTCGTTGTTTTTAGGCCTGACACACGATCTGATTCCCGTATGGTCGCTTGCAGTTCTTAGTTTCGTTATCGAAGGTACTTGGTTGTTGTGTTCTCTGTTGCAAAGGCATGCGCAGGCGTCCTGTACGTTATACTCCAGTTCATGGATTCCACCAAACGCTGCCAAATCTGCGTTTATTTCACCTGCTTGGTGGGTTTATCTCGTCAGCAGCCGTTTTTATACGGGATCAGGTCAAGGCTAAGCTGATCTACGACATGTTAGCAGTGCTGCCAATTGAGATAATCAGTCCGTCGTATACCGGCCCCGCAGGCGCCATCGCCACCTATGGTTCGGCCTATTTTCCGGTTTCTTAAGCTATTTGCAGTGTATGGTACGAGCAATTTTATGGCTATACGTCTGAATTACGCCGTGCTGCTGATCGTCATTGCGTCCGCTCTTTTCCGCAACCTTCCCTCGTATGTAACTGGGGAGCCATCCGAACTGCAAGAGGTCGAGCTGGCGTCGTACGTTAATGATTGCCCGACATAACTGTTCGCAGGGCTACGCTTAAGAAGATGGTGTGTTTTGTGGGAGCGTGGCCGTTGGCGGCTCTGTTCCCGCAGGTGCTCTGCACGTGGATAGGCACCCACAACCCAATCGGTATGCGAGCGGTGTTTGGTTTAGTAATGTGCTTCAGGGCCTTATAAATTCTTCTTCGTTCCGACCCCATTCCGCCTATCTGCGTTTGAGAGCTGGTTGGCACTGCTGAGCTGGGCCATCATCGCAGTCGCGCTGTTTAATTACAGCAACGCGCAAAACAATGCCGCCGCTCGCTGGCTCAACCGCGAGTCGCGGTGGTCGCCCGCGTCGTCGCTTCAATCGTCATTGAGCTAGGTGTCCCCCTCAGGACCCGTGTTTACAAGGTATGGTGGGCCAGTTTGTGTCACCATGTTTTGTTCAGGAAGTTATTCATCATCGGGGGTTTAGAACCTTCTTTCGAAGAATCAATTCACAGTGGGAGCTAGCCCCGTTGTCTTGCACGGCTATTTTACCCCAGAAGTGCGGCCTTTTGGGCGGCTCGCGAGGAGGCTGGTCGCCGTCAGACGAAATGTCTCACCGCGTTATCGCATATTTTTAGTATGCGTGGCGTACCTGCCCATGGCGGGGTGTGCGGTGGCGGCACTTCCGCCGGCCGCGACGCGCAGTCCGATTCCAGCCGTGACGAGAAGTCTAAAAAAGCCGCCACTGTGAACTTCGGAGGCGCTGACGGCAAGGTGCTAACGTTCGTAGTAGCGTCTACTGAGGGTGTCGCTTCGCAAGCCGATGAAAGCGCTCCTACTTGGAAGCGTCTATGGAAAAGGAAGGCGGCGCCTTCTACAACCGACAAGGCAGATTCGGACCCACACATTACACCCGATACTGTGGCAGATGTAAAAGTGGGTCATTTTGTGCATTACGCTGAAAACGTTTTAGGAATCTGATGAGAAGGCCGGTCCATCCAACGCGGATGACAGCGTCGATGGAGGACCTACCAAAAGAGCCAAACAGGCTCCTACAACTATCGCACAACCTCCTGCAACGGCTAAAACGGATACTGAATTGTCGTCGTCAGATGATTACTTCAAGAAGGAGGACGAGTTTATGCTGCGGCAGGAACTCGAGAAGTCTAAGCTACGTGTCAAGGACGGTGTGTATATCATCGTTTTGTTACATTATGCGGTGCAGGTCGAGGAACCGAGCTGGACAACCTGTTAGTATCAGGCACACCCGTCACATCGGTTGTTGATCTGTTTGACGGTGACGATCACGCTACGTTGCTACAACACCTGGAGCTCCTCAAGGCGCACATGCATTTCTGTGAAGATGACAACAAGCGTTCACTTATAAAGGCCTTGGAAACCATCGTAAATAGCCGTCTTCTTGGCGATGTCGCTGGCGAAGTGAGCGAGTCTGTGTCATCGAAGATAAATTCGATCCTGTCTACAAAGAGCGTGTCGGAGTTGGAAGGTACTTTTAATTGTTGAGCACTTTCATCGCATTTCTAAGGTTACGAGAGTGAGATAAAAAAGAAGATGACCTCTGACGATGTGGTGGACACAAACTTTTGGGAGGCTGTGCTCTCCAGAATTCCTTTCTTTAAGGTGAGTCAGCTCACCTGCCGTCGACACACCTTTTCAGGCTTGTTGTGTAGTGCGTGAATACAACAACGGAACGCCGGCAGAAAACGTTGCCAATAGGTATGTGGATCGCATGCTTTCATGTGGTGACCGAAACGTCCAGTTTTCTGTTTGTGTTGTGTGCTGTTCATGTCAGTACCGCGGTGCGTTTACAGGATACCACCCGTATCTGCGTCGTGTTTTCCGGCAGTAGCGGACTAAGAGCCTGTGATACTAATTCTCTGAACCCCCGGAACTCTGCCTGAGCAGACTTCCCCTGATTACGAGGTACACCTTGCATTTGCGTACGTGCTACTACCCGTTTGCAAATCCGCTTTGCATTTTACACCTCTGTGCAGCAACGTGAAACCTGTGACTCCGAAGGCACCTGCTTCCCGTGCAGATGGATCAGCGCGTGTTGTCGCGGATCCCAAGTACGAACGGTTCATGAAATCTTTGAAGCTGGAGACTGACGAGCACATATTAACTGAGGATGTGCCTTATGGCAACAGTTCTGGCCAGAAACCGCGATTCGCAGCGCGTGTTACGTTGAGTTACGAGTGGAGCAGCTACAACTTAAGCCATTTCGACCCTAACAACCCCCCTCCTAAGAGCGTGCAGGGATTCAAGTTCAGCATATTCTTCAGCAAATTGGAGAACCCGCGCGCCGTTCCGCAGTGGAAGCTGGCGAAGGACGGTACCAGCACCGACACGTGTCTGCTGGTGTTCAAGGGCGGCAGACCGTACGCTCCTGTCGCCTTTCGCATCCCGGCCCGGGAGTGGGACACCGATCCGTCGCGTGGTTTCAAGAATTGCTTCAGTGAGGGTGTGCTGCACCTATATTTCAACTTCCGAAGGCTGGTTTACCGGCGGTAATGTATAGTATATAATAAGGTTTAGACCTGTCCACGCTAGGTTTCTTGGGGTGTGTATTAGCGATGTCGTAGGTGTCGCACCTCACGGCGAATACACGCATTATCGCATTAACGTGCCTTCACACATTCTGTTTCTATTTCCGTTTACACACCGTGAGCTCTCGTTGGAGCTGCGTTATTCCACAGCATTTGGTTGTGTCGTGTTAGCGTTGCACGACTTGAGTGTTGTCTACATATATTTGCACCTATGGAGAACGCTGCTGATCTACCGCAACCGCAAGAAGGCGCATCAGCGCCTTCGCCTGATTCGGTCCCATCGACGGCCCCCCCTGCGTACGACACGATGTCGGCTGACGAGCTGTACGAGTTGGGCAAGCGTAACTTCAAAGAGCTGCGGGACTACGCTGAAGCCGCTGAATGCTTTTCGCGCTGTTTGGAGTTGAGGTTGTTTGGTGTGTAATCGATGTGCATTGTGCTCAGGAGTTCGGGGAACCCATTAGACCACCAGCTACGGGAGTGCTATCTGTGGTACGCGGATTCCCTGCTGACCAAAGAGGAGGAGAACCAGGCCATGTTCCCATCCGATGTTGATGCAGGTGCGTTGGAGTTGCCAGATTCTTCACTTCCCGCAGGAAATGAGGGCGACCTTCCCACTGCGGAGAGCATTTTGAAGGGCGCCACCGAGGAGGCGAGCGACGAAACGGTATGCCAGCAGTCTTAATCACGAAATACACAATAATTCTCAGCTGGCCTTCGAAGCATTCCAGATTGCCTTTGCATGCTACAGCAGCTTCTTGAGCAGTTGCACTCTGCAGGGTGCCGAGCTGGAGAAGGAAGTGCTCGACGCGTCGTACTGCCTAATGCGCCTGGGTGACATGCTCTTCACCAACAACCAGTTCAAGGAGGCTGCGGAGGAGTACGAGCGAGCCGTGGAGTTGCGCCGCAAGTACCATTTGGGCGAACGCCACCTTGCGTCGCTATACGTGTCGCTGGCGCAGTGTCAGATGTTCAGCGGCAACTTGAGCGTCTCACTGGACACGTTCAACATGGTCAAAGAGCTGATTGGACGGCTTTTAGTGGGGGAGATGGACGAGGCTGAACGCAAGCGTATGCAAGACACCCTGGAGGATGTCGACCTTCAGATCAATGACCTGCGTAAGCTTATAGCCTCGCCTCCGGCACAAACAGCTCGTCCCGGCAGCCAGTGCGAGGCTGCATCCCTAGTGCCACAGACTACGGTATGTTCGTAACAGAGTGTCGCTGACTCAGCGTTTTAGGACACATTCGACGAGCGAAAACTAGACACCGCGTCAAAGTCTGCTGTGATCAACATTTCCGAGAATACCACAGGATCCAAACGCCGTATCGACATCTCGGGGATGTACAAATGATTTTAAAGGAAACTTGTAATGACATTAGATTTTTTTTTTCTTCAGCTCGAAATACTCCGCCACTCTGCCGCGCTACCCCTATGCTATGGCACGCCACTCTGTTTAGCTACAATTTTGGGGCTAGAATTAATGCCAACTCCGCAGTTTGAATCGGCTTTTGCCGATGTGTAATCATTTGAAGGCTTGACTTTTTCGTCAGCCACTGGCAGGGCGTGCTGTCTTCATGGAGCGCTCCGGTAAAAGCGCTCTCGCACTAGCAGGCTCGCTCTTTCCGGGCGGTGTACAGGATGCTTCTTCGGGTGATTACGGTCACGAAACCGTTTGGCAACGCGTTCAACGGCTAGGGCGTAACCAGGATCCGTTTGAACGCCCCGTTGCCGTCGAACCTACTCAATCAGCCAGCAATGTAGACTTAAGTTTCTTCGGTGCGGACGTTCAAGCGCTGCTGGGCACTCGTCACCACGTGGCCGAGACGGCTTTTAACAAGCGCGGGCAGTTCGCCAGCGCGTACAAGCAATCCAAGAGGCTCAAGTGGTCACCTGAGGACACGGAACGTTTCTACGATGCAGTCCGCAACTTCGGATCCGACCTGCTTATGGTCCGGTCGCTGCTTCCGGAGTTTACTGACAAGCAGATTTACGACAAGTTTAAGTTGGAGGAGAAGCGCAACGGCGATAAGCTGAATCAGGCGCTTAACACGCCCACCAAGATATCGCTGGAGACGTTTGAGAGGCGCAACGGCAAGATTGATCGCAGTCGGCACTATGACCCGAGCAAGGACCCCGTTCTGCTGCAGAAGCGCAGCCAGAAGACCAACCAGCTGGCGCTGCGCGTGCAGGTCGAAGACGATGAGGCACGGGTGATGCCGGACTCTTCCGAGGGTGCAGATGGACACGCTCAAGATCTGGATGCCGACACAGATGCCCCGGGAAGCAACATTATGGAGCTGTTCATGTAACCGCCGGCAGTGCCATGCGCTTGTATACGGCTTTCAACAACATCGTAACTTAGTCATACGCTTTAAAAACTTCGCAGTGTACTGTGGAAGTCAACATAGACACCCTTTATAACTGAATACCAAAGAATAAGTCATGTGCCCGTCTGGGGTTGACACTGTAGACTCTTATCCCAGTGGTAAAGGGTAGCACTGTTACGGTGGTTGTGGACTAGTGTGCACCAGCTAAAACCAGTGACAGCAGTGCCGTGCTCACATAGAAATAGACAAAGGTGAAAATTCGCATTTTAAATCGTAACGGTCACCACGCCGCGTGCATGAACAATTTGCATTCAGGAGACCTCTTTTTTGTAAACACGATCGTTCCATTTCATTCAGAAGCGTTGTTCAGACCATGTTTGCTTTTGGTTTTCTGCGTTGTTACGCATTGGTTACAGCGCTGGGCGCATTTTGCTACGGCTGCAGCTACAATTAACAGTTGCGTCATTCGCTGGTGCTCACAAGTCCACGTGCACCAGAGTGAGGATCTCCGATATCTTGCACATGTATTCGTGGTGCCCCTTGATAAACTCGGTGGCATCGTAGTTCTCCACTTCCGACCCAACTGGTCTCAGTCCTGCGACTGGGAATCCTGCATCCAGGTCGCGGTATAGGTACCCCAAGAGCCAGTCGTGCCTCGAATATACGTTAATTATCCTTCCTGCCACGACACTCCGGCACTGAAGCCACTCTTCGGGGCCCGCTGTTGAGGGGAGTCCCATGAGCACAACGTCCTTGACCAAGTTAAGTTTTTGCTTCTCCTTAAGTTTCAGGAGCGCGTATACAATTACTTTAGCACCCACGCTGTATCCCACAAGGGAAATGGGCCTTTCTCCGACCGCATTTCGGTCCATAATAGCCTGGGCGAGTGTCGCTCCGTACTGCCTTGCCCTTTGTATCGCCAACGTCCACGTGTTGTCCAAGGGCTCCGCAAAGTGGATGAGTGGCAGCGGCCACTGTATTCCACACGCGAGGTACTCGCCTGCCGTTTGTTTTTGCCACAGCATGGACGCACTTTGGGCGAATGGCTGTTCTTCCATTACGCCAAACATATTGCCCAGCGATTTGAGCAGCGTGGTCTCCCACTGCATGGCGTAGAAGTCACAGAGCGGAGCACGCAGAGCATCCTCCCACAGCGCGAGTATATCGACCTCTGGCGCCAGGCTGCCACACACTCCGATGCATACGGCGAGCGACCTCCCTGACTGTTCGTTGATGTGGTGGAACGCAACGTCATCCTTTTTGGATTTCCATCCTGATAGTCCGTTAGATCCTACACCAAACACAGAAGCAAGCAGTTCAGCTTCCTCTGTAGTGGCCCACAGACCGGAGACGCCACCTCCACCGATGCCAAGCACGGCAAGGCCAGCGGCCACTGCGGGTGTCGCCATCCCCGCGCTGACTGCGAGAAGCGCACCTCCACCGGCCGCCATGGCTGCTATTTTAATGTTCCTCGTGACCTTCTTGGAAGTTCCCGAATTCGCCGTCGCGTGTATGGCACTCACGATATCGGCTGCGATGTGGTTCTCGAGTGCCAGCACCGTATGGGTGCTCATCCCCAGGGCCGCTGAAAACTCTTGGAACAACAGCTGCACCCTGGAGTCGTTGTAACCGCTCGTAATGTATCCCGTCACCAGGCTGCGGAGCAACACCGCGCAGCCCGGAACTGAGTCCAGCAGTAACTCGTCGTTCAGGCTGAAATCGGTTTGAATTTCGGAATCGTCATCCTCAATTAACCCCTCAGCCCCTACATGATTCGAATCATCATCGCGATCATTGACGTCGATGCTATCAGTACGGATTTCACTTGACTCGCTTTGGGTCCTATTGATTGAGTGCGAGTTTGGCTCCATGGCCCGCGATAGCACCCGGTTGATTTTTTTCGAAATGGTACCCAACAACCCCTTTTCAGTTCGCCTATTACCGCGACTGCTCATCAATGGACTGTTGAGGTAGTTTTTCGCATCTTCCACGCTCTTCTTGAATTCGCGGTCCAGCTCTGGCTGCATTTGCTCCAGCTGCTTGTGGATATCGTCTATGTGTTGCTGCTTTTTAACGACCGCGCTGATGTCCACATTGAGATGCTTGAGTGTGACGTATTGGGTGACAGGCTTCATAATTGCGTCCAGCATCATATCGGAGAGCCTGCACAGCTGTGGCGACAAGTTGCGCGTAACTCACTTGAGCAGCTTGCCAATGCGCTTCAGTATGACACTCCCCCATTTTATGAGATAGTCCTGATCGGAGTATCTGCTTTTTGCGATATAGTCGACGACCAGCGCGACCAGCAAGGACAATATTGACGTCCTGAAGTTTTCGTGCAGCTCACCGAGGAACCCCGCTCTGAACGGGATATACTGCACAGAGTTTGCCGCCGAAACCCCTTGCAGCCTCTCCTTGTATCGCCTGCGCAATATGCGGTCGGTAAAAGGCCACTTACTGCTCCGAGAGCTCCTGTATGATTTGCTTGGAGTATGTGATCCGCGTGTTGTTGACATTCTCCAAATCCGGAACTTTTACCTGCGGCTCAACTTCCGAAGTACCTATTAGCAGCTGTAGAGTCTTCGAGAGCGCGATGCTCTGCTCTTCTTCGAGGGGCTGCAATCCGACCTCTCCCTGCGCAAGCTTGCGTTCCATGCGCTTGGAGAAGGTAGTGGCTCCCTGGGAAAAATTATCCCGGACATTGCTACCCCTCATTGTTCGCGAAATTCGTTTTCAGGTAGACATTCCTTCTGCCGGGCGCGCTCGCGGGTTGCTGCGCCGCGGTAAAATCGTACACACCACGGGCACTTTTAATCGATGCTTCGTCCAAAGTCTGGAGAGAGGCGTGTTGGACTTTTGGGTTTGGGTCGCCGGTTGGGTGTGTTGCCATGCGTACTTCTCACATGCTGCAGCTAGGTCGCCTTCTCAGCGTGCCCCGGTCGTGAGCATCAGTTCTCAGCCAACGTCTCAGCAGGTGCGCTCTGTGCTCTGCAGACGGTTGTTGCACAAGCCCGAAAGTTCTCGGGCTACCGTAGTTGCCGAACGACTGCTGGCGGCTGCGTCCGAGCGACGGCGTGAGCTGCTGCATTCCTTCGACAACTTCCTGCGCTCAACGCTACCGGGTTATAAGTTCGGAGAACATGGAGTGCTAGACGTGAAACATTCAGATATCTTATTTGAGCAGCATACTGCTGAGCTGTCCGAGACATTCGGCGCTGGCAACGTCGCACGCTTTCATGCCCACAGTGCTGGCAGCTCCGATGGATCAGTGATTTTTCGCGGCAAGATCGCAGACCGCAAGGTCAGCGTGCTTATCAATAGTACCAAGTAGGTGGTTGCACGTCTCCTTTTCTTTTATTTATGATGTTTGTGGCACCGTCGGTGCTCCACAACCCAATACGTGATAGCGTAGCGTTGCCTGCATAACCCCAGTGCATCCTATTCTGATCCAAAACGTAATCTTAGGTTTAAAGCAATGTTAAAACATCTAGAGCCCTTATTGAGGACAACGGGCAAGATTAGTCAGACGTTGATACTTTTAGAACCGCGTGTCTTATGTGATAAATTAGTTGTCCCGTCAGCCGTTGTTGTCGTCCGCGGTTAGGTGGCATACTTTTGCACCCACTCCCTAACGGTGGACTCGTATAGTTTGCGATTTTGCTTGTACAGCTGGGCGATTTCCGGCACCAGAGGGTCATCTGCTCGCAATGAGACCGGTTTAAAAAGAACACGTATAATTTGTTATGTATCGCACCCATACGCTGTTGTGTGACGTACCTGGATTCGGATCTGTCAGCAGCGATGATATAGACAGAAGGACCTTTGATATGGTCAGCGCAGGGCTCCACTGGTCCTTCAATATATCCAGGCATATTGCTCCATTGTTGTTAATGTTCGGGTGATAAACCTTCGTGGTGAACGCAACCTGCGTAAAATTAGCTATCCGTAAAGCAACGTGTATGGCGTTGACTGGGAGGAGGGGAAGCAAGTAGAGGCCACGCCCAACACCGATATGGCATTGTAGCTGTCGGACGCTCAGTCGACCAGGGTGGCATCCAGAACTGATTTCATGGATGTGCAACCGCGTCCTCTGGGACTGCTTTGCAGCCATAAGAAGAGGCCCATCATGCGGAGCGATGACGGTGCCTTAGCAACGTCATTCACAACGCGCGCGTCGATGTTCATAAACAACATCGCCATCCCCAAGCCCACACGGTGATAGATACAACCGTAGACATCTTTTTGAACAGCATCGTGCGCACTACTGCACTTAGTTGGCGACCACGGATGTCACGCGTCTCAGTGGCCCAAACCGGGTCGTGCCAGGAACCCCCTCCGTAGGCCCTGCCATGGCCACAGCCACATACAGACGCCAAACATCGCCCGTACGTACCTTCGGCGGCTTGAAGGGGTAGTCACTGGGGAAATGAATGTTGAGGAAGTATACACCATTTTGGTACAAGCTGAAGCCAATTTACGCCTTCATTTCACCATTTTACTAACCTGTTGTGCGGGCCCATGATCGTCGCTTGCCAGTGGAACATGTCATCGCCCACAGGACCGGCGCTGCAGTTGGTCGGCGGGTCCTTGGTTAAGTCGGCAAGTTCCTGCGTCACGTAAGTTTTATAGCCGAGCCTCATTACCTTATGAATACGTTTTAGCGCCATCGTGGAAATAAATATATCTGACAGCGACCTAGGGGTAGTTACCACCTGAAAAAATGAAGTGACTCACAGCAGGTTATCCAGCGCGTCCGCGTTGGGCATCTGCGCAGGCGGGGACATTTACGGGGCGTAGAGCCGGCGGAAAAGGCAACAGCAACAGTCCCAGTACATTCTAAGCTTAAATGTGATCGATTGCGGTGGCTAATTGTTTGGAACGTTCGTGATGTGTGGAACGAGGAAAAACCTTGCATAGGCCCCTATTTTCTATTTCCGGGTATGTGTAATCGCGCATCTACATTGTAAGACACGTTTGCGCTAATAAATGCACTGTTCATCCACGAATATCGTAGAATTTCCGATTGTTCATCGCCAGTGTCTGCATCGTTCCGCCACGTCGCGTCCCGCCGTGTAGTAGCTCCCGCTGATCGGTTGCTAAAACCGTGCTCGTTTGCGTCCACAGAAAAACGCAACTGTATTTTATTAGAAATCTGTGCGTCTCTTCGGCGGAATCCTCACTTTAGCGATTTGGAGGCAGCGGCTGTCTTCCACTGCCCGGCGCCGACACCCTCAGCACATTAGCAGCCACCGGTTGTCGATGGGGGTGTGCGTAATGGGTTATTTAACGCATCCGCCTTCCGGTACTGGCAAGGGCCACGTTGTTCCGGGACCCCCACGCTAGGTGGTGTCGCGTCACGTTCCAGCTGTTGCCGCGCCCATAGCTCACTTTCTTTGCCGTTGATATTATTTGCTATTGACCATGACGGAGGAATCGGCGTTGATCGAACGCATCAAAAACGTCTCGTTGGGTATGTTCGTGCTTCGCTGCCGCTAATTTGCCGTAGACGGCCCGCTGGGCAAGCTCAACGAATCGCAGCGCCAGACGGTCGAGAAGCTGCAACGCCTTCAGGTTCGTTCGTGTGTGTGTCTGTCTATGGATTCCAGAAATCACGCGATGAGCTGGAAGTGGCTTACAACAAGGAGCTTAACGAATTGCGCGCGAAGTACGACCTTTTGTTCCAGCCCATTTACGAGGAGCGCGAGAAGGTTCTGACCGCCCCTAGCGGTGAAGAAAAGGGCACACCGTCGCTGCCGAAATTCTGGCTGACTGCTATGAAGAACAACAACCTGCTGCGCTCCATCATCGAGTACAGAGACGAGGCGGTGTTGGCGTACCTGTCTGACGTGAAAGCCGAGTTCCTGGAGCCTGTTAAGCAGGAGTCGTTCCGCATCATCATGACCTTCGATGAGAACCCATACTTCTCCAACAAGGTGCTGACGAAGCAGTACACCATGAAGGTGATCGACGGCGAGGTCGAGGCTCTTCTTCAGGGCACTGAGGCCACTGAAATCAACTGGTACCCCGACAAGGACGTAACCCGCCAGACTGTGACCAAGATTCAGAGGCACAAGAGAACCAAGGAGACCCGCACCAAAACCGAGATTGAGGACCAACCCAGCTTCTTCCGCTTCTTCACTACGCAGGAGGTTCCCACCAACGAGGCCCTTTCGCGTATGTCCAAGCAGGAGGTTGCAGAGCTCGAGATGTACGTCGAGGAGGACTATGACATAGGTATTGTGATTAGGGTGGGTGTCACCGTGAGTCTAAGTGTGTGACTTGCTTGCAGGACAAGCTGATTCCGGAGGCCATCTACTGGTACCTCGGAATCGCAGAGGACGATGACCTGGATGAGGACGACGACGATGATGATGACGGTGATAGTTTTGGCAACACCGAGTCCGATTTCTCCGATTCCAATTGAGTGTCCTTATGTCTTGGGCCACCCAGTCACTTCGCGTCTTGACCCACAGGGACATCAGGTCGACGCGCTTAGCTACGCTCCATTACGAATTTTTAATTTATGTAGCACAAAATGAGCGGTTATGTAACCAGTGCCGCCGTAATTGGCATGAAATTTGACGGCGGTGTGCTGTTGGCGGCTGACACGAAGTGTAGGTTCCGCTTTCTTGCTCTCGTCACGCGTTTCAGACAGCTACGGGCGCCAACACCGCGTAAGCTGCGCGCAGCGCATACAGCAGCTCTCCGGAGGCTCCATTTTCTGCACATCCGGGGATGTCGCGGACCAGCAGTACCTGACCAAGGTCCTGCAGGCTACCGTCCGTCGTGAGATGTTGGACCACAACAACGACGCCGACAGCTGCAAGTTGGACGCTTCAGCGCTGCACACCTACCTGCATCGCCTCTTCTATTATCGGCGTTCGAAGATGGACCCGCTGTGCAACTCGGCCATCGTCGCCGGCTACTCTGCTGGAGCGCCTTTCCTGGGTTACTGTGATATGTACGGCACTCAGTACACGGACGACTTCATCGCTACAGGTGTGTTCGAGTGCGGAGTGTGATGATCTTTATTGTTAATATTTGCTCCTCTCGTGTAATGCCCAGACGTACCTCACTGCCAGCATTCCTCGGCAAATGTTTTTCCTATGTGTTACGTTTTGGTGGCTAACACACGATATCCCGCATATTCGGTTTCTGTAAGGTGTGCTGTGCTATTATGAGAGCGGATAGCAACCTTGTTGTGGGTGTTACGAGTGGCGACATTCGTTGCATTTTCTCATGCCGCTTATTTTAAATCTGAAATGCGTTTAGAATGTGTTTCTATGCTGTATGCATGTGCAAAGTCCGTCAATGCGGTCGTTTCTTTTATATTTCACCGGATGGTTATATCCGTTTACAGGAATGGGAAAGTACTTCGCCATCGGCCCTTTGAGGGAACAACACCGCGCCAACATGAGTCGTGACGAAGCGCGCCTTCTAGCTATCGAATGCATGAAACTCCTGTTTCTCCGTGACTGTTCTGCCGGAGACCGTATCCAGATCGCATACGTGACGGCGCAGGGTGTCGAGTTCGAGGAGCCGATGAAGCTCGAGGGCGAATGGTACGTTCTTATAGCATTGTTCTGCACTTTTCACAGGCGCTTTGAGAAGTTCATCGCTCCCACTAGCAAGATGCCCATTGCTGGATGCCAGTTCTGAGGCGGTACTCCGGCTGCATCCCTCTGGGCTAGCCGAATGGCACCGATAAAAATGTTTGGTGCTTGATACACTCAAGGCATTTAACGAATAGTTAAACTGTTATTTTACGCTCACACACCGAGATGCGGCTCTAAATGTTTCGTTACCTTCGGCGAGGTGCCACTGCATGCTCTCACATCATCAGTCCTGCCATGTACGGCAGAAACACGAGCCCCCCGTATATGGCAGCCGTTAAAACATGGACGGTGAATGCGTCTATAAACTGCAAGTGCAATGGTTAAGACCATTGAGGCTGGTTTGGAAGGCCGCAACCTGGCCAGGTTACGCGTCGTGGCACATTTGCTAGGCTGACTATATTAAGGTAATGTTTCATGCAGAAGATGGTAACTACACTGTCAAAAGCTCACATGTCCTCCATGGTCTCGTCACATTTGGGCGCTAGGTAGTATGACAGTTCGCCGAGCACCTGCGCATGTGGCGAGTCATTCTCTCCCACGACGTCCTTGACGTCGAATCTGACCTGAATTGGGCGCCCGTGGGACAATCCCACTGTAACCGAGTCACTTAGGCAGCAGCTCTGTATGCGGTGTCATATCTGTCGTTGGTTTGACCCACCTTAGAGAACATGAGGAGGTACTTCGCTGCATAGGATTGTCTGATTGGGCTTCTGACTTTGACGCATACTCCGCAATCTGATTCGTTGGTTGGAGGTCGGTTTTTGAGCACAATCTCTCCGGATCCCATGTCACCACGGGTGGAGAAGGAGACGGAGTTGACTGTCACGTCGATGGTGATGGTGTCTGAGAATTCGTTCATTTGTTTGCAGATGTTGGCAAATTCCTTGGATCCTAACGTGACTTCGCCATCGTGGGCTTCCATATGTTCCGGAATGGTGAGTGCTTCTTGTTCAATAGTCATGAGCTTTAGGGAGAAGTTCATGACACGTTCGTCGACTGCGAGATGTGCCAGTGTGCAGGAGGGGCTGTCACCTACCGTTGTTCTCGAAGATGAAGGATATGATGTCCTTCTCCTCCTCACTTTGTATGACAACTGAATCATGGCTGCTGCAGGACTTGAATGCCTTGGTTACGGAGCTGAGGTTGATGCCCAACGCCTGTGGCCTGTCACAGCGGTAGCGGCTGAATCCACCTGCGATTGTCATGAGCTGCTGGCTAACCAAACGCTCAGATGTAGGCTTACTAGCAACATATGGCCGCCAATAATACACGTCGGTTCGCCACTTACTTTCGTGCATCTTGAGGTGGATGAGCGCTACGTGGTTGCCGTCTAGCGACTGAAGGGACATGCCCGTGGCATCGAAGTCGATGTTGCCATCGCTGATGATGTCACGTACGCAGTCGAAAATGCGCCGGAGCACGACGGCGTGATTCAGCTTCAACTCCAACATCTTTTTTGTGAGTGTTATGGGATGTCGCTGCTAACACCATATAGGATTCCCACGAAGGGCGGCGGGCAAAGCTAGCGCACACCGCGCAGCGTTTTCGTGTCTTGGCTACATTGTTACATATATCCTTCCATTTTGCCTGCGGTACTATGTGTGCGCGTCTTGGACGCCACCGCGCTGTGTGTCTGTTCGACCAGTGTCACCGTCGTGTGTCTACCCCTACGCAATATGTACTGCTGAATAACCTCTTAGTTTCGAAGTGAGCACTGTAAACCTTGGTGTGCAGTCATCCGTACCGTTACTCAACGGAATCTCTACGACATCAGATTCGCGGCAGGTCAATCTGCCCGCCGCCAAGCTCCCTACCACTGCCATTAGCCACCCTAATCAATAGCATTTGAGTTTTACTCGTCTGCTATTTAGACACACACTCTAGGAATAACTTTTTGCGTGATAGCGCATCAGTATTCTTCACGAGTTGTGGCACTGGGAACACGCAACAATGGAGGCAGTTGAGGCGGCCCCTTTTGATAAACGTGATTTAATTATAGTCGCTCTGTTCTCCATCTTTTGCGGCTGCTTGAAAGAGTGTGCTGCCTACTTCTTCGTGTACCGCCGAGCAGACTACAAGAAAAAGTTCGCCGAGGTCTGTGACCGTTATGAGGACTACCACCGTGCTTTCGTCGTCTGTAGGTTGATAGACATGTCCGCTAATCTGTGTGCAGTCGAGCCGCAGACGGCGCAGAACAATTGTTTCCGAGCAGTCGCTAATCGCCTTCTAGACGCAACGAGGTGAGCTTTGTTGCCCTGCTTGTACTGTATTTATCCACTTGTTTGTATTGGTGTGTAGCGTCTATGTGGTACTGCACTTGTATATACTAGTTGTCGGTGCTTGTTCGACTTAAAGTTCCGTGTTTGCCGTCTGTCTAGGGGACTTATCCCCGTACAACGTATAGTTCCGGCAATTATTTGGCATCAAAATGCGCATGTTTTGACGTACGTGTTACAATACGTGTGCTGTATATTGTGAATTCACGTGACGCATGCTCGTGAGCCGTAACATCGGTCTCTCACGAAGCTGACGGTTTGTCAACGTTTGCAGGGACCTGCGTAACCTACAGACATTTTACACCTTCATCACCAGCGTGATCTTCATGATTCTAATGTTGATGGTGATGAGCTATTTCGAGGGCTGCGTGGTTGCCAAGCTTCCATTCGAGCCGATGTGGCCGCTTTCCCTGTTCACGCTGGGCGACACCATGACCACGGATCCCACCAACTGCTCGGCAACCTGCATCTACACTTTGCTCTCTATGGCGGTAAAGGATGGGATTCAAACGCTTTTGGGGTACGTGTTTTTAGTTTTTCAGCGTGACATGCCTCGCAGCTACCGCTCTCCGATGACCACCTTCTCCGAGATGAGCGTGAAATCGGGCGCTGAAAAGTCAGAATCGAAGTAGCGATCAGACAGTTTGCCGTCGGCGGCTTAATGTTAGTATAGATTTTGTCGGTGTCTACGTTGTGCTTAGTGTGCTCGCGCCTTCCAACGCCGCCGTGCGGCGCATTCCTCTCACTCACAGCCGTTCTGGGTGACCAATATTTACAAAATGACACACACGATAGAGGTGTCGGACTTGGTCAAGATTGAGCGTGTGGGAATCCACTCGCACATTCGCGGCCTGGGCGTGGACGAGAACCTGAACGTGAAGTACCACGCCGATGGCCTGGTTGGCCAGGTCCAAGCGCGCCGCGCTGCAGGTATGCTGCCTTGTGTAACGTGTAACATTCTTCAGCGCTGGTGGTAAAGATGATGAAGAGCGGGGTGATCGGCGGTAGGGGCATCCTGCTGGCCGGTCAGCCCGGTAGCGGCAAGACCGCCATCGCGATCGCAATATCGAAGGCTCTAGGGGAGGTAAGTGGCGCTTCACCATCCTTCCACACCTTCACCGGTGTCTAGCATCGACATCAGATGACTGCCTGTGTGATCTGTGTCTGGCGTCGTATTTATCTCGTGATTTTGCGCACTAATGCATGAAGTATTTCCATAGAATGGTCATATAGTGATGTTTGTATATATGGGAAAGATATTCGTGGTATCATGTATGTGTTACATCCCTTGTTTTTGTGGCGGCAATGATCCATCACGCCGACATAACTTTAACTGTCCAATTTTATTTTCAATGTGTATTCACTGGTGTTGCAGGACACGCCTTTCACCCACCTGAGCGCCTCCGAGGTATACTCCATGGAGATCAGCAAGACAGAGTGTCTGCTCCAGGCTTTCCGGCGCTCTGTGGGCATCCGGGTTTCGGAGGAGACCGAGGTGATAGAGGGCGAGGTGTCCGAGATTGAGATCGACCGTTTCGCAAATCGCCAGGTCGACCCGTCGTCGTTTAGCTCAGCGCCCGTCACTGTGGGAAAGATGACCATCAAGACCACTGACATGGAGACCTTGTACGACATCGGTCACAAGCTCATCGAAGTGATGAGGCGGGAGAACATCACGGCCGGAGATGTCATACAGATTGACAAGTCATCCGGCACAGTGCGTAAGCTGGGTCGCACGTTCTCCCGTTCCCGCGATTACGATGCCGTGGGCCCGAATGTGAAGTACGTGCCATGCCCGTCGGGCGAGCTGCAGAAACGGCAAACCGTAACCCACACGGTAACCTTGCACGACATTGACGTGATAAACAGTCGTTCGCAAGGTTTCATGGCGCTCTTCGCCGGCGACACCGGTGAGATCGACAGCGAGATCCGCAGTCAGATCGACGCCAAGATGCGGGAGTGGCAAGAGGACAACCGCGCCACAGTGATCCCCGGAGTACTCTTCATTGACGAGGCGCACATGTTGGATCTGGAGTGTTACACATTCCTCTCGCGCCAGCTGGAGTCTGAGACCTGCCCGTTCCTGATCCTGGCCACCAACCGCGGCATCACCCACGTGCGTGGGACCAACTACAAATCACCTCACGGCATCCCCCTGGATCTGCTCGACCGTCTATTGATTATTCCTACATTCCCCTTCCAACCGGAAGACACCGAGAAGATCATATCGGAGCGCTCCAGCGAGGAGGACGTAGAGTTGGACGACGAGTCACTGCAGCTGCTCCGCAAGATCGCAACGGAGACCTCGCTGCGTTACGCTCTGCAGCTTATCACTGCTTCCGACCTCATCCGGAGACGCAGGGGTGGTAGTTCGGTGACTTCGGCTGACATTCGGCGTGCTTTCGGGTTGTTCGTGGACACGCGCCGCAGCATCAAATACCTGATCGAGTACCGCAACGACTTCATGTTTTCGGAGATGCATGACGTGGTCGATGACGATCAGACCGAGACAACCTCAGAGATGCAGGTTGATAAGGATTCCGATGACAACGTATCCTGATCACCTGTCGATCGCATTGCGTCTTCGCAGACGGACGGCTACGCCACAGATGGTCTAGAAGCTGTACTTCTCGCACCTCTGCCAAGCAACGTGGACGCCAAATGTGCGGGTAATATGCTCGTATTAAGCGGCTTAAACCTCATAATGGCGTCTGCCCGCGCCCATGCCAGCCCATTGGTGGGCGCTTTGGCCCCAGGCATGTCACAGTGACATCAAACAGTGTTATACTTTATGTGCACGATAAAAGTACAATTCCGATTAGTGGGCCAGTTTGATCCCTTCGAAGGACTGGAGGTTTCTGAACTCCGGCGGGATGTAGTCCTCCGGGTTGATGTGAGGGTTGCGCCACTTGTGCGTGCGCCTAGCCTCGCAGTACTGCTGGTAGGCGTGGTGGCTGATTTGCGGCCCGACCTGGTGCCATACGAAGTGCTTGAAGTAGTCGTCCACCGGTATCGCGGGCTCAATCGGCTCGCGGTGGTTCCTCCATACGCCCTCAGCCCAGACGAATATGAAGGGCGCTAGGAACCCGATGTATATGGTGAGGAGGCAAGTGACTCTGTGCTTGCCCGACATCCATATTTCGGAGAGCGTGAACTTCTTCTGGTAGTCGGTGGAGTCGAAAAACTTGGCCAGTTCGTCCTCGTTGAATGCGTGTACCTGCGGCAGGCGGTACGAGAACCTGTCGTATCCTCCGTTCATGGGGTACCTCACGGTACGCAGTGATTCCCAGTTGTTCTCCACGGTCTTGGCCGAATCCAGCCCGTGGTACATGCGTTCTCCCTCTATTTTGGGGAGTTCGTAGCCTGCGTATAATGAAGGAACGTTTGTGAAAGGGCGCGTTGATACGAATACTACACTAAGGACGAGCAAATGGCACCATTCATACGGCACAAATGGTCATCCGTGCACACCGTAACAGCAGTGTATCACGGAAGCATCGAAAACTGAGGTACAGGCTACGCGCAGCGCAGAGGCCCAGCAGCGATCGTCGTAGCCCGGCAAGAGCGACACGACGCTCGAATGTCATATAATACACCCAACCAACCTTGTTGCATCGCACGTTTGAGGCGCCTCCTGTCGTTTTCCACCGCCTCCTCAACCGATGGATGGTAGACCACACCAGCTCCCGGCTTGAAGCCGACGAGCGGGCTGATGCGGCATATGCGCAACGCTCTGGTTATATTTAAGGCCATCTCAACTTGTCATTGGTCATGTGTCGACGGCTGTCCTGTTGAACGCCGCGGCTTTTCCCCCATGCCGCGCCATCGCGTTCTCAAGGGGAACCCTGATGACACCGGCACCTAGAGTTAGTCGCCAATTAGATGAATCGTGTTATGTGTGTGTTAGTACAGGTATATGTTGATTGTAAGATTTATTGGAGTATTAAGCGTTGCCGATTACTTCGCCAGCCAGGCCTACCGGTCTGGTCAACGGGGCAGGAATTCACTGTTTCCTACGCCTTTGGCAACTTAGAACCCATAAGCATACCATATTACAGCAACAAACGGTGTTCGAGCGCCGTCTTAAGGTTTGGTTGATGCCCTCGGCGCTGAACGCAAGCAACCCATAGACGGGGTCACGCAGTGACATGCCGCATAGCCTACGAGGCTGCCGACAGTAAATGTTATAAAGTGATTAGTTACTGTCGATCTATGAATACACTAAATGTATCCGTGCAGAACTATTGCGCACGGTGTAGTGGCGCCTTAAACCCGCTGGCCCGCATCGGCCTCTAGGCGATTCTGCAATCCGGCTTTGGACCCCGCAGGCAATCGCTTCGCTTTCACCTCTTGAACAGCTTCCACGATTACCCCATGTCCTATAGGTAGTTCCCGTTTTCGCGACGTATGTTGCCTCCGGGGCATCCGATGATTCTTAAACATTATACACATAATACACCAGTTCGCAATGGCGGATCTTAATGCGAAAGCCCTGCTGCTGCTTTTGCTGCAACATCTGCACCTGCCTCTCCCGCCTTTGCAGCTGCTGCCGCCGCCGCTGCTTTCAGTGCCTCGGTGTGGTCGGGGAATGCCTTGACCAACAGAGTCGACAGGAAACCACCAAGAGTGCACAGGAATGAGACAATGATCCTGAAGACCGTGGTGGTAGACACTCTGACTTCCCGTTCGAGCTCGGGTGGCAGCTCTCCTTCGATGCTCTTGTCAGAGAACGAGTTGCAGTATCCACCGACAGCTCCGAAGGTAATGACACCAATGGTGATGACGACAATGTTACCCAAAAAGGCGTTGTCGTGGTAGATCGTGCATAAGACGAGGAATCCGGCCGTACCAATGTTGCTGATAACCAGACCAATGATCCTGTTAAGGTTGTTGCATGGGAGCCATTTGTTGTCGATGAACACAGCCGTACCACGTCCGAAGGTCTCACTGATTTGGAAAATACCGATGAGCATGACCCTGCGGCCGACCTCCATCTTCATAGCACTGGGGATGATACCCGGGTAGAAGCCGAGGAGGGTGGTGTAGCTGATGCACTCAATAAGGACGATCCTCCATGCGTGCCTGAGCCCCTTGATAGCAGATCTGAAGGTGCACTTGACGGTACTGATACCGTCCAGTTTGATTTGCTCGTAGTGCCTCTTGATGGGTTCTCTGGTAAGGTAGATAACCATGTTGGTCGCGCTGACGGTAGACATGACGGCAAGGAATCCCAACATCCACGACATCATACCCTTGACGCTAGCAGCGTCAGTTCCCGTGTACACAGTGGTCCTCAATATGGTGGAGAAGACGAAGGGCAGGACACCACCAAGGGCGTAACCAAAGGTGAAGGGTCCGAGGTTGTTAACGGGTCCGAAGGCGGCGAGAGCGAAGGATGAAATACCGTTGCAACCGAAGATGAGACCGAACACACCGACCACAGCCAGGTAGGCGTACTTACCCGTGTCACCCTCGCACATTTGCAACACGATGATCTGAGCGATGCTCGCCAACGCCTGCGCGAACGAGACGACGACCGGCAACCAGGGCTTGACGGCGTTGCACCAGAAGACGATGATGTTGAAGAGGCACGAGGCACCTTCTAGAAGGTAGACGACCATACCAGCGAAGTTGGACACCCCGAAAGCGTCAGACGCCATACCAGCAAGCATAAAGGAGCTGTGGACGCATAGCAGCACACAGAACCCCTGGCAGATGCAAGATATCATCGAGTAGGCCAGCATGCCGCGGCTGAGCTTCTCCTTGGGAGATTCATTGCTGGCATGCTTCTCGACGAAGTTTTCGCCCGAAGACATGTCTACAGTAGCGACGGTGTCATCCATTGTGGAATGCGTGTGGGTTGCGAGAGGGTTAGGATGATTTGGCTAGATTCCACCAAATAAGTCGTGCCTTTTGTGCGCAATGCCGTTTAAGGCAGAAGATAATGTAAGCGCGCAGGCAACCTCACAATTGTGTGCAGATCCATGACTTGTGTGCGAGGCGTTTGGTGGGAATGTACGTAAATCGCTGGATTCCACCGAGACACTAACGTAGGCGGTTACGGCTGAATTGTATGTGAATGTAGTAATCTGCGTTTCCGGCACAAGTCACGTCAAAACGCCTGGTCTGAGCTGGAGGCGCGCTTTAAAAAAGTCAGTGGTAACCCGCCCGAGTAACGGAAGAATAGGGCACATAATTTTTTTGTCACAATGCGTCGGCCTCCGCATGGTAATCGTCTATGTACTGTTAAAAATGAATATATGTAACATCGATACGTAGAATCCCACATTTATGACCGTCAACGGCGCTCAGGAATATGCGCGCAACCTAAATGTCTTCCAATTCGAATGCAGCTTCTGTTGGATTATCTTAGCATAGAATTTAGATGTGCTTTAATTTAATGTGCTACACGCCTGCCAACATGCCTGCAACCGCCTATTCGCCAGCCTCGCGCGAAGGTGTTGTTTTCTTCGCACGGTATCACGTTTTTACTGTATATTTAAATAAGTTCGAGATGCCTTAGCACAGCTTAAAAGTGGCGCTTGCCGGAATAGAGCCCGGAGCGTGAGTCGTCCAGACCGTCCTTGGAGTGGAAGTACTGCTTGCCGTTGTCGCAGGTGCGCTCGAAGAGCTCCACCTCCTTCACACATTGCGCGATGTTGCCCTCATGTTGCATGAGGCAGTCGCGAAGCGGCTTCATTTGGCAGTAGTCATCCTTCTTCCTCACCACCTGTTTCTTTGGCATCCTATATGAGGTTGCGCACGGTCTGGTACACCTGTGCGTGCTCCTCGATTTTTTCGTCGCCTAATTCCTCAGCGACGGTTTCGCAGCTGTCGGCGAGGTCTTTGGCGGCTCCAGCCAGCCCGGAGTCCCTGAAGCAGAGTACCAGTATGGCCTTGTCCTTTTCGTCGATGCTGTCTAAGTTTGACATCCAATGTTGTATACAAGCTTTTTTGATAAAGATAGGGAATATTGTGGCCCCTAGAAGGCTGTATTGGGAACATAGCGCGCCCGTCCCGACGAGCGTCCTGACCACCGGGTCAGTTCCCTCCAGGGGCATCACACATTTCGTTGCTACGACTTCCAGCAGCTCCCTCACAGCAGATTCCATTTGTGGCCACATAGTCTCGGCGTTCAGCACGACGTTGCCGAGCCCCGTCTTCTGCAGCCAAACGCGCACAGAACCTTCCTCGCCGTATGTGCCAAGGATCCCATCACCCTTGGCAGGGCCGTCCATGTCACGCGCATCAGTCTGCCATTTGTTCAACACCTCCGACATTCGCGCGTTAAAGGCGTCGATAACGCCGCTGTCACCCCTGGATGCGTAGTTGCTCAGCGCCTTGATTTGCGCGGTGCAGACCTCGTGAGCCTGAAGCCGTTGCTCAATGTCGGCCACCAGTTTAAGCGTCGATTCCGAGGCGACTTCGTTACATGCAGCTTTTATCTTCTCGAGAACTACCGTGCAGGCTTTGAGAAGCTCCTGTCCAAGGTCCAAACCCAAAAGGCTATATACACTCATCAGCAGCTGATTTCTCTCCACCGATTTAAGCACTGTTACCACGATGACGTGCAGTCTATGGTTGAAATCAACAATGTTTTCGAGTTCCACCTTCTTCACGCTTCCGACTATTAGCTCAATCGCTTCCTTCCAATAGCTCTCCTCCATAAAGTTTGTGTACTCCGCCGGCTTGGGAGGCATGATCTCGTCGCTCTCATCCGGAGTGGCTACACCCAGTATGCGCTTCAGGATCGCCAGTGCGCCTGGGTTCATGTTGCGGCAGAACAAAGTGTACATGGCGGAGGCGAGCTGGTGTGACAGCACCTGCTCACACCCTGCGATGCACCCAACAGCCGGTTTATTTGTGTCATCCTTCAACGCTTTCAGCCTATTATTCCATAATCGGTTTGGATCCTGGCTGTAACGCCCCTTTTGCATGAGCAGGCACAGCGAAGCTTCCACGAGTGTCTCCAGGCTACTGCTGCCAAGGGCGGCTTCGCATTTGCGCAACAGTAGTGTAGTGTTGTACTTTACGACCGATGGAATTCTGTCAAGCATTGCCTGCAATTGCTGCCGGTGCATCTCCCCCGAGAGCCTCTGCCGCTCCGATTCCAAGTGGGCGATGAAATCACATTTATCTGAATCACTGTTGGGTTCCTCGATTTTAGGCGCATCATCTGCTTTTTGCGGATCTGCAGGCGCATCCGGCTCAACAAGCTGCTTCACCTGTGAGATTAATGCCGGCGACATCCCGATTAGCTTGAAGGACTTGAGGAACATGTTCCTCTTGAGGAGCCGGAAGTTCTCCATAGAGAGGTTCTGCAGCGTGTGTACGCTCTCCAATATATCTTTGCGACGGTCGTTGTTCTCCACTTCTTCTGGCACTGCGGCGGGTGGGTCATCCTTTTCCTGCGGGTCTTCGTCACTACCAATGGAATGTTGCCGTTCGAATGCCGCTTCGGTTGGCTTTGCAGTATCGGCTTCGGATGCCTTTGCAGTGTTGTATTCGGATGGCCTTTTCAAATCGAACTTTCTGCTTTGGCCAGCAAGATCGTTCAGAGAGGCCTGCGCCTCCTTGACCACGCTACACAATCCTAGCATGTTGCCGGAGTAGAGCTTCATCGGCTCCAGCTCCTGGGTCATGACATCCTTCATGGCGTTCTCGAGCTGATAGTTGGCGAGGTGCATGTTTTGCAGCGTCTTCATCACCGTCATTTCGTCGGTGTCTATGAAGAGCCGTTCGAGGTCGATCCGCTGCATCTCTCGCTCCTGCTCTATCGCGGCAGGATCACCTACGGCGTCGACTTGCGCCATTTTACCACCAATAGCGCTTCACTGATAACCAGAGCTGGAACTCCACACATCAACATAACGAAAGCAAGGTTACGCTCAACGTGGTGACATGTGGCTGCCTATTACAACCAATGCCAGATAGTCCTCGGCTGCACTGTTCAACAGAGGCAAGCCGTTAATGCAAGTGTGTTTCGCGCGCCAGGAAGGCTCGCACACGCAACGCCAAGAATCGCCTCCAGACGTCAACGGTAAAGCAAATAAGCACATATAAAACTAATACGGTGGCGTGTAGAACTAATGTGTACGGTGTCTCTGTTACGAGGCTTATGGTTCCGCCAAGGTCACACACCGACGGCCGGCTCTCCGCCGCCAAACCGCTCCAACGGTACAAATTCGTGCCTTATCACGTAACGGCGGACAGCTAATACGTGCAAAACTGTACAATTCCGCGCGCCAAATAAATTACGACGGCTACCGTTGCTGCCTACGTGTCATTAGTGGTCACACGTGCCGTTTCAGAAATACTCGATTAGAGATTCGGTGCGCCTGCAGTCTATCGGTACAACCGATGACTGGTCGTCAGTTGCTCGATGCTGTGCGCGTGGCTTGCCCAGCACCGGCGGCCGCTGCTACGTGAACAGCAGTCCCAGAATTTATAAATGGTTGAAAGAATAATCCCGTGCATTGGATGGGGCGATGCTACCACATCCCTTCAATCATATCAGGGCGTCCGTCGTTGAAATCATGCGTGCGACAAGGGTGAATCCTACCTCGGCTTTTGCCTACCCATAACCATGCGACTTTCCGGAACGGCACCCGCTCTGCTACCTCGTTAAGATTTATCGCGCCCGTTACGTCTAGTATTGGTGCGAGCGTTGCGTTTTGGTTGCTTGTGCACAGTGAGCGACTCCTTGACGTTGCGGAGGTACTTCAGCGCGTCGATGGTGACACGCCTGTTCTTTACCTGGAGCTGATGTATCCACCTGTAGGAATAACCGCGTCTCTTGCACGTCTTGAGACAGTTGTACGCTGCAATATCCCACAGGCCAAGCACGTAAGCGGCCTTGTAAAGCTCCACAATCGTCATGTCGCCAAAGGTGCTCTTGGCAGCAATTTTCATGCCGTTCGCCGCAAGCACAGGGTCGCACAGCTCAGCGTTCTTCATGCGGTCCATATGCAACACCTTCCGCAGGTTCGTGCGTCCGCTTGTGCCAATGGGTATATTGAAGCCGGGGTACCACCGAATTAGGGCGCCGGGCTTGATCTGCGTCTCTGCGAAAGTGGCGAACCTAATGGCTTCTTCGTGGGCTCGAGCCTTCCCAAACGCGCTGGCAGCGAATGTCCTAGTTTGTTTATCTGTTATGTTCGCATTCTCGTCGCTGGCCCACCAGGTGACGACGTACACGTGACGTGATGGGTCCCACCTGACCGTCGGTTGGTAGTTGGATGCACCAGTGCTGCACGCCAGCAACACGTCGTTGAGGTCGCCGCTCGTTGCGGTTGCGGCCGCAACAACCTTCTCTTTTTGCAGTGTTAGGCCTTCGGTTTCGTTCTGGTTGATCTTTCTTATGAAGACATACGTTTCCTCTGGGGCCGCCGCTTCGCTGTTCAGGTCGTACTGACTTCCCAGATCCTCTATGTAGTGGTTACCCTCGAACGATTGCTGCAAGGTGAGCAGGTCAATGTCGAGGTTATCCGTTTCTCCCTCCCTGAATGTTTCTACGATTCCGCTGAATTGGTCCAGTCCGTCGACGCCAGGCATCTTGAACTTATCGTTGTCAGCCTGGGAACCTCCGGCCATTGATGACCCATCATTATCAACCTCCGCATCATACTCATCTCCAAATGCGGATGCACCGTGCTCACCATAGACACCGGCCTGTGTCCTGCCCCCCCCAACGTTCTTGGCATAGGACCCGTGCCTGGTGTGCATGACTTGCACATCAACAATTCGCTCGACGATCCCCGATCGGCGGCGGTCAACGAACGCAGAATCCATATGAGACCTATGGAAGTCGTTTGACAGATCGTCTTCAGCATTGTTTATCCCAGAGTCCGCACAGTCGGCCCTGACGTGATCGCCATCGATTGAACCACACAAATCGCTTTGATATGTCGTGAGTTCAGCAGCAGCCTCAACGAAGCTCTTCTGACGGCCACTAGAGAATGGTGAATTTATGGTTGGCGTTCTGGAGACGGTTTGGTTTCGGATGACGTAAGCAGTGTTGCGGTTGCACACTGATTCTAGGCTGCCAAGACCACTCAGCTGCGGCACGTTAGGCACCTCAGACGAAGAATCGTAGTAGCCGACACTTGCAGGAGTTGCCGGAGTCGCTGGGGTTGCGGGCGTCGCCGGAGTGGTGGGCGTAGGTGCCACGGTGCTCGTTGAGTCCCCCCCACGCACGTACATGCTCTGGCCCGCCCGCCTCTGAACCTCATATGCATCATTGCTCAACATCACAGGCGACTCCAGCTTACGTTTATACCCCTTGCCGTATTCCTCAAAATGCGTATTAAAAGTTGTAAGGTCGTTCGTGCTTATCCTGCCCTGTACGTGCCTACCCCGCATCCTCATCGGACCTTGAAACTGTGGCATCTTCATCTGGGTCATGTATTCGGCCGGATTGTTCATCCCCGACATCGATTGAGAACCCATGCCTAAGTTTTCGTTTCTGCTATGTCTATACTTTGACCCAATATTCGGAATGTCGGGGCCAGGACAGCGCAGGCCCGGCGTATCGTAGCTGCTGCACACGGAGTTGGACGTGGATTCAAAGCCTCCAACAAATTCGCCTCGATCGAACGAACTTGTTACCGTGTTCGTAGATCCGTCAAATCCGCTAAAGCTGCTCATGACTGCTTCATAAGAGTTCAGGTTGTACAGGGAACTATCCAAGCTTCCACCGTTGCCTCCGCTGAAGTTTTCAACATCAGCCGGCTGAAGAGTTCCCTCCGGCTTGTACGGACCCGGTAGCATGTAATGCTCCAGTGACTTGAACGGTTCAGGTGGTAGGTAGTGATCCGGCGTCTTGAATTGCTCAGACCCTGAGTATGGATCCTGCCCATTATATTGGTCGACCCCTTTGTAATCCGCAAAATGAGACGTTAAATCGAACGGAGTACCCAGGTTCAGAGCATAGCCATCCTGCGAACTCCTCGGTGTCGGAAGTTCGTACCAGTTGCTCCAGTCCGCGAGGTAGCTTGGTTCCATCCCAACGATATCATCCCTGTATTCGTCCGGCAAGTTCTCCCCGAACGTATGTTCACCTGATACCGCGGCTGCAACGGACTCTCCCAGAACCAGCGGCTCCAGCTGGGTGTTGTCCGGCAACGTTCCCTCCCTGGACTCCGAGAACTGGTCACCCTGGTACTCCCCCCCGAAGGACCCATCCTTGTCAGAACTCACGAACGGCACCATCTTAGCTGTTGCGTTTTAAATGCGTCCAACACTTAATTTCCTCTCCTCAACGCAACTGCCTGAATGCCAACCGTCAGTCCTCGATGAGCCGACGTCACAACCTTCCGTATGAGTTTAGGGATTATTCCTCTTTGAGGACCACTCGCACACAGCGGATTGCAATCAAGCTGCAAACCTAAAAGCACACCAAAGCAACTCGTGTAGGCAGTGACCTTGCCTATGGCTCGTTTCGGAGCCTAAAAAATCCTCTGGTATCCCGCAGAAATCAGCTGCGAGCCACTCCCCGTAGAGTCCACGACTCCCACTTCTGTCGTCCAACGACAGCGCCGCGGGAGACAGACTGGACGCTTTAGGCGTCCTTGCCTGGTATGCCTGGGGCAGTCGCCTCAGACGGTGTGGACGTAGGCGTGTTGGGGTATAATGGGCAGCGTTCAGCAGGATATTTGATGTAAGCGCCGGTTACAGATATATATTGACCCCGGTTCTGTTGGCCGATTTGCCAACTGCTGGAACAGCTGCGCGCAGCTGTAATTCAATATCCAGATCGGGGCCACCCGCGTGTGGTCCAGGCTCGTCTGCTTCCCGTCTATCGGTGGTTCTTTCAGTGCTTGCCTAAAGCGGCTGCGGGAAAAACGGCGGACAATGACCCAGTGGACTTCAGCACTGCTAGAAATGTCCACTTGTAGCACATGTGTGATTGTCAGCCTCCACAGCGTCTTCTATTCTCGGGTGTAAGTAGTGCATGTGCACACCGAATAGCGCCCGGCGTTTGTAACTCACCCCAGAAAGCTGACAAGATCTGTTTTACGGCCTACTTACTGGCTTTTATGGTCATAACGTGGTCATTCTCGGTAGTCGACAATCCGCCGATAGCCCGCCCTCGGGAGGTGTCAAACGAGTCAGGTATTCCCCTATTACGTTTCCACCGTATCCGGTTGGCCAGCCTCTTCTCTCAGTATTACCCTAGGGTGTGAAAAACATGGATTCCAATACGCAATTTTGGGAAGGCTTGCGCATCCCATCGGATATGGAATCCAGTTCACGACGTGAAATGAGAAGGCGGCTGCCGGACCACGTCCCTAGGAGACGAAAAAAAAATATAAGATCGCCCCCAGTCGGCTGCGGAGGTTGTCGTCGTGTCTCATGCACGCATATGCGCCCGATGCGACGAGCGTGCAGCTAGGCAGCGAGCCTCTGCCATGTATCCGCGCGATTTTGCGGACAGCAACCGACCTTCCATCGCTTTACTAGATATTGTTTTGTTGTTTTCGCTTTTCGTAACAGTCTTCGTGCTCGTGTGACGCGCCGTCTACCTCTCAGTGTCTCGCATGACTACCCGGAACCACACAAACGTGCATTAGCCCATATTTTGTCTAATCGGGTCCCTGTAGGGCCCGGGACGAGCCTTTTGTTTCGCAAAAAAGTAGATTCGCGTGTTTACAAAGCCGTCCGTGCAATGTGCGCCGCCGGAAGCCTCTGCTTGGCGCTTCGGCGGCAAACGTGGCTCAAAAGTTGATGTAGACACGTCTACAACGTTGATGCCATAGCACCATAGAATTTGACCATTGCGCGGCTTTCCAAATATGGCGTGTCTATTAGGTACATATATAGCAAATATCCAGTATAACGAGGTGCTGCACGTACAGCTCCCTCTGGCTGCATTAGCGCTATAGCGTCACTTGATTGTCGTACTTAAGCTACCAGTCGGTTGCCAGATATGCTATAGTATAAAATACGGCGCTGTACTTGTGCGTGATTGTGTTCGTTAATAGCTTTAGTGAGGCTAACTGCCTTGTGGGCCTACAAAGGCAAATGCAGCAAGTAACGCACGTTACGGATAACATCCATCGCTAACGGCAATTACAAAATAGTACACCATTTGCAGGCCATATCTCGCAGCTGAATAAGTGTCCTTTTGCCTAAAGTGATTTGTATGTGTACATTGTTACATATGAAGCCTCCGCCGCGCAGGTATAACGGCAGGATGACAGCTTTTTATCGAAGACATTACTGCTCATTATATCTACTTGTCTAGCATAATTATATATGAGCCTTTTCGACGTCTGTGATGTGAATGTGACCCGTATCTCTGTAGCGCGCACGACATCGCGATGATGCTGTTGTTTTTGTTGCCTGACCTCCGTGCAGTCTATGGCGATTTTTGCGAAGAAATGTCTTTAGACGAGGCACTATGTAACTTTATGTTAGGATGTAGCAGGGCTTCATCGCTTTGAGCGCTCACACACTGCCGCCACCATGTATCGCAATATTATCTCTCTCGTCTCGGTAGCGTTGTTGGCGCACGCTACTTGTGTGTGTTCGGAGTCCTTAGGAGCAAGGAAGCGAAAGTCACCTTCGGCAGTGCCAGGGCGCTTTACCCAGTCTGCTATTCAGGTATGCCGCAGTTTAGCCTGTTTGTTTTTTATGAGAAATGGGCACTTTCATCACCCATCTGTTGGGAAATCGGTCTTATATCGAATGTGCAGGCTAGTCGTAATGATGAGAAGGGTGTTATGTCGCTGCTTTTTCACGGACCGGTGGCACCGCGGCACATCAGCTTCGGCATAGAGGACTCCAACGAGGTTAGTAGTTACACCTATCTGGTTTAATACATGACACGACGCTACATTAGTGGCTGTATGCGTGTGCTGTGGGACCGTTCTTCGCATAACGCTAAAAATACGCAGGGAGTCGCCAACGAGATTGCTATCGCAGAAGGTTTGTAAAACTTTATACGTTTACAATATGGCTTAGACATGAACACGCTTGAGAACACGCTCAACAGGTTACAGGAGAGCGAGCAGAATCAGCTCGATGCCGTCCAGGAGTCTTTGTTCTTGCAGAACGCGCAACTCGACGAACTCCAGCGCTTCATATCGCGGCCACCGCGTAATACAGCAGCCGTTACTAAACATGTAAATAAATAGTTATCGCCACTTTCCATGATAATCGGTCGCTACGGTGCTGTTTATACTACGGCGTGCTCACGCGCAAATCCCATATCCGCCGAAACCTTGTAGTGCTCCTTGCATAGGCGATTAATAGCGACATGCCGCTGTGCGGCCCAGACTTGAATTAAAATTCGCAGTGGAAGTCACTGGTTGCCGTGATTCTTTGCGTAGAACGCATACTTGCGATACTCAGGTGACCGTTCTGCGCACGGTGTCTTGGCTGCCATAATGGGCCAGGATCGCGCCAATGAAGGCGGTCAATCCGCCGTACTGCGCGAGTTGCGGAAACGCAGCGTAAGCGCCGCGAAAAACTACCTCAAGAAGCTGGTAGGTGGTATTGTGTGTTTTTGTAACGGTGGCGCAGAAGCGGAAGCAAAAGTCCGCCAATGAATCGGAGTCGGCTGAACAACAGTCGCGAACAGCACGTCTACGCGATGTTCTTAAGGAACATTTTGGCGATTTGGATGCGCAGAAGAAGGATGCGGAGTCCGTGGATGTCGAATACGTCGCGCCCGCAAGTGTGGGTGGCGAGTTCAAAGAAGTTTTCGACCGCTTCGCTCAGCTCGAGCGCATCTCGTTGGACCTGGAACCCACGCCCGAGGAGCAGGAGGTGCCGATTGAGAACGAGTTTGATTCGTCCGATGAGGAAGAGGAGGACGAGTCGCGCCGTACCATGAGTAGCAAGAAGAAGCTGAAGTTGATGAACCGCCCTACCTTGGCGCAACTGAAGCAGATGGCTGACAAGCCGGAAGTGGTGGAGTTTTGGGATACCACTGCGGCGGACCCCAAATTTTTGGTCTGGCTGAAGGCGCAGCGCAACTCAGTCCCCGTGCCATCGCACTGGAGCGAGAAGATGCGATACATGCAGACACGTCGCAGCTACGACAAGCCTGCGTACAAGTTGCCGTCGTATATTGAGGACACCAAAATTGCGGAAATCAGGTCGGCGTTGAAGGCGAAGGAGGCCAACAAAACGCTCAAGCAGAAGATGCGCGAGAAGGTGCGACCCAAGTCGCACAGGATGGACATCAACTACCAGGTAGGGCTGCGTGTCCGGATTACTTGTTGTAACTGTGATTGCAGATTCTCCACGATGCGTTCTTCAAGTACGCCACGAAGCCCGCGATGACCAGGTACGGAGATGTGTACTACGTGGGCAAAGAGATGGAGCTGCGGATGCGTCACTACAGGCCGGGGCATTTGAGCGACCGGCTGAAGAAGGCGCTGGGTGTGGGAGAGAATGCCCCGCCTCCGTGGTTGATTAACATGCAACGGTTTGGGCCTCCGCCGAGCTACCCGAACCTGAAGATCCCCGGTGTGAACGCACCTTTGCCGGAAGGGGCCTCATTCGGGTTCCACGCCGGAGGATGGGGGCAGCTGCCGACAGACGATTCCGGTAACCCCATCTTCGGCTACATTGACTCGACGTACTACGAGGACGGGCATATCAACAAGGAGCTCTGGGGCGAGCTGCCGAAGGGTGAGACCGACGACGATTCCAGCGATGACTCCGACTCTTCGGATGACGAGAAGGCTGAGGAGGGAACCGCTGTGGTGGCCCCGACTGTCGAGACGCCAATCCCTGTCGTTGGCGCCGGGTTGGATACTCCACTTGATATGCGTGCACCCGCCGATCCGCCCCGGGCCACCCCGCGCAAAGCGTACACGGTTCTCGAGCCCAAGGCAGCTAATCGCAGTGCAAATGCACTTTTCGGGTCGCAGATAACCTATTCAATGCCTCCGGTTGCTACGCCAATTGTAAGTTACTTTGTGCCAACCACTTACATCCGTTCAGACGCCAGTCACGGGCAAGGCCGGTGCCGCGACGCCCCTGGGAGGCATGGTGACGCCGTCGCTTCAGGCAGACGGCGCGATGAGCGCTGAAGGCGTGATGCGCCAGCTGAAGTTCTACGAGACCAAGGCCAAATTGGTCCAGGAGGCTGCCGGCCAGATTGTCACCGAGGCCACGGAGCAGAAGCGTGCGAAGAAAAAGAAGGAATTCAAATTCTAAGCTGCCTAAGGAAAATTCGCGCAACTGCGTGAATAGCATCACAAGGACTTTATCGATAGACACATTACTAATTTATTGTAAATTCTTTTTGAGTGCATCATGGTTCATGTATCCGCATTGGCCGATGCCCAGGTTGCGGCGCTGTACGACCATGTCTCCAGCAGCGGCGAATTGTACTGCAAGAGCGACCTCGAGTGCCTGATGCGGCAATTCGAAATCAAGGCTTCGCGGCATCGCGGTAACGTGTCAAGCATAAGTAGACACACCCCCGTAGAGGTTGTGAGCCAGCTCCTGCAGGAGGGGTTGCTCCGCAGCCAACGCTTCAAGAATGTTACAGTGATCTGGTGAGCACCGCTTTTAACCGCGGATTCTTATCTCGCGTGCAGGTGTCCAGTGCCCCCGGCATCAGAGGACGGCAAAAAGGTAGAGGTGCCAGCGACTTCATCGGAGTTAGTACCTCCCGACTGTCCTCTTAACCCCATTTCCACAGATCTGACAATGCAAACCTTAAACTGCGATGCGATGAATTAAAGGAGGAGCTGGCCAAACTGGAGGCAACGAAGGGCAGCAGTGATGTATGTAGGATATGTGCATGTCGCCTCCAACCTCTCTATACCTACTTAACACTATACTATGCTACAGTCTATGCGTGAGAAGGGCGAGATTATTCGGCATGAGATCAAAGTGCTGGAGGAGCAAAATGCCGCCAAGCGCAAGGAGGCAGCTGCGAACCTCGACGGCGAGCGTAGGGAAACGGCAGCCTACCTCACTAGGTAAGTGATTGCTTCCACCACAAACAAGGCGGCCATTAAACAGTCAATTTTATGCAGGTTGAAAACTAGCACAACGTTGCTCCAGAAATACGTCTCCGACACATATTTAGTGTCTAATGAAGCATGAAAGGCGCACCGCATCTGTGTTGGCAGCTTCACGGACACTGGATGGGGTAGCTGGGTAGCTCCGCAAGCAGCAAAATAGACTTTAAAGAAATAAATTTAATGCCACATATGCTTTTTGCGATAAGTTCATGCGTTAGCAACCGATCACCCAGTTGGCGCACGCATCGGGTGTAGTTGCGTAAGCCGACAACTGAATAGTGCATCAGTTTTGGAATTGGATGTTGTATGACCCGGTGTTCTCGTCCTTGTTTACTTTGAAATTGTCCAGAGAAAGGCCGATCTTACCCAGAAGGGTGTTCCCTAGGTCTTTCAGTTTTCCCATCATTTCATCCTTCTCCTTGGCAAACTCCTTTTCAGCTGCGACTGGATGAAGGTTTCACTACAGTGCATAGAATACATCGTATATCCGCTATCAATTGCGTAACGGATGGGCATACAGAGCTGTGTGAAAATTTTACTACGTACCTCCCACTTTTAATTTGCAGATCTTGTCGCGGTATTGCGGCTCTATTGTGCCATCAAGTTCCACGGCTTTGTTCAGGTCAGCAAGGGCTTTCTGCTGCATGCCCATTTTCTCGTACGCCGAGCCGCGCCTTAGGTATGCCTATATGATTATTAGAAGAACACGTTATGCAGGGCGGTAGATATGCAAGAACGCAGCGCGCCCAATGGTGCGACAAACTTCTCACAGGGTCACAATGACATAGATGTGTTTACACAATTTGTATGACTTTGACAGGCATTATAATATGGCATTATCAATTTTGCAGCTGTAGGAACAGCGCTTCAATATGCCTTACTCTCACAATTCAAATCCGTCAACGAATAACAAGTACACTCTCCACATATTTCTACAATAGAATGCGCAAAATTCTATGAAAAACGTTGAATAATCATGCCACATATAAACGTTAACTATGATATTGGCGACGCACAACGTGACTTTAACCCTTAACAAAGGCTCACCTTCACGTAAGAGCGGTCCAGCATTACGGCTTCTGTGGCGTCTGCCACAGCGGAGTCGAAGTCCTCCATTGCGATATGACATGCGGCTCTGTTGCAGTACAACTGTGCTCCCAGAGCGTCATTGTCGGAATGCTCAAGTCTCAGAATGGCATCCGTATACAGCTCGCGTGCCGCAAGATAGTCTCCGTCTTTAAAAGCGTTATTACCACGCTCTTTTAGGAAGCTAGGAGAATGTCTGCCAAATAGATAACGTTCGCCACCGGATTCGAGCGTGTCTTCATCACATAAGGTGGCGCTAGAAGCATCCTTGTCATCGGTCGCAGGGGCTTCCTTGGAGGAGTCACCCTCATCGTTCACATAACACCTATCGTCACTCATAGCACGAACATTAGAAGCATTAAAAAGTCGACTGTTGTCTGGTTCCGTTGGGTGTGTTTCTGGTGGGCTCTGCGGACGTCGAGTGTCGCTCATGGCTCGGTACCGCTGCGGCCCGGCGACCCACTTCCAACAACCGACGCGGCGCAAATGCGGCGTCCATACGCAACTGTGTGTTACGCTTAAATCGACACGGTGGTGATTGAGGAAGGCTCCGGCGAGGCGGTATCTCCGACATACAGTGCAGGCGATACCGCAAGCACTCCCGGGAAAGGGCCTGCTCATCAAGGCGCAAACAGTACGCGGCAATGCTGCACTGCCTCTGATGCTAGTGCTAGCCACAGGTGCGACGCTAGGTTCCATCTCGTTGCGCTTTTGCTCGGCGAAGCGGTGCGTCTGCCCGTGGTTGCCTCCGCCTCTGCATGTCTCATCGTAGAATCAAGCCTCAGCCCCGGAACGCGTTACCCTCCATTTCCGCAAACGTATGGTCAACCGGCAGTGCAAGTTGGTCAAACGTAGGGGTGAGGTCGCTAATCAACGACCGGAACTCGCCTGACGACACATCATCCTCGTCATCATAAATGAGAATATCGGACAGGTCTAATTGTTGCCCACTCCCGCTTCCGTTCTCCTCCATGGTTGCGTCCTCCGCGTAGGTCTCGTCGTCTGGATAGGTTTCGTCGTATATCGTGCCTGGCGAGTACAATCCCTCGTTCATTTCCGTAGAGAATATGGGCGCCTCTGATGCGTCACCTTCAACGCTTGAATCTCCGAACGCGCTATAATCCATATCTGGAATGCCATCCGCTACTGTTGATGCTTCAGGGTCTAGTGTGGGAGGTATTAGTTCGACAATTGTCGGCTGTAATTCGGAGAGGGAGATATCACTATCTCCATCGTCGACAAGAATATCCGATGCATCTAGTAGATCAGCTATGGGGTCGAGCCCTGGCGGTATCATGCGTGCGATAAGGTTTTCTAAATGAAAGGAGTCATTTGCGTCATCAGCATGATTTATCGGAGGCTCGGTGGGTGGTGTTTGAGCTCTCGAATAGTTGAGAGCATCCTCGGTCACAGCGCACAATACGATAGACGAACTCTCTGAGCGAACAACGGCAGGGCGTGGGGTCATATGAATCGTGGTTCGCAATCTACCGCGACTTTGTGACTCAACACGACTAATCAAGAAATCCACGTCGTAGGTCACGGTGTTTCTCGACGCATCGTATGTCGCATATTGTTGAAACATCGGCATGTGCTTCAATTGCGTTGGCACTAATATGTATATATGACGCGTGGACGCATGTGCTGAGCTTGGTGTCATCTCGTTTCCGTCTCTCGTGATGTCTGATAGCAACAACGTCCGCAATACCGATTCAGAACCCACGCATCCGCTTGGTGTCCAGTTACACAACACATCACCACTGGGGATCCACGACACATCGGCCTTTTTACCGTTCACTTTGCTCATATGTGATATGTCTACCATAATTTCTAAGTCGTCATCCAAATGTATATAATAATAATCGTCCAGCATAAAAATGTAATATTGAGCGCATTCTCTACGAAATATAGCAGTATATCCCAGAGGAAAATGCTTAATTTCTGATATGCCAATCTCGCCAAATTGATATTTCATTCGTTCTATTCTCCATTTTCCTTCCGACTGCAATCTGATGAAACTCAACACCTTATATGTGTATCCGCGAATATTGTGTTTACTTTTCTTCAAATCTACCAATGGATGTAGTGGTATTCCTGGTGTCGTATGAAGTGATAACAAAATTGGGCCACGTAAGAAATTGATCAAATCTGACACCTTTTTCGGAACTGGCCCATTCTCACTACATTGAACAGTTCGACTACGGAAGACCACACGATTCCCTAGTGTTGAACCAAAGGAGTACTTTACGTACCGTTCATGACCTACACGAAAATCTTCCATATGCGAGTAGACCAATTCCCCAGTATAGCCCACCAAATATTCAATCTCCGTTTTACCATATTTTATGTCCGTTATTAGCTCCTCTATACCACGTATAAATCTGTATATACCGCCGTTCGAGAGGGCTCCGTGAAAGGTCTCAACTCCATCAGGTAAACGGTCTGTCATAAGGTCGACAACGATGCCACTCACCGCGCATCTAATGAAAATAATCACATATAACAAATTATTTCTTAACCAGGACATCTTTATGCCATACATCTTTACGAATCACAATAACCGTCAGGAAAGCAATGGGCATAGTTCAAATTGCAGCATTTGCAGGCCACCAGCATAGGCCAAGATTACTGCAGTTTTACATATTAAGGCGTCTACAGAAGCTAAAGATGTATAGTGATGAAAGTTTAACCTTGTGGCAATCAAACAATAGTGATCGAGCGTGACCAAGTGGAAAGTTGAACATTAGTGTACTTTCCTAATACCTACACGTGGAGCATTACGAGTGATACAGGGATTATATCACAGCTCCCTACTCACTAATGAGACACTGGAGGGCGAAGAGCTGACGGTTGCGAGGAAAAGCCTCTGCTACCCCAACACATACGCAGCGGGAAAATGGTAACAGCGGCACACTGCAAAACGCCTCAAAACACGACCTGCTCAGTCTCCAGGTGATCAACATGATACCCAAACAGTACATCGAGACCAACAGCACGCAAAACAGCACAACCACAGCATTCACAACGCGGAAGGCAGACACACGACACTCACAGACAACAACGACACACCCATCGTCAAACACAAAAGGGGCAAACACAAACAACAAATAGACGCTACGCGCTAACCACCATTACTAGTACGCGCAACGGCACGCATACACCCATCATACGGCCAACACCGTCCACAACAGAATAGAGACGCACATACACACGCAACACCAATACCAACAGCAGCGCCGGGATTACCAACGCAAATCATCCTAGCGCGCTACATCATGTACTCAGCGTATATATGCTCGGTTGTCTGGTTCCGTTGGGTGTGTTTCTGGTGGGCTCTGCGGACGTCGAGTGTCGCTCATGGCTCGGTACCGCTGCGGCCCGGCGACCCACTTCCAACAACCGACGCGGCGCAAATGCGGCGTCCATACGCAACTGTGTGTTACGCTTAAATTAATATGGTTGGCCTCGAGGAAGGCTCCGGCGAGGCGGTATTACCGACATACAGTGAAGGCGGTACCGCAAGCACTCCCGGGGAAGGACCTGCTCATCAAGGCGCAAACAGTACGCGGCAATGCTGCACTGCCTCTGATGCTAGTGCTAGCCACAGGTGCGACGCTTAGTTCCATCTCGTTGCGCTTTTGCTCGGCGAAGCGGTGCGTCGGCCCGTGGTTGCCTCTGCATGTCTCGTCGTAGAATCAAGCCTCAGCCCCGGAACGCGTTACCCTCCATTTCCGCAAACGTATGATCAACCGGCAGTGCAAGTTGGTCAAACGTAGGGGTGAGGTCGCTAATCAACGACCGGAACTCGCCTGACGACACATCTTCCTCGTCATCATAAATGAGAATATCGGACAGGTCTAATTGTTGCCCACTCCCGCTTCCGTTCTCCTCCATGGTTGCGTCCTCCGCGTAGGTCTCGTCGTCTGGATAGGTTTCGTCGTATATCGTGCCTGGCGAGTACAATCCCTCGTTCATTTCCGTATAGAATATGGGCGCCTCTGATGCGTCACCTTCAACGCATGAGTCTCCGAACGCGCTATAATCCATATCTGGAATGCCATCCGCTACTGTTGATGCTTCAGGGTCTAGTGTGGGAGGTAGAATGTCGTTCATCATCGCCTGGAATTCGTTGAACGAATCGTCTCCAACACAATCTTTATCGTATATCTGTATATCCGATAAGTCCAGTAGGTCCTCTTCACTCTCGTACTCTGGTGGTTCTCGTGCGTCGGTGTTCTCTAAATCAAAGCAATCCGTTGCATCGTCGACGGGGGTCATGGTAGAGGCAGTGGCTGGATCGCGACCTTCCGGGAAAACCTGAGCAGCTTCACTTGCACCGCACAGTTCTACGCGAGATCTGCCTGAACCTATAAAAGCGATAGCCATTGTCATGTGAATAGTTCTACGCAGTTTACCCTCGCTTTGTGTTCCAAAATGCGTACTAAGGAAATTCACGTCGTATATCACGCTATTGTCTGACGCCCTATATGCTGCGTACTCTTCAAAACGTAGTGCGTAGTCCAGTTTTGATGGTACAAGCAGGTAAATCGAACGCATATATTCATGTGGAACGCAAGTATCACCAACGTTCACTTCTCCCATGCTGTTTGACGACAAAGCCACCTGCAAACCCGTTTTGGAAACAACACTGCTCTTGGCTGCCTTATCTGTCAGCAGACTAACTGCTCTTTTAGGTGATACATTTTCATCACGGCTATCAATGTTTTTTATATGAGACATGTCTATCACAATTTCCATGTCATTGCCTATATGAATATAATAACAATCGTTCAACATAAAAGTGTGATATTTAGAACATTCTCTACGAAATGTAGCACTATATCCTAGTGCGATATTGTTAATTTTTGATACAGATATATGCCCAAACCTATATTTTACTTTATCGATTCTACGCACGGCTCCCGATTTTTTTAATTTCAAAAAACACGTTATTCGATACCTTTTTGCGTCATACAAGGTTGATTGTTGACTAAATACTACAAAAGGATGTAGTGGTTTATCTGATGCAGTATGAACTGGCAGCCAAATCGGACCATCAATGAATCTCTTAAGGTCGGACAAATATGTCCTATCCGATTTATACTTAGAACGCTCCACAGTAAAGCTACGGATTAATACGCCGGGTTCTGAATTAATAGCGAAGTAGCATCTAATGTACCGCTCATCACCACGAGTAAAATCCTCTACATGTGAGTGAATCACATCCTCCTCATCTATAGAGAGATAATGTATCTGCGTATCACCATATTTAATGTCCGTTATTAGCTGCTCCACCCCGCGTATAAATCTGTATACTCCGCCGTTTGAGAAGGTTCCGCGAAAGGTTTCAACGCCCTCAGGTAAAGCGTCTGACGTGAGGTCGAGAAGGATGCCACTCGCCAAACATCCAACCAAAATGGGCACTGCCAGCCAAATACATACCAAACGATTCATATTTGTGTAATATATTTGTAATTCGTGACACCCGTCAGAGAAGCAATGGAAGGAGCTCAGAGTCCGAGATTTGCGGGGGAAAAACAAACCAGCAGTTTATTACATTATCACACAGAAACAAAATTTCGGAACACATAAACACATTGTCATTATATGTGATAGGTATTGGCGCTCAATAACAGTGCGCCGAACTCTATCGAATCCGTGACAAATGGTACTACAGTGCAATTTTTCTACCTCATACCTACACGTGAAGCATTACGAGTGACACAGGGATTATATCACAGCTCCCTACTCACTTATGGGACACGGGCGGACGGCGAGCTGACGGTTGCGAGGAAAAGCCTCTGCTACCCCAACACATACGCAGCGGGAAAATGGTAACAGCGGCACACTGCAAAACGCCTCAAAACACGACCTGCTGAGTGAACAGGTCATCAACATCATCCCCAAACAGTACATCGAGAACAACAGCACGCAAAACAGCACAACCACAGCATTCACAACGCGGAAGGCAGACACACGACACTCACAGACAACAACGACACACCCATCGTCAAACACAAAAGGGGCAAACACAAACAACAAATAGACGCTACGCGCTAACCACCATTACTAGTACGCGCAACGGCACGCATACACCCATCATACGGCCAACACCGTCCACAACAGAATAGAGACGCACATACACACGCAACACCAATACCAACAGCAGCGCCGGGATTACCAACGCAAATCATCATAGCGCGCTACATCATGTACTCAGCGTATATATGCTCGGTTGTCTGGTTCCGTTGGGTGTGCTTCTGGTGGGCTCTGCGGACGTCGAGTGTCGCTCATGGCTCGGTACCGCTGCGGCCCGGCGACCCACTTCCAACAACCGACGCGGCGCAAATGCGGCGTCCATACGCAACTGTGTGTTACGCTTAAATTAATATGGTTGGCCTCGAGGAAGGCTCCGGCGAGGCGGTATCTCCGACGCCGGGCTCGACGGATTCCTCCAGCGACGCTGACTCCATTTTGCAACTCGGCAGACACAACCTACATCCAACGCTGGTAGAAGCGTTGGCATCGTCGTATGCCACCTTCACAGACATACAGAAAAAGGCGATACCGCAAGCGCTCGCAGGAAAGGACCTGCTCATCAAGGCGCAAACAGGCTCGGGGAAAACGCTAGCCGCTCTCGTGCCCATTGCTAGCTTTCTATATGATTCAGTTGATACTTTCGGTACGTGTGATGTTATAGTGCTTGTTGTTGTGCCGACGTCGGAGCTTGTGGCACAGACTATACAAGTGCTTAACCGGCTTATCAGGAATGGAGTGACGGTGAAAGCCGGGTCAGATGTTCCAGGGACGACTGCAAACGTCATAGTAACGAAACCTAAAAGTGCTATTGGGTATGCCAAGGAGCATCAGGCGTCACTGAAAAAGGTGGTTCTGGATGAGGCAGACCTCCTGTTCGAATTCGGGTTTAAAAAGGAAACCCTGCAGCTGGCGGAGGTGCTGAGGCATTTCGGTAGGCGCAAGCAGTTTCAGACTATCATGCTTTCGGCCACGTTGGACCAAGATGTGCGTGCGTTGGCCAACCTTATTCTGTACAAACCAGAGTACATCGAAGCGCAGTTCACACCATCAATGGGATCAATCAACGAATTTTATGTGAAGGTGGACGAGGAAGACAAACTGCTGCTCCTATATGCGCTGCTCAAAATGGATGCGGTGCCACATCCGACCTTAATATTCACGAACTCAGATGAAAGGGCATACTTGATTAAGACGCTACTGGCGAAACTCTCGATCGAATCGCGCACACTCAGCAGATTGCTGTCCCCTAGAATGCGGCAGTCCCTGCTCAACAGCTTCAACCAGGGCAGTATAGATGTGCTCATGGTGGCAGATGACGCACGAGGCGACAAGTTATGCGCAACGCGCGGAGTGGATTTCAAGTCGGTGCAATGTGTCATGAATTTCGACGCACCTACTGATGTGACGGTATACACGCACCGGATAGGGCGGACTGGCCGCATGGGGAGCGTAGGAAGCAGCATCACGTTAATCACCGCGGCGGATGAACCGCTCCTGGAGGGACTGCTGGCAGACGCCTCGCGCAAACTAGAACCCCTGCAAATAGAAAAGGGCGCTTTCGACACCATGAGATACCGTGTCGATGATGTAGCTAAGGGAGTGACCAAGCGGCTGGTGGCGACGAGTCAGGTACAGGCGCTCCGCCAGAGCGCCCTGCTCGAAGAAGCATTCGTCACCACGCTCAGCAAGCGTGACGAGGAACTGCTGAAGGCGGTGGTTAAAAACGACGACAAAAAGCTCACAGTGGAGAAAAAACACCTCTCCCATCTCCCCAAGTACCTCGTGAACGACCCATTGAGGGCGACCGTACTCGATCTACAGCAGAAAATCAACGCCAACGTGCGACCATCCCAAAAAACGCAAAATAAGCCCGGTGATCCGCCATCGAAGTTAACAGTTAAAAAGAAGAGACGGAAGGTTACACATAAACGACAGCCCATGTTCAAGAGGAGGAAGAAGTAAAGCGACCCAGCGTGGGCACCACCGGTGCCTAACACCAACACGGCGCACGCGCTAAATATCGTATGCGAAACACACTGCATAATTGAAATACCGATAAACGTGTCTGTTGTAGCTGTGTAAGTCCCTAGCCTTTGCGCATAACCAGGGACACCTTGCAGAGCGTGGCTAGCAACTTGCTGCAGACCATTTTATTGCCCGAAGCAACACCTACTCTAGCTGCAGCTGGCTGCAAAGACCGCCGACCATGGTCATGTGAGTCAGTGCGACAGTCTTTATGAACTCCAAAAGCACATGTTCCGGTGCTTTGAACGCCTTGATGACGCTGCGGATTGTCACTGCACAGTGTTTTGGGGACCGGAACGCATTTACCCACCGACGATATCCAGCGGAGAATGGCCGAGCGCCAGCAGCTCTGACGCTTTCTCGTGTGCCTATTAACAATACATTTTTACATGGTGCATAAACCTTACCGGACGCCACTGTCCATTCAAACAATCCTGGAGCATCTTCCGGATCAGGTCGGGAGACGGAACGTCACAGACCTGCGCACATGTGAAAAGCTGTGGGCGTGTTTTTCACTCGAACCTTAAAAACGTTCTCTTTTGTCACTAAATCAAACCCAGATGACACGTTCTGCAGGTTGTTCACCGCGCGACGCATGTCACCATCGGCGGTGAACAGCAGCGCCTCCATGCCATCCTGGGTGAACTGGACCTGTTCCATCTTACAAATATCGACCATTCGCTTGAGTATCTGCAACTCAGTTTAATTCCATAGCACAAACAAAACCATATCGTCCTTCATACGGCCGTAGCGGATGACGGCACAACGACTCTGGATGGGCTCGATGATCTTGGTCGACTGGTTACACGCCAGCGCAAACCGCGTTGTCTTGGAGTATATCTCCATAATACGGCGCAGAGCCTGACGAAGTTTGACACCAGAGCGAAATAATATCATTGTAATGCAATGAATGGGTAACAGAATCCCGGCACGATGTCGTATGTGCAAATAAAAGAGGGCACTGCCACGTAAATGCGGTAATAAGTACAAAAATAAAATTCTCAGTGCATAAATGGTCTCTGAACGCAGTTAACTCACCTGCTGTGCCGCCTCCGTCATGGAATCCACTTCATCGAGGATGATGATCTTGTGTTTGTTATCAGGGAGCACGACCGACTTCTTCGCGAAGTTCTTGATCGTTTCGCGCACAACGTCCACACCTCTGCGAATTGCTTCAACGCCGACCACCGGCCTACCTGTCGTCACTAGCGTTCAGCTCCAACACTGCGTTCTTGAAGTGCGGTCCCAGCATTTCGTGCGCCAAGCACAGGATTGATGTTGTCTTCCCAGTGCCAGGAGGGCCCTGCAGACACTATGACAGTCATATGTGCGTCCAAACTCACGCAGAGCAGGAGATTTGGCATATTGCCTTCCTTTGCGATTATCTCGAGGCGGCGCGTGATCTCGGGGTTACCGAGCACGTCGCTCAGAGAGCTGGGACGGTATTTCTCTATCCATATATCGGTAGTCATTTCGACGCAGAGAAATTAACCAGTGTGTGCTATCGTCGGTTGTGTCTACGCCGCAGGCGCGCGCGGCGGCTGAGGCAGCGATGCGTCGTCGCCAGGTCGAAGCAGGGGTCGCACCTTCAGCTTACCCAGCTCCAAGCTCGCGAAAAAGATGAATCCGCCCAGCGTTATCCACGCCGTCCGAATCCACATGCCGGAGAACAGAGCACGCAGACCTTCCTCCCGTACTATGCGACATACGCAGTCGGTCGCGGACGAGTACTGTGTTTAATTGAGAACGGTTACACTGTGTAAGCTGGCTGCATCGCCGTACGACGGATAAGCAAGCAATGCGTACAAACGTCACGAAACCGAACTTACCGTGCGTGACGAACCCTGTGTCATGAGCCGCGTCTTCACCACGTCGAGCGGCACCGTTGCGATTCCTGCGCAACCCCCTGAACACCATTATCACCGTATAGCAGTAGGTCACCTGCGAAGGAGCCGCACAGCGCGGACACCACGACATCACCCGTGCTGTTGGACACGTTAGCCCTGCAAGCGATAGATTCCGACAGCCCTGCAACGCTTTGAAAACGATGGATACGAATAACTCGTGACCGATATGGTCGACAGTCACTTAAAATACCGAAATGGAAACGACATCATTAAGACAACGTGCTACCGTGCGCCAAATGCTAATTTCAAGGAAGCCAACAATTCACCTAAATACAGCATGCACCAAAGCACAAAATCCTAGTACAAAACAATCATAACACGGTAGGAGTATATTTGACGAGAAGACGTCAAAGACGCTGTATACTACCACGAAGTCAACCACATGTAGATGCAAGAAATCAACGTGCACCGATGGTCCAAATGCGCAAAACTAAACTTTTCGCCGAGTCGAGTGTCTTCAAACGTTCCCACAGCATAAACTGGATCCCGTCGAAGGGCACCTCGCGCATCAGAGTCGGGAAGAAACCGGCATACAAGCCGCGGTATCCCTGAGCACGGCGGATGGCCTGGAACGTAGCGTAGGATGTGGGGTGTAGCCCGGCCTGCATTTGCTGCTTTATTACTTCAAACGGGTTCCTGAAGGGCGTGATATCGCAACGTAAGGTGCGTGAAGCCGAAGTGAACTCTCAGCTGACACAACGCAGTAAGCAAACAACCGAAGCACCAGACGCAAAACATGACCCAAACGTAAACGTACCGTATCAACAGCGAGCAGAATTGCCCACACGAAGAACCTGCTAGATGAACCAGAGGAAGCGGCAGCTTTGTGCCCTCATCCCCCAAGTCTGAAACCGCATGCCATGACTTGAAACGGAATACTCACTGGCGTTGCGATTAGACAGCACCTCCTTCGTGAATTCGTAGATGCCGTAAAACACAGCGCTCGACGGAACATCGCCGAGCGCAAGAACGAAGAACCCTTTGTATAGCGAGCCATAGCGCTGGACGCGTTGCATATGACGACGCTCAACCTGGAGGTTGCGCGTCAGCTGGCTGCGGGTCTTGAGCGTGTCGAGCGGATATAGCAGCGCATCTGCTGCGAATCCCGCGAAGCCGCCACAGACCACATTGACTGCACATCTTACATCGCCACAGGGACACTTACCGAGGTGGTCCATCGGACGGCGAGACTCCCGGGACGCAGGGCAACCGCCGCAGCACTCACGCAGTTGCTGAAACACTGCTCAAATGATCGCCCTCACTAAGTTGGCATTTCTACGACGTCATGTCGGCCGCTTCGACATCCTCAAGAGGCAACTCCAGCAGAGCTACCTCAACCAATCGCAGAACAAGATCAGACACCGTGACGGTGAGTTCAGCACGACGGATGAATGAGCGGCCGGCAACACGTTGAATAGTAACAGGCAGATGCGCAGATATGCTGCCGACCCCCTTATTTTGACCGGCCTATGTACGGCGATGTGTAACGCGGCCGCGGCGGCGCGGAGGCTGACGTGGCAACCACGCACACCTAACGCCAGAACGCCTCTATGCGCCCCTGACTGTGATGTTTGGTACGAGCTGTGGTTTACGATTGGACATCCAAACGGTGATTATCCGTGAACACTGCTTTGCAGTTGTTTGCCCTGCCTACCGCAGCATGTGATTCCACTACCGGTGGAATCACATGTTATCCATTGTTGACAATTTGCCACATGGCATTGTTTAGGTGGCTTGGTATAAGCCAAAAACGTGGAACAGGGGCAGCCTGGCGCAGTGGGACTATAAAAACTCACTAGAATCTATAGGTGCCACTATATGGTAGCCGTTTCCGCTTAACAATGTTAGGGTGCCAGCCTACGTGATTACACCGTACAAATGCCGGTCGAGTTTGAGGAGGTCGACTGTAGCGGGCTGTTCTCTGCTACATACGCATGTTAACGCTGCGTCACTATGTGGCGCACGTGTTCCGTCCGCAGTGACAACTAACGAATGTCTAAACATGCTCACAAACTATTGCAGAACTTCTCAACGAGATCGAATCGGCCGAAATAAACGCACTTTTCGAGAGGGTTACGGGCGTGCCATTAGACAGTCACAAGGCCGGTCCAAAGGAACCGGAAGAGTTCAACGAGACGGAAGATCACATGGACAGCAAACAACATGTGACCGACGATAGAAGCACGCCGCACAACTTTAAAGATGTCAGAAACGAATTCGAAAGGCCGGGCAACTTCGAATCTATGAGAGCGGGCAGAAAGGAACTGCAGGACCTGACGCACCAGGAACGGCAGGCACTCCAACGGTTCGAGGCGCAATCCAGACTCGCCGACCCAGCAAACCTGCTCAACAAAGGTCGCGCCAAGGCTGACCCGCGGCGTGACGCGAAACACGTGCTGAGGTATATGCAAAACACAACCGACACAAATGACGGCGTGGACGCCGAGGACAGCGACCCAAGAGCTGACACTATGGTTGGCGAAAACAGGTTCGATGAAATCGTATCCCGCATACGAGCACAAATGCGCGCGGAGAAGCAGGACAATACCAAAATCAACAAGGCCAAGGTGCCTAATTTCAACGGGGTCATCGTTGACCCAATCGCAAAACACGTGAGGAGGAGGCGACTCCGAATCAACGCTATGATCAAGGACCAATTAGAACAGATAATCACGGCCAACGACCCGTCGTTCATATTCGGGGAACACAGCGGAGCGTCCATTTCGCTCAAGAGGGTGGAAATGACCAGCGGCAAGGCGACGATCAAGTGCTACTACACCGTTATCGGGGGTGACCAGGATGAGCAGCGGATACACGACATGCTGGAAAAGGCGCAGAAGAAGGTCAGGTTCTGCCTGGCGCGAAAACTCGAACTCGGCTACACGCCACCAGTCCTTTTCATCAGGGCAAATGACGCAGAATTGGCGCACGTGAAAAAAACCGCGAAATCGCCAGATAGTGCATTCAACAAGCCTCTAGAAGCGCCCACAAAGACGCTTGTGGAGCGGTTCCATGGCTCCATGGTGGCGTTTTGAGCTTGCGTAAAGCAACATCAAAGTTGAATTGCACACTAGAAAAAACAAAACGCGAGTAATACGCAATAAAATGCAGCTTTTACACATTGATACAAAGCAGGCTCATACTCAATTGCTTTCACGACCGTATTCGTATCGGAAATGCTCCGCAATATAAGACTGCAACTCATGTGGAGTGTAACTGTCGAATTCAACGCCATTTCACTGCTGTGTATTCACACATTGCTAAAATGCGACGTAAATACAGCTTGTTTACGATTTTAAGTGGTCAGCGGCTTGAGAACGCGACTTATCCGTTACTGCCAGCTGAGGGTCGCGTTGGTGGTGCTCCAGTAGTAGCTAGAGCGCCAGGTCACATGAGATTCCACAGACCATCAGAAGTTTAAAATGAAGCGGATAGAATCCTTTTGCAGCTGCTAACTGCTTATATCGCAGACCTACCGGACGCAACCTCGTTAGCGACGGTCCGACAGAGTGACTTGAATCGCATTTTTAGATCGCAAAATGAGGCAACTGAAGTATCACGAGCAGAAGTTGCTCAAGAAGGTCAACCTATTCGACTGGAAACGAGTAGACACCCATCGTGAGACCAAAATTTTGCGGAGGTACTACATCCAGGACCCGGAGGATTATCACAAGTAAGCGACGAACGCGATATTTTAACGTCGTTACAACAGGTACAACAAAATCGCCGGCAAAATCACCAAACTGGTGAGCGAGCTGAGGAAGCTCCCCGAAGACGATGCGTTCAGGATCAAAATGACAGACGCGCTTTTAGAAAAAATGTAAGCGCCCAATGAATAGAAGTTCAAATGCTACGTAGGTATCAGATGGGTCTGATAAGTGTACGCGGCAACCTGGAGCTGTGCGAGCGCCTGGCAGCCAGCGTTTTCTGCAGGCGTCGGCTGGCCACGGTGCTCGTACAGCGCAAGTTTTGCGAACATCTCAAGCAGGCTATCACCTACATAGAGCAAGGGCACATTAAGGTCGGGCTTGACATAGTGAACAACCCAGCTTACCATGTCACGAGAGAGCTGGAGGACCACATCACATGGGCCCAGGGCTCCAAGATAAAGGAGAAGGTGCTCGATTTCACCGGCGCCAGAGACGATTTTGAACTGTTGGGGAACTAGTAATTTCCTTATAAAAGCCCAATTACGGCATTTCCCTATTAATAGATGCCGCTGCAAGTCGTGGTTGGCACCCTTGTACTGTGATGACATAATCCACAGCTCGGAAGCCAGCCGACGCGGGCTGGTATGCGAGAGCAAAAAACATCACTATAAAGTTTACTAAAATTGTCGAGGGCCGTTCTATACCGCCGCTGCACATGGCCCTTGCCGGCGACCGATGGGGACCGCGCGGTGGGGAAGACCAGAAATGACAGGCCTACGGGCAACAGCGGTGGACATTGGCTCAAAGCATATATAAAATATCGATAGGTACGTTGTGAACGCCGTAAATACCGCCAACACAACTGTAGATTCCGTTGAAGGTCGAGGAACGTTAGCCTGACGCAACACATCAAGATGGAACAACCCAAACTCGCTAAGGTCAACAAGGTGCTTGGAAGGACTGGTAGCCGTGGAGGTGTCACACAAGTCCGCGTGGACTTCATGGGAGAGGGCGGATGGGAAGGCCGTGTGCTCATCCGCAACGTGAAGGGACCCGTCAGGGAGGGTGACATCCTCGCCCTGCTTGAAACCGAAAGGGAAGCACGCAGGCTCAGGTGATTTGTTGCGCCTCAATTTTCGCAAGCGTCTTATTCAATTGCGACGCCTCACCGCTTCGCGGGGCGCCGGGGTTCAAATCGACTCCAAGCCTTCGACGGTCTGCAAAAGAAACATATGCCCTTTTAACGTTAAACTGTCCTAGTTGTTCGTGTCTGTGTGGTTGTGTTAGCGACAGCGATGTGTTACATGTGGAAGCCAGCCAGGCGACTGCGAAGTTGGTGTTGAGTGTATATATGCATAGCGCGTAGTGAGTGGGCAAGTGAGCGTGATTGTTTTTTCTGCCCAATGCAAAGAAAGCGTGTGTTGGATGCGACTCATGACTGCAGGTAAACCAGTATCGTGGGCGCTTTTATGCTATGAAGTGACAAAATAGCTGAATTTGCATTATTTCAAAACGAGTTGATTTGCGATGTCGCGCCACATATTCCTCAGCATCGCTAAACAATGAGGGTGTGGCGCAAATAAAGACCCAAGAATGGCCAAAGGTGGCGACGCCAAAGCGATATTGACGCGGGCCCATATGTTGCCGGCAGCAAGTCACCCATGCACGGTGCGATGCGCTCCATTATTGGACGCATGAGGATGGGTGCGGATGGCCAGGTAGGCATGTGGCAGTGCTCGGTCAGTGGCTTCTGTTGCGGTTGTGAGTGATTGAGCCGGCGTGTAAAAGGTGCCGTGTGGGTGTCTGCAGGAACGTGCTATGTGCACCCAGTGGAGTACATGGCTCTACCAGACCACCGTATGCGTGGAACTTCCACTAGGGAGATTTAGGGCCCCGCTTTCACAAGGTAATCACGGTTTCGCCGTTACAGGAGCCACAACCCTCCGACAAGTGGCTGGTGATCGATCGGTGGAGCTCTCATGTCTTGAGGCTGCACCCGGACAAATATGCGCGTTGCCCTAGTATTGAGCGGGGTCTAAGCGCACCCGTTTGCGGCGTGGTCGGGCGGCGTAGGGTTTTACTTTATCAGGTGTCCCGGCGCTCAACGGCCAATCTACGCCCAAGAACTGATTTCCTCCATGCCCTCCCACTGCACAACATCCAGATGACGTATACACTACGCCGCTTACTTTATCCCCCAGGATCGAATCTATTGAACCGTATTCGTCGTGTATCATGCCTGTAGAATATACTCCGTCGCTCATCTCAGGAGGGATTGTGGGCGCCTCTGATGCGTCAATTCCAATGCCCGAGCCTCGCAGCACGTTACAATCCATTTGTGAGACAGCATGGCCCATGTTCGATGCATCGGGGTTTGGAGTCGGAGGTGTAATGCCGCTCATCGTCTGGAGTACGTCGAACGGTACCTGTTCTCCTAACAGATTATCTGATTCCGCAAGCACATCACCTAATTCATCGTGATGCGGCGCCCTTGCTTCTGTGATGGAATTGTCTAAGTTGCCTGACTCGTTGGTACCCCCTTCTTTTTGCGTGGCGGAGTTGGCGTGTGAATCGTTACCTCCCGATGAATTTGGCGCGGCATCTGTTGAATCGCACGATACAACAGAAGGGGTATTTGAGCGGACAACGGCAGGAATTGCGGTCAAATGAATGGTTATGCGCGATTTGCCCTGACCTTGTGCACCTAAATGCGCAATGAGGAAGAGCATGTCATATATCACGGTATTACTCGAGGCATCATATGTTGCGTATTCCTCAAAGAGTGGTGAGTCATACACTCGCGATGGTACGAGTAGATATATTGAACGCGTAGATGTATTTGATGGGTCTGCAGTTGAAAAGTGATTACCTTCTCCTATGCGACCTGATAATAGGGCCAACTGCGATGTCGATTCGGATACCACACTGCTGCTGGATGATCCGCCACACGACACGGAAGCACTCGAGCTCGATGATGTATTACAAGCTTGGGATGGGTTCATTTTTATTATATGAGATATATCAATTTGCACATCGACTTTGTTGTCTGCGCGGATATAAAAGTACTGGTTTTGCATAAATGTGATAAATTTCTTGCATGCCATACGAAATATAGATATGCATCGAAGGGAAGTCTCATTAATGTGCGAGACACGTATTTCCCCGACTTTGTATAACCATAGTTGCATCCTAACAGTAAACCCGGTATCAAGAAGCACACGGTCAATCACATTATATGTAGCTGAACCTTCACAGTACCGTCCATGAGACAAAACTACCAAGGGATGCAACATTCCTTGTGTAGTATCAACTGATAGCAAAATCGGTCCACTAATAACTTTCTTAAAATCCAACGATTTTATAGGATGAATTTTATTCTCTTTAATTTGAACTGTGTGGCTGCCGAATACAACACCTCTATCTACGTTTAGGCCAAAGTAAAATCTTATGTATGTTTCACTATTGCATATGAACTCCTCTACATGCGAGTAAATCACATAAGCCTCCCGACCAGAGAGGTAATAAATCCGCTCATCGCCGTATCTTATTTCCGTAATGAGATCCTCCACGCCGCGTATAAATCTGTATACGCCGCCATTCGAGAAGGTTCCATAGAAGGCCTCAACCCCCTCAGGTAAAACATCAGAAGCAAGGTCCAAAACCATACCACTCGCCGAACATCCAACCAAAACACAAACGGCACACCAAATATTTGCCAACCAAAACATCATTATGCTATACAGATCTATAATTCGTAACAGTCTGCAACACAACACTGAAAATTATTCAATAAAGAAAGGCCTGGAAGCCTTCAACAAACGAACGGCTAGTTACGTAATCAAACATCAGCAATTTTTCAGAAGGCGTAAGCCCGCTATCTATAGACGGAGGAAGAGTGGGCGCTCAATAACAGTGCGCCGAACTCTATCGAATCCGTGACAAATGGTACTACAGTGCAATTTTTCTACCTCATACCTACACGTGAAGCATTACGAGTGATACAGGGATTATATCACAGCTCCCTACTCACTAATGAGACACTGGAGGGCGAAGAGCTGACGGTTGCGAGGAAAAGCCTCTGCTACCCCAACACATACGCAGCGGGAAAATGGTAACAGCGGCACACTGCAAAACGCCTCAAAACACGACCTGCTCAGTCTCCAGGTGATCAACATGATACCCAAACAGTACATCGAGACCAACAGCACGCACAACGGCACAACCACAGCATTCACAACGCGGAAGGCAGACACACGACACTCACAGACAACAACGACACACCCATCGTCAAACACAAACAACAAATAGACGCTACGCGCTAAGCACCATTACTAGTACGCGCAACGGCACGCATACACCCATCATACGGCCAACACCGTCCACAACAGAATAGAGACGCACATACACACGCAACACCAATACCAACAGCAGCGCCGGGATTACCAACGCAAATCATCATAGCGCGCTACATCATATACCCAGCGTATATATGCTCGGTTGTCTGGTTCCGTTGGGTGTGCTTCTGGTGGGCTCTGCGGACGTCGAGTGTCGCTCATGGCTCGGTACCGCTGCGGCCCGGCGACCCACTTCCAACAACCGACGCGGCGCAAATGCGGCGTCCATACGCAACTGTGTGTTACGCTTAAATCGACACGGTGGTGATTGAAGAGGCTCCGGCGAGGCGGTATCTCCGACATACAGTTAAGGCGATACCGCAAGCACTCCCGGGGAAGGGCCTGCTCATCAAGGCGCAAACAGTACGCGGCAATGCTGCACTGCCTCTGATGCTAGTGCTAGCTACAGGTGCGACGCTTAGTTCCATCTCGTTGCGCTTTTGCTCGGCGAAGCGGTGCGTCGGCCCGTGGTTGCCTCTGCCTCTGCATGTCTCGTCGTAGAATCAAGCCTCAGCCCCGGAACGCGTTACCCTCCATTTCCGCAAACGTATGGTCAACCGGCAGTGCAAGTTGGTCAAACGTAGGGGTGAGGTCGCTAATCAACGACCGGAACTCGCCTGACGACACATCATCCTCGTCATCATCAATATGAATGTCCGATGCATCTAGCAGATCAGCGATTGTTTCCAGTCCTGGCGGCATCAGTTGTATGATGAAATTCTCTAGATCGAATGGTTCATTTGCACCGTAGGCATCAGTTAACGTAAACTCGGTGGGTGGAACTTGAGCTTGCGAGTAGCTTGGCGGGTCCTGACTAGCAGCGCACAGTAGGATGGAAGAGCTGTCTGACCGTACGACTGCGTGAGCTGCGGTCATATGAATGGTTGTACGCGAGTTTCCCACGCTCTGTGGTTCATAATGCCTAACCAGGAAATCCATGTCGTACGTCACGGTGTTTCTCGACGGGTCGTACATCGCGAATTGCTCAATAAGGGGCGCATACTCCAATTGAGATGGGACAAAGAGGTATATAGAGCGTGTATATACTTGTGATGCACTTGCTGCTGTAGCGTTGTTTCCTTCCCCAATGCTTCTTGATAACAAGCTCCGCTGCAATATTGCTTCGGAATCTACACTTCTGCTTGGTACCCCGGAACACAAAACATTACCACTTGAACTCGATGATACACTTGCCTTATGAGTATTCATTTTGCTAATGCGTGACATGTTCACCTTAATTTCGATTCCATTGTCCATGATGATAAAATAATGCTGATTTAGCACCAGTGTATTAAATTTTTTACACTGGATACGAAATTCAGCTATGCATCCAAGGGACATATCCTTAATCTGTGACACACGTATCACCCCGATGTGGTATTGTGATAGCTGCATTCTAACGGTATCCCCTGTGTCCATGTCGAAACGGTCGCTTACTTTATACGTAACGGAACCATAACAGTACTCATTAACATTCATAATCATCAAAGGATGTAGCCGAGTTCCTGACTCAGTATCAATTGGCAGCAAAATCGGTCCTTCAATGAAATCCAACAGGTTTGGTACATATGCTTGATACGCACTACTGCTAATACGTTCAAATATACGACTACGGAATCCCACCTTAGTTTCCATATTTCTACCATAAAAGAATCTAATGTACCGCTCATTATCGCGATGAAAATCCTCCACATGAGAGTACACGACTTCACCCATAAGTCCCGTGACGAAATAAATCTGCTCATAGCCGTATCGTATTTCCGTAATGAGATCCTCCACGCCGCGTATAAATCTGTATACGCCGCCTTTCGAGAAGGTTCCATAGAAGGCCTCAACCCCCTCAGGTAAAACATCAGAAGCAAGGTCCAAAACCATACCACTCGCCGAACATCCAACCAAAACACAAACGGCACACCAAATATTTGCCAACCAAAACATCATTATGCTATACAGATCTATAATTCGTAACAGTCTGCAACACAACACTGAAAATTATTCAATAAAGAAAGGCCTGGAAGCCTTCAACAAACGAACGGCTAGTTACGTAATCAAACATCAGCAATTTTTCAGAAGGCGTAAGCCCGCTATCTATAGACGGAGGAAGAGTGGGCGCTCAATAACAGTGCGCCGAACTCTATCGAATCCGTGACAAATGGTACTACAGTGCAATTTTTCTACCTCATACCTACACGTGAAGCATTACGAGTGACACAGGGATTATATCACAGCTCCCTACTCACTTATGGGACACGGGCGGACGGCGAGCTGACGGTTGCGAGGAAAAGCCTCTGCTACCCCAACACATACGCAGCGGGAAAATGGTAACAGCGGCACACTGCAAAACGCCTCAAAACACGACCTGCTGAGTGAACAGGTCATCAACATCATCCCCAAACAGTACATCGAGAACAACAGCACGCAAAACAGCACAACCACAGCATTCACAACGCGGAAGGCAGACACACGACACTCACAGACAACAACGACACAACCATCGTCAAACACAAAAGGGGCAAACACAAAACAAATAGACGCTACGCGCTAAGCACCATTACTAGTACGCGCAACGGCACGCATACACCCATCATACGGCCAACACCGTCCACAACAGAATAGAGACGCACATACACACGCAACACCAATACCAACAGCAGCGCCGGGATTACCAACGCAAATCATCCTAGCGCGCTACATCATATACCCAGCGTATATATGCTCGGTTGTCTGGTTCCGTTGGGTGTGCTTCTGGTGGCTCTGCGGACGTCGAGTGTCGCTCATGGCTCGGTACCGCTGCGGCCCGGCGACCCACTTCCAACAACCGACGCGGCGCAAATGCGGCGTCCATACGCAACTGTGTGTTACGCTTAAATCGACACGGTGGTGATTGAGGAAGGCTCCGGCGAGGCGGTATCTCCGACATACAGTGCAGGCGATACCGCAAGCACTCCCGGAAAGGGCCTGCTCATCAAGGCGCAAACAGTACGCGGCAATGCTGCACTGCCTCTGATGCTAGTGCTAGCCACAGGCGCGACGCTTAGTTCCATCTCGTTGCGCTTTGCTCGGCGAAGCGGTGCGTCGGCCCGTGGTTGCCTCTGCCTCTGCATGTGTCATTGTGGAATCAGACCTCAGCCCCGGAACGCGTTACCCTCCATTTCCGCAAACGTATGGTCAACCGGCAGTGCAAGTTGGTCAAACGTAGGGGTGAGGTCGCTAATCAACGACCGGAACTCGCCTGACGACACATCTTCCTCGTCATCATAAATGAGAATATCGGACAGGTCTAATTGTTGCCCACTCCCGCTTCCGTTCTCCTCCATGGTTGCGTCCTCCGCGTAGGTCTCGTCGTCTGGATAGGTTTCGTCGTATATCATGCCTGGCGAGTATAATCCCTCGTTCATTTCCGTAGAGAATATGGGCGCCTCTGATGCGTCACCTTCAACGCTTGAATCTCCGAACGCGCTATAATCCATATCTGGAATGCCATCCGCTACGGTCGATGCTTCAGGGCCTAGTGTGGGAGGTAGAATGTCGTTCATCATCGCCTGGAATTCGTTGAAAGAGTCGTCTCCAACACAATCTTTATCATATATCTCTATATCTGATAAGTCCAGTAGGTCCTCTTCACTCTCGTACTCTGGCGGTTCTCGTGTGTCGGTGTCCTCCAAATCAAAGTAATCCGTTGCGTCGTCGACGGGGGTTATGGTAGAGGCAGTGGCTGGATCGTGACCTTCCGGGGGAACCTGAGCAGCTTCACTTGCGCCGCACAGTTCTACGCGGGATCTGTCTGAACCTATAACAGCGATAGCCATTGTCATATGGATGGTTACTCGCGGTTTACCCTGGCTTTGAGCCTCAAAGTTATTAATTAGAAAGTCCATGTCGTATATCACGCTATTGTCTGACGCCCTGTATGTTGCATATTCTTCAAAACGTGGTGCATAGTCCAGTTTTGATGGTATAAGTACGTAAATATGGCGCGTGGACAGATATGCTGCACTTGTATCAGTGGCTCGTTTTTCTAGGATGGTGTTTGATAACAATGCTAGCTGAGAAACCCAATCTGAGCTCACATTAATACTACGTAGCCCTTCACACGACACAAATGTGCTCGAGTGTGATGATACACTGAACTTAGAAAATTTATTCATTACGTCAATGAATATGGTGTCTACCTTAATTTCGATACTGTCATCCATGTAAATATGATAAAAATGATGTAGCATGAAGGTATGATATTCATTACATTGTCTAGGAAATACAGCTCGGTGTCCCAGTGATAAATCATGAATTTGTGAAAGCGAAATCTCGCCAAATTTGTATTTGACACCACGGTTTACGAATTTACCGCCACAACTTAGATCCATGAGACTCATTACTTTAAAGGCACTTCTATGAACCTCATGCATATCTTTCTGCACAGATACCGAAGGATGGAGTGCTTTGCCTGGTGTTATATCAGCTAAAAGCAAAATGCGGCCGCCAATGAAATTTTTTAAAAAGCAAACATTTTTCACATGAGTGTCATGCTCAATATATTGGAGTATAAGGCCGCGAAATACTACGCCACCTGTCGATGATACCCTACCAGAGTAGTATTTCAAGTATCGCTCGTGACCACGATGAAAATCCTCCACGTGAGAGTAGACAACCGCACCCATAAGTCCCGTGACGAAATAAATCTGCTCATCGCCGTATCTTATTTCCGTAATGAGATCCTCCACGCCGCGTATAAATCTGTATACGCCGCCTTTCGAGAAGGTTCCATAGAAGGCCTCAACCCCCTCAGGTAAAACATCAGAAGCAAGGTCCAAAACCATACCACTCGCCGAACATCCAACCAAAACACAAACGGCACACCAAATATTTGCCAACCAAAACATCATTATGCTATACAGATCTATAATTCGTAACAGTCTGCAACACAACACTGAAAATTATTCAATAAAGAAAGGCCTGGAAGCCTTCAACAAACGAACGGCTAGTTACGTAATCAAACATCAGCAATTTTTCAGAAGGCGTAAACCCGCTATCTATAGACGGAGGAAGAGTGGGCGCTCAATAACAGTGCGCCGAACTCTATCGAATCCGTGACAAATGGTACTACAGTGCAATTTTTCTACCTCATACCTACACGTGAAGCATTACGAGTGACACAGGGATTATATCACAGCTCCCTACTCACTTATGGGACACGGGCGGACGGCGAGCTGACGGTTGCGAGGAAAAGCCTCTGCTACCCCAACACATACGCAGCGGGAAAATGGTAACAGCGGCACACTGCAAAACGCCTCAAAACACGACCTGCTGAGTGAACAGGTCATCAACATCATCCCCAAACAGTACATCGAGAACAACAGCACGCAAAACAGCACAACCACAGCATTCACAACGCGGAAGGCAGACACACGACACTCACAGACAACAACGACACAACCATCGTCAAACACAAAAGGGGCAAACACAAACAACAAATAGACGCTACGCGCTAAGCACCATTACTAGTACGCGCAACGGCACGCATACACCCATCATACGGCCAACACCGTCCACAACAGAATAGAGACGCACATACACACGCAACACCAATACCAACAGCAGCGCCGGGATTACCAACGCAAATCATCATAGCGCGCTACATCATATACCCAGCGTATATATGCTCGGTTGTCTGGTTCCGTTGGGTGTGCTTCTGGTGGGCTCTGCGGACGTCGAGTGTCGCTCATGGCTCGGTACCGCTGCGGCCCGGCGACCCACTTCCAACAACCGACGCGGCGCAAATGCGGCGTCCATACGCAACTGTGTGTTACGCTTAAATCGACACGGTGGTGATTGAGGAAGGCTCCGGCGAGGCGGTATCTCCGACATACAGTGCAGGCGATACCGCAAGCACTCCCGGGAAAGGGCCTGCTCATCAAGGCGCAAACAGTACGCGGCAATGCTGCACTGCCTCTGATGCTAGTGCTAGCCACAGGCGCGACGCTTAGTTCCATCTCGTTGCGCTTTTGCTCGGCGAAGCGGTGCGTCGGCCCGTGGTTGCCTCTGCCTCTGCATGTGTCATTGTGGAATCAGACCTCAGCCCCGGAACGCGTTACCCTCCATTTCCGCAAACGTATGGTCAACCGGCAGTGCAAGTTGGTCAAACGTAGGGGTGAGGTCGCTAATCAACGACCGGAACTCGCCTGACGACACATCTTCCTCGTCATCATAAATGAGAATATCGGACAGGTCTAATTGTTGCCCACTCCCGCTTCCGTTCTCCTCCATGGTTGCGTCCTCCGCGTAGGTCTCGTCGTCTGGATAGGTTTCGTCGTATATCATGCCTGGCGAGTATAATCCCTCGTTCATTTCCGTAGAGAATATGGGCGCCTCTGATGCGTCACCTTCAACGCTTGAATCTCCGAACGCGCTATAATCCATATCTGGAATGCCATCCGCTACGGTCGATGCTTCAGGGCCTAGTGTGGGAGGTAGAATGTCGTTCATCATCGCCTGGAATTCGTTGAAAGAGTCGTCTCCAACACAATCTTTATCATATATCTCTATATCTGATAAGTCCAGTAGGTCCTCTTCACTCTCGTACTCTGGCGGTTCTCGTGTGTCGGTGTCCTCCAAATCAAAGTAATCCGTTGCGTCGTCGACGGGGGTTATGGTAGAGGCAGTGGCTGGATCGTGACCTTCCGGGGGAACCTGAGCAGCTTCACTTGCGCCGCACAGTTCTACGCGGGATCTGTCTGAACCTATAACAGCGATAGCCATTGTCATATGGATGGTTACTCGCGGTTTACCCTGGCTTTGAGCCTCAAAGTTATTAATTAGAAAGTCCATGTCGTATATCACGCTATTGTCTGACGCCCTGTATGTTGCATATTCTTCAAAACGTGGTGCATAGTCCAGTTTTGATGGTATAAGTACGTAAATATGGCGCGTGGACAGATATGCTGCACTTGTATCAGTGGCTCGTTTTTCTAGGATGGTGTTTGATAACAATGCTAGCTGAGAAACCCAATCTGAGCTCACATTAATACTACGTAGCCCTTCACACGACACAAATGTGCTCGAGTGTGATGATACACTGAACTTAGAAAATTTATTCATTACGTCAATGAATATGGTGTCTACCTTAATTTCGATACTGTCATCCATGTAAATATGATAAAAATGATGTAGCATGAAGGTATGATATTCATTACATTGTCTAGGAAATACAGCTCGGTGTCCCAGTGATAAATCATGAATTTGTGAAAGCGAAATCTCGCCAAATTTGTATTTGACACCACGGTTTACGAATTTACCGCCACAACTTAGATCCATGAGACTCATTACTTTAAAGGCACTTCTATGAACCTCATGCATATCTTTCTGCACAGATACCGAAGGATGGAGTGCTTTGCCTGGTGTTATATCAGCTAAAAGCAAAATGCGGCCGCCAATGAAATTTTTTAAAAGCAAACATTTTTCACATGAGTGTCATGCTCAATATATTGGAGTATAAGGCCGCGAAATACTACGCCACCTGTCGATGATACCCTACCAGAGTAGTATTTCAAGTATCGCTCGTGACCACGATGAAAATCCTCCACGTGAGAGTAGACAACCGCACCCATAAGTCCCGTGACGAAATAAATCTGCTCATCGCCGTATCTTATTTCCGTAATGAGATCCTCCACGCCGCGTATAAATCTGTATACGCCGCCTTTCGAGAAGGTTCCATAGAAGGCCTCAACCCCCTCAGGTAAAACATCAGAAGCAAGGTCCAAAACCATACCACTCGCCGAACATCCAACCAAAACACAAACGGCACACCAAATATTTGCCAACCAAAACATCATTATGCTATACAGATCTATAATTCGTAACAGTCTGCAACACAACACTGAAAATTATTCAATAAAGAAAGGCCTGGAAGCCTTCAACAAACGAACGGCTAGTTACGTAATCAAACATCAGCAATTTTTCAGAAGGCGTAAACCCGCTATCTATAGACGGAGGAAGAGTGGGCGCTCAATAACAGTGCGCCGAACTCTATCGAATCCGTGACAAATGGTACTACAGTGCAATTTTTCTACCTCATACCTACACGTGAAGCATTACGAGTGACACAGGGATTATATCACAGCTCCTACTCACTTATGGGACACGGGCGGACGGCGAGCTGACGGTTGCGAGGAAAAGCCTCTGCTACCCCAACACATACGCAGCGGGAAAATGGTAACAGCGGCACACTGCAAAACGCCTCAAAACACGACCTGCTGAGTGAACAGGTCATCAACATCATCCCCAAACAGTACATCGAGAACAACAGCACGCAAAACAGCACAACCACAGCATTCACAACGCGGAAGCAGACACACGACACTCACAGACAACAACGACACAACCATCGTCAAACACAAAAGGGCAAACACAAACAACAAATAGACGCTACGCGCTAAGCACCATTACTAGTACGCGCAACGGCACGCATACACCCATCATACGGCCAACACCGTCCACAACAGAATAGAGACGCACATACACACGCAACACCAATACCAACAGCAGCGCCGGGATTACCAACGCAAATCATCATAGCGCGCTACATCATATACCCAGCGTATATATGCTCGGTTGTCTGGTTCCGTTGGGTGTGCTTCTGGTGGGCTCTGCGGACGTCGAGTGTCGCTCATGGCTCGGTACCGCTGCGGCCCGGCGACCCACTTCCAACAACCGACGCGGCGCAAATGCGGCGTCCATACGCAACTGTGTGTTACGCTTAAATCGACACGGTGGTGATTGAGGAAGGCTCCGGCGAGGCGGTATCTCCGACATACAGTGCAGGCGATACCGCAAGCACTCCCGGGAAAGGGCCTGCTCATCAAGGCGCAAACAGTACGCGGCAATGCTGCACTGCCTCTGATGCTAGTGCTAGCCACAGGCGCGACGCTTAGTTCCATCTCGTTGCGCTTTTGCTCGGCGAAGCGGTGCGTCGGCCCGTGGTTGCCTCTGCCTCTGCATGTGTCATTGTGGAATCAGACCTCAGCCCCGGAACGCGTTACCCTCCATTTCCGCAAACGTATGGTCAACCGGCAGTGCAAGTTGGTCAAACGTAGGGGTGAGGTCGCTAATCAACGACCGGAACTCGCCTGACGACACATCATCCTCGTCATCATCAATATGAATGTCCGATGCATCTAGCAGATCAGCGATTGTTTCCAGTCCTGGCGGCATCAGTTGTATGATGAAATTCTCTAGATCGAATGGTTCATTTGCACCGTAGGCATCAGTTAACGTAAACTCGGTGGGTGGAACTTGAGCTTGCGAATAGCTTGGCGGGTCCTGACTAGCAGCGCACAGTAGGATGGAAGAGCTGTCTGACCGTACGACTGCGTGAGCTGCGGTCATATGAATGGTTGTACGCGAGTTTCCCGCGCTCTGTGGTTCATAATGCCTCACCAGGAAATCCATGTCGTACGTCACGATCTTTCTCGACGGGTCGTACATCGCGAATTGCTCAATAAGGGGCGCATACTCCAATTGCGATGGGACAAAGAGATATATAGAGCGTGTATATACTTGTGATGCACTTGCTGCCGTAGCGTTGTTTCCTTCTATCGTGAAACTTGGTAGCGATGACATCTTGGATACCACTTCGGATTCCAACCTGCCGCTGGGTGCTCCGTTACGCGACGCAGAACAAGTTGGGTTCCATGATATGTTCCCCTTTAGGCCATTTATTTTGCGTATATGTGATATGTCCAAGATCATTTCTATCTGATCATCCACGTTTATGCAATGATGTGGGCTTTTGTTTACTGTCGTAATCTTACGACATGGCATACGAAATACTGCTGTATATCCAAGCGCGATGCCCTCAATTTGAGATATCACAATCTCGCCAATTTGGTAGTTCACTATTTCCATTTTTACAGTACATCCGCAATCTAGTTTGAATCGATCATATATTTCAAAGTATCTTGCGTCATATGGGTGTGCTTCTTTACGTGTACCTACCAAGGGATGTAGCTTTTCCAGTGTGATATCGAGTGTTAATGAAATCGGACCTGCGATGAATTTTATCAAATCCCTCGTATTTTTGAGAAACGCTTTATTCATGCAATGCTGTACCGTACGATAGCGAAACGACACACCTTTCTCCGAGGACCTTCCTAAATGCAATCTAATGTAGCGATTACGGCCACGACAAAAATCCTCCACATGAGCATACACTACGGAGCTTGCGTATAATGCCGTATAATCGATGTGCTCACCGCCGTAGTTTATTTCGGTAATCAGCGCCTCTATACCACGTATAAATCTGTATACTCCGCCGTTTGGGAAGGTTCCATAAAAGGTCTCAACTCCCTCAGGTAGAATGTCTGACGTAAGGTCGAGGACGATGCCAGTCACTGCGCATCTAATGTAAATAAGCGTGGCTAACCAAAACATCCTTCTGTCTGCGATAAATGACCCCCGACGACTTCCATGAAATACATGGGCGTAGTTCAACAACGCACAATTTGCGATGCATCTGATGCATGCTGAGTTTGTCTCAGTGTCCGATGGCAACGGCTAAGCAAATATTATACGCCCCCTACAAAAATAAGTTGACTCTATGCAGCCATTTACATTGGTCCGAGCATGTTCAAATGCAAGGTAGAATTAAAGTTATTGCCGTTTTATACTCCCTACTTATGGCTGACACAGCCCGTGCCATACTGATTACATCACGTAGGTAGCCTGGCTGACGTTAGCGTAATAGACAACTAGCCCTCGGCTGCGGGGAAAACGTCTCTGCTGCCCCAATAACGCTCGACATCACACATCTCCACGTTCATGTGCTAACCTATGAACGCATTTAAATCACACGACAATTAAAGTCGACGGAATCCACGAAGTTGCCGCCCCTCTGCTGAGGAAGGTAACCGATGCGCCGCAAAGGGACCCGCAGAATACACATTTATGCACGTTGTCGTGCTGAAATCACGGCGAAAGACGCAAAATAAGTCAACTTAACATCCTAATGCGCAAGCAGGAGGGAGGTGAACCTCAACGCAGCAACGATCAGACTGGTAACACAACGACACACAGCTAGCACAATAGTCCGCGTGATGCTCCCCAAGCGGGCAGTACCGAAGTATCGACCGCTGAAACACACTCGTAATATGCGAATCGCAGTGTGCACAATTGCAAACGACCAATCACTACAATCTGGTTTCGTCCCCATTTCACATGGACTCGTTGGACGCGATGCTGAGGAAGCTAGCGGGCCAGTACAGGCTGTCACCGCAGGTGCACCCACATCCACATTCTGCCATTGAATTTGCTCACTCCAAACGGCACATACGGCGGAAAATGAAGTACAAAGGTAAATGTAAACGATTATACCACAATAGGTTGGTTTCCCTTCCACAGCCGGACGTGACATCACGACTGTACCAAACACAGGCAAAGGTCTCCACATGCAGAACTGACAGCAAAGAGACAGTCTGAATTACCGAGTTCCCAAAACGCTAACTGCTGCAACGGAATTCGTCACATCAGTTAGCGATATCGACCGTTTGCCACCGCATGTGGACTACGACATGGAGGCAAGGTCGCCTGCCGCACAATTGGCCAGCACGGGCGAAAAACAAATGCCCGATGTCGCAGAACATCACGCAACACACCTGGCAGCGCTTCAGCACAACACCATCAGACGACGGTCATACGACCTTGTTGTCTGGTAACTCGTCAACAAGGACCAAACCCCCAGCATCCACTGTGGGCACAGGTGGCGGAGCCATTAACTTTGCCGCGCTCTTCCTGTTGGTCACGTCCTCGACCAATTTGCCGTTTTGGTAGATGCACCTCAGCACGTGCCCGTCTCGCATTACGCATTCAAACAGGCCATGCATGCGACCCATGGCATAGGGGCCCTTCTCGCTGAGCACGGGCCCAGTGCGGTACGTCGTCACGCCGTAGTTGTGCTTGTAACCGTTCCGGAACTCGCCCACATAGCTCTCGCCGGTGGGCCAAACCATCCGGCCCTTGCCAGTGACGTCGTTGTCAAACGTGCCCTCGTACACCACGCCGTTGCTCATCCTCAGCTCACCGGCGCCCTCGCGCTTGTTGTTCTTGAACATGCCCATGTACACCGAGCCGTCGGAGAAACGCTCAACCCCGAAACCTTGACGCACATTGTTACGCCAGTTGCCGTCGAACATGTCGCCGTTGGAGTACGTTATCACGCCCTTCCCGTTGCGCAGGCCTTTTTTAAAGACGCCCTTGAAGCTGTCCCCGTTCATGTACTTCACCTCGCCCGCGCCGTCGTATAAATCGTTGGCGAACGAGCCCACGTAACGGCTTCCGTCCATGGCGAAATGCTTTCCGGTCCCGTGCCTCACCCGGCCTCGCCACTGGCCGCAGTACACCGACCCGTCCGATAGCACGACTGGCACGCGCCACGCCGCATTGTCACTAGCATCGGTTTCCGCCAACTCGTCTAGATTGGTTGGCTTTCCGCCCAAGAGAGACGCCAATGCCCTGTCGTCCCACTCTTCAACATCGTTGTTGCCAAATCCAGTCATCACAAACCCCTTAGGGGTATCCGCAGGAGCACGTTTCTCCTCCACGGGTCTACTGTCCGATTCCGATTGTTTGGATTTCGCAGTTGCTTGTGACTCAGAAGAAGCTGAAGATGTGTTACAAACACACAACGCGATACTGCCACGACACCAGGCGCAAAATACCGCCGTAATACGCACTAAGCATACACTATAGCAGTACGCAGCCTATGGAACGTAAAACCAACCATTATCAGCGGCGGAAGACCTTATGCGCTTCTCATGGCCGGCGCGGCTGCCGCGACGACGCAGGCAGCCCAGAATTCCGTTGCCGCTCCCCATGCTAAGAAGGGAGCTCTCAGTAAAGAAAATTTTGTATCACGTCCACGACATTTAAACGAAAAGGGTGCACCGACCCAACCGCGGCGTGCTACGCCCGCTGCTAGTGCACAGCGAGCCGATTTTCCGGCCACAGTGAACACATAAATTACGAAGGTTAGAGCACTAATTACGAAAAGTATAATAATGTTCCTTGAGGTGTCTAAAATCCTATCTGCTTACACCTAAGGGCTGGAAAAACAACGATCACGCTGCTGCGCACATGGATCAACTGAACTATAAGTCTACGCAGGAAGTCGCTCTGTACGAGGTCACCTCACTTCCGCGGTCACGGAAGGTCTTCATTCGTGCAGGAACTTCCATGTTCAACATCACACGCGAGGAAGCAAAAGCCGCGCTTGGCCAAGACAAGGCGAAAAATGGAAACAACGAGCGCGTGGGTTCTTAGACAGGCCGCGTTGACCGTCGCAATCGTTGTGGGATACCACCTGCTATATCAGTTCTTCACGAAACGCGCGGGGAACGACGATGGACAGGGCAGCGGGATGCAACGCGACGCGGAAGGCGGCGAGGTGCCAGAGGACTGCCCAGGCGTAGACAACCCAGAAGCCGGCACTAAAAGCACATGCCAGGGCTGTCCAAACCAAGCGAAATGTGCCTCGGGCGAGCTGAAGCAGGAAAACGACAAGATGATAGAAAGTGTCGCGGCGAACCTCGGCGAAGTCAAAAAGGTTGTGCTCGTCATGTCGGGAAAAGGAGGCGTGGGCAAGAGCACGGTGTCCACACAGCTTGCGTACATGCTCAGTAGACGTGGGCACCACGTGGGACTGCTAGATATCGACCTCACGGGGCCCTCGGTACCGGGCATGACGAACACTGAAAATGCCGAGGTGTTTGAAAGCGCCCGTGGGTGGACGCCCGTGTACGTGTCTGACAGACTCTCAGTCATGTCGATAGGGCACATGCTCAGGAACTCCAGAGAGTCTATCATTTGGCGCGGGCCCAAAAAGGACAGCCTCATCAAGCAGTTTCTCATAGGAGTGGACTGGGGACGGCTGGACTACCTGGTGGTCGACTGCCCACCGGGATCCAGCGACGAACACATCACCATTTGCAACCTGCTCAAGGGAATGGATACGTTGGCGGTACTAGTCACGACTCCGCAACAGAGGTGCGTGGACGACGTGTACCGATCGGCGGCCTTCTGCGAAAAGGCAGGCATCAGAATCGCAGCATTGGTGCAAAACATGACGCAGTCAGTGTTCGACATCACTAAACCCGAGGTTGTGGGCGAACTTTGCCAACGATTTGGCATTCTCAATGTGCTGCGCATACCCATGCAACCGGAAATCGTCGCCGCTGGCGAGGAGGGGAGACCAATGGAGGATTTCACATATATAGAGCACCTAGAAAAGTACCTAGGTGATGATAAATGATATACTTAAAATGTTTATACGATCATGTGCGGCATTGTGTGACAACGCGCACATGCGGCCCACCCGCCGTCGATGGACGGGTGAAGAGCCGGTGACACAGGTCGCTGCAGCTATTGTGCTGGAGCGTCCGGGATTCCGTAGTGCAACTTGAAGCTGTTACGGAAGAACACGTTGGGATGGGTGCCCACACCCTCAGTGGAACCGTTCGGCGATGTCTGCGAAAAGTACTCCATGCACGCCAACTGGTACTGGTGGGTGGATTTGAGGTCCATGATAGGCGATATTTGCTCCGAGGTCAGGCCGAAATCCTCGAGCAGTCCGCGAAGCCCATCCGAGTCAAAATCGCGGAAGGGACAACCGTGGACCTGGCCGGCCGTCGGTATGGGCAAGCTACGGAGGATCGACGCGCAGCTTAGAGGAGGGCTGCTGACACGACGGCCCTCCTTGCCGTACATGTAGCGAATTGTGTAGACATGCTCCTTCTCGAAATTGGTAGGGTCGTCCCAGAGGTTGCGGTTGAAGTGGAGATTCTCCTCCAGCGACATCCCGCAGCCCTTCAAGAACAGCCAAAACTGGCGGCGGGCGTTGTACTTTATATGCCGGCTGCGAATGTAATGGGTGAAAATGCGGCGCATGCAGGGCGGGAATGTCAGCGCGAACACGCTATTGATGTTGGCAAGACTCAAGCTCTCGCTGCCGTCCGACTTGAAGGAGCCGCGAGAATGGTCGACGGCCAGATACGACTCGGGGAGGACGCGCATAAATCCGGACAGGCGTTCGTCCACAAATGGCAGAGCAGACTCCAAGCTGCCGGACTCGTCGAGTGAGCGGAAAGAGTTCAGCACCTGGTGACGGAAACGAGAGGAGCACAGTACGTGGAGCACTGTGTTGGGAACATATGCCTGACCGTTTTTCAAAACAACCTGACGAGAGCGCACGAGTTGCATAGCGTCAGGATAAAAGGGTGCCTACAAGTCATCAGATAAGTCACGTTGCACCTACGATGTAAAGCTTGTCTATTTTTGCTGCGTCGTTGCGAAAGCTGACCATCTCATGAAATTGTTGGAGCTGGTCGTTCTTGCTGTTTGAGCCGGTGAACATTGTGGGCATCGCGACCTGAGAAACATGTCAGTCCGGTGCAGATCACCCACGCTTTCGTAAACGATGCCCTGGGTATGCAAAAAGTATTCCAGCTTGCTCTGAGTCTCAACGTCGCGGATCTTCACGTCACGCAGACGGTCGAGGCGAAAATCGAACAGGCGCTGTTCGTTGCGCACAAACCAGTCGCGCCTGTCTCTTGCCTTCCCAAAACTGTAATCCATTGAACAACCATTGACGGCGATTAGGCCATGCGCAAAACTCGGTAAACACATATATTTGTAATTCAAGGTATTCATTGTACACACCATAAACCTGTAATCACAATACGTAAAGGGCGTAATACATCTGCTTCGGAAATCGCATTGGCAACCAGCAGGACGGCAACGCCTAAACAAAGGCGGCGAATTCTCAAAACTCTCATAACAGCACTAAACGCAACTTCATGACACGCAATTGAATGTATCTATAGCTTGGACACTTACGCTAGACGTAGAATAAAGTGCGAAATGACATCAGCCTGAGCTATCGGCAGGAACTTGTCCAAGTCTTCCTTGTCGAACACTGGGGAGGGCAGCATGAAGCCCAGCTCCTCCATCTTAGCTTCTATGTCAGAAACATGGTCGGCTGCACTGTAATAGATGGTGTCACGTGAAACCAACCCTTGGGATCTGAACGCTTGTGACGGAAGCTGGTCCGCGACTCTATGAATTGCAGAACTGCAGCGACATGAACAGTTACGCGGTCGAAACCTACGCGCAACACGCTTTGCAGCGATCTCCTGGAAGCTCCGCAGGTTGACCTCGCCGTCAAGCGGCGGCGCGTTGTAGAAGCAAACGACATGTCTACTCCCCTTGAAGAAACATTTGCGATAGAGCTCCGAAGATGCCGCATCGCCATGCAGTAAAACCTCCGACATTTTAAAATCGGTGTAACTGCATCAATTACGAGGAAGACGAGGCAAAGTATGCGGACGCGCCGCACGCGCTACACATAACGTCGGACCTACACACACAGCCACCGGGCCACAAAGCATTAATGTGGAGCGATTGTACGGGGAATGTGTCAAAGGCGAAGTTCAAACGAGCTTCGTGCCAGGAAAGCGAGACCTTCTACCTCTACCAGCAGAGCCAGAAGAAGCTCGTATTCGGTAGGCATTGAATTAGCCGGCGCGAACGATTATAGACCGAAATGAGGAACCGCTACTTTCGCTGAGATACAAGGATCGCAACATACGACTGCTGGACGACAGACTCACCGCCATAGGATACAAGGTGACAACAGCATTTTTAACGACACAAAAGCTCAGGGTTGGGCTTCAGTATTCAGCTCACATTGCGCCCGCAAGGGCAAATGGTATGGATAAGTCAGATGTGTAAGCTAAACGTGGAGGAATCCGTTCACTCCAGTCCGATGTAATGATGCCGATCTGTCTGTAACCCCGTTTGAGGCAAATATTCAGTACACCCTGCTATTATATGCCTCTTGCCACGTGTCATAAGTCTGCTCAGGTACTACGAAGTTCGCATACTGGAAGGCTGCGATCAGATCAATTTTATCGCACCACATGGGGAAATACCCATCGCAGTTCAAGGGCATGTGAGGTATGTGAGGCATATTTTTCTGCTTACTCGGCACGCAGGGTTGGATTCGCATGCCGATACCAAAAATTCCAAGTGCCTATCGGGTATAATAATTTCGGATACGCACTATCGGACGTTGACGGGACAGTGGTCAATGGCGGCTCAAAGAAGCCCTACGCAAAGCCTTTCGGTAATGAGCAGCTATATTCGTGCACAGTGTGACAGGCCCGGGTGACGTAATTGGGTGTTACCTTAGTCTGGGAGAGCCCACCGGTGTAATACCTGACCCAAGGAAAGACCTGAAGCTGCTAGAGCACCTGCAGAGTTGGTCCAGGCATGTACCCGCTAATATTGAACAGCTGGAATATTATGCGATCCCAGAGATCCGCCAGCCATGGAGCTGAATGCGGGATCATACGTCGAGTTTTCTATCAACGGGGAAAAGTTCGGCAAGTGTGAACTCAAGGTATGGGATGGGTATTACCACCCTGCCGCGGCCCTCTACATGGGAGCCACAGTAAAATTCAATTTCGGTAAGCAGGTTCTTTAAAGTTAAATAATGCGTGGAAAACAGGGCCTGACTTTGATTTTCCGCCGCCTGACGATTTCAACCCGTGCCAGCAAATGACGTTACCGGAAGTGCTCTGAAGCATAGAGGAGCGCTGGCAACCAGCAGTGCGCTACGGTCGCATCATCGCAGTTGACGTGGATTAAGAACCGAGGGTCGGTTAAATTAATCAAAAGGATCCACGATCACACCCGCGCCGGACGCGTAAACAACTGCGGAAAATCACAGATGCCGTAGGCAGCTATTAATAAATTTTAGTGACGTGCAGTATTACTGGGCGTATTGAGTGGAATCTTGGATACAATCGATATGCTTCAAATTAGTGCGTATTTTGTTCGCTCCCATTAATGTCTACAACTCCGTGTGCCAAATGGAAAACAACACGGCCACAGGTGCATCGCAGAGTTCGAGGCACCACATTCCAGCCTAGATGCGATGTTCAGTGTGAGGCCGGAAAAGACGTGAAACCGCATGCCGGTCTATTGTACCCGTCGAATAGCGTCCTGTGAATGAAAGCTCCAACGACGCTCCACATGCGGAGGTTGGGCCACGTCTCCTTGTAAAAGTAGAACGTAGAATACTCAGAGCACTGCAGGCACATATTAGATTTTTGTGCTCATACGATTAATCAATAACGTAGAGCACTAACATTGTGGTGGCTACGGCACCCATGCAGACATGAGGTAGCATCAGGCCCATGCATTTGGGGATGACATTTACATCATATCGTACAAAGTGTAGTGGTGGTGCAAATAAAACATAGACATGATATGGCACCAAATTGAGCCCCACCTGGTAAATGAGGAAGTCCGATAGTCGAGTAACACCAGACGTGCGAATCAACACCTGCGGCGGGGGCACGTCGCCGGATACCAGGTGTTTATAAAATTCTGCAGGGTGCCTTCCACATGAGCTGCGAAATGTTAGCGCCACAACACAAGGAGAATATGACTCAACAATGAGAGCACGGAGCACGACTTATAGGCGTGAAACTAAAGGAAGCGTTCAATCGTAAATCGGGTTGTATTCCAAGTATAAACAAAAGGCCGTAACAAGTGAATAGACAGGCTATTTACACGGGCCAAAATGTGCATCAAATACATATATACGCATTATACGATAAACCTGCAATTAGTACACCGAAAACAAACGCGCACCTTTCGTCTTCGCTGTTCGTCGAATCCTTCAGCGCAGAAGCGATGTCATTACGCGCCCCATAACACATGCATATATTCAGTGTAAACCTGCGACGAAATTATCACGAGGCGCGCAGCTGTGCAATTACCTCTTAAAATGTGCCGTGTCGGCCTCCACCTCAGCCAACAGTTGCTGAAGCTCCTCATTCACTAAGCTGAGGTCACCGCAGAAGCGGATACGACAGGAGTCGCGCAACGCGAAATCCCTGGAAAATCATGTTAAAACGAAGCCTAAATGCAAACCTGATTGAACCACCTTCACCGGCAGAATCTGCAGCCAGTGATATCAGATGGCTGATCTCCTCAACGCTCCTGCTGAAGTTCTGCAGCGAAAAGGCGTATACAGTCACCACACGCACACCGAGCAGGTGGCAAACCTCAATGATCTGTCTATAATGATGCAAAACCCGCCATTACACACCTCAAAAAGCTTCGTCAGCCCGTCATGGTGACCCTGCGCTACATTCAGCCCTAGGTGGCGGGCGTAGCGGCGGTTGCCGTCCATGATAAAAGCCACATGGTCGACCGATATGAAGTAACGCAGAGTGCGCAGAAGCATGCGCTTCCACCTGCAATTGTGTCAGAGAGGAGTGATTAGCGATATATTAGCACATCAACAGCCGGCCGTGTCCACAGTGATTGACACGCATGAAGATTCCATAACAATATGCGTCTGTGCCTAAGCAGACAACGAAGGATGCGCATATAAGACACGTAAACCCACCACGCCAACGGCATAATTGAGGTGCCGACGAGAACACATGCCTAACCGCCGTAAAGTGCAAAACCCAGCGCACGCTTCCCGCCTACACATAAAGCCGAGCGGCAGGAAATGCCGCGGCTTATCTTAGAAGTGGTTAATATCAATTGATGTACAAGGAATCTTAAAGACAATGAGCTGTATAGCGGCAGGCGTAACCGCTGAGTTGCCCTAGGGACAACACCAGACACACCTTCCAGCCGCAGCAACGCCCAACTCTCAACTCTACCGCTTAATTTGGAGCTAAGAAAATAATTCTAAATCACTTCAAAAAGCGAAATGTCGACAACCGGCTCAGTTGGGACCAGCTCCGTCGAACTGAGCCGACGTATACCGCGCGGGCAGCAATGAACTGGCCATGGAAACAGGAGAAAATCGTGTAGAAGGCGCAATATAAAGATGACAGGGCACCAAGAATCGGACGGCGGTGATGCCGAGACTAGGATTAACGAGGAAGGACAGACAGAGGACGCAATGGAAGAAATGCAAAGTGCAACAGACGGAACCCAAAGTGCTTCCGACGATACGGAAAATCTTTTAGAGGAAATGCAGGATGCTATAGATGAAACGCAGAATCCAATAGAGGAATTCCAAAATGCAACAGATGAAATGCAGGATGCTACAGATGAAATACAGGATCCAAAGGACGAAACACAAAATCCAACAGAGGAAATGCAACATCCAACGGAGGAAACGCAAAATCCTACAGAGGAAACACAAAATCCTACAGACGAAATGCAAATTCCAACTGAGGAAATGCAGGATGCCACAGACGAAATACAGAATCCAAAGGACGAAATGCAAAATGCCTCAGAGGAAATGCAACATCCAACGGAGGAAACGCAAAACGTTACAGGCGAAAAAGAAGATCCAAAGGAGGAATCGCAACATCCAATGGAGGAAGCACAAAATCCAATAGAGGAAAAACAAAATGCAATAGAGGAAATGCAACATCCAATACAGGAGACGCCAAATCCAAAAGAAGAATCGCAAAGTCCAAAAGGGGAAGCACAGTATCCAATACAGGAGTCTCCAAATCCAAAAGAGGAATCACAAAGTGCAAACACTAGCACAGAGAGTGAGCAGACAGGGTCTCTAGTAAAACAGGGACATCTCATGAGCTTTTCGAATATCACCTCTGCAGTGGAAGTATGTCTAGAGGTGGAACCGCTGCCGAGTGTCTTCTACAATACGGTGACGACATTCATCGAAGAGAAGCCAGATGAGAACGAATTTGAACAGGATATTAAGGACAGAGATCCGACGCGGTGCTTTCGTAAGTTTCGACAGCGATAAATTCATGGCACCGCAGCAACTAGCTCCAGAGGCTTCGCCGGGATGCTGAGACAGCCGCTGCACAAGACGCCACCAAACCAGCAGATCGTATGGATGATCGCTAGATACGAGGCGATCTGCCAGAGGCTGCAGGAGACCGGGAACAGCCTGGCGCGCATAAGGGCAGGAAGCGCCAGTATGACGCGCCAGCAGCTCATGCAGCTTTTCGTTAACGAACGAGAGAAGCTGTTCGGGAAAGTCGAGTACTTCCCAGTCGGCGAGCCTTACCTGGGAATGCCGCCCTTCACTCACTTTTTTAAGCGCGAGGAACTGTTGTACTTCGGCATATGCCAGTCGCCATATGACACCGTTTCCGTGGACAAAATGCGCGACGGGACGGAAATCGCGCAGGCGATCATACTTGACGGAACCCCCTCGCTGAGGGAGGACATGGGCACCAGGTTCATATTATACTGCAAGTTCGAAGCAGGTGGCAACGATGTCAGTGATTATACTGACAAGAACCAACCCATTTTCCAGTCGTGGATACATGAAGTACCCATAAGGGTGGTTCGCGGATACAACGCAGTATCGAGGTAGGTGTAATATAGGCATGCGCAATAATATAAATGCACAGATACGCACCAATTTGGGGATTCAGATACGACGGACTTTATCGCATCATCGCAGTGTACTCAGATAACAACAAACAGGGAGTTAGGGTTTGGAGCTACGTATTCAGCGCATGCAACCCGGACCTGGAGCCGCCGGTATTCTTGCAGACGGATGAGGCGTCCGAGTCGATGTCGACATATGACCAAGACCTCAAGTCGGTCTTTGTCAACCACTTCTACATACACGCCAAATTCCAAAAGTCAATCAAGAAAAAGATATCCGAAGACCTGAGGCAAGTTGACGTGGTTTTGAATGGCAAGAAGCTCTTCACTATCGGGATACCGCACCTGCTCAGAGCAGGGAGGCGCCACCGCAGACAAGTGCCCTTGGTGGTCAACTTTGCAATCATATACCGGTACATCAGACGACTTTGCAAAGTCGCAAAAGTCGGGCAGCAATGGCTGGAGGGCCCTGTTGCGGAATACGAAAGGGCGAAAAAGGAGGGCTCTCCGATTTGGTGGGCTAGAGGAGGGTACCTGCCAATGAAACTCACAATACAATACATGGAACCCAGGAGGTCGCTGTCGATGGAGGTCGTCAGGGGGCAGTGCAAGGAAAAGGTAACCTCGAAGAAAGTCAGGTTCCAGAAGACCCTTATCATCAACCGAGAACTGGCCAAAAACATGGCCAGGCCTTTCTTCCCGCAATCGGACATTGACTCCATTTGGACGTACATAGAACTAACTGAGCCTATACACTCCACTTGGAACCCTTACGAGGACATCAGTGCGGGATCGGAGGTCCATCCCATACCGGTTGTCAATGACGTGGACGATGACGAACCGCCCATGGTCTTCACCTACATACGCAGCAACATCTACTTCTCCAGGCTGCCGCACCTCAATTTCGACCCAGTTTGCGCGGGGTGCATACCGGACACGCTTGACAAAGAGTCGTGTCAAAACGTCTCGGTCAAGGGGTTCTGCAAGGGACTCATGGACCCGAAGGGCAGGCTTTTCTGCCAAGGGGTCAACAAGGGGTACCTCTCCACCATACAGTCGCGAGCGGCATGCTCGGACAACTGCCCGTGCTCAAACGACTGCAGCAACAGGCTGTTGGAGGGAGTGCAGGTGCCGGTGAAGCTGGTCAAAACAACCAATATGGGATGGGCGCTGCACACCATGGTGCACATCACCATAGGCACGTACATTATGCAGTACGTCGGGGAGGTTGTTTGCCGCAGCGAGATGATAGCCAGAGAACACCAGTACGACAAGCTTGGTAGGTTCAACTACTGCATGGAGGCCGTGGAAAGCGAGACGCTGCACGACGATTGGCAAATGCCGTGCATGGACTCGATGGTACTAGGAAACATCGCACGCTTCCTCAACCACTCCTGTGATCCCAACGTGGAGGTCATCACCGTATGGCGCGGCGACGACTTCCCTTGCATCGCAGTGTACGCGCTGCGCGACATCGCGGCGGGGGAGGCGCTCACCTACTGCTACGGACCGCAGTACAAAAACATACCCTGCCTGTGCGACGCGCGTAACTGCAGAGGGGTCATCGGAAACCATTGAGGAGCCGCCGGGGCCCCAGAGCAACAACGGATATCAGCACGCGACGGCCGGTAACACATAAAGACAGTAGCAGCAGAAACGCCTATTAATGATACCGCATGTTACGTGTATATGAATGAGGCATCCGGCGTGCTTCTACAGCTCGCCGTGGCGCTCGTCAGGGACGTGCTTGTTCACAAAATCTTTCAAGCCATCCGTTGTGCGCGGGCCGTCGAAAGTCTCGACTTCATTGCTGCCGGGCTTGATCAGGAGAACAGTGGGGTAGGCGGTCCACTGGATGTGGTCCAACGCGGACTCGTTGCCGTCACCGTTGAGGGTTGCGACGATCACGCGTCCGTCGGTTTTCATGGTCTCACCGAAGGCTTTAAAGACGGGCAAGAACTTCTTGCAGTGCTCGCAGAACGGGGACTCGATCATGAGCAGGATGGGGCGGGTGGCATTTTTCACAAAGTCGGGCAGCGTCTTGCCGACGAGGATCACAACGGGGCCATCGTTGGAAGCGGGCTCCTCCTGACTCTTGATGCTGCGGGGGACATTGCCGGCGTCGACGTCGGCGTAGAAGCGCAGCACAGCTTCCGCGTCGTCAAAGGAGTAAGCCTCAGGGACCAGAATGTAACGGCCGGTGTTGGTCTGGTGAGCAACGGAGGGGAAGGACTCAACGGCGAACGCCTCCTTGGCGGCGGTGAACTTCTCCACGTCGAGCCAGGCGAACAGCACGCTTGAGCGCAGCTCGCGGGCAACCTTGGAGAAGACGGGACGGTACTTCTCGTAGTCGGCCGTCACGGAGCAGAACCACGAGATGGATTTGCCAGAGCTGAAGTAACGCATGTAGTTGGCGTGGCTGATTTCGGAGAAGAGGGGCAGGCACTCCTGCTGCACGAACTCAACCAGCTTCTCGGCGGTCGACTCGGTGAAGTCGAAGCGCTCGTGGGACTTGTGGTTCACGTAAATGGCCTTGTCGCCACCCGCCACTGAGTAGAACTTGGCGTCGTCGCGGTGAAGGTCGGCGAGGTTCTCGAACTCCTTCATGAGCTCGTCGGACGAATCGTAGCCCGTAGACACGAAGGTAACCTCGGCGTCGTCAGGAATTTCGCTAACATCCGAAACGCTGATGACAGCGGGCAACAGAACAGATTTGCACCAGCTCACAATGCCTTCGGCTTGGCGGGAACCGGTGTAGTTCCTAGCGACACCGTGGCGGAAGAACTTCAGGGTAGGGTAGCCCTCAACGCCGAACTCCTGGGCGACACCCACGGCACCGTCGCAGTTGACCTCAGCCAACACCACCTCGGAGCCTTCATCAGCGAGCTGCTTGGCGGCCTTCTCGTATTCGGGGGCCAGGGACTGGCAGTGCATACACCTGAGAACGTCAGACTAACACACACTGCTGCTTACCACGGGGCGTAGAATTTCACCAGAACGGCGTCTTTCTCAGCCAGGAACTCATGGATGTTCTTCTCAGTGAGCTCCACAACGCTTCCGGACACGGACCGAGTAGTGGCAAAGGCGCCGAGGAGGAAAACACCTACAGCCAAGGAAAGAAACGTCAACGGCCTGGAGGTCTCCATTGCAAGGCTTCACAAGGCTAAATCGCTTGAAAACGTAGCAGAAATGCAATGTGTGATATAATGTGGCCGTTCCCGGAACACAATAGCAATATATGAGGGCGGCTGCGCCGGCAGACGGGGAGACAGTATGGGGAGGGTGAGTGAACACATACGAGCACGAAAGACCAGCCGCAGGGAGGTACAACGAGCACGTGTGATTCAGCACTGTGAGAGAAGCAATTATAAGAGACGAGACGGCGGCAGGCGATTTTGCGCACACCACGATACGGACGTTTCCGTCCCAGACACACCGAAGCAGACGCTTGGTATGTCAGACACGGTTTATGGCGCAGCCAAACTGCGATCTGACTAAGTACACGTATGACGTAGCCCGAAACAATTGTGCACGATACAAATCACGAACCCGGCCGGTGTGTAATACGAGGTCGAGTTAGACCGGACGCAGGCGGCGGATGTGCGCCATTTCACATACACACCTAAAGCGCACATAAAGGCAGCCTTACACATTGTCTGCATTTGTTGAATGCTGGCGTTTGCGTGGCGATAATGGCCGACACTGCGGCGATGGCGCCGCTGCAACGTGAAAACGAGCAGGACGATCCTGAGGAGGCCAAGGGATGTGTCGTGGACGAGTACGAAGGACTGGAGCACATTGTAGTACCATCGAGTGGCTCCGAGGGGTTCGATATCCGCTGCTTCAAGCAGACGGAGATTATCCTCGAAAACACGGCTACCGGCCATCAGAGGACTTTCCCGAAGCTGTTCATATCGATCGAACCGCATCTGTCTATCATTCTTAACATCCTCGAACGCGAGTGGGTGGCCCACCTGCTCCAGATGAGCGAGTCGCGCTGGGTCAGCAGCCAGACCTCGAGGGGACTTGCCTCAGCACCACCGGTACTGTTGCTATAGAGTAAATGAACGTATAAACTCACTCAGGACGAGTACAGTACTCAAGTCAGCCGCACAAGGCGCAGCCAAAGCGCCGTGTTCGGATACGGCGAAACGCCAACCATTGCAGAAATCGAGCAGCGAGTAGCGCTTATCGCACGCGTGGACGTGAAACACTTGGAGCGATTGGTCATGGTCAAGTACCATCCGGGCGACTACTTCAAGGAGCACCACGACGGGCCATTCCGGTCTCACACCATACTTATATACCTTAACGGTAAGCAGTGATGTAATGCGCGGCAACCGGGGGAGCGCCCCTCAACGCAGCAAGGCGCGCTCTACCCCGATTGCGGCCACGGGCATTGCCCACAGCACGGCTGTATCCCCTTCTGGCAGCATGCACAAACTGTAAAACTCCAGACAAATGATTGTGCAGATGTGGAAGGCGGCGAGACTGTTTTCCCAAGCCTCAACCTGGCCGTCAAACCGATAGGAAACAGTGGGCTTTACTGGAGAAACACCACCGAGGACGGACGAGCAGATTTCCGCATGGTACACGCCGGCACCAGCCCGAAAATGGGCACCAAATATGTCGTCAACTGCTTCTTCAACTTCGCGGCGGTACGCGATCAGTAGACCACCGGCTTCAGCGGCTCCGCCTCGAGGCCCTCAAGAGTCTTGTCTACCTCCACGTCCATCTCGCCCACGAGCGCGCTGAAAAGGCATGTGACAAAAGGCAGTGCGATGTTTGTATTAATTGTAAAATGCGAGGGCTTGCAAACCCACAATGGCAACACGCATGTACATAAGGGCAAATAAAACCCGCAATACAACCTTCTTTGACTCAAACACATTGAAACACGCATAAATGTGGCACATATATCATAGGACGCCATTATAATGGGCTGTAACAGCCCCGAGCAAGGTTGTCGCAGATTATCGATCAGCAAGCAGTCATACGGTTTGACACCGGGGCGGGCACCGAATATAGAACACTGGTGTCGTGGACATTGCGCACTGAATGACGGATACGGTGCAATAATGTAGGCAGAATAACACATAAACGTCAACCTACATGTTGTCGCCGCGAATCAAGTAGATGCCGAGAGGAAGGTCCTCGAAAGCAGCGCCCTTGCGGAACACGCGCTCCGAGCAGTTGTAAAGCACCAAATTGGTTACTTGGTCGAAGCCCTTCAAGGAGCCGACGAAAAAGCGGCCGTCGACGGTCACCACGCACACCTGGCCTGCAGGGAGTTGACACAGACACCTAACAACCTACACTCAATGAACTGCTCAAGCGACGGGGCCATGTTGTTGCGCAGTCAAACACATCTCAGAGGTGAAAAACCGCATGTGCCGAGTCGGACGGGAGGGGATACCGAACGCGCGTGGCGGATCACGACGTCAGTCCTCGACCAGACACCAAAAATACACACCCAGACACAAACACCTAATTTTGAACTGTGCTTACGAGAATATTATACAATGTAACGTTAAACGGAATCACGGCTTATAATGGCCGGTCGCAGCCAACCGCCCGTCGATGATGTTGCCCAGGCTATGCGCGTCTAGGATATGCTCGTAAGAAGGGATCGGCTTGCGAAGCGCCTCCAGAAGTTCAACATGCTCATTACCTTCCAGCGCAACGATCTTGTCGACAAGGTCGTTCACGATGCGCCGCTCAACCTCGATGTCAAACACGTCGTACGTGTTGCGGATGTAGTCGAGACGCCACTTGCGCGCAGCCTGCAGGCCGCCAACGACACCGTATAGGTTCTCGTGGAAGCATTTCTGCATGCGACAACCGTTCACAGACAGGTCGACGACCCAGCGCTTGCGATTGTGCTCGTAGCGGATGCAACCGGTGTGCCGGGAGCCGCGCTTAACTCTGCAGATCTTGCCACATGAGCCCCCATCGTTCCCAGGCTCGTGGAAAACATGGCGGGACCGCTCAAAGTCTCCCGGTTCTGCTAGGCTGGGATCCCAAGGCCAAGTCCAGGTGAACAGCTGCCTGTAGTCGGCGGCGTATATCAAGTCGTCCGAAACGCACAGCCGGTGCGGCGAAAAGTTGGAAATAGTGCGGTGCAAATGCGATAGCTGGTCGGTGAGAAGCTGGGCCTTGGAACCGGAGAGCTCGGTGAGCCAGAGTTGGAGGACTGATGAGACGTCCAGGTGTCGGCGGTCTACAAGGGGATGGCACAGTTTTTTACGATGAAAAGTGTACACAATAGGCACTATTTTTATGATAAAAAGAGCAGGATGTAACGGAAATATGAACGGCGAAGTTGGGAACTGAGGGATGTTGCTAGCCCAGCCGCAGCTGCAGCTGCGATGGGAAATTCGGCGCAAAACGAAGAACATTACTTCACCATGGAAAAGCAACAAATGAGTCACAGAACGCTAGCAAGTATGTTACCAAAGCGATTTGGACCATAATGGGCGCAGCATAAATTAACAGCATGAAAAATATTTACTATACCACGGGAGAAGCCTAACAACAAATTACATCCCACAGACGGGCATCAAGGAAGCCAAAAAATGGAAACGCTTTCGCGAGAACTAGAACCAACCTGTAGTAAGGATTCCAGTACCGAGCATGGTCGCTACCACAAGCAACCTTTGGTTGTTGGGCATTAGCAGCATCTTGGCCTCGAACTCCTCGCCCACAACCTCACGGGACGAGTACTTGGGAAACATGAACGGCAGCACTGGACTATCCCTAGTGCGCCGAACCCAAAAGCAGTAAGGGCGGATGGCGACTACGGCGCACGGGTGCGGGCCGCGCTCTTCATCCTCCGCAACCACAATAGGCATCACGCGCATCTGGAGGCACCTCTGCGAGGACGTTTAAGCAAACAAATGTTAACGGCACCGACCTGCTTGGTGATAAGGTTATCGCAGATCAGGTGGGCGCGACGAGGCTCGTCGGAAGTGGCTTCCATCAGCGAGACGCCGCAAAAACCGAGAGCCGGCTCGTCGCCGAACATGAAGCTGTAGGTGCGCAAATAGCGCAAGAGATCTTCGCCGTTCCTGAGAGACATCACGAATCCAAAAATGCAGTCATACCATTGTTCAGGGATGCCAACCACAGTGATCCCGAGAACGAGTTGAAAGTCGTACGGCTCGTTGAAAAAGCTATACATGCCTTGCATCCTGACGGTGCAGAATCCGGGTTTATATACTCTTTAACACTAAATGCAGTCAAAAACTGTCATAAGGATCTTCAGTTCGAGACCTTACACAGGATGGCAAGCGGAGTAACACACCGAGTCGCACAGCAACGGCACGGCGATGTGGTCTCCAACAATAGGCCGTTGTAGCTGGGCACGAGGTAGCCTTCGAAAACTCACAAGCACAAAAGCGATACGCGACGACACACTTCTCTCGCAAGAAATGTGGAAGCTCGCCGCAAGTAACTGCCCGAACGAAGTACCTTCAACGTAACAAACCACCTCGAAATCACAGCACTTTGAAAACGCTACACATCACCCAGAAAATGAAGTCGGAGCGTCAAACGTAATCGATCTAACTTGCATTCAATAGAAAATGGCTGATGCAAAAAATGCGCGCGACAATACATCTATGTCTTCCCCGACGGCTGTCGCAAGCTGACCATTCGATGAACATTTGCAGACATGGAATTTTAATCCAATACACGGCATCTGCCTCCGTATTCGGAGCGCCGATATGCTCAGTCGCAAGACCACTATGCCGCTTATTGACGCAGCGGTTGCCAGAAATTCTTTTAATTCTGTAAGTGGATTCTCACTGCTGCTATTGGTGGTTGTGTCACAACTTTGCGTAGTGTGCAGCTGGAAACTTCGTCACGAACCCGGAAGATCCGCGGAAAAACGCGTCCTGCGACATTTCGGCGCTGGCCGTGAAACGCAGGCCCCGCAAACGGGACGACGCCGTTCTTCCTTCGATATCGTCCAATTGGAGACAAAATGGCAACGTTACTGGGAGGAAAACGATGTGTTTAAGGCGGAAGAACCGGAAGGTCTGTCCTGCAACCCCCGTGACTCAACGAACTCGACGAAGGCGGTCGAGGGACGGGGACGCGACTATGGCGACGTCGAAAGGAAGCCCAAGTTCTACGGACTATGTATGATACCGTATCCATCAGGAGAAGGGCTGCATGTGGGACACTTGCTAGGGTACACTATTCTCGATGTAATAAGTCGATACAAACGTATGAGAGGATACCGTGTCCTCTGTCCGATAGGTTGGGATTCCTTCGGGCTGCCTGCAGAAAGACACGCTGAAATCGTGAAAAGAGATGTCAGGGAGGTTACCGAAGCCAATATTCAGACATTCAAGCGACAAATAAAGCGAATGGGATTCGCTTACGACTGGTCACGCGAACTACGAACGAGCGAACCCTCATACTACAAGTGGACGCAGTGGATGTTCCTGCAATTCTATAAACGTGGCATCGCTTACAGATCAACTCAAACGGTGAATTGGTGCCCGGAACTGAACACGGTGCTGGCAAACGAAGAAGTCAAAAATGGACTCTCAGCGCGAGGGGGGTTTCCGGTTTATCGCAAACAGGCGCCACAATGGCTATTGGGGATTACAAAGTATGCTAAAAGATTAGTCGAAGGACTGGATTCACTAGAATGGCCACAGTCAATCGTTGCTGCCCAGAAGAAGTGGATAGGTCTCGAACATGGATACAAAATCAAATTCGAAGTAAACGACACCTCGCCATCTGTCAAGGCCTTATTTGGCTTCGAAACTTATCTAAATCGCTTAAAATATATAGAACGCGTGGAGTTAACGACTGATATGGCAAATCTATTTGATTTCGTGCACCCATCGGCAACGGAACACGTGAAGCAGCTGGTCGACAGTGCCGCCAGAATGTCAAATATCGCACGAAATGAAAACAAAAGGGTTGTTGAAACCGGAATCGAAGTGCGTAATCCCATCACAGGGCGTCCAATAAAGGTATATGTGACTAACGCGCCGCTGCTCTTTACTCAACCCATCAACTGTCGTATCGTTGCCAAAAATGTGGATGCAGTAGCAGATGAATCCCCAAGCGTCGGAAATACCGACAAATGCGTCAATGATATCTTTCATACCACGATTGACGGAACGTATCCCGATAGCGCATACATTGAGCCATTCGTCAATCTAAAGTTAAAAGACTGGATATTCAGTAGACAACGACATTGGGGTGAACCAATACCCCTAGAACGGCGCGGAGGAGAATATGTACCCGTTAACGAGAATGAGCTACCGCTGGAATCAGGAACACAGCACGAAGAAACGATGCCACAGTGGGCAGGCACTTCATGGCACTACCTGCGTTTTTGCGACCCTGCGAATTTCAAACAGCCTTACGGAGAAGCTGCCGCCTCTTACTGGATGCCAGTGGATCTATATGTAGGAGGAGTCGAACATGCAGTGTCCCACCTGCTATACGCCAGATTCTGGAACAAAGTCCTTTTCGATATGGGCGTTTCACCCGTAGAAGAACCATTCAAAAAAATTCTGCTCCATGGGATAGTCAGAAATGCGTTGTTCACGGTTGACGGGCGTCCCGTTGACGAAGAAGAAGTTATAAAACACAAGGGGGGTTACGTTTTGAAAGGTGATCACAACACCAAAGTCGATGTCAAGCTGGAAAAGATGTCGAAATCCAGGGGGAACGCAGTATCTCCAGACCCTATAATAGATAAATATGGCGCAGATGCGCTGCGGTTACATCTCCTGTTTCTTGGACCTGTGGCTAAAGATAGGGTGTGGTCCGAAAAAGGGTTGATTGGTGTCTCCAAGCTCTTAGATCGCATATACAACTTCTTTACCAATGTGAACATAACTGAGGATAAGCACGACATCAATGGCAGCCTGAAGCAACTGGTTGAAAAAATCACCTCGGATATAGAAAATTACCATTTTAATGTAGCCGTGTCTGATTTCTTCAAATTCGTACCTGAGATGCCTAAATTAGCCAGGCGTGGAGAATTGGGGAGAAATGTTGCGAACATATATCTCAAATTACTTGCGCCATTCGCACCACACGCAGCTGAAGAATTGTGGCATTTAGTGAACACGAATGCCGCAGGCTCCATAGCTCATACATCATGGCCAACGCCATCAAACATGAATATGCCGTAATATTTAACTTTAGTTGCTTTATGAAGCGCATGTTGACGCCCTCCGTGGCAACGTGTACATTCATTGGGACGCTACAGAATGGTAGCCGAGAAAATGAGTTGGACTCTGCCATGGGCTTGTAGTACGGTGCACGGGGCAGATAATTGCTGCGATTCTGTTGCTGATTGCTAACGCACGTGAGTTCAGGCTCTCTCGTGAATGCCACCCCTACATCAGAGGGGCAGGCGATGAGTTTTTGCGCCATAAAAGCCTACGTATAGCGCGAAGCACAAGCCTCCAGTAAACGTTAATATCAGCCAATGCGTATGATATGTGTTTCCAATTGTACAGTGTGCTACGTGGCGACGCTAGACTTGGGCCGGTTTTCGCGCTTAGCAGACTAGCGCCTCAAACTGCTGATATATTTTGCGAATATCCGCACAATACCTGTCCGGCATAAGGACATTGAATCGTGTAACGAAGAGCAACCCGCCAAACTGCGCCATGAACGCAATTACATTATCTTCGAAACATTGCCCTGCCTTATTCGATAGAATCAGTATAGATTATGGGGGATTGTATCCACGAAGCTGATTGTCACCACATTTGAAAACTAGAAACACCTCGAAAATTCGTTTGACGCCAACTCACTGGAGAGCCGGACGCCAAATCGTTGTTTATCAAAATGCTTCTAGACTTCATCTGGAATATCCATTCAGTAGAAAGCCCAGAATCCAGAGAGATCGTAAATTGTCGTTACCACGCGTTTATCCACACCTCCCAATGCCATGACGGCATTTGGTGCACTTATGCCAGCGCGGCATTCCGGCTCTACGTAACCCAGGGCGCGCAACACCTCCCGCATATTGTTATACCCCGTAGAATTCGATCCTCTAAAGAATGCAGCGATACACGTTGCCATCAAAGCATTTAGGCCTGCGTATAACATTGGCGCAATTCCCACGAAGACTACTGCACAAGCCTCCGGGTCCTTCGAGCACGATGCCTCCCACGTTGCTTCTCGACTGTAGGCAGAGATATAGTGGTCAGGCACTTTTATGCTACGCAGGAACTTCTCACAAGCATCAACAACGTTACCTAAGTCCTTTGCGATGTCCTTGGGCTTGACACCCTTAGTCTGTATTACGTTCTCAAAATCGCTTTCTTCGACAAATCCAGTGGTCTCGGAGAACTTTCCCTGTGTCTTATCCATGGGGTTATTGAATCTCCTCAGCATAATGTTTACGGGCCATTGGTCCTTAAGCTCCTTTTGCCACATGAAATCCTTAGAAAGATGTTTTACATTCTCGAGAGCTGGCAATTCCATGAGGCCAACGGGCTTGTCTGCGAGAAAGTTGTAAAGTGCGGCACCCATGGCCGTCAGGTTTCTTTCAGCATCAGTTCCCCTCAGGGCCATCAGCCAGTCAATACCCTCCTTGAGGTTGCGAGGAGCCTCTGTCAACGAATCGAACTGCATTTTTAAGGGTTCATTAAATTAGACGAGTTCTATGAACGTGTGTTGTTTTCGTCTACTTTCTGCCCAGTATATAAAATGCCCTGCATATTTATACGCAGCGCGAACGCCAGCTGTGCCTTCATGGCGTATGAGCACAACTGTGCTACCGCCTTCTAATACATATGCGAAGTATCGTAATATTCAAACCCGTTTACACACTCACCAGGCAAACATTCAAGGCGCGATGATGACCGAACTGTAGTATCGCAGCCAGATCCATAGTATTAAACAGGCATGCAGCATATACAACGCATGTCATTACCTTGTGTAATAGTGGCACACATTGAAGCTTGTTATATTTGTAGATTTCCAGGGATGCATCAAAGTTCATGATGTTATGATGGGTTGCGATTGGTATATTACAGTGCACGCATACCTGTGGTCAACGTGGCTTCCCGTCACGCCTTCTCTCCCATTCCCATGCGCACGCCTCCAGACATTCAATAACCAAATACAAAATCACTGGCATAGCATAAATATACCTAACAAGTGGAATTCTGCCTTCCCGAGAATGGGAGTCATCGTCCGGTGGCATATGTGCCCACTGACGAGATGACGTGAGGCGGCCACGTCTCCCGGGTCAGCCAGACCTGAACGACTCATACGACCCCCATTTGTACATCGAATTGCAAGGTCTGCGACGTTGCAAGTCAGGTGGACCATGTGCTTTTTGATGCGGTGGTAGGTGCGCAAACTTGCCGATTTAAAGAGGACACCACAATACCAAGGCTTACAGCTGCCATAACGAACCACTACTGCACGCGAAACCATTGCAAGGTAACGAATGACTATGTGGACGCGATAATTACTGAGATTTCGATTTAACCCATCGGATCGTCGTCAAAGTAATCGACGCCGTGGTAGAGCGAGAGCATCCTGCGGCTTCCGGCGAGCAAAGCCTTGACGTCGATGAGGTGTGAGGCCCTGGTGGTGAGGTGGGAGCGGATGCGCAGAACGTCGATGCGGTAGAGGAGTGAGTGGGCGATGTAGAGCGTGGCGATGAGCCAGAGCGTTGTGATGGCAAAGAGGAAGGGAGCACGGATGCCGATGAGGAAATTGTCCATGCAGGTAATAAGGTCTGCGATAGGCTTTCCGGAGACCACTGCCTCCAACTTAGCGCTGACCTTGGAACAGGAGATTCGTGATTGTAGTGTCCCTTCTGGTGCAGTGAACCCGTGAGTGTAGAGGAGGGGCAGGGCTTCGGGGCACTGGTGGAGTGATAAACACTTGGTACCATAATGCTTCTTCATGTCTATACTCAGCTTTTCCAGCGACTCCCAGAGTCTGTCAGATAGGTAGGCCACCCAGCTGAGGTAGTGGTGGACGAACGCCGTGGAGTACAGGGCGTAGGCCCGATAGGTGATGGGCTTCATATGCTGTGGGCAGTTCACATTAGTGATGCCGCAGCCAAGCAATGTGGACAGTGTCTTGGGATGGCCATTGTTGTGGTTGGAGTTGGGAGTACCGGAGCCCCGGACGTCCTTGATTGCATTGAGGTCGGCGTCACCAAGGCGGTCCCAGTCGGGGCAGTCGTCATGTGACTTGGAGAGGGCAGAGCCCAGCCTGGATAACTGTGAAGATGCTTGCAGCTCATTCCCGAAATTGTGGAAGAAGGAGACAAGCTCCCCGGTGGTGCGCGGCGTCCGCCTGGTGAGGCATACAAGATACCTGCAAAACTTCTCGAATGGGTCGGCATTTTGATAGCACACCCCGGCCAGCACGTTGTACATGTAGAAGCCATGCTTGGACTCTTGACGCAAATGATCCGGACGAAAGCCCATTTTTATACGGCTCCGCCGGCATATGTCGCCCCGCCGATACAGGTAGGTGGAGAGATCGGACTGGTCAGTGAGAAAGCCCTGCAGCGGGGAGGCGTCGCAGCCGTGGTCCTCAAATTTCGTAGCATCTACCGGAGGTTGGGGGCACTGCCATGATTTGGACACTTTCACATCTCTACCAAATTTGCAGTCTCGCCATCCACCAGAATGCGTGTCCCGGCTGCACTGCGCTCGGAGGAACGATAACTGATGACACGCCGCATAGACGTAGTTGACCAACTGGCACAGCAGCGTGTAGGGGTCGTCGGAGTAGTACATCAGGGGAACGCCGTAGCGCTGGTAGTGGAATTTGTTAGGGGTAGCGGGCTTAAGCCCCTCCATGGCAGCGAGCACAGAGCTGGCGTGGCCACAGGTGTCGGAGAGGGCACCGATGACGTTTGCAGCTGAGAAAGACTCTGACGATGCAATGATTTCAGAGCCTTCAAATAAGCCCGCAATGTGTCGCGTCAGATCGGCGTAGCCTAGTGAATTCGGCAGATCCCCGAGCCAGCACAGCATGTCACGCACCGTTAGGGGCGGGGGGTTGGAGGTGTCGGTGGGCGGGAGCTTTTCAGTGGTGGCACTGGTATACTTTGCCGGGCATATTTGCTCATCGATCATGACGCCCGGGGGGGGATCGATATACTGAAATTGGGGCTGGTATGTGCGATGCCTTGGTTGTGTGTGAGAGATGGGAGGCTCGTATGGCTTTTTCATCTCCGATTCAATTTTAGGTTTCAACCTGGGGATTGGTGGATGCATCGGCAGACGGGTATTTAAATTAGGATCTGGAATATGCTCACCTGTAACGTCAGGCATGGGAGGAAACATTTTTGGCGCCTTTATAGGCTCACCCCTAGGAACTCCGAGGTAGGCGGATTTGTCGATAATCGCCGCATTAGGCATGCCTCCGGCGTTTGACGGTACAATACCAGTGAACACGTCGCCAGCATCCTGCTGGCCTTTAATGTATTTGTGTTCCTCATACGTTTTATAACGCCCCGCCGCTTCCTTTTGAAGTTTATGCTTTTCTTCGATTTTTCGTAGTGTTTCCACACGGAGTGAATTCATATATCGCTCATTACGCAGATCAAACACGTCCCTTTTCCCCTGCAGTTCCGTGTCACTGTCATAATAAACTACGTTGCCGTCAACGCTAAAATCAATCGGCTCCGGAATAGTAATAGGGGTGGGTGCAGTGTAACGGCTTTTATGCTGCTGGAAACGGCGCAAATGCTGCTGCAATCTTCTTTGCTGTTCAAGATCTTTCTGTTCTTGCGTTTTCAGCCACTCATCCTCTTGTTGCTTCCGTATCCATTTTCCTTTCATGTCCACGTTATAATCCCACCAATCTGGCCTCCACCAAGTATCATCCTTGTCTGCCTGCCCTCCAGCTCCGAAATTGTCTCTAGTCCTAACACTAGTGTAATGCCTGTGTGCAGATGCTGGTGTGCTTTGCGTGCTGCGTTGCATGACGACAGGAGAAGACAATGAATCTGCACGTGCAACACCCGTATCTCGAAGTTGCATAGTGCCTTGGGCAGCAAGACGCTGTTGAGCTGAATGATCACCGACCGGTGAAGCCGGATCATGGACGGCTGGCTGACCAAGATCATCCGATGACACAAATACCAAACTTGAAGCACCAGGAATCTGAAGTGTCGCAGGGTTCTGAGGTGTTAGTAACTGTTGAACTGAAGAACCACGGGCCTGTGAATCATCTTTCGTCCCACCTGCAGCCCTCCCAGAACCTCCTCCGCCACCTGAATCAGAATGCTGACCGGGTATGCCTGGGTTGGCGTCTTGATTGGGAGCTGAGTCTTGACCGCTCTGTTGAATATGTCCAGAAGTAGGTGACTGGCCACCCCGTTCCTGACCACCGACATCAGTGACACTAGATGACGAAGAGCTTGAGCTGGACGCACTCGAGTGACCATGCGTAGGAGCTGGGGAAACAAGGGGCTCTGAAGTCGGAAGTGTTGTAGCCGGTGGACTATGATCTCTGAGAGCACTGGGGGCAGCAGGTGGAGGTTGTTGGGAATGACGCTGGGAAGTAGATTGATGATGTAGGAGATGAGGCTCCGAAGACAACGTTGGCTCTGTACTTGTGCTCCCCTGGGTGCCCTTAGCACCTCGAGACCCTGGTCTGTGTCCTCTACCTCCCTGAGCCCCCGATCCCCCTCCACTACCTTGGATCCTGATTCTATAGTTATGCCCTCCCCCTCCTCCAACACCAGAAACACGACTCCCACGAGGTAGCCAACCTCCAACATTCCTTGTACCGGATGTCCTTACCCCCGAAGTTCTGGAAGTCCCTGGTGGTGCAGGTCTGCCAGGCCTCGAAGGCCTGGACGCAGGCGCCTGCCTTAGTCGGGGTCGGGGATTTGGGGGCGGAGCCGGCGGACGGCACGGCTCACCATCCAAAAGTTTTTTCAACTTATCCAAGCCGTCGCGATCTTTGCCAAGCATATCTATGACACTGTCCCAATGATCTGACAGCGTCTTCCACGCGTCTCCCATCGTTCCATAGCCTTGGTCACCAAATATAAAACCGTAGGGGAATATGTTTTCTGTTGCAAATGGCTGAAGATAATTCAAATGTCGAGTGTCGTCGACTGGGAAATCTTTATCTATTCGTTGTACATTCTGTTGAACTTTGTGCAAATGTTGTCTAAACCATTCAGCTGTCTCCCCCGCAAATGTCTCTGTGTTAAGCTCCTTAACACTCCGCACCTGGCCGGTGTAGGAAAAGCCCTCGATGTTGAACAACTTGCCAAGTTGCTGCTCAAGATTTTTGCAATGGGCTACTAAATTATTCCAACAAATGCGTTTGTTCTGCGTGCCTTTTTCCAAATGCGTTTTAAACTTTTCACCATTTAGTTTCTTTTCCTCCGCAGCGACAATCTCGCAAAACGTTTTCACCAATGCAAGAACATTCGCAGTGTTCACTTTATGAGTGCCGGCACCACTTTTAGAAATGACTGTTGTAAAAAATACGTCCCGGAAATCATTGTACTTATGACTATGTTTGTCCAAAATATTTTTGAGGTCAGGAATCATATCCATACCGTACCGGTAAGCATAGCGAGAATTATAGTCGTAACCATACGTCACCTCACCTTCGCCGAACCCACCAGCTATGAGGTCACCGTACTTATCGCTCAGTAACACCCTGAGATAATTCTGCAGTTCACCGCCCCATCCAGTCCTACCCCAAAAATCTTGTCGATCCAATTCCCACCCAGGATAATCGTCTCTCCACTTCGCTCCTCCCACCGCATCGAATCTATAATCCACATTGTACCACAAAAAATACAAAGCGGCGAGGAACTTGGGAATGCAGTCGAGGAGGGCTTCGGTGACATCTTTCGCTTTTGGATCGATATAGCTTTTCTCAATTGGTGTAGCTACTAATTTCTTATAAAACTTGGACACGTGTTCGAGGAATTCGGAGACAGCACGTGGCAGCTTGCCCGTAAACGAAATATGATTATAAGATTCTCCATAACGCTTAACCAGTTCACTAATCACCTGGTTTTGCATACCACTGTGACCCTTTAACCACAGCAGGAACTGGAGACACTGCTTGAGATTGGTGAGAGGAATGCCAGCCACCATCTTGCTTACCAAGGCACTAAGCACAGAGACACTAATAAATGGGCACTAGGCTAGTCGTACAAAAGTACAAGTGAAAGCGTGTTAATGCTTAACTACGAGACACGAAAGCGATAAAACCTCTGAGGTGACGACACTGCTTACAGATAACCATGACACTACCAAGATGCTTGCAGCGGTTTTGATTGCGGTGTTAATAGGTGACTCAATGAAGTCGTTAGTGGCGATAAGTGGCCTATTTTAGAGGTGCAGGAGGGGCGTGGTAGGAGGCGTCTGCAGCCTCAGTCCACCGACCATGTGGGATGAAGAAGGGATGTTTTGGGAGTGACGGTAAGTAAAGCGGCGAACAAGGGGCATGTTAAGGAAGCAACGTTGTAACATCATAGGTCAGGCGGTAGGTTAGGCATTTGATACATAGTGGATTAGGTGGGTGAGTCTAGGCAGGCTGTGGCGCGGAATATCACTGAGGCGTTGGAGGCCATTGTGGCCATGGACACAGATCTCAAGAAGGATTTAAAGAGTGTGAAAGGTGAGATTAAGAAAGGGATTGAGAATGTTATTACGCAGTTGGGAGTTAAGACATTGGATGAAAAATGTGAAAGGGGATTTGGGGACGTTGAAGGGGAAGATTAGTGAGCTTGGCAATGGTCTGGAAGGCGATGGAAAAAGTAATGAGCTTGTTAAGGATAAGTTGGAGGCGCTTGAAAAACAGAAAGAGCAACTTGAAAAGGTTACTGGTAAGCCAACTGGTTCAATTCATATGGCGATGGGACAACTTGAAGGTAATTTTAAGACGCATATCCAAAAACCGCTTAACCTGGCGGTCAGTGCAGTTGACGAGGCGATTGGGACGCTTGGCGGGAAGTTTGATAGTAAGCAGAATATTGCAGGCATTTTCGAGCATATTAAAAGTAAGGTTGGGGAGATTAAGGGGAGTGAAAGACGTAAAAAATCAGGTGTAGATGGAATCGTCGCCAGGTTTCAGACGTACGTCAGGGAGGTTGGCAGGAATATGCAGTGTCAAACAACCCTGCAGGCTTGGCTTGACAAGATTCTGACGCATAATGGCGTGGTGGTCTATAGGCTTGGGAAATTTGTTGGGGATAACAAGGGTGGTCAACTAAATGGTAAGTACAATAGTGAGAAAGGAATGCATGACCCAATTAAGGAGAAGACTAAAGCAAAGCTTAAGGCTGCCAATGTTTATGGTTATGCTGAGAGTGAGTCCCCCGTAGAATCTAACGGTCTCCTTACCGTAATGTTGACGTCACTAATGAAATTCCTCGACGCATACGCCAATAAGCTTGATGGCAGAATTAATGTTGATAACAATACGTTTGTCACTGAATTAGTCTCAAAGATTGAAGGAGATGTTAAGAATGGGAACCGTTACTCCGGTTACAACAATCAGCATCTCACTCCCACCGTAGAAGCCGTCCTAGCGGCGCTCACCGCCAACGCCAGACGGACTGCCGGGGAGATTGGATCCTTAATCCTCAGCATCGACAGGAGCGGACAACCCAGTGAAGGCAGCATCGCATCCATCCTGGACCAAATCACGCCGATTGCTACTAAGCTTCACGGTCAGCTTGAAGGAGCGACTAAAACCCCTGGCCCTCCCACCGGCCCAAATGTAAGCCCCGCCCAAGCCGTGGACAGTAGGTTGCAGGCGGTGAGGAATTCTTTTCGTCATCACCATGCTTCTTCAGTCTCTCAATCTCCTTACGGAGATGCTCGTTGAGTGTCCCGAAAAAGTGCCCGAACGCGGAGGACAATGCTTGAAGCTCTCTGCTTTTCACGTCTTTGAGCCTATTAATGTTCACGCATATTTCGCCTTCAACCTGTATCATGAACCCTTTATACCCCATCTGCAGATCCTCGTTGATCAACGGAGGCAAGGGACTTAACTCCTCTTCCACCTTCTGGGCGAACAACTTCAGCGCCTCCTTGATGTTGGAGACATACTGCCGGCGTGCCTCCCCGATCAATGTCTCTTCGGCTGCCTTGACCTCCTTGTTGACGAAAGCGTGGAGGTCTGCAATAATTCTTTTAGCGGCCTCGGCGGCGTATTTATCAAACTTCTTGAGTAATTGAATGACATTGTCCAGCGGGCCGAATAGCAGATTGTAGATATCACTGTAAATTTTCCTCAACTCTTTGTCAAGCATTATTTCCTTGACCTCTTGTAAAATGTCTCTGAGATCTCTTGCGTTATGCCTGACAGCACTGCACAGGGCGACGACATAATGCCTGACGTCCTCAACGTTCTCTGTTTTTATGGTCACGATGTCCGTGGTGATTTTTTGAATGCCATTTAAGTTTTTATCGTCAAATGTCCATGGTTGTTTACCTTCATTAAGGCCATGTTCTTTAAGCTTCTTTAACTTATCGGTGACCTCAGTGTTCAACTGCTTCTGAAGCCTTTGAAGCTCACCGGTGATCTGTGCGACGCCTTGGTCAATGTTCTTCGGTTGCAAGGACAACGTATTTTGTTGATGTTGAAGTTCATCTTCAATGCTCTTAAGACTATTCTTGCTTTTCCACGGCTTACCACTTAGTCCATTGTCCATCAAATCGTTCAAAGCATTGATGACATCTTCGCCTGGCCTGCCTTGCAACACATCTCGGAGGGCAGTGAGTTCTTTTACAATTTGTTGCTTGGCTTGTTCGATGGTTTTGGGTTGTGTATTAAACGGGTCTTTTTGCAGCCCAGCGATCACATTGTAAATTGCTTGAAGGCCTACTTTCTTGCCTTTACCAATTCTGTGCTGTAATTTCTTCAGATTGTCCACGAGGTCATTTTCAACGAGAGCATTATCCAAGATGATCTTTATCGTTGGAAGCTCCCACGCAATTGCCCTGAGGGCTGAGTCGATGGCCTTGGTTTGATTGCCCAATTGCTCATTCTGCTCTTGAAGGTCACCATGAATTTTCCCAAGATCACTGAGAGGTTGACCGTTAACTTGCTTCCAAGTATTCTTGCCGTCGAGACCATTCGATTGCAAATCTGTCAACCTTTGAATAACATCATCTTTATTAGTATTCTTCAACTTCCCCCTAAGCTCTCCAAGCTGCGCCTTAATTTGGGTGACGGCTTGGCCAATTGCAGCGGGTTGCTTAGTGAACGTAGTTGTTTGCAGACCATCAATCGCCGATCTGATTGTCTCAAGGCCTTTTGCGGAACCAAGCAGTGCTTTATCATTAAGCCCAGCTTTAAGTTCATTCAAAAAAGCTTTGACTCCTCTGCCATTATCGTCCATGAATGAAGCACCATCAACCAATTTCTTGATCTCTTCAAGCTGCTTTGTAATTTCTTTAAATGGCACCTCGAAGGTTTGATCAGTAATTTTTACACCACCGGCACCGCCATTTTTATCGATGATGGTAAGCTCTTTCAGACCCACAGTCTTGATGTTCCCGATCGCCTCTGGAAGCAGGCCTTCGCCTTGTTCGCCTTTTAGGTTGCCGGTCTTAATCTTTTCTTGGACAACATGTTTTTCATAACTCGTAAAATTATTTTTAGCAAGGTCAGAAATTGTACCACCTTGCTGACCTGGCGGATCATCCTTACCAATGTGGTCATCGACTTTTCCTTGAAGTTGTGATTCGAGCCCACTTTTGATCTTCCCGTGGGCTTCCTCGAATTTTTCCATGAGATGTTTGCCAAGCTTTATGTCACTTACATCAGCACTGTTACTAATCTGCCCAGCCGCCGCTGTAATCGCCGCCTTGGCCGCAGCCTTGATCTGCTCTTGAGCTTGTTGGTTGAACTCTCCAACGGCGGTGGGGAGGTTGTCCACCGCAGCGGCAAGCTCTTGTTTGACTTTGGTCCGAAAATCATTTTCAATCTGGCTCTCAACCATTTTCCTAACCACCGCCAACTTACTGTCCACGGCTTGCGCGGGGCTTACATTTGGATCGGTGCCTTGGTTGGTAGCAGTAGCCGCGGTGAGCTGTTTGTCAAGTTTTCTAGTCTCATCAACTACTCTATCCAATTCGCTTGCGATGCTTCTTTTGCTGCCCTTTTCTATCCTGTAGTCGCCGAGCAGGATAGAGTCAATTTCGTTCGCCACCTGACTGGTGGTAGCGGAGAGACCCAGCAGCGTGGATTCGACTGCTACTTTCAGGTAGTCTTTGCCACTTTTATCCGCATTCTGAATCCCCTCGAAAATCATCTGAGAAAGCGTGCCAATTCCCTCATCCCTAAGTTTCTGATCAAGCTCCCCGACAAAATGCAGACAGGCTTTTTTCACAGATTCAATGGTTGTTTGTATTTTGCCATCAGTTAGTTTAACCTTTTGGCCAGCTTGCTCAATTGCCTCTTTAAACTTCTCTTCAATCGATTTGATTATTCCATTACGCACTGATATAATCTCATCACGCCGACGATTCGCTTCACTGCTGCTCCTACCTTTACCATTCCTGTCCTCAACATACTTCGGAAGCCACGGTTTGAGCACATGATCATTATTTCCCAAAGTTCCTTCCATCCAGCCTGTCACAATACCATTGAATCCAGGTTTACCGTTATGGGCGAACCCACTGGCATAGCTGTGAATTAACCCGGCGGCAATCCCCTCCAGACCTGCTTTGGGGGTTGACGTCCCCTTAATCTCCCCAACCTTACTTTTAATATGCTCGAAAATGCCTGCAATATTCTGCTTACTATCAAACTTCCCGCCAAGCGTCCCAATCGCCTCGTCAACTGCACTGACCGCCAGGTTAAGCGGTTTTTGGATATGCGTCTTAAAATTACCTTCAAGTTGTCCCATCGCCATATGAATTGAACCAGTTGGCTTACCAGTAACCTTTTCAAGTTGCTCTTTCTGTTTTTCAAGCGCCTCCAACTTATCCTTAACAAGCTCATTACTTTTTCCATCGCCTTCCAGACCATTGCCAAGCTCACTAATCTTCCCCTTCAACGTCCCCAAATCCCCTTTCACATTTTTCATCCAATGTCTTAACTCCCAACTGCGTAATAACATTCTCAATCCCTTTCTTAATCTCACCTTTCACACTCTTTAAATCCTTCTTGAGATCTGTGTCCATGGCCACAATGGCCTCCAACGCCTCAGTGATATTCCGCGCCACAGCCTGCCTAGACTCACCCACCTAATCCACTATGTATCAAATGCCTAACCTACCGCCTGACCTATGATGTTACAACGTTGCTTCCTTAACATGCCCCTTGTTCGCCGCTTTACTTACCGTCACTCCCAAAACAGCTCTTACTCATCCCACCTGGTCGGTGGACTGAGGCTGCGGACGTCTCCTACCACGCCACTCTTGCACCTCTAAAATGTCTCACCAATCTTGACTTACATCTTCACTGAGTCACCTACATACACCGCAATCACTACTGTTGCAAGCATCTTGGGAGTGTCTTGGTAACCTGGAAGCAGTGTCGTCACCTAGGAGGTTTTATCGCCTTACTGTCTCGTGGTTAACCATTTAAATGCTGTCACTTGCACTTTTGTACCATTAGCCTAGTGCCCATTTGTCAGTGTCTCTGTGCTTAGTGCCTTTGTAACTAAGATGGTGGCTGGAATTAAGCTCGGCACTCTTAAGGAGTGTCTCCAGTTCTTGCACTGGTTGCATAATGGCAAGCTGGGAAAGGGGATGCAAAGCCTAATATCTAGTCGCCTGAAAAGGCTCCTCGAGAAGAGGTATAACACTGTTAATCCGACACAAATTGAAAACGCGCTGTCTGCATTCCTTAGCAGTGTACATACATTTCACAATAAATTATGCACTTCTCCACGCGGTTCTTATGCTGGCCCTCAAACCGCTAAAAATGTCCTCAACACTTTGCTTGACTGCGTGCCCAAACTGCTTGCTGCCGTGTACTTTCTGCGGTACCAGGTGGACAGACGGTTCGAAGCACTGGGAGGAGGGGGGTGGGCGGACCAACAGGTTGGGGTGATTGCACTGTACGCTTCACTTGGCGGAGGGTTGGTTGCAAAGTTCGCAAATATGACCGGTCCAGTAGACAAGTACCTCACTGCTGAATCCGGCACTGACTACGGTGGTGTGATACCTGGAGGCTTCGATCCTAGTGAGTTGAGGCAAGGTCATCTTCAAGGTTATTCCGAAGCTTCTCAAATGGCCGGTGACCTTCAAAGCATCATGGAAAAGCATGCCGGTCAAAATAAGCAAAACTATTTCCTCGATGTCTATTCCACAACAGTAATTCCAGACTCCGGTGCTGACACCGCTAACGTCGCCAACGCTCTTCGGTTGGTGCAAGATTTCTGCAGGATATTTGGAAAGATCGAAAATAAAGAAGATTTTGAAAAACATTTATACACTAAACATAAATGCATAGACATGGAGCAATTAAAAACACATTGCAAGATACTTAATGAGTCTCTCGGCAAAATATTCACCGCCAGCCGATTTTCCTTTACCGGATATGCGCGGCAAGATGAATTCCTTATCGACCAATATATCGCCAAGAAGATGGCCAGTTGGTTCAAACAGAATTTGCATAAAGTGAAAGATAGTGTGAAAAATATTAAGGCCTTTAGCGATGTAAGTCATCTGAAGAAGCTGAAGGGCAGTAAAGCCCTGCGTCCGGAAGAGTCCAAGGCCCTTCAAAATTATTTTACCAACAACTTTATTACTTACGGGTTCACGTTTTATTCTAACAGCTATACCACAAAAAATGCCCCGTATGATCTTTTGCAAAAGGAGTGGGACAGCGCAATCCGTGAGCTTAAGAGCAGTGACGGCGGTTTACAGAGGCTTGTGGAAATTTTGAATGGTCAACAGTGTCAAGCACAAGAGGAACAAAGAAAACAAAGGCGAAATGAACGGCAAGATGATGATCAACCTGAAGAAATAGATGAAGAAGCTCTGGAGGAGCCTGCGGATGAACTGTTGCGGGAGGATGGGCAGATAGTTGAGGTCATACCGCCTAAAAAGCCTGAGGTTCCGCCTGCCAAGGTTTCTGAAGTAACAGAAAAGAAAGCTGATGGAACTCCCAACCAAGGCAAGAAGGCGGAGGGAACTCCAAATCAGAATAATGGTCGAAGTGGAGATACGTCTTCAGGTTCAGCAACCGTGAAGTCTCCTGCTCCAGCTGCGCCTCCCGGTAAGGATGGAGGGTCAGGCCCGGCAGGGCCTACTGGTCAAGTGACTACGATGTCTTCTTCGGCTCAAGATACATCAGTTCGAAGTGGTGATCATACGCAACGAACTGCTGATACAGTATCGCCAGTTCCTCCCCTTCCGCCTCCTCCCCCCAGTGGGCCTGCCTCCTCTGGTATGCCAGGTGTCCAGGGTCAAGGTTCACCGGCCGGTGTTCCTACTGGTCACCAATCTGCTCCCCCTCATGGCAACGTGCTTACTCAGCATACAGGTGTTTCAGGTTCAAGCCCTGGGTCACCTGGTTGTCAGGTGACTGGTCAAAATGCTGGTCAGGACGCTAGTCAACAAATTACTCAACTAACAAGTCAAGTTGTTGATCAAAATGTAAGCAGTGGCGCTACTCCGTCGGGTGTTAAAACGTCCAGTAAAGTTATTGTAAGAGACAATTTCGGAGATGGAGGGCAGGCAGGCAAGGATGATAGTTGGTGGGGGGAAAATGAGTGGATTTATAAAGAGGATGTGAAAGGAAAATGGATACGGAAGCAACAAGAGGATGAGTGGCTGAAAACGCAAGAACAGAAAGATCTTGAACAGCAAAGAAGATTGCAGCAGCATTTGCGCCGTTTCCAGCAGCATAAAAGCCGTTACACTGCACCCACCCCTATTACTATTCCGGAGCCGATTGATTTTAGCGTTGACGGCAACGTAGTTTATTATGACAGTGACACGGAACTGCAGGGGAAAAGGGACGTGTTTGATCTGCGTAATGAGCGATATATGAATTCACTCCGTGTGGAAACACTACGAAAAATCGAAGAAAAGCATAAACTTCAAAAGGAAGCGGCGGGGCGTTATAAAACGTATGAGGAACACAAATACATTAAAGGCCAGCAGGATGCTGGCGACGTGTTCACTGGTATTGTACCGTCAAACGCCGGAGGCATGCCAAAAGTTTCTGTGCCCAAAGTCTTGGCATCTATTGTTCCCATCGGATATCCGATTAAGCCGCCGAAATGGTCGAGACCTCCGAAAAACCCGCAGCAAGTGAGATCTATGCTGGACGTCACAAGCCACCGTGTTTTGCAACCTGACCCAATGCGTTCAACCATTCCGTCAGAGACCATCGCCCCTCCCATGTCCTTGATGACGGAATTCAGCGGATCGCCTACTGATGAAGCAAAGGGGGGATTTCGCATCTCCGCTCTCCCCCAAATTGACTTTCAAATCGACAAACCCTACACTCCGGATGTCATTTACGACGCTGAGAGGATTCAATACATTCCGCCCCCTGCTGTAAGACACAAGAATATTGCGTCACCGTCTGATATACCTCCGCATGCCCCATTTCCTGAAACATTCGATCCAGGAAGTCTTGAGTTCCCAACCGCAGACTTATGTCTTCCTCCCTGGATCACCCAGACGCCAACACATGACTCTACCGATTTCCCCGAGACAGAGCTCTTCCCCTCCGAGGTGCCGCGCACGGTCAGGGACATGCTCATTTGGCTGGCCGGACTGCAACACAAAAAGCATCAAGAGACTCTGCAAAAGTGTATTAATAACGCATTCAAGCGCGGAGATTATGACGCTTCAGATCTCCGACTCTCAGTCAACGGTGCTGACATCAGACCCGAAAATGTATTGAACATCTTAAAGCTTCCCTCCGTGTTCGCAGCCTCGGTGATCACCGCCATTGAACCTAACTGGAGAGTGGCAATATCGTCTGTAACTTTAGCGTCTAAGGACTCAGACCAATCCAAGGACCCTGATTGCTGCGCCCTCCTCTGCCAGCTGCGGGACTACGTCTACGCCTGCTACTACCAATTGGCATTCCTGAAGTCGCAGTGTAATCGGAACACCAAGGAAGGTGGTTGGCAGGATTGTCAATACGGCCGTGATGCCAAGATGTCCCCCCTCCAGTCCTTCCTGACTGACGCCCCCAACTCCAAGTTCAAGACTCACCCCTTCGACCCGGGTGACATCTGCCTCAAGAGCCGTGTCAACATGGGATTCGAAGAGGAGGATCTGCCTGCCACTCAGCAAACTGGCAATACACTCTCCACCATCTTCTCTCCCACCTGCGGCGGCGAGGACCCCCTGCTGACATTGACCTCCTACCTCAACTGCCTCACCAGGCGGACGCCGCGCACCACCGGGGAGCTTGTGTCTTTCTTCCACAATTTCGGGAATGCGCTTAATGATGCGTTTTCAGATAAATTGCTGCCACTGGGCTCCGCCCTCTCCAAGTCACATGACCACTGCCCCGACTGGGACAGCCTTGGTGACGCCGACCTCAATGCCCTCAAGGTGTTCAGAGGCTCCGCCACTCCCAACTCCAACTCCATCCACGACAAGGACCATCCCAAGACCCTGTCCACACTGCTTGGTTGCGACATCACTAATGCCAACTGCCCACAACTCTTGAAGCCCATCACCTACCGGGCCTACGCCCTGTACTCTTCCAGCTTCGTACACCACTACCTCAGCTGGGTGGCCTACCTATCTGACAGACTCTGGGAGTCGCTGAAAAAGCTGAGTATAGACATGAAGAAGCATTATGGTACCAAGTGTTTATCACTCCACCAGTGCCCCGAAGCCCTGCCCCTCCTCTACACTCACGGGTTCACTGCACCAGAAGGGACACTACAATCACGAATCTCCTGTTCCAAGGTCAGCGCTAAGTTGGAGGCAGTGGTCTCCGGAAAGCCTATCGCAAGGCTCATGACCGCCATGGACACATTCCTCTACGGCATCCGTCTACCATTCCTCTACACCATCATTACGCTCTGGCTCATCGCCACGCTCTACATCCTCGGCGTCCTACTCTACCGCATGGACGTCCTGCGCATCCGCTCGCACCTAAGGACGCCGACATCGCTATAGTCGTCGCTGTCTTCATCCTGTATTACGCTCTTAGCACTCTTTAAATGCCGTATGAAATCATATGCGACGTTTTCCTAACATCTCCAAGCCTTCGCTGTAGTGGAGCCTCATAGCCTCATATAGTCCACGTAGGCATCTAGTGGCAATGCGAAGTAATTATCTACTGCCATTCAATCTATAGGAATATGGTCCACCGTAATGAATTGAAAACGAATTTAGAATTTGACTTTACCCTCATCCCTCCCTGGGCCTCATCAGTCTACATCTCACTTAGTATTCTACATCCTCCAAATTTTCGCGACTATACCCCTTGCAATCCGCCACCAACTAGGCATCTACCCCACCAGTTCAAACCCCAACTCACTTGCAGCCGTAGCGTTGTGAACATATCCTAGGCCACAGCTCTCACTATTGCAGTCATTATCCATCCTACATCTGTCACCGTTTTCGGGTCCCACAAGTGACACCGACGACCACGCTCAGCAGTCTTATAATCCGCTATGCAACGCAAATAATCTCTAATTCCTTGATTAGCATCCATAATTTCACTGTCGAAACCCTTAATTCTTTCTTGGTAAGCTCCCTATCAAAACACCCTAGACTATTTTTTAGCTTCATTAATTTGCTTAATTTCTTTAGCAACCTATCTTCGTGAACAATCACTATAATTCAAATTCTTATGCGTTTTACTAAAATTTGAAATCGCATACCCAAGAACACCGCTTGCGGCGCTCTTCCATTGTTAAATCTAAAACTCTCTCTTCCAACCTGATTTGAATTCTTTGAATAATTTTTTCAAGTTCATCCTAACATTTGTATATTTCACATCATTCCGTGTATAATTCCTGGACCAATGTAAACGTTAATTCTAAATTTCTGTTTCCCCTGAATCCAAATTTCCAGTGCCTGAAGATACTCCCACAGCTCGTAGTCAGTTTCACGAAATCTATTCAACATAAAGCTAAAAAACTTCTTATAAACTCGGGCAGAAATGCAATGTCCCTTTGAATATCTGGAATAAAAAGGACTGATAACTGCTACTTGTTTTTTGCGAGGACGGCCACGGACCACCCCATAGACGCAGCTATCTGCTAAGATATCGAAGAAGCTCCTTTAAAAATTCAAGTAAAAAATAACACGTGCAGAATAAATGAGATTATAGGCCTTAGTGTCTAAGATTGTTGGAGAATTTAATGGTTAGTATAACACAACCATCTGGAAATGGATACACCATCCCTATACGTGCCGACGGTAATCCTCCTAATAAGCTGTGGACGACAAAGGACTGGACACAGTCGGCAGACATATGCTGAAGCATACGATCATCATTGTGTAGATTGGGGATTACGCCACCGTAAGTTGTGCAGATAGGACGATTACAACTCGAACGGCTAGCGCCTCAAATCAAACGGAGTCACCCATTCCAAGAACTGCGTGACCAACGCACGAGAACAATGCGCTGTCTATTGCTCACCACCTGCCTATATAGTTCGGGACTTAAGCACTCAGTAGGTACATAATGCAGCCACACCGGTACATAGTTACACGTACTACAGTGTATACCGGAACCCGACGAATTGCGCCCGTGGGATGTCGTAATAACCTTGGACAACCAACCAGTTAATAAGGGCAGGCGCGTTTTCCGTTTAAAGTTATAGCACGTTAGATGTACAACATTGAGTGGGTTCATTCTAGGGCAGTTGGTAGACTGTGGGAGGTTAGGTCGAACTCCGCAACTATGACATCAGTGGGTCTTAGAGGTAGCGGTTGCTCCAGCCTGAAGGCTGACCACAAGTCACGGAACGTGCCCAATATGGTAGCCCCACGTTCAGTGCGATAAATCTCAGCAATTACGCCTGCGGTGTTGATCAAGAACGACAAATTTTCGTGTCGCCAGAGATCTCCCGTCTTGGCAAGGTAGCACTTGATTAGGTGCACGTCATCCGTGTCGTAATCGCTCATCCATGAAGCAAAGGGTTCCATCTCTGTGTAGACGACCAGATCGGCTGCGAAGTTTTCGCGAGCAAGCATTCGAATCATATCAGGGTATTGAACGAGTGCCCTAATTAAGCACAGCTCTGAGCGTTTGTCAGCGTATATTCCCATATCCTGTTCCACTGGATTAAAGCGGAACCCCAGTCTATCCTCCTGCAACATGAGGAACTGCTGCAGCAGATCCAGATAAGATTCTGAAATTGGGGTGTGTACGGATTCTTTTGTTTCTTTTGCGAAGAATTCCAGCGCCATTGAAAAGGCAAAATTCGGGAGCACCCAATACAGTGGTACTGCGTATTCCACTGCCTTGGCATAACCTACGGCAAACTCAGCGACTCCTATTCCAGAGTGGTTCAAAAGATATAAATCGATATGCAGCAGTGCATGTGCGACGTCATTTGGGAAGTCCATGAGAAGCATCAGTTTGCAGACAGCTAGACATGCTTCCCATTGCGCCTGCCGCTCCAAGCAGATCATATACAGCAGCAACAGTCTATAAGCAACCAGATTACTTCCACAGTAGCTGGGTAGCCACGTCTGCATGAATTGGTTTTTTCGCAACTGGTGTACTCACATTGTAATACCCCTTTTCATCTAGACGGAAAGGCGAGAAACGCGGTGGCAATGCCGCCTGAAAGAGTTTTATGGCAAAACTGATAGCCTTGAACGCATCTTCATGGTTTCCCTGCGCAAATTTGAGGCTGATGACAAAATGTATGTTGGCGACGCATGAAGTAGTGCAGTTAAGCAACCAACGTAAAGAGCTCTAGTATAGGCATCGCTAACAACAACATCACACGCAAACACAAATGATACCGGACCTCCAAAGGAAGATTCGGTTTCAGTTGCTGACGTACCTGTAGTGTGTGTATGGAGCTTACTCGTAGAATGACCTCCAGATGTTGTCGGTTGGCATCATAGACCCTTCCGAGGAGGGTTAGATCTTGCGTGTCAATCGCTGCAATGCAGACACTTTGGATGTTCCTATAACTGCGCGGAGTGATTGAACTTGCCGCAAAACAAACCGCTCACTCAGCTCCAAGGTGAAGCGCTCTCTTTCACTTTTGGCATCATAGGTACCCTTCAATCTCATATGTTGTCCCACCACCGCTCGATATTTGTCCGCAAGTTTGGGTGGAACGCCTGGCACAAGCCAGTTGCGACCTTGTAAATACCCCCCGAACCCCTTGCCCATTCTCGTCTTGCCAGAGGCACGTGTATCAACACCTGCAACATCACGTCAGCTTACACTAAACAATTTAGGCGTACGGAATATAAATTGTCCATAATACTCTGCTCGCAACGATGCCTTATTAAAGTAAACTGATCGGATAAACTTTAGTATATTGCAAAATACTAACGTTGATCCAAAAAAGTCGGACAATAGCATTCCTTTTGCATGTCATCGACACAATTCACATATTTATTTATTGATTGTTCGATATGCGCCACAATTGTGTAACGAAGAGTCATGCATAAAAATGTTAATACAATAGATGACATACCGACAACTCGAAATGCTCGCGGTTCTATCCGGAGACATTCAAAACGCTTTTCCTTATTTGCTGATGCATCAGCATCAGCGGATTCGGCGGTTTGTTCTTTGTAAGACTCCAAAAGTTGCATATCGCTATCCTGCGCACGATGATTATATTACTTTCCAGACCTACCTCATCTGTATCTTCGTCGGCATTCTGAGGTTCGGGTGAGCCATCGTCACCTTTATTTCCATCTTGCGGTGTTTGGATGTTGCGATCAGGTGTGGAACAAGTTACGGACTCTTCATGTTCGGATGACGACGAGCTTGAGTCGGCTTCGCTGCTTGAATCTTCCTCGGAGTCACTGCTGGATTCCTCATCAGAATCTAGGGCATCCCTTAGCATTGAGAAGCTGAATCGTGGCTGGTTTACGTTGATTACAACTTTGGGCGGCGGCGTTGTATATTCGTCCTTCTCCCTTTCCCGGTCGCGCTGCAACCGCCTTATCTGCCTGGTAGACATCGTTGCAAATGAATGTTGAATGTCAAATAAAATATTTTTAGTGTTTATTACGGGTTTTAGTTTCGTTCTGATCGTTTGTTACTCAGAGCCGCGCCGTATGTATCTGGAAGCGTCTGAAATTTACCAACGCGCTCTTATGCGGTTGTTACTTCTCCGTTTCCGCCCGTTCCAACCAAAGATCCATTTTTGCGAGGTCTGTGCGTTCTGCGTCGACGTCGAAATCCCGAATCCATTCAGGGGCGGTATCCGACACACTAAATTTCTGCTCCCATACGTAACGCAGTGCGTGTAAAAATATTCCTGTTGGACTGCGGTGGAGCCCTTCCACAGGTTTATTCAGCCCAACGTGGTAGTCTCGGCTGCCATGCATGAATTGTGCCGGCTGCGGTGCCACGAATTCCAACTCAGGCAGCTGCCATCGGCCGTGCTCATCAACCTCCCAGTGCACTGCCGGTATCTTCTTGAAGTACTTGCTGTCGTCGCATAGGTCGCCGTCATTGTAACATTTGTCATTTGAAATTGGGAAACCAAGGAACTTCAGGTGAGCTCGGATCTGATGCGTACGTCCAGTGACGGGGTAGCACAGTATCAGCGACTCGTTCAGTTCCGGATTATGCGCCACCATACGGAATCGTGTTTCCGCTGGTTTAACGTTGCTCTTCGTGTTATCCAGCGTGAATTCGTGTATGCTAAGTTTGTGCGACACAACTCGCATGAACCCATGGCAACAGGCGACACGACCGTCACCCACCCCGTCATTAACGGTAAGGCATTCACGGTTGTCCAAAACGGGGCTAAAATCGCCCTTCACACGCGCCACGTAGACCTTGCGTAGTTCGTTGTTTCGAACGCCCTCACAGAATGCTGACGCGGCCTTGGAATATTTAGCCAAGATGATAACGCCGGATGTCAGCTTGTCTAATCTGTGCACTGGGAACAACTGAGCATTTTTGTCTGCCAGCACTTCATGTTTTAGCACCTCAACGAGCGTGTTGAAGTGATATGTCCCGGTGTGGTATACAGGGATGCTGCATGGTTTTGATACTGCGATATAGTCCTCATCTTCCCGCAGAAGGCGCACTTTCGTATCTAGGGCCAACTGCTCGTGAACAATTGCTAGATGCCATATTCTTTCGTTCGGCTTGCATACGTGTTCCATCACGTGTTCTCCTGGTTCTGGGTACAAATCGTTGCCCCTCACATCGAACACTTTCATGAGGCCATGAGCACAGGCGTGTTTAACGTATTCGTCGGTGAATGCAGCGAACTCTGACGCCATGACGTCGTACAATCGGCGGCCGAACCACCTGCCTTTTGTGTTAGTTTCGTAGACATGGTTATATGGGAGCACAATTCTGAACCCATTTTTGAAGTGGTACGTAGGTTCATTCGGTGGAGTGATATGCGATATTGTGCTATCGTTTGGCGTCGCATTTAGACGACCAGATGCCCGCTTATAAGTTCCTTCGTTTGACTCCAGTCCATGATTTACCTTCCTCCGCTTGCCTTCCCCCCGATCAGCAGCAGCCTGCTCTCCTTCATGATTGCTCCTGGTTCCCATGACATTCACATAGAATCCAGTGCACCTTCTATAACCTACGCATTCGAAAATCGATTGAAGACATATATAAAACGCCACTGCACAAAGAGTTGTCGTTTTCAGCCACATGAAATGTGTATGAGAGTCTGCGTATATGGCTCTTGTATGGCCCCAGTCAGTTTTCAAAGTGCGAATCCTTCTGTGGATAGCACTCGTAATTGATTTTTTGGAATAATGCGTTAAATTGTGCTGCGTACCAAGTGCGCTACTAATATTTGGGACGTACAGATGTCATTCTTTAACCGCCTACGCGGTGCTTAATTAATGCCGATGAAAATTTCCAAACATTGTAGTTATTGTAATATTACTTTATAGACAACGAAGATAAACGCATATTCCCCCGTTTTTTGGTTCATTAAAGGTGACCTCAGCCTTACCGTTCCTTAGCGGCGATTACATGTGTATGATGACGTATTCGGAAACGTAAGCATGGCTAATGCATCCTTCAACAACACTAATGATGTATATATAACGTGGTAATGAGGTTGCGCTATAACACAAACTGCAGGGTCAAGATATACGCTGTACACACTTCATCTGTATTCCATTGTAACCATGCCACGTAAACATAGTTATTATAACAATTGATCACGTTAGCTCCATCTTCGCGCATCAAACGTTACAAGATATTTGTGGAAGGTGGCGGAATCCAGCATATCCCCTGTTCTGGAGCTGCGTAAGAAGGCATGTCAATTAGGTTCTCATTAGACCGATTCCATTCCGTGTTACTGTGGCACGAGCGTTTAGTGTAAACTCTGTCACGATATGTCACATGACGACATATTTTAGTCACAGTTAACCAGAAAAGTTATGTCCCTCTGGTGTTCATATATACTCTAATCCGTTTTTGTGCGGCATAGAAATGTCTCGGTAAAATGCTGCACGTAAGTCAATAGATCCTCTGGAGGACGTATTAGGAGTAGAAAGTGACAAACTCTAAGAGCAACTACTCCATTAAAACGCCTAGTTCTGCAATTTATGATGGGCAATTCGTATGCACGCAATCCCGCTGGCCGCCTCAAAACACGCAAGTGACGTAACCCCTAGTATTAATGGACTACGTGCAGGTCCATGTGACATAAAACAACATGCCGAAAGATTCTCAACGCTCTTATCCAACGAGTGCATAACACCGCATTGAGGCTTAAATGTGCAGCCATACCCTAAGCTGCGTTGCGTCAATCCTTACTTAAAACAGATGACAACGAATAATTATGACTCTGGAGCCATGCATATGATGGTTTTGAGGATGCACACGCTATGTTTATTACAATGTGTTGTACCGAAGCATTTAGCGTACCATGACACATATAGAAATGCCTTTTACAACACGGTGACACCCTCTCTTAAAGCCAAACTTACAGAACTGGCCAGTTTAGCAAGCGCGCTAATCGGAAAAACCTGGTGCTGGTAATGTACACCATAGGGCCCACTACAACACTTAATTCCATGTTATGTCAAAGTAAGGGTAAAGTTAGTCATGAATGCCCAAGTTCCTGGAGTATACAAGCATGGATGTAGCATATCAAGCTTAGCGTGGAAATTGGTTTGTTAAATTGAAGTAATTGCCGAGGAGGCTATTAAGCTAATAGCACGGAAAGAAAATGACAAGCTTCAATCTCTGCGTATCTACGCAGGTGGCCGTGGCAGCTGATATACGACCATATATCGCGTTTCACGTCTGCTTCTTAGCAAATGTGGGTAATATCAGTATTAAATGTAAACTAAATTTGCGTATCTGCACATGAGCCATATAGACATGCGGCAATAATTCCACTATTTATGTGAAATGTCAATCCCTCGGGAATATACGGTTTAGAGTCATACTGATATTACCAATTAGAGAGTGTTGATCGCCCAGACAGTCAACAATACCGGCAAAAGCTAGACACTAGCCGGGACTCCGCGTCGCCATAACCGCAGCATGGGAAGCATTACACATTTCCCGCGCAAAAGCTGGAATTCACCCGCGTAAAATGGAATTTGGTATTATCGAAAAATAAAACGTGTATGTGACTGTGTTAATTGGCGTTGTATGGCCCCAAGTGAGGCTTCGACGTGCGAGCCTCTCTGAGGAGAGCAGTCGTAATTGTTTTCTTAAAATAGTATGTTATATTGTGCTGTGTGCCAAGTGCACCAACAATTTGTGAGACGTTATTGCGGTGCGTCTCAATGTCTAGGGATTCTCTCGCCCGTGTTCAGCTCGGTTACATGTTTCGGTAACTTTGTCCCATCTTCTGCTTGAATAGATGGTTTTCCGTGGAAATCGTGGATTGTAATTTGCATACGTTGTACATCTGTGGCATACACAGCGTGAGAGTCGTGCCATTTGTATGCTGTCATTCTATCGCAAAGTAACATGGTGAGCACCGGGGGCGTCATCTTCTACCGCTTCGGTAGCGAACGCGGCATATGGCGCGAACTGCAAGTGGACAATTCAGGTGGAATTCTGGTTTCAGACCTAAAGATCATGATCGCGCAAGAAACCAGCCTGTCCAAGGACTTCACCAGGAAAACAAATCTTACTGTTTGCTTGTATGACGAGAATTCTTCTGACGATCCTAAACCGCTTGACGACAATGTAGTCGTGCATGTGGGTAGCCGGGTGCTTTTGAATCGCATAGCCTGGGCCCCGGCGACACCCATCTTCCACGAAGCGCGGACGGAATTCGATGGTGATGTTTCGGACGACAAACCGCGTCTACGTCCGTTTCCTGTATCACTGATATGCAAGTTGTGTGGATGTCCTATGAAGGACCCGGTGTTGGTGAAGTGTTCTGCCAACTGTGGTTCGAGTGGCTGTTGTGCTTGTTTGATGTCGCACTTCGCCGATTCGCTCGTAAAGAACGAAGAGGGTGTGGATACATCTGGCTACACACTTTCAGATCGTCGAACGTGTCCCTTTTGCACCCACGGATTAGTCTCAGCGTTTCTGCACAACCGCCAGATGGCTGCTGTGCTGTTGGAGCTTGATTTCAGCAACTTCGACATTCCGACGTTTGAATCCTCTACTGACGGCGATGGGGGAGCCGACGCCGAGACTGTGACAGAGGAGAGGTGTCAGGCGCCGAAGCACTTCTTGATATGCGTTGACAACGCGTTGATTGCTTCGATGCGTGAGCACAAGCTTCTACCAGTGTACGTAGATAGCATGCTGTGTAGCGCATCGGATTCAGCTAGAGGCGGCGCTTCGGCTGCCAGCAGCGGTTCAAGTTCCGAAAACATATATGCTATAGTTGTGTCCTATGTTGGGGGAGGGACGTCCCTCAGCCCCATGGGCATGATTCGCCTGCTGGAGGAGGATTCAACACACGTTGATTTTATAAAGTCCGCCTATGCTCACACGGCGCGCCGGTTCGAGTGGGTTCACAATAATACAGAACCGTTGTTGGTACCTGCACGCCGCCAACCATTATATTCATACTTGGCCTCCAAGCGTCATACGTCGGTCGGTGTGAACTCGCAGGGCGACGTGCTGTGGCGGCACCGCAGTGACCTTATGACTGAAGTGGGTCTAACATTGAAGGCGTTCGAGGCGCTGTTTCAAACAATCTTCGGGAAAGCCCCCCCGCCTCTCGTCACGGAGGTTGACAACAGTGGCAAGAACTGGCTAGAGGCGATATACGCCGGCGGCCCTCCGCCTCTGTACATGACTCGCAAACGCCAGATCATATCGCAGGATCAAGCTACCGATAATACTGAGGTCGACACTGGCAACCCGTACCTAGGTTACCTCGCGATCCTCCCCTTCCTGAGCGAGTCCCAGTTCCTCAAGATGCGTGATATGCAGCGGAATGCGAAGGAAGAGTTTCTGCAGCAATTCACTGCACAAGTGGTAAAGGACCTTCCGGAAGAGACAGGGACACGCGTGTTGGAGAAGGCGTACAACAACGTGTGGAAGCGTCACGTCGACTACGAAATTCCCCCGACTGACGACCGTCCTGAGGGGGAGTCTTCATAAGCTGGATATCGGCTGTCTACACTGATATACCATAAGCTAATATGTAGTAGCTTGTATTGTTCACGTAAAATATCGTGTTGGCGGCCCCTGTCGTGTACCTGGGTGTGCCGCTGGGGAGGCGTCCGGCGTTATGCGCGCCGGTGGAATCCTAGGGTCTCGGCCAAACGCCTTGCGGGCATCGCACACACGGGTAGTTCTAAGCTGGTTCCGCTGTAATCGGTTCAAACCAGCGCGTTGACGCGATTACTTGCCTTCTTGGTCCGGCGATTCAGCATGACGATTAGTCGTGCCCTTCTCGGAGTTTTCCAGCCTCTGAGACTGGCACGCGCACCAAAAATCGCACTTCTATCGCACCAGTCACGCCTGCTCTGGTCTTCCAAGACGAAGATTCCCATTTCGCAATGTAGTTGGCGCGGTGCTTCTCCGTGGTGTCGCGCTTTCTCGACCACAAAACCGGGACTCTCGGAGATTAAAAATCCCACATCAGACGCCAGTAACGATGCGACTGACGCTGCCGCATCGCCAGTTGGACGCCAGTCGGATGAACCAGTAGAAGACAACGCCGCAACGTCCGCCGAGGGTCATGAAGGCGAGAGCGATGGCAACCCAGGGAAAGACGGTAGTGATGGAACCAGCGCCGAAAAAGATACAGTGTCCCCATTCCCGCTGGGCATTGTAGGGTGCGCCTCCTTGGTGCTTGCGGGATACTTCCTATCCCACTTTCGAGAAAAGGACGAGAGTGTTCTGGCCACGCTGGAGCGCGCCTTTGAATACATGGTGGAGCGTTTCAACGAATTCTTCCCGAGCGAAGACGGCCCTTTATTACCGGATGTGAAACTGCTTAACTATCCACCAAACCTCCCGACTCTTGTCGTCGACCTGGACAAGGTGGTGGCCAAGCTTGAGTACGACCGTCGCACCGGGTGGCAGGTGAAGAAGCGTCCGTACGCGGACCGTTTCTTCCGCGAGTTGATCAACTACTACGAGATCGTGCTGTGGTCCGATGACGCATACCCTGTCGCTACGGACGTTGCCAATCGTTGGGGTCTCCCCGTCATCGGTTGCATTCACCGGGACCGCTGCACCAAGTTCAAAGGGTCGTACATTAAGGACCTGAGCAAGCTTGGCCGTGACCTACGCCGCGTGATCCTGCTCGACCACGACCGTGTGGCCTGCATGATGCAGGAGGGGAACGCTATTTTGATCCGTGAATTTGACGGCGACGAAAATGACCGCGAGCTGCTCCACCTGATCGGGCTGCTGAAGACGATCGCAATAAACCCCACGGACGTGACACGCCAGCTGAGCCAGTTAGGTGGTGGGATGGATACCGATCTGGGTCGACGCTTCGCAGAGAAAAGCCAGCAAGACAGCGAACGCGCCAAGACACGGCAAGGCATCTCTAAGCTCCTGGGGTTCAAGCACTATTAACTATTTAATGACATTTACAGCTCTATCAGTATGTAAATTAAAGTTTTGTACTTGCATCTACTTTTTGCGGTGTATGGCCAGAATCTGGTCAAGCTCCTTCTTGGTGCAAGTGCCTCCATTCTCGACTAGCAGCGCTGCGCCGAATTGCATCTTAACACTTCATGCTCACCTTCAAAGGCGTCTGTGTGTGAAGCCGCCGAGTTAAGCACCTTGATAAGCGTCTGCAGTTTGTCCATCTCCGAAGACGTTGCTTCAAGATACCCTGATGTTATTGAAGCGGGCAGCAGACGCACTTACCCAGAGGCAGGGGGTCGACCAAGGTTTTCACTGTCTCCAGAAGCAGCTTTTGCAGGCTATATGAGTCCAAAAGCAGCTGCTGACAGTAACCCTCGGTCACGCTTGCTAGTGAGAAAATGGTGGTCTTCAGGTGTGCCATGGCTCCGCGTGTCACCTTGTTGGTCACGTAGTGCAGGTACGCCTGCGGCAGGTGATCTACGGTCAACGTGATGACTTGTACAACGCGTTCTTCCAGGCTCTTAAGGGGCGCAACCACGTTGGGTGTGATCGGCGCGAACTTGCAGCTTTCGTCAACCAGCCTCTTCACAGCTTTGGACTTGGTAACGTTTATTTTTTCTGTTCACTATTAGAAACTAATCCCTCATACGTACCCTTCTCCGCGTTGAAATGAACTCGTTCCTTGTACGCCGGTGCAATGGCCTCCACAATCTCGTCGTTGAGGTGCTCCAGCATCTCAGTGACGTAGTCGCAGGTGGCTGTGATGAACCCGCACTGCTTAAATACCTTTTGAAGTGGCGCATGTTTCTCCACTTTAGACAGCTTATCTTGCAAGTGCACCTGGTACTTGCCGATGGAGCGCCTGAAAACCATGCTCATCTCGAAAAGCGTCTGCTCCGAGCTCACGGCAAGGACCGCCTTGAGCCTAACGCTGATCGCCGAGAACAGCTCCTTAGCCGAACGTAACACATGCATAATGATGGCATCTGCATCCCATGACACTGTTAGCTTTCTACCTACCATCCCCATTGGATACGATTTTTTGGTAGAGGACGTCGAGTTGCACTTCCTCATTGGCCACCCACGGGCCGAGGTGGTTCTCGAAGCACCTGCTGAGAACACCCTTGAGAGGCTTCCGCTGCTCATTAGCTGGGGCATCTGTTTGAGGCGGGGGAGAGGGAACCGCCTCTGGGAACTCTATTGCCTGCCGATCGACACTTCTTGGGGTATCGTCATAGTTGCTGAGTCGGTAGTCCAGCTCCTGTTCGAACTCCTTGCACCTCAAGAGGGAGGTGAGAATAATGTTGGCGTCAAGCTGCTCCTTGGAGCTGGTGAGGGCGGCAACGACCTGGCTGCGGCAGGCTTCGAAGAATGCCCATGCACCTGTGGCCTGTATGCGCCAGAACTCCGGGACACCTGTTCCGTAGAGTTCGTCAAACTCGTTGATGGTGCGCCGCAGCCACGCAAACCTTTCGTTGATGTTGTCCAGAGCTGAGATTCGTTAGTAATCATGGTTACGTGGCAACTAACTCTTGAGGTCGAAGGTGGTGGAGAACATGGTCTCGTAGCTTTTCGTCACATATTGGGCGTATTTCGTCGCAATGTGTTGTCGAATTCCCTCGTCAATGGCATCTGCGCACTTGCAGACTTCCTCGAGCTCCAGAGGCGTGTCCATATATTTCTGCGCCGTGCCCAGTGCGAGCATGATCTCCAGGTCCTCTGTGACCTGCTGCTTGAGGTTGTTGGTAACGGTTTTGCACGCCGTCAGCAACCTAACAACGGGAGGCGCCTCACGCAATGGTGTTACGAGCTGGTAGAGCTCACGTACAACCACTGCCAGTCCGGCCGCCTCGTTATACTTGCGATTCTTGGCATTCTCGCGCAACGACTCCAGCATGGTGGAGAGCATGAGAATGCGTTTGAGGTTTGTGATGGTGTTGCATATGTTGTTTTTCGCGTGGTTAAGCGCGCGAATGTCCGCCGTCAGGATTTTGAGGGACTGCTCTCCTCTCATGGTGGGTATCTGTATCTCCGCCATTTGCGCAATGAGGTCGTTGGTGGCGCACTGCAATTTTTCGAAGCGTTCGTGCGCCATCTCAATGCTGATCGCCTTATCGTTGATGACCTCCATGAGCTTGCAATCTTGCTGTCGCATTTCGCCTTTGACTTCAGCTATGAGTGCGTCGATGTCGGCGAAGTTGCACTCGTCCGTGAAGTGCTCGTTGAGAAATTCGACCGGGTTGTCGACGAACTTCGCCAGATCGTAGCGTGGCGCTTCTTCTATTCCATCCATTTTGCAGCGTTATTTGAGTCGTGGTAAAAGAGGTCTGTATTGTCATGCGATGCTGCGTACCAGCTGTCGATAAGTAGCTTGTTTTCAGTCTGTCATGGGCCTCGGTAACACATACTGCTATTTTTAACACTTTCCACTGATCTCTTGACGTAATAGCCTTATTTGACTGTATCCGTGCTATATCCCTGCACGTTTAGATGCAACTGCAGTATACATAAAGCATTATTAGGGCAATGGCATATTGCAACGCAACCTTCGACACATTTACTCCGCATTCAGATGCTTCTTCGGCCTTCCAGGTGGCCACAAAGGACAGCGCAAAGGTCCCTAGCAACGCCAGCAACAAACGGGTGACACCGCGACTCTTCAGCGTCTCAACGTCCCTAGTTGATATGTACGTAGCGACTAATGCAATCACCGATAACACGCACACAGATTCCGACACAGTTTTTAGCCATTCGGCTACAAAGTCACAGTCCAGCGTCCCTGACGCAGAATTGACCTCCTCGTGGCCCATTCAATGGCCAACCGACAGAAACCGGTGACAACAAACAGCGAATAAAGGTGTGTACAATCGAGTCCCCCTTATGGGAGTCTAATGTTTTGCTACAGTGTTCTGATTTGTGTGTGACGTCACCCGTGGAGGGGCGCCACTGCCGATGATCTACGAAAAGACCTCTCTATGCGTATTGCGCGACCTATTAATCTACAGTGCTCAAACGGAGCATAGTAAACGTTTCATTCGCTCCATTTGTGCGGCGGTGGGAGCGACTCAGCGCATTAGTTACTGGAATTTAAGGGCGTGACGCACATCGAACACATCCCCTCCGGTGAAATTATTCACTCCCGAACTTCAAAAATAAAACCAACAGTGCTTAATAATAGGTTAATTCGAGTCGCGCTGAATTTGCAATGCTTGGTGCGGATTGGAACCGCCAGCGAGTCAATGTGTACGCTGGGCAAATGGGGAAGCCCCTAAAGCATCTCATTTCGCGTGGCAAGCACGCACCTGTATGTATGCCAAAGGATTGTTGCTAATCTGGGTAGCAGCGTTGGATCCTTTCATATGCCGCGTAGCCAGCTTGACTCCGCGGTTCAGTCCTCTGCGATTGCATCGCTGTAGCTTCATAGGCTCATCTGCACCCTTATACGCTAATTTTGATTCAACCCGCCCACTTCTGAAGGTAGTTACTAACCCACCGTTCTTATTCACGTTTGTCAGAGCCATAAACTAACCCGAACTACCCTGAAAATGAAGAGTGGAGACGAGGGTGCCGCCAAGGCATACAGTGACCTCGGCTTCGAGGTCAACAGCAGCGGCTGGGTGCGTAGCGAGTTCATTCGACATTTCGAGAAGACAGGTCATGTCTTTTGGAAGAGTTCGCCCGTTCTGCCTCATAACGACCCTACGCTGCTGTTCGCTAACGCGGGGATGAACCAGTTCAAGGATATCATCACCGGCAAGGCTGACGCAACCACGGAATACGGCCGTCTGCGTCGCGTTTGCAACAGCCAGAAGTGCATCCGCGCCGGTGGCAAGCACAACGACCTCGATGACGTTGGCCGTGACACCTACCATCATACCTTTTTTGAGATGCTTGGCAACTGGAGCTTCGGCGACTACTTCAAAAAGGAGGCTATCGACTACGCGTGGGAGTTGTTGACCAAAGTGTACAAGTTGGACACCTCGCGCATCTACATCACATACTACGGGGGTGACCCGAGGCTACCGGCATGCAATCCCGATGAGGAGACTCGCGACTTGTGGGCACGCTACATGCCTGCTGAGAGGATCTTGCCATTTGGAATGAAGGAAAACTTCTGGGAGATGGCTGACACTGGCCCATGTGGCCCTTCATCCGAGATCCACTACGACCACGTCGGTAGGTGTTTGCTTGTGTAGCCTCTCAACACGTGCAGGCGGTCGTGACGCCACCCACTTGGTCAACGCGGATGACCCGATGGTTGTTGAGCTGTGGAACCTCGTGTTCATGCAGTACAACAGGAAGAGCGACGGCAGCGTCGAGTTGCTTCCAAAGCCGTGCGTTGATACCGGAATGGGTTTGGAGCGTGTTACTGCCGTTCTCAAGGGTAGCTACAGCAACTACGACTGCGACCTTTTCACCGACATTTTTGCCTACATAAACAAGCTGATGCCTCACCTGCCTCCATATGGCGGATCCGACTCTATCGTGGATGTGGCTTACCGGGTTGTGGCCGACCACGCAAGGTGCCTCACTGTCGCCATCGCAGATGGTGTTGATCCATCCAATGAAGGACGTGGTTACGTGCTAAGGCGCATTTTGCGTCGTGCTGTACGTTATGGTAAGGAACACCTGGGTGCTACTGGCCCGTTCCTGTCGAAACTGGTCGAGTGCGTGGTAGCGTCGCTTGGCGGAGCCTTCCCTGAGATCCAGAACCAGAACGACAAGATAACTTCTACCATCCACGAAGAGGAGTCGCTTTTCCTGGAGACACTCGACAAGGGTTGCGATCGTTTCCGTAAGACGGTGGCGAAGTTGCAGGCCAGCTCCGACGGTAGTGCACCTGTCTTGGTCAGCGGTGCTGATGCGTTCCTGCTGTACAGCTCCTTCGGGTTCCCGCTGGATCTCACCCAGCTCATGGCACGTGAGATGGGCGTTGATGTTGACGTTGACGGGTTCAACGAACACTTCAAGCGCCACCAGTTGCTTTCTGAGAAGAAGCAGGTAAAGTCAGACGACCCCGTTGAGCAAGGCCTCGCGGACTTGTTGGCGTCGCTTTCCGCCGATGTGTTGGCAACCATCTCCAATGCGATAGGCGGCCACTCAACTGATGATTCCTTGAAGTACCAGGGAAAAGAAAGTGGCTACACTGAGGCCCTCGAGTTCGATGTCCGGGTTCTGGCGCTGTGGACGCTCGCCGGATTGAACCAGCCCGTATCGAATGGTGAGGTGTTCGCCGTGGTCTTGGACAGGACGCCTTTCTATGCCGAATCAGGTGGCCAGATTTGGGATGAGGGTCTGTTGGGTCCCATGAGAGTTTTGAAGGTGCTGAAGATGGGCGGCATGGTGTTCCACTTCTGCGTATGTGATGCCTCTAGCGATGAGGTATGCCGCCCCGGCTCCACTTTGAAGGCCCGTGTCGACTATGAACGCCGTATCAAGGTTGCCTGCAACCACAGCGGTACTCACTTGTTGAACTTCGTTCTGCGCGAGGTCTACGACGAAAAGTCGTATCAGCGCGGATCGCAACTCGATGCAGAGAAGCTGAAGTTCGACATCGCAGCTTCGAAGCCTTTGGACGACGCGACGTTGCAGCGCATTGAGAGCCGCCTCCAGGAGATCATCGATGCCGATTGGAAGGTCGAGGTGAAGGAGCTGCCGTTCAAGGATGCTGCCGAAATCCCGGGTATCAGGGCGAACTTCACCGACGTGTACCCGGAAACTGTACGTGTCGTGAGCATGGCCAAAGATGGTGAGACTGCGGATGGTAATGTAAATTCCATCGAGATTTGTGGTGGCACCCATGTGCCATCCACCGGCGTGCTGAAGAGTGTGATTGTGGTTGGTGAGGAAGGTATATCTAAGGGTGTTCGTCGCCTAACTTTGGCCACGCACGATCAAAGTGAATCTTCGAAAGCGATCCTTGCGTCATACAAACAAAAGTTGGCCGATTTAGAGTCGACACTGTACAAATTCACCGACGGCATGGACACCGCCCTGATGGCACAGCAGGCCAATGAGAATATGAAGCAACTCACGGCGCTTCGTTTCGAAATGCAGAGCGAGAAGCTACTGCCTCTTTTGGGTAAACGTGAGCTCAAGGCCACATTCGACGCGATGATCAATGCACAGGTAGGTGTCGCAGTTGTGTATCTTATCTGCCGCAGATCGACGCCGGCAAAGTCCACCAGAAAAAACTTGGCGTGGTTGCCAAGAACTTATCTACCGAGTATCTAGCTCGTTTCAAAGCTGGAGTCTTCGGTAATGCCAAGAGCACGAGGTCGGGAATGGAGTTGATCCACATGGCCGTCGATGTGCTTGAGGGAGACGTGAAAGCGCTCAACGTGTTCACTCAAACACTGGCGAAGGCATTCCCCAAGTTCGCCTTCCTCATCACGTCCTCCCACGGCAGCCGCAAGTGCGTATCATGCCGCTGCGTGGTCCCTGGAGGGGCTGACCTGGACGCCTTGGTCCTGGCCAATGAGGCTGCGGAGTCATTCGGCCTGCAAGAGGGTAAGTCTACGCTCAAACACTATTTCACATCGTACACACAGATATTGCCCGTGGTTCCAAGACGAATGCAAGCTGGAACGTGGAGTCGGAGTAACGCGACTGTCTGGGTCGTGCAGTCACTGTGTAGCCGCTAATCACTAGTTGTTCTTAATGCAGATTCTGGATTCCGATGCGAATCCCGGCGGGCTCTCTGGCTCGGGTGTAGTCGTCCATGCCTTGCGAGGGCGTTTCAACACCGTCGCCAGTTTACAGAGTTCCGAGCCGAGCCTTCACCGCTTCGCCGCGGCATCGAGCGACTTTTCGACGTCTAACCGGGTACGGTGACGTGAAAACCTGTTTATAAAATTGTCAGATTGTAGTGGTGTGTTACGACGAGGATAAAAACGCAGCGTCGCTGGTCTCAAAGTCACCTCCGCTCCATCCCGTGAAGCAGCTGCTCGACATATCCAGCTCTCCGGACAATCTCCGATTCGTACTCTCCGTGCGCGACATAGAAGCCAATGGTGTGTCTAGGTTAGACTTAATCCAACAAGTGTAGAATCCGTCGTGAGGATCGTGGACTTCGACACCGGATCACCCTCGTCGCTCGTTGTTACCGCAAGCTCAGCGCCACTAGAGAGCATAATCAGAGCGTAGGTGACCCCTATAGTCGTGTACATAACTGTTACAGGATAGATTTCGACCCCTGTACGATCCAGAGCCCAGATTTGCGCGTGGCTGTCGTCCACCCAGGCCTTGCAGTGCTTCTTCAGCAACGTGACTCAACACTCGAGCCCCTATGCCGTTTCGAACCACCAAAGATCGACTATACTACCAGGTTGATAGACCCCCTGGACACGTACAAAGACCGGTTTATTACGGGCAAGTTTGACCCGCACCACCGGGACATTTTCGCATGTGCGAGTGGTGAGGGATTCCACGTCTTGGATTGGCGCCAGGCAGGTGAATCGCCAGTGGCAGTGCGTAACGGTCAGTGCCATTTTGCCGACGTTTTGGATATCGCATTTAACCCGAACGTACCCAATCAGCTGGTGACTGCCGGCGAAGACGGAAAGATCGCATTTTGGGACCTGCGTGCCACGTACGAGCCAACTAGCGTGTTAGAAGGCGACCACAAGAGCTGCATTCAGTACATTAGGTTTAACTCTTTCCACGACCAGTTGATATTGAGCGGCGGACCGAGTGCTACCCTGTTGCACTTGTGCGGTAGCAGCGCCCCCAGCGTTCACCAGTGTTCTGCGCCGAGTCGCCTGGGATGCTGGAGCAGCAACGACGCATGGCATTTCGCATCTCTTTCAGGAAACAACTTGGTGTTTGAGACTCTACCCAACGCAGTCAAGTACAAACTGCTGTTATGACATGATCAACAACGCCTCCATAGAAGCACCCGCACGTGGTGCATGATTTTATGTCCACGGTTATGCGATGCTGGTTTCACTTATGAGTGTGCTGGTTATAACCGCCAACATCGCTGCTGTGCGAACTGGAGCAATGTTGAGCCGTGGCTGTCGAGCTCTGACGTTTGTGACATCGGTGAGTGGGCGCGCCAATCCTAATATCGCAGTTGCTCGTCGAGGCATCTCGTGCCCCAGGGCGAGAGTCAGCGATAGCGGGTCTTCCGACATGAACTCGTTTGACCAGCTTCCGCGCTATCCTGCTACTCCCGACGATTGCATCGCATCGTTCGACACCATCAAGAACGATGAGGTGGTCCTGCAGCCTTCGCCTACGGAAAAGGGTGGCTCTAACAACGTTGCCGTAGATTTTGGAATGCTGCGCCGCTATTCGGAGGAGTTAAATGCGGTGTTGGCCAATGCCACCTTTAATGGAGTCACGCAAATCCCTTTGAAGAAGTGGTTTATCGAGGCCAAACCACTTGACGTAGCCCTGTTGCACTTCAGGGGCTTCGAACGTGGAGACTCGCTTTGCCTGTTCTACCAACGTACCGGATTTCCGCTGGTACCCAGCCCTTCGGCGAGCTATATCCCAGCCACAGAGCGACAGTTGTCATACTTTGAAACGGTCATGTCTGGGCTGTCTGGGTTGCGCGTTACCAAAGTGCACTGCCCGTATTTCTTTAAAAGCATTCTGGCTATTGACCTCAAGCCCGCCTACCAGCCTCTGGGTGATGACGGAGGTGACGGTACCGCCGAAAGTTACAGGATCATGTTTATTGCCCGCCGCTCCGGCAACCGTTTCGTCATGACCGACAACAAGGATGGCACCATCCTGTTGACTTCGGAGACTTTCGACGAGAAAAGCGGCATAAAGGATGGAGTGGGTTCCGTATTTCAGGCGGAGCCTTCCAACAAGGCTACACCGGACCCGTCGGAATCTTATGGCGATTTCGCGTCTCATTTCATGGGTAAGCAACACATGAGCTTACTTAAGGCCATGATACTAACATACGAGGGTCTCGACGCTAGGCGTGTGACACTGTTGGCTGCGAAGTCGGGTGTTGACTGCACCAAGCACGTGTCAAAAATAGAGAATTTGGCAGATTTTCATGACACCTTTATAAGATGGGTTCGGTCGGCCGATGAGTCACATTCCCAGCTGCATTTCGTTACCGGAGATGGTAATGTGGACAATGATAATTTTGATGCCCAAGGTGAAAGTGAGTCTGACAGAGGTGGAACGGTGATCAATGAACCGAACCAAACTGAAGAGTTGGAGGCCAACAATAACAAGGCAGACCCAGTAGACGAATCGTCATCTAAGTCTGAAAACGGTGCTGTTGCCCCCAAGACAATTATTGAGTACGTTTTCCGCCATTGGGGATCGAGCGGCCCCGTTTACGCGCATCAGCGTCTATCTGAGGAAGCGCATACCCTGATCGATACGACGCTCGAACGGCTAGAGAAGATCCGCCAGCAGTGCATCGGCGACGAGCAGCAGGTTGAGCGTCTAGCAAAGGTCAACGAACGCATCAACACCATCAATGAATACAGCCAATCGCTATCTACGGCAATGAAGTGGAAATCGCCGGAGCAGTATGATTTGGTGAAAACGATTTATGACCAGGTGTTTGACCTGGGCGACTTGACGGGGTACCGCAGCAAGGGTCGAACTGCGCGTGACGGTTCGAAAGATGACCACAGCGGCGGCGCTTACAATGATGACGAGGAGGCTGAGAGGAATGTTCCCCATGCTAGGGTGAAAAAGGTCAACCCTTACAAGGGCATCCTGGTAATCAAGACTTGTGTTCAGGACCCTAATACCCCCCTTATAATCGTTGGCCGTAACGCCGAGCAGAATGAGCGTGTGACACACGAGCTCTCGCTACCGGGTGACATCTGGTTGCACACCAAGGATTGTCCTGGTTCCCACGTGTTGTTGCGTAGACATGGCGGCTCCGCCGAGGCATTGCAGGTTGCGGCTGACATTGCGTGTCATTACTCGAAAGCCAAGGCTCGCTCTAAGGCCGATGTCATAAAAACAGGCATCGAGAACGTCACACGTTGCCCCGGCGCAAAAATCGGAGCGGTGTTGGTGAGCAACTTCGAGACTATTACCGGACACCCGGCCAGCGGCGGGGAGTATGTCAAGGCCCACCGTGTATCGCTAAACTAGGTTCGGACAGTTGTATGCATGCGGATTCACAACTTCATATAACTATAGTCTACTATAACATTAGAATGGCATTATCTGATAGTTGTTTAGCGTTGTTGGTTGATAATGGTCTGCCAGATGTTCTCCATCATTCCAACAAGGCCCCTGCATTTAGGCGGCCATGCGAATACCGCTGACCAGCTCTCTGGCGCTTCGTTTTTCATCGACATGCAGCCATTTCCCAACATCTAAGTCATCCGGCTCGCTGAACTTGAGTTCGTTCTGTGAATCCGGTGGCATATCATCCTCCACGAAGCGATCCACGATCTGTGCATCCATATCACCATTCTCGTTTTGGAACCGCTCAACGAGACTGGCCTCGAATACTCGTTCGGGATTTATACCTATGCGATGCAACCGCTCAATGAGCGTCGCCAGGTGGTGGTCCTGATACTCAGCGGCGGCTCGAGCCACACGTGCTGCCATTTTCTCTATAACGGAAACACGTCCGCCATGGTTATCGATGGTGTACAGCAGGATCTCGTAGAGTTTGTTTAGGGGGACAGATTCGATCTTTTTGCTCAACGAGCTGAACAACTGTGCCTTGATGGTTTCCTGGGCGTTTATCATATCGCGCTCCCCTTGTATGCCCTCCATGTTGTGGTCATTCTCATCAACAGCGGACTGGGAATCGCCTGACGACAGCCGGTCAACGCCTTCCACGTTATGCAGCATTACCATTATGCTGCTGACACTGAGACGGTCTACACCTGCCATGATTGCGTCGAGCAATTGCTTGGGCTCGTCGATCCCGCAGCGATGCCTTGCCGCATATAATGCCACCAACAGCTCTTTGCTGCAATCCCCGGATGCCAGCCCGCGAATGACGGCGGCCTGATCCTCTGTCAAATTGCGCACCCGTATCGATGCGTGGACGAGCTGCGTTTTCGCCGCGTCGTCCAAGGCTGGCACCTGCGCGAAATCTATGCCGTCCCACAGGCGCTGCCCGAGATCCACGTCGTTCAAAGCGTTGATTGCGATATCCATCCCCGTAATGAGCCATTGCGGTTTAGGCTTCTCAGTCGTCTGAGCCAACAATGCATTCAGGAGAAACCCTACGTCGGCGTGCCGGCTCAGCGAGGTGGCGAGTAGGATCAATGTCTGCCCATCGAGTCTTGCGAACGACCCATCGCCTTGCTCATTGACCTTCAGCATAAGTTCCACGAATTCTGCCAGCCTCTTCCACATTCGGTGCCTGTGCACCCTGCGAGAGAGGGCGCAAGCTATGGTTGTGAGATCCTTGGGGAGCTCCATCAAGGACTCCAACAGGTCATCCCCTATGTAGCTACCTCGGTTAAGCTCCTCCAAATGGTCGTGTTTTTCCAGCAGCAGGCTGGCAATCTCTTCGGCCAGGTCCCTCAGGAAGACTCCGGCGAATTCCAGCTGAGGCGGCAGCTTGCAGAAGGCCTTTGCCAGAGCGGCGTACTCCGGCGCTTCGCAGAATGGCAGCTTAGGTCCTATGGAGGTTGCTATCAGTTTGAGCGTTTGCTCAGTGGTGCTCAGCAGAGATGCATGCTGGTCAGCGCCGAGTTCTCGGAAGGCACATTCGCATACGGTAACCAGGGACAAAGCGATCATCCCAAGGTCCTTTGGCACGGCACGAGCAAACAGCTTCTGCATATCCGGGGCAGCTGCCTTCACCAATTCGTCCACCGTAAGCAACAGTTTCTCCCTGTTAGCGATCTCTGCCTGGAACGCCTCAACCTCCTCTCCAGATGGTTGACCCGTCTGGATTGCACTTGTCGCAATAAATTTCGAGATCGAATGCAACACCAGGGCGATGTGCTTTATGCGCAGTTGCGATAGCTGCTTCAGAGCGCACTGCGCATACCGAAGCAAAATGCCAGCGTCGGCATAACCCATGTTGACGATGCGAAAGCATAGCATCGCCAACTCACGTGGAGCTGCCGACTCCGGTGTAAAGAGGTTTCCCTGCAACAGAGTTGTCGGATTGCCGCCTCTGAGTTCGTCGTAGCGTTTCGGGCTTTTTATCTTCGTCTCGATCTGTATCCTTTTGCGCCCGGGGTATACGCGATAGCAGCGGCGCAGGACCAAGGCGAACGACCTCAGAAGGCTACACATTTCTGCACATATAACACAGTTGCGATATTACTTCCATTAAAGGCGTGTCTGCCATGTTGAATGGTTATGTTGTACGGATTTGTCGCCCTGGTTGGTTGGAGTGTGTAAGGGCCGGATATGGCGCTACGAGCGCCAGGATCCCCAAAACTCGCGCCTTCCACAAGCCTTCCATGAATTTTCAGGAATCTTTGGCATCTTAATCATAACCGCGGCATCATTGCTTCGATGTGTCTATCTGCACTCAGGTGCATCTCGGCGAGTTGCCAGGGCTGACTCCTTTCCGTACAGTGTTCAGATTCCACAATGGAGTCCAGGGTGGGCCGTAAATTTCGCGAAATAATATCCGAGGTAACCGGCAATGCGCGGTCAGAGTACGCGACATCTCTGCGGGAGGAGCACCGGGAGGCTCTGCTTTACGGCAAGAAGGCATACGCAATAGACAATGGAGGCAATGACATCACGCTTTTTGTCCCATGGCGCTTGCATGAGCCCATCGAGTCTCTGTTCCGAGCCATCGCAGGCGGCCCTCGCCTATTAGCGTCTTCGTTTAGACAGCTGGTATGATGCCTAATCTGTGTCTTGCACCGCACTCAGGTGGACCACGCTGCCCTCTTTCCCAGATCACAGAACTCGCGAAAAAAGGAAGATATAATCGATTATATCCTAGAAAGGGTCCTCGGCAACTTCGGCTCGCTGGGTGAGTGCCCCCTTGCTTTCGTTAATTGTCGGCAGATTTCGAGCAGTTTTTGCATGCGCTATTTCTGCTCTCGAAGTACCGAGCAGCAGTGCTTCGAGTGACGGAACAGTGCGCGTTCAACCATGTTATCGCACTTCTGGTGAAGAGCGGTGGCAACGTCCCATCGGAGAGTCGCGACGTACGTGCGGATTGCGTCAAGCCACCGGAATTTGCTGAAACACGCCACACGTCCATTCGCCAGGAACCAAACGAACCAACGGAAGCTCTGGTAGGCCCTATGAGCAGGGTAGCACTGGATAGAGAGCCGAGCATCGCCCCGTCCGTCGTTCGTACCGAACAGGAAGACGCCATTGGGCACGAGGCAAGCCTCGTTCTCTCCGAAGACCAACAGTCGGACAATACGATAGACACAGATAATGCCGTCACGGAGGAGCCATTACCGGTACCGATACAGATACCGGAAGTGGGTATGAAGAGAGAGAAGTCCGGTGTGAGTAGTTTCGTCTGGCAACCATCGCAAAACGACCGTTTAATCAGAATTGCCGAGGACAAGATGAATGAGACATGCGAGTTCATGAAGACAGAGTTTTTGACATTGCGCGACCGCATGGAGGAGTACAAAATCCAGGAAAGCCAGCGACAGGAGTTGCTCCGCACGATATCGGCGCTGAAAGCTGACAACTCGCAACTGAAGACACGCATGGAAGAAGATCACGCCACGGCAGCGGAAACGAGGAGCAGACTGGAAGCCAAGGTTGAAGAGCTCAAAAAAGAGATGCCCGCGATGCAGAGCCGTGTCGAAGACCTAGAGAAGCAGCTGGAGGAGTCGAACACGAAACTTGCCGAGGCCAACCGGAAGCTTGAGAAAGCCGAATTCCAGCGTGACGAGCACCAGAACATACAGACCATGCTCGCCCTTCAAAACGACTACGAGACTATGCTTTTTTCGGCGTTTGTGTCATATCGGGACGACGAGCTGTCTAACGGCGAGTTCGTCATGTCGGAGAACAGCTGCATCACCTTTTGCTTGGACTTCGGGCTAGGCGACTCGCAACTGTTGACCGCGGCGGCCGCAGACCCGGTGGCAAAATTGGCGTACCGCGAAGTGTGCAAACGAGCTCCGGATGGGAAGTTGACCTACGCGCTGTTCAAGGAGTTCTTGTTGCGCCTTGCGGAAATCATAGACCCCCAATCCACGCAGAAGCGTGCCTTCCAGCTTCTATTGCTGTAAGTAACAGAGAACAAAAGAATATATGCGTTAACAGAAACACTGTCTTTCAACGAATGGAAGATGATCGGAGGGGCTCACGCTACGGCGGGCGACACCTGATATCGCCTGACGAGTTCGGACGCCTACCGTACGACGTAATTTCGCCGGGGCACTCCGATGTCACCCAGATTGGCCTTGTAACCGACACCGCGGAACGCGCTCGGGGTTACATGGATGTAGAAGGCAAAATGTGGTTTGAGAATGAGCGGGAACAAAACGCCACCCAACCACAAAGCGGCGGGGGCACTCCGCGATTCCCCGAACGAGATATTTAACGTTTTATGTTTTTGCATTTGATTCGCAGTGTTCGATGTGTTCCTGATTCACGATCAGAGTGGCGTGCCATTCCAAAGGCACTGGGCTACTTCGGTGGTAAGGCGGAATAGCGATGGCAGTATGCTGAGCAGCAGTAAGCAGAGTTAAGACGGGTACAATTGGGCTAGATGGGTTGTGTACGTACCCGGAAAGCGGTACAATCGCCTTGGACCACTCGATGGGTGCGTCGGACGCGACGCAACGCGATATGAAGACGACACCCGTAAAAAAGAAGGCAGAGGGCACCTGTAGTGGCTGATAACCGCGAGAGCGCTTCGTACCTTAAATACCAATGATGCTAGCAGTCCTCCCGACAGCATGGTGGTCGTGTAGTCGCTACTGTACTCCGGCGCCTCGGTGGGCTTCGGTAACACGCGGTCTTCCGCCTTGCTCTCTGCACACTCATGGTGTGTACGTGTATAGCCTACCGTTAAAGCGTAACATTTTGGAGACGCGAGCTAGTATGCAGTGCCGCCAATCACTTCCCTGGAAGGCGCGGAAGCGGCGCCCTCGCCCACCACGCATAGACAGTGGTGACTTTGTGCGATATTATTGTTGTTATGTGTATGATGGTCATCACCGCCATATTTTCTACTCTTCGTAATCGTCATCGTTGCCATCGGCTTCATCAGCTTCTTCCTGTTCTCCAGCTTCATCCTCTGCGTCCTGCTCCTCGCGATCCTCACTTGCTTCCCCTTCGTCGGCATCCTCATGGCCCTGTTTTTTACTCGACCCGTGTTTTCCAGTTCCGCTGCTGAACAACACGGCTGCCTTCAGCCTCTTTTGAAGCCGATGGAGTTTGGTTTCCAGCACATCGATTTCGTGCTTCACCAGTTTGATGTTGTGCGATACGTGCAGCTTCTGCGTTCGTTCGGCGTATGTACCCTCTTTTGCAGATGACAATGCAGACTGCAGGCCTTCTAGTTCCTTGCGTGCCTGCGGGCTAATGTGTCGACAACCATGACCTCTACCTGACTCAGCTCCTTCTCGGTGTGTTTGATCTCCAACCTGATCTCGGCAACTGTCTTGCCCTTAATTGCTGCGCGCATTTACGCCGAAGGCGCTAATGACTTACTCGCCATTTCTAGCAATTTGGAGTTGTGGATTCCTTCGAAAGGGCTGAAGTCTCGCTGGCCTAGACAGCGCAGCGTTAGGTTGTACTCCCATTTCTCCCTGACAAATCGTTGCACAACGTAGTCCTATGAATCCTCACCTTTCTGAAGGCTCTTCTGGTAGCAACACAATGATGGGCGCTGTGTAGTTGACGCTGCCTGAACCGCGTCACTACCGTGCAGTGACAACAAACCGCTGTGTTCTTCCTTCGGCTTCTCGTCTTTCTCCACGACGACGTTCGACACATTGAGCGTCTGAAGGTTATATTATTGCATGCCCGGTACGTACGCTGCTGCTGGCATTCTTGGACTGCTGCAGTATGTCCAGCTTATCCTTCAGCTCTTCAGAAGCCAGCCGTGACCGCTGCAGGTCATGGATGAGCAGCTTCTGCTCATTTTCCTGTCATTCACATTAGAAGTCAAATCTGTTTTGCTTACGAGCTTCTGTAGATCCGGTTTTTCGGCGTTGCCGCGGTTGGCGATGGCAATCGCCGTGGATACAACAAGCGGCCATATACCTCGCATTCTACGCAACCTAGGTGCTTGGCATTATGGTAGATATATTTCACAGGCACACCGCTGTACACATCGACCTGTAAAGTCGAATGCGGAGCGCGTCGTCGGGCCGATGTCTACGAAGGCAGACCCAGAATCCCGATCAGCTGCATACCATCATTGCATTCAGAGACGCCAAGTGCGATGTTAGCGTAATATGGACCCCGAAGCTGCCACGCAAGGGGAAAAGCATTGCATCGTTGTATCGCCGAGGCAACGCGGCAACCCACTGATCAGGTATGAAATCCGTTTTCTTGTGCCTCAAACACCTCAACCAGCCCTAATATGTTGTAGACATTTCGTCAATGTCACGTGTGTAGAGGGGGAAACACATTACGACTACAAACTGACGGAGAGCATCCAGGCGCTCTTCCTGTCTTTGAAGTATCATCGGATGCACAGAGGCTACATTGGCGCACGGTTGAAGCATCTGCGCCAGCACAGGGTGAAGAACCCGTTCATAGTGTGCCAGGTTGACATCGAAGACCCGCAGGATACCATAGGTAAGTGGATTAGTGGTCCCCCTTGCTGCGCCCTTACAGCCTTATATGATTGCGCAGCGGAGATCACAGTAATCACGTTTACACTTGGATATCGTATGCTCCTGAGTTGGAGCGCTCGGGAGAGTGCGGCGGTGTTGGAGGCACTCAAGATAGACGGTCATAAGGGGCTTGAGTTCCTCAACCCAAGGCTGGAGCAGCCTCACCTTCAAATTGTTCAGCGCATAATTGCTTCCATCAGACATGTTAACAACACGGATTCTATTGCCATAGCGTCCCGGTGCAGCACTGTCAAGCAGTTGATGCAGATCAAACCCGAGCAGCTCGAAAATATACACGGTGGGTTCCCACCCCGTCATGCGTGACCGGTTTCAGGTCTGGGCAAGAGGAAGGTGAAGGCCATACTATCGGCTTTCAACGACACGTTTTTCTGATTCAGCCACAATTCATGTATGTATATGGTTGGTGGATTATTAATTTGTGTTTTAAGCGTTTCAGCAGGTACATTGCGGCGTATCTGTCTGATTAATCTCAGCAAACATTCCGCTTCCCCCGCGTGTTCATCCGAAGAAAACTGAACGGTGTTGAGGACAGGCGCTTTTTGACCTACTGGATGAGCCGCCTCCCGGTGGCCTCTTGACTAGTTTGTGCTGGTCTCGTGGAACATAGGTCTCGCTGCTGGCGGACGCGGCCTTCCCAACGGGATTTTTGGTGGTGGTTTCGGTTGCAGCTGCAGCGTTGCTGGTGTTTTCAGCTACGCTCTTCATCAGCGCTGCGGTTGCTGACAGTGCGTTGCAAAGCGTCGGACTAACCTTCCACAGCAACACTCTCGGCGTCTAGGCTATCAACCGCCGCCGGTGGTGCGTTGACATCTACGTCACCGTTCACCACTGGTGAGTCGTTAGGGACAGAGTCGCCTGCGTTGGTGTGACTTCTGGTGCGTTACACTTACTGGTTGACATTTTCTGGTTGAGTGTTTTCTGAGGGCAACAATTGCAACTTTAGCAGAGACACGTTTAGAAGCAAGATGGAAGATAAATACAGACAAATTGCGCAGTTTGAGAGTATATTCCAGTCGTTTGTGACGGGGCGCGACGTACACCGAGACGCAGCCGGATCTGGGACAGACGATGTGGAGACGGCCTACGCTATTCCAAAGCGCATCAATTCAGCTATCCGCGAGATACTCTGGGAGGAAGATGCGCTCGGATTCGACATCAGAAACCACGTGCAAAAGGAGTCGCTAGACGACGTCGCGAGCGCCGAACCTCTCGACGACCCCGTGGTGCCGAAACCCATCTCAGAATCGGGCAGTTCCAGCCTCAGCGACAAATCGGAGTCTTCAACTGAAGAGGAACCTGAGGTGCATGTGGAATTCTACACTGATGATGGCGTTGAGAATAATTTTGCGCAATTCACGTATTGGAATGTGGAATCAGGGCCGCGTGTGTCGTACACGCTGAAGCCGCTCTACTCCAAAAGTAACGCAAAGGCGGTCACGCTGCTAGAAGATGCCGAGGCATTTGTGGCCACAGCCATATGGGGAGGTCCAGACGCGCACAAAATTCATCAGGCACCACGGCATCTCCTGGTGCAGGCCGCACAGGTTGCGTCTCGTGCCTTCTTCGACCCAGACTATCGCGATTACCTCCAAACGTCGCACATATCATGAGTGTGCGTTCTTGTGTGCCGATTGCTGCACTTGCAGAACTGAACCGCATAACGTTTTGCCGTCTCCCATTACATGTCGAGGATAAGCATCGCTCACTCATAAACACAAACAGCGTTTTGCGACTCTCTTAAGCGGTATTCTACTACCATCCATGACAGATTCAGCGGTGTTCGTCTGCCAAGGTAGACATGCTGCTTTTCACCGCCATGTGTGTCTGACTCAGCGGTGCGCATGATGTGCACTGAGCCGAAGAAATGCTTTCCAAGAGGCCTTGCTGCAGTGTAGATGAGCGCCTCTGTGTCCTGCACTAATCATTATCTGTTGGCGCACCATTAATGCCACAACTTCTGTGCTGGCTTCTTTGGCAGCCAGGGGTGTGGTCTTCACTGGCATATGCACTATTCCTTTACTGCACACCACACACAGATCCAGCGCATTGCCAGCCTTCCCTACACATAGGGGAATGGCGGGGCGCTTGGGAGGCCTTGCGGTCTCCATATGCCTATGCGGGTTGCTCGCATCGGCGCAAACTATGGAAACAAATGTGAACTTCATTAACAAGGTAGGTGAAGTTTTGTTTGCACCGGCATAACGAAACAGCCCTTGAGGAGTTATTACGAAGAAGGCCTAAATCGGGCATTTAAAAAGAAGCAATATCATAAAAACGAGATTTCAGCACAGTTAGAACGATGGGTAAAGGTGGAGAACCAATACGTACACCCGTTCAGGCAGCGTGGAAAATGCTGGCACGGTAAGGGGGGGGAAAATCTTTACTTGTGATCTGTTATCCGTACTAGAGTTGTGAACTTCGATGTTAAACAATCACTCACAAATTACCAGGGTTCGAGGGAGAAGTGTCGCAAATGCAGTTGGACCTGGACCAGTATTGCGCAGCGCAAAATGTCGGATTGACAATGTGCGCACGATGCGAAATTTCAGAGGGCGTGAAATGCTACTGCGTGCATATGATTTTGATGGACTACGGTGTTACCAGGCACCAGTGCCCAAATAACTGCACCTTTCTGACGGCGTGCCCTGGAGCCGTCGAAACACTGACGGACTACAACCTGATCGACGAGAAGGTGATGAAGAAGTTGCACTACAAACACTGCGGTAGGCATAGACTTTGCAGCTTAATGGATCTGCAGTGACTTCCAAGCTACAGAAATCCCTGGATACAATGTGTGGTGAAGGCATGGCGGCACGGTATACAGACAATGCCATACATTGCTTACGGAAGACCGCACTTGACTACGAGAGATTCTCAGGGTGCTGGGATGAGTGCGGTCTGATTATTCAATGCTTTGGCGCTCCAATACAGCTTCCATCCACGAAAGGCCATAAACCCTCCGACATAAATTGGGACGACCATGTGACGCATTGCCGTAAGTAATTCCCTCTCACACGTGAAACCCACTCAGCATGTAATGGAGATATCTCGGATGAGACGAATTCGCCGTACACTGGTTGCGAGTCGATAACTCGGGATAATAAGGTCTGCAGACACTGGAATACGATCCCGTCTTTGCCGGTTATTGAGGACTCTCGCAGCATGTTCATACAAAACTATTGTAGGAATATAACACCTGGAAACTTAGTGTGCTACATCTCTGACACCGTCCAAGCGCCGTGCCCAGCTACGGCGAAGCAGCCGAAGGACGCCGCAGATGCTAAAGGTCCAAGACTAAAAGCGTACCTACAACCCGGCACGATATTCGACTTATGGATAGGTCCGTACATTCCTACGTACAAAGTAGTCGTCGGTTTTGCGGAGGAAAATAAGCCGTGCGGGGGGGAGCTGATTGCAGACTCCCCCATCGTCCAATCCTACGCATCGCAGCCTTACGACGTTTACACCGGCAGATGGTCAATGAAATATGCAAAGCACAGTATGGACATCTATCCATCGCTGGATGACTCAAATGAGACATTTTTCGTTTTGAAGGGCTTCAAAGTAATGCGTGATGCTACTAATACTACCGTCACCGTCTGCGGCTGCATATCATCGCAGTTTTACTACCGAGAATTGGATAACGTCTCATGCGACAGAAGCAGCCAGTTCACCATGTACCTTGGTACGATCCGCATAATGGGTACGTTGGTGATTTGAAACTTTAACAGCTGCCTAGGTGAGGCGATGCCCGATACGACGCAGGTGCAAAAGGACAATATGACTGCAGTGATAAATGCTCATGGAGATGTATTAGAGGCCGTTGTAACTATGGTGCACAAAGACGACGTGGACAAGGCCCTCCCGGATAGCCCAGGTGAGGACTATCTTTATCCTGTGGAGGTCTTCTTCCACGTTGAGGAAACACTGCGACGTAAAATGTTGCGTTCGAAGAAACCAGGATTAACGTTGAAGCAATCATATACGGAATACATCCTGCCAAGAGCAGTCATTCAACGCCACAACTCATCAACGTTGATGAAGGTTACCAGGACCGGCACGTACATGGCCATCAGCCAAGAAACCAACCCTCCAATGGCAATTTCCGTTCATATGGCACCACTCAAAGTTATGGGGGTCTGGACATTCACCGGATATGATGTCAATCTAAAACTATCCCTAATCAACTCCGACAGTGCTGGTTCCAAGGCTTTGGCACAGTCCTTGTTCTTCCGGAGCTGGAAGATCGCCAAACGACCCTTGGCCATAATCCTTTCAGCGGCCACAGACAGCAAACCATGTTCAAAGCCTTTTGGTGTTTCTCAAGCTCCATTCCCAGTCACAGGGTCTGTAATCGAAGAACAAGAAACGATATGGCGTGCTAACAGATTTTGGGTGGACAAAACGGTGTGGAAAAACATCACAGGGTTTAATATATGCCTCTTTCGTGAGAACGATAACAGTATGCGCCTCGGACGCGGCGTGAAAGTTGCCCATGTCGACCACAAATTCTCTCACCTGCACCCCGATTTTACCGAGGTGCCGAGTAGCGTGTCAACCTACATGCTGCGGGATGAGTGGGACCTCATTGCATACCATGCGAGTTTAACAGTGAAACCAAATACGACCCCAAAACCAATTGTAGATGTTAATAAGAAGCCGTCTCAAGAGGAGCAGCAACTAGAGTTATTCTTGTCCTCTAACCAGTGTAACTGCTCTCCACAAGAGACGCCGCCAACACCAGTGTACCCAGTCGTCCTGAGTTTCTGGTGTATGAAAGATGCCAACATGGTGATGGTTTTCCGCATGACTGCCGAAAACCTATCTCCTATCTACCTTGGTAAGTTTGAGGTCAACCACCCAATTGCAATGGAGTTGATCGTCAATTACGACTCCGTAAAAGCCTTAGTCATGTCTGAGGGCGAGAGGGAAATAATCCAGTATGATGTGACCATTGAGAAAGCGAATGGGCTTCGTTTCACGCTGAAAAAGGAAACCACTAGCTGTGAAGATAAAACGTGCGTCCGTTTTATGTCACCCGCAGACATGAAGGTTATTCGCTTCAGGCGAAAAAATCAACAGACATACTTAGTTATAGTAACGGATGCGGACGCTAACTGCATAGTTCTGCTGAACTCCAAACTCATGGAAGTTTCCCGCATATGCGACACCGATTACATACCACCAAGTGGCATAAAGCAACCCAGCAGGATAGCTTGCGCTCCCTTGCCAACAGGCGAATCCTACATATCGGATTATGTTCTCGAAAAAAATGAGGTGTATCGAAGTTGTTACATTACGCAGAAGCATGATGGATCAGTTCTCTGGGTGCAGGTAGAGCTGGAAAAGGAAAAGTTGAGCGTCCACAAAGTATACACGGGGGTTTCAGTGGACACAACCGACTCAATGCCGCTAAATAAGCATACCACGGCACTTCCAGTGATCCGATATCCTTCGTACATCGAAATAGTGTCTTACGAGACCGCAGATTTGCTCTACGTTGTTCAACACGAGGCTCACGAGATACTTACCTTCATTATTGACCGTAGAGATTCTACTCCTAAAATTTTCTACTACGGGAAAAATGCCCCTAAAGGTGTACCTTACGGTATCTTCCTCGGCATCAAAGGCGTGCAAATGTCGTACCGCAAGGAAAATGACGCGGTGAATGATGACTACCTGATGCTGGTGCGAAAGCCGGCACTCACCAGTTATCATACCACACCAAGCATATTTCTTACAATGATGAATGTCAAAGAGACCATAAAAGTGAGTGATTTCGATTACCCCATCCCTAGTTGGGTATTGGTCGGCCGTGACCTCAATCTCGATCCCCAAATCCAGGGGCCCAATTCGCACTTAAACTCGCTGACTCTCTACGACCTGGACATTGTCGCAAACAAATGGCACGTAGGTACGGACGCTCCAAACTGTGTCAACAGGGGGCCCATAAGTCGGGTGGCGAAGGGAGATCACGGCCCGGCTATCGAACCTCTAGATCTCACCGCCGGTGATTTAGGTAACCACATATCGATCACAAAGAACGGGAGACTTACCATTAGTCTGAAGAACATCAACCAGATCACTGTCATGCTCCGTATTACTGCCATTGGACCTGTAGATTCCAAATGCATCCTGAAGATACTCTCTCTTGCGTGCCCTGATGGTCACTACTTCCGAAACCACGTTGAACCCGAACGTCGTAAGTGCAAGCCATGTGAGGAAGGGACATACAATTCCATCATGATGATTGAGGGTGACATGGGCAGGTGGAGCGAATGCACGAAGTGCCCTGACAACGAGTCTACCACATCGGTGGGAGCGGTATCGGCGAGCCAGTGTATGTGCGCCGCCGGATATTACCTCGACGAGACCAAGACTCCCAGGTGTCAGCCGTGCGAGGCAGGTACATGGAAAGGTGTCGTGGGAATGCAACCATGTTTGGAAGCCGGATGTTACCCAAACTCTCAGTCGACTGTCATCGGAAGTACTACCGAGGAAGGCAGGAAGTGTGAATGCCTTGCAGGTTACTACTACCGCCAACTTCACAGCTCACCAAAGGAATGTGTGCCATGTGAAGAGGGATACTATTGCGAGGGTGGCTTCCACGGTAAAAGGGCTCCCTGCCCCGTAAACATGACTACCAATATACCGACTACTACTCCAATTATAGGAGAAAAACCTTTGCTCTCCGTTAGCATTGGCGACTGTGTCTGCAAAGCTGGTTACGAACCCGCTGACCCTAGCACAATTAACGACCCAAGCACTGAGGCATACAAGCTAAGGTTACAGATCACAAAGGAACTCAATCGGTACGGCCTCAAACAGTATGACATCGCGTCTCTCGTATGTACACCATGTCCACCAAACAAGATCAAGACAACGAAGGGTAATACGCCATGTGAGCCATGTCCACCGAATACCTTCAGTGATCTCCTGGGAAACAGCAGCATTTACACGTGCAACCGCTGTGCTCCTGGATATTACGAGACAAACGAGCCATCATTTCCTTGTAATGCATGCGACGTCAACCACATTTGTGTCGGGTCCGACCCATTGGACCCGGACATGTCGAAACACAGAGGCAAGAAGGTCAAGTGCCACAAAAATTCCATCACGATTCCGCCGTACGAAAAGAATACCTCCATGAAACATTGCCTTTGTGAGAAGGGGTACAGGATTTCCAAGCAGCTTGGAACCAGCTGTGAACCCGTTCCGAAGAACACGTATAAGGATGTGATAGGTAACGTGGAACCGACGGACTGCCCACCTGGATCCCATACGTTAACCACTGGGGCGACGGATATATCCGAGTGCGTATGCAAGAGAGGCATGTTTTACGACATAAATACTGGGAAGTGCACAATATGTCCAATCGGGATGTACTGCCCAGGTGGAAAATCGAAATCTAACACTCACTCGGGAGCAATCCCATGCCCCGATGTAAATGCTACCACAAAAGAACCTGGGGCATCTAACGTCAACGAATGTATGTGCAATGCGGGATACTACATTAGAAGTGACAATTCCACCGTCTGCACTGAGTGCCCTGAGAATACCTACAAAAGCTTCACCTCCAATGAAAGCTGTACAGAGTGTGATGAGAACTCTTCAACAAGTGGTCAACTCGGAGCCACTTCTAAGGAACAGTGCGTTTGCGCTCCTGGATATTATTTTACTGGTACATGTAAAGTATGTGGGTATCCAGATAAATATTGCCCCGGTGGCATTTTTAAGCACCGAGACGATGTGACTGGAAAGGACATATATGAAACAAGTGCTCCCATAGACTGCCCACCTCATACCGAAATACCACCAGGTGTTGACACTGCAGATAGCGTAGACAGCTGCAAGTGTGGTAAGGGATACGCATTTATGAAAGATAGCGACCACCTACAAACTAAAATGTGCAATCCCTGCCCACCCGGATCTTACAAGAGTTCCGTGATGGATTCGAGTTGCAACGGTTTGTGCACGCAGAACGCCACGAGCCTGCCGGGTGCGTTCAGCCCGAGCCAGTGCTTCTGCCAACGTGGGTACTACTACCTGGCGGGAGGCATATGCGCGCCGTGCGTGGAAGGCGCCAGGTGCGACGGAGGTCTGCTGGACAGCGGGGGGCCGTCGTACAAGCGCAGCGTCGTCAGGTACAACGACCACGTGAAGCCCGTGCCCATTGAGGGCTACTACCTCGACAAGATCAACCTCGAGCTTCGCAAACCCGACGACTGGCGTTTCATCGAGTGCCCGATCAAGGGTGCGTGTCTGGGTGAGAAGGGTTGCTCTGAGTCGATGACCGCGTACCTTTGCGCCGAGTGCAGGACTGGCTTCACCAACAACTTCAAGAAGGGTGCGCTGTGCAGCAAGTGCCCCTCCACCTGGTCAAACGTGCTCCTGACGGTCGCGTGGTACCTCGCCCTTTTGTTGGTGAACATCGTGATGGCGTGCCTGAACGTCAGCGCCGGTTTCAACCGTAGGTCCATCCACTCCGTCGTCATCAAGATCGCTCTCAACTACGGTGTCTGCATGTCGGTGCTAAACGTCATCAACTTCAGCGATTTGGCGCTGCCCGAGGAACTCAAGTCCACAACGCTTCATTGGATACGATTGCTTTACCATGAAACCCGGACGTACTATACGTCCATAGACTGTTTATTCCAGAATTGGTTTAGCATGAAGCATTCAAACTCTTTCTTCTACAGCATGCTGTTAATTGCGTGTCTACCAGTAATTTTGCTGGTAGTCGTCACTGTACTGATGTGGGTGATTCTGGAGCTTTTCAAACTGAGGAGACGTGCGATCATGCGCTCAAAGTTGGCACTCTTATACCAGTCGAACTTGCAAGGGATGCATTATTTAGCTGACAGATTGACCGAGGAGTATGCGAACGAGCGTTTGTTTATGATTTTCCGTTACATCCCGCTGCCTGGGGAGACACGCTGGGTACGTTTCAAGCACTTCTTGGAAGATATGATTCCGATTTACGTCACAGTGCTCTTCTCACTGCACGGCAACACAACAAGCCAAATGCTTAGTCTTCTAGACTGCACCCACATAAGCTTGGGGCAGAGTATTCCCAGCAAATACGTTCTGCGCCCCGCCATGAGCATTAAGTGCTCACTGGATCCCGATGAGGGTTACATTCCGTACTTGCTGCTGGGTCTGGGAGGTTTGATCTTTTGGGGATTCGGGATTCCGTTGTTTTCGTACATCGTGTTGTTGATGAACCGGCGAAACCTGTACGCTCCTGACGTGCGCATGAAATACGGGTTCCTTCACAACGGTTACCAGCAAGGATACTGGTTCTGGGAAGCGATTGTGTTCACTCGCAAGAGTCTTGTGCTGGTGATTGGCAGCATCGTGATCGTGCCGTCGCAGAACACGAGTGGATCCCGTATATGGATGGCTCTGGCCGTCGCCGTATTCTTCCTCATTATCCAGCTCATCTACAAGCCGTTTGACGAGCGAGACTATTTCGTACTCGGGAGGCTCGAGAGCCACAGCATGATCTCGTGGACTATGACCCTGATCTTCTGTCTCTTTCCTATCGAAGGGGAATTCTCTGCTCTCAACAATATGTATCTTCTAACAATCATCTGCATCATTAACTTCTGCTTCATCGCCGAAGTTGCTCTGGAGCTAGGTTTGGCATATTGTGACAACGTGCGATCTCGCAATGCTAAATGCAATGCCTCGGTCATCGGTTACATAAATCGTTTTTTGGCATCTATTTCCGAAAAGCGGAAGTTGCGCGAGCCACTGATTATATTAAACGAAGAGAGTCGGACGATAGATCTCGCCTCGCCGAAAGCTATACAATGGCGATTTTTCGACGAATCACAGCGAAGAATTACGTACTCCGAGAAAGTCTACTTCACGCACATTGTGAGCCAGGTCATAAACTTCTCGAACATTCAAATGAAGTTAGACATTATACCAATGGACTTTCCGGAGTTCATTTCAAGGCTTGCGTTCGCCGTCAACTTCCACGAACTCAATCAGAAGAAGGCGGATGACATTGTCAGGTCATTGGCCGATGGTAACCTGGACGAACTAGTTAATCTGACCATGCTAAAATCACAAGAAACTCGGGTTCACGGCAATGATCTGTTGTGTTTGCAATCCTCTATGACTACAGATGCATGCGAACACGTAGTTCCTCCTGTTCTGCTTTTTGACCAGGAGGTCATAGGCAGCGGCATACCGCTATCGGACTTCTACATGGCACTCTCCATAATCAAAATGAAAGACAAATACATGATCGTTCGCACCTACGAGGCATTTAAAGTGCTTCGTATGAAAGCAGACAGTGCCATACGCAAGGAACAAGAGCAGAAGGTGCAGAGATTGGAAGAAATACTGCGACGCATACACCATCCAGATTACCAAACTATGGATGAAATATTTTGTTCGCAGGAAGACATCGATGCCGAGAAGCGCAACATTGCGGAATTAGAGAGCCGGATACAGCAATTAAAGGAAAACCCGTTAGAGGCACTGGAACTATACGGTGACGAAACCTTCGAAGAGCGACTACAGCGATTGGGGTTCACCGAGAGGAATAAAGATAATCGCGGCACCCGCAAACGCTAGAAATGTAATGACATGCAGTTACTGTAGAATTAGAGTACCAATACATAAATTTACATAAAACATAATACTAATGTTACACTTCATAGGTTGCTAAACGTCACTCTTCGTCGGTAGAGTAGTCCGAATCAGATGTGGTTTCACCTTCTGAATCAGATTCAGTCTCATCGTCAGTATCCGACTCGCTGGAAGATAGCGCATCAATGACGTATTTTTCTAAAGCACCCTTCACGGTGAAACCCAAATCCTTCATTGCCGCATCCAAAGCGGGCTCGTTAGATCCCGTATCTCCGGGGCAATAGGTGTCAGGGCTAGATTGCATCTCCTTGAGTTCCTCAAGCAGTTGGTCTCGCTTGGCCGATTTAGTTTTCAATTCTTCTTCCAATTGAGCAACGTTCTCGGCATTCGCGAATTCCTCGAGATCCTTCTCGCCCTCAGCTAGGGCCTGCAAATTATTCATCATGGCACGGAGTTTGGCGTTTGATTTGTTCATTTCATCGAGCCGTTCTTTGTCGCGTTGGTACTTCACATGCTTATAGACGCTGAACAAAAACGTGAGCATGTTCGTGTCCATAATCCAGATACGGGTAATTGAGTGGTAGAAGTCAGGCAGCTTAGTGTTCCCCTCGAGCACGTTGTCGTCGAATAAGCAGTCCATGATGTCCTGCAGCTCTTCACGACGCAGACCCATCTCGGCAGTGAGGTTCTTGTCGTTCAACAACATGTCTGGAATGTTTACACCGCCCTCTAAACTGTCCCATTTCAATATCCTGTTTGGTTTACGCGACTCCTTTTCAGCAGCCCACGCCACGAGTGTTGACAGGTCTCCATCTTTGAGATCCTGGAAAAGCTCCTTCTTAGACATTTTCTCCTCCAAACGTGTGAACGAAATGGATAGGCGAATAAGGAATTCGATCAACAACTTGGGCATTACGTCTAGCTTCAGGTGGCAAATAACGATGCGATAGATCTCGGTCACAATGTTCACGAAGTAGTAACGCTCCAAGGACGTCAATTTATAGGTCTTGATGCCCAACCACTTCCTCCTCTTGGTACTTGACTTCAGTTGCAGCTGGCCGATGCGTTGGTTGTAATGGATTTGAGGCTCCCGTGAAGATCTTCGCGCCTCGAAGTATAGCAGTACATCAACGATCCAACGCAGCTTACGGAAGAGGGTCTTATCACGCTTGTGCCGCATAGTCGTAAGTAATGCACGAGCCGAGCTCGTAATCACGACAAAGAAGAAGTAACACGAGTTCAGGAACAAGAAAGCACAGACAATGGTAACGACTGTTGGCTGTAACCTAATGTAACACATAAGATAAACGGCGAGTAAGCTTGCTGTCCACGAGATCATGCTGTGGCTCTCGAGCCTCCCGAGTACGAAATAGTCTCGCTCGTCAAACGGCTTGTAGATGAGCTGGATAATGAGGAAGAATACGGCGACGGCCAGAGCCATCCATATACGGGATCCACTCGTGTTCTGCGACGGCACGATCACGATGCTGCCAATCACCAGCACAAGACTCTTGCGAGTGAACACAATCGCTTCCCAGAACCAGTATCCTTGCTGGTAACCGTTGTGAAGGAACCCGTATTTCATGCGCACGTCAGGAGCGTACAGGTTTCGCCGGTTCATCAACAACACGATGTACGAAAACAACGGAATCCCGAATCCCCAAAAGATCAAACCTCCCAGACCCAGCAGCAAGTACGGAATGTAACCCTCATCGGGATCCAGTGAGCACTTAATGCTCATGGCGGGGCGCAGAACGTATTTGCTGGGAATACTCTGCCCCAAGCTTATGTGGGTGCAGTCTAGAAGACTAAGCATTTGGCTTGTTGTGTTGCCGTGCAGTGAGAAGAGCACTGTGACGTAAATCGGAATCATATCTTCCAAGAAGTGCTTGAAACGTACCCAGCGTGTCTCCCCAGGCAGCGGGATGTAACGGAAAATCATAAACAAACGCTCGTTCGAATACTCTTCTGCCAACCGATCATATAAATAGTTCATCCCCTGTACTTTGGACTGATATAGCAGCGCCAACTTCGAACGCATGGTTGAACCCCGTGTCAGCTTGAACAACCCGAGAATTACCCACATAAGCACAGTCACGATGAACAATAAAATAACAGGTAAACATGCAATGAAAAGCATATTGTAAAAGAAGGCATCGGCGTGCTTCATTCCGAACCACTGTTGAAGCAAGCAATCGATCGACGTGTGATAAGTCTTGGTCTCACGGTACAACAATTTAATCCATTGGATGGTGGTGGACTTGAGTTCCTCGGGCAGCGCCAAATCGCTGAAGTTGATGACGTTTAGCACCGACATGCAGACACCGTAGTTGAGAGCGATCTTGATGACGACGGAGTGGATGGACCTGCGGTTGAAGCCCGCGCTGACGTTCAGGCACGCCATCACGATGTTCACCAACAAAAGGGCGAGGTACCACGCGACCGTCAGGAGCACGTTTGACCAGGTGGAGGGGCACTTGCTGCACAGCGCACCCTTCTTGAAGTTGTTGGTGAAGCCAGTCCTGCACTCGGCGCAAAGGTACGCGGTCATCGACTCAGAGCAACCCTTCTCGCCCAGACACGCACCCTTGATCGGGCACTCGATGAAACGCCAGTCGTCGGGTTTGCGAAGCTCGAGGTTGATCTTGTCGAGGTAGTAGCCCTCAATGGGCACGGGCTTCACGTGGTCGTTGTACCTGACGACGCTGCGCTTGTACGACGGCCCCCCGCTGTCCAGCAGACCTCCGTCGCACCTGGCGCCTTCCACGCACGGCGCGCATATGCCTCCCGCCAGGTAGTAGTACCCACGTTGGCAGAAGCACTGGCTCGGGCTGAACGCACCCGGCAGGCTCGTGGCGTTCTGCGTGCACAAACCGTTGCAACTCGAATCCATCACGGAACCCTTGTACGATCCGGGTGGGCAAGGAACGCATATCTTTGTCTTTGATTGCTCGTCCCTCCTTGCAAATGCGTACCCCTTGCTACACTTACAGTTGTCATAGCTGTCTGCCGCGTCTACGCCGGGCGGGATTTCGGTATGAGGTGGGCAGTCTATGGGAGCACTTGTTTCATATATGTCCTTTCCAGTCACATCGTCTCGGTGCTTAAAAATGCCACCGGGGCAATATTTATCTGGATACCCACATACTTTACATGTACCAGTAAAATAATATCCAGGAGCGCAAACGCACTGTTCCTTAGAAGTGGCTCCAACCTGGCCGTAGGTTACCGAATTCTTGGGACACTGAGTGCAACTTTCATTCGAAATAAATGTTTTGTACGTATTTTCAGGGCACTCAACGCATCCACCTCGGCCATCTTGCCGCAAGTAGAAGCCAGGCTTGCACAGACATTCACTTGGACTGGTGGCTCCGCCGTCCTTAGTGACCGCATTGCCATCCGTACACATCATGGGTGACATGTGCTCGCCGTTGGGTAGACGACCACCGAGACAGTACATACCCTCCGGGCAAATTGTGCAACGCTTGTTGGCCTTGTCGAAGAACATTCCCTTCTTACAAACACATTCCGATGCATCAGTTGCACCCGTTTTCAAAGTATAGGACCCAGGCGGGCAGTCAGTTGGGCCAACGTTCCCTATTACATCCTTATACGTGTTTTTCGGAACGGCCTCGCATTTCACAACACCGGTACGCGTACGAGCCATGTAGCCCTTGTCGCATAGACAGTTGGTGAGGTATATGTTTTCCTCGTAGGGCACGAGGGTCACCGCGTTCTTGTCGCACTTTACACGCTTACCGCTGTACATCATCAGGTCAGGATCCATTGGGTCAGAACCGACGCATATGTGGTTGGGGCTACAAACTTCGCATGGATACGTCGGGTCGTTGGTCTCGTAGTATCCAGGTGGGCAACGATTGCACTGCTCTACTCCGGTGTTGGTAACAGACGCAGCGTGAGTTTTGCCAGGGCACGATGTACACGCATGCGCACCTGGGGCTTCCTTGTACTTGTTATAACCACACGGGACACACACCATGGGGTTTTCGTCGGTTGTATGGTAAGCGGATGCTATAATCTTGTACACCTTGTTCTCGTACGTACCTTCGACCGAAATGCGGCTGGGATCAGCAGGCTCGTAACCAGGCACGCAGACACAGTCGGCGAGGCTCTGAGCCGCAGAGACGGCCGTGGTGGTGTATATGGGGCACTTTTGCTGCCTCGCCTTGTAACCTCCGATACAGAAATATCCTTTCTCACACGGTAGACAACCACCATCCGAATTCTTGCTGCGATTTAGGTAGAACCCGGGGTAACAACGGCAGAATGCATCCACCGAGGATGCATTGGCGGCCGTCGTCGAGTAGGAGTTCTTACCACATATTGGGAGACACTGCTCATCACCAAACATGGATTTGTATGTAGCGCCAGAACACGGCTGGCAACGCATACCACCTGACGACTCCCCGGAAGCCGCATAACCGTATATACAATGGCAGTCATCCACGGATGACGCACCAAGGCTGGCAGTAGTCTCGAAACGGGGACACGACTTGCAACTTGCAATAAGGCTGCGGTCCTCCTGGATGTATTTAGCAGCATTATAGGTGCCCATTGGGCACTCTACGCATGCCTTGCCATTGAAATACGTGCCATCAGGGCATAAGAAGTCGATCTCGATGGTGGCAGTCGACGTTGACCACAGCAAACGCCTCACAACGTCGAAGCGCGCACTATAAGGGCGTTTGGATTTGAAAGTTAACGTTCCCGTGTCGCTAATTTTGACGACCTCTCCGAACGTAGTTTTGTCAACGATTTGCGTGGTGTCCAATGACCACTCAGCCACCTGTGGGAATCGATCAGAGCCGGGGCCAAGCACAGGAGTGAATTCGTAGGTCTTGCCGATGGTCATATACGGATCCACCTTGTAAATCAGCTCCGGCACGTGAGTGAGCTCGTCATAAGGAGCCCAGGTAAGACGGAAGCTAGAGGAGCCGTCGTCCTTGGTACGTTCAAACATCTTGTCGATTTCCACCGATGAATCTATCGCCTCTTTGGGATACACCTCGCAAAGCACCATGGCACTGCGGTTGGTGTCAGAGTTGAAAACGGGATAGATGGCGCGCATGAAGGCGCCGTCGCCCACGTTCGTAAGAGGGGAGACAAAAGAAATGCTATCGGACCCAGTCACGGTCCTGTACAGACCTCCGTGTTCGCCATCCTCGCGCAGAGCAAAGATGCCAACATCCTTCTTTTTGTCATGCTCATAGGTCGTCGCGAACAACGACACGATAGAGCCCATCTTAGGGTCCAGATCATCAACCACCGTGCCGGACTTGTAACGGCTCAATATTTTTATCGCATATCCTTGATGGCAAAATGACAGGTGTAGCAGCTCGTTGGAGATTGAGGAGGCCACAAAACAGCTCGTATAACCCTCTGCATTTGTATCCTTGACACAGGAGATCCCTCCGGGAGTGAGGAATTGCACCGTGCCACTGTTGCAAAACCTTGAACGCTCAACTAAGTCATCGTCGTAAACTATCACACAACTCTCCAGCACGTTTATGGCCAGTATAACCGATTTCTTCGACAAGTGTATAACCTCCATGTAACGTATGTTGCCGTTATGCGATACCGTACGCACAAGTTTGTCAAAAGTAATGGGCCGATACAGGTCGGTGAGCAACACTTTCGACAACTTAGTGTCATTTAGAATGTACATGTACAATTTATCGCCCGACTTACCAATGGCAACCGCACGTGGGCGTAGGTACAAAACGGTGAAGAGCGGATATAGAGTGGGATCTTCGTCGGCCATCAGCCACAGCATAATAGTGTCGCGTTCGCTGTATACACGACAGTGCAGCATGAGGGAGCGAGAATTCCCCAAAATGCCATAAAAGTAATCATCGTTGGCATAAAACGTCTCACGGAAATCCTTATATTGTACGTTGTCTGAAAAGGATAATGAGGTCAGCAAGGTGAAGATAAATTCGGAATTCCTGCCCAACTGATAATTGTATATATAATCCGGTGCGCTCTTCATGTGGTACGACGTGTTAATTAAAAACCTCTCGTCCAAATCAAAATGGTTCTGAACGCGAGCAGAACCGATCCGTACTGCCTTCGGGCTATCCGGATATTCTACACAAATGGCGTAAGCAAGCCGCGGAGCTGATTCCCCCAAATCAATCTGCAGATCGCGTACTACCCAACGAAGCATGGATGGATCGATTTTATAAATGTAGTAAGGATGGAGGGCACCAGACCAACGGCCCACGGTCTTCGCACTGCAATCCGTCTCGGAGTCTGCCAGAAAAAATGATTCGGCTGTCAAGTGCTCGTAATCGTAGTGCTCAAATATTAAAGAGCTGCCTGTCAACTGGCCCGATGCATTACGGTAGATCACAGCACTGGCATTGTCACGGATGCCTTTCACGACGAAAGAATCGTTATGTTCCACCACATCCATCGTGGACTTGTTGATCAAACAGAGGCGGTACTTCCCTACCTTTGGAAAATCGATTTCGATGGAATCTTTATCATCGGCTTCAAACACGCGTATGTAGCGACCGTAATTGGGAAGCTTTTGGAGAGCGGGCATGAACCAATTAACGTGGTACGCGTCGAACAATGTCTGACAGTTCACGAAATTCGATTCAGTGTCAACAAGCAGGGCGATTGTGTCGCGAAAAGAGAACTTCTTACTGCTGCCTAACTCAATGGTTGACACGGTTGGTTCCTCTGAACCTTTAGCGAAAACCACTTGGCCCATTACCCTGGTGTATTCCGAGAAATGCAGGCAGGTCTTTACATCGTCAACGCCATGGTTGCTAGCACACCCGCAGATCTTGTACTTGCCTGGCTTATCCACAGCCGAAAAAGGGCCAACTCTAAAAAACCGCTGGTTTTCAACCGTATACTCTTCAAGGATGGGCAATCCAGATGTCTCTGGGTTATACATATAATGCAACCCATTCTCTATCGACATCTGCGACCCACAAAGCACCTTTTCGGGGCCCAGATAGACTCCAAATGCCGCAGAAAACGTGAAATGTTCAATCGTCAGATAAAACTCCTGCTTCAAAGGCGCGTAGAACCTGGTTTGAACGAATGGGTGACAGAAAAGACCATCTGGGGTACGGTCGCAACGTGAAGACACCCTAGATCCACACTCCATCGTGCCCAGTTCTATGCCGTGCCTTTCTTTAAGGACATTGTACAAGGAGCAACGATCAATACGATCGTACTGTCGGTCCGTATGGCCATCGGGATTCACAGTGCTCGCCCGACTCCTACGTCCCTTGCCCACTTCGTCTGGCTGTGGCGAATCTTCCTCACCACGGGCGTAACGCTTGTACAATTCAGCGTTAGCCGTATCATTTTCTGGCACATTACTGATGGCACCGATGTCGATGGCATAATTATCCTCCATGATTGTCTGATTCTCCTGATTACGTGGACGACCAGCTTTCCTCCTTCTCAAATTTCCATTGTACCGCTCTCTAGCCATCAATCCGAGAAATGACGGGGCTTTGGGACCCTGACCTTTCGAAACGCCTTCATCAGAATGGCCGCGTTGATCGTAGGTTTTCGCCGCAAATTTCATGGCATCCATCTGCTGGTAGAACAGGTCATACGCCTTCGCCCCCTCGTGGGACTTTGGGGGCGGGGTACCCTTCACGTAGTAAACGCTGGATCTCAGGGTACACACAGGGTCGTGCATGTAGGCATCCAGCACATCTCGTACCTTCGTGTTAGTCTGACCACGCATCGGAGCAGACTTATACGCCTCCAAAATCTCGAGAACTTTCGATTCTGGAACGTCTGTGCCGTCATCGGCCTCAAAGTTGAAATTTATATATTTCAGATTCTGACGGCGGTTGAGGTTACGCATTGACAAGATGTTGTACTTCATTAACTGGCTCCTAAGCTTGTAGGGAACCCCCAACAACGTGTGCTTGAATTTCAATTTATCTTGGTCCTGCCACAGGATCGAGTCAGGGGCAACCTGTTTCGTGCTGTAACATCTGCATTTCTTCGATTCCGGGTCACACGCAAACTGATATCCTGCGATGATATTCCGGTTGCAATAATCGCGCATCAAAGTGCCCAACAGGGTGTCAGGATAGAAGAACTTTATCGGCTTGTAATTGCTCGGCGGAGTCTCAATCTCCGGAACGGTGAGGTCGAACTCGGGCACCTCAGGGTCACGTTCCTCGACAGGTGAGTCTGTGACAGATATTAGATAGGTCCGCGTGCATGACAGTAACGTGAGAAATGACTAAATCCTTACCCCCTGCCCAACTCGGACTCTGCAACCAAATGAGTGGAGCGACAAACAGCATGGAACGGTTGCGCGCAACACATCAAACCCTGACTTACCGTGTAGCTCTCAGCCGGCCATAGCAGCAGCATGAGCGCGGCTGCCTGCGCGAGCGACGCCCAAAACGTCCTCATCGTGAATATTCCAGAGATGCGGTACGACACAGTCGCGAATTGCAGTCGATTGGACTCTTATGGGTGCGTGATCATCGCAGCCCACATTTACGTGGCAACTATGAAGCTGCAATCAGATGCTGATGCACAGCTCAAGCATCTCATTTCGGGGTAGGTGAGAGCGGCGTGAGTAGTCTCACGGAAAACCCACATACTGCTGCCAAACACAGTTTGACGTACTCCAACCAGCATAAACCAACGGTAGTGCCCACAACGGCCACTGAACGGCTGCAGGAATCACATGCCGCACAGCGTGGTACGCTACACACACGACACACATGGCGAGCGACGACATGAGCACCCAGCACAAGTTAAAGCGCAGAACTGTGCCTTTGTGGTGTAAAACGTCTATACTGGACACATATTGTATCATTCTGCTACACCTTCATAGAAGTCGCTGCTGCAGACACACATTTTACCTCGGCGACAAGCAGCTGATTACCGCGAATCCAACACATCAGTGCCGGCGGCGTCGCAATGAACGATATCACCTATAAATATAAAATGTGACGTAATGGCTGGCGATATCGCAGCCTATAGAGCGCGCGCCTAGTCCGGCCGGCAGTCCCGGAGTGGATTCGTCGCCACATCGACCGCATTACCAGTCGCTTGGTTGTATACAAATCGGTGGCTGTGATGCGGATTTATGGCATGTTTCTGCCGCATTCCCGGGTTGGCCTAGCGGGACCTTGAGCTCGACGTCATGCGGCGGTCACTCGCCATACGATCGAGCATATGTATACGCGACAGCCGGTAGTATACGCCTAGTGGTTGATGTATAGAAATGCTGTGGTCAGCCTAGGCATGGTTATATGCCTAGGCTGCGCCGCTGCCGCATCGTTCCACCGTAATTTCACCATCGCAGCCTCCGCCCAAACTACAGGGCAGAACGGTTATTCTTATCGCAATGAAATCGGTCTGGCGTTCGTCCTCAGTGGACATGAGCCAGCTTCAAGCCGTCGGAAGGCCATTAGCGGCCCTTACGACCGGCCATCGGTGCTCTATGCTGGGCCGACGGAAGACATCGCAGGCGGTCCTGGTGCACCTCACGAGGCGGATCAAGTTGAAGAGCCAGCTCCGGAGGAGTATTCCGGAAGCCGCATGCGCAACTTCTGCATCATAGCCCATGTCGACCACGGGAAGTCGACGCTGGCGGACAGATTCCTGGAACTAACCAAGGCGGGTGAGTGAGCACCGTGCAAGCGCCCACATGCGCCGCAGTACAGGCGCACGAAATACAGGAGCAGTACCTCGACAACATGGAGATCGAGCGTGAGCGCGGCATCACAATCAAGCTCCAAAGCGCGCTCATCAACTACACCTACCCCAAGGACGGGAAGACGTATAAGCTAAACCTAATCGACACCCCGGGGTAAGAGGTGACTCCGTGGCTCCCTAATTGGATGCAGCCACATAGACTTCAACCATGAAGCCAGGAGGTCTATAGCGGCGTGCGAGGGCGCATTGTTGGTGGTTGATGGCACGAAGGGGATACAAGCGCAGACGGTCACCACGTCGATGATCGCAATAGAGAAGGGGCTCAAGCTGATACCGATCGTCAACAAAATCGACGTCGAGTTCTGCGACTACGATGCAACTGCGGCAGACCTAAAGTCGCTCTTCAACTTCACAGAAGACGAGATACTCATGGCATCCGCGAAGGAGGGATTCGGGATAACGGACATCCTCGACGCCGTCGTCGAGCGGGTGCCGCCGCCAAAAATCGACACGGAAAAGCCGTTCAGGGCACTCGTATTCGACAGCCAGTACGATCCGCACCGAGGTGTAGTCAGCTATGTGAGGGTATGTGATGCTATAAAGGCCACAACGGTAGCAGGTCGTCGACGGAAGTGCTAAAAAACTGGACGAGGTGGTGTTCATGGGACACGACCTGGAGGCGAAGGTTACTGCAGTCGGCGTCATGGTGCCAGATTTGCGTGAACGCGAGCAGCTGAGGTGGGTGCAGTGCAACCAACCTAACATTGCGTATAGATCGGGGGAGGTGGGCTGGTTCTGCTCTAACACCAAGGACCCCAGCAAGGTGGCTGTGGGAGACACTGTAGTGCTCAAATCAGCTGCCAAAAATGGAGATGTGGAGCCCATAGTGGCGTTCGAAGCAGCAAAGCCCTCCGTATTCGCTGGGTTATATCCTTGCGACGGCACAGACTACCTGCAGCTCAGCGCAGCACTGGACAAGCTCAAACTGAATGACCACTCGCTAGTCTTCGAAGCCAGCGAATCCAGCATAGCAGGGCATGGGTTCATGTGTGGTTTTAACGGGTTGCTGCACCTCGACGTAACCGTGCAGCGGCTTCAGCGCGAGCATGACGTCGGAGTCGTGGTCACCTCGCCATCGGTGCCCTACAGATGCCACCTCAAACATGGAAAACAGGTGGTCGTCAGCGACGCCGCACACTGGCCTGATGATGGGTTAGTGAAGCTGGCGGAGGAGCCGTGGACCAACGTCACGGTAAGGGTACCCGGAGAGTAGGTTCACAACGCCGCACTGCACCCAAAAATGCGCAGCTGCCAACGCAAGGTAATGAGCCTCCTGCACCAGATGCGGGGCGAGTTCAAGACCAAAACGGAGTTCGCCGGAGGCAAGTCGATTGTGCTCGAGTACGCGGTGCCCATGATTGAGATCATATCCACCTTCTTCGACAACCTCAAGTCGATCACCAACGGCTTCGGCTCCTTCGACTACGAGGGCACCATTTATCGCGAAATCGACCTCTGCAAGATAAGGGTGATCATAAACGGGGAGGAGGCACCGGGGCTGGCGATGATCTTGGCCAAGGACAAGGCCTACAATTCAGGTTGGCGATAGTGTTCAGCAACACAACCCTCCCACAGGAAAATTGCTGGTGGAAACGCTCCGCGAAGTCATACCGCCCAAGCAGTTCAAAATACACCTCCAGGCGGCCATAGGAAAGCGAGTCATCGCGTCCGTCAGCATACCCGCGATGCGCAAAAATGTCACCGAAAGGTGCAGTGGCGGAGACCCTTCAAGAAAGAAGAAATTGCTAGACAACCAGGCCAAGGTAAGACATGCAACCCGTGACGCACTGACTGCCTCAGGGGAAGAAGTTCATGGCAGAGGTCGGCAACGTGTCGATCCCGATCGATGCGTACAAGGCGGTGCTAAAGGCACTGAGATGAGCGCATGCCCGGACATATGTCAATATCGTAAATCATACACACGAACGCTTTCCGTATGTGTGATAATGGCTCTTATGCCCATGTGCGACGATTGACGTGTGGATAACGTGTTGAGTCGCTGAGCAATTTATAAGTTACCGTAGCTGATTGCCGGAAACAATGCAGTAATTTCCAACCGAGAATCACTGACGGTAGACGTACACATCCGTTATAAATGAGCGTGTAGATTTAAAAGGCGCCATTGCTTGCCTTCATTCTTTCCTAATGGTACGGAAGGGGGGGACGCGGTGTCGTCGACCAGCAGCAGATGGGGAGGTCCGCCATCACCGAGGGTCGAAGGCGACAAGTACAAAGCTAATCACCGACATATACATTCAGTAGCCTAGGTAGCTGCCTCACTGAGCTCAGAAGGCTTCGAAAATTAGCCTCTACACTCATCGTAGCTGCTCGGGACGCATCACTCCGGAGGTGACGGCCGAAAAGGGTTACACATAACTTCCAAGGATAATACAGCTGCTTATCACGCAGAAGCAATAGGAAGGCCATAACGTGGTGCCATGAGCTTCCTACGCGTGTTTGGCGGAAGGTGCGGGGCGCTCCTGCCCCGGGTGACCCCTGACGACAACGGCAGGGGAAGCGCGGCTGATCTGAGGCAGCCTGTAGCAGCCACTTGCCGCGCAGACTCTGGATACTTCACCGCCGCAAACAGATACTGCTCAGCGGCGCTTGCCTCGTGGAAGAAAAGGGTGAACACATCTAGGACAATCGCTTCAGCGCTGCTACCCTCGCAGTTCATGCTACTGACCCGGCCGGCACACTGTGACGAACAGCCATCCGCGCCGGAACAGCCTCCGGCACCGTCGCCATACGATCTGCTGGTATTCGAAAACCTGGCTAGGGAGTTCAAGAATGTCATGACGCAGGATAACTACGACGGATTCAGACTGGAAGCCGATAGGCAAATCACCGACAACATCCAGGCCAGCCACTCGCTGTTTCTCGGAACCGTAATGAGCGATGTCGGATACCTCTACCAGATAGGCGCGAACTATGCCAGCTCGGACGGCAACCTCCTCGCCTTGGCCAAAATTGGCCTTGACGGCATCGTCACAGCCAGGGCGTTCGCAAAATACGGGAACAACCTCGAAATCAAGCTCAACGGTAACAGCTTCCTTAGATATGACGCGCGCAATGCCTACGAGGCCGGCGTAGACTACATGGGTCCGGGGTGGACGGCTTCGCTTAAGGGGGCGTGGCAAGGTGGGTAATGATCGGCATTAACCGTCAAAAACGCGCAGGCACATGGATACTGAACGCCGCATACACGCAGCAAGTATTTCCGAAATTGACACTCGGATCGGAGCTTACGTACATCGTGAGTTGCATTCGTAGATATATTTAAAAGCGCTTTAAGGTGGCTAACGGATCATCCATAGGAGCAATCGCAGCGAGATACGCGGATGGAGATCACGTCGTCACATGTGAGCTTGCAGACAACCAACATCATCGGCGCGCAGGCCAGTGGACGAAGCAGCCCAACTTCAAGAGCATGGACTTCACACTACAGGAAACGGATTCGGCGAAGGTGCAGTACGTCAGACGCATAAATGATCGGCTGGCGCTCGCCACTGAGCTGGAATTGACACCGTCCACGAAGGAGTCGGCGCTACGCATGGTACGAACCGGAAACTCGCTATCACTCAAATGCGTTACAGGGCTGGGAATACCTCTTCCGCCATGCACGAGTACAGGGCAACATCGATTCCTGTGGGCGCATTGCGATGCAAGCCCAGGACTACTCAGGTACGCGGCACGCAGTGCTGACACAACGCTGCAGGATTCGGAGTCAGCGGATGCATCGACTACTGGAACAACGTATACAGATTCGGGTTCATGATGCACCTGCTGCCGCCGCAACCAGAGCCCAAGCAGGACCAGCAAGTGGCGTTCTGAGCGGACGGAATCGCACAACCACACGGCGCCGCAGCTTAAAAGCAACGCGACAATTGCAAACTTGTGTAATGGATTATCTCAGTAGTTAGCAATGGGTAGTAGGCCGCGGAAGCGCTTGTGCACTCCGGGCTCCGACGGCTTGGGCGTCACCTCGAGCGCCTGCAGCAGCGTTCCCTTCTGGAACAGCTCCAAGATCTGGTCGTAGTCCAGCGCTGGCGCGCCGTCCTTGAATAGCACGTTGCGCACGTCCTCGCCACTGAAAACAGATGTAATTGCGCTAATAATGCCACTCACATATGGGTGCATAGGAATCCCAGAATTTCGGGCTCACGCAGCAGGTCCACGGTGTGGAGGCCGGTGACCTGCAGTCCTGTGAAGATCCTGCTTAAGTTTCCCGCGCAAAGCGACTTCGGGTGGTCCAACGATCCCTCCATGAACAGCACCAGACGGCGTGTGGACAGCATCTCAGACATGGCGCTGTCGACCTCGCTGTTGCCGCCGTAGGCCGCCTTCGCGCGCTCGATCATGTCGCGGTGAGACGGCGACTCGGACACTGGAGCGCACATGGACGACATCGCTCGCAGAGATGCGCAGCGCGTCGTTACTTTGGGCTCGAAGGTACCGCGCAGACAGTTCGTAAAGGCGGCACGAACGAGGGAGCTGCGGCAGAACGCCTGAGGGATGCGATAGAAGATAGGCATCTTCAGCCACAGATGTAGAAGTACAGACGACGCCTGTGTCTATAGGCGTTTTTAACGCGTATGCGCGAGTGAAACGCGCGCGGCAGATGTACGCGTTACAACGCGCTTAAGTCGGCAGTACACGCCGAACTAGAGCCACACCCGGATGTTATCCCGCACACAATGAACGTAGACTGTAGCGGGAATATACAAGGCGCGCAGTGCAGCCGCGGGACCGGACGGATGGGGGCCGCTCCGGCATACGGCGCGCGATGCCTTGGCCAATAAGGACGAATCGCATTACACACCTTGCCCGAAAAGGAGATTGTATCTCAATTTCAGAGGAGCTGTCAACATGGTGCATAAAAGCAGTAGAAAGCGCGCATCGTCCAGTCTCTACGACAGGCTCTACACCCGGCACCTGGACTGTGCAGACCACCTGTGCAGCGGAGAGTCCTCCAACGTCGACACAGACAGCGGCAACGACGAGGTGTACGAGTCGGCTTTCAGTGCAACTGAGTCCTCGCCGTCGGACAGCCCGCAAAGGTCGCCAGATGAGAGCGATCGCTCAGAGTCCATCCCGGCAGCTGAGCAAAAGCCAGCGCCTACGAGGGAACGGGTGAGCAGGATCTCTCCACCATCCTCCGGAGATGAAGCATCGATGGACGTTGACCCCTTCTCGAAAGACGCCTTTGGTGATTCGTCGAAGAAGGGGCGCTCGAACTGGAAGAAGAGTCTGATCAATGCCTTCACGGCATATGCAAAGGCGGCCAAAACAGCCGCTTTCAGGACCGACTCCACGCAAGAGAAGGAGCCCGAGCCTGAAGAAGTGGACGATGTGTGGACGGATTTCATGAATCCGAAGGATGGGTCCAAGAGGGACAAGAATACCATAACTGGCACTGTGGATGGCACGGACAGCGAGCATGTGCCGTTGCAGAAGCGCGGATTCTACACGATATTCCTGAGGAATACGAAAGTGGCAGAGAAAAAGAAGAAGGACCAATATTTGTACAAAGTCAAGTTCACGTACAAGGTAATAGACTGCAACCGCAGAAGGGAGGAAGTCAGGGTCAGAGGTAACGTGCCATCGGGGAGCGGTGCTAGTACCTCATTCATTGCGCACGACATATTCGGAGACGACGGCTTCGGATTGACCAACGAGGGTTCCGTCAGCGTCTCCAGCACCATCAAGATCATACTGGTCTACGCGTCGGAGGACACTATCGCTCAGTTCTCCATATCACACAAGCTCCTAAACACCAATCCGTCGGTGCAGTACAAGATCGTTTACGGCGGCTGGTGCTCGGCTGTGCCGCTCAGCATCACGCCCAAGCTGGGGCTGCGCATACTCTCGATAGACAGCTGCGAGAATCTCGGTACCACCGCGCTGGAGGCGTTGTACGCCATTGAGATGCGCATCAGCGCAATCAGACGAGAAAAGTGCAACATATCAGACTTCTTCGACGTCATATGTGCCACGGGATCAGGTGCGCTCCTGGCGCTCTGCCTGCTCAAGGGGTACTCGGCAAGGGAGCTCAAGCTGCAGTGGCAGAGCATCATATCGCAACTGTTCAAGTGGCCGCACTCGCTCACCTACGGGCTCATGTTCGACCACGCGCACGGCAGCGACTACGTCAAGTCGTGGATCGAGATACTGGGCACCGATTTCATGTGCTCGAGGCCCAAGCCATTGTGCATGCTCACCTCGACCCATATCAAGCCGCAGGCGCACGAGCTCTTCATGTTCAGAAACTACGCCAACATGCACGGGCCGTATGCCAAGACGGCGCTCGCGCCCATGTGGCTGGCGGGGTGGGCTACCACCGCGCTGCCTACCTACATCAAGTAAGTGGCATTGGTGAATGCTGGCATATGTCGATTCAGAGGCCCAAGCCACAGCTACCTCAGGGAGATAGGCTGCAAAATCGAACGCGAGGCGCAGTTCGCCGACGGGAAGTTCATATCCCTCAACCCGTCGCTCGTTGCCCTGCACGAGGTCAGCGACCTATACGGGTACACGCTGCGGACGCTTATCGATGTACGTTTATTGCGGCTGATGCCACACTGATATGCAGGAAAACGTGGAGATCTTCCTCTCGATCGGCACTGCTAGGAAGGACTGCTCGCAGGCGAAGATGCGCGACCCCGCGACCTGGCAGATAGTGCTAAACTCCGGCACATCCTCCGACAAAATTGAACAGTCGCACATGACGCAGCTCTTCGAGGAGCACCCAGAGAGGTACCACCGACTTGAGATGCCGTACGTGCGCGGCTGCAAGCACGGAAAGACGGACAAAGAGGCCGTGGACACCACCTTCACCGCGGCGATGGACGCAATACAGTCCTCACTGCTCCGCACCGTCGACGCGATCGCGCAGACGGTCAGCAAGTAAAACAGTTGTTGCAATAAACGCAAACTGTATAATAAAAAATCACTTAACGTTTTGTCAAATTTTAATTCCCGCAGATGCGGCGGAGCACGTATTGCAAAATACCGCCGTGCGCGAAGTACTGCTGCTCCAGGGCGGTGTCGATACGACAACGAACGTCGAAGGACAGGCCGGTGTCGCACGATACGCGTACCATGCAGCCGGGGGTCACGCGGTCGATGTCGGTGATAGTAAACTTCTCGCGGCCTGTGACGGGATGTGACTAGAAAACTGACAACAAACCTGTAATGCCCAACGAAGAAGCACTCTCGCCTGGAAGGAACTGGAGCGGTAGAATGCCGCAACCGACCAAGTTGGTGCGGTGGATGCGCTCGAACGACTCGGCGATGATGGCGCGAACGCCCAGAAGCGCAGGGCCCTTGGCAGCCCAGTCACGCGAACTACCAGTGCCGTACTCCTTTCCAGCAACCACTACCAGACTTGTGCCCTCAGCGCGGTAACGCTCAGAGGCCTCGAACACGCTCATAACCTCGCCGGTCGGGTGGTGCACAGTCTTGGGGCCCTGGTTGGGGCACAGCAGGTTGGACAGGCGGATGTTCGCGAAAGTGCCGCGGACCATAACCTCGTCGTTGCCGCGACGGGAACCGTATGAGTTGAAGTCCTTGGACTCGACGCCGCGAGAAAGCAGGAATTGGGCAGCTGCAGATGTCTTCGCGATGTTACCAGCAGGAGAGATGTGGTCGGTGGTAATGGAGTCGCCTAGAAGCAAGAGGACGCGGGCGTCGGAGATGCTGCTTTCACGTGGAGCGTCCATGTTCTGGAAATACGGAGGGTGGTGGATGTACGTGGAGGATGGGTCCCAGGGGTAGAGCTCGGCACGAGGGGCCTCCAGTGCGCGCCAGGCGTCACTGCCGTGGGTGATATTGGCGTACACCTCTTTGAAAAGCTCCGGCTTCAGGAAGCGCTGTTCGAAGCTGGCGATCTCGGATTTGGTCGGAAGCAGGTCGCGGAAGAAAACGGGTTCCCCGGTCTTGGAGCTCACGCCCAGAGGCTCTGTCACCAGGTCGATGTTCATGCGGCCAGCCAGCGCGTACGCTATGACCAGTGGAGGTGAGGCCAGGAAGTTCGCGCGCGTGTGTGGGTGGACGCGACCTTCGAAGTTACGGTTGCCCGATAATACGGAGCAGACAACCAAGCCGTTCTCGGTGATGCATTCGGCGACCTCGGAGTCCAGCTCGCCACTGTTACCGATGCAAGTCATGCAACCGTAACCGGCGTTGTAGAAACCAAGCTTCTCGAATGGTTCGATCAAACCGCTCAACTCAAGGTAACGGGTGACCGTCTTGGAGCCGGGAGACAGGGATGTCTTAATGTAGGGGGCAACCTCCAAACCGTGCTCAACAGCGTTCTTGGCCAACATGCCGGCAGCCAGCATCACGCTAGGGTTGCTGGTGTTAGTGCACGACGTGATGCTCGCAATAACAACAGAGCCGTGGTCGAGCGTGTAGTTACGGCCCTTGTACGTGAACTCACTAAGACGCGAACCGGCGTCCACAGCGTAACCCTTGCCATCCTTAGACGTCAACAGCTCGTCGAACTTGTTCTTCACGCTGGCCACCAGGATGTTGTCCTGGGGGCGCTTCGGACCGGCAATCGATGGCCGCAAGGTGCTCAAGTCGAGACGTACGGTGGAGGAGTACTTGATACGCGTGCTGTCGCCAACACCCGCGTGAAGGCAGTTCTCCCTCGCGTACATGTCCAACAACTCGACCTTTTCCGTAGGGCGACCCGTTTGAGTGAGGTACTCAAGGGTCAAGCCGTCGATGGGGAAGAAACCCATGGTCGCACCATACTCGGGGGCCATGTTGGCAATGGTCGCACGGTCGGCGAGTGAAAGGTGCTGCACACCCTCGCCCACGAACTCCACAAACTTGCCTACCACGCCAGCACCAGAACGGAGAACCGAAGTGATGGCCAAAACAATGTCGGTGGAAAACACATCCGGGTCAGGCTTGCCAACCAACTCGAAACCGACCACTTGAGGCAGCACCATGGAAATGGGCTGGCCAAGCATGGTAGCCTCGGCCTCGATACCGCCAACACCCCAGCCGAGAACACCCAAACCGTTAATCATGGTGGTGTGGGAGTCGGTGCCCACCACGGAGTCGGGGTAGAGAAGGCCATCACGGTCAAAAATAGAACGAGCCAAGAATTCCAAGTTTACCTAAAAACACTAATGAGTGTCATAAAAGCACGGCATACCTGGTGGACAATACCGGAACCGGGGGGGATGATGAGCGTGTTCTCGAACGTCTGCGCACCCCACTTCAAAAAGCGGAAACGCTCAGAGTTCCTGTTCATCTCAGTCTCCTGGTTCAGCTTGAGCGCCGCAGAGTCGCGACTGAAGTCCACTTGTACGGAGTGATCGATGACCAAATCAACTGGCACCAGCGGGTTGATGGATTTGGGGTCCTTACCAGTGCTCGCCACGAACTCACGCATGGCAGCTAGGTCGACGATGGTAGGCACGCCACTGAACCGTAATTAGACGGATTAGCACGTAAACTCACGTGAAATCCTGCAGAAGCACGCGCGCTGGAACGAACGGAATCTCAGTCTGTTTGGTGGATGTCTCGCTCCACCCGAGGATGCTCTCCACGTGAGCCTTGGTAGTTGAGTACTCATCGCAGTTACGGACGGCAGATTCAAGAAGGATACGAATAGAATACGGAAGCTCCAGCAGGCGCGGGTCGTTCAGCTCGCGCAACGCGAAGTACTGCTTAGGCGTCACGCCTAGGCGCTTGCGAAGAGACTCGAACGGATTGACACCCATCGTGGACAGACGGCGCACGTAACGAGAGAGGCCGAAACTATCCGAACGCAACGCGCCACTCAAAGTCGCATACATGTTCGCCAATAATCCCTCCAACTAGAGCGTCATGAGACGTACGCGATCCTAACGCCGTCAAAGATCCGGCGCCAGCCGCACTTAAGGTGCACGGCTAGCAAGCATCCAAACAGGATTCGGGATTAATCCAAGTCTTTAAGAGCCACAAAAAACAGTGTTATATTAGATAAGGAGAACCGTTGTTCTCGGTGGCGTACATCCGTGCCAAATCAACGCGCCAGTGCCACACACCTCCGACCGACTCAGGTGACTAAACGGCGATTCAGGCTCAACCTAGCAGCCATAATGGCCTTTATAGCGTTACGTAACATTGGTTGCACTCTAGAGTCACTATGCAGCCCGTATGCAGAACGCGAAGTCCCATGTGTTTTCTGGCACGTTGCGACAAGCAAATATAACGCTGGCACCGGATATCTCCGGCGCTACACCAATCTGAAGACTCGCATGAGTCTAATATTCATGGGAAAACCGGTTAAAGCACCGCCTGGTTGTGATACCAGTCAATAAAGGGGTGCCCATGTCGCCTTTACGGCAATATCACGTAGCACAACGTAGCCCACCGAATGCAAAATCGTTTGTTTCACGCGTGAACCAGGTTCCGAACTGTATACGAACGGCTAGCCAGCCGCCGTCCACCCTAGTAGGCACACCTGGCCAATGAGCATGAACCACAACGGCAAAAGAAAAGGAGATAAAGTAGCAAGTTAGCAACAAGTTCAAGACTCGTTCCTGAACTTCTTCTTCTTACCACCACGCAACAGACCAGTCCTGCGGGCGGCAATAAGACCGACCTTCTGTCCTGGAGGAGCACCACGGGACACAGTGCTGGGCTTACCAATGTGCTGGTGGTTACCACCACCGTGCGGGTGGTCCACAGGGTTCATGGTCACACCACGCACGCGCGGCCAGCAGTTGCGCTTCGCCTTGTACTTGAAGTAGGCAGTACCAGCCTTCAACAGCGGCTTGTCGATACGACCACCACCAGCAACCAAACCCACGATCGCACGAGAGGCAGATTCCACGCTCTTACGAGCACCAGACGGGAGACGAATCCTGGTCATCTTGCCGTCGTCAGAGTGTCCGATCACAGTGGCGTAGGTGCCAGATGCCTTAGCAAGACGGCCACGGTCGCCGCGCTTCTCCTCCAAACTGGAAATGATGGTACCCTCAGGCATCTTGCCGACGGGAAGGCAGTTGCCGATAGCGAGACGAGCCTCACGCCCGAAGTATACGTACTGGCCAGTGTACATGCCTTCCACGGCCACCATGCGCTCGTGGTCAGTGCCATACTTGTAGGCGTTGCGGAAGTCGATCTTGACCAAAGGGGCACCACGACCAGGGTCGTGGATGATCCCCTTCACGACGCCACGGACGTAGCCGTGGTGCTCAGCATAGTCGAACCTGCGTAGCCTGGCGGCACCCTTGCGAAGGTGCACGTGCGACTTGAACACAGAGCCGCGACCCTTACGCTGACCTGAAAAGCAATTAGACGTGTCAGATATAAACACTCAGCACGCATATCATAATAACACAATCTTTAGAGGGACGCGCCGAGCGTCGTAACCGACGGTGGGACAGACGAGATGGCCAACGGCGATCACACAGGACACAATACAATCACACGCAACAAAAACATACCTCTGATAATACGACCCATCTTGAACTTAATGAATCACGGGCCACCGCGTAAGACAAAAGGACCAAATTGACGGAGCAGCCCGAACCGAGCAGCACTCCACGCGGAAACCGACGCCCGCGAAGACTACAAACACCACACGAGCGCTTGTATAAAGAGGCAATTCGAAACACCGAACGCCGTAGCTGTATCGTCTAAACCAGCAACGGAGAGTCGATTCCAGCATGGGGGCGCGGCGGCCGGTCCCCACGGCGGCGGAGCTCGCCCCCATGGTAACATATCGAAAGGCGGCCTCGCGGCGCCGGCAAAAGGCGTAATATTCATGTAAATATCGCCCACATTCTCTTACTCTAGCGGAAGGTCGCGGTTGCCGTTAAAGGTGTGACGCCGGCGCGGCCCGCGTCACCCTAGGAGTCACGGGCGGCGGCCGACACATTGCGTGTAAAAGAGTCTATGTGCGATGGACAGCTTATTAGAGTTTGTAACAGTCGCTCTACGCGTGGCTGTGCGATGTGTGTGACGGCCGATGCGCATCTACGGCGTAAGCTCCGAGTAGTGGCCGACGGCCGGAACCGCGTCGTGGTCACGCTCCTGAGTCCACTCCACGTAGTCCTGCAGCGACACGGTCATCTCTCCGGCGACTACGCCACAGGCGGCTTGCGTCGTCGTCAGCAGCTGCGACTTAGTTGGGAGAACACATTTGAACCAACCTTATCGAGCAGTGCAGAATCCGTGTGCTCCCCCGATTGAAGCAGACACGCTATGGTGTTCATGTTCGGGCAGTATGCCAGGTGCACACTTGTGAGCCCGGGATCTGTCTGCTCGAAGTACGATGACTCCTGAACACAATCAGTTGGGTCGACAAAGAGAGCACAACGCACGCTGTAGCAGCGATCGTACCGCTTGGCGGATATCGTTCGGACGAAATGCATTGTAAAACGCTTGCACGGTAGCAGACACGTACCTTATCACTTAGATCCAAAGCCAGTGTCAGATTGCCTTTAGGGTCGCGGAAGGCGTACTGAATAAAGTTAGTCGCGGTCAGCATGACCACTCACCGCGGAAGCTGCCGATACCAAGTCCGGCATATGTATGCCGCAATCGGCGAACGCTAGGCAGAGGCCTGTGATGCAGGCGGAGAACAGCCCGCCGGCATCCTCCTCAATGGTGATCCAGGCGTCGATCAGCTGGTGCGGATAACGACGCAGCAGCAGATGGCGCTCAAACACATCGGTCAGCACGGAAGCCAGATCGAAAGAGCAGCTTGGGCGCATATCCGGGCGGCTGAAGCGCACCTCGATGTTCAACAGCCCGACCTCGTCGAAAAGGCGCTTGTTGCACGGGCGCGGCGCGTTCACGCAGCACTTCACCTTAGTATCGCCGAGGGTGACGTAGCATGAGCCTGCAGCCGAGCACGATATGCCGATGTCGTACGCTGCACGCATATGATGCACGGAAGGTGGACATAAAACAATAGACGAGGGAGGAACACATGACGAAACCTACCGACAGGACGAAGCTGGGTGAAGTTCCTCGGCGGAGGAGCCTTAGAGGCTGGTTGGCGTGACATCGGTCTACGCAACGAGTTGAAAATGGCTCAACACCCTGTTGAAACCAACTGTCGCGGCGGGTTGCGGGGAAGCGCGGCGACGTCAGACACACTCGACGAACACCTGCCACACACACTACCTTAGCAGCTACACAGTGATAGAATAATGAGCATGACTTTTGAGTCGTGATGTGTAGATAGACATAGTTCACGTGCGATGCAGAAGGCTCAGCGGAGGTCACCGTAGAAGGCGCTGGAGCACGGAAACGGCGCGGCAGGATGCAGAATTCAGGTTGATGCGATGGCGCAGCGCCGACGCAAGCATCTCGTGCTCCGCTTCGCCGAACTCGGGCACGTCTGGCAGCACGTGACTGGAGAGCACGTTTAGCGTGCACTTCAGACGGTCGACCTCCGACTGCAACACCATGTACACCAGCCCTAGTTCCTCGCTAGCATCATCCAGTTCAGACGTGCAGATGCGCAAGAACTCGGACGCGCAGCGGCGGATCAGAAACAGCGAGTCGCTGAACAGGGGATTGATCCTACTGGTGGGAGGTTCCTCAGCGCCCTCGGTGGTCACCAGCAGGCACTCCGACAGAAACTCGACATAGCTCTCGTGCACAGCAGACATCTCCGACACATTGGAGCACACAGATAAGCGGTGCAGCAGCTCGGACCATGCAGAATCCACTAGCCACCGGTAGTAATGGTCCAGGGCGAAGCACACATGCAGCAGGAGGGTAGTGGCACGCGTCAGGAAAAAGCCGCACACTACGCCGCTGCTGCGCAATGTCAGGCGCACTAGCTGTTTTACTTCGCCGAAGAGCAGCTGGAACGACAGTAAGTGGCGCAGAATAGACGAGTACTGCGCCATCACGCGATCCGATAGGAAGCTAGACAATGCAGACGGGCTTCCACCGAACAGCTGCAAATGCGTTACCAGGTTGAGAATTCGTTCTGAAACGAACCTTTAATTCGATGATGGGCGCCCATGCGTCCTCCTTGAGCAGGTACTCGAAACGGTTCACCAGAGAAAACACCTGATCGGTGGGCAGCTGTTACACAATATCACAGAAATGCGCGTTAACAACTTACTACCGATATGCCCTTGTCCCCGGAGAGTTGCTGCCATTGCATTGTGCTCTCCAGCAACAGCGACTTCAGCCGCGATTGGTAGTTTAGAGGGACACGCGAACGGCAGACGAACTCGAACACCGAATCCAGGCAATCGCCGAACTGCAAACATGTCACTTATACGCACAGTTTACTCACCCTAAGGCAGCAAAAGCCGCTCAGAAATGACAGATGGGCTGTCAGGTTGTGAAGGTCCTCTAGCACAGAGCGCAGTGCGACGATGGAACCGTTCACTAATTTGGCGACTCCGTTATTCAGCTGGTCCAAGATGCGATCTGCTGTGTCGTCTGATGATTCCAAAGCTAGGGATTGACAGTCGAAAGCATCTGAAAAGGCGCTCGATTGAGACGACGGCTTGTCATTCGACTCAAGCTGCTCCATGCTTTCACGCACGCTACGCAGAGCGTGCAGCGGAACGCCCAGGCATGCCCACGATATGTCGCCGGGCATCACTCTGTCTCCAGCTCCGAATGAGTGCGGAATCTGGCATTGACTCAGGGTGCTGTGTAACAGAAACCTCCAGAGTGACGCTAGTGCTTCGTCCTGGCGGTCCTCGGATCTCCGCAGATGCAACAACATGAACATAAATGTCACGCGATATAAAGAGTCAATATGCAGCGCGTGTGTGTCTATGTAGTTCAATGTTGACTCTAAAAACCGAACCACATCCTCAAGCATCGACAAGAATGGCCGTAGGTGGTGATCTAGATTCAGCAGTGTGACCTTAAACTCCGATACTCCCCCGGCACCGCTCTGATAACCTTCCACGTTAACTCCAAAATTGGGGCAACCTTTGCAACGCTCGAGGTACGAACTTAAAAACGGTGATCTGTTGTCGGCCGGTTTCAGGCTTTCCAACAACAGTGCTGACTGGGTGGAATCTGGGACTGCCTCGACTCCGCAAAACTCCCGATACATAGATGACACAAATCGCCTATGTAATGACGACAGAATCCAGCACCATTCATTCCATATAGTCTGCAGACCATCACACAGACCCGGGACCCAAACTGGCCACGACCAATTGAAATAACTTCGCGATTTCGAATCATGACGGGATGGCTGGAAAAACAGGCATGCAAGGGAAGGTGACAATAGCTTGCCACCAGAAATCTCGCTGCTGTCATGTCCGTATTCGGAAAGGGTGCTCAACAGGCGGGACAGCAGTAACGTGCACGATCCGAAATGAGAGAACACCTCCAAGCATTGGCGCGCCGCACCCGGCGACAGATGCGCAATGCTTACCCCACCACATACCCTCAGCAGTTCAGGAATTTGCCCGACCGGTTCTGTCAAGTCGAGATGAGGTGACACTTGGGTGAACAGGGGAGAGCCGTCGAGGCCGCCAAGTACCAATAGGACCTTCTGCACCGCAAACGACTCACTCAATGGTGCATCAGATGGCAACGTGGACGACGATGCTCGCGATTCGATATCTACGCTCCTGACTCCGGGGGATGCCGGATAGGCAACACGCGCCTTCATGACATAGGAAGCCGCTGGCCTACAACGAGAAACTCCGATACTCTCCGAAGCTGTGAGTAAGGCAGTTCTAACGAAAAACACTCAGCTGAGCCACTAGATGTTCGACAGATTGCGAACAACGATGTCACGAATGTTTGGCGTGTATTCACTCATGACATCTATCTTCTTTTCCACGAAAAGCGCCTCCACACGTGCTCAACACGCTTCCCAACTAAATTCGATCAAAGTCATCCTGCTGCATCACAGGCATGAGTTGCTTGTCATGGCAAGTGGAATTATTTCGGTCCCTTTGCAATCGCATGTAGTTAGCTTTGCGGATAGGCTTCCGTCGGATGCCAAATGGAAGACTGCAACCTTGAACATACCCAAAGTGGATGAAGGCACTTGATTCCGTTGGTAAGTAACAAAACAATAGCACGGCTAGCCTATTACCAACTCAAGGAAAATCAGCAGCAGGTTGAAGATGATCAAAAACGCACGCAGGTACGTGCGAACCGTGAAAAACACCACAGAAATGTGGTTCTTGATCGTATTCACATTCGAAGGCTTGTCCAGACCGAGCGGTTTCAGCACGCGACGCTCGTTCAGAATACCCATGGCATTGAAAACAAGCACAACGGCCTCCACGAGATGCAAAAATGAAAAACCCATCCTTCCTTAGGAAAACGAATCAGGTGCAAAATAGAACCATTAGCGGACTCGAAACAGTCTTGTCGCGTGACTCTTCGAGCGTTATTAGGGCATATATCCGATTGCACAGCAGCGAGGCGACTGATCGGAACTGGACTCTATGCCGGTACCAGAGCGACAAAACTAAGACACATATGAGTGGCACTCGCACATTTAGCCCTTTAACCACATATGTGAGCCAAAACACCTAATAATAGATTTTGCGGCGATGAAACGGCAAACGCCACCTCGGCGGATATGCCGGATGTGTAGCAGCAAGTCCCCACCCTGCGCCAAAAAACGGTAAAACTGGGCGATGCCTGACACTGAGAATTTGTAAACAATATTCTGGGAATCTCTAGAGGAGTTCGCGGTGGACTCTAGAAAGCAGAAGACCCAAAGTCACGGCTGACAGCCGGCAAACCTGAAGTGAAACAGCAAGCTACACACCAGAGAGCTTAGATAACGTGTTAAACGCAACTAAGACCTTCAAGCACGCGCTTTAAGGTGTAGTGAGTGATTCTAGTACTACGATTGACGTACAAATGGCCGATACTAGCAGGGATGTCGTGACCGTAGTACACGCGCCAAGGGAAACGCCCTACGGTGCCATCGTGCTTGCAGCGATCGCCAAGCAGTTCTCAAAGAGCGACGAATCGCCCATAGCATTCGAAGCGGGCAAGGCTGTCGAGCCGGGGACCTACCTGCTTGAAAAGGTCAAACTGCAGGAACCACAGCTACTCAGGGAGCTCTGCCTACGCATACCCAGCTGCAAGCGCATGCTCTACATCGACAGCTCGGCAAGCCTGGACATGTGGGTGAACTACGTGACGCTGCATTCCGCGACGCCAAAGACCCCTGTAGCGGATTTGTGGCAGTACTACAACAGGATGAACACTCACCTTGCCCCCCGTACATTCCTCATCGGGTACCGCATGACGGTGGTGGACGTGCTGCAGTTTGCGGTCCTCTCCAACGCAAAGGCCGTATGCAAGGAACTCGCCAAAGTGCCTCATGTGCAAAGGTGGTACAGCTATATCCAGTCGTTACCGGGGGTGCAACAAGCCCTGTCGGACATGCAGCGCAAGAACGCAGCACAGGTAGAGAAGAAGCCCTTCACCAAGGAACAGCAGATTGATAACTCCTACAAAGGTACGGTCATTGCTCCACGAAAAACAGGCAATACACAGATGCTCTAAAGAATGCAGAGCAGGGCAATGTCGTGGTCAGATTCGCCCCTGAGCCCTCAGGGTACCTGCACATCGGGCACACCAAAGCGGCACTCCTCAACGATTATTTCGCCAAGCAGTACAACGGTCGTCTGCTCCTGCGCTTCGACGACACCAACCCGCTCAAGGAGAAAATTGAGTATGAGGAAACCATCAAGGAGGACTTGAAAACTTTGGGGGTGGCCTTCTGCTCAACGACTTACACGTCCGACTACTTCGAACTTATACAGGAGTTTGCATTCAAGCTTATCAGGCTAGGTGGGCGTTGATCAATCTTCCGAATAGAACGCAACAGGACTTGCGTATTGCGATGATACGGACGTCAACACCATGCGCCACCAAAGAACGGAAGGCATCGAGTCTGCATGCAGAAATGTTAGTCCGGAGATTAATTACGCCATCTTTGAAGAAATGCTATTGGTAAATCAGCTGATCATGCGGTTGACATAGTTGCAGGGGTCGGAGAAAGGAGTGAAGTACTGCCTAAGGGCTAAAATTGACATGAAGCACACCAACAAGTGCCTGAGGGACCCCGTAATGTACCGGTGCATTCCGGACGCCTATCACAACAGGCAGGCAGATATGTACAAGGCCTTCCCTACGTACGACTTCGCGTGCCCTATCGTCGACTCCGTAGAGGGGGTCACACACGCACTTAGGTCCAACGAATACTCTGCCAGAATACCGCAGTATCATTGGTTCATCGAAAAGTGCCAGCTACGCCCTGTGGAAATATACGAATTCAGCAGGCTCAACTTCGTCAAAACCATACTCTCAAAACGCAAGCTGCAGTGGTTTGTCGACAACGGAGTTGTCAACGGATGGGACGACCCAAGGATGCCGACCGTCAGAGGAATCATGCGCAAGGGGCTCACGCTAAAGGCGCTGCTCGAGTTTATCCTCGAACAGGGGCCGTCCAAGGCAGTCAATCTCATGGAGTGGGACAAGCTGTGGGCCAAAAACAAGCAGATTATTGACCCTATAGTGCCCAGATTTGCGGCTGTGGGAGTTGATGCCGTTGAACTCAAGCTCGACAATTTCCGCGACGTGACGTTGCCACCAGCGAAACGCAACCTGCACCCCAAGGACCCCTCAATGGGCGAATGCGACCTATGGTTCGCGCCAACGGTGTTGTTGGACCGCGTTGATGCCGATGAAATCGCCGACGGCGAGGAGATTACGCTCATGCGTTGGGGGAATGCCATCGTGTCCATGCCATCCTTGCACGCACAGCTCAACCCAGATGGTGACTTCAAAAAGACGAAGAAGAAGCTGCACTGGTTGCCTAAAGACGACGACAAGGTGGGTCTATTTCTAATTCACGCGGTGGCCGCCGATTGGACCAATATTGATATGGTTGAAAACAAGCGGCAGTGGACTAAAAGAAGCCCTCTGTCGCATCTATGCGTTGTTTTTATGTTGTTTGATGCCAATAGTGACTACATATCGACAAAAACATGCACTTACGCAATACGCAGCTCGTCAAGTGTACGCTCAAGCAGTACGGAGACATACTTTCCGTTGACAAGATAGACCCCGAACAGATCGCGGAGCCGGACGACATGAGGAACTTCCTCGAGCCGGTAACGGAGTGGACCACGCCGTGCCTAGCGGACAAGCAGCTGGCGGCACTGCCCAAAGGTAGGCAGCAAATTAATGATAACACAACATCGCAGGCTCCATTGCGCAGCTCGAAAGGCGCGGGTACTTCATTGTGGACAAAATCGCATCGGAAGGAGAGCTGACACTCATCAACATACCGGTTAGTCAGACAGGATTAACAACGCATTGCGCCTTAGGACGGAAAGATGAAGAAGAGCACACATGCCGCATGAAAATCCGTAGCACCCGTGCTAACACTCGGCAACAGCTCGATTGCCTATGTCTGTCGTATGTCACCCGTGTAAAGACACACTCGACAGCTCCCGGAACCGGGGGCGTCTGGGTGATGCCACCAAGTGCGCACCACGCCTTGTATTCGCCGGCACACAAGCGACAAATTATTTACGCAATAATATTAATCCGCGCAGCGGGGGAGGCGACCCGAACGCTCGAAAGCCACTGCCCACCGCGAAGCTGCGCCATCGGAACGTAGACAGGGCGGCAGCAAATACGCGCGCGCACTTAAGATAGCCATCAACTTGGATTGTAGAGTATAAATCGGGCAAAATGGTGGATGAAATTGTTGCCAAAACCGCGCAGCCGGACGAAAAGGAGAGGGAAGGCAGTTGCCTGGGTGTGTTCGGCCGCTCCTTCCTGCAGGCCGTTTGCGCCTCGGTTCCCTTCAAGAACGTGCTGTTTGGACAGTACTGCCAAACTACGGAGCCGAAGGACGATGCCATGGAGGAGGTGGACTACGAGTCGGCCGACGAACAACCGGAAGTGCATGAGCCCCTAGCGGTTGAGGATGCAGAGCGGGAATGCCAGATTCCAGAGCTGCTGCAGAATAACAAAGTGCAACGTGAGGAACCGGGGGCGTGTGAAGCAGTGTCTGTAACAGAGCCGCAACCGGTGCAGCTGTCGATAGACTTGCCGAACAGGGACGTGGACACTGAAGGTGTTACCAAGGCGAAGTACAGCTTTAGCAAGTCGCGCACGATTACCTTGGAGGAGTACCCGCGTGATGAAAAGCTGGCGCAGAGGGCGGTGGAGATATTCGTTGAAAACTCCATATCCTTCGCCAAAAGTGCAATCGAAGACAGCAAGGTCATACTCGCCGATAAGATCATTTGCCAGATGCTACAAAAGGTGCATGAGATATATGGGGATCCGAAAGCGTACGAGCTGGAAAAGGCGCATCCGTTGGTCAACGTGATGGAGAGGTTGCCGGAGAAGACTCCTGAGACTGTGCGCAGCGCGATTGAAACTGTAGCCAATGATAAGATCTTCATGACCAACGTGGCGGAGAAACTGTTGGTGCTCGATATCTTCAACAAGTTCAACATGGTGTACATGAAGACGCATATCATAAACTACAGGCAGCACTTCATTTCGAAGCTATGGCCTTCTGCGCTCGAAACCGCCAGCTACGAACTCAAGAGTCCAAGGTGCCCATCCGCGCTTGCAACGGAGCGTCCGTCCAACGATGTGGAGTACATCAAGTTGACGGGTGAGGAGCAGCTGCAAACAGCCCGCGAAGAGCCTGAGGTGCACCGCTCCACTCCCGCCAAACAGGTGGTGGTGATTGCAGCCGAGAAAAGGCAGCCAAAGGCTGAGAATGGTGGTGAAAGCAAACCCAAACAACTGAAAACATCACGATATTTCTCCTATGCTTCGAGGTTCATGTCGAGGAAGAACACCATGTTCGGACAGCACTTCGGCAAGAACAAGGTCAAAACCGCCGACGGGTGGATTGTGTCGCCTTACGGCTCGCTGGAGACTTTCTACAGGTTCGAGTCAAATGGCTCTGTCTCCGTCAAGGTTAGGGGGAAGCTCGCGACGGATCTTTTGCGAGTGCTTTGTGTCATCAACGAGACCGACCTTTCCGCTGTCTGGGTGCCATTCCTCAAGGAAGCGAAGGAAGTTCACGTTTATTCCAGAACGACCAAGCTTTACAGTCAGACATACGAGTACCCTGTAATTGGTGCCAAACAGACAAGCGTCTTTGGTCTGGCTGTCAATGCGCTGGACGAGTTCGGTTGCTTCATCCTGGCGTGCAGAGCACCGCCGGAGTCGCCGCAGGACGTCAAGCAACTCGAAGGTATATTAAAAGAGGGCGGAATAGAGGACACTTCGCCCTTTGTCTCCTGCAAAGATGGAATCTGTCAACTTATGGGAGTCGACATCGCGCCGATGCCACCGAAGACCAGGCAAAGGTCTGGCGATCTCTGCTTCCTTGTATACCCCATGAAGAACCACACCCTCGTCGAACTCAACGCCAACATCATCCCTGAAGTGAGGCTGGTGCCCGCGAGGGTGGTTACGTACATTATCAAGAAGGTAGTCGTCAACATCTTCCAAAAGATTGCTCAAATCAGCAAGAACTTCCACCAGACGCCATTTGCTGAGCGCATCGAGCAAAACAAGGAATTCTACGACTGGGTCGCCAAGTTGCACGACAAGTACGTCGGGAGGGGTGACCGACAAAATTGTAAAGTTAGCATATGCACCTACGACACAAATCTCAACGAACCATGAAGAACATGTAAGAGCCAGAAGGCTACAGCAGCTGTTATGACATAATCAATGTTATATATCTTAACTTATGCGTAGTATACGTTCACCCACGCGGATGAAGCGCTTCCGCTTGCGGCTGCGATATGTCCGGCGGCGCATGTTGGTGTCCCAGGTCCTTGTCAGAAGCGGGGTATACACCCCTGGTGACACGTGGCAAGAGGACGTGCCTAGATTAGGCAACGAATCAGCGCCATGCGGAATCTGAACTATCTTCGTCAGGGGCGCGTAGATTGCGATAAACTGCGATGAGGATGAGGCTGTTGGCGCCAAAGCGACGCTACAGAGCTCAGGGAGCAATGGGAGCCGCCGCAAAGCCGATGATGCGACAGGAGCAACCCGAGTCGCCCATGACATTGTACAAGCAGGCTCCTTGGTGCAGCAAAGCTGCTAAGAATATAGAATCTGCAATGTGAATGCCTGACGCTACAGTTGCCGCACAGCGGCCGGCAAGTCGGCAATCCCCTACGACCGCCTTAATGGCAACAGAATAATATCGTCGTAGAGATTATGCTGCGCAAATTATGCGATGCATCTCCGGCCATTTCTTTGCGGCACAAATATGTAGAATCCCGGTGCCAACACACACCGAGTAGAACTGGTCACCGGTGGAATTTGCTTGTTTCACAGCCGTTTGTCGTAGATCCGCACGTAAATGAGAGGAGTACCATCTGAAACGTGTGGAAGAACGAATGTGTGTGTCATAATTCATCGTCCATATCAGTACATTTACGACAACAGACACCTAAGTTAGCATAACAAAAAAAACATTAACAGCGCCTATATGAGACCATAGAATTGAATATTAAAGTGCATTGTTGCACTGCGAGTTGCGGCTATGTGATGTATGAGCTTCATTCGCGTGAATGGTGGACTATTGCGATGTCAGCACTATGACGCCCATGTCAGACGGCGGGTCCCAGCAGCATATTATGTACAGATGCTGGTCTGTGAATGCAGATCCTGAGTTCAAACTTAACATATGAATATACGAAACCCACCTAGCTCTTTACAGTGGGCGTTCTGACGAGGAGATCGAGCTGATGTTGCACATAAAACGAAGACCGGGCACTCTTGCCCGAGGTGCTCGCTGCGTCAAAATTGTAGAAGATATGAAGTTGTACATACCATGCCGAGCGGAACATGTCAAATAGCTTTTCCGGAGGTACGAGAGTGCCTCTCATAGCCGATACTACGTACTCACTTCCACTGTCCTTCGACCCAGTTGGTGTAACCCTAGTGCCGCGAGAGGTCAGCGCGCGGAACAACAACCTGTCCACGCCGTGACGAAGTTTTTGCACGATGTTCTCCTCGGGAACAAAGTGCACTCCGGCCTTGGAGAGCTCGTTCATCACGTTACGAATGGTTTCCAGTTTACGATTCTTCTCATTGCTCAGCGTGCGATGTGCCTTGAACAACAGCTCCTTGTGCTTTAAGAAATGCTCAAACTCATCCGGAATGTGGATGTCTTCGTCCTCAGAATACGCCACCTTGCGGCGCTTACCCTCATCGCGGGGCTGCGATGAACGGCCATGCGCCACAGTTTCCGCATTAACTGATGACACCGCGGTGGGAGTAGGTTCCGGCAGACGGCCAGCTTCCAATATTTCATTCACGGTTGACAGTAGGGAGGATGCATCCAGCAGAGCGGATTCTTGCTTACCGCCACACTGAGCACGTATAGACAATACATGTCACAACTTACATTGTACGTCGAAACGCTCGGCTCCATCACTGTAACTGCACAATCCTCCATTGACAACGCAGAGCAAACTAATTCAACGTCCCTTTCGTCGGTATCAGAGCCGAAAGACAGCACCGCGGCACACGGAGGCAGCCGATCCAGGGCTGCCGTGGTTCGTTGACACAATCGAGAACCATCCTTTAGATATCCCGCTGTAGTGACATCCATGCGCATAGTTACAAAATCATCTGAATCACCATAATGCGCAAGCAACGAAACACAGTACCTTTGTGATGGTGCAACTCGGTGGTGTTGGCAAGACCCACTGCAGCGGAGTGCTCCCTCGGCATCTGCCAATGATGACACAAAATTCGAAACTCCAAGCACCTGTATATAGAGACCCTCATCGTGGCTCAACGAAAAGGTGTAGCCGTCGTAGGCAAAGTCCTGGGCACTTCGCACGCGAAGCCTATGCGGCAGCAAAAACTGGCGGATGAAGTTGGCAGTACAAAGGGTGCTGAGCCGGACGCTTGACAGTTGCAAACTCGGGGTCTACAGGGCTATATTAACGCAAATGCGATGCGGAAACGGGTATATTTAAATGATGGTAAAATAGAATCACGATGTTGCACAAAGCAAGCATCCGCTATGGTTGAACACGCACAATTAATGAAGTCAATATCAGCTATTACACCGACTCTAACACTCATTACAAAAAATATCCAATGATTTCATGCGGACACTTCCACACAACCAAACATTCAAGATTGCCATGTTAACTGGCGGAAAAACTAAAAGCATTACCCAAGGGTAAATGTCAACAACAAGAATAATATATGTAGCGCGTTATATTGTTAGTGAGCATGTCACTATCATAATTAAACATTTGGGAATGAAGCTAACCTTGTGCTGGTGAAAAAGCTTCGAGCCTATGGTACCCGACGACGGCGAGGACGGGCAACAAAAAACCACCTGAAAACGATCGTAGCAGTTCAGAACAGCAGAACGTGTGAAAGATGGCATCTTGCACAAATAACGAAAGAAGAGTCATACAAAAGGCGCACAATTAATCAGCTAACTATTCAACGGCAAGAAGCAATACCTACCGATGTGCTCAGATATAGCCCACAAATGTCGCCATGCAAACCCGAAATGTCACAGTCTTCATCGGGATCAGTCCAACGTGACGGAGGAAGCGGTAGCCTCGACACGTTGTAGGATAAAGGTACGCCTTCTCTGTCCATTACCATTTCTGACAACGGCGTTGTAGATGCACACCTTAATGGAATCTAACACCAAAATCCATTGAACCGACGACGTATTTACATACTACATTAAAATATTGTCATAAAATGCTATTCAACCAATACAGACAATTGGAAGGCTAGGGAGACTACACAACGTACGACCAACGGGGTGGAGTGTGATGTATGTGTTCAAAGCATACACATTAAAATTTTGACCATATTAAATTCTAATGCTGATGTAATTAATCTGTTCTGAGATCATTTCAGCCTCCTCTATCATTCAATTGCGGCAGTGAAGTTGGAAGACGACGAACCAAACGTGAATCCAATCAAAAAACCACCAAACACTACCACAATCGTCAATCACACTCTGCTACCGAAAGTGAACACAATCGCTCAACGTAATGGTGACATATCTGCACACTAGTCTTGTCGATTTAAAAATCCTATCAAACAGCTGAGCACAGCAACCTTCGTAAACGTAAAACACATAAGCAGAACACGTGTAATCCATGATTCAAACGGGTTCAATATGTGTTATGGAAGTTATCTTGAGTGGAAAGACAGCTCATTTACCATGGCGGCTTCCTAGTGACGGACGGAAAGGCGTAATCTTTAAAAGCCCATAATCTGTACACCTGACACCGATTTACCCCGGAGGCCAGTTCAGATTGCGGCCGCCAATTATGTGCATGTGAAGATGGTACACTTGTTGGCCGGCTTGGGGACCATTGTTCACCACCAGACGGAAATCACCAACATTGTTCTCACGCACAATGTGTGCGACCTGCGTATGATATAGTGGTGCACTGGATGAGTCAATAAGAAGTAAAATGCAATCATCTGCTCGGCAACAGCCGACCACCTTATGAGCAACAAGAAGTACAACTGACAACGCCATACAATCACGGCACTCAAAATGTGCTCATAACAACCGCATGCTGAATAAACCGAATTCGGTAGTTCAAACATGCTTTCTGTGTAACGGAAGACAGATAAGGGGGAACATACCTTCACCATCATGTGGCCGAGGATGTCAGCATGTTCATCAGTGGCGCGGCTCAGACGTGATAGGCGGTCGCGGACCTTGGGAATCACCAAAATGTGCACTGGAGCGACGGGGTTTATGTCACGAAACGCCAAGATCTGAACAAAGATGAACGGCAGATGGCATTGACACACCTTGTCATCTTCGTACACCTTCTGGCAGGGAATACTTCCGTCCACGATACGGTCTGATAGCGCATTATGACATTAAACGCAGACATACCGAAAATGGTTACATCACTGTCTTCACGAGACAGAGCGTCGAATGAATCACTCATCGTCTCAAGAGGTTGATGATTCGATGCTAAATTGCCGAAACGAACGACCTGATTGGTGGCAGGTAGCGTATAACGACCGATACGGCACGACACGAAAGCCGATGGACGACACGCCGGATAAAAAAGGGGCACACAGGCAAAAGCACGTGCGAAGATGGAGCTACGCATAACCGGCGCGTAGCTCGGATGATGCCCAAAGATAAGAGTGTCTAATCGGCAACAATGTGTTGATGCCGCTTAAGTGTGCCAAATTATATATCGTGTCGTACGAAAGTGAAAGCTGGGCATGCCTGCACGATAGACGGCCGATACACCGAACGGCTGCGAGCGAAGATCAGACAGCGCGTACTGTGAAACATATGTACCGCGCTGAAACTATACGTGTACTACAAAGCAACTTCGAGCTTGTTTGCGATAGCCGATCAAAACGTCGTGTTACAGAGCTTACACACCGAATGCCGTATGAAAGCGGTATCTATTAGTCAGTTGCGAAAAGGCTATCAACCGATTTTCATGCATCACATGGCTTTAATTGTTGTTGTAATGCGGCTCTCAATAAGCTGATGCTTGCGCATCGAGCGGAATCGCGACGCCAGCCCCAGAGACCCGAGCGCTCGTGCAGGGTGTGTGAGATGAGCAATGTTCATGTTTAAGCGATAAGCATCTTGTAATGAAGCGCTGCCTAGTAGGCACTGATATAGTTTTAGAGCGGGTTGGCCAATCCAGAGGATGGCAGCAGCTGAGGAGGATTCAGTCGCTGAGTACCGTGGCAAACAGGAATGCAGCGAAGGAAGACAGGGAGTAGACGTTGCGGTTTGCAGGGGAGCACAGCCGTCTACATACCTTCTATATGGAGTTAATCATGATTCCTAAGGGTTAACCCAATACACATTGTAAAAGTAGGATCGCAATGGCTGCTTTTAGGGCATGGCGCACGATCGGAGGCATCTCCGCGTGCTTCTTCCTGACGGCAATCGCGATCATTGCGGGATACCTCATGATCCACCCCAACTTCTGGATAGGCGGGCAACCGCCAGTGAAGGTGCCGGAAGTGTTCACTTTCGCGGATAAGGAGCAACCCACGACACTCACCAAGAAGCCAGTCATCCTAGATCGTATTATAAGACCGAAACACTACGCCGTCGATATCATCAACCAGAAGCCCAGATATGTAACCCTATACAAAATCAAGAATTCGTTCAAGGACACGCACTACATCAACCAGATCGTACACAGAAATATAGACATCAGTATCAACCCGCCCGACGCCACGGAAGGGTTGCCAAATGACGGGATCGTGTATATGCGCTACCAGAAGTGTGATTGCTGTTCGAAGGTCGCGGTGCACTACAGGAAACAGGGTAGGGTCTTCCTAGATGAGTACATAAGGCGCAACGCGGAAGCGGTATACGTCGAGGCGAGGGAGGCCAAACAGCACCATCACGGCGAACCGGTGCACATGGATACGCTGATGGTGGAAAACCAGCTTGTGGTCAAAATGATGATGCAGAATGCGACGGGAGAATCGCTCATAACACCGGCGCACAACGTACAGGTTTCAGTGCCCAGGACAGCCTATGGAAACAACACGTTCGTAGTCACCTGGAAGTTCGAGTACAGCATACCGGACGAAAGGTTAACGGATGTCATATACGTTGACTTCGAAGTTAATAGCGAGACGTTCAGCCTCCCTAACACGGCCAGGGATATATTTGTCAAGAAGGCTACGTACCAAAACGGCGCATACCGAGTTATACCTGCCGAGGGCGATGAGTTCGAGCACTTGTACAGAACACGGTATTTGTTCTTACACGATGAAAGACATCACATATTGCGCCATCTCTTCGTAGTGGACAAGGAGAATCCAAACGTAGCCAAGGTCTATCTCATCGTATACAACGAGCTCCTGTCCATTATCTCTTGTGTAGTGGTCGAAGCTTTCTACAGGAAGGGGGCCTGGGCTGTAGGAAATAACATAGTGGAACGCTACGACCTGCCGAGCACGGAATTTGTATCGGCGCACGTCGTCGTGCCACATGTTGGGAAATTGAAGCCACGATTGTATCCGCAGAATTTCAAATATGCGCACGAGTATCATGATGAACTATCGTATTATGTTGACAAGATACAATTCGACGATCGCAGCAAGATTGAAGCTCAAGCCTCGGTGTTGGAGCGTGAAACACGCATAAGCCAGCACGCGGTTGAATCTGCCTACACCCCCAGAACACCTGCGGTAATAAACACGGATCCCATCACGCTCGCCCTGGGCCTAAATACGCCTCCTGAGATCACGCGGGTTATGCTCGCACCAGACGATACCATCCGTTACTACACGGTGGCGGAGGAGTATCGGCACGAAAACCGCCTCAAGCGAGTTGCGTTCGACAATTTCAAGTTCTCATTGTACGACAACGTCAACGATTTGGAACACTCCCCTGACTATGTCACCGGAGTCACGCACTATACGCTGCCTGGCTGGAGTAAAATCGACATCGAGTTCTCACGAGACGGCAAGCCGCGGTTCGAGCAGTATATGAAGACCGAAGAGAGCTACGGGTTCACGGAGACATTGGGAGCTATGATGTCCGACCAAAACAAACCGTATCTGCTGGATAACGTTATATACAAGGGTGTGCTCGTCCTCAAGCTCATGCTGCAAAACAATAAAGGGGCATCGCTAATCGATCATAATGTCAGCCCAAGCATTGTGGTGCACCTCAATGGGAGCAACCAGTCGTGGTCTATGACGTACCTTGTCCCGATAGCGATGCCCAATGTGGATTTCAGCCACAGGCTACAGCTCAAACTGACTTGTGAAAACAATGCTGTCAAGGTCGAACCTGCCAAGGAACGCGTGATCAAGGTGACCAACGGCCCACACGGCGCAGTTATTAAGCCTGCGGAAATCGAACCCTCGATGGCACCGCATGTATCCTCTATGAGCGAGAAAAAGCATTACAGTATCATACAACACATTATGGTGCATGAGAATGACGACGAGGATCAGTTGTCGCTATATTCGTTCATCTACGATGGAGAACGTGCGGCGCTCATCTGTACCGTGCGACCGTACATAAGTATATACGGTGTCTGGCAATCCGGCCATCCAAACCACTCGTTTAAAGTGGACGCATCCACGGGTGCCAGGGTAGGTTCGGTGGATGTATTTAAATACCCTTGCGTCAACTATCACCCGGTGACGCTAGTGATCGCTGATATAAATAACATGCCCGCCGTTTACCCGCAGGCAGCAGGACGTGTACGTAGAGTCAAGCAGACGAATATATTCACCGTTAGCCTGCTCAAAGATGGGAAATTCGCCATATCGGATATACATTTCACCGATCTGTTGTGGATACACATGTCAGGTATGCCCAAAACGCCGATCGAACTCAACCTGCAACAACCGATACAGCAAGAAATACAGGCCTTGCAGTGGAGAAATGGCGAAACCAGGTACTACGCCGTGAAGACCGATTTCGGATCAACGCACTACATCGAGACGCTTATTTACAACGGTCTGTATTATAAGGTTGATGACGATGGACAGGATCACGGAGACAAGACTGCCATCAATTCTGTCAGGGTTATCAGTACACGCAGCGAAGAAACTGTGTATATTCAATACACATACAACGCAGTTCCCAAGGCGACCTGCTTCTACAGGGAATTGCCCGAAGGCGCCTTTGTTGAGACTATTGGATGTAAACAATTACAGGAGTACTTGCCGACCATGATCACCGCGGTGCTACATGGAGATAGGCTCGCGCTAAATGTTACACTAGAGAACGAAAAGGGTCAATCACTGTTAGATCCAAACAGGAGGCCCAGCATATTAGCTTTCATCGGCGACGAAGAACACCAGCCCAAGCTTAGGTTGGCTTTGCCGATCAAACTCCCAGACTTGGAAGTCAAAGACCTTATAGATATGGCTTTCATCGTCTCAAATGGAAAGTTTGTACACGAAAATATACCTGGGAAATCAAATGGGCGAGTTGTAAGATACGATGACAAAGGAAAGCCATACGTCGCACCGGCTGTGGGTGAACAATTCCGGACTCTGGTAGGAACGCAAATGAGAAAGTTGCTCTGGGAAAAGCTCGTCTTGCTGAAAGTGATAATCGTGCCACACAAGGGACGAGTGACACATGCGGACGTTTATAGTTTTATTTACTGGCCCTTGAATGCAGCTGTCTTCGCAAATGTGCAGAGCGCGGTATTGCAGCGAGGCCGCTGGTTGCTAAAGCCAGTGCCAGTTGACAGGTTCCATGTGCCGCCTGGCAATGTTGCACATGTTGCCTTCTTCATGCCGCCGAATGATATTGTAGAGCCGACACTGTACCCTCAATCTGATGGGCTCGTGCGGCAACTCGTTGCGAAGAACTACTATGCGGTGAATCTCATCAGAAATCGCGAATGTGCGGAAACGGATATACAATACGAGGCTATACCGGTGGTAAAGATTGATGAAATGCCAAGGGAGGCCATTGTACTGGACTTGGCGCAGTCAATACCGCCGGAGATACAGGTTGTATCCACATCGGCTGACACGCGTTACTACGACGTGAAATGGCAGTTCCGTCATACACATTTCATTAGCGAAATCGTATACAAAGGTCTGCAATTCACCGTTATAAAGGATGGTGGAGGACTCTATCGTCCAGAAGATTCGATTATAGATGTCGAGGTTATTCGAATGAGTGGACGGGACTATCTAAACGTGCACTACATCAGAAGTGGGGGAAACCGCTACCGTCAGTACGTTAAGGCTGACGACGCGATCGAGTTTACCCTGACTGAATTCGGAACGCGTGCAGCTGATGCGCCGCCGTATGGGCTGGACTACGTCACGCACAGTGGAACGGTTGTGCTCAAACCTAGGTTGCGGTCTGTGGACGGAACCTCGCTTATCGATGAAAGCGGGCAACCTACCCTTATAACTCATCGTGGCAGCGGGATACAAACTTCCTTCAGAGTTGCTTTGCCGCTCAAGTATCCGGGAACTGACGTAAAAGATAGGCTACAATTGTCTTTCAACTTGAATCGTGGGCGGCTCGTTCTGCAGAATTTCGAAAACGCTAATGTCGCATACAACGCGATCGTGGAGGACGGCGATACTAAAAGATTTGAACCTGCGACGGCGCCAGTCTTCAACGAGATCAGTGATGTCAAAACCGTCACATTCGACGGACGAATCCATCGAGTGGTTCAGGGGGCAGTGGTGCCAATGCGCGATGAGACCGACAAAGCCACCGTATACTTCTTTTTGTTCGATTTCCAAAAGGCAATATTATCGTGCGTAACGAGTGAAACAAAAATGGTTGACGGAGTCTACCAGTATACAGGAGTGTTGCGACAGAAATTCTTATACCCGGCGAAAAACATATCACAAGTTCGCTTTGATATACCCATCAGTAAAACGGAAAATTGCGTCGTACACCCTGAGGATGCAGCGACGGTAGTGGAGCTGGCTCCAAACTGGTATGCGTTGAGTCTTGCAAAGGTCGAAAGCCCAGATGACTACCGCTTGCATCCGTCTGACGCCGCCTTCATCGGAGCCAGCGGAATGCCCAGGTTGCCTATCATGGTAAAACTAAATGAGCTCAAGCAGAGGGAGGAAGTTCAGGTAATCCAACTTACACAGCCGCGAGGGTTGTATTACAATGTGCACCCTACGTTCACTCCAACGCATGTTATCACTAGCCTCGACATCTATGGGCTCGATGGCCTAGTGCTTGGCGGAGAGAGTAGTGGCACTGCTTCCTCTACGGAGATCTTCTATGTCCACAAGACTTCGGTTGGCTCATGGGAGAGACTCGCCATATATGGAAAAATGGGTATTGCGTTTTTCTTCAAGGAATATCTCAAGAACGACTCTCACTACCAGCTCGTTAAAGGTAGTATGGTGCCAAAGACTGACGCGCCTTATATGTTCTCCACTCTGTTGTGCCATGAACGCGTCGCGCTCAGAGTACACTTGCAAAGCGTGCATGGGGCGACGCTTATTGACAAGTCGGAGTTTCCCACTGCAGCTATTTACATTGGTGAAGGAATTGAGACCGGGATGCTGTTCTTTGGTATACCTATACGGTACCCGCATACAACAGTGAAAGACCGTTTGCAGTTGAAATTCGTAATAGGCTATGATAGCATGGAGTATGAACCACATTGGAAGAGGGGGCCAAAGAACGAGACTGTAGTCTATGGAAGCAACGGAAACTACACAATCGAACATCGAAGATTCACGGAATACGCAGAATACCTCAACTACAATGGCGGTATCAGGGAAAAGAACGCGCAGCAGTATGTCATCAAGTCGGTGCTCGTGCCCGAACGTGCCGCAAACGCGTCCAGGGCACAAGTCTACACTTTCATGATTGACAACGTGACCAGGATACTCACTTGCCGCTCTGCGCTCGCTACTATGGTGGACGGTGTCTGGAGGATAGCACCCAAACCGGATGTCGACTATGCATTCCCCTCCTCGGCATTCGGGTCTGCAGTAATTGACGTCATGCCCGACGCCTTCGCTGCGGCGCCAGTAATATACCCGAAAGAAGCTGGGGAATTAAAGGTGGTCGATGAGCATATCTTTGTCGTCAAGCAGAACAACACGCGTGTAGATGTGGTGTCGGACGTCCATCCGACGGATGTCAACAACATGCGGAGTCACTCGTTCCCCATTATGCCCATTGACCTGGATATAGAGGAGGAGATGCCGGCAGAGGTCGCTGTAGAGGTAGGGGAAATGCGCGACGCATTGGTCTATAAAGTGAAGGATGCCTTCGCAATGTCACATTTCATACGCAGGCTCAAATATCGCGAACTTGATGCACTCATACAGACTCGTGAAGAAGCCATGCGGCACATTGCCGATAAGCTCTCCGTCGTCAAGGAGTGCAACGAAACTCACGAGCTTATTTTCGTAGTACTGCCAAATGAGAAGAGGCGAATTGCGGAGTTACCTCTAAAAATCGACTGACGCCCTTGTGCAACATTCCTTTAGGATGCCACAAGGAGTCAGTGCGTTCCTGGATTTTCTGTTCGCTTCGGTTTCCAAGCATCACGGCAAAGCGGGTAAATGTTGTAGTAGATGACGACGTGGAGTATAAATCTCAAGTTATTTTATGTAATGTAGCACAAATGGTATAACCCGCAAATCAGCACGTCCCGGATACACTTAGAGACTGACTGGGTATTGTTTTGAATCACCGCTTTCTGTACACACGACAAAGGCGCAAGAGATTATCGCACATAGCTGTAGCAGGCTTAAACGGATACGGAGGATGAAGAAGGATATGGCATTTTGTAATCGCCAACGTTCAGTCACGGGTTGTTCTACGTCACCGTTAATAGGCTGTCCTGTCGAGCACATCGCACATACACACATGTGTCTACCGGGTTATCACGGAGGTGGATCGCCATATGGTGGCATGTTTTATAACAGACTCGGTCCCGAGGTAGTACCTCTGGGTTGGGCATGCAGCACTGATGCAATTGAACGCCCACAGCCTAATGTTTTTGATTTGTCTTATTCCTGTGTGCATTCATGTTCTTCACGTTTTCGTGATTTGTCGCTATAGTGGTGATAGCATTGAATTGCGGCCTTCTGGCGGTACCTAGCCGCAGGTGGAAGACGATGGCCGCAACATCAAAACTGTCCACACGTATACTACACATCAAGACATTAAATTGACAAATGGGTTGTAGGCATGTTTTCAGTGTCACATGACGCATTATTGCCGACACTGGCATAGCGATGCGTTACTGCTGCCTTCGTTGACAAACATGGCAAATACTATACACGTAGGTATAGAAAGCAGCATCAAAACGTGATGCGCTTATCTACGACGTCATAAATCATGTTTTTGCTTTTGGAAGGCTCGAATTATCCGCAGTGCGCAGGCTCTTAAAGCGACGATGAGTATTGACAGAAAGATTATTCGAGCTGTTCCCAACTTCGTTTCCAACAGCTTCGGCCAACTTGTGAAGGCGCGATACGCGACAACAGCCGCGCATCAAGCTAGCCTTGCGTGGAAGATGCCGTGGCAGCAATGCTCGATCTTCGAAACGAAAAGGGACGCCGGCAGTCCGTCTAAGCCACGTGGAGCACAGGGCGAGCTTGGAAATAAGGCTGTTCGTGCATCTCCTACACAAAGCAACCCATCGGACCACGATGAGCACCAATACATTCATGAAATCTTCAGGAAGCAAGCACTGCCGAAGTGGAATGCGAACGTCTACGTAAAGGCGCTGCAGAATTTTGCTTACCTGCAACCCCGGGAGAATGATAACGCCGCGGACTTGGTTGGGAAATTGGTCAGAGTTCTCGCGCAAAACATAAATGCACTAAACAATTACGAAATCACGCGGGTCATTTTCGCATGCTCGAAGGGAAGACTGCTACAAAACAGGTATATCACAAGGTCGTTCGTTAGGCTCCTAGAAAACGAAGGTGGGGATCTCAAACGCACCCATCATGTTATGCAGTGATGCAACGGCTGGACACGCTGTATGCAATTGACCTGTTTCGCATACTGCACTCGGTCACTCACATCAATGCCGACGCGGCCAGGTGCCCTGTGGAGCCTATATACAACTTCGCGCAACCAAATGAGATGCCGTTTGACCCGAGCATGGTAAAGCACGTAATTGGTCGCATCGTAGACAGAATCGCAAACCTGGGTACCATGGTAAGAGCCACTCTAAGAACGAATACATTGTTACAGGACATCGCAAACCTTACATGCCTAATCGCATATAACGGAATGGATGACGACAAAATATCGCAAAGACTCAACAGCGCAATCAGGAGAAGGTAAGGCAAACAGTCACATGAGCCAAAAGTGCAGGCTGTGGGGGATTAAGGACACGATCAAGGTGCTTACTCCAGTCATAGCCCTTGCGATGTTTGGTAACTTATCGACGGATACGGTGGTAGGTGTATTCACCGTTAAGCTAACACTTATTAGAACTGTGCTCTCAAGGCCATTCGCTCCATCTCCACGCTGCCTACGTATGGAGTGAAGGACACGACCGCTAAGGTGGCTGCGATTTTTGTCACTCAAAATGCCTGCAGGATAATTGGAGGATATTGCAGACGGTGAATAACGAGCTGTACCCCTTGAAACTGTTAGAAATGGCCGTGCGAGCCGATTACGAACAGGTTGGAGACAGTAGCAACGAAATCTAGGTCGTGCAGACTTACCATGCCATAGAAGCCGACAATCGGGCATACCTCGAACAGATCCGATATATCATGCCGACGCTGGTTAATGCTGATGACTGGGACTATGTGAAAGTCCACGGCATCCCGGAGGATCCTAACGCAGCCACGCATCAAAATCGGCATCCGGACCTCAACCTCGTTGCTCATATCTACGGGCCATACGTGCTGAAGGCGTGCGACCCAGTTCGCAAAGTGGTCGTGCAAGACCAGGTGAATTGGCAAAGCGTGAATTCGTGGCAAAGGTTCTACGCGCACCACTACCACAAAATGCAGGAAAGGCACCTAGAGCACTCTGGGTTCAAAATCATATGTAGTACTGCCGATAAACATATTTAAATAACTTCAATTTAGATCTCGCATGGCGGGCACAGGTAGTACGCAAATAGGTTGGCCGGATAGTGCGATCCGTTGATCACGTAGAAGTCGTTTAGGCGGGTCACGCAGATGAAGTTTGTACGACGATACATCGAACATGCGCGCGTGTTGTAGCCGATCACGTGTAAATAAATAGTAATAGGCATGGCATCACAGTCGCGGAAGAAGTCCAGAACCGACGAGGCGGACAGCCGAAAGGGTGCGACCTCAGACTCCAGGACATCATTCAACTCCAGCGAGTCGCCAGCGTCATCCCGACCCAAGAACAAATCCAATGCGCTCAGCACCTGTTCACGTGAGTCCTCAGCGCAGTGGAACATGTGCCCATTGTACAAAAATACGCTGTAGCAGCAAAAGTACATCATGCATTGCACGAACAATATCAAATGGCTGCCCAGTAGGCGAGACCGGAGGCCCATCGTAACTCCGGCACTAAGCACGTAGATAGTCTTGCAATCGTTTAAGTTGAAGCTCGATAGGTATTCCAGCAATTCGCTGTTGCGATAAAGGGTCGAAAACAAAAACCGATACGAGTCCGAAGTCAGCATATCGAAGTTAGGCGACGTGGGAGTGCCCCCAATAATGTGGTGAGACGTTTCCAAAAAGGGGAATATCATGTCGTTGTAAAAATTCTCCAACAGAAAGTAATCGTTGTCCGACACTATTGAGCTGAAGATATTGCGGTTAATCCAAATCGTTAAAAACCCAACCAAAAACTCATCGTTCTCTCGGTCATACGTTGTATCATTAAGAATGCAGTCAAAACCCGACGCCTCCAACGAGCCAGTGTCAGAGCCGGTCGATGGTGACTTGAAATCTTGGTCACTGTCTTCTCCATCAGTAGGGGGGTTGTTATCGACGGAGCTAGCAGGACTGCCGGCAGACGCTCGACGCGACGAACTTCCTGATGACGAACTGGAATCCGAACTTTCACAACAAGTCACCTCCGATAAAGCACAATGCGATCTAACTACCGACATTGGCAAAAACATGCCTATGCCAATCATATCAGATGCCGCCCACGCCTACAATGATTATGTCGATGAAAGAGCACAAACTAACATCATTTGGCAACGGAACCTTGGACTGCACGCGGCAAGCTGTATCGTAGAAACTGGGGTCATAGCGAATCGGGAAGAGGCGAGCGTGCAGCAGATGCAAGCCACCGCGGTGGCGAGGCTCCAGGGGGCGCATACGCAGGTGCCGAAGAACCGGAAGATCCTTCGGCAACCCTAACAGGGTTCGGTTTAAAGCGCTCCATTCAGACGGCCATAGTTCAACACCTGGTATGAGCGCAGAGGAACGATAGTGGTCAAAACCCTCCGACATCGCGCTACACATCAACCGGAAATCACAACAATGTCGTTACATACCATTTAATATGGCTGCGTTGAAATTCAGACAGTGTTATTAATAACACTGCTATTATTACATACTGCTCTCAGAAATTTCTGAAAAAACTAGGTAGACATAAAGTCAATTGGTCATGGATCGCAATGCCCGACCACGACGCTACTGGTGGCTAACGGCAACACCTGGGCGAACATTAGCCATCATTCTGCATTTGACATTTCCAGGGTAATGTGTGGTCGTTAATATTTGTATTTTACTGTAGCGTGTAGAATTGCGTTGGACGAATGTGCAAATAGACATCACGCCTACATTGCACACCTCAGACAACGGTGAATCTGCTAAACGCAACTGTAATTTTACAGATACATTCGTACGTGCATATTAATAAGCTCAAAAGATATGTCCATCGATGATAAAATCTGTTTGCATGTCAACAGCGCCCATATGCAACCACACATAGTCGTTATAAAACCATGGAGAAAGAATGTTTACGTGGTTTCACAGCAGACAGTCAATCCACTGTTAGAGTTGTAATCCACAATGGAGACCAATATCTAAGCGTGACCTACTAGGTGTCGTGATCGTAGCTCGCTAAACCGCCACTGACAAATGTGTGAGTAAATACATTTGCTGTTGCAAATCAATTGCACATTGACCACTTCTCAAATTCGTATAGATGTGTATACCTGCTATATGCCTTTGACTCGAAAAATCGGATGAAAACATATGTCTAGTGGTGAGGATGCAATGCGTACGCGACGCACCTAACGTTTACAGATACACATTGGTTTATCATAACTGCATGCGCAGTATTCAGGTCAAATAGTGGCACATTCGAGGCTTGTGTGCAGGATATTACCTGTATGTGTATTCCATGCCGATGCGCCCATCGTCGCGATGTTAAGGGGCATTTTCTCGACAACGCAATAAAAATGGCATATAACGGTACAACAGAAATACCTATTAGATAAGCTTGGTTTTGACGGTATGATAACAAGGGAACACATCAAATCTGTCACTACGCGGGTTCACGGCAGCATACGGCGTCTACGCCCGAATTGAATACGCATATCGCCACCACACATCTCCCTGTATTCCTACACAGTTATTGTATAACATATCCGTAGTAGTTTGTGACTACTTGTGGGTCATTAAACCCTTATCCATCGCAAATATTAAGCGGTACACACGCTGAAGCAAATACTGTTTAGGTGCGTACACATCCGCACAGGACTGTGTCTTACAGATTCACTGTACAAGACACAATACGAGCTGTGCTCTTTGTGTCTGTGTTGATTTTCAACCGGTGGCCACAAGAACGTTTTAGACACGCAGGTTGACCAAGAGTCAGAATATATCGCATTCACGACACTTACGGGAGGATACGTTTCCCAAGTCATTTTGAAGTTATTTGAATAGGTGAAGGAGGGATATAATCGCAATCAGGCATTTGTATACGGCAAGCGAGACCACTAATCGACAAACCTATACACTTGCATGCACCAGGAATAGCGGTACGAAGTTTATGGTGTCACAAGAGGAATTAACAAATGGCGATCAGTGGTTGGTGCATGGCGCTCGTAGCGCTGTGCCTGCTGGAGACAGGATATGGCCAAGAAGAGACAGGCGGGCCGCCTCCGAATCCGGGGTTTTTGGTGCAGAGGGAAACTTTGCTGTCACGCGACTATACGGGGTTCAACATTCTCATAGACCTAGCACTGGAAAGTGATGCTAACGGGTTTTTTACACGCCAGGTTGTTGAGGCAACAAACACGCATACTCGATACGTGTATAAAACACGGTCAAGCTTCTCCGCAACGCGGGTAATTGATGGCAACCAAACACTATGGGAGTGTGCATATAAGCATGCGGGACAAGTTACAATTGATGATTTCGGTGGTTACAGTCTTATGCAGCTGCAAGTAGACCTGGGTGAAAACCCCTTGGAATTTGTGTACTACGAGAAAAGGAGTGCATTATGGGCGCAAATTGACAGGAGAATGTACATCAAGGAAATGTTTACCCGGCAGGTACAGGACGAAATAGACCTGCGCCCCTCAGCAATCAAACTGCTTGGAGGTTTTAAAGTCAGGAGCATCAAAAACCCCGTCACACCTATCGGAGCTCAGGTTGCGCCGATGTTTGGCCACGTGATCAAGACTATAAAGTTCGGTCGGCGAACATTGTGGGAGTACAGCCCAGAGGTTCAAACCGTTTGCATTAGGGTTGATAAGGTGGGCGCCAGCGGCGTTACGCTCCTCATACTGCATCTCATAGAAATCAACGAAAGGTACAGGGTGGCATACATGTACGGCAAAGGAAACCGCACCATGAAAAAGCAAAAATACCTCGAACTCTATAAAATATTGTCTATCATCAGGCCGGTGCATGTGCCCAACGTAAGGCTGCAGTTCGACGTTACGATAAAACCCGATGAGAACGCAAAACAGGTGAAGTCGTCTGACAGCAGTACAGACGATGACGAGGATGAAGACTCAGATTCATCACAAATGAAGGCGCCGCTCATCAAAATCATTGAGGATGGGGACGTGGAGAATGCGCTCAGCCAGGAGCAATCCAAGCTCAATACATGGACGTGTGAGCAATTGGAAGCCGACAACAGCATAGTGTTGGAACATGCGGGGGGCACGGTTTCGTGGAATATGGGGATCCCTCAGGAGCAGGCTGGCATCTCTATCTCGACAATTCAGCAAGACAATGGCGACGTCAAGCGAAACGTTATCACGCCGCGGAGAGGCGCTTTTGTAACATGTCTAGACGATGGCGAACGTCGAGTATACACTGCGAAGGATGAATATCCACATAAGGTCGTTAAAGAGTTCGTCGCCAACGTGCTCGTGGTTGCCATCTTTGCAACGCGACTCGACGGGATGGCTAAACGCAGATACTTTTTAAGGCGAAAAAGGGAGTGGAGTGAGACTAGCAAAGTCGGGTATTTTAACACCAGGAAGCCCGTTGTTTTAGGCAGGGATGTAGATATCGATGAAATGGAAACATCAAACAGAATATTCTACAATAATAAATATGAAGGGAAGTGGTTGGCGCCATACCTCAACTTCGGAAAGCATGATTCGAACGTAGATGTATCACCCAAATTCACGTATTCAGTCTCACGGGTCACATACAAGAAACAGGATCTCTGGGTCTTCAACAAGGCGGCATTCGAGATGGTGACAGATATCAAAATATGGCAACACGAGGAAGAAAGAGTGCTTACCATTACCACAGTTAACGGTCGTGACAAACGTCATGAGCGTATGTTCCTTATGACAAATGACAAGTGGGACCTTGTCGAGGAAGGGGCATTTGTCACCGCGTACAAAACGCCGTTATTTATAGACGCGGCCAAGTCCAAGCACGATGGACTTAATACAATCACCACGTGGCCGCTACTACCCAATCAGGACAACACCATGAAGCCGCTTCTGGGAAACTATATACACACCGTGACTTATGGAGACCAGATGCTGTGGAAGCAGGAAGGGAAGGATTACATGTGCGACAGCGTATATAATATCGAGATCAGAGGCGTCGTAATTGTCACACTTAAAGTGTACGATCGATATGGGGATACGTACTACGTCTACTACCTGAATGACGGCACCAACGACAAATGGGTAGAAATCGACGTAGTAATGCTCACATTCCTGGTAAGAAATCTGCAAGCAAGTCGCGACTTCGCCGATATATTGAAAAAATACGAGTTCACGGCAGGCAAATTTAAAGACATAATAGTGAAAGATGCCAAATCACCAACTGTGGAATCAGAATTGTGAACAGCTACGATAGGTGCCAACGAGGAGCGGCAAAACATAATTTGTCGGTTTAAGTGGCGCCCGCCTAATGTAACGGCATCAACACATCAATGGCGCTAATGCCGGTGCAGGAAGCGACATGTATATTGCCCATATCAGGGGGAATGAGAACACCAATCGTGGTGGAAATCCCGATGCATGTTCGACACGCATTATTCGAAATATTCTAAGAAAACTTTTTTGTCGCAAGGCGAACAATAAGCACGCCCGATGTAGACATAATCCTGTATGCTGGAGTATGTGCTGAGTGAGTTGGCTAATTATGGGCCTTTAGGGGATTGATGCGTTGAAGGCGTTTAACAACACCGGTTGACCTGTCACTAATTGTGTGACACAGCACATAATGTGTACCCCAACTCTCGGCATCACATATGTCTAATTGTCACACATTATGCAGTCTGGCTATCCCACCCAGAGGAAGTGTGTAACCACATCGTACACATCTTACGCGATGCGGACGTAATACTAGCTCTGTGCAATATGTATGTTGTTTTGTGGCACTAAAATAGCTATTTTTAGTCACCGTGCAAAACACATTAGAGGAAGTTCGGGAAATTAACGATTCCTTCGCCAAATTGTGCCTACTTAGGCATTATAGCGATAATAACACCCAGAGTATAGCTTTTTGATCAACTCAGGCGCATGTACATTTATGTAATTCTGCTGGTGTAACGGTATTGGCAACGGCAAACACTAAACGGGAGGAGCGACGGAGGCAACGTCGGGCGCATTGACGTGGGTGTTGAGGGTGCGTGGATAAAACAAAATAGCGGTGAAATCTAGAATGCGAGCTTTTAATTGCTATTTATAGTTATTTTTCAATGTATGTATATCGCAATTTGTGAACCTAGTAAGTAGATGAATCCATTCCTATCGTAGGGGCTTCTGGCTTCAGCGCAGCATCTCAAAACGAGTGTGTAAATACCATCGGGTGTCTATGTGTAAGCTTCATATGGCGGAAACTGTGGCTATTCTTATGCCATATGTGGTTTTGCGTGCGCCACGTAGGGTGTTTTTGATGTTGATGCATGGCGCCTATGGGTATTAAATATCGTAGAATGTGGAATGGGAGTCTAGGAATCGCAGCGCGCGTGTAATTCCCAACGTCGTACACGGAAAACACAGGGAACAACTAAAGTGCCGTTTTGTACTAACTATCCTCAGCAGGGCAAATGAAAATGGCGAAAGAGGGGCAGCCAAAAAACGATTGTAATTCCATGCTCCCAAATGTCGCAGCCTTTTTAAAGGGACACAGCCTCATGCAACCTCTGCAGGTTTGCTTATTGGGGTCTTCATTCGCCATGCAGAGATTTGGGTACACTCCCGATGCTGTTTCAACTTTTGTCGGAACGTGTCACACCGCAATGGAAATTTTCTATCTCTTTTCGGCGCTGACCACATTCGGCATACTTACAGCGCTTAGGAGTATATGGGGACTTAACGCTGACCGGTACGCAGCATATGGATGCGTTTGCTCTGCATGGGTCATTGTTATCGTTAACGTCTTCCTGCTCAAGTCATTCGCTCTAGGAAAAGGTAATGAAACCGTTACTCTATACTTTTGGATGCTAATTGCTGCCAACTGTGTTGCAGGCATTGATGACATGTTCATGTTCACAGTTGCTTCTGATGACGTTTCCTCTTACGATCTGGGCGCATCATTCACCGGTATTGTAGTCGGTCTATTCCACTGGTGCGCATTGATAATACTTAAGAAACGAAAAATGGATGTGAACTATTGGCTTATTTTCTATCAACTCTTTGCGATATTGACCCTTTCCCTGTGTACTGCCGCCATTTGGACCTGGTACACCTTTCAAGGGGGGTTGCTAGACAAAATCACGAAGAAAGAAGCATCACAGGGAACTGGTAAAGGGGGTGTAGACTCCGAAAAGGATCAAACTTTCTTGCAGGCTTATTGGGCGACGTTCGCCATGACCGCTATGAGCTCTATGGGTTATGGGTTTATATACGTCATATATCCTCTTATATCGCCGTTTGAAATGGTAGAATTTGAGCATCAGCACCCGATACAAACTGCTTGTCTGGTTATACACGCGGTCTCGGGAATCCTGGTATGCATTCTAGACAAGTACTGTGAATTGGGGAAGAAGTGGGCGGGGTCTCGCGCGTATTACCATTTCATATGGCTTCTTGCCATACCGTTTCTAGGAATTGGATTCATGTTTATACGTGTTATGCATTATCCAAAGTCACTTATCGCAAAAGGCGTACGCATGAAACCCGTGCTCGTAGGGTTTCTCACCGTGATATATTATTTTTCAGGGCGTTTCTTCATCGGAGCTGCATGTGCGGCTATAGATGGAAATGCTAAAAAAGGTGATTCTGAAGCATCTGATGTCAAGAAATCTGATTGTGAAAACTCCGCTGCTACAGGTTCTCCTGGCGGCACCCAAGCTGACTCAAATGCCTCAGCTGCCCAAGATGCTAAAAAATCTGACCATGCATCAACAATCTCGAGTATGAACCTGGCGCTGAATCTGCTGGTGCTCAACATTATTAAGTACATATCAGAAGCGTATATTGAGCATTTCAGAGAAGTAAGGGAAGAATACGAGTATGGTGAGCCGTGGCCAACGGAGGGAATGGGAGAACGCGAAGCATTCTTTTACTGGCTTAAGCAAGGTGCTGTGCTTGGGTTCAAGAATTTCAGGAAATTGGCCGTTCAAAATATCAAGGCAAAGCTCTCACCGTATATCGCCCAATAATGGTGACTCAACCGTTACGAGGCCCCCAAAGTGGAATGATACGATTTGGTGGCATTCTAGCGTATGGTTATATAGGTGGCGACGTTGTTTCACGCTTTAAACGTAGCCACGTCATCGCACCGCTCACGTCGGTCGTAAACTTCTCGTCGCGAAACGCGATCTATTAATTGTATAATTACATGCGCAATAGTAAAACGCGCTACGTAGCAAACATTCAATATCGCGCCACCGGCCTGGGTGTGTAGACATGATGCTTTCACGCAAAAGAGCGATATAACGTAATGCGATACATCGCAACCACATTAAACGTATATATAAGTGACCTTAAAGTGGCCTTCCGCGTACACATATGCAATCCACCGGATATATGCACGACGCCAACCGTATCACGCGTGCTAAGCGGCACAAACACACTAATTGAAAAGGCGTCTACACTTCACTGGATATTGTAATTAAATACACATCGCTATTTGCAGTGCGCCGACCGAAAGGATCGCGTTTATTATTGCACTGACCTTCCTGAGTTTACGGGAAGGAATCTTTAGAGACACATTTCTGCGAAGGTGGGCTATCCGTGCCTATTCACGAACCGTTTGGTTGTAGTGTATTACGTATATCGGTATATAATGTGTTATCATTTTCGAATCCTTCGTCATGGTGGCACAGGTTTTTGTTGTCTTCACATACGTTTACCACCATGGCGTCGAACACCTTCAAGCTCGTCGAAGAGGACTTCAAGTGCTACTATGACTTCAAGCCCGGGATGAGGTTCATCGACATGATGCCCGTTATAGGTGACGCCTACAAGCTCCGTGAGACCGTCAAATCCATGGCTGCCGGTATCAGGGAGAGACACCCGGAAGGTGTCGACTACATAGCAGCCATGGAACTTCTAGGTGTGCCCTTCGGAGCTCCGCTGGCGTACGAGCTCGGTTGCGGATTAGTTATCATCCGCAAACCGGGCAAGTTACCTGGGCCAGTTTACACCACGCACTCGGTAAAAGTGTACGACGAAACCGATCTCCACATTCAGAAGGGCGCATTTCCAGAGGGTGCAAGGGTTATCCTCGTTGATGACCTTATATATTACGGCGGTACCCTGGCGGCTGCCTGCAGGCTTTTGCAGATGGGCGGTGCCAAAGTTCTGGAATGCGATGTCATCGTCGATCTCCCCTTTCTGAACGGCAGGGAAAACCTCCAAAAGGAGTTCCCCGGAGTAAACGTGTACGGAGTGATGGAGTTCACTCCTCCAAAGAATTTGGAATAGGTGAAGACACATTCAAATGCAAGTCTCAAGGTGGCATCACCTGTTCAGGCCATCCCGTGGCAGAAGTCGCTGGGGGTTATAATGTGGGATTCACGGAACAAGCTTATCGCTGGGATTTGTTACGAAGTCTGCAGGTAAACAATCATTAACAGCAGTCAGCGCGTCCCGTGTGGTTGCTGAGTGGGTTAAGATTTGGGACGCAGCTTCTATTGTCTGGCATAGTGTGGCCAACTTTGTTTTAATGTTTTGTGTTAAGTTCGTGTTTTAATGTTTTTCATTTGTTGTTTCTGTGAATGCAGTGGACGAAGCAAGTACGGCAAAAGCGTTCATGCTGGATGCTGGTTATTTACTGTCAACTGTTTACTCAACCTTTGTTCTTAAACGCATTTAGAGCACCATGGCAACGTGCACTTTATCTGGTTTATGTGAGTTATCACGATGCATTCTTCGCCTTATGCGCGCTGTCTCGTCAGAGGTAATTACGCAATTTCTTGAGGGGCTTATCGGACGCCAGAAGAGGGAAAAGATAATGGCAGGGAGGACTAGGATGGCAAATACGGCGTCAGGAGCGTAATTTGTATACCATCCACTTTGCCGTCTTTCGCAATTACGATGTCCTAACCGACAGTTTTGATTCCTCATCTTCCCTTCAACTCATTTAACCGTTAACAGCGCTGAACGGTTTACCCTTAAGTTGGAGATTAGAGATACGGAAGCTCAATGCTGCGCCGCCAATATAAGTTGCAGTGTCTCTATGTGTCTTATTTGAGTCAAGATGCGTCGCTCGTAATGGAGTAATCGTAGTGCTATATTGGCCGTTCACAGCATAAGGGGCGCACATAATTCAGAGGTATCCTACATCTATTCCATTTCACATATATTAGTATCCGTGCTACTGTACAATCTCCTACTGTCACGCTGCTGCCTGTTGTATCTCACCGTTCCATCTATCCGTGGTATGTGGCTGGGTCCGCTGACACCTAGGAACCCGCAGTTGACAACCGCCAATGTGACTCACTGTCGCATTACGTAAAGTCTTATATAATTAACTGTAAAGGTATGATGAGCAGGTGAAACCACTCCCGCATCCACTACCACCGATAGTCTAGCACGTCCAGGCAGTGGCACAGTAGCTGCTTAACAATATTACTTGAGTAATATAAATCCAGTTCCACGTATCAGATGTTGCATTTCCCTACGTGTTAAGGTCGTTGCCGATCACTCAACTTGTGAATAGATGTGAAAATAAGGATGCGACACCATCCTCATTCCCGTAGTACAAAAAGCGAAGTCAAGATGTGCTGCGACGTAATTCCACTCCACACAATTATGCTGGCTTATTTCTACTCAAACAGATTATACGGACAACAGTACGCTCTTAAATTATCAATCGCAATCATCACATTCGAACCTAAATGCACGCTGCCGCTGAAATACCCTAATAAGCATGATATCGACAACACGAACAATGAAAACAAATTAATTTCCGCAGTACATCAACACAGTATCGCCTCGCAGTTATTCATCACTTGGCATAATAGTTCTCGATCTGTATGGTGGAGAGGATGATGCCCTTTGTGGTTACGCAGCGGCACTCCAAGGGTGGCGTCGGGCGCAACGTCTCACCAGGTCCTGCAAGTTTACTGAATGAATGCAGTGTCACGAAGTGATTGGAATGCGAAGCAACCAATGAATAACTGAGGTCGCTTATGTTCTTGACTAAGCCATTCACTAATACTTGTTTGAAGCAATTGGGTGGGTCCAGGACGTACGGCGCAGGGCAGTAGAACGCCGCTTCGCCCGCAGCCTGAATGTCGATCTTGCAACCAAACTTGAGTTGTCCGTAGGCGTTGTAGAGTTTGGGTGTCTCAGGTTTGAACAGCTCATCTGTTGCGTACGTAACGCCACAGCCTTGCATATAGGGATCCGTCGTTTCGACGTTAACTTGAACCACGTTCCACGTGTATTTTCCTGACAATCTTGTGGCCTGATGTATGGAGTCTGCAGATGAGCCCAATTCAGTTGCGTCGTCAGCGATGGTACACAAATCAGACTGTTTGGGCGTCATACCGCATACGAATGACATGGGTACGAATTTCTTGTGCAGTGGGTCCTTAGAGATAATGACGGCACCTCTACGTGATTGTATAGTCAACTCGTGATATGCTGTCCAGGTTCCATTATCGTATGTGACTCGAAATCCATCAGGACTAGTAGCAATGGAATTGTTGTATGATTTACTAACAAGCCGAGTCCCATATGGTGTCTCCTTAACGTCGTAATAGAGCGCCTCCGTTTGCGTCGGCAGCCATATACTTTCTATCATTCCATTATATTTACCAGTCTGGAGCTCTGTATCAAGTGAGCAACTCATGACCAACGTTTTGCCTACATTTAGTGTAATGGGCTTTTGTGGTTCGTGGTATATCATGGTCGATTTCGCTGAAGCAATCCCTTCAATTAATAATTTGGCCTTATTCCTGGGCGGCGATATGGACGAGATTAACCTCCGCAATTTCTTTCTACGGCGTACTAAGTAGGTGTAAGTTTCTCGGTGGCTAGACTCCAAAATAAGCCTGGACGTTTCGTATCCACGTTTATCAACACAGATGCAGGCATGGCTGAGGGGAACATTTTCTAATCCCATGCGGAACACCTGAAATTCTCTCATGGGGTGTGGAGTTGCATTACGCAAAGATTCGGGAAATGGCATTACTTGATTAGAGTGTAGGTCGTATCCTGCATGATCACAGTTAGCCGGTAACAACTCCTCCCCTGGGCTGCAATGAATGCCAGCCCACAACATATTCGACATTTTATTGTACGCGCATTCGTAAACGTCCCCGATACCATTCCCCATTTCTTTCGTTGAGCAATAACGCCTGCTAGTGTTACGATCAAACACACCTGGTGTACGTCGGTCACAACCAACTATGTGGTATATATGAGTAAACGCAAATGAGACATTGACGATGGCACGTATTGTGTCTGCAACATTCTCGTTTCTTGATTTCAATGTCCAATGATACAAGAAGGCGTTGTGGCCTCCTAGTGACGTGAGAGGTTTGCCCTGATGGTATATCAGTTTTACCTCACCCTGGGATATCTGGGAAGCATCCATCTCAAGGGCGTCTCCAGAAATGGCATCGTGGTATGGGATTTCGTCGTAAATATCAAAGTCGTAGAAGCTTGCCAATTGTCTCAGTGTACTCAAATCATTCGGCAGGAATTCGGTTTCGTATTCATTAATAGGCAACTTTTGGTAGCGCACTGCATCCGATAAATCTCTGTCGGAACTTGCATATATGCCGCGTACCGGAAACCGTATGGTCAAAGTGCTGCCCGGATGGAGTACAACCGAGCACCAAGGGCCACTGATAGGACTTGCACGGCCGCGTTCCATCATGCTGGAAATGTCACAGACGTGGTCGGTTTTCGAACGGATCTCTATCTTGGCCTTTATGTGATCTGTTTCGGGATCTATGCACCTACATTCGCCACTGAAGGGAGGTAAGGCTAATTCATTAAAATATTTCGCCACCACCCAAGGCCCTGTGCTATAGGAATTCCTGTATGAATACGGTGCAGGGACAGACATAATGCTGCCGTCCTTGTATAAGAGGGATCTCATGCAATCCTCAGGTTCGATCCTCCCTTCGCAAACAAAACCAATACGTGACTGCGACATAGGATCCGCCACACATGAACGGATTCCGGTGATGGGATCCACTGTTACTTCACTGTCTGCGTGAAAAAGTGGCGAGGGGCGGCTGCCACAACCTTGAATAGGTAGATGAGTGTCTCCTCTGTACAAGAGAAACACACCTATACCCTTCCCTAAGTTAGCTATTTCATTAATCGGTGGAGTGGATGACGTCCAAGGAAGCTCTTGCATTTGAATGGCGACATTGAGGCGATCTAGGTGGCGCTGCAACGTCTCACCCAAGTTGAAATCGAGCGGCCCGCAGATAAACATCAAGCGGCGCTCGGTTATGGCATATGTATCGGCAATTAGAAAATCCAATTTTAGTGCCCTTTCTGACATGTTCGATTCGAACCATACGAGTGGCTTCTCTGACTCAGATCGTACTACATCCGAAAGAGCGACAGAACGTAGCTTGCCATTACCACTTACATACGTGGTAATATGGGATTGTTCCTTCGACGTTGGCTGAGGATGCCACGTGTATTCAGTATCGTGGACTCGACTTGGGCATATCACAGTTGCTAAGTAGGAGTAGGCAATATCCATTCGACACGTGACAAGAGCATTGCTGCCGTTAAAACCATCTGCATCACCGAAATCACACAACAATGCATTTAGAGATACGATCGATTGTAAAGCTAACGCGCTTAGTGCAAATAGACATTTCATGATTCTAAATTCGGCCATGGTTTCCGATTTGGGGTCATACGTCACTGAAGACGAAAGCAAATACAAAATTATAACACAAAAAGATATACCTTATGAATATATGAAATCAAAAGAGAATAAGTATTTTGTGATTAAATTTTTGTTGGGGGAATTAAGGCTAGCGAAAACCCCATCGCTAGCTTGCTTCCAAGTTGCGAAGGAATATTCATTCACTGCTGCAACGGGAAAATTCATTGAGGTGGGTGTTGTAACATCCCCTACGTTTTAAGATTTCGAATGAACCACTGTTATGGCGTCACAATCTGGACGGGGAATGCATCGCTCTTTACCTGAACATGAGTTTACCCTCATCGATGAATCGCAATCAATTGGACGTAATCTGGGAAACAGTTTCATTACCATCGTGGAAATAGGAATAACCAATAAAGACAACCTGGTGGAAACGGAGATGTTCAAGAAACGGAAGTACGAAGACCTTGTCGAAGGCAATCAAATTGCGAACGATCAGCCAGGAGACGAGGAGCATGGCAATGCCGTATGCAAATAGGGACGTGACACCCAGAGAAGTCTGCCTCTGTGAATGACCCTTGCGTCCAGACAGGATGGATGTCATAATGGATGGTACCTGCAGCGTTCGGTAATGTGACGGCGTGGAAGACGCAACCGACAGCAGCAGCCTAAGGCGCTTGCCCGGTAAACACGAAAATCGGCCCTAAGCCACGTAGCACACTAATCAAAACCAAAACAAAGATAAAATTGATCAAGCACGCTCTCAACAACCTTAGAGACCACATCAACTCACTAATTAGCAAGGCAGTTACTCACTTCCTCGAGACTTTGAAGCCTTGGTTGGCAACCTCTTAGCTCAGCTTGAGCAAGTTAGTAAGACGCTGCCAGCTACATCATGGAGTTGGATAAGTGGATCAGTGAGGATGATGACATTGTTGAAATACCGATTAACTTAGTTAAGGAAATATATGCACAACCTTGTAAAACAAGAAATGTAAGCATAATCTAGACATCGCAATTATATAGTTGCAAGCACCTTGGCAGTGTCTTGGTTATACGGAAGCAGTGACGTCACCTTAGAGGTTATATCGCTTTAGTGTCTCCTTGTTCATCATTTAAACGCTTTCACTTGTATTCTTGTAGCACTAGCTTAGTGCCCATTTATTAGTGTCTTTGTGTTTAGAGCATTCGTAAGCAAGATGGCGGCTCACAGTATTCCGCTCAACACCCTCAAGCAGTGTCTCCAGTTCCTGGGGTGGTTGCATAGCAGGCAAGGAAAAAAGGTGCAAACCCAGGTGGCCAACGCTCTGCATGAGCGTCTTAAAGGTAAATACCAAGACGTTAGTGAGTCGCAAATTGCGTCGGCACTATCTAATTTCCTTAGCAGCGTGTCCAAGTTTCATAAGAATTTGTGGAATAATACAACCGCTATATATAATGGCAATCAAGATCCTACCGCCGTACTAGATGCTCTTTTAGAATGCATTCCCATGTTCCTAGCCGTGATGTACTTTCTGCGCTACCAGGTGGATGCAAACTTTGCGGCGCTGGGTGGAGGGAAGTGGGCGGACAAACCAGTTGGTGGAAGTGCATTCATTGGCCGTGAACTGCAGGCATATTTCACTGCACCATCCAGATCTAAAACGTATGGCATAATCCCTGGCGGTTTCCGTAAACAAGAGTTGAAACGTCTCTACCGCCAGGGTTCTTTTATGGCCAATGACCTTGAACAAATTTGTCAAAAACATAATATTGGCCTAAATGTTTTCCTCGACGTTTTCTCCACTTCAGTGTTGCCCCAAAATTCCGGCACCCAGGACTCAAATACAGCCAACGCCCTGGCGTTGGTGAGAACGCTTTGCGAGATAGTTGGAGAAGAAAAAGATGGCGGCGGCGAGTTAATAACAAAATTAAATGAGCATTTCAAAAACAAGCAAAATCGCATTTGTTGGAATAATTTAAAAGCACATTGTGAGAAGCTTAAATCTGAATTTAGCAATATTTTCGCCGACCGATGTTTTTCATTCACTGGCTTCGGTAGGGAGGTGAAAGACCTTAAGAAAGAAGAATTTGGGAAGGAGGCGGCGGATTGGTTGCGAAGAAATTTGGAGAAGGTGCGGGGGAATTTGGAGAAGATTGAAACAGATAACACAATGAAATATACTGCAGAATATTTCACTAAACATCTCTTCACATATGGCTTTACATTTTATGGCACCAACATTGGGACGGGAAAAGATCCGCATACAATTCTGCAAGAGAATTGGGCTGATGTAATTAATGAGCTTCGTAAACCCAGTGAAGGATTGGATAGGCTTAAAACAATTTTGGATGGTCAGCAGTGTCCAGAAGAGTCTGACAAGAAATCTGAAGGGAGTCCCAACCAGGGTAAGAAATCCGAAGGGTCTCCAAACCAGGGTAAGAAATCTGAGGGCGCACAGAACCAAGGCAAGAAAACGGAGGGAGCACAGAACCAGGGCAAGAAATCTGAGGGAGCACAGAACCAGGGGAAGAAAGTGGAGGGAACTCCAAATCAAAGCAAAGGTCAAATTGACATAAGTTCTTCAGGTTCACAAGATATAAAGTCTCTTGCTCCAGGTCCGTCTCCCGGTGGTCCAGGAGGTACAGGACAGCCAGGGTCTAAAGGTAATAAGGGTGATGCAGGCCCGCCAGGGTCTACTGGTCCAGTGACTCCGGCGTCTTCTCAGGTTCCAGCTCCGCCAGTTCAGAATGCTGATCAGACTCAACAACCTTCCCAACCGCCGCCAGCTCCCCCCCCTCCACCGCCTCCTCCCCCTCTTCCTGGAGGCGGTGTCATCCCTCCTAATTCAGTTCCCCCGGATCAGGATTCACCGGACAGTGTTTCTTCAGGCCAAAAGCCTACTGCCACTCCAGTCACAGTGTCTCCTCAGACTCCGGGTGTTTCACATGCACAACCTGTGCCGACTGGTGATAAGGGGGCTGGTCCACCAGGTGGTGGAGGGACAAGCAAGGCGGTGGTCAAGGCGCCAAGCAAAATGTAAACAGCATCACTACTGCGCCGGCTGCCCCGGCGCCTGGTGGAGGACCAAGCAGCGGTGGGAAGCCTGTACAAACTGATGAAAACTGCCCTCGGTCGAAGGGATATAAGCAAATTGAGCTTTGGCCTGGTAGAGGCAACTACTGTGTTAAGGATTTTGATTATAAACAACAAGAAGCAGTTCATAAGCAGTTTGATGAACAAATAAAAAAGGCGCAAAGCGATATCCAGGAACGCAAACGGCAGAGGGAAGAGAAACTCAGGCAGCAGAGGGAGGTAGAGGAGCGGAAAAGGGAAGCAAAGGAGGAACGCCGAAAGGAAGATGAGCGTCGGAGGCAAGAGGAAGTGGAGGAATCTAAACGTAAATTATTGCAGGGAATGGAAATGCGGACAAAAATTCTCAACAAGCATCCTGGCAGGCCAATGTACCCTGGCGCTGATCGAGTGGAGGATGAATTTAGAGAGATACATTTGAAAAGTCACCCAGGAACCAAGCTTACGACTGATCATCCAGGTACGAACGCTGTTATTGTTGAGGAGGCGTCAGCATCTGGCGCCAAAGGGATTCCGAAATCTACGTTGTCACACAAATTCCCACCTAGTGACATTCTTTTGGGCTATCCGATTAAGCCGCCGAAATTGCCAATGAAATATCCACCGGTGTCGCCGCATGCTGTGCCGGCTTTCGCTGATGTCCTCGAAGGCATCGATTTAACTAAAAAGAAACGCACGACCGAACGTCCATCCGTGATCACGTACAATGATAATGCACCGATGACGGCGCAAATGGATGTTGTCCCGATAAACTACCCATCGAACGTTACCGGTGGGATAATAAAACCGAACCCGATAAAATCCAGTCGGCTGAACTTCCAAGTGATGTGAACTTTGACATATCCCTATCGCAACTCACAGGTAAAGAAATCCCCAACCCCAAGAAGAACCGTCACATGTCACCTCCCCAGCCTCCAAATTGCCTAAGACGTCGCTGGTCGGTGACGCCAAAATTCCAAGCGTCAAAATACCAGCAGATCACCGCGTCATTGATGCCTCAATGCTTGAGTTTACGGATAACATAATCCCCGGTCTCAACCGGGGCCCCACTGCCACCGATTCCAATTATAAAGCCTGCTGAACAGCATGGCAACACTCTGACCAAGGCCCTTGAAACTGTTACGCTTGATGACCAGACCATGATGAAATTTTTAGAAGTCTCCGACACAAACCTCACGAAGTTCACTGGAAACGACATCCCAGTCCCCGAACCGCAGAAGATGGACATTCCAGTACCGCCATCTCTCGCTGAAGGATCTGTAATCCCAGATCCTAATCTGCTAAAATCTGGTTCCTCTATTCCTAGTGCCACGTTGGACACTCCACTGCCGCCCGTGCACATCGAAGTCAACAAACTCACCACGCCCGAAGGTGTTCTGAAATCTGACATAACTCAGGCCCCTTCACTGCCTACAGTTCATTTCATCGATGCTGCCCTTCCAAATAATGCGTACCAGGAAATGGATTCCAGTGATCCCTCAGTCTGGGGAAATTTCAAGAACTATGGTTTTGATATCTTTCCTGAGACCGGCGTGTGTCGCAACCCCTGGTACGTCGCCGATGCCTCCACCACTACCATAACTCCAACCCCCTCCCCTCCCCCGGGCTCCGACCATCTGCCCCCTCCCAAGACCGTCAGGGAAATGCTCCACTGGCTGGTGGGGATGACTCAATATGGGTATGTTGGGATTATTGAGAAGCATGTTAGGAGCCTTTTGAGGGAGTACAACAATGATGTTTCACAGCCTTCAGACGCCCTAGATGTCACCGGGGATCCCACTCAGCTGACCGCTTCCCATGTCACCTCCAAACTGACAGAGGCGTGTCTCTACGCGGCCACGGTTCTCCACAAGATTAAGTATAAGGGCTCCAAAGATGCTCCAACAACTCTAAACTTCACCTCAGAATATCGTAAGCTTCATTACTCCTCGAACCCCGCCCGTCTCCTCTGCCAGCTCCGGGACTATGCCTACGCCTGCTGCCACCAGTTGGCGTTCCTAAAGTCGCAGTGTTCTAGAGAGCAGTCACAAGGTGGTTGGCAGGATTGTTATTATGACAGTGGTCTATCTTCTCCCAAGTCCCCACTCCAGGCCTTCCTGACTGACGCCCCCGACTCCATCTTTAAGACTCACCCCTTCGACCCGTGCAACATCTGCCTCAAGAGCCGTGTCAACATGGGATTCAAGCACAGTGATTTGCCTGCAACTCACGAAACTGGCAAGCATATTTCCACCATCCTCTCTCCCAGCTGCGGCGGCGACGATCCCCTGCTGACACTGTCCTCCTACCTCAGCTGCCTCACCGGGCGGACGCCGCGCACCGCCGGGGAGATTGTCTCGTTCTTCCATAATTTCGGGAATGAGCTGCATTCATCATCTTCACAGTTGTCCAGGCTGGGTACATCCTTAACCGATCAGCATAACGACTGCCCGAGGTGGGATTGTCTCAAGGAGTCCGACGCCGATACCGTCCGGGACCTCCGCGGTTCCGACGCTTCCAACTCCATCCACGACCACAACCACAACCACGACAAAGGCCATCCCAAGACCCTGTCCACGCTGCTTGGCTGCGACGCCAACAACTCCCACTGCCCACAACTTCTCTCTCCCATCACCTACCGGACGTACGCCCTGTACTCTTCCACCTTCGCCCACACCTACCTCAGCTGGACGGCCTACCTAGCAGACAGACTGTATGAGTCACTGGTCAAGCTTCACTGTGATCTCAAGGACCTTCAGTGCCACGACTCTAACTCCAAGTCCCTCCACCAGTGTGACAATGCTCTGCCCCTCCTCTACTCTCACGGGTTCACGCCACCGGAGGGTATGCCATCATCACAACTCAAGTGTTCGGATGTCATCTCCAAGCTGGAGGAAGTGCTATCTGGCAAGCCTATCGCAGACCTCATGACCGCCATGGACAATTTCCTCTACGGCATCCGTGCCCCCTTCCTCTACACTGTGTTCACACTCTGGCTCATCGCCACGCTCTACATTCTCCACTCCCTGCTCTACCGCATGGACGTAATGCGCATCCGCTCACACCTTCTCACCACCAGGGCCTCCCACCTCATCGACGTCAAGGCTTTACTCGCCGGCAGCCGCAGGATGCTCTCACTCTACAAGGACGTCGATTACTTCGACGACGACTTTCACTCGTGACAGTAATTATCGTAGCTACATTCACATTTACATTCCCTGTGTTGCCGTGTCATCTCACGTCTCTCATGGTGACTGTATCTCGTGCCTTGCCTAGCACCCAACTCACTGACTAACCAAGAGGCTGACCTAGCACCTAACTCACCACTTAACCAAACTGCTCACCTAACACCTAACCTAAGATGTAACCTACTCGCTGCCTTACCATGTCCCTTCTCCCTTTGTCGCCTTGCCGTCACTCCCAAAACATCCCTCCTTCATCCCACCTGCGGCGGCGGATTGCGACTGCGGGCGCCTCTCACCACGCCCCTCTTGCACCTCTAAATTGTGTCACCAATCGACACTAACACCTTTACTGTGTCACCTATTAACATCACAATTACAATCATCGCAAGCAACTTGGCAGTGTCTTGGTTATCTGGAAGCAGTGACGTCACCTTAGACGTGTTATCGCTTTAGAGTCTCCTAGTTAACCATTTAAAAGCATTCACGTGTATTCTTGTACCAGTAGCCTAGTGCCCATTTATTAGTGTCTCTGTGCTGTTTGCCTTTGTAACCAAGATGACGGGGCACGGCATTCCGCTTGGCACTCTTAAGGAGTGTCTGCAGTTCTTGATGTGGTTGCATGATGGGGAAGGAAAAAAGATGCAAAGCCGGGTGATTAATGAACTGGTGACGCGTTATGGGATTTCTAATAATCATATTTCGTTTACGGGCCAACTGCCACGTGCTGTCTCCGAATTCCTCGAACACGTGTCCACATTTTATAAGAAATTGTGCCACAAACCAGATCCTGGCAGTTATACAGGGATAAACGCTGACCAAATCGTCCACGCCCTTCTAGAGTGTATGCCCAAGTTCCTCGCCGCTTTGTATTTTTTGCTCTACAATGTGGATAGATGGTTCGAAGCAGTGGGAGGAGGGAAGTGGAGGTATAATTATCCTGGGTGGGAGTCGACTTGGGTGAGATATCTGTGGCATAAAGAGTGGGGAGGGTGGCTGCAGAATTATCTCAGGGCGACACTGAGCGTTAACTACGGTGGCCTCATACTTGGTGGGTTCGGTCCCGGAGAGGTGACGTATGGTTATGAATATGGTTCTCGCTATGCTTACCGGTACGGTGAGAGCATGGTAGATGACCTTAAAGCGATTCTGGACAATAAGCTCCACAATTATTTCCGGGACGTATTTTTTACAACAGTCATTTCTAAAACTGGTGCCGGCACTCATAAAGTGAACACTGCGAACGTGCTTGCATTGGTGAAAACGTTTTGCGAAATCGTAATTTCTGTAAAGAGCCCTGATGGTGTGCTAAAAACTGCAGTGCAGAAAAAAAATACATGTCTAGATTGGGAAGAATTAAAACAGCATTGCAAAACTCTTGAGCAGCAACTTGGCAAGTTGTTCAATATCGAAGGCTTTTCCTTCACCGGCCAGGCGCGGACTGTCTACCAGCTTAACACTGAGAGATTTGCGGGGGAGACAGCGGAATGGTTTAGAAATAATTTGCACGAAGTTCAACATAATGTGAAACAAATAGATACAAAATTCCCAGTCGACAACACTCGACATTTGTATTATCTTCAGCCATTTGCAACAGAAAACATATTCCCCTACGGTTTTATATTTGGTAAAGACAGATATGGAACGCTGGGAGACGCGTGGAAGACGTTGTCGGATCATTGGGACAGTGTCATAGATATGCTGGGCAGAAATGGTGACGGTTTGGATAAGTTAAAAAGAATTCTAGATGGTGAGCCGTGCCGTCCGTCGGCTCCGCCTCCAAAACCGCGACCTAGGCCGGCGCCTGCGCCCAGGCCCCCCGAGGCCTGCACTACCATCAGGGGCTTACAGAGCTTCGGGTGGAAGGACATCCGGTCCAAGGCCTTTTGGAAGTCGGTCGTCTGTTGGGAGCCATGGTTCTGGTGTTAGAGCAGGAGGTGCAAGAGGGATGGGGGCCAACCATAGAGGTGGGATCCACAGTAGAGGAGGGGGACCGGGGGCTCAGAGAGACAGAGGAGGCCCGGGGCCTCGAGGTGCTGTAGGCGCTCCAGGTGCCAGGGGAACACAGAGGAGCAGCAGTCCAGGGCATACAATGTCTACTCAGTCTCAACCCTTACAATCTCAAGATGATCTCCAGTCTGGTTCTCAGCAACCTCTACCTGCCGTCTCCAGTGCCCCTAGCTCCACTAGTCAGCCCGGTGCCCCGGGTCCAACTTCAAGTGGCAGTGATGTTTCTGGTCAACAGTCTGGCACCTCTCAAGATGCTGCACGTACTCAGCCTCCAAGTGCTCCACGTCCAGGCTCTGGGTCACCTGGTGTCCACGGGACTGGGCAACCCAGTGGTGACAATGGTAGTCAACAAGTTAATAAAGACACCGATCAAACTCCAAGCGGCGTCACTACTGCGCCCGTTACCACGGCGGCTGGTGGAGGTGGGGGAAGGTCTCCACAGGATCCACCTAATAATATTAATAAGTGTAGTGACGGTGTATCTATCAACCTCGGTGGCAGTGAGTTCTGCCAGCGAAAACCTAAGATGCCTTATCGTCCTCTGCCTGCCGACTTGTTTACAAAACTTAATGATATAGGTCCGCGTAACTATTCACCGAAGCCCCCTATAAAACGAATTACTTCCCCAGCGCCGAGTCCTCGCAGGCTTCCAAGTCAGCCCAGCCACCCTGCTCCCGTTCCTCCCCGTCAGCTCACCGGTGGCCGGGGTGGTCAAGGGCGTCCTCCCGTTGATCCACGGGGGAGGGATGCCGGGGAGGGGGATAAGGCATATGTTCTCACTATGCCGATGCCCGAAGTCACTGGAAAATCACTTGTGAATAAAACAAGTGAGAAAAAGGAGAGGCTCCACAGGAAACAACGTAAAACTGTTGCGGAACAGAAAATGGCTGAGGTTCAGAAAAACATATATGAACGGCATAACCGGCATAGTTTATTGAACGGGAGCCCCGCAGCAAATGCCCAAGGCCTCCCTGGTGCCATGGCTCCGCAAGTATTCACATTCGCCGGTTACCCTTTGGAAACTATAAAGGAAAAACATTCTGGACGATATGATCCAACCCCGCCGAGGAAAGCGCCGACCAAGGCGAAACACGGATACCCAACGGGCATTGTAGTACCCAAAAGTAATTTCTCTCCGGTGATCCGCAGTGATGTACAAGGCGTAGTTTTGCCGCAGATTCCCGGAAGTAAAACGCAAAGTCCGCAGCACAAATTTAAACAAGCAGACAAGCCAATCGTTGTTGAGACGTTACACGGTCATCCTCACGCTACTATGATGGACGTCTCCATCACAGATCTGACGAAGCCCACTGGAAACGACATCCCAGTCCCCGAACCGCAGAAGATGGACATTCCAGTACCGCCATCTCTCGCTGAAGGATCTGTAATCCCAGATCCTAATCTGCTAAAATCTGGTTCCTCTATTCCTAGTGCCACGTTGGACACTCCACTGCCGCCCGTGCACATCGAAGTCAACAAACTCACCACGCCCGAAGGTGTTCTGAAATCTGACATAACTCAGGCCCCTTCACTGCCTACAGTTCATTTCATCGATGCTGCCCTTCCAAATAATGCGTACCAGGAAATGGATTCCAGTGATCCCTCAGTCTGGGGAAATTTCAAGAACTATGGTTTTGATATCTTTCCTGAGACCGGCGTGTGTCGCAACCCCTGGTACGTCGCCGATGCCTCCACCACTACCATAACTCCAACCCCCTCCCCTCCCCCGGGCTCCGACCAACTGCCCCCTCCCAACACCATCCGGGAAATGCTCCACTGGCTGGTGGGCTTTAGTCAATATGGGCATATTCCTTTCATTGCGGACCATCTTAAGGACATTTTGAAGGAGTTTAACAAGGATGCCTCACAGCTCTCAGATGCCCTCGAGGTCACTGGGGATCCCACTCAACTGACCGCTTCCCATGTCTCCAACACTCTGACACAGGCGTGTCTCTATGCTGCCACCGTTCTCCACAAGATGAAGTATAAGAACTCCAAGGATGCTCCAACAACTCTAAACTTCAAATCAGTATATTGTCATCTTCGTTATTCCACCGACCCCGCCTGCCTCCTCTGCCAGCTGCGGGACTACGCCTACGCCTGCTATCACCAGCTGGCGTTCCTAAAGTCGCAGTGTTCTCGGACCACCAAGGACGGTGGTTGGCAGGATTGTAAGTACGGCAGTGACATCAAGATGCCGTCCCCCCTCCAGGCCTTTCTGACTGACGCCTCGGACTCCAAGTTCGAGACGCATCCCTTCGACCCGTGTGACATCTGTCTCAAGAGCCGTGTCAACATGGGATTCACAAAAGAGGATTTGCCTGCATCTCACCAAACTGGCAAACATCTCCACACCATCCTCAGTCCCACCTGCGGCGGCGAGGATCCCTTGCTCACACTGTCCTCCCAGCTCAACTGCATCACCAGACGGACGCCGCGCACCGCCGGGGAGATTGTCTCGTTCTTCCATAATTTCGGGAATGAGCTGCATTCATCATCTTCACAGTTGTCCAGGCTGGGTACATCCTTAACCGATCAGCATAACGACTGCCCGAGGTGGGATTGTCTCAAGGAGTCCGACGCCGATACCGTCCGGGACCTCCGCGGTTCCGACGCTTCCAACTCCATCCACGACCACAACCACGACAAAGGCCATCCCAAGACCCTGTCCACGCTGCTTGGCTGCGACATCACCAATGCGCAGTGCCCACAACTTCTTTCACCCATCACCTACCGGGCCTACGCCCTCTACTCCCCGAGCTTCGTCCACCACTACCTCAGCTGGACTGTCTATCTGCCCGACAGACTGTGGGACTCGCTGCTCAGGTTGCATCATGATCTCGAGAAGCTTCAATGTCACGACTCCAAGTCCGAGGCTCTCCACCAGTGTGACAAGGCGCTGCCCCTCCTCTACTCTCACGGGTTCACACCACCGGACGGGACACTGCAGTCCTCACTCACGTGTTCCAAGGTCATCGCCAAGCTGGAGGCAGTGGTCTCCGGAAAGCCTATCGCAAGGCTTATGACCGCCATGGACACATTCCTCTATCGCATCCGTGCCCCCTTCCTCTACACTGTGTTCACGCTCTGGCTCATCGCCACGCTCTACATTCTCCACTCCCTGCTCTACCGCATGGACGTAATGCGCATCCGCTCACACCTTCTCACCACCAGGGCCTCCCACCTCATCGACGTCAAGGCTTTACTCGCCGGCAGCCGCAGGATGCTCTCACTCTACAAGGACGTCGATTACTTCGACGACGACTTTCACTCGTGACAGTAATTATCGTAGCTACATTCACATTTACATTCCCTGTGTTGCCGTGTCATCTCACGTCTCTCATGGTGACTGTATCTCGTGCCTTGCCTAGCACCCAACTCACTGACTAACCAAGAGGCTGACCTAGCACCTAACTCACCACTTAACCAAACTGCTCACCTAACACCTAACCTAAGATGTAACCTACTCGCTGCCTTACCATGTCCCTTCTCCCTTTGTCGCCTTGCCGTCACTCCCAAAACATCCCTCCTTCATCCCACCTGCGGCGGCGGATTGCGACTGCGGGCGCCTCTCACCACGCCCCTCTTGCACCTCTAAATTGTGTCACCAATCGACACTAACACCTTTACTGTGTCACCTATTAACATCACAATTACAATCATCGCAAGCAACTTGGCAGTGTCTTGGTTATCTGGAAGCAGTGACGTCACCTTAGACGTGTTATCGCTTTAGAGTCTCCTAGTTAACCATTTAAAAGCATTCACGTGTATTCTTGTACCAGTAGCCTAGTGCCCATTTATTAGTGTCTCTGTGCTCTTTGCCTTCGTAAGCAAGATGGCGGCGCACGGCATTCAGCTTGGTACGCTTAAGGACTGCTTTAAGTTCCTGCAGTGGTTGCATAAAAATGATGGTAAGCAACAAGAGGTGGCCAGAGAACTGCATGGGCGTATCAGTAAATATTTTCAAAAGGGTTCTAAACATTTCAACCTAGAAAACGTCAAAAAGGGCTTGTCGGATTTCCTTGGCCACGTGTCAAAGTTTTATGAGAGATTATGCTACTACCCAAGGCCGGGGAGGTATGACAGTAAACAACCGAGTGACATCGTAGATGCCCTTCTGGAATGCCTGCCCAAGTTCCTCGCTGCCATATACTTTTTGGAGTACTGCGTGAATCAGGGTTTCAAAGATCTGGGCGGGGGAGGGTGGCAGCAGAACTGGCCGGCATACGATGATAATCGGTGGGGAGGCGATCTTGCTAACTATCTCTATGCGAAATCCGGCGACCCTAAGTACAACTCAATCACCGGTCTCATACCCGGTGGGTTAACTTCTGGCGAGGTGAAATATAGGACACTTGGGCGGACTTACTACCAAGGATATAATATGGTCGATGACCTTAATGCCATCATGAGAAAAGGAAACTACAATTTCCTGCGCAGCGTATTTGTCACTTCGGTGTTCTCCACAGATCGTGGCACCGCTATGCAGAACACGGCGAACTCTCTCTCGTTGGTGAGAACCTTTTGCGACATTGTTCTTGAGGAGGCAGACCAAGATGGCGGCGGAGGGTTAATAAAGAAATTGGATGCAGGCTTAAACAGTCAATGGAGATCGCAAAATAGATCCATCTGCTGGAAGGACTTAAGAGAACATTGCGCTCAACTGAGGGAAAAACTCGGCACACTCCTCAACAAGGACAAACGCTTTGACTTCACAGGCCAGTCGACGGCACTTCATAACCTGCACAAAGAGGAGCTTGCAAGCAGAGCAGCGGATTGGATGAGGCAGAAGCTTACCATGGTGCGGGGCAATTTAAATAAAATTAAAACGGATGCATCTGCGACGAATGATCTTGGGGAATACTTCACGAAACATTTCTTCCCCTACGGATTCATATTCAAAGAGCGCTTCCATTTGTCGGACAGTGATGTGCGGGGTTTGAAAACAGATTGGCGCAATGTAATCGATGACCTTAAGAAACGGAATGGCAGCGATTTGGATAGGCTTGTGGAGATTCTGAATGGTGATGGTCCAGGATCGTGTCAATCTCCCCCGCATCCACCTAAAAAGCCTGAGGCCCCGCCTGCCAAGGTCCCCGAAGCCCCCAAGGAAGTTGTGCCGGAGAAGGTTCCGGTTCCACAAAAAACCGAGGGAGCACAGAACCAGGGGAAGAACGCAGATGGAACTACAGATCAGAATAATGGTCAAAGTGAAGTAAAGCCGCCACCTTCACCTGTTGTAAAGCCTCCTGCTGCAACTCCGTCTCCCGGTAAGGATGGAGGTCCAGGCCTGCCAGGGCCTACTGGTCCAGCGACTCCGGCGTCTTCTCCGACTAAAGATACACCAGGTAACCAAGGTGTTCAAACTCAGCCTGATGGAAAACCAGGCCCGCCACAGCCTCTCCCTCTTCCTGGACCCCCCCGCCCCCCCCGGTCAGCCAGGTGTCGGCACTGCGGGTTCATCGTCCGTTGACACTCCAGGTTCACACCCTACTTCCCCTCAAGCCCCTGTGCCTCCCCAGATTCCGAGTGCTTCAGGTTCAAACACTGGGTCAGCTGTCGATCAGGGGGCTCGGCAAAATGTTGTTCAAAATGGTAGTCAACCAACAAGTCAAGCCTCCGATCATGGTTCAAGCGGCGGCGGTACTGCGCCGGGTGCCACGGGGCCTGGTGGAGGTGGGAGTGGGAAGGATGCCGCTGATACTTGCCTGAAGCCTACATTGGAAAATCTCTGGACTCATAGCAATGATCATCCCCCAAAACAATTCTGTACTCTGACATACAAGAGTCCCGTTAGGTCTCCGATCCAAGGACAGAAGACTCCCTCACAACATTGGGAGGCTGTGCAAGAGAAGGAGAAGCAGCGACGGGAGCAGCAAGAGAGGGAAGCAGAGGAACTTAAGCAGAAGGAAGCGCTGCGGGAGAAACACCGCCAGCAGGAGCAGCTGCAGAATTTAATATTATCGGTTGAGGGATCCAATGTTGGCCCTCCGTTGGAGGGTAAGACGTTGCCGGACGTCTCCGCCCTTATATCGCAGAAACGGAGAGAGGCAGACGAGAGATCGAAAATGCGTGAGCAAATACATATTATGAGGGATGGTGATTTTGTTCATGCCTCTGCAATTAAGCCTTTCACAAAGCAGCCTTATGCTGCCCGGCTTTTAAGATCCCCCAAACGCTCGAAGCCGCTCCCTGCTGCCAGGCATAAACATCATAATGTCGCTGTTCCCGATGTTGCCGACGGCATGGCGTTACCGCAGAATTTGCCGACCAAAATGAACGTTCCTCGACACAAATTTAAACAGTCGCACAAACCCCTCGAAGTGCAGGAGTTGGATGACTATCCAATCGCTTTTACGCAGCACGTCTCCGGGACCGATCTGACGAAATTTCCTGCAAAAGACGTCAATGCCACCGCATTTCAGGACTTACCGCAGCCCGTGCCACAGTTGCCAGATTTTAATGGATCGCCCATCCCCGATTCCAACCTTAAGTCTTCACTAAATCCCACAGCTATGTTCCTTCCTGTGCCACACCCAACCATCGGTTTAAAAACCGATATCCCAGAAAGGCCTCCCCAAATTGAGGAAGAAATTGACTTCTACATCGACGTCCCCAAAAGCAGACTACCAGACAACGATCTTGAGTTTGACTTGGATTTTGACGATGACACTGCGCATATTAAGCATGATGCACTGCCCCTGCCTGCGGATCCGTACATACCTAAAATCTCATTTAACCTCAGACCTCCAGATCCTCAGCAGTATCTCCCTACCATAGATAAGCCAACGATTAGTGCAGTCGAATTCGAAGACAAATGCCCTGTTCCTTGGATCACTCAGAAACCCACGCACGACTCTGCCGATATCCCCGACACCGAACTGTTCCCCTCCCTGGCGCCGCGTACAGTCAAGGAGATGCTTATTTGGATGGCAGGACTGCAACACAAAAAGCACCAAGAGACTCTGCAAAAGTGTATTACTAACGCTTTCAAGCGCGACGATGATGAACCTTCAGATCTCCGACTCTCACTCAACGGTGCTGACATCAGCCCTCAACATGTCATCGACACCATTAAGCTTGCCGCCGTGTTCGCAGGTTCAGTGCTATCCGCAGTTGCTCCTAGATGGAAAATGGCGGTGCCATCTGTAACTTCAACGCCCAGGGACTCCGACCAATCCAATGACCCTGATTGTTGCGCCCTCCTCTGCCAGCTGCGGGACTACGTCTACGCCTGCTACCACCAGTTGGCGTTCTTGAAGTCGCAGTGTTCTCAAGTCTCCACGCAAGGTTGCTGGCAGAATTGTGAGTATGGCCATGATGTCCCCTCCAACTCCCCCCTCCAGGACTTCCTGACTGACGCCTCGGACTCCAAGTTCGAGACGCATCCCTTCGACCCGTGTGACATCTGTCTCAAGAGCCGTGTCAACATGGGATTCACAAAAGAGGATTTGCCTGCATCTCACCAAACTGGCAAACATCTCCACACCATCCTCAGTCCCACCTGCGGCGGCGAGGATCCCTTGCTCACACTGTCCTCCCAGCTCAACTGCATCACCAGACGGACGCCGCGCACCGCCGGGGAGATTGTCTCGTTCTTCCATAATTTCGGGAATGAGCTGCATTCATCATCTTCACAGTTGTCCAGGCTGGGTACATCCTTAACCGATCAGCATAACGACTGCCCGAGGTGGGATTGTCTCAAGGAGTCCGACGCCGATACCGTCCGGGACCTCCGCGGTTCCGACGCTTCCAACTCCATCCACGACCACAACCACAACCACGACAAAGGCCATCCCAAGACCCTGTCCACGCTGCTTGGCTGCGACATCACCAATGCGCAGTGCCCACAACTTCTTTCACCCATCACCTACCGGGCCTACGCCCTGTACTCTTCCAGCTTCGCCCACCACTACCTCAGCTGGGCGGTGTACCTAGCAGACAGACTGTGGGACTCGCTGCTCAAGCTGCACTGTGATTTCGAGAAGCTCCAATGTCACGACTCCAGGGCCAAGCCCCTCCACCAGTGTCCCGAAGCCCTGCCACTCCTCTACACTCACGGGTTCACACCACCGGACGGGACACTGCAGTCCTCACTCACGTGTTCCAAGGTCATCGCCAAGCTGGAGGCAGTGGCCAACGGACAGCCTATCGCAAATCTTATGACCTGCATGGACGCATTCCTCTACCGCATACGTGCCCCCTTCCTCTACACTCTGCTCACACTCTGGTCTGTCGCAATGATCTTCCTCTCCCACACGACGTTGTACCGCATGCACGTGCTGCGCATCCGCTCCCACCTCCTCACCACCAGGGCCTCACACCTCATCGACGTCAAGGCGCTGCTCGCCGGCAGCCGCAGGATGCTCTCACTCTACAAGGACGTCGACTACTTCGACGACGACTTTCACTCATGACGGTAATTATCGTAGCTACATTCGCATTGCATTACTCTCTTTGTGTTGCCATGTCGTGTCACGTCTCTCATGGTGACTGTCTCGTGCCTTGCCTACCACCTAACTCACTGACTAACCAAACGGCTTACTTAGCACCTAACCAAGTGGCTGACCAAGCACCTAACCAAAATGCTGACCTAGCACCTAACCAAAATGCTGACCTAGCACCTAACCAAACGGCTGACCAAACGTCTTACCTAGCACCTAACCAAGTGGCTGACCAAGCACCTAACCAAAATGCTGACCTAGCACCTAACCAAACGGCTGACCAAACGTCTTACCTAGCACCTAACCTAAGATGTAACCCACTCGCTGCTTTGCCTTGTCCCTCCTCCCTTTGTTGCCTTGCCCTCACTCCCAAAGGAGCCTGCTTCATCCCACCTTGTCGGTGGACTGAGGCTGCGGACGCCTCCCACCATGTCCCTCTTGCACCTCTAAAATAGACCACTAATCGCCACTAACAGCTTCGCTGGGTCAACTATATACATCGCAATTGAATCCATCGCAACCATCTTGGGAGTGTCTTGGTTATCTGGAAGCAGCGGCGTCACCTTAGAGGTTTTATCGCCTTACTGTCTCGTGGTTAACCATTTAAATGCTGTCACTTGCACTTTTGTACCATTAGCCTAGTGCCCATTTGTTAGTGTCTTTGTGCTTAGTGCTTTCGTATCTAAGATGGAGAAGCATGGAGTTGAGCTCAACACTCTCAAGGACTGTCTCCAGTTCTTGATGTGGTTGCATGATGGGGAAGGAAAAAAGATGCAAAGCCGGGTGATTAATGAACTGGTGACGCGTTATGGGATTTCTAATAATCATATTTCGTTTACGGGCCAACTGCCACGTGCTGTCTCCGAATTCCTCGAACACGTGTCCACATTTTATAAGAAATTGTGCCACAAACCAGATCCTGGCAGTTATACAGGGATAAACGCTGACCAAATCGTCCACGCCCTTCTAGAGTGTATGCCCAAGTTCCTCGCCGCTTTGTATTTTTTGCTCTACAATGTGGATAGATGGTTCGAAGCAGTGGGAGGAGGGAAGTGGAGGTATAATTATCCTGGGTGGGAGTCGACTTGGGTGAGATATCTGTGGCATAAAGAGTGGGGAGGGTGGCTGCAGAATTATCTCAGGGCGACACTGAGCGTTAACTACGGTGGCCTCATACTTGGTGGGTTCGGTCCGGAGAGGTGACGTATGGTTATGAATATGGTTCTCGCTATGCTTACCGGTACGGTGAGAGCATGGTAGATGACCTCAGAAAGATTTTGGACAAACATAATGATAAGTACAACGATTTCCGTGACGTGTTCGTCACATCGGTGATTTCTAAAGCCGGCACTCATAAAGTGAACACTGCTAACGTTCTTGCATTGGTGAAAACGTTTTGCGAAATCGTAATTTCTGTAAAGAGCCCTGATGGTGTGCTAAAAACTGCAGTGCAGAAAAAAATACATGTCTAGATTGGGAAGAATTAAAACAGCATTGCAAAACTCTTGAGCAGCAACTTGGCAAGTTGTTCAATATCGAAGGCTTTTCCTTCACCGGCCAGGCGCGGACTGTCTACCAGCTTAACACTGAGAGATTTGCGGGGGAGACAGCGGAATGGTTTAGAAATAATTTGCACGAAGTTCAACATAATGTGAAACAAATAGATACAAAATTCCCAGTCGACAACACTCGACATTTGTATTATCTTCAGCCATTTGCAACAGAAAACATATTCCCCTACGGTTTTATATTTGGTAAAGACAGATATGGAACGCTGGGAGACGCGTGGAAGACGTTGTCGGATCATTGGGACAGTGTCATAGATATGCTGGGCAGAAATGGTGACGGTTTGGATAAGTTAAAAAGAATTCTAGATGGTGAGCCGTGCCGTCCGTCGGCTCCGCCTCCAAAACCGCGACCTAGGCCGGCGCCTGCGCCCAGGCCCCCGAGGCCTGCACTACCATCAGGGGCTTACAGAGCTTCGGGTGGAAGGACATCCGGTCCAAGGCCTTTTGGAAGTCGGTCGTCTGTTGGGAGCCATGGTTCTGGTGTTAGAGCAGGAGGTGCAAGAGGGATGGGGGCCAACCATAGAGGTGGGATCCACAGTAGAGGAGGGGGACCGGGGGCTCAGAGAGACAGAGGAGGCCCGGGGCCTCGAGGTGCTGTAGGCGCTCCAGGTGCCAGGGGAACACAGAGGAGCAGCAGTCCAGGGCATACAATGTCTACTCAGTCTCAACCCTTACAATCTCAAGATGATCTCCAGTCTGGTTCTCAGCAACCTCTACCTGCCGTCTCCAGTGCCCCTAGCTCCACTAGTCAGCCCGGTGCCCCGGGTCCAACTTCAAGTGGCAGTGATGTTTCTGGTCAACAGTCTGGCACCTCTCAAGATGCTGCACGTACTCAGCCTCCGAGTGTTACAAGTTCAGGCTCTGGGACAACTGGTGGCCAGGGGCCTGGGCAACAAGGTGGTCATGTTGTTAGTCAACAAGGTAATCAAGTTGTTAGTCAACCAACAAGTCAAGGCGTCGATCAAACTCCAAGTAGCGTCGGTCCTACGTCGGCTGGCCCGGCGTCTGGTGGAGGTGGAGGACCGGCGTCCGCTAAGCCTAGCGTTCCAGCTACGCCGCTTCAACCAACAAAACCACCACCCCCTCCTCCACCGTGTTCAAGCGGCATGGCACATGCGAAATTTGGCGGAAGAAAATTATGTTTTCCGAATCCTAAGGTGCGTAAGCCGACTTCCACTTTCGCCCTGTCTGAACAAGACCTTAATACAGTGTGGACTCGTGTACAGGAGGAAAAATCATATAACACAGATCATACACAAAAAGACACTCAAGGTCCACAAACTCGACAAGCCTCCAGTATTTCGAATCAGCATCTCCATCCTTCCATTCATTCCTCTCAACCTCCCTCACACCATCCTGGTGTTTCACTTCCGGCCGCTCCTGGACCGAGGGGAAGTCAGCCTGATAACTATCGGGATATTGACAACTCTGGACCAGTAAATCCAGCTGCGGTGCGTTTAGCTCGTTGGCTTCAGGATTCCACTCTTGTCAGTGGCCACCCTGTTGTGGATAAAACCGACGATCCGAATGAAGAATATGTGAGAGTACAGCGCAAAAAGAATGCGGAACAAAAATTGGCTGATGTGCAGAAAAAAATTTATGAACAACAAAATCGTAGGAACTTGTTCACTGGAAAGGCCATATCAAACGCTAAAGGCATAGCGGATTCTGCGGTTCCACAAGGCTCCGCCGGTATTGGAGTTCCTATGGGTTACCCTATAAAGCAACCTAAAAGTGCAACAAAATCTCCACCGTTGCCGCAAACAACATTTGGCCCCAGTACCGCTAGCATCCCACAGGGCTTGGATTTAACAAAACAGCATATTCCCACCAAGCCTCCACCCGTGATCACTTACAATGATATCGCGCCGCTCACTGGGCAGGTTAACGTCCCACCGACACAGACATTGCCAGATGTTTCCGGTACTCCAATTAAGAATTCTCCGACAACAATTACAAGCGTTAAAATCTCACCAGACCTTGGCGTATTGAATCCATTGGTGTCGGATGCTAAGGGTCAGCCCATTTCGGACCCCAACATAGGACGTCGCATGCCACCGCTTCCAAACTCAAAAGCGATGCAGCTCTCTCACACTCTGACAAAACCGCCAATGACAGTCGTAATAGGCGACCATGACATGGCGAGCCTCGCAAACATCACAGTTAGCAATGTCACAAGTGCTCCTAAGCCGTTTCCAAAAATCTCACCATCCGATGCTATGGCAACAGGCTACCCTATCAAGCCGCCAAAATTGCCAAAACAATCTCTACCGGCGCTGTCTTCGACAGTGGAGCTCACAGGAAATTCAATTCCTGATTTTGACTCAAAATACCCTTGGTTGCCCCCTTCCCCAAACCAAAAGCTGGCTGCGCCTCCTCTTCCTGCCCCAATCGAATTAGAAATCGAAAAGCGGCACAAAACTGAGATTGCGTTCGACGCGCAAATTGAAGCGCCACCCACAGCAACACAAGGCTTCACGAAACCACCGTCTCGGACTACCGTACCACCTATGGAGTGGATTGAGCCTGCCATTTCCATGATGTCGTTGCCAGGTAAAGCTGCGGACGCATTCACTGTCAGCGTGGATGAACATGATAATGTGATAAATCCAGGCGCTGCGGAATTTCTGAAGAAGTTTGATCTCAACACAACGCCGGATGTCTATCAATGCCAAAACCCCTGGTACGTCCCCGATTCCTCCACCATTTCCGTGACTCCAACTCCATCCCCTCCCCCAGCCTCTGACCATATGCCCCCGCCGGACACCATCCGGGAAATGCTCCACTGGCTGGTGGGCTTTAGTCAATATGGGCATATTCCTTTCATTGCGGACCATCTTAAGGACATTTTGAAGGAGTTTAACAAGGATGCCTCACAGCTCTCAGATGCCCTCGAGGTCACTGGGGATCCCACTCAGCTGACCGCTTCCCATATCTCCAACACTCTGACCGAGGCGTGTCTCTACTCGGCCAACGTGCTTTTCAGGATTAAGCATAAAGATACTTCTAAGGCTATTTCAATGCCTGACTTCAGCTTAGAATATTCCAAGCTTCATTACTCCACCGATCCCGCCCGCCTCCTCTGCCATCTGCGGGACTACGTCTACGCTTGCTACCACCAGTTGGCGTTCATAAAGTCGCGGTGTTATCGGAACACCAAGGACGGCGGTTGGCAAGATTGTCAGTACGGCCGTGATGTGTCATCTTTCAACTCCCCCCTCCAGGCCTTCCTGACTGACGCCTCGGACTCCAAGTTCAAGACGTACCCCTTCGACCGCTGCAACATCTGCTGCAAGAGCCGTGTCAACATGGGATTCAGGGAGAAGGATTTGCCTGCGTCTCAGCAAACTGGCAACTTCCTTCTCACCATCCTCTCCCCCACCTGCGGCGGCGAGGATCCCCTGCTGACACTGGCCTCTTACCTCAACTGCCTCACCAGGCGGACGCCGCGCACCACCGGGGAGCTTGTCTCCTTCTTCCACAATTTCGGGAATTCGCTTCATGATGTGTCTTCACAGCTGTCTCAACTGGGATCCGCCCTCTCCACTCGACATGACGACTGCCCCGGCTGGGACAGTCTCAAGGACGCCGACCTCCAAGCCGTCCAGGGCATCCGGGGCTCCGCCACTCCCACCGCCAACCACGACAAGGACCATCCCAAGACCCTGTCCACGCTGCTTGGCTGCGACGCCAACAACTCCCACTGCAGTCCACATTGTTCGCCCATCACCTACCGGGCCTACGCCCTGTACTCTTCCAGCTTCGTACACCACTACCTCAGCTGGACGGTGTATCTACCCGACAGACTCTGGGAGTCACTGCTCAAGTTGCACTGCGATCTCGAGAAGCTCCAATGTCACGACTCTAACTCCAAGTCCCTCCACAAGTGTGACAAGGCCCTGCCCCTCCTCTACACTCACGGCATCAACCCGCCGGACGGGACACTGCAACCATCACTCACGTGTTCGGACGTCATCACCAAATTGGAGGCAGTGATCTCAGGACAGCCTATCGCAAGCCTCATGACCGCCATGGACACATTCCTCTACGGCATCCGTGCCCCCTTCCTCTACACTGTGTTCACACTCTGGCTCATCGCCACGCTCTACATTCTCCACTCACTCCTCTACCGCATGGACGTCCTCCGCATCCGCTCCCACCTACTCACCAGCAGGGCCTCCCACCTCATCGACGTCAAGGCGCTGCTCGCCGGCAGCCGCAGGATGCTCTCGCTCTACAAGGACGTGGATTACTTCGACGATGACCTTCACTCTTGACAGTAATTATCTCAGCTACATTACCTTTACATTCCTCTCTTCGTGTTGCCACGTCATGTCACGTCTCTCATCGTGAGTATCTCGTGCCTTGCCTAGCACCTAACTCACTGACTAACCAAGTGACTGACCTAGCAAGTAACCAAGAGGCTGACCTAGCACCTAACCTAAGATGTAACCTACTCGCTGCCTTACCATGTCCCTTCTCCCTTTGTCGCCTTGCCGTCACTCCCTAACAGCCTGCTTCATCCCATCTTGTCGGTGGACTGAGGCTGCGGACGCCTTTAACGACGCCCCTCTTGCAACTCTAAAATAGACCACTAATCGCCACTAACAGCTTCGCTGGGTCAACTATATACATCGCAATTGAATCCATCGCAACCATCTTGGGAGTGTCTTGGTTATCTGGAAGCAGCGGCGTCACCTTAGAGGTTTTATCGCCTTACTGTCTCGTGGTTAACCATTTAAATGCTGTCACTTGCACTTTTGTACCATTAGCCTAGTGCCCATTTGTTAGTGTCTTTGTGCTTAGTGCTTTCGTATCTAAGATGGAGAAGCATGGAGTTGAGCTCAACACTCTCAAGGACTGTCTCCAGTTCTTGATGTGGTTGCATGATGGGGAAGGAAAAAAGATGCAAAGCCGGGTGATTAATGAACTGGTGACGCGTTATGGGATTTCTAATAATCATATTTCGTTTACGGGCCAACTGCCACGTGCTGTCTCCGAATTCCTCGAACACGTGTCCACATTTTATAAGAAATTAGTAGCTACACCAATTAAGGAAAGTTATATCGATCCAAAAGCGAAAGATGTCACCGAAGCCCTCCTCGACTGCATTCCCAAGTTCCTCGCCGCTTTGTATTTTTTGCTCTACAATGTGGATAGATGGTTCGAAGCAGTGGGAGGAGGGAAGTGGAGGTATAATTATCCTGGGTGGGAGTCGACTTGGGTGAGATATCTGTGGCATAAAGAGTGGGGAGGGTGGCTGCAGAATTATCTCAGGGCGACACTGAGCGTTAACTACGGTGGCCTCATACTTGGTGGGTTCGGTCCCGGAGAGGTGACGTATGGTTATGAATATGGTTCTCGCTATGCTTACCGGTACGGTGAGAGCATGGTAGATGACCTCAGAAAGATTTTGGACAAACATAATGATAAGTACAACGATTTCCGTGACGTGTTCGTCACATCGGTGATTTCTAAAGCCGGCACTCATAAAGTGAACACTGCTAACGTTCTTGCATTGGTGAAAACGTTTTGCGAAATCGTAATTTCTGTAAAGAGCCCTGATGGTGTGCTAAAAACTGCAGTGCAGAAAAAAAATACATGTCTAGATTGGGAAGAATTAAAACAGCATTGCAAAACTCTTGAGCAGCAACTTGGCAAGTTGTTCAATATCGAAGGCTTTTCCTTCACCGGCCAGGCGCGGACTGTCTACCAGCTTAACACTGAGAGATTTGCGGGGGAGACAGCGGAATGGTTTAGAAATAATTTGCACGAAGTTCAACATAATGTGAAACAAATAGATACAAAATTCCCAGTCGACAACACTCGACATTTGTATTATCTTCAGCCATTTGCAACAGAAAACATATTCCCCTACGGTTTTATATTTGGTAAAGACAGATATGGAACGCTGGGAGACGCGTGGAAGACGTTGTCGGATCATTGGGACAGTGTCATAGATATGCTTGGCAAAGATCGCGACGGCTTGGATAAGTTAAAAAGAATTCTAGATGGTGAGCCGTGCCGTCCGTCGGCTCCGCCTCCAAAACCGCGACCTAGGCCGGCGCCTGCGCCCAGGCCCCCGAGGCCTGCCAGACCTGCGACACCACCTCGGCCTCCCGGGACTCCGGGTGTAAGGACAACCGGTACAAGAGGCGGTGGAGGTTCGTTGTCTAGTGGGAATTATGGTTCTGGTGCTAGACGAGTGGGAGGGCATAACCGTAGAAGCATGATCCAAGTTAGAGGAAGGGGGCAAAACAGGGGAGCGGGACCGGGGGCTCAGAGAGGCAGAGGACAAGGTCCGGGGCCTCGAGGTGCTCCAGGTGCTAATGGCGCACGGGCAAGCAGAAGTCCAGGGTCTTCGGTGTCTATTAAGCCCCAACCCTTACAATCTCAAGATGATCTCCAGTCTCATCCTCAGCAACCTCTACCTGCTGCCTCCAGTGCCCATAGAGACCCTAGTCCACCGGCTGCAACACTTCTGACTCCAGACCGCCTGGTGTCTCAGGCCTCTGTTCATGATCATTCAAGCGCGTCCAGCTCCAGCTCTTCGTCATCTAGTGTCACTGTTACCGGTGGTCAGGAACGGAGTCCACAGGCGGCCGCTTCTGGACATATTCAACAGAGTAGTCAAGACTCATCTCCCAATCAAGACTCCAATCCACACATACCCGGTCAGCATTCTGCTCCAGGTGGCGGTGGAGCCAATGGAGCGATAGGGGTGCCAAGCGCTGGTGGAAGTTTGGCTGTGGATTCAAAGGACAGTATTACCACATCCTCAAAACCTGTTGCCCCTCCAAGCAATGACCTTTCTCAGGCTCAAAGCGCTCTAGGAGATGTACAGTCTGCTAGGCATAATAGCGATCCAGGCAGTCCACGGCCTTCTTTGACACAGGATAGGTCAAGCCGCGATGGAGCCCCGGGACCCATGGGTGCGCTAGCTCACCCGATTCCGGATCCAGACAGCAAGGCGTCTCCGGCAATACATCCCTCTGTCTCTTCAAGTTCTATGCACACTCAGAATTCAAATATTCAAAGCCCAGACTCCCTGTCATCTCGTGGCCGTCCTCCTGATGGTGCTCAGGATCTGAAAGACCAGGCGCTTTCTTCTAACCCTACTCAACAAAATTCTAGTCAATCCTCAGATGTTCGAAGCACACTTCAGGGCTCACCAGGCCCCGATACTCAGTCATCTGCTGTAGGTAGTGCCGGTCCAGGTGGCGATGAAGCCAATGGAGGGGGTGGAGTCTCGGCAGATGGTACGGATGGCGATCCCCAGGTCGGCTCTCATTCTGGTCAATCACTTAAAGCCTCTCAACTTTCTGTGCAACATCAGACTCCAGGCCATTCAGCCCCAGGTTCTCCATCATCTGGTATCCCTGGTTTACCGGGCAGTGTTACTACAGCTCCACAGCCTGTTGATCCTCCAGCCCCTACGCTTACTCAGGCTCCAAGTGTTCCAGGTCCAGGCTCTGGGTCACCTGGTGTCCACGGGACTGGGCAACAAGGTGGTCATGTTGTTAGTCAACAAGGTAATCAAGTTGTTAGTCAACCAACAAGTCAAGGCGTCGATCAAACTCCAAGTAGCGTCGGTCCTACGTCGGCTGGCCCGGCGTCTGGTGGAGGTGGAGGACCGGCGTCCGCTAAGCCTAGCGTTCCAGCTACGCCGCTTCAACCAACAAAACCACCACCCCCTCCTCCACCGTGTTCAAGCGGCATGGCACATGCGAAATTTGGCGGAAGAAAATTATGTTTTCCGAATCCTAAGGTGCGTAAGCCGACTTCCACTTTCGCCCTGTCTGAACAAGACCTTAATACAGTGTGGACTCGTGTACAGGAGGAAAAATCATATAACACAGATCATACACAAAAAGACACTCAAGGTCCACAAACTCGACAAGCCTCCAGTATTTCGAATCAGCATCTCCATCCTTCCATTCATTCCTCTCAACCTCCCTCACACCATCCTGGTGTTTCACTTCCGGCCGCTCCTGGACCGAGGGGAAGTCAGCCTGATAACTATCGGGATATTGACAACTCTGGACCAGTAAATCCAGCTGCGGTGCGTTTAGCTCGTTGGCTTCAGGATTCCACTCTTGTCAGTGGCCACCCTGTTGTGGATAAAACCGACGATCCGAATGAAGAATATGTGAGAGTACAGCGCAAAAAGAATGCGGAACAAAAATTGGCTGATGTGCAGAAAAAAATTTATGAACAACAAAATCGTAGGAACTTGTTCACTGGAAAGGCCATATCAAACGCTAAAGGCATAGCGGATTCTGCGGTTCCACAAGGCTCCGCCGGTATTGGAGTTCCTATGGGTTACCCTATAAAGCCGCCGAAATTGCCGACCCCTCAATTAAAATCCACGCCGCAAGTGACAGCTATGCTGGAAGTCACAGGCGGGCCCGTTTCTGATCCACATCACGATCAAGAGGAATTCCGGAAGTCACGGCTTACAAATGCTAACCTTGAGCTTAAAAATAAGTATACCCGCAAAGCGCAAATGCTAACCGATGAGAGATATAGGCACGCAAAGGTTCTGCAACAGAAGGACAAGGAAGCCGCAGAAGCAGGGAGGCAACAAAAGCTGTTGGAAGAGATGACTGAGGAGCTTATAGTTCCCAAACCAAAGAGCGACGGTTATAATCACGACTTTATCGTAAGCAATGCACTGGGTGCGAATTACACCGTGCCGCCAATTATTGATAAGGACCCGCTAAAGAAGTTTACGCAAGGCGGATACGATAATTCTCCGCCGACAGCAATCCCACCGGAGGAGTACTCCAAAGTCAGGATGGCATTGGAAGCCGAAAACAAACATACCGTCTACGGGGACGTTCACATATCCGTTCAGAAGCCGTCGTTTACTGAGTCACATGATGATTCCGACCAATTTGATCTCCACATTGATGTCCGCAAGCCCATTGTTCAAGACCCTGTCGACAACACGTATGATGACCCTTACGCCAATGACGACGACGTCCTGCGGGACGAGTTTAAAAATGCGGAGTCCTGGCATGGTGAAGACAAAGGCTTTTCTGTCCTGCCCAAGAGTAATTTTAACCTTGAATTTACTCCATCCTTTTTACAATCCGATGGGGATCATGATCCTGGTATTCCCCGGGATACTCCAAGGAAGCCATATGACCAGATCATTCCGGTGTTCCCTGACTCTGGAGTATGCCAAAACCCCTGGTACGTCCCCGATGCCTCCTCCACTACCGTCACTCCACCCCTCTCCCCGCCCCCAGACACGGACCAACTGCCGCCTCCCAAGACCGTCAGGGATATGCTCCACTGGATGGTTGGATTGAATCAATATGGGTATGTTGCGATTATTAAAAAGCATATTGAAGACCTTTTGAAGGAGTATAACAAAGATGCCTCCCAGCCTCCAGATGCCCTCGAGGTCACCAGGGATCCTTACAACCTGGACGCTTCCATCGTCTCCAACACTCTGACAGAGGCGTGTCACTACGCGGCCAGCGTTCTCCACAGGCTCAAGCACAAAGACATTTCGACAGCCGATACAATGCCTGACTTCAGCTCAGAATATTCCAAGTTGCGTTATACCTCCAACCCCGCCTGCCTCCTCTGCCAGCTGCGGGACTACGCCTACGCCTGCTGTCACCAGTTGACGTTCCTAAAGTCGCAGTGTTCTAGAGAGCAGTCACAAGGTGGTTGGCAGAATTGTGAGTATGGCCATGATGTCCCCTCCAACTCCCCCCTCCAGGACTTCCTGACTGACGCCTCGGACTCCAAGTTCGAGACGCATCCCTTCGACCCGTGTGACATCTGTCTCAAGAGCCGTGTCAACATGGGATTCACAAAAGAGGATTTGCCTGCATCTCAGCAAACTGGCAAACATATTCTCACCATCCTCACTCCCAGCTGCGGCGGCGAGGATCCCCTGCTGACGCTGTGCTCTTACCTCAACTGCATCACCAGACGGACGCCGCGCACCGCCGGGGAGATTGTCTCCTTCTTCCACAATTTCGGGAATTCGCTTCATGATGTGTCTTCACAGCTGTCTCAACTGGGATCCGCCCTCTCCACTCGACATGACGACTGCCCCGGCTGGGACAGTCTCAAGGACGCCGACCTCCAAGCCGTCCAGGGCATCCGGGGCTCCGCCACTCCCACCGCCAACCACAACCACGACCATCTCAAGACTCTGTCCACGCTGCTTGGCTGCGGCATCAATAGTGTCAACTGCCCTCCACGTCTCTCGCCCATCACCTACCGGGCCTACGCCCTGTACTCTTCCAGCTTCGCCCATCGCTACCTTAGCTGGACGGTATACTTGGCCGACAGGCTGTATGAGTCACTGGTCAAGCTTCACTGTGATCTCAAGGACCTTCAGTGCCACGACTCCAAGTCCAAGCCCCTCCACCAGTGTGCCAATGCTCTGCCCCTCCTCTACTCTCACGGGTTCACGCCACCGGAGGGTATGCCATCATCACAACTCAAGTGTTCGGATGTCATCACCAAGCTGGAGGAAGTGCTATCTGGCAAGCCTATCGCAGACCTCATGACCGCCATGGACAATTTCCTCTACAATATCAGGATGCCCTTCCTCTACACTGTGTTCACGCTCTGGCTCACCGCCACGCTCTACATCGCCCACTCACTCCTCTACCGCATGGACGTCCTCCGCATCCGCTCCCACCTCCTCACCACCAGGGCCTCCCACCTCATCGACGTCAAGGCTTTGCTCGCCGGAAGCCGCAGGATGCTCTCACTCTACAAGGACGTCGATTACTTCGACGACGACTTTCACTCGTGACAGTAATTATCGTAGCTACATTACATTTACATTCCCTGTGTTGCCGTGTCATCTCACGTCTCTCATGGTGACTGTATCTCGTGCCTTGCCTAGCACCTAACTCACTGCCTAACCAAGTGGCTCACCTAGCACTTAACTCACTGCTTGACCAAACCACTCACCTAGCACATAACCAAATGGCTCACCTAGCACATAACCTATGATGTAACCTACTCGCTGCTTTGTCATCTCCCTTTGTCGCCTTGCCGTCACTCCCAAAGCAGCCCTCCTTCATCCCACCTTGTCGGTGGATTGAGGCTGCGGATGCCCCTTACCACGCCCCTCTTTAATCTCTAGAATAAGCCACTAATCGCCACTAACACCTTTGCTGTGTCACCTATTAACATCGCAATTACTACCGTTGCAAGCATCTTGTCAGTGTCTTGGTTATCTGGCAGCAGCGGTGTGACCTTAGAGGTTTTATCGCTCTAGTGTCTCCTAGTTAACCATTTAAACGCTTCCACTTGTATTCTTGTACCATTAGCCTAGCGCCCATTTATTAGTGTCTTTGTGCTGAGTACCGTTGTAACCAAGATGACGAAGCACGGAGTTCCGCTTGGCACGCTTAAGGAGTGTCTCCACTTCCTGGAGTGGTTGCATAGTGGGCAAGGGAGTAGTATGCGTGTTGAAGTTTCGCGTCAGCTATTTAGCCGTATTTATACATATTATAATAATCCTGGGTTTGAGAGACTATTGGGAAGTTCCTTAGATGATTTTCTGCGCCATGCGTCAGAGCTTTATAAACAAATAAGCACATCCGCAAAAGTGGGCGATTATAAAGACAAAAAACCTGATGACGTTGTCAAAGCATTTTCCGAGTGCCTCTCTAAGGTGCACTCTGCGTTTTCCCTGTTACTCTTTCACGTTGATTATTCATATACTCATGTGGGCGGTGGGAAGTGGAAGGATATGGAAACGCAGAACGATGACTTTGCGGGTATTGCGCTCAAAGGCTATCTCACTGCAACCAACACTTTGACGACCGGTGGAATCATCCCCGGTGGCTTCAGCTCTGATGAGCTACAAAATGTGCAAGGAATAACACTGGCCGAAAATCTAAACGCTGCGCTTCAAAGAAACATATCCACACCAGACCTTTTCACAAGCGTCCTTTTCGACAATTTAGTTAAGAACGATTGGCATAACCTGGATGCCGGGAACGTCTTGCTGTTGCTGTGGGCCTTTTGTGATTATGTGAAGACGCATGAAGGGGGCGGTGACCTCAAAGACAAATTGGAAACGGAGCTTAAAAGTCAAAATAGATGTATTGAGTGGAAAACATTAGTGGAGCATTGCAGAAAGCTTAAAGGTGAATTATCTAAATTGTTCGGCAGTGATGAAAATCAGGGAGCCTTCTCCACCACCGGCAGGGCGTTTACCACTACTGCCCTTAAGCCCGAAGCCTTTGCCGGAGCATTCGAGAAATGGTTTACAAACCATTGGAAGGAGATGACGGGGGCGTTGGAAGATATTAAGGGGAGCGTAGAGGATTTTGCTGAAAATCATGCTGAGTTCACCCCCGAATCTCTCTACCCCTACGGCATCGTGTTGAATAAGGACCAACGGGACAAGTGGCCAGAGGGATTGAAAAATCTGCACGGTGTTTTGGATGTGCTTGGTGATTCAAATAACGGTGAGTTGAAGGATCTTAAAGAAATTTTGGAAGGTACGCAGTGTCCACCGGAGCCTCCCCAGGAGGTTGTGCCGGAGAAGAAAGTTCCGGTTGTGCCGCCTAAAAAGCCTGTGCCCGAAGAAACACCTCCGTATGTAGCCACTAAAACTGAGGCCACAAAGCCTGTGGTCACCAAAGCCGAGGCGGCGAAGCCGACTACCGCTGGTAATGAGGGATCTCCAAACCAGAATAATGGTCAAGCGGAAGGAGCACAGAACCAGGGCAAGAAATCTGAGGGAGCACAGAACCAGGGCAAGAAAAGTGAGGGAGCGCAGAACCAAGGCAAGAAAGCGGAGGGAACTCCAAATCAAAGCAAAGGTCAAATTGACATAAGTTCTTCAGGTTCACAAGATATAAAGTCTCTTGCTCCAGGTCCGTCTCCCGGTGGTCCAGGAGGTACAGGACAGCCAGGGTCTAAAGGTAATAAGGGTGATGCAGGCCCGCCAGGGTCTACTGGTCCAGTGACTCCGGCGTCTTCTCAGGTTCCAGCTCCGCCAGTTCAGAATGCTGATCAGACTCAACAACCTTCCCAACCGCCGCCAGCTCCCCCCCCTCCACCGCCTCCTCCCCCTCTTCCTGGAGGCGGTGTCATCCCTCCTAATTCAGTTCCCCCGGATCAGGATTCACCGGACAGTGTTTCTTCAGGCCAAAAGCCTACTGCCACTCCAGTCACAGTGTCTCCTCAGACTCCGGGTGTTTCACATGCACAACCTGTGCCGACTGGTGATAAGGGGGCTGGTCCACCAGGTGGTGGAGGGGACAAGCAAGGCGGTGGTCAAGGCGCCAAGCAAAATGTAAACAGCATCACTACTGCGCCGGCTGCCCCGGCGCCTGGTGGAGGACCAAGCAGCGGTGGGAAGCCTGTACAAACTGATGAAAACTGCCCTCGGTCGAAGGGATATAAGCAAATTGAGCTTTGGCCTGGTAGAGGCAACTACTGTGTTAAGGATTTTGATTATAAACAACAAGAAGCAGTTCATAAGCAGTTTGATGAACAAATAAAAAAGGCGCAAAGCGATATCCAGGAACGCAAACGGCAGAGGGAAGAGAAACTCAGGCAGCAGAGGGAGGTAGAGGAGCGGAAAAGGGAAGCAAAGGAGGAACGCCGAAAGGAAGATGAGCGTCGGAGGCAAGAGGAAGTGGAGGAATCTAAACGTAAATTATTGCAGGGAATGGAAATGCGGACAAAAATTCTCAACAAGCATCCTGGCAGGCCAATGTACCCTGGCGCTGATCGAGTGGAGGATGAATTTAGAGAGATACATTTGAAAAGTCACCCAGGAACCAAGCTTACGACTGATCATCCAGGTACGAACGCTGTTATTGTTGAGGAGGCGTCAGCATCTGGCGCCAAAGGGATTCCGAAATCTACGTTGTCACACAAATTCCCACCTAGTGACATTCTTTTGGGCTATCCGATTAAGCCGCCGAAATTGCCAATGAAATATCCACCGGTGTCGCCGCATGCTGTGCCGGCTTTCGCTGATGTCCTCGAAGGCATCGATTTAACTAAAAAGAAACGCACGACCGAACGTCCATCCGTGATCACGTACAATGATAATGCACCGATGACGGCGCAAATGGATGTTGTCCCGATAAACTACCCATCGAACGTTACCGGTGGGATAATAAAAACCGAACCCGATAAAATCCAGTCGGCTGAACTTCCAAGTGATGTGAACTTTGACATATCCCTATCGCAACTCACAGGTAAAGAAATCCCCAACCCCAAGAAGAACCGTCACATGTCACCTCCCCCAGCCTCCAAATTGCCTAAGACGTCGCTGGTCGGTGACGCCAAAATTCCAAGCGTCAAAATACCAGCAGATCACCGCGTCATTGATGCCTCAATGCTTGAGTTTACGGATAACATAATCCCCGGTCTCAACCGGGGGCCCCCACTGCCACCGATTCCAATTATAAAGCCTGCTGAACAGCATGGCAACACTCTGACCAAGGCCCTTGAAACTGTTACGCTTGATGACCAGACCATGATGAAATTTTTAGAAGTCTCCGACACAAACCTCACGAAGTTCACTGGAAACGACATCCCAGTCCCCGAACCGCAGAAGATGGACATTCCAGTACCGCCATCTCTCGCTGAAGGATCTGTAATCCCAGATCCTAATCTGCTAAAATCTGGTTCCTCTATTCCTAGTGCCACGTTGGACACTCCACTGCCGCCCGTGCACATCGAAGTCAACAAACTCACCACGCCCGAAGGTGTTCTGAAATCTGACATAACTCAGGCCCCTTCACTGCCTACAGTTCATTTCATCGATGCTGCCCTTCCAAATAATGCGTACCAGGAAATGGATTCCAGTGATCCCTCAGTCTGGGGAAATTTCAAGAACTATGGTTTTGATATCTTTCCTGAGACCGGCGTGTGTCGCAACCCCTGGTACGTCGCCGATGCCTCCACCACTACCATAACTCCAACCCCCTCCCCTCCCCCAAACACCGACCAACTGCCCCCTCCCAACACCGTCAGAGAAATGCTCCACTGGCTGGTCGGCCTGAACCAAAAGGGGTATGTTGACATTATTAAGGAGCATCTGAAAGACCTTTTGAAGGACACTAACAAAGATCTCTCGCAGTCTCCAGATGCCATAGAGGTCACCGGGCTGCTACCTCAACTGACCGCTTCCCATGTCTCCAACACTCTGACACAGGCATGCCTCTACTCTGCCACCGTTCTCCACAAGATGAAGTATAAGAACTCCAAGGATGCTCCAACAACTCTAAACTTCAAATCAGTATATTGTCATCTTCGTTATTCCACCGACCCCGCCTGCCTCCTCTGCCAGCTGCGGGACTACGCCTACGCCTGCTATCACCAGCTGGCGTTCCTAAAGTCGCAGTGTTCTCGGACCACCAAGGACGGTGGTTGGCAGGATTGTAAGTACGGCAGTGACATCAAGATGCCGTCCCCCCTCCAGGCCTTTCTGACTGACAGGTGGGACTGCGGCTTCGACACTTACCCCTTCGACCCGTGTGACATCTGCCTCAAGAGCCGCGTCAATATGGGATTCACAAAGGATGATCTGCCTGAAACTCACGAAACTGGCAAGCATATTTCCACCATCCTCTCTCCCACCTGCGGCGGTGATGACCCCTTGCTTACATTGTCCTCCCACCTCAACTGCCTCACCAGGCGGACGCCGCGCACCACCGGGGAGCTTGTCTCGTTCTTCCACAATTTCGGGAATTCACTCTACAAGCCTCCTTCAACGTTGTCCACGCTAGGATCCGCCCTCTCCACTCGACATGACGACTGCCCCGGCTGGGACAGTCTCAAGGACGCCGACCTCCAAGCCGTCCAGGGCATCCGGGGCTCCGCCACTCCCACCGCCAACCACGACCACGGCCATCCCAACACCCTGTCCACGCTGCTTGGCTGCGGCATCAAAAGTGCCAACTGCCCACATCTGCTGCCAATAACCCACCGGGCCTACGCCCTGTACTCTTCCAGCTTCGTCCACGACTACCTCAGCTGGACGGTGTATCTACCAGACAGACTGTGGGACTCGCTGCTCAAGCTGCACTGTGATTTCGAGAAGCTCCAATGTCACGACTCCAGGGCCAAGCCCCTCCACCAGTGTGCCGAAGCTCTGCCCCTCCTCTACCGTCACGGCATCACGCCTCCGGACGGGGCACTGCAGCCTTCACTCACGTGTGCACAGGTCATCGCCAAGCTGAGGGAAGTGGTCGCCGGAGAGCCTATCGCAAGCCTCATGACCGCCATGGACACATTCCTCTACCGCATCCGTGCCCCCTTCCTCTACACTGTGTTCACACTCTGGCTCATCGCCGCGCTCTACATCCTCCACTCGCTACTCTACCGCATGGACGTGCTCCGCATCCGCTCCCACCTCCTCACCACCAGGGCCTCACACCTCATCGACGTCAAGGCGCTCCTCGCCGCCGCACGCGTCAAGGCACTCGCCAACGTCAAGTACTTCTCACCATAATCGTGCTTTCACGTGTGATCTGTGTATCACCCACCCACTCACCTAATCACTCACCCACTCACCTAATCACCCACTCACCCACATACTCACCCACTCACTCACCCACCCACTCACCTAATCACCCACTCACCCACTCACCCACCCACTCACTCACCCACCCACTCACCTAACCACTCACTCACCCACCCACTCACTCACCCACTCACTCACCCACCCACTCACTCACCCACCCACTCACTCACCCACTCACTCACCCACTCAACCACTCAACCACCCATTCACTCACCCACTCAACCACTCACCCACCCACTCACCCACTCACATACTCACCTACCCACTCACCCACTCAACTACTCACTCACTCACCTAATCACTCAACCACTCCTTCACCCACTCAACCACTCAACCACATACTCACTCACTCACCCACTCACCCACTCACTCACTCACCCACCCACTCACCCACTCACTCACTCACCCACCCACTCTCTCACTCACCCACCTCCTCTTTCACTGGTCGCTTCGCTCCCTGCCCTTCACTCCCTCCATCACCTCCTCCGTCGGCGTCCTTCGCCCAAATCCTCATTTTCCACTTTCTCCCTCCACCCCTAATATCGCCTTACCTCAACCCATCTTCCTCCCTCATCGCCCTCTTTCGCCTCCTCACCTCCCTCACCCTGTCCACCCACCTCCCTCGCTGCCTCCTTGACCTAAAATCGCCTTTCCCCAAATTCCCCCAAATCGCCCTGAAAATGTGCCATTTCATCCCCCTTTACTTTTTACAATTGCCTATCAATCTCCTCAAAATGCCTCTGAAATTGACAAGCTTAATAAGGATCTTCAGTCTCATGAGGCTTCGTTGGAGTCTCTCAAAAGTCTTGAAAAGCTTTGTCAACATTGTAATGATATTAATCAACCACAAAATAAAGATGGAAAATGTAAAGATATTTTAGAGAGTCTTTGTACAGGCCTCGAAAAATTTCTCGGCTACCATAATGGTAATTACACCGGCGAGGGCATCGTGTACTCGGACCTCGACAGGCTCTGCGACGGGGTGATGTCTTTCCTTCATGGAGTTTTACATAACATTAAGCCTCATTTAGGCCAGCATAATGATAAAATTCAAAAGGCAATAAGCCTTCTTGAAGCCAATAAACACTCTGGTAAAGATGGTTTTAACAATGCGATTGGCGCAGTGGTCAAGGGGGTGAAGGGGTATAATGAGGGTGTTGAAAAGTCTAATAATCTTGTGAAGAATCCTATTGAAGCATTGATGCAGAAGATGAAAAGGCTACAAACTCAGGTAAGTAACATTCTTAGAGATAATGTTGTTTCAGGTGACATGGAGGAAGCCGTTAAGGCCGTGAACCAGCAGGTGGCGGAGTGTAAGAAGAGTGCTGAAGGCTATGCAGGAGACATGAAGAGGGAGACAAGGAATGTAGAAGATCTGCAAAAGGACTTGCAAACTAAGATTGCTAATGTTAATAGTTTCATTGCATATCATTGTTCGTTGCTGAGTGACATACATAGTAGGCAGCAGACGCAGAGGAAGGCGATGGAGAGTGCCATCAGTAGACAGCTTCAGGGTCTTGGGAGGACGGTTAAATCACAAATTACAATGAAGGTCATGGACCTTGTTAAGCAGTTGAAGCAGAAAGTGGAGGCCATTTTCAAAGAGCTTCAGAGAATCGACAGGGATCTGAGAGAATATGTTGAAGAGTTGCAGCGATGGATTAACAGTGCGGAGAGTTTGGTGCAAGATGCGCTGAACAAGGTTAATTTTATTTTGGCGGAGGCAGACATGTCTACTCCGGGCAAATATACCCAGCAGATTAAAGAAGCGGCGGAGAATATTGGTTTGGAAACGCAAAGGCTCTTTGAGGCGGGAAACGCGGCGAATGAGGCTGTGAAACGGGATGTTACTGCGGCGCTTGGGGAGGTGAAATTGATGGACGGGATCCTTAAGAATGATCTGCATGATGTGAGAACGGCGCTTCAGACCGGACTTGATACGTATGTGAGAAAGTATGTTGAGGCTGTGCAAACGAAGGTTAAGGAGATAAAGGGGGATGAAAAAAGTGGTTTGACTCAGGTTGTTGCAAAAGTGAAAACTTATATTAAGAAGTTCACGAAGGGTAAGCAGCAGTTTGAGGGTGTCGTAAAGGAATGGATTGGTGACATTTTGAAGATGGAACCGGTGAAGGGATGGCTTCAGAAATATTACGAGGATAACGTGGGTAGGTTTCAGCTTCCGTATGAATTTATTAAAAGTGGCGAAGACGATACATTGCATACAGCTATTAAAAAGCTGATTGTAGAACAGATTGAAGCCAAAGTTCCTGGAGCATTCGAATCCTTCGAAGTTCAGGACGCAGGCAGTATAGGCGTGCATGTTACCTCTGCCAAGAGGATTTGCAATCTGTTTGCCGACAAACTCGGTGGGCATATTAAGGACACAGAGGGTGAGCTTTTCGAAGATACAGCCAAGGAGATTGAGAAAACGTTGACAGGTAACACGGACGCCAACCAGAATCTACAAATAGCCGTCGGCACCATTCTCTGCCAACTAGTGTCTACTGCCAGGCATAACGCTGATGCGGTTGAATCGTTTACCGGCGAGGACGATGTAACGGAAAGCGATATAAAGAAAGTAGAGGCTTCACTTGGTGTGGCTAGCGATATGGACACTGCTTTTGAGAAGGCGCTTATCAAATACAACGAAGGACAGTACAGCTCCACCGAACCCTTCAAGCCCAGCTCTCCTGCGGCACAACAGCTCACAGCCAACATTCACAGGACGATTGAAAAGCAACTGAACGATACGATTGGGGAGGCTGGATCTGGTGAAACTGGCGCCGCGACAGTCACACTTCCAACTAAGAGATTTAGCGGTTACAGAGGGCACGTTGATACATCCTCACTCACTGGGAAAAAAACAGCTCTCACAGGCGACAAAGGCGCAAAAGAAGGCTCACTCCCGCAGGCGATCGGAGAAGTACAGAGGGGAGTGAACGACGCTCTTTCTCAAATCGGCAACATATATTCCGGCCTTCAAGGCCACGCGTCCAACGTAAGGATATATCTCCATTCCCTCTGCTCAACCCTCGAGGGGGCGGCGGGGAAAGAACCAGAGCAGCAAAAGGACAGTGTCAAGGCCAAATTGAATGAACTGAAAGATATGATTGAAAATAATGGTGAAATCGGCACTGGGAAACATATTCAAAAAGGGTTGCAGAAAATTAAGGATGACATTAGTAAGCTTCAAAGCGATCTGGCGAGCGGCCCCCTCCAGAATGCCCAGGAGTTCCTCAAAAAACCCGGCGGACTAGCCGACGATTTGCGTAATAAAACCATTGACGAGCTCACAAAGCACGTCAACGAACAAGTACAAAAAGCCGAAAATGATTTTATTGCTCACTCCAAAAAGCAGTACGTCGAGGCCATAGAAACGTTGATTATAGCCTTCGCCGACAAGGTTACTGAGGAGTTGGAGGAGTTGCCGGGGCTAATTGAACATGACGAGCATATCGGCGTTAAAGGGTTCATGAGGAAAATGGAGACAGAATTTACTAAAAAGGTTGAATCCATTCATCCTATACACCAAACGTCCTCTAGTCGAGATACACTCTCGGTGAGCCAGGCGGCTGACGTGGTGAATAAGGCGTTTGGATACCTTTTCTTCGAGTTGCAAAAGCAAGAAGACTTCAAGTCAGATTACGAAGTCATGAAGCCGTCGAAAGAGTGTCTGTTCAAATTGCTAAACTTGCTCACACATTCCCAACACTTCGACCACAAGTTCGCTGATAACCTTACAAACCTACAAAACACCCTTAATGACTTCGCACCTAAGAAATTCCACACGCCAAACAGTACACTCCTCGACGCCCTCAGGTCCGGCATGGCCAAATTCACCGAGCAACTCTCACACGCGTACGTGAACGCTTATAGCGGTAGAACGTTTACTCAATTGTTTGACACTAAGCAAATTCCTAATCCTACAGAACCCGACGCCGCTCCAACCACCTCACAAGTCCTTTCCACCGAGGGCCGCAACTGCGCCAAGGTCTGCCTGACCATACTGGAGACGCTGAATAGTAGTTTAGGCCAGCTGAGAAGAAAATGCAAAAACGATTGGAAAGGTTCCCCAATTCATTTGGGCAACGGCAATAAGCTCGGCGCATTCTTCCAATATTGGGGATATATCGTTTCCAAAGAGAAAAATGGTCATGAAGGGGAGTTGCGTAATAAAGATGGTTTCACAGGTCAGCGGATATACAGTGATCTTCTCGTCTATACTCATAATGCTGGCAACATCAGTGACAAATTTCAACTTGTTAAAGACGAAGACGACGACAAGCAGAAGAATAAGGAACATGGTGTCGTTAAGAAGCTTGTCACCTACTTCAGAGCATATTACTATGTCACTCACTTAGAACATATTGCGTCACCTAAATCCCCGTCAAACGTCAATCAAATGCTCCAGTGGATGCTCGGATTGTATTACAATCCGATGTTTGCCAAACTCGGCGAGCACTTTAAGGAACTTTTCGAGAAGCCTAAGGGACAGGAAGCAAAGCCGTATGAAGATATCTCCGACACAGATCTTATCCTAGATGCGACCACAAATATTACACCTACGACATTAAAAGACACACTTCGACTTGCGTGTCTGTACTCTGAAGATGTGTTGATAGCTTTCCAGGGCCACGGCGACGCAAGTGGTACATATGCCTGTGACTTTTACACTAACCAAACTAATTTCCTCTATCCCACTAGCCCAGCTGCATGCTTTGACATGCTCGTAGACATATTATTCAGAGTCTGTTACCAAGTCCGTTTCGTATATAAACAGTGTAACAACGGCCCTAAAAGCGGTGGGTGGGAAGACTGTTGGTACGGCCAAGATATTGGCGGTTCCTCATGGAACTGCAACAGCTTACAGTGTGCTAACCAAACGTGTAACCTAACACGTAACCAACGCGCTGACCAAAGCGGTAACCAAATATGCAACCAAAGCTGTGACCAACACCCTAAGTGCGGCCTGAAGTCGCCACTCCAGTCGTACCTTGAGGACGGTTTGCAAGGGTTCTTGCCGCATCAATTCAAAACGCCCGGCTGTAAGCTAACGTGTACTTTAACAAATCACAACGGCATCCCGTGTAAAACCCCTATGGGATTTGCTGATATTAGTAACGTAGCATCGCACACTAAGAACGGTGCGCATCTCAGGATAGCGCTTCACAAATTCTGCGGAACTCACGACTCACCTCTCAGCAAATTGTGCGGTCAACTGAACTGCCTCCTTGGCGCTGCACCGAAAACGCTGGGAGACATGTTCGCATTTTACTATAACTTCCTTAACGGGTGGAAGCAGAGTGGACCGCATAGGAAAGATGCCTTTAGCAAGGCCGTTACCAAGGCCAATTTCGGCGACTCAAGTAAGACGCTGGAAGTTACGTCCATATTTGAAAACAGAGACCATACGGATGGACACAATAAAGGTGACCTCTTTAGTCTTTGCTGCAAAGATACGTCTAACGTTAAGTGCGGCCGGTATATTCAGCCTCTTAGCCATAGCACATGGTTTATCTTCTCTGACAAAAATGCAGGCAAATATCTTACGTGGTTTGTCTACCTGACGCAGACATTCTACGATCTACTTGAAGAACTGTTGAAAGAATGCAATTCTAAATGTGGCGTTGGAGGCTACAAATGCTACGAAAAATGCTGCCCCCAGGAATGCCAAGTGAAGAAGGCATATGAATCTAAGGATTCGTCTACGGAACTCAACGGTAAAAAACACACTGAAGACTGCAAGTCGATAGCTCACTGTCCAACTACTCGTCCAATACTAAACAAATATGGCTTCGTGTTCTGGAGTCCATGGAGCCTCAGTGGACAAAATGGCGACGGGAAAAAGCGTTCATGTAAAGATTTCTGCAACGCTTTAGAAAACATCCTCAATAAGAAAAAGGCAGACAAACACGTGCTAGCTGAATTAGTATTTGAGACAATTCCAGAATTCCTCTGGAAGATACGTCTCCCATTCACTTACCTCTTATTAGCCCTCTGGTCCCTCTCTTTGCTCTACCTGCTGCACATCGCCGTCGTCCGCCTCGACGTCCTGAGGATACGCTCCCACCTGCGCTCGCCCGCAAGCCACCGCATCGCCGCGCAGTCGCTCCTCGCCGCCGCACGCATCAGGGCACTCGCCAACGTCAAGTACTTCTCACCATAATCGTGCCTTCACGTGTGATCTGTGTATCACCCACTCAACCACCCACTCACCTACTCAACCACTCACCTCCCTCCTTCACTGGTCGCTTCGCTCCCTGCCTTCACCCCCTCCATCACCTCCTCCGTCGGCGTCCTTCGCCCAAATCCTCATTTTCCACCTTCCCCCTCGACCCCCTAAATCCGCCTTATCCCATCCCATCTTCCTCCTTCATTGCCCTCTTTCGCCCCTTCACCTCCCTCACCCTGTCCACCCACCTCCCTCACCCCGTCACTGCCTCCTAGACCTAAAATCCCTATTCCCCAAACTCCCCCAAATCGCCCTAAAAATGTGCCATTTCATCCCCCTTTACTCCTTTTAACTCTCCCTTAACCCACCTTTAATCCAACTATAATAACCATTACAATGAAGTTCATTACCTTACTCAGGATGCCAGGGGGAAAGCCTTAGATGACATTGATGCCCGCCGCATCTCTCTTGGTCAGCTTGCCGGACAGCTTTCGGGTTTAATTGGTGGTGGACAGGAAGTTAAAGATGCCATTAAAAATGGTATTGACATAATTATTAACAAATATCCTGAAGTTAAAAGTAATTCTAAGCCTTCATCCCCCAAGCCTCATGATTTAGTAGAGTCTACTACGCTTAGTAAGGAAATTAAGTCAATTGAAGAGAAAAAAACTCAGCTTGAAAATGAAATTGCAGAGCATAAAAGACAGCAAAAAGATTCTCCTGTTGAACCATCCAAGCTTAAATCGTTAGATGAACTGACGTCCAAGCTTAAAAGTCTCCACAGTCTACAGGAGCTTGAACAATATTCTCAGAAACTTGACACTCATAAAAATAATACACAGGATTTACTAAAAAATCTAACAGAAGGATTAGAAAAGTTTCTAGGTTTCAATCCAACCTCCAAAGGCTACACCGGTGAAGGCATCGTGTACTCCGACCTTGACAGGCTCTGTGACGGGGTGATGTCTTTCCTTCATGGTGTTCTTGAGAGTGTGAAGGATGATGAGAGTGTTACAACTTATGATAATAAGATGTCTGTCGATCGTTTAAATGTTGTTCTTCCAAAACTACAAGAATCAATAGGTAAGGGACACAGTGTGTTCTCCACTCAGATTAAGCAGGTAGGTGACTGGTTGAATCACTATGATCAATATGTTGCAGGTTCGACGTTTCTTGTTACAAGTGAATTAGGTAGGTTGATGCATGATTTAGGTGATAAACATTTCATTTCTGTTTCAGGTAAAGACAACGTGAAGCTTCAAGCGCAGCTGGCCAACTGGACTCAGGTGGTCAAGGACATCGAATCAGATGTCCACACTATGGAAACACAGCACATTAGTAAATTAAACAACAAACTAAAAAATAATATTTTGCATGAAATAAAAGTTATTGTGAATGCTGTGTGGTTGTTGAAACAGTCGGCGGAGAATGATGTTTTCAAGCAGCAGGCATCGTATGTTGATAACAAGTTGGTGGAGGAAAAGAAAAAATTAGATAATGCGGTCAGGAAGCAGAGCCAAGAGCTGAGGAGGAAGATGGGAGAGCAGTTGAGAAGGGTTGACGGTAAAATTATAGAACTGACACAGGCAAAAAGCTCACATTTTGGGCGTATTAACGACGCCATTGCTGCCACTAGGGGGGCAATTGAGAACGAATTTGGAGACTATGATACAAATTTTAAGAATAAGATTTTAAAGTGTTTTGATGATATCAGAGATAAAGTTAATGAATCATATAACAACTTAGTTTACAAAAAATCGGAACTCGCCAATTTGGTCAGTGGTGCTTGGAAGCAATTTGAGGTGTTGAAGGAAAAGGTTAAGAGGGGATCTGGTGGACCAGAAGACAAGAGTATAGAATACAATTGGTCACAGCTTCAAATGCAGATTCGGGGGCTTGTGAATCAAATTAATGGTAACGGATATTCAAGCGAAGGTATTAAGGGTATCATTAAAGGGGTTATAAATTACGCTGGAAAGTTCAGCGGAAGGAAATTTGACGGTGTAGTTGACGGGTGGATTAAAAAGATTGTTTGTGATAAGATTGTGAGTAATAGGCTTGGGGAGTATTGGAAACATAACCAGAATCAGCTGCGGCGTATTAACCTTGGTCAGTTGCAGGACGCAGTTAAGGAGAGAATAAAGGTAGCATTAAACAACGAGATTTCGCAATCTGGGAAATTGGTCGATGTCACACCCAACGACATTACTGAGGGCAGCATCGCAAAGAATGTTGCATCGTTAAGCCGTGGTATTGATGATTTTGTCAGGGGAATTGAGAGCAAACATACATATCCTGGTATTGATGCATTAGTACAAGAATTAGTTCAAGAAATTGAACAGCGATTTGGGGTTCGTGAACCCCGTGCACCTGGATACTCCCCAACACATCTCCAAGACGCCGTGGAATCGGCACTTGCAGCCCTCAACTCCACCGCGAGACAAGTTAAGGAGGAACTTGAGGCCTTCACGTCTGACTACATCATGGGTTACAACCTCGGTACCAACGTTGATGATGCGATAGCAAATGCTGATAAGATCAAGGAACAATTTGAAGAACAAAATGCTACTTATGGCAAGCATATTACTAACGCATTGGCAAACGTGACGCAACCAATCAAACAACTGGATTCCGCCCTCGACAAGAGCCAATTTGGCCTAAAGATAGACGCGCAGTTTCAAGACGTTTACGATATTTCGGGTGGTAAAACGCCCCTAGGTCTCGGAAGTCCAATCAAGTTTGACACCCTTTTGACTTCTTTCAAACAGGGAGGCCTCGACGGAAAAAGCAAGAACAAGAAGGATGAGCTTAACGAAACTATCAAAGAGATTAGATCGCAGGTCAGTAGCGCTTTAGATAAAGCTCTCAAATCTATAAACGACAATACACTCGAACAAGCTTATACAGCTGTTACTAAAAATTTCGCAACATTGGTTGAAGAAGTTAGTAAGTTGGTTGACAAATCTTCCGGAAATTCCTTCGCATCAGGTAGTTTGCACAAACGATTAGAGGAAATTAATGAATTAGTTAACAATTACACTAAAGAAAAAGTCACATGGGCAAACGATGAAAAAGTGTATGGCCTAACCAAAATAAAGGGTGACATTAAGAGTATAATCGGGACTGATATAGCTGAGGCACCTAACAATCTAACCAGAATTTTAAATGATGCTGGCAAATTCTACACTGATGTAGTCGACAAGGAGGCTGCAAACGCGATTGCCGACATCAAGGAATATGTCGAAAAGGAGGTTAACAGAGTTACAAAGACAGTCCACGCGAAGGCCAAAGACGATTATTACCAGAAGATCACTGCCCTGTTCAAAGAAACGCACAAAACTGTCGAAAATGAGATTACGACCATTAACAGACTAATAAAAGATGACATGTCGAGCGGAGTTAAAGGTTTTCTCAGAAAAATGAAGCATAACATATGTGTTGTGCAAACGCACGATACCTTTGCGTCACTGGCATTTGAAGCAAATAAACTGATTACTAGGTTAATTCAATATGTAAATGAACAGGTGAAAGAGGACAGCGGACTCAAAAGCGACGTGAAATCAATCTCCTTGCTTTGTCATACACTCCTCGACGAACTCTACGCTTCAAAACATTTTGACCACACCTTTAGCAAAAACATAGGCAAACTAAAAAATAAGCTTATCGCATTTTCACCTAAGACGTTCGTCAATACCCACAACCCCGAGTTGCCGGATGCTTTGAGAAACGGAATGAATGAGTTGACTGATGAATTCGGCAAAGCATACGTCTCAGCCTATGACGGCGCTGAACCAATAAAAGATTGGTTTGAACCTCAGAGTTCTGTTCAAGCAGACCAGCCGAGTGGCGATGCTCCTGCCACTCAAGAAGCCAAGTTAACCGATGACGGCAGGAACTGCGCAAAAGTATTCTTCACCTTAGTACAAACTCTTTACGGGGACCTTCGCACCCTGAGAAGGGAGTGTAAAGAAAAGGGTTCGTGGAGAGTCAAGCAAATTTATGAAAATTTTGGCAAAAGTAAAAATCCCCTCGGGGTGTTTCTCAAGCGTTGCGGGTATCGTGTCGATTATGATGACATTAGCTACGACGGTGAATTGCGCAATAAACCGGACTGTAATGGCCAAAAGATTTTTGATCTTCTCCATAACACCAAACAGATTTTCGGGTCGAATAGCTCAGATCTTGGTAATTTGGTGAATTTACATGTATATGTTTCTACATATTATGAAGTCTGCCACCGCAAGCATACCGAGAAGCCAAAAGCGCCGTCTAGTGTATATCATATGTTACGCTGGTTATGCGGTATGCGGTATAACGCAATGTACAGCCAGCTCAGGGACTACGTTACTACGTTGATAAACCCCCCCGGCAATGTCACACAACCTAGCCATGCCTGGAAATATGAAGTAGATGCCACGTCGACTTTTACAGCACTCGATGTTCAGTTCGCACTTCTCGATGTTTGCAACCATGCCGAAATAGTCCTCACCTCCATCCTAGGCCATGGACACTCGGGTGGTATTTATGCCTCCGATTTCAACACAAACGCCGACGGTTTGTCGTACCCTAGCAACTCCAGTCAATGTTTTGATATGTTTGTAGAAATTGTGAATAGAGTCCACCATCAATTCTCCTTCCTGTGCGAGCAATTCTATTTTGAATCTACATACAGCAGTTGGCGCGACTGTTATTACGGCAGAGATGTCGGCGGCTCTGGATGGAAATGCAATGACAACCTATGCCCTAACCAACAGTGTAACCTAAGACCTAACCAAAACGCTGACCAAAGTGCTACCCAAAAGTGCAACCAACACCCCAAGTGCGGTGTAAAGTCGCCGCTTCAGTCGTTCTTGGAAGATGGTCTACAAGGCTTTTTGCCGCATTCCATTTCTAATGTTGGTTGTGGAGTTAAGTGTACCATGGCAAATCATAATGGCATTCCATGTAAGACACCCATGGGTTTCTCAGAGATAAGCGTTAAAGCATCGCATACAAAGAATGGTGATTATCTCAGGGAAGACGTCGAGAAATTCTGTGGTAATCTAAATTCACCTCTCCGAAAAGTGTGCTTGTATATCCGATGTCTATCACCTCGGACACCTCAAACACTAAACGAGATGTTTGCATTTTATTATGGTTTCATGCATCACTGGGGAGGTGATGGTAGAGATCATAGGTATACTGCCTTTACAACTGCACTGAAGAATGCAAATTTTGGACAAGGGTACAAGGAGTTAGATCCAACTGTCATTTTAAACAGAAGTAAGCATCTGGTCACTCATAGTGACGGCGACTTGTCCAGTCTAGTAAGCTGCGACGGTGGCAACGCATCAAACTGCGGTCGGTACCTTAAGCCGCTCGGTATAGATGTCAGCGGTGTTTATTCTAAGAAACACGCCGACAAATATCTCTCCTGGATCGTTTACCTTACTGAAACATTTTATGATTTACTCAAGAAACTATACGATGACTGCGATGCTAAATGCGGTAACAAAGGTTCTAACTGTGTTGCCAAATGCTGTGTTAAGGACTGTTCAAAGAAATCATCATCGCAAAAATCATCCCGAATCCATGATTCAAGATGCCAATCTATTGTGACGTGCAAGTCTACACTACCGACATTGTCAAAATATGGATTCGTGTTTTGGTACCAAAGACACCTCAACGGCGATGATGGATTAGAGAAGAAGAGAACGTGCGGAGATTTCTGCAGTGCATTAGAAAGAATACTTGGTAAAGATTCAGTACTCATTAAATTTATCCACGATATTGACAAATTTATATACTGCATCAGATTCCCATTCATGTCATTATTGCTAGCCCTCTGGTCGCTGTCGCTCCTGTACCTGCTGCACATCACCGTCGTCGATCCTCTCCTGGGCTGCGTCGCACGCAAGCCATCCGCCGCGCGCGCAGTCCTCGCCGCCGCACGATCAGGGCACTCATGTCGTGCTTCTCTCGCCATATCGTGCATTCACGTGTGATCTGTGTCATCGCTCACAACCACTCAACCGCCCACTCAACCACCTACTCAACCACCCGCCATCAATATCGCCCGCCGCCCGCCGCTCCTCCACTCCATCCATGCTGCCTGCTCGCCCATCTCGCTTCCGCCCATCGCCGCTTACTGCTCATCGCCGCATCATCATCGCTCGCTCATACTTCATCGCATCATCATTACTTTACAGCTTCACTCTCACTCCTCCTTTCATCACACCTCCTCCGTCCAGGTCCTTCACCCAGATCCTCGTTTTCACTTCTCCTTCCCCTCCAATCGCCTTACCTCAGCCATCTTTCCTTCATCGCCCTCTTTCGCCTTCACCTCCCTCACCTGTCCACCACCTCCCTCGCCTTGTCCACCTCCTCACTGCCTCGCTGCCTCTTCCTAAATCGCCAAAATTCCCCAAAATCGCCCTTAAAATGTGCCTAAAATAATCCTTCAACAACATTATTAAATAACCTTTGCACAGGCCTCGAAAAATTTCTCGGCTACCATGATGGTAATTACACCGGAGAAGGAATTGTGTACTCGGACCTTGACAGGCTCTGCGACGGGGTGATGGCGTTCTTGCATTCCGTGCTTAATGATGTCCACGCTAAACAGCCTTACAGTGTTGGTAAAATAGGGTTAAATAGTGTGGTTGAAAAGCTTAAAGCACAATTGTGTTCAGGCCATAATGGTTTTCAGAGTGTCATTGACCAGGTGGCACAGGGAGTCGAGAGGTATAATACTTTGGTGAAGAAATCAAATGAAGCTGTAAGAAATATTGTTACAGGGATGCAGAAGAATATGAAGAGTCTTCGAGATCAGGTGAGTGGAATTTTAAAGGATCATGCTGATGCAGGTGACCTGGAGCTCAAGCAGCCGGTGACGTTCACTCCAGAGGAAGTGAAGGAGGCAATGGACAAGATCGACAGTCACTTGAATAGCTGCCTTGACGTTACTTACAACTTTAATATCGATATGCATAGCGCGAAAACCCGCATTAATGACGTAAATCATACGCTGCGTGTTAATGTTAATAATGTTCGTATGTTCGTACAACACGAAAATGATAGGCTTAAAGCCTCGACGAAAACGTCGCGTGATGACATGTATGAGATGCAACAAACGGTTGGCTACGTGCTACATGAGTTAAGAATGAAGGTGAATGGCAGTATTAAATTCCAAGTGGAGAACCTTGTGAGCATGTTGAAGAATAAGGTTGCAGATATTCGAGCTCAACTTAAGGACGTTAATAAATTACATAGGAAATATGTTGACGCTCTTACACAGTGGATTAAGGATGTCGACATGTTCATTGAGCAGCAGGGGGAAAAGAATGTCCAAAAAATCTTAGATGAAGTTAAGTGGAGTAATGATGGTAACAAGCCACAAAACTGGAATAACGTTGTATGTGCTGCAGACGAATTGAAAGCTAAAGCACAGTCTCTTTGCACGGCTGGTCAGGCGGCTAGGGTGGCTGCTGAGCAGTACGTTAGGGAGGCGCAGGATGCAGTTTATCACTTGGACTATGGACTTAAACAAGATTTGAAGAAGATGAGAGAAGATATTAAAACAAAGATTTGGCAAGAAATTAAAACACTAAAAGTCATGGATTTAGGGGGCGATGTGAATGTGGATTTGAGGAGGCTGGAAAGTGGGATTAAAGAATCGGTCACAACGTATATTAAGGGGTATGTCAATGCAGTTAAAACAAACGTTGGCAAAATAAAGGGGAATGGACAAGATGACGGTCTAGCGGGGGTTAATAAGCATATAGTGGAGATATATGCGAAGGAGTTCAAGAATGGAACTGATGCGTTTGACAAAATTGTGAAAACATGGTTGGAGGATATATTTAAGTATAACGTCTCGGTTAAAGATTCCATTAAGGAGGCGCTTGACAAGATCATAATCAATCTAAAACACCTTACGCTAAGTTCCACCTATGTAGATAAGATCAAAAGTAAAATTGAGGATGGGCAAATCCAGCATATCGCGGGTGCAATTAAGGACAGGATTAAGACCGAAGGTAGCGTCACATTTGAAACTTTCGAACATCGAGGTGATGCATCCCCCAACGTTCAAAAAACTATCGATGCAGTCTACAAGTGTGTCAATAATTTTGCGACGACACTTGGCAATAAACTTGGTAAGGACGAACATGACTCTCCCACTAGAAAACAGTTTGTCAAAGACATAGCGTCGGAGATTGGGAAGAAGGTGGTGCAGGATGGCAGCGACGATTCCGGTTTGATAAACTATCTCATAGATGCTGCCACCGCCATTCTAGCGGCGTTGTACTCCAAGGCTAGTGACATTGCGAGTGAACTTAAATCATTAGCTGCTATCAACGGATACAGTAAATCTCAGGTCGGTAAAAAGCTGGACGATGCTTACAATGACGCTAATAATCTGTCCACTCAGCTTAGCGCGGCGCTAAGAGGATCCAACAGGCATGCCTACGTCCCCGACCCCGGCTCCCTCTCGAAGCCTGACGATAGCCTTGACACTAAGATTGGGGCCGCCATTGACGGTCAGTTTACAAGTGGTCCAACTGTTATTGTTGATGTTGCTGGAAGTCAAGCAGCATATGAACTTAGCAAAGTCATGAAGTCGTTCCACACTAACTACAGTGAGATAAGAAAGAGCCTCAGAAAGAACATTGAAGGAAAAGTTGATCAGGAGATCGGTACGGAGAAGGAACATGGCGGAACCTATGATTTCAGAATGAAATCGCTGTCGCTAGACAAACTTGAGAGTTACATAAAGTGCATCGGCCAAGACAACATTAAGAATGGTTCACTTCCCAAGGCTATAGAAAATATTGAAAATCATGTGAAGTCCGCATTATCACCCATTGATGGGCTCAACGATGAAGCGAAACAACAATTTCAGAAGGTTGATCAGCATCTCGATGTTTTGTGCGCAGTAATAAGACGCGACGGTGAAGAGCTCAAGGACCAATTGAAAATTTTGAAGAATAATAAGATTGCGAAGGAGCTGAAACAAATCAAAGACGATCTTGACAATCTAAGAAAAACAATGTTTTATAATGTCCTCAGGGAAACCAGACATTTCATTGAAGAAGTGGCCCCAAGATTGGAAAAGGAGACCATCCAATGCCTTCAGGACTTTTTGAATAACGAAGTGCAAAAAGCCAAAAATCTTCTCACCACCCGCGCCCGCCGCAACTACGTCACCTCCGTCAAGGCGCTGCTCCAGGCCTTCGCGAACAAGGTCACGCAGGAGCTGGAGGGATTGCCGGAAAAGATTGACAGGGACCTGCGCATAGGCTTCAAGGGGTTTATGAAGAGTCTTGCTGGTAACGACAATAAAAACATAAACTTCCTTAAGGAGAAAAAGGATGTCACCAACGTCCGTGATTTTGCCCATGTGTTTAAAATATTTTATGAGTTATTGCATATGTATCTCGACAAAGAAATCAAACGAGTTCACAAAGAAGAAAATGAGAAGAATCAGAAGCCTTCAACTGATGAAACATTTTACACTACTAAACTTCAGCTTATTTATAATTCACTTCAAGGCTTACTTAATCACATCACTGAGAAACAACGTTACGACTACTCTGTTCCTATCCTGCTTGACGATCTCACCGATGCAGTTTCCAAGATGAAACCAGAAGACTTCGAAATGTCCAATACTCCACTACTAGATGGTATCGGCAAAGGACTGAATGATTTTGTCCGCCAGCTACGAAAAGTGTACATCAGCAGATATGATAGCCGAATGGCAAAAGATCAGTGGGTGATTCGTGGCCATAAAGCTACCACAAAAGGCGTCGAAACGCAAGATAAGTTCACTGAGGAAGGCCGGAACTGTGCGAAAGTATGTATAACGATCTTATCGACATTCTTTAATGAATTGCATTACTTGTTTTATCATTGTGATACATGGTGGAATAAGTATTCCGTTGACGGCACGGAAACTAAAGACGAAAAGAGGGACAAGTTAAAAGAGTACTTGACTAGTCAAGGCTACGATATGGAAAATCTCAACAAACTTAAGAAGGGTAGTGATGTTGCGTTGCTTTTAAATCAAGGCTTCAAGAGTCATAACGAATTTAAAAATCACGTTGATGTAAAAACACCCTTCTACGTATATATCGATACCCTCAGAAATTCTGCAAATCCAGATGGTGTCATATCTAAGCTTCACTATTACCTAAGCACGTATAATAATGTAGGTCACATTAAACACATTCCGTCACCTAGAACTCCTTGCAGCATTTACGAAATGCTTACATGGTGCTGCGGCCTGCAGTACAACAGTGTCTACAGCAATCTAGTAAAATATTGTTTGGACTACGATACTAAAGATAATAAGAAAGATGATCACCATTTCCAACGACAGTTGTCAGACGCCGCTCATTATGGCATACGTGCTCTATGTAATTATTCACGTAAAATACTGTGCACCATCCTCGGCACAGGGGATGAACACACCCTGTATGCCTCTGACTTTGCCAACAATTACCTTAATTTGAGTTACCCCTCTTCCGGGGAAGCTTGTTTAGATACATTGCTTGACATATTACGTAGAATGTTTCCCGTATGTAGATTCTTATATAGCCAATGTAATAGTCTGTCATCCGACTTTGGTTGGGCCGGCTGCCAGTATGGCAAGGAAGTCAAACACACTAACTGGCAGTGCGACAAGCATATTGCTGATAAGGAATCTGACTGCGTTCCCAGGTCACCGCTTATGTCGTACTTTACCGACAGTCTTCCCGGTCACTTACCTCACCAGCTATCCTCCATCGGTTGTAGAGCTACATGTTCCACCTGCCCCAAATCCAAGCCCGGGCAGCCATGTTTAACGCCACTTGGCTTCAGAGGTTTCTCTGGAAGTACGCGCCTGGGCAAAGACCTATGTAACGTGCTAACCAAAATGCTCGATGACGCTGACCTCAGATCCTTATTCTGCCTTAAACCGAAAACACCGGCTTCTCTCCCAGAGCACTTCGGCTTTGTGTTATCGCTTGTTAATGATTGGACTCACGGTACATCAACCGCAGGCAAACACTTAATACAGGATGCATTTAAAAAATCAATCAGTGATGTATCCATTAGCCTATATGAGAACGTCGGAACGCTTACAGATGCGCTTCGTGATGCCTATGGCTCCAGTCAGAGTAACCATGAATCAAATAAACATGAAGATAATGATACTATTGACGGCAATGATGATGTACTGAAAAAGAGGGACGTGTCTAGTTTGTCTATGACTATAGCATGTTCCGGCCAAAATGTCCACTGCGCTCCTTATCTAGCTACACTCTGCCGTGACTCGTGCACTTACTTCGCTAACAAACACTGCAACCTTTACCTCTCCTGGGCTGTCTACTTACCATGGGATTTCTGGAATTGCCTCAACAATTTATATAATGCCTTCTGTGGCATCGTTTGTCGAGACTGGGGATGCAGAGGATGTGTCCGCGGTGACAAGTGCAAAAAAGGGAAACATGGTGTCATCGATGAAAAGTCACCATGTAATTGCCTCTCCATCGTCCAGTGCAAAGGCGTTTCAGCGACGCTGTACAGTTATGGATTTATGTATGGAAACGCTGACAAATTGAATGCAGAGAGTGTAAAAAGGAAATGTTCCGATTTCTGCAGTCAGTTAAAGAAAGTGCTGTCCTCCAAATATTTCGGTAATTTATTTGATGAGTGCGACAATTTCCTCTGGAAAATCAGAGAGCCATTCTCCCTGACATTGTTAGCCCTCTGGTCCCTCTCCTTGCTCTACCTGCTGCACATCGCCGTCGTCCGCCTCGACGTCCTGAGGATACGCTCCCACCTGCGATCGCCCTCAAGCCACCGCATCGCCGCGCAGTCGCTCCTCGCCGTTGCAAAGGTTGGGAAAATAGTCAATGTCAAGTACTTCTCACCATAATCGTGCCTTCACGTGTGATCTGTGTATCACCCACCTAATCACTCAACCACTCAACCACCCACTCAACCACTCACATACTCACTCACCCACCCACTCAACCACCTCACCCACCCACTCACATAATCACCAACACACTCACCCACTCACATAATCACCCACTCACTCACCCACCCACTCACCTCCTTCACTGGTCGCTTCGCTCCCTGCCTCCTCCTCCCTCACCTCCTCCGTCGGCGTCCTTCACCCAAATCCTCATTTTCCACTTTCCCCCTCCACCTCCGAAATCCCCTTACCTCCACCCATCTCACTCCTTCATCGCCCTCTTTCGCCCCTTCACCTCCCCCGCCCTGTCCACCCACCTCCCTCGCCGCCTCCGTCACCTAAAATCGCCTTTCTCCAAACTCCCCCAAATCGCCCTGAAAATGTGCCATTTTACCTTCTTTTTAATATTAAAGATGCCTATCAATCTCCTCAAAATGCCTCTGAAATTGACAAACTTAATAAGGATCTTCAGTCTCATAATGCTTCCATGAGGTCTCTCAAGACACTGAAAGAGCTTTGTGGAAATGCTGGGAAAGTTACTCAACCACCTAAAAATGATAACAATTGTAAAGATATTTTAAATAACCTCTGCACAGGCCTCGAAAAATTTCTCGGCTACCATGATGGTAATTACACCGGCTCCGGCATCGTGTACTCGGACCTTGACAGGCTCTGCGACGGGGTGATGGCGTTCTTGCAAGGGGTTCTGGACACTGTGAAGGATGATGAGAGCGTTACAACTTATGATAAAGATAACAAAATCAAGAATCTTCCTTCTAAAATCGGTGAGTTTATGCATAAAGGTTCTCATGATTTTCAGGATGCCATCACACAAGTGTCCGAGGCGCTGCGGGCGTGGAGCGGTGAGCTCGAAGGGCGAACCAAACTTGTAAAAAGCACTTTAGATACACTTAGCACAAACATAGATTCTAATATTGATACTATTAGTAATGTTGATACATCGCCTCAACATTTCGATGCTGAGGTGGATAAGTGGCCGACTATGGTGGTTGGTAGCTTACTGCCTGTATTATACCAAGCCGATAATGCCAGCAAGGGACTTGACAAAGTTTTGCAAAACAAGATCAAGGGATATTATGATATGTTACAATTGCGTATCAACAATCTAGAAGACATTGCGGAACGAGATCTGACAGAAATGAGGGAGCTGGGTGAGAGTGTCGGCGAAAGGCTTAAAGTAGTAAAGCATAACGTTAGAAGTAAAGTGCGGGATGAAATTGCAAAACTCAGAGATAGGTTTAAAGAAATAAGCCAAGTGTTTATACAACGACTTGAAGATATCGATTGCATGTTAAAGGCGAATGTCAGAAAGTTAGAATCATGGATCGGTCAGGCTAAGGAGAACCTTTATTTGGTGCTGCAGAAGGTTGAAGCAATATCGGAGAAACTAAAAAAAGAGAGCAGCCCATCGATATATCACTCGGCAATGAATTTAAAGGATACCGCAAGAGAATTATTGAGGGCATATGGTAACGCTAAGGATAGGATTTCGAATATAGTTGAATCCGCAACGAAAGCCTTAGGTACTTTGGACACTAATTTGAAAACAAATATGAAGACTCTCAAGGATCAAATGAATACCGCAATCGATAAATATGTCGATAGCTTAGGTACAGGCCTATTGAATGGTATTAATAGAGCTGGTAAGGGCCAAGGTACCCCAGGTGTTAGTGGTTTATATGCTCAACTTAGGGACGATAATGGTGCGCTATATAATGTGCTTCACTCTGCCGGCCTAGGTGGCTATAAGGGGTTCGGAAAAATGATTGAAGATGCATTAAAAGCGCTAAACCCTCACCATGCCACATTGAGCCACCATTCTAACACATTTTCCACCTATATTAAAAGAGACCTGAGGAGTAAAGTTGACGACAAGTTCCCCGAAGAGACAGACCTACAAGGTCAAACAGCAACTAAAGTGCAACTGAAAAATCTTACAAGTTATGAAAATGACAAAACAGGAGTAACCGCAGAGATCGGTAAGATTCTTAGTGATGGGTTTGAGAAACACTTCAAAGATCAAGTGCCGAGCGGTAAGTGGATCGATGCCATGAAAAACCTTGACCCGAGGTTTGATAAAGTTAAAGAGCAGCTTTCAGATCTCAGTCGTATAATTCAGAATGGCGACAATACCGGCATCAAGGATCTTCTAAATATGTTTGAAAATGATAAGATCGGTAAGCAACTTAAAAGGATTCTTTCAGTCATTGACGGTATACTCCTAATCAAATTAACACCTTTGATTAACGACATTAAAAACTTCACCGCGAAGACTCTTCAAACAGCGGCTCAGTACACGACAAAGACCATAAATGAATTTGTTAAAACCGAAGTTGTGAATGCGACAAATGCTATTAAGACAGAGGCACTGGAACGGTACAAAACTGTTACGCTAAAGGAATTAAAAGCTTTGAAAACAGATGTTGGAAGTCTCGTTGAATTAATTCTGAATACAATCAGTATCGATTCATCTCGCGGCGTGAAAGGCTTGCTAAACAAATTAAATGACTCTTTATCTGATCCCGAAATAAACTTGAAGGATGAACCGAAATCAATGTCCGACTTGGCCAGAGAGTTCAAAAATTGGCTCTACGGCTTTGATGAGCAAATGAGTCTTCAAAAAGATTTTGCATCGTCCCACCCTAAAATATCTCCTACCATGCAAGCTGCGCACGACTTGCTTGCTGATCTGCAAAAATTCCAGCACTTTGACTATCACTCTAATTATAATTTAGACGCACTTAAGACACAGCTTAGCCGATTTGTTCCTGAGAATTTTTGCGATGGTGACAATCCGCTGCTTCTCGACGCCCTCAAGGCCGGCATGGACAAATTCACCGAGCAACTCGGACACGCGTACGTTAATAAATACTCCGGGATGAAGTTTAACGGTGATTTGTTAGAAGACAAAAAAGACGCTGAAACAAAAAAACCCTCCCCAACTGAGAAAGTCCTTTCCACCGAGGGCCGCAACTGCGCCAAGGTCTGCCTGACCATACTGGAGAGGGTGAGTGAGGACTTGATGAAATTAAAAGAGAGATGCAAATATGAATGGCATTCGAAAGAAATCCACCGCATTAGCGGACTTGGCGCTTTTTTGAAAGATTGTGGTTATATTGTGTCTAATAGGGATAAGCAGGACGGTGAGCTGAGGCGTCATGAAAATATGACGGGCAATCATATACTTCAGAAACTTACTGCTACACTTGCGAACATCGGTGAAATTAATAAGCACCTGAAGGAGTGTGAGTCAAACAAAAAGAATGGCACCGATACGCAGCCACAAAATGATGATGTCAAAGTCTTTGCCATCCTTTCGTGTCTCTTCACTCACCTTCATGAATACAATAAAGTCGGACACATTGCCACTTTCAACGCCAAGAAATCACCGTGCTCCATTTACGAGATGCTCACATGGTGCTGCGGTCTGGAGTACAACAGTGCTTACTCAAAGATGCAGCAGCATTGTCAAAAGCTTTGTGATGATGAGAAAGACAGCTATTTAAAAACTATACTCTCCAAGCTTCACAAGGACGGATTGCCGTATCTATCTAGCAATTCACGTAACATCCTCACCGCAATCCTCGGCACAGGGGATGAACACACCCTGTATGCCTCTGACTTTGCCAACAATTACCTTAATTTGAGTTACCCCTCTTCCGGGGAAGCTTGTTTAGATACATTGCTTGACATATTACGTAGAATGTTTCCCGTATGTAGATTCTTATATAGCCAATGTAATAGTCTGTCATCCGACTTTGGTTGGGCCGGCTGCCAGTATGGCAAGGAAGTCAAACACACTAACTGGCAGTGCGACAAGCATATTGCTGATAAGGAATCTGACTGCGTTCCCAGGTCACCGCTTATGTCGTACTTTACCGACAGTCTTCCCGGTCACTTACCTCACCAGCTATCCTCCATCGGTTGTAGAGCTACATGTTCCACCTGCCCCAAATCCAAGCCCGGGCAGCCATGTTTAACGCCACTTGGCTTCAGAGGTTTCTCTGGAAGTACGCGCCTGGGCAAAGACCTATGTAACGTGCTGACCAAAATGCTCGATGACGCTGACCTCAGATCCCTATTCTGCCTTAAACCGAAAACGCCGGCTTCGCTCCCAGAGCATTTCGGATTTGTGTTATCGCTTGTTAATGATTGGACTCACGGTACGTCAACCGCAGGCAAACACTTAATACAGGATGCATTTAAAAAATCAATCAGTGATGTATCCATTAGCCTATATGAGAACGTCGGAACGCTTACAGATGCGCTTCGTGATGCCTATGGCTCCAGTCAGAGTAACCATGAATCAAATAAACATGAAGATAATGATACTATTGACGGCAATGATGATGTACTGAAAAAGAGGGACGTGTCTAGTTTGTCTATGACTATAGCATGTTCCGGCCAAAATGTCCACTGCGCTCCTTATCTAGCTACACTCTGCCGTGACTCGTGCACTTACTTCGCTAACAAACACTGCAACCTTTACCTCTCCTGGGCTGTCTACTTACCATGGGATTTCTAGAATTGCCTCAACAATTTATATAATGCCTTCTGTGGCATCGTTTGTCGAGACTGGGGATGCAGAGGATGTGTCCGCGGTGACAAGTGTAAAACAAGGAAGCATGGTGTTGTTAATAAAGACAATGCATCAGCGATATGCCAGTGCCCCTCGTTGGTCCAGTGCAAAGGCGTCTTGGCAACCCTCTACAATTATGGATTCACATTTGGGAACGCTGCAAGACTAAACACAAAGGATGCAGCAAAGAAATGCTCTGATTTCTGCACTCAACTTTATGATGTACTGCACTCTTCTTATTACAGAAAATTATTTGACGAATGCGATGAGTTACTCTGGAAAATCAGAGAACCTTTCTCCCAGACATTGTTAGCCCTCTGGTCGCTCTCGCTCCTGTACCTGCTGCACATCACCGTCGTCCGCCTCGACGTCCTAAGGATACGCTCCCACCTGAGATCACCCTCAAGCCACCGCATCGCCGCGCAGTCCCTCCTCGCCGCCGCACGCGTCAAGGCGCTCGCCAACGTCAAGTACTTCTCACCATAATCTGGGTTCATTGCGATCTTAATCACCCTCACTCACCCACTCACTCCTTGCTCACTCCTTACTTGCTCACCCTCAGCCGCCCTAATCACTCACTCATTACGCTCACCCGCCCGCATCGACCGCTCAAATAAATGAAAATCGATACGGCTTACGCTCAACTCAATCGCCAGCACGCATGATCGTCGCCGCCTGTCGACCGCCTGATCATCATCTATCACTCAGTGCCCCACTTCTCATAAGCGGCATCGATGCTCGCCCGCCCATCGACCGCCCGCCGCTCGCTCATCGATTAATCATCGACCGCCAGAGCAGCCTAATCAATGCCCATCGGCCATCGACGCATCGACCCGCTGATCGCCGCTCATCGACCGCTCACCGCATCTGACCGCTCATCAGGCTGCCTGATCGCTCGCCCATCGCCAGGCTCGACCGCCCATCGACTCATCACTGCATCGCCCATCGACCCGCTCGCCCATCGCCCCATCATCGGTATCCGACCATCGCTCACCCATGACCCACTCAGCCGCTCAACCGCTCAACCCACTCAGCCATCCACTCACCTCCTCCTCTGCCTCTTTTCACTGATTAAACTGCTCCCTCCTTCCTCCACTCCATCTGTCCTCAGTCGGCGTCCTTCGCCCCAAATCCTCATTTTTCCACACTCCTCCCCTAAAGACGCCTCCACCTCAGCCCATCTTCCTCCCTCATCACCTCCTTTCAGCCTTCACTTCCTCACCTGTCCACTTACACCTCCTCTCTTTCCTTGACCTAAATCGCCTTTCCCCAAACTCCCCCAAATCGCCCTGAAAATGTGCCATTTTACCTTCTTTTTAATATTAAAGATGCCTATCAATCTCCTCAAAATGCCTCTGAAATTGACAAACTTAATAAGGATCTTCAGTCTCATAATGCTTCCATGAGGTCTCTCAAGACACTGAAAGAGCTTTGTGGAAATGCTGGGAAAGTTACTCAACCACCTAAAAATGATAACAATTGTAAAGATATTTTAAATAACCTCTGCACAGGCCTCGAAAATTTTCTCGGCTACGATAATGGTAATTACACCGGAGAGGGAATTGTGTACTCGGACCTTGACAGGTTGTGCGACGGGGTGATGGCGTTCTTGCATGGAGTTCTTGAGAGTGTGAAAGATGATGAGAGCGTTACAAAATATGATAAAAATAATGTTCCTAATATTGATAATGTTATTACCACTTTACATAATAATGTAGGTAAAGGCCGTGAGGCCTTCCCGGACGCCGTGGATAAGGTAAGTGAGTGGTTGAATAGACATGGTGCGCAGGTGGACGAAAAAACTACGGATGTCTTCATGGAATTTAGTAAGTTTGGTCACACTAGCATTGTAGAGAAAATTAATTCCATTTTAGGTAATCAAGATCGGAAGCTCCAAGATCAGTTGACCTCGTGGAGGTCAACGCTCACTGAACTAGCAGCACAATTAGATTCACTCATAACTCATAACGTTAATGTCTTAGATCCTGTGTTGCGTGACAAATTGATGCATAAGATAGAGCCTGTGAAAAGCGCCGTGCAGGTGCTGAGGGAGAGCGCTGGGAAGGGGGAGGTGGCAGAGCAGGTTAAAGCCGTAGATTATAGCTTACACGTCCAGTTCTCCAAAATGTATAATGCATTATATGATCTGAATAACGCTAAAACACTGCATTTTAAAGGCATCGCAGAGGCTTTGGAGACTGCGCAGAACTTCATGAATAATGAGTTTGATGGGAAATCTATAGATGGTATAACATGGTGTTTCGGGCAATTGAAGAAGGAAGTTATTGATGCTTATAATAAGCTATCTAACAAAAAGCAGGAGATTGCCAGCTTGGTCAGCTTTGCTCGGGCGGAGTTCGAGATCTTGAAAGCAAAGGTAGGCCAGACATCTGGAAAAGATGACACCATAAATGGTAATTGGAATACGCTTAAAAGTAAGGTCATAGAAATTGTCGGGGATTTGACGGATAAAGACAAATCTGTTAAACCCGGAAATCTTGAAAAAATTATTGAGGAAGTAAAGCAGTACGCATTGAATTTTGACAAGACTAGGTTCGCAAATAAAGTGGAACAGTGGATGATAGATATATTGAATAATAATGCAGTGGTTAAAGGTTTGCTTGTTGAGTATGTAACTGTAAATAAGGGTGAAGGTGGGGTGCTGAATGGAAAATTGAAGGAGGGCGGAAAAGAATTCCAGACAGACATTATTAATCAGATGGCAGGTGTCATTAAGAAACATCTTGAAAGCACGCTTCCGGAAGCCTTAAAAGGCTTTGACAAGCTGGATGCCCAAAATAAGATTGATGGAAATGTACAAGAAGTTATGAAGGCTTGCAATAAATTCGTTAAGGACCTTGGAAATAAAATTGAGGATGATGAATCAAGGGATACTGATGCATTTGCAAAAAAGATAGCGGGAGAGATGGAGACAAGCGTTCTGAAAAAAATGGATCACACCCACCAGTCTTATCTAGACGAAGCCGTGAGAATAACCTTCACTGCTCTACACTCTGCTGCCAAACTTTTTAGCGAAGAACTCAACAACTTCGTCATTGCTTCCACGATCGGCGAAAAAGTGAGGCAGGCTATAAGTAAAGTCGGGAACATCGGTCAGGAATTCAAAAACGATCCAAGCCAAGCGGATAGCCGCGGTAAAAAAATTGATGAGGCTTTTAAAATCGTGGAGGCAAGAATTGGTGATCTTGGTTCGTTGTTAACACCGCAAAGCCATACCGGCAAAATTCCAGAGGCAGTCGAAAAACTTAAAGAAATTCTTACTAAGCTTGAGAAAATTCAGAATGGGACAGACGACACTAAGAGCATCGAGAAAATGAAATGTGAGGCCTCAGAGCTTATGAAGGAATTGAAAAGGCAGCTCAACGAGAAGCTTGAATCGATTCGCTTTGCCACTAATTACGCCGATACGCATATCCAAGACACCATTGATGCCCTCGAATCTGTTACCAAAACAGCCCACGAAACCATTACAACAGCCGTCCACTCCCTCTTCGCCGAGCAGCACATCGCGGACCTGTCGGCGCTGCATACGCTGGTTGAGCGAAAATTGGGGGAGGTGAGAAAAATAATTGATGAAGATAAAGTGACGGGTGTAAAAGGCCTTTTGAAAATTATGTCTGGCGTGTCACTTTATACGAAAAATATAAACCCGGAAGATAAAGATAATTTGCTTAACAAGATCAAGAATGCTGTGCCCTCTACATCTACGAAGCCTACGACACCTCTGTCGGCTGACGAGTATCGTCAGCATTTCAAAAACTTAGCCTTCAATTTCCAAGATTATATTGATCCGCTGCTACAGTACACTGAAGGCCAAGTAAAAGATAATTCGCAAGATAAAAATAATCCTCTTCTCACTCAACAGTCCCTCCAAGTGAAGGGAATTCAAAATGCCGTTGATGATTTACTCAAACATCTCAGTCATCATGAAGAGAGGCGTATTGATAAAGATACATCTGTAAAGCGTATTTACATTTTTGATGACTTATCCACTACACTTCTTAAACAACTCTCCTCTTCCATCTCCGCCCTCTCCCCCTCCAACATCCACGGCTTCCACAACCCCCTGCTCCTCGACGCCCTCAAGGCCGGCATGGACAAATTCACCCAGCAACTCGGACACGCGTACGTGAACAAATACTCCGGGATGAAGTTTGGTCCTTTGACTGAAACTAAAAAAGATACCACCACTAATGAACAAGTCCTCTCCACCGAGGGCCGCAACTGCGCCAAGGTCTGCCTGACCATACTGGAGATATTTAGTCATGATCTTAATGAGCTCAAGCATCAATGTGAGACGAATTGGAAGAATAGAAAGATATGCCTTAAGAATGGCAATGGAAGCATCAATGATCTCGGTTTATGTCTGAAGCGTTTCGGTTACGGAGTTCCATCCAGGGAAGACGTGCAGGACGACGAGTTGAGATGTTCTAAATATATGAACGGTAATGAAATTTTTGCAAAACTTACCATTCCAACTATAACCGAACGTGACGAATACAACGTCATTAGCACTCTCAAACATATCTGCGACAATCTTCTCATCTACTACCGTGTTTGCCACTACTCCACATTACAGTCCAAGACATATCCATCCTCCGTGTACCAAATGCTTCTGTGGTTGGCAGGCTTACCATATAATCCCGTATATGACGACTTGTCACTTAACGGTTTTGGCAGCCTGCTTGATAAGCCAGAGGAGCAGGACACGGACACTGGCGATGAGAGTCTGTCTGTCGATGTCGACAACGGCGACACTGACGAAAGCCGTATCACTCTCAAAGACGAAAATGAAGAATCGCTGGATGCGTACAAAGAGAAGATCACAGTTCCAAAACTGTATGAAGCACTTGCAGAAGCATGTTCACACGCCCACTCAGTACTCACTTCGATACTTGGCCACGGCCACGCAGGTGGCATCTACGCCGTCGACTTCAACACTAACGAAGATAAATTCTCGTATCCTTCTGACATGAACAGCTTAATATGTATGCTATTTGAGATCGTAAAACGCCTTCACGACCAACTTTATTTCCTGTATAGACAATGTATGCATGACAGTAAGCTTAGTGGTTGGTCAGACTGTTGGTATGGTCACGATATTGGTGGTACAGCATGGAAGTGTAATACCCTCCAATGCCCCAACCAAACAGGTGACCAAACGACTACCCAAAACAGTAACCAAAAGCACAACCAAACGTGTGACCAAAAGTGTGAGCAAAGTGCTAACTGCGGCCTCAAGTCACCGTTGCAATCCTTCCTCGAAGATGGTCTGCAAGGCTTCCTCCCACATCAGCTTACAAAATTAGGCTGTGGAGTGGAATGTTCACTTGGTAGTCACAGAGGTCAACCGTGCATTACACCGATGGGTTTCCCAGATCTCAGCGTAATGGCCTCTCACAGGCAGACGGGCAAGTATCTAGAGGAGGTGCTTGCAGATTTCTGTGGTAAACCAGACAAACCACTTACGCAACTCTGCAGTTATCTAACATGTATATCACAACGTACTCCGCAGACACTCGGCGACCTGTTTGCTTTTTACTTTAATTTCCTTGACAAGTGGAATTCCAACGACGGCCACAAACGTCATGCCTTCGTTAACGCCGTCCAAAGTGCGAACTTTGGGGATCCGAAAACAACTCTCGAAATCGGTCCCATGTTCAAGACCACAATTCATGGTTCTGACAACAAACATCCCAACGCTGATCTTAATTCCTTATTTAAGTGTGAACATAACGACGGTGACGCAGCGCTGCCCTGCGGTCCATACCTTAAGCCAATTTGCCGTGACATTTGGAATACGTTCTCCAGTAAGAACTCCGGCAAATACCTGTCGTGGATCGTGTATCTCACTGAAACGTTTTATGACCTGTTGAAAAAATTGTATGACGACTGCTGTACAACTTGCGACAAGCCGGGCAGCAGATGCTACGACAAATGCTGCAGTGAAACATGTAAAGTAAAGTACACAGATAAAGATGGGAACTCCATTACTCCATCAATAAAGGACACACATACTCCAGACTGCAGTTCCATTGTCAAATGCCCGCATACCTTGCGAACGTTGTCTATGTATGGTCTCTATTTCGGAAGCTCATGGAGGATGAGCGGTGAGCGTGGCGAGAAGACCAAGCGCACATGTAGGGATCTATGCAGAGCGCTGGACAGAGTGCTGAGTAAAAAGAAAGAAGACGGCGCGGCGCTAGCAAAGTTAATATACGAGACAATCCCCAATTTCTTGTGGGCCATCCTAACACCCTTCTCATACCTCTTATTAGCCCTCTGGTCGCTGTCGCTCCTGTACCTGCTGCACATCGCCGTCGTCCGCCTCGACGTCCTGAGGATACGCTCCCACCTGAGATCGCCCGCAAGCCACCGCATCGCCGCCCAGTCCCTCCTCGCAGCGGCACGCGTCAGGGCACTCGCCAACGTCAAGTACTTCTCACCATAATCGTGCCTTCACGTGTGATCTGTGTATCACCCACTCAACCACTCACTCACTCACCCACTCAACCACTCACATACTCAACCACTCACTCACCCACCTACTAACTCACTCAACCACTCAACCACTCACCCACCCACTCAACCACCCACTCAACCACCCACTCACTCAACCACCCACTCAACCACCCACTCAACCACTCACTCAACCACTCACCCACTCACTCACATACTCAACCACTCACTCACCCACTCAACCACTCACTTACCCAATCACTCACTCACATACTCACTCAACCACTCAACCACTCAACCACTCAACCACTCACTCACCTCCTCTTTCACTGGTCGCTTCGCTCCCTGCCCTTCACTCCCTCCATCACCTCCTCCGTCGGCGTCCTTCGCCCAAATCCTCATTTTCCACTTTCCCCCTCCACCCCTAAAATCGCCTTACCTCAACCCACCTTCCTCCTTCATCGCCCTCTTTCGCCTCCTTACTTCCCTCGCCCTGTCCACCCACCTCCCTCGCTGCCCCGCTGCCTCCTTCACCTAAAATCGCCTTTCCCCAAATTCCCCCAAATCGCCATGAAAATGTGCTTAAAATAATCCACATTATTCCCTTACTAACCTGTGCTCTGGCTTGGAGAAGTTCCTTGGTTACGACAAAACGTCCAAAGGCTACGACGGCACCGGCATCGTGTACTCGGACCTCGACAGGCTCTGCGACGGGGTGATGGCGTTTTTGGGTGGAGTGCTTAAAGATGTCTACGATAAACAACCTTACAGTGTTGGTAAAATAGGCTTAAATGATATTGTTAGTAAGCTTAATAATGCTTTATGTTCAGGTCATAAGGGTTTTAAAGAGGTCATTGAGACTGTGGCGCAGGGTGTCGGGGAGTATAATGCTTTGGTGAGGGATTCAAATAATCTTGTCAAGACTCCGATAAAGAAGCTCCTAGAAGACGTAGGGAGCGCTTTAACAGATAATTTGAATGAAATTTTACCTAATTCTGTTTCAGGTACGCAGAAGACTTTGACGGCGGAGCAAGAGGAAGTCAGGCAGGCAGCGATCAAGATTCATCAACTGCGTAGGGAGTGTGAAGATTATGCGCACGTTTTCAACGACGCTTTAGATATTAAAAAACTTCATATAAACGATGCAATTAATGACCTTAATAGTAGCTTATCACTTAGAGTAACGAACGCTATAAGCAGCGTTAAGCATGAGGCTGAGAGGCTGAAGAAGTTGGCAGATAGGGAAAAGGAGGATATAAAGGAGATGGAAGAGAACACTAGAAGCGTGATGAATGCGCTGAAAGCAGGCGCACGTGAAAAAATCGAAGCAAAAGTGAATGAGCTTGTAAGGGCTCTGAAAGATGTAGTTACTGAAATATTTAAAAAACTCGACGACATCAATGATAAGTTGGCACGGTACGTTATCGGGTTGAATGAATGGGCACTGCAGGCTGGTAAGGACATCGACGCGGTGGAAGCAACGGCGAATGAGATCGTCAACAAGAATGTCGGCAAAAAACATCAGGATATTATCACGGCCAAAGCAGGGCATCTGTTAAATTTGAAAACAATGTTTGGGGATTATATTAGAGAGGTGACGGAATTGGCTGGAAAAGTTAACGAGGAGATTGTGTCCCTAGGGAAGCAGTTTAGAGATGCTATCAACGGCAGCGATTTGCCTAAAACTATTGAGAAAATTGTGGAGTATATTAAAGAGAAGGTGGAGAGTATTAAGGGGGGTGTGGGTGATCCTAAAAAGGATCGACAACCCGTAAGAGATAATAGTATATATCCTAATTGGCAGCAGCTGAAAGGGGATATTATAGATTATGTGAACAAGATTAAGGGCGAGGGGGCGTCAGGTGCACTGGCGAATAAGAACGGTATAAAGCAGATTGTGGATGGGATTAGGGAGTATGCGGAGAGGTTCAAAGAGGTCGGAGACGATGAAAGGAGTGGTTTTAAGAGTATAGTTTATGGGTGGTTGACGGACATTTTGCATAGTGCGCCGGTAATGGAGAAACTTGGAGAGTATGCTGGAGGGAAATCAGATCATTCCACAGCGGTTGCGAAAGCAATTGTTAAACAGTTCAACAGCGTGATTGGCACAGCCGTCGGAAAGGGCGATGGTCTTTTCTCCGACTCTGACGCCGACAGCACGAAAATTGAAAATTATGTCACGGCTGTGAATGCTGTGTGCGTGGCATTTGCCAAGCAGCTTGAGGAGCATATTAAGAAGGGCCAGGTGGAATTTAGTACATTTTCCCAAAGAATAGCAGGAGATATTAAGGACGTTTTTTCGAAAGGTACAACTAAACCTATAAGCCAAGGTGATCTCGCATACGTAATTCGGTTAATTCTCCCCGAGCTCATCGGTGCGGCTAGGGGAGCAGCGGAGGAACTGTATTCGTTTGCCGGGGTTCAAGGTGACCTTGACCTCGACGGTGACGGTGAGAAATACAACCTCGGCAAGCTTCTGAAGGCAATCGACTCCAACGCCGATAAAATCAATCAGCAATTCACAGCCGGCTTTCCCGGCGCAAAGATCGACACGGCGCTGGAGGCGGTGCATACAGAAATCGAGACGCTGCACGGTCAGCTTGATCTGGCGCTAGCTACCGCCTCCAGCGATCCCACCACCATTGCCGGCCATGTCGACCAGGCGGTTACAAACGCTATCGCCAAAGCCAAGGACTTGAACGCCAGCCACACTACACCCCTCGAGACTCTGTCCAAGGAAATCCAAGAACACCTTAGTACCCTGGTGACAGAAATCTCCGAAGTTGCCAACACCGTCAACCTGAAGCTGATTAAGTTCCAAACTGATAATCTCAAGGGCACTGGTCCCAACCAACTCGCCGGAATCACGAAAAATATCAGTCAGCTGCAGAAGGAGTTGGACAGCGTGCCCATAAAGAAGGCCAACCAGCTGCTTACATACGCCGAGCGAGTGCGCAATTCAACCATAAGTGAACTCAGTCGGAAAGTGGACAGAGAAGTCTCAAAGGCGCAGAGCCTAATGGGTGCCCACGTCCAGCAGCAGTACATCGAAACCATAAAAGCGTTGATTATAGTGTTTGTTGACAAGGTTACTGAAGACTTGGAGGAGTTGCCGGGGCTGATTGAACATGACGAGCATATCGGCGTCAAAGGGTTTATGAGGAAGATGGAGACAGAATTTACTAAAAGGGTTGAATCCATTCAGCTTACACACCAAACTTCCTCTAGTCGAGATACACCCTCTCTGAGCCAGGCGGCTGACGTGGTGAATAAGGCGTTTGGATACCTTTTCTTCGAGCTGCAAAATCAAGAAGACTTCAAGTCGGATTACGAAGTCATGAAGCCGTCGAAAGATTGTCTGTTCAAATTGCTAAACTTGCTCACACGTTCGCAACACTTCGACCACAAGTTCTCTGACAACCTCAAAGCGCTTGAAAACACCCTTAATGACTTCGCACCTAAGAAATTCCACACCCCAAACAGCATCCTCCTCGACGCCCTCAAGGCCGGCATGACGCAATTCACCGAGCAACTCGGACACGCGTACGTGAATACATACAGCTGTTGTAAGCCTGTAACATCGTGGGGTGATGATAAATCACCTGATGAGTTAACCCCCGAGGGCCGCAACTGCGCCAAGGTATGCCTGACCATACTGGAGAGGGTGTTCCACGACCTGAATGATTTAAGGAAGCAATGCATGGCAAACTATCCTTCACGTCCGATTTACTCAACATCCGGTCCTGGTGTTTTATTGCACAAAATGGGTTACGAGGTTGCTAAGGAACGTAATTCCAATGGTGCCCAAGTGCAAAATGTTGACACTATGACCGGTGAAAAAATTGGGAGAATGTTGACGAGCGCAGTTGAACATGCCGACAGCAATCATCATCTCAAGAGTTGTCTATCGAAAACAAATGGCATTAATGTTTTGGAGATTCTTAATTGTCTTTTCTCCCACCGAAATCAATATTTCACGATAGGCCACATAACTATCCACCCCAAACCTAGAACACCTTGCAACATATTCGAAATGCTTTGCTGGTTTAACGGCTTACCTCACAACCGTGTGTACGGCTCACTTAAGTCACACATTAAAACAACGCTAGATAAGCCGAAGGAACACAAAGAGAAGGAATTCTCCGAAATTCCTGAGCACGAATTAGGGTTAACCGGGTACCCGTATAACGTATCATATAGAAGTATACTCACCGCCATTCATGACATTACGTCGTGTTCTCACGAACTACTGACAGCCATCCTTGGCACAGGGGACGAACACACGACGTATTCCTGCGACCACGCCAACAACTCACTGAACCTACAGTATCCCAGTGACCCCGCCGCTTGCTTCGACATGTTGCTTCACGTCCTCCGTGGACTCCTGCCGCAGCTGAAATATTTGTTCAGCCGGTGCAATGTGAAGGCTGAGCACAACGGCTGGCGTGAATGCCCCTACGGCAAGGACGTGCCTACAGCCAAATCGCATTGTGAGAGGCAGTCAACTGCCGAAGCAACGGGCCAAGCAAAGTGCCAACCTACGTGCCAGGCAAACAGCAAAGCAATGTGTCAACCAACTTCACCACTAATGAGTTATCTTAATGATTGTTTACCCGGTCACTTACCACATCAATTGACCGATGTAGGCTGTAAGCATAAATGCTCTACCTGCCCCGGTAGTACACCAGGAATGCCGTGCCTTACACCCATGGGCTTCAGGGCATTTTCCGGCTCAACCAAGACGGGTGAGCACCTGTGTGAAATCATTCGGCATTTCTTCGGTAGCGGCCTGCTTTCATCCCTATTAGGCTTGGCGCCCAGGCCGCCGAAGACACTGCCTGAGCATTTCAGCTATGCTTTATCTTTCGTTAAAGCCTGGAATGATTCCGACGTGCCATTCACAAACCGTATTAATGCG